CTCGCCGAAAAGTGTGTACAGGCGGGCCTTGGTATTCCTTCTGTGTCCCATCAATATTCTACTGCAACGAGCAGTGTCGAGGGCGAACTAGACCGAGATATGAAGCAGAGGCCGACCGGTACAGCGGGCGAATCACCTGAAAACAAGGGCCCGACGCCCTCCGCCTGTGCACACGTTTTCGGGAGGTCTAGCAACATGGAATCAGCTAGAAGTAGCGTCCGCTCACCTGGTGATACAGTTACAAGTTCCGGCAGGACTCCGACTTCTGGTACCTCACAGGCTTCGAAGAGCCAGGCGCTGCACTCATCATGGAGAAGGACAGCTCCGCGGGGATACCGCATGACACTGTTCCACTCGCCGTCTACACCATCAATGCACAGTGGGACGGCGCGCGCACGAGTGCACAGGACGTCGTGCGGTGTTTCGTGCGGATAACGCACGGCCAGTTGACGAGTTCCCTGACGCGCTGCGGAGGTCATGGCCGAGACGGACACGTATATGTGGACTTCCTCCAGTGGCGGCCCAAACGTTCGCGGTCTGCCTCGGCAAGTCGTTGCTCAAGGTCTGTTGGCGTACCAGAAGGTCGAGTTTTCTGCTCAAGTAGCCCTGCAGTATCTGTCGAGATCGTCACAGGAGCATGATACCTGTCGATCGCTCGGCGGACAGAGCGTCGTCACTCGACCGGAGGTCGACGGTGCGCGCGATCAAGAGCGAGGCAGAGAGGTCTGCGGCCGCTGCGATTAGTGCTCGGGCACACACCAAGTGAGAGTTTCACGCTATTGAAAGGACAATATATGTATTGACTATAGCGAAGACGATGCGTTTTGCTCGACCGGGCCTGTCAGAACCGTACTAGCGCGCACTTCGGTACCTCTGTGCGAGAGAGGTGCGCGCGTCCAGCCTATGTACCCGTTGTCGCATCTGGGTCTGTCTCTTCAAATATGACCAAGGGCAGCCACTGACCGTTCGCCACAGCCCGAACGCGCTGACATACACTACACGTCAACACAGCTCATCCGCGAGAACGAGCTTGTCTCGTCGATGCGGGCTGTGATACAAGTACGCCACTTGCAAATGTCCATCTCCCCGACTGACATCTCCTACAAGCGGGTACGCCTCAGACATCAGTACGCTCACCCACGCCCACTTCATAATTCCCACCGCGCTAATGCCGTCACTAGCGCGCACTTCCCCGCCTCAGGCGCGTTCACCTCCGCGCAAGCCGACCTCTACAACGCGCTCCTCTCCGCACAAAAGCAGCTCGTCGCTCTGCACCGCGCGCGCGGGGCTGTCGCTCACAGCTCACCACAAGTCCGTCGAGTTCCTGCGTGCAGAGCTCACGCAGATCGGGTTCGACTCGGCTTCACGGGCGGGCGGTTGAATGAACTGTACCCGCATTCGTGGGCCATCCGTGGGGATTGGTGAGTAGAATTGTGTCGTCTTATGTGAGGGCGTTGTGAGCTGATGAACTCGTGCTCGAATAGATTGCACGAGTCAAGCCATTTTGACCGACAGGCGCCGTATGTTGTTGTGGTCATTCATGTGCCGACGCGTGAAGCTGACGTTGGGAATCAGGATGCAGCTGCATGGTCATCACGTGGAGCCGGTACGTTGCCTTTCTCTGATCTACCTCACCCAAGCACCCACTCATATGGGTACAGGATTTACGTGCCGCCATGCCACACTTCCAAAACATTCCATAACATCGGCATCCGAATAGAGGTGGGTTCCTTGTTCATTGAGTGTTCCACGTCTGATACCTCCACCATAGGACGAGGTGCTGGTCGGTGAGGAGCACCCAGTAGTCCTCAGCGCGAGTGCGCCCAAGGAGGTACGTTCTATGCCGGGATTTGAACGCCGTGTCCGAATGTGACTCTGAACGCCAGATCGCCGACGTGGAGGGAGCGTGTCAAGGACTACTGGGACTCGAGCCGTTCTGACAACTCTATTGACACGCAATACATCTATCTAGCTCACTGCCATACCTATTACTTCGCTTTAGCAAGAAGAGATGATGCATACATCGGGCATAAGTACTCGTATCGAAAACTAGATAATTCGCTCTCACTTCACACCTCATTACGCACTTCAGCCTTAACGTCGGTAGACTTCAGTCCATAACCAGACCCTTCGCCTTCCGCCACCGAGTCGACGCGGTATCTCGCGTTTTCATTGGCGTGGCCACCGTCACAGATGTGCTGCCCGCTCCAAACGGCTCTTCGTCGGCGACCTGAAGAGCGCGTAGACCTGCTCGCGCGCAGCCACTTCTCGGCGGGGATGAAGTACCAGCTGAGGATCCAAGATGGTGACGGCGCCGAGGATGACTGGGGCCTGCAGTGAGTGTCAGGGTCAGTAAGACATCGTCGTGTGCGGCGTATACAGGGACGTACGAAGTTGAAGCTCTGGCCGTGACCGGGAAGTAGAACGGCGAGATTTGAGTCTGCGCGGGAGCGGTTCAACACCTTCCGCAGCTTTTTGAACCGTGAATAACATACCGCAAAGATCAAGCCGTTGAACAGCACAGTGGCGATATAGAACGGGCGTCTCCACCGCCCCAAGAAATAGTGGCTGCTCTTGAAGTCTTCCGGGGTCATGATGAGCCGCAGCAGCGCGATCAGCCCATATGCTGCGGTGGTGGGCACGCCGCCCGCGGAGGTGAGCGACGTGAAGGCGACGTCGGACGGGAGGATCGTGCAGAGGAGCGCAGCGCCAAAGATGAACATCACCGTCACGGCGTTGCGCGGCTGGCGCCGGTCGTCGACCTGCCCGATCCAGTGCGAGAAGGGGAGCACGCCGTCGCGCGCGACGGCGAAGACGAGCCGGGAGGCGGCTACGACGGAGACGCTCGTGTTCTGTAAACAGGAAAGAGTTACTGAGTTCTGAGCGGGATGGGAGAGGAGAGCGGGGAACGTACGAGGATCAGGCCGAGCGCGGCGATGGCGGTCATGAACGCGCCGCCGCCCTTACCTAGCGCGAGTGCGTAGAGCTGGACGAACGGCTGCGGGGCGTCGAGCGAGAAGAGCGTGTCGAGGTCGGGCGTGCAGAACAGGAAGAGGATGTTGGTGATGAAGCCGAGCACGCCGGTCGCGATGGCGCTGTAGAGGATGCCACGGCCGGCGACGACGCTGCAGGGGTGTCAGTGAAGATGCATGGTGGGTGAAGAGGAGACGACGGACCTGGCGTTTTTGGTCTCCTCGGCGATGTGCCCGGATGCGTCGAAACCGATCATTGTCCCGGACGAGTACAAGCTGGCATAGAAGTGTCAAAGAAGGGAGATAATAATGATGATGTGTTCTGCGTACAAGCAGAGGATGAAGTTCCAAGCGGGCGGCGCTCCCGTCAAATTATCTGCATTAATATCCATCAGTTTCGCAGACCCCTTCCACATGCAGTACACTCACAAGTCCCCGTGAACACCTCCTTCGCGGACCTAAACCCATACGTGCGTGACACGCCAATGGGGAGCCAGATCAGGCACAACAAGAAGTCGAGCATGTACAGCCCGATCGAGATCTTGAACACGGCCGAAAACCAGCGCGGGGGGAGGTAGTTGACCGCGACCGCGACCACGAAGCAGCCCTCGGCGACGGCCCATACGAGCGCGCGCCACTGGATGGAGTCGGTGCCCGCCCCGCCCGGGTAGTACACTTCGAACACAAGGAGCTCCGAGACGATGTAGTTCGCCGCGGTCTGCCGGACGAGCGCGTCAGCGGAGATCGCAGGCGGTATGAGGCAGGACACGCACGAGACAGCACGAGGCGGAGAACGTCATCCAGGCCGTGCAGGCCCACCAGGCGACGACGAACCCGAAGAAGCGGCCGTACTTGGGACCTGCGCTCTCTGCGCTCCAGACGTAGATCGAGCCGCTGAGCGGGAGCGCGGAGCATATCTCGGCCATGACTGCGGCGGTGATAAACATGAAGATCATCGAGACTATGTAGGTCGTCCTGAAGCAGATGTGAGTGACGAGGTTCGCACGAGGCGCTTGCATTGAGGGTTGCGAGACGGGAAACGTACCATACGGCCAATGGGCCGCCTGCTTCAAGTCCGAGGAAGATACCAGAGCTACGAGCGAAGATTAACATTCCGTGAATGACAAGACAGCGTTGTCTTACCGAACACCTCCGATGAAGTTGAGGGCCACGAAGCTAGCGGCGAAACTCTCGAGGAGGTGCCAGCTACGGTGAAGTTGCTACACAAGGAGTCAGCCTGCAGTCATGGTATTGCCTCGTCTATAGAGAACGCACCTGTTTATATCCGAGCTTTTGCTATGAGGAGATATGAAAAAAAACAGGTCAGCACATTCTGCGGGGCTCCCTCGAGAGGGGGCAATCAACATGGCGACACTGGGGGCTTCCCTACGCAGGTATGAGCGCTGATCAGGTTCAAACGGTGTAATCTCAACCCTTGCCGGTCCTCTGCTACTCTCGCTCGCTCGCTCGCTCATCTGACGATCGTCTGGCAAGTGCAAGACGAGAGACGGCATCGCGGCGAAAGGATACCCGTAGCCGATTCCAGTGTACCACTGAAAAAGACGACGTTACCGATGATACTTCATAGCGGGCCTCTGTCCTGTGTAGGTCTGGCCAGCTCTGCCTTCGGACTGGGTATTACCAGCTGGAGCTCGTCTTCGCCGGTTTCGGAGGAGTCGCGCTCGGCGTCAGCGGGGAGTTGAGCGACATTTGCGTCTTCTGCAGCCATTCTACAGTGGTAAAGAGAATGAAGCAGAGATGATGGTGGTGGTGGGGAAAAGGATTTCGGCCAACACAGACGAAAAGCAGGTCATGAAAAGTGTCGCGAGCGGGCGCCTGGAATGTGATTTATCCAGGAACGATAGGAGCTGGCGCCGTACTGTACTGCACAATATTCGACGATGGAGTAGTCGATTGTGTGAGGAGCTTCTTATTGAAAGTATGTAGACTGCCATGTTGAATGTGAAAGATATTGGTTGGATCCACGGACAGGATGTTAGACAAACTCGAGGGCCGCGTCCGAAGGTTCACGGCGCTCAGCGACAGCCTTGCCGCATCGACGCGGCCTTTGGAGGCCAGTCGACTCTGAGATAACGTGAACGGCTCAGAGCATTACAATTTGGTGACTGTCATCTCTACGGTCATGATGGTGGTTGCTTCGAGATTAACAGAAGCCATAAGTATATTATCGTGAAGGATCAGCAGTCCAGTCCCTCCGCCACTTCAGTACCGACTCCAGCACCGAATCAATCACTTGCAGAGCAGCATTCGGATCCTTCGCAGCAAAGAGCCCGGCCCCCAGCCCGCGTGCGACTTGATTGACAAACCAGTGGAGTTTGCCATCCTCTCCACGCATTACGCCTAGATCAACTCGCGCGTATTGGAGCAGTGAAGACTCTCCCAGCCCCAGCGCAGCAACCTCCTGCATTGCGAGTCCGTCAACGGTGTTGAGTACGAACCACTCAAGCAATTCTCGAGCAGTAGTTCGGATGGCTTCTGAGCCTCCAGATCTGGCGAAGCATCCACTAGCTCTGTTGACTCTCGGGTTGATCGCCGTTCCACATCCTCGATCCTATGAGTGCAAACACGCGATCAGTTGGATGAGTGCATGAAACAAAGTATACTGACATCATGTCTTGTGGAAGTAAGCAATCTCTCAGTACTGAGGACACGAATCCACCATGAGGCAACCGGATTGTATGCACCGCGTGCTGCACGGCTGAGCCGGCAACATACACGCGCAGCTCGCCGGTGTTGCACAGGAGTGGAATTTCTTTTTGCTCCATCCACCTCCATCGCCCTCCTGTTAGCTCGATGTCTTCGTCAATCTTCCTCTTCGGCTTCAGCTTTCCACGGTAGAAACGGTCGCTATTCTTGCTCCCCTCGCGCTTGTAAACGCAGTCACCCTGTGTCCGGCCCCCGTTATACAAGACAGTGTGAGGACGGGGTGACTTGGTGATTTCTCGAGCGATGTGGTCGAGATCGTGCATTATTTGGAGCTTCCGAGCTGCTGTGCGAAGCTCGCGCACGGGTGGCCAGACTGGAAAACACCTAGACAGCATCCGGAGTCGTTCGATGTAGAGTTCCTCCTCTTCCACTGATTGGAATGTGTCACGTCCAGATGGTGTCCTGAAATCCCCCATGAGTACTAAGTAGCCTTGGCATAACATTCATCTGCAGTAGGTACTCACCTATAATCAATTGTCAGGTCTGTACCACCATGGATCAGCAGACCAGCATTGATCTTTGCCAATTCATGCAGTAAATGATTTGGATCACCCCCATTTGAAGCGAGGACGAGATCCCGAAACTGCGTCCAAGTAATAACAAACACTGTACTACCTGGGCGCCGGTGTTGTAGACGATGTATCCAGAGAAGCTGAATAACATATATAAGCCTCTGACATGGAAGATACAAGCAGTAGACAGAAGGGAAGTATACCTGTTCGGAGATTGCAACTTCCCTGTCCGATTCTCTTTGTGCACGCGATGGTAGAGAGCGCTGCTGCGCGACCTCAGCGTAGTTGTAAATATGTTGATAAAGGCGCTCATCCGCCATATACGCATCAGCTATATTCGGAGGCATCGTGTACTTCAACCAGCCAGTCCACCGCAACGGATCTGCAAGCTCCCGCGGTGTTCTCTGAGATGCTCTGTCAATCACAAAAACAATACTCGTGGCGGCTGTTGCCATGTCGGGGAATGATCTGGTCCTGGAGAATTTTAGTCAGAGTCTACGGAGAACAGAGAGACAGTCATGCAGTGTGAAAAGTGTGCAGGCATGTTCATACCTTGCGGAATGCACCAGAGACGCGCATCCGGATTCCGAAGATAGACCCCGATGGAGGAACCGGCGGACCAACATGCATGGGAAAGCCCCATGTGATCTGGCAGCGGCTCAGGAATGAAATATGCGGTAAATTGATCACTGTGGGGGCAGTCGCTCGACCGGAGAAAGCTACATGATATTAGTAGAGACAAAGATGTGCGTATAAATACATGCGTGCATGCAGAGCTTCCTACAATACAAGCATTGCGACAAACTAGAGCGACGGACGTTGAGCATGAACCTTCGTAGTGGATGAACTCATCAGGAGATGTTGAGACGCTGCAGCGTATACGTTAGCAAGATCATTTGTTTCACTGACTTTGGAACGTACCGGCTTCAAGGCCTTGATTAGAAGCCATTCTTCGTTCGAGACATCCTGCTTGAACGAGGTCTACGACGCCAATGAGCATGGCGCCGCATTTACGAGTCTTACATTACATACCTTGAGGACGTCGATACTCTGTCGTGTGATGTGGCTGTAGAGCTCGTCCTTGTCGTCGAAGTGCCGGCCGAACATCTTCGCAGACTGGTATACCGCATGTTCATCTTCACGGCCACACCACCACCAGCCTGCGACTTCTTGACATGTCGAAGGATTTGTGGTTGATCTCCAGAGAGGTGCTGTTCCGAGTGGTCAGCCATAGATCACTAGTATCCGTTGATTGTAAGCTCACATCCTTCCTAATCGATGATTCCTTCTTCTGTGTCTCTGGGTCGGTCTTCACGACACAGATAGGTGTATTCACCCGCAGAGTACCATCGAGGATATCCACACCGAGGATGATCGGGTCACGCTTACAGAAGGCGGCTATGATCTTGAGGCGGCACGGCCAGACAGCCTGAGGAGCAGCGTCTTTCCGCTTCGCCTCCATGATCTCGGCATTGTACGCGGTAAGGCGTCGAACAGATGGTAGATGATATCCGCTGCGCATCGCGGGTCAGCACCACTTCCTTCGATATGAACATAATGATACCCACCTTTGAACAGACGGATGCCCATTCCTCCGCCAGCCTCTCCGCCTCCTTGTCCACAGGCACATCGAAGCACAGAATACACGACAGCTCCTTCGCCTTCTCCAACATCGTCGCGGCACGCATGACGTCTTCTTGTGCACTGGCCCGATGTTGATACCCGACACGGGATCTTGCTCGACTTGAGGAAGTCGAGCAGCGCCTCGAGCGAGCCGAGCGTCGACGCCTGCACGCACACGCCGCGCCCCGACTTGTCGATCGAGTTCAGGAGCGACGTCAGGTCCGACATCACCTCGTCCATCATCTCCTCTTCGTCGTCGTCCGGCCCCACGACCAACAACCGCGAACCGGCGATCGCCTTCTCGAGGTCCGGCGCGACAATCTTCACTCCCATCGCCGCCTTGATCTCTTGTGGTGCACATACGCAGACTTAATCCGCAGCTCGCGCAGAGGCTGTGGCGTGAGCAGCGCACGTACTTGTGTGACGATAGGGCCGTTCAGACCGCAGACCACGATCCGGTCGCCTTCCCTGAGGATACCGTTTGAGAGGACGACGTCGATGGTCGTTCCAAGACCCTCGATGACCTTGACCTCGAGCACCGTACACTCAAGCTCGCTGAGGTACATGAGCCGGTCACTCATGCGCTGCTGCGTGAGGTTCACGAGGAGCATGATCATGTCTGGCACACCCTCGCCAGTGATGGCAGACGTGGGCACGAGCGAGACGTTGCGCGCGAAGCTCTTGTTCTCGTAGTAGAGGACAGCGTTGAGGCCCTGCTCGGCGAAGGCGAGGATTGTCTTCTGCAACCGGTCCTCGAACTCGCGCTGGACGGATCGCTTCTGCTTGGCGAGCGAGCTCCGGAAGTCGTTGTCTGGTGTCGCATCCCAGTCGTACATACGATCGATCTGTACATTAACAACGTGAATAATCAGTAGTCCATACGTTTTTGGTATACTGTACCTTGTTCAGCGCGACGATGAACGGCGTCTTGCGGTCCCTGAGTAACCGGAGCGACTCAAGCGTCTGAGGCTCCAATCCGTGCATGATATCGACGACCAAGATGGCAATGTTACACAGCGAGCTTCCGCGAGACCGCAGGTTTGTGAACGATTCGTGACCAGGTGTATCGATGACGAGCAGACCGGGGATCTTGTACTCCTGGTTGCCCTCCTTGTTGAGCACAGCCGTCTTCGTCTTGATGGCATCCACGGGGAAATAAGTAGCACCAATCTGCTGCGTGATACCACCCGCTTCGCCCTCCTGCACATTCGTTTGCCGGATCTGCCGTGCCAAATGTCAATGCCTGCTTGATTTGGGGATAACACGACGTCCCCACCTTGTCAAGCAGCTTCGTCTTACCCGTATCGACATGCCCCAGAATACAACAAATCGGACTACGCAGATCCGACTCGTCCCTCGCAGCCAACGCCGCCTCGTGCGCCTTCGCTCGGCGCGCGACCGCCTCCGCCTTCCTCTGCGCAGCCATCTGTTGCGCCTTGGTCATGCCTTCATCTTCAGACGAATCCTCGTCAGAGTCGGAGTCCTCCTCGGACGACTCCTCTTCTGACGAGCTCTCTTCCTCGGAGGAGGACTCTTCTTGTGGCTGGGCTTTCGCGCCATTGGGCTTGCTGTTCGTCTTGGCCGCGGCGAGTGCGGCTTTGGATGCGGGTGCAGGTGCGGCCTTCGCTGGCGCAGCCTTCTTGGTGACCGCAGGCTTGGCCGGTGCAGCCTGTTTTGCGGGTGCCTTGCTCGAGCCATTCGCTATGGGGAGAACAGATCAAGGCCAGACTACGCAATCAGCACTCGAACTACCCACCTGCAGGTGCAGCTTTAGTAGGTGCTGGAGGCTTGGCCCCCTCCTCATCGCTATCCGCGTCCCACGAACCCTTGACGCCAGCTGAAGGTTTCTCTTCCTCGCCACTACTAGCGTCCCAGTCGGACTGAACGTCTTCGACCTTCTCCTCTTTCTCCTCCTTCTGCTCTGCAGGCAAGGGAGCGGGAGCAGGCTCAGGCGTGGCCGGCTTCTCCTCTCGTACAGGTGACGGCTCCCGTGTTGACGGACCACTACCCGTTGTTGTGCTCGTAGGACCCTTCTTTTTCCTCTTGTCGCCGTACACAGGCTTCTTGGATGCCTGGCTCTGCTGCTGCAGACCTTCGATCTGTACACCGGAGGCGAGAAGAGCTTGCTTGCGGAGCTCCGCCATACGATGCTCCTGCTTTTGCTTCGGCGTGAGTAGGCGGCCCTCCTTCTTTGCCTGCTCGCGCTTGGCCTGCAGGATTGTTAGACGTGAAAGTAACGGATAAACGCAACGTTACCGACCTTCTCCTTCTCTTTCCTCCTCTGCTTCTCCTCCTCCTTTTTCCTCGCTTCTTCCTCCGCTAGCCGTTCCTCCTCCTCAATCCGCTTCCTCTCCTCTTCCTCACGCCTCCGTGCCTCCTCCTCTAACCGCTTCTTCTCCTCCATCATCGCTTTGAGCGCACCGATCGCACCGCCCTTCTTCTTCCCTGCAGCAGCCGCTGGCGCAGGAGCTGATTCTTCATCCTTCCTCGCTTTTTTCTTCTTTTTCTTCTTGGAGTCGGTTTTGGCGCCGCTTCCTTCACCTTCCTCTTCGTCCTCATCTTCCTTTTCTGCGGGCAGTGCAGCAGGTGCAGGCTCCGGTGTTGAGACAGCTGAAGGCTCCTCTCCAGCTTGGGCAGCCTTCTTGGCAGCAGCTTGGGCTTTCTTCTTCGCCTGTGTTTCGCGTCAGTTGAGGTCAGAGCAAAGTTGGGCATGTGCGCTCGCCTTTTCTTTCTCCTTCTTGAGTTTCTCCTTCTCCTTCTTAGAGAGAACCTTCGTGCCACCTTCGTCCCCTTCACCCTCTTCCTTCTCTTCGTCGTCTTCTTGAGGCGGCGCCGCTGCGGGCACCTCAGCTGGATCGGGTGCCGCCTCCTGCGCTGAAGCGATATGTAATCAGGACAATACGACGCACGAACAGTCTTCAAACAACTCTCACCTTCAGCTACCTCTTCCTCATCTTCGGCTTGCGCCTTTCCCTTCTTCCCTTTACCCTTCTTGCCCTTCTTAGCCTTCTCCTTCACAGGGCCCCACTCCTCATCCGCGAGATCCTCCGCGGTCACCTCGACCGGCTTCTTCGCCGCGCTGATGTCTCCGTTTGCAGCCGCGGCTTCAGTGTCAGAGCCCTCGCCAGGCGCGGGCCCGTCAGCGAAGGAAACGTCCGCTCTCTTGCCTTTCTTGCCCTTCTTGTCCTTCTTACCCTTGGAGGCCGCCTTGATAGTCGACTAGAGTGACAGACAAATCAATATACCATATCAAAGGACCTACCCTTAGTCACATATGTTGACTGCATACCATAAGACCTCCAAAGTCTTCATCCTCGTCGGGCGCCGCATCGCCATCGTCTGCGCCGAGAGCTGCGAACGCCGAGAACCCAGCCTTCTTGGTTGGCTTGGAGCCGTCATCAGACGCTTCCGCAGCATCCGCTGAGGTACCTGCGTTGTTATTGGCGATAGTGGTGCCAGCATTCTCCCTGGATCGAGAGTGAGCAAGGCGTTTAGCTGAATACAATCCCGGCACGGACCAGAAGTCATCATCGTCCTGCTTCTTTCCCTTCTTTGCCTTGTTCTTCGGTGCCATCTTGTCTGGGAGTTGAGCAGAGGCGCGAAACGATCGTCAAGTGAGAAGGCTGCGTACAAAGGACGAGGGGAGATGATGAGTGAGAGGGAGCGTACCACCTCCGGCTCCGGGAGTGGGTGGGCGAGGAAAGTGGCTTCAGCGCTCAAGCGCTCGTGATCTCGGGTTATACTTGTGCTTCCACCACCACCTCTGCCCGCGCCCCGCGCCCGCTGCAAATATCTCAAATATCGTTCGCTGGGCTGGTCAACCAACCATGGGCTTGCTGACTATCATTCGGAAGAACCGGCAGAAGGAGAAAGAGATGCGCATACTGTTCCTGTACGCCGGATGCCCGAAGGAGTCGCTGGTCCTCACGCCGATGCATCCACTGTAGCGGCCTCGATAACGCTGGGAAGACGACCATTCTCAAGAAACTCAATGGAGAGGACATCATGGGGATCAGCCCAACATTGGGCTTCAACATCAAGACTTTCGTCCATCGCAAGTGAGCCTCGATCATCTCGCTCGTGCTTGCCGACATCTGAGAGGACGCGTCTCCGTAGATACACCCTGAATATATGTAGGTCATGTTACCATCGGTCTCCTCTCATTCGACCAATATCGTGTACCAGGGGATGTCGGAGGACAACGCACACTCAGACCGTACTGGCGTAACTACTTCGAGCAGACAGACGCACTAGTTTGGGTAGTCGACTCGGGCGATCGTATGCGGATGAACGACTGCAAGGAAGAGCTGCACAGTCTCCTGCTAGAAGATGTACGTCAACCGTTTCACACATGCTGAGTTTTCATCTTAGCCATGAACCTCAGCGACTAGCGGGCGCGTCTCTGCTCGTATTCGCGAACAAGCAGGATCTGCAGGGCTCCATGAGCAGCCCTGAGATCCGCGACGTACGTATTATTCTCCGCCAGTGACAAGCAGTCAGTATTTACTGATCCTCGCGTCAGGCATTGGACCTTCTGTCCATCAAGTCCCACCGGTGGAAGATCTTGCCTTGCAGTGCTATGACCGGCGAGAACCTCGTGGAGGGTCTTGACTGGGTCGTCGACGATGTGGCAGGTAGGCTGTATTATTCGACTACTACTGAGGATACAGTGCCACGCCAGGAGCCAAGCCCTGTCGCTGTACACTAACCTTTAATGTAATACCACACTGCTGTCATGATATCCTCGTTCTGTAGAGTCTATTCGTTCGGATGAACTCGACAAGGTCTGTATAATACAACTGGACTCTGATTAATGATTGCCTGAGCGACTGTACATGTCGCTGGCAGGCGATAGGTGTACGCGTCAGTGCCTGCGCAATATGCTGGTGCACTTGGCTACTTACATGGCTACTTACACGCACAAGGAGCCTGTCCCACAACTGACACAGTAAATCCGTTAATATTCAGTACCGTTAATCAAGCACAGGCTACATTATCGACCCCGAGGTGACCTCCAGGAATTCTGGTATGTCCAACCCGTCCACGCACATTATAAGCTAGCGGTTACGAATACTCCTTCTGAATCAGCTTCGCAATGGTCTGCAATTGAATATTCGATGTCCCCTCGTAGATCGCGCCCTGAAGGCACCACCATCAGCGAATCTGTTCCTCCACAGCACGAAGACCACCTCAAAAGTACTCACTATCTTTGAATCCCTCCAGTACTTTTCGATCCCCGTCTCCCTCGTAAATCCGACTCCGCCCGCCCACTCAATCGCCGCGCCGCTCACTTTCTGCGCGACCTCGCTCGCAACAAGCTTCGCTATCGCTGCCTCGCGCACAAACGACTTCCCCTCCTCCTTCCGGCGCGCGGCGTTGTATGTCAGCAGCCGCGCCGCCTCGATGTCGCACGCCGCGCGCGCCTGCTGGAAGGACAGGCCCTGGAAGGTGCCCACGGGTTGCCCGAACTGCTTGCGCTCGAAGGTGTAGGGCACGGCTTTGGCAAAGGCACCTTGTGCAAGGCCTATCATTTGGGCGGCGATTCCGATGCGGCCTGAAGGGATGTTGATGTTGGTTGTCAGCGGATCATGCTTTGTTGAGGTGATGTCTCCCCACCTTCATTGAGGATCTCAATCGCAATCTGAGATATTCAGACAAGTCAGGATGACTGGTCAGGGATTTCTCTGGATTCATGCGGACCTTGTAACCCTTTCCCTCACCGCCGATGATATTCTCGGCCGGTACGCGCAGGTCATCAAAATTCAGCGAACACGTCGATGAAGCCCGGATGCCGAGCTTCTGCTCCTTTTTCGCAATTTGGACACCCATGTCCTTCGTCGCGATGAAGCAGGTGATGCCCTTATATCCCTTACTGGGGTCGGCCTAGCGGTCATGGTCGCACAGTGAGTTCTGAGACATGTAATCGGTGATGGGACATACGTTCGCAAATATGAGGAAGACGTCTGCTTCGTAGGAGTTCGTGATCCACATCTTGCTCCCGTTGATGACCCAGTCATTCCCGTCCTTGACCGCGCGTGTCTGCAGGGCGAAAGCGTCCGAGCCGGAGGCAGGCTCCGAGAGGCAGAAGGATCCGAGCTAAGACGCATGTCAATAATCATGAAATGTCGTACCGCTGGAAACTGGATACCTTCGACTCCGAAAGGAGAGGCAGCCACTTGTCCTGCTGCTCCTTCGTGCCATAGTTACGGAGGACGGTGTTTACGAGGGTATTGTGCACGTCGCACATGACTGATACCGACGGGTCGACCTTCGCAAGCTCCTCAATCGCGATGATCGCAGAGGTGAAGGACGACTCAGCGCCGCCATGGTCCGCGCCGGTCTCGATGCCCATCAACTGCAGGAGGTCATGCTCAATCCCGAGCACTGCATTGCACTGCTGAAGCACTCACCCCCTGCTCGAAGAGCGCCTTAATGATTGCTGGATCCATCATCTCAGCCTCGTCCATCTCCCGGACCTTGGGAGCTATTACTTCCTGCGCGAACCGCGCGACTGCCAGTGTATTACGAATCGGTCATCGCCTCCCAGTGACCCGAGGGATGGCCCGAAGACGTACCGGACTCGCGCAGCATCTGCTCCTCGTCGCTGAAGCTGTCTAACGAGGTTGGGTGGACATCTGAGCGTGCAGCGAGCGACCTCGAGAATGACCGGGCTGAGCTGTTGCGACAGATAAATCCCTCAGCCAAATTACCTCCTCGAAGTCAGGGACAAAACGGCTCTTACCTTCTCAGGGCCCTAGGCAGCGAGCTGAGGGACGCTCGCAGAGCTGGTGCGGGGAATGCTGTTCGAAGTAGGGCTTGAGACATGGTGTACGAGGAGAAGACAGGCAAGGGGGGGGCCGGTAAATAGGGCGCAGTGGCCGCCAAGGCCCTCCGTACGGGGAAATAGGGTGGGGTATGGGGTAATCACATGCGATTGGTCCGAAGAGGGCATCGGGTGGTGATGGGATCTGCACGGATCTCCATCTCGATCCGACCTCGAGCAGGTGAAAACCGTGAAGACCGGCTCTCGCTTGCCTTTGAGATCGTCGTGCCGCACATTAACTCACCCGAGTGCTGTAATAATTCGCAGGGAGATTCACAGACTTAATATAGTCTAAACATGCAGCAAACGAGACTCCGTACAACACCGATACTCGTACACAGTCAATTTTGCTTGCGGTGACTCAAAGTTAGAACTTGATGTCGGCTACGTAAGTACGACCTGCAAGCGAGCACAGCTTCCTCCTCGAACCCAAAAGCCAAACTTCACCTTGCTCATGCCCCCACTTGAGTCAACAGAACCTGGGTGTCGCATGATCATCTGAAGACAGAGGGGATCAAGGCGCACCTTACTCATATAATTCATATGTGCTACAGTGTTACTGCTGCGGTCAAGAAGCTTCAAGCCAACGGATAACACGGCGATCTTCTATTTGCTCATTGAACGAGATTCCTTGAGTGTTGTTAATCGACAAAGCGTACTTACAACAGTGCTTCAAGCCACCCGGCACACCAAGTGCCCGTGCGGCTCGAGGAGTGTGGGAGGCCGGACGTCTGCTGACATAGAGCGGATTCATACTGATGCAAAGATGCGAGGTCTGCTTCTGCATTGAATACTCAGGCTCTCGTGTCGTGGCCGGGATCGCAATGACCGTATGCCGGTGGTTCTGTCAAAGGGTGCATGTGCAAGGCTCGCAGGCAGTGTACTTATGACCGGTATGAGAACGGTACATGTGGATGCCGCGAGTTAATCTGAAGTTGAAGAGAAGAGAACGCAAAAGGCATGTGAGTAAGTACTTTTTGCGGTTGCGGAATCATACAGATGAACGTTGAACCTACGCATCACCCTGCAATCTAGCAGCCGGACGCCATCCCAAGTGTCAAATAGTCTCCGGTGGACAGGCCACAAACACGACCTCTGACGTAAAGAAGACGGTCGTATAAGGAGTGTCAAGGGACTCGAACTCACAGAGACTCCATTGGTGTGGAGAATATGGGTGCACTGAAATGTGATGGTCCGCGATACTCACGCGGGCTGACCGCTGTCATCTTGAGCAGGTTCCAGACAGCGAGACCTGCGCACGATCAGTGCTCCATGTCAAGCACTCGAAGACAGATATCAATACAACGAACGGACAAACTCGACAGCAAAATCAATACACAAAAAAGCTCAGTCTTGATCTGACTGGTCTCGAGGGCGATACCGTATCCCCCGTGCCTCCAGCTCTCCCTCGACATCTTCCGGAACGCGACCCTTGACGCGGACAGCGTACATCCCGCGGACGTACGTTTCTTGTCACCAAGCCTCCATGTCAGAAGAGAGCAGCAGTGAGATGCATGATCGGACTCACTTGTTCGCTGCCATGTCGCAACCCAGCTCCGCTCAGGGTCGATGACCGCAATCACACCGTCGAAATGTGTCGTTGTGCATGCCTGGATGCGATCCGGGTAGCCTTTCATCTGTGCACGAACGGACATATATCAGCAAGTGCACATAGACTATCTCTGTATGGCGTACGGACCTGCATGATCTCTTCACAGTTCGGGCAGCCATATTTGCGGAAGTCGCCTGGTGTCTGAATGATCGAGCAGAGGAGACATGCGCGCAGCTGTTTTGCGCGGGGCTGTGGCGGGATGGCAGCTTGTCCTTGCGACATCGTAGCAAAAGTGGTCAATGTAGCTCCTGCAAACCCAGTGCAGATAGTGGCAGACGCAGGGATGCGAGCAGAGTCGCGGTGAAGGACGAAGTTGCAAGCCCAAGCTCAAGTGGCACTGGCAGAGCGCACCATTTCCCTTTCGGGAAGGGCGGGCGTTCCCGATGGCCGAGCGCGCGGCGCCGCGAGCGCATCGTCACCTGCACCGCGACCGCGACGTTCACCATCCTCAGCTGGCCATGGCCCGAAGTGCTCTCTACTGTCTCTTGACTCTGCTCCCGGCCGCTTCGTATGCGTACTCTGGCACGGCTCCTATCGTCGCGTGGTCGTCACACAGGTAGGTCGTGGCTGAGGTGCTCAGTCGATGTCACAAACTGACTGCTTCGCCGTAGCTCGAATGCGCTGAACTCGGCATCCTCAGAAGGATATATCAACCCTGTCGCCGCACTTGAAGACATACTCTTGAATGGCGCGGCATGCCAGCATGATGCCATTATTCTGGTTGACCAGAAAGGCGTAAGTGAAGCGACGCAAGTCACAAGCACTCCTTACTGACGTGCCATCCACTCAGTTGCACGCCTCCGACCTCCGCAACCTCCCTTCCTCAAGCTCTCTCGCACAGACTCTGAACAGCGCAGTCTCTACCCTGGAGCTGCCCTACGTAGCCCGCAGCGTCTCGAACCCATTCTCGAGCCTCGCCGGGACTGTCGCTGACCGCTGCGGAGCACGCGTGGTCAGTCATGCACCCGGCCAGGCCGATACTGCTCTGAGCGGGAAGGAGAAGCACGTCGTGTGCGTGGAGATGCCGTCTCTGGACGGTTTCGAGGGTGCAGACAGGAGGAAAGCTGTGGCCGAACACGGTGCGTCGCTTCCGCTTTGCGACCGACTCGCCCACTGAGCTCCTTCCGCTACACAAGACGCTAGCCTCTCTTCCGCCCTCACAAAACTCGCAGAGACGTTCCCAAGTCACCTCGTCGTCTACGCAGGCTGGCACCCTTCTCTCCACGTCCGCCAATCCTCCCCCTTCACCTCCAATCTCACCTCCACCGCCGCCTTCGCAACGCCGTCAGGAGGTATCCTGGCCCGCTACCAGCTGCTCACGCCCGGCCTCATCCTCGCGCTTGCCGTTGGCTTCTTCCTTCTCGTGCCAATTGTGTTGATGGGAATCTCTGCCCTGGCAAGCATCCAGTCTCCCCTGCAGGGAGAGGCACCGAAAGGCTACATCGCTTCGGAGAAGAAGAGCCAGTGAGGTTAGTGTTCGTGAGAGGATGGGTATCCATTCGACTCAGTGGCCGCCTATGGCGGGTTGGTGCGCATGTAACGTACGGACGTGTGTTCAGCAATAATGACTAACTATTCCATTACCGACCGTCCGCTTGTAAAGGGTCGAAACTAGTTCTCCCGGATGCCTTCTGCTTCAGTCGCAAACGTTTGAGCGTCGGTCGCCGAGACTGGGGACTGGAGATCGTCGTCGGGAGCCCGACGGCGGCATTCCGGGCCGAGCAGCGCTCCATGTTATCCTCGTCCTCTCACCAAGCTGCACAATCCTCCGGCATTTCCGCATCCATGTCTCCCCCTGACCAGAATTGATGAGCGCATGCATATAACTGACCAGCGAGACTCGACGGTGCTCAACACCCTCGCATAGACTGTCATCCTCTTCAGAGGAAGCGCGCAACATGGCTTTGGTTCCCATTCGCCCACCGCCCACCGATGTACGTCCCGGCGTACCACAGCCGGCACCAGTGAACTGACATCCTTTCCCAGCTCGCCGAAATTGCCACAGAAGAGGCGCGGTGCACCTTCACGCGCTTCACCGCCGAGACCGCCTGGACGCTGGGCAGCATGCTCCGCACGCGCCTCCGCCAGGCCTCTCCCAGGCCCGCCGTGGTCAACATCACGCTCGCGAACAGCGACCAGCTCCTCTTCCACGCCGCGTCGGGCTCGGGGACGGCCCCAGACAACGACCAGTGGGTCGCGCGCAAGCGGCGCGCGGTCCTCCGCTGGGGGGCGAGCACCTGGGCGCTGCACAACAAGTACCGGGGCGACGAGCTCGCGTTCGCGGGGAAGTTCCAGCTGGGCCCGAGGGGCGGGGACTATGCGATTCATGGTGGCGGGTTCCCGGTGCGGGTGAAGGGCGTGGAGGGCGTCGTGGGCGTGATTGTGGTCAGCGGGCTGACGATGCAGGAGGACCATGAGGTGATTGTGGAGGTTATTGAGGAGTATCTGCAGAAGGTCGCCAGCGGGGAGATCAACGACTAAGAGTCGGTCGAGCAAGTGGTCATCAACGTTCCTTGTATTTGTATCCTCGTCGGCATGGTACTGTAATGTCACGGCAGTACACATGGAAAAGCTGGCCGCTGAAGGAAGCGTGCGTTCTTCTAAGGCCGATGTATCGGTAGAGTATTGATCAACAACGAAAGCGAGTGCACGCTACAGACACTTGCATTAGGATTGAGTGCCGAAGCGCTAATATACGAAGTCCCTCATTGCGTTGGTGCTACAAACAGATGTCCCAAGAAATGTATATGTACAAGTGTATGGAGATGAGTGAGACGCAGTGCAAATTGTAACAGGAAGAAATCTCTACATGAATTGCGAAGAGCTAGTGAACGGGTCGTACCTAACGTCGTCCCGAAAGAACCGAAAATCCGAGTCTTCATACATCCGCAGGACCTCCTGTGAGGGCCATTTTCATCGATTCCAGCGCAGCCAAATGCAGCGGCAGACCCGCCTGATCGCGAGGCTGCCACCGCGCCTGCGCCAACACAGCAAGCGCATGATAGTTATGCGTCACGTCGCGCAACATCCGCGCGTCCTCCGAGCCCCCGTTCGCGGCCCCCGGGCCGTCGTCGACAACCATGGCATCATCGTCTGCAGCACGCCGCAGTTGGCTAGTCGAAGTCCTAGAGCAGACGCTGTGCAGCTGGGTGATCTCGACGCTGCCAATGGACGTATAATCCGTGCCGGCAGGGACGTTGATCAGCATGCTCCGCGCGAGGCCCCGTACTGCAGACTGGTCGTACGCAGGCGGCCCCTCATCCTCCGTGTCTTGTATATGCGGCAAGTCGAGGGAGCCAGGGTAGATGCTGCTCATCTGGTCGAGACTCAGCGCGGGAACACAGCTCGCACACGGGGGCGGGAAGAGCGCGTAGGTTGCTGACATTGTGTCTGCGAAGACATGTCCGGAGGACCCGCGAGGAGGCGACCTAATGGAAGAGGGGTGGTGTGAAGAAGAGGGGCGCTGGCCATCGGCCGGGGCGAGGAAGGTCAAGGATCTTTGGTGCTCCACGGTGAGCAGCGTCACGCGCATGGGAGGCGCTTCGACGCCGCTCACAACAGCGCTGTCGAGGTGATGTATCCATGCTACAGATCGGACTGTAAGCCAAGCTCGTTCTCAGAAATAGCAAAAAGCGCGACGAACCATTCAATTCCATACCGCCCATCGGTCCCAGCTTGGCTACAGTGAGCCTCCACTCCACATTCGCCCGCGCAGTGCACGTCCTCGCAAAGGACCAGACCTGTTTGACGATGAATGCATCGACTGACTCGTCCGGTAGGAGCCAAGCCCCAAGTTCATGCGAGTCCCCCCGCTCATCCACGCCAGCTGCGAGCAGCCATCGCCTGCAAGGCGTGACCAGATACCCTATATGGTACAACATATGACGATTGACCAAGTCCAAGGAACCGGGGCGTGTTTCGAGAGTGAAGGTAATGGTGGCCGGATCGTGTTGCGCTAGCGCGGGTTTCCTACCAGGTAGAGCACAGGCCAGACTGAAGGCAGGTGCTTGGAAATACGCCCGCGTCGATCCCGTGTGCACGGCTAGCTGCTGAGACACAGAGCGTTCAACAGGCTGTAGCAACCTGTCATATACAGCTGCAACGAATGGCTCGAGTCCGTCGTGATTGTATCGGGGATCAGACAGAGCTCCAGCTGGGAAAGCTTCCGGAACGAAATGGTATAGAATCCTGAAGTCCGGATACGTTTTCGTGCAACGTTTGACTGCCGAGAAGAGTTGGCGTAAGAGAGGAGAGTCCAATGCAACGACCGAAGAAGGCGCGACGATGTAGAACACGTATGCTGTCGTTGTTGAGGCTGCGAGACCGGACACAAACTTGACTAGGATGTAAATCAGCACCGGCCGTGAACTATCATGGTCGATACACACCTAGCGTCTTCTTCAGCGAGTCGAACTGGACAGGGGCGAGGCCTGCTCTGCTGCACATCGGTGCCATACCTGCAATGTGTGTCCCGTAACTCTTCGCAGAGTAGGTCGCGGAAATCTTGTCCAGCCACTGGCTGGTTTCGGCTTCCTTTCTCTCGCCAGAACCCTCGAAGAATACAAAGGCCGTCACATCCTTCCTGCCTGCTCTCGGACCCAGCCCTATCTTCTCCCAGAAGCGCAAAGCGGTCGGCAAGACCTGAATCAACGAATCGGATTTCCCGATTGTTAACATCGGAGGCTCCAGAGAATGCAACGATACAGCAAAGCCTGAATCGTCCTGTACAACTGAGACAAACCAACCTCGTCAGTTTACAGCTGCATGTAACATTGAGCTTGCATACCTGGAGTGCAATACTGCTGAAGAGCCACGGGAGACTGAGCGGTCTTGATGCTCTCTAGGAGTCGGCCTACCCTTCGGACATCCGTCTGCCACACCTCGTACGAAGGTTTTAATGACATCGACGCGGCCGCCGCATTGGCGCGCCACGCTTCTGCCCAGACGTTGTTCTCGACAATCTCTTTGACGAGAATCTGTACCGCCGCCTCCAGTGACTTAGACTTCTCAGACGTCGCACCCAGTACAGCAGCGGGCGAGACAGGTGTAGGTGCCGATACAGGGCCTGGACCACCAGTCGTGCTGCTGACAGCGGATCCTGGAGGCCTCAGAGGGCCGCTCAGTGGAAGCAACCTACCATGATGAAAACGTGTCTGCAATAACGTAGGGCCAAGTGGTAGGTAAGACGGTGGGGGCGTAGACGGTCGCATTGTCGAAGCTGGATCTTCATCGTCTGCCAATACGTCCTCGTCCTCAGATTCGCTATCCGACCTCGCCTCATCATCATTGACAGGAGACGGTACGCTTCCCTCCCATTCTTCATGCTCGCGCATCCAAGCGGGCGTAGTGTTCGGCCGGTCCTGGTCGTGTCCCTTGCGCTTGAACTCGGTGAGTTTCTTTATCACGCCGATCCTAGGATCCGTGGCAGCGCTGTACTTCAACATCCAACCGCTACTCGCCGGCATGAAGTGCATGCTTTCGACACCGTCCTCGGTATCCGATGGGCTGGGCAGCGCAAATTTACCAAAGGCATACTTGCTGTCGGCAATGCGATGCCCGTGTGCAAAAGGAATCGGTTCGAAGATGCTAGGGCCGATACCTAAATATCGGCCCTTCAGCGATATGGGGCCTTCCGGGGCATCAGAGATATGAACGCGAGGTGTCGCCGGAGCGGATTGCGTCGACGCGCTTCTTGTGGGTGAAGGAGGAATCAACTCCGGAGCAGGAGAGATAATGTCGCCCGCGTTGCCGAACAGGTGGGGAGTGAGGCCCTCGGTGACGAGACCTTGGGGCCAAGGGGACCGATTGGTGAATACGGCGGAGGGCGGTCCAGGACCAGATGCGCTCATGCCATCGCCGACACGCTGGGGCGAAAACCCAAGAGGGGCAGGACCCGCTGTTGGCGTCAGGCCTTCTCCGGCTTTGATGACGTTCTCGACGCTCGCCGCTATCACAGGGGCTGTAACGCGGCTCTGGACTGAAGGCGCGTCGAAGAAACTGAAATCGTCGTCGGTGAAGACCCCCATGCCATCATCCATGTCAAAGTCGCCTACGACACCCGCCCCGGAACGCGAGTTACCAAATGCCCCCATGCCTACGGTGAAATCCATGCCAAGAGCCATGTCGACGCCCATGAAGTCATTAGACGACGGACCTGCCCAGCTGTTCATGCCATCTCCGAAACCGGCGAAGGGGTCGAACGCAGCGAGACCGTCTTGCGGCATATCTACAGAGGACTCCGGCTGAGTAGGGTGTGGGACTACGTTCTCGGGCCCCGTGTCCATTGGCACCTCAGCGGCAGACGGAACATCGCCTGTTGGCGGCGGGCTCCCTTCTTCAGCCGGAGAGAACAGTGAATCGGTGGACGACTCCTGGGAAGAAGGGAACAGAGGCTCTGCATCCTGGTCCATCGGCGATTCCTCAGCAGTGGGCACAGGGTCGATGTCTGGCACGGGCTCTACGGCCTGCTGAGTCTCAGCGGCAGGTAAAGGGCGCTGAGGGGTCACCGTTTCAGGTTGTGGAGGGCTTGAGGCAACTGGCATCCCGCTGAAGCTGCTCGTGCGAGCTCGAATGCTGGCGTTCTCCTTTTCCCGTTTCATTCTTTCGCGTTCACGCTCCCTCTCCTTGGCGACAATGTCCACGTATCCGCTGACCTCACTGACGACCGTTTGCAACGAGCGTGTGGAGGGAGTCGACAGGAGCGTCATCCCTCGAAACGCCCGCGAGGAGTCAACCGTCGCTGGCGATCTCTGCACCGCGGGCCGCCGAGAGATCGTAGCCGGCGGCAGACCCTGTTCGGGGGGTCCCTGTGCTCCTTGAGATGGAGTTACGTCCCGACTGCTGTTGCGTGTGGACAAGGTTTCTGCTTTCCGATTTGCGAACGCTGCAGGTACGGCTGGAACAGGAGGCGGAGGGGATGCTTGCAATTGATTGGGCAGCTCCGGAATGTATGGCAAGGGTGTCCGGGCGTGTAGAGAAGGGGAAGTGGGATGATACGAGAGGCAGAGTCGCACTGGCCAGATGATCGGCATGCCCTTGTCTTCGCCTTGCTTGTTCTGCACAGAGAGCCAAGCGATCATGTATGTGGGTCCCTCTTTCCCCGTCGTAGAGCCTGTGCTATCGCGAGGGACCGAGGGAGACACGTCGCCTTTCCAGTCGCCTGCACCCAGACCCATCAAGGCCTCCTGGAACTGGCCCGTAAGCGCGGACGTAGGGCCAGTATACGTGTTGAGGTAGTACGCGGGAACGCCGTAAGGGAGCAAGAGTATCGGCGCCCCGTGCGGAAGCGGTGATGTCTTGATGAGCGGGAGGTAGAACGTCGGCCTGAGTACGGGGTGTATGATCAGCTGTGCCCGAGAGGAGGAGTAGCACAGTTGGACCTCCAAGGAGCTGTAGATCAGCGGTCGCGTGGGTGTGGGATGTTCCCAGCCTACGCTCCATTCGGACGATGCTGGGGATGGACCGAGGAGGAAGCCATCTTTGTACCGTGTCGCCAGTCTGTGACTCCGACCATGCTTGGACGCCTCGGTGATGTCATCTATCAGTCTGTCGCGGACTGCGTTCAGGAAATAGTGAAATGGGAGGCGAAGCGCTTGGCGTGGTACAGGTGAGCAGGAGAGGGGCTCAGGCAGGGACGTGCAGGATTCAGGCATGCCGGACATGGTATATCTTGGGTAGAGCAAGCGGCAGAACACGGGTACACAGAGGATGGTTGAAATGCTGAGCACTCGACACCTGCGGGAGGGAATTGCGTCAGCCATTTGCATCCAGCTGCTTCGCAGGACAAGGAATGAAACCGGTCGGTAGATGTGCTCTCGTGAACTGACTGTCACTCGCGTTGCCCATCGGGAGGTATATTTTGACAACGATTATCTGGCAGCATTGTCGTGCACCGCGCGTCTATTCAATAGCAAGACTAGACCCGAGTGTATTGTCTGGCTGTCTTCGCACGCAGAGGCCTCAACAGCTAGACGATACGCAATCACAAATGCCGACGAAAAATTCGAAAGACGAAGAGAGCCTAACACTCACGAAGTAGATCATCGAGCTGCAGAGCAGCTAAGGCGCTCTGGGCCTCGGAAGTTCGGTCTACCGACCCGAAGGCGAAGACGTAGAGGGCGGACGCATCCCTCGATATGTGTACCGCAGGAAGCAATGAATGAGGATGTCGTGGCCTGTGTCCCGCGCTAGCACACGTCTGCGGGCGTGTTCGATGCTGTTGAGGTTGTCTGCCCTCGAGGGGTCTCCGGAGAACACAGCATAAGCAATCAGAGGGTATTCCGGCAGGGTGATGGCTGAGGCTAGCAGAGGCGATTCTAGAGAGATATGGGGCGGAAATTGAGCAAGGAAGGACGACCCGGTATTGTCTTGTGGGGCTAAGGATGGCTTCGGCGTCGCCATATTGATTGTCCAACGAGGGATGGTGAGGTCTGTCTCCAGAGGAAGGGCCGCTGATCCTCTTGAATGTCAGAGATGCTTCAGAAGTGGATGATAAAGCGTAATTAGGCTGTCCCACGAGCGTAGACGGCGCTGGCGGAGGTGAGGTCGCGTGTACCAAGTGACATGATTCGGTTCAGACGATGTTCCGTCTGTAAGAATTAGCTGGCAACACTCTCAGGGCGGTGTCGAGACCATCTCGGTGAGGGCATTGTCGTAGAACATCGCCTCGACTGGACGACGACTCGCGATCCAGAGCAGTCAGTGGCTAAGTGCGACCAATCGTTGTGGCCTGATATTTGTGGCTGGATAAGTGGTCGGGTGTGTGAATGTATGAGCCGAACTGGAATATAACCTACCATATTTGGACTGCTTGTTCCGCGCTTGGCCATCAGACGCGTGCCACATTTTGCTACATTTTGACGAAGAGCCCAACAACTTGAACAAGCAGCCCGCTGCCTCGTCATTCCCCCACCGTCTCCAAAATGCAGCCTACATCGCGTCCCGCGTCCACCTCTACGCGTCCCACTGCCTCGCCCAACTCAAGGCCGCAGCATCAAGTCAACACTCAGACAAAAGTCTTTGATACCTCCCATGGTCGACTCCTTTGTATTGCAGACATACGCGGTCGTCTTTCTGCCCTCAATGACCTCGCGCGAGAGGCAAATGCATCTGCTATCATTCACACTGGAGACTTTGGGTTCTTCGGTGAGTGGTCAATTCATCTAACTCCAATCTTGTTCTGAGCATTGGTACAGAGGCCTCAAGTCTGGACAGAATCAATGATAGGACCCTCCGCCACCTCACGATGTACTCGCCGCTTATACCAACCGCGCAGCGGAACCACCTCCTCTCACCAGAAAACCCTCCGTCGGTCATTCGGTCAACGGTCCAGGTGCAGCTGCTCTCCGAGTTCCCGTTGCTCCTCTCCGGTCAAATCAAACTGCAAGTCCCCGTGTACACCGTCTGGGGTGCTTGCGAGGACGTGACCGTGCTGGAGAAGTTCCGGGCTGGGCAATACGACATCGAGAACTTGCACGTCCTTGATGAGGCCACGACGCGTTGCCTCGACATCGGTGGCGTGAGGCTGCGTCTCCTCGGGCTTGGCGGGGCGCTGGTGCCACACAAGATGTTCGACAACGGAGACGGGATTGCGACGATTGCGGGTGGGCAGGGCACAATGTGGACGTCGGCGCTACAGATTGGTGAGCTTGTGGACACAGCCCAGCGGGTGTTCGACCCCACGGAGACGCGTATGCTCGTGACGCATGCGAGCCCTGGGCGGGAGGGCATCATTCACCAGCTCGGCCTCGTGCTCAAAGCGGACCTCACGATCTCTGCGGGGCTGCACTTCCGGTACGCGTCGTCATACAACGAGTTCAGCGTGCAGGGCGACTTCGAGGGTCTGCGGCACAAGCTTCTCGTCGGCAAGGAGGGCTTCGACAAAGTTTGGGAGAGCGTGAAGACGCAGGTGGACGCGGTGATTGACGAAAATCAGCGAGTGCTGCTCGACAAGGCTCTCTCAGTTGTCGAGCGGATACCCCCACCGACAAACCAGCCCGGGCCAAACGGGCAGTTCGCCCAGGAGGAGCCTGCATGGAAAAATTGCTGGAATTGGAACCTCTGTGACGCGGCATACGGCTCACTTATCCTTGACATCAAGGATGGGCGAGTGAGTGCGGAACTGAAGAGCCAAGGTGCGCAAATCGCTCAGACTTGTAAATCCACTACTAACCCGGTGTCAGGGTTCAACTACGCGTATCGCCGCACTGTAACGCCTTCAACGTCTGGACCGACCCCGGGTTCTGCTACATCCCCGTTGACAGTAACTGGCACTGGCAGCGGCGGCGCGGCCACCCCTACGGTGGCCACCAAGGGATCAGGCACACCCGTCCCCGAGAAGTCTGTACCGCCTCACATGAACGCTGCGAATAAGTCCGCAACCTCGACGCCTCCCCCGCCTAACGCGCCTAGCTCGGGCCGAGAGACGCCAAAAGACGCCAAAGCGAACGGCGGTCCGAGCCCAGCGGACAAGGCTGAGCGAGAGCGTGCAAAGAAGGAGCGGAAGAAGGAGCGGAAGCAGCAAGAGAAAGCTGAGCGAGAGGCGGCTGCCGCAGCTGGGAAGGAGAAGGAGGGCGGCAGCAAGCCCCCGACGCCGTTGCCAGAGGCAGCGAGTAGTCCGCCCCCTGCTCAGCCGAAGTCCGGCAAAGGCACGCCCGACCTCCTCGATGGCGGCCTGACCTCGCCAGCGACCGAGAGCACCGGTGCACGGACTCCGACAAGCCGGCGACCGCCACGGAACCCCTGGACGATCTTCATGCGTCTGTCCGAGCCCACAGGCGAGCAGGAAGTGCGAGAGTTTTACGGGAAGCGAAGGCAGGGGTAAGCGTCGATACGGCCGGTGTGTGTTCGTGTGCTGACAGCTGCCCTTTCAGATTATCAAAGTCACCTACCCTCAAAACTTTCCAGGACGCCAGCAGAAGATGTGCTACGTGGAATTCGGCGACGAAGCTGCGATGAAGGCTGGTCTCGAGAAGCAAGGCGAAGTGAGTTTTAGCCTCACTCCCGAGCTATTGTGTTTATTCTGACCGTATTTCTTGTTACAGAAACTGAGGGAGTTTGTCCCGGAGCTCAAACAGGCCACAGACAAGGAGTCGCGCAATGCAGAGAACGGCGGCCCGCCACGCGGAATGTTCCGTGGTGGCTTCCGCGGACGGGGCGGGTACGCTGCTCGCGGTCTGTCTGCCGCAGGACTGACGAGGGGAACCGGATTCGAAAGGAAGGGCAATGGCGACGCACCATCCGGCGCACCAAAGCCGTCAGAGGGGTCATAGGCTGATAATGATGAACGCTGTTACGTATTCGTATACCGGGCTCCTTTCCGCTACTTAGTGTCCATGGTAATTCGAGAACCCCTCTTTGACTATGCACTCATGATTCTCTTCCTATACCATGTTGCCAGCGTTTCGTCTGGCTGACATCGGTGAGTAAAGCTTTGACACAAAGTCCGATGTTCTCAATTGACGTTTGCTTCGCAGATTCGTTCTTGAAGCTTTGAAGCTTAAATGGGTTGTCACGTATGCAGAGCCGACCATTCGCGCATTTCATTCGAACTATTTTGACATCTGCGACCTTTGTGCAAAACCGTTTCACGGTTTCGTTTGTGTACTTCGATCCCGGATTATTAGCATCGGCTTTTGCAGATGGTGATTGTTCCAGGGTATTCAGTCCCGAACGGTTTCGCAGGTAGTTCAAGTACGTTATCTTGAATCCTTTCTGTAGTCGTCCTGTCATGACTGCATGGTGAGTTCTATCGACACGAGGACTATCACTGACAGGTGAAGAACAGTATATGTATTAGTCTCAATCTTGCATTGCACGGTATCGCGTCGACTGTCATTGGTTGTACGTTCCATCTATCTCGTTCAGTGTCATTTCGATGCATCATAGACCGGAGCCATGCTGATTGTTCGCGACTGACGTTATGCAGCCTAGCAGCTATTGCACCTGTTTGAGGCTGACGCAGCTTGTCAATGTAAAGTCGTCGTGCCCAAACAACGGCACAAATGGACAGACAAATCAATCCATAGGTTACAATTGACGTACGTGTAGAGTCGTGTCACTACTTACTTATCCGAATCGTGATTAGGCCATCATCAGACAAGGCAATTTCTGAACGTCAGTTTGAAAACTCGTCATCACCCCTGCTCTGCACCTCAGACCAATCGTCTTTGGCTTTAGTATGGCCATGTCTCGAGTGCATGCGTCGAAGCGGTCACAATCACGCCGTGCAGACGTCTTCATATGGTGGCCTTCGACTCCTACATCTGAAATTATGGCTTGTGCGCTTTTGCGCATATTTTGTGATGAATAGTGTTGTCATAACACTCTATATAGGTTTCAGCTCGGACATTGTTGGTTCCGTCACGGGCAGTACTCTAGTCCGCTGGATCAACATGATCTCCCGCCTTGGTGGGGTCGACGCAATGGAGGTCAAACGTGTCTCGTGGCGACGCAAACGCCCTTTTAGCTTCCGTCCCGAACCTCTCGAAACTATCCCGATCTCCGATGTTCTAGGCCCCGGGGACTATGGTTGTTACTACATGGGTAGGTATATTCATTCATGCACTTGAAAGTTCTTGGCTTACCATGGTCAGATCGGCGATCCTTCATTCCCTATCACTTCCCTTCAATGCCTCCTACTCTGTCGTGTCGCTCGAAGCAAAGAAGCAGATGTTTATCGACATGACACCAACACCCGGCAGTGCCGAGAGCTTGAATTAGTGAGGCCCTCAGAATACGAGTCATCTCGTTAGCCGCTTATTATGAGATCACCCAGTACAACATACCAGATACACTCCGCGATCAAGCTTCTGCGCGTGACGAGGGCAAGTGTATCTTTACACAATCCGAGTCGGGAAGTAGCCCTGTAGATGTGCATTGGATTTATCCCCCGGCATGGTCCGCTACGTGCGTTTTCTTATCAGACTCTGCGTGGCAATAACTACTCACGACAGCTTTAGATCACAACCCTGGGAGTAGAGAGATCAAAGCTCTTACTCAGAGCCAAAGGTTTCCAGGACGTCGACAATTTGGTGACTATGCGAAGCGATATCTACAAACTGTGGCACTCGAATGCGTTCAGCGTCGATGTAGATGTGAGTCGTTCGTTACATCTTCACTCAGAGGCTCCCACTCAACCGAGGTTTGCTAATGAGCCGCCAGGGTGAGTACCGAGTCCGAATATTTGACGCAGCGGCCATAGGCTGCGGCCTGCCTTCTCGCCTTGAGAAAATCCCGGCGGGGACCAAGTCAGGCGACTTCTTCCGTGAACACTTTCGTCACACCTTGTGTGTTCACTTCGTTGGCGGTGACATTACTGCCGACTATTCACATCGGAAAGTCCAGGAATTTCTCGAGGAGATGGGCCTTGACGAGTTTGACGGGGAAGCTACGATTGAGGATATCAATCTCGAGGACGAGAGATGGCAAACAGTGATCGGACAGGAGATCCTTGAGGACGTGATGGAGAAAAAGCTGAGCGGCCTACAGTGATCGGACATATAGGTCGTCGAAAGCAAGGGCTGAGATAGTCCTACAATGTGGGTTTGTTGCACTATCTCAAATGCACTATCTCAAAGGCACAATGTCTGATTCGCGACACGAAGGCTTCTATTCAGATGAGACTGTCAGCACTCTGATTTACATACTACTAGTCACAGAGGCTTCACGCCACGGGTGAGGAAAAGTGTGACGGTATGCTCCTGTATGGCCAGGCCAGAGACCAATTCCTGCATCTCGAAGTCCACAAGGCCAGCTGCGCTGAACATGTCCTTCATTCGACCTTCGTTGAACCCTCCCCGGTGAGCAACGTGTTTGTACTTCTCTCCCTTGACGAAGTCATTCTGGGTGCTATCCGCGAGGATGTCAATGATCAGCAGCGACCCGCCTGGCTTCACGACGGAGGCAAGAATCTTTGTGACGTCCTCTGGCGAGCCGAAGTGGTGATACGCCATCGTACACTGGAGGATGTCGCAATGAGTACATGGGGAGCTCGAGAATGACAAAGTGCTCACCAGGACTACGTCAAACTGCTGCGTGAAGCCATCCAGCTTGCCGTCGCCTCTGAGCACGACGCAGAGCGAGTTCAGCTTGTCGGACAGCCCGTGCGTCGATGCCTGTCGGTTGTATTGGTCGACTGCCTTCTGGCTGACAGTGTCGACGCCGAGGATCGACTTGACGTGCGGACTCAACTCACGGGAGAACAATCCTGCAGACACAGTCCAGTCGGTCATTAAGCCTCTAGCATGACAAGATGACCCTTACCAGCGCCGCACGCATAATCCAATACGGTCGTAGTCCTGGCATTGAAGATCTGCATACTTCTCGCGCATCCCGGCAGCGATGCGCCGGGTGGCGTCTACAATGTCCGGGCGTTCGAACACGTTGGGTTCTCGTCGAAGTACTGCTTGTTCGCTGCCGCGTAGTCATGGCCGTGGCCATGTGGGGCGTCGTGTGCGTGCGTCTGAGGGTGTTGTTCGATCATTGGTCTGTGCAAAGAGTGCACTGGTTTGTCATGCTCAGGCTCTGCAAGGCCCCTTTATACGCCCATGGGCCGTTAGTCCGACTACCGTAGCGGTCCCGAGTACAATCAGTGCGCTTGCGCAGTGCACAACACACCATTTTTGTCAGGTTCCTTGGCTGCCTGGGCGCTGCGGGTGACAGGAAGGCGATTGTATGACGGTAATTGAGCGTCAGGTATGACTCGGAGAATCTGCCAGTGAAGCACCCTGCTCACATTTATTACGCTGGGACATGACCGTTTTGTCGTGCTGCTGAGTAGGCGGTCGTGTATGATGACTCGGATATAGCAGGTATCGAAGACAAGGATAGAACTAGTTACTTGCATGTCGACGTCGATTGGAGACTCGGTCACTGGCAGACAACCTGCGAAAGGATGGCCCGAAATCCTATCACCACCCGCGCGCACTTATGTGCTAAGATGGTCTTAGTATGTGTGTGTGGCTATCCATACCTGACTACGGAACGTACATCAAGCGCAGCCATTCGGCGCATATGAGTCGTTTGCAAAGGACTTTTCCCCGCAGTCGACGTCAAAGATGGGCGTGAAAAACGTCTTCTCATATCACACACGGAGGGGGCCTCTGACATGGCAGGCCCCTACATATGCGTACTGCTTACGGATGAATCAGACGTTCAATACATGATTCAGGAATATACTATACAATTGGTGAAACAAGTGATGCGGCAGGTGTGCAGTTCGGAATACACATGATTCGATAACTGAGACCGTTAGATGGCAGTCTTTTACCAGTGGCTCACGATGGTGCGGATAGGTCGACACCGGCGAGGGACGCATTCATCAGCTCCATCCTCGCCTTCTTCAGGCTCGTCTTCCTCCCTATCAACTCTTGTCTGCGGGTAACGATATCGAGGTCTTCAACGAGGTACGTCGCGCAACGAGCCGCAGCATCAGGCTTCCCGAGTGCCAGGTCCTCGATGAGATGCGGTTGTAGAGCTTCAGCAAAAGCGAAGAGGAACGTATGGTCGATGGCAAGAGGGATGTAGTCGATGATGCGCTACGAAAGGATTCAGAGGCCGCCCATCAAGTAACGCGGTTAGCGACGGGGAACGTACCTTGTAAGAGACCTGAAAGTAGGCTCGCACTTCCGCCATGACGTTCAGTTCTTCCTCATACTCGTCGGGCGGATGGAGCTTTCCCAAATCATCCGCAGTAAGTCCAGTGTAGCCTAGCTTCGCCAATGCCGAAAGAGCCTCCGCTTCCAGTCGTACCCGCTCAGGACCGTCAGAGGAGAAAAGAGCCGATGAAATCGGCGGTCGCTGAGAGCCAGGGGCGCCAAATACCGTCCCGCTTGCACTTGATTTTGGACTGAATCCGACAAATCCTGGAGACGGACCACACACTGAAGGTTTGGATTTAGAGGTCTCGGAAGTCACTCCGAACAGGGTCGCGCCACTGCCCCCATCACCGAAGTGGAATGCAGTTCGTGCGAATTCTATTATTTGTTGTAATCGTCAATGCCTGCCAGTATATTGATCTCGTCAGCGAGACGCGCTCTGACTTACCTTGGGCAGAAGTCGCTTGCACTGGCGACTTGAAATTGGCGGCTGTTGCTGAGACTCCCTCGCAAGACTCGGATGTCCATGCGCAGACTGCCCTTCCAGGTCTACTGACCTGCCTTGAGGATGCCCTTGCCTGTTCACGGACAACAGCGAAGGAACGGAGTTACCTGCTTCGGGTCTGTTGGCAGCAGCCGCCAGATCCCCACCAAAGTTCACCCTAGCCGGGATCGGAGTACTCGGCCGCAGTGGATGGGACAGATAACTTGTAGGTTTTGGCACAAGCTGTGCGAACGGATTTCCAGCTGCATGGGCACGTAGGTTAGGAACATCAATAGCAAGAATGAGTGAGCATAGTACTCACGTATGTGGTTCCCCTCGGCATCGGATGGGTTCCCCAGAGGAGCTAAGTCGACCCCGGGCAAGCGATGCACATCATTGCGAATCTTACCCTCACGTATGTCCTTGTAACGCGCGAGCGTCTTTGCCGTCGTATCTGATAGATAATGGGTATTCTGGGTGAAGGGCGTACTCTCAAACTTGAGCAGGGTTACGATCTGCTCGAGTGTCGCAGTGCGGCGAGCACCTAGTAAATCCGTGATAGCGGCGCTATCATCGTTATGAATCAATCACTGGTAACAAACATCGAGAACAGTGGCACATACTCAACCGTGCTTTCGAGTTTCTTGAAACGTCCAAATCGCGAACGTATCAGCTGCGAAAGTATGTATCTGAAATACCTCTGAATGCGCTCGAAGCAATCTATGCTTGCTTGCTCCCATGTTGCTTGAAAGGATCTAATGAGTGCCGTCTTCGCGGGATACGGAACGTTGAATGGGAGCTCGCGCGTCGTGGATCTGAGTAACACGGAACGTTTCTCAGACTTGAATTGAATGACCACACAATCCGGCAGACGCACCTCTGGATGTGGAGGCGCATATCGCTCAAATACATGGCTTCGGTACGCGTCCCATGATCCGTGTCTGTCTTTGTTGGTTCCTCATCTTCACTGTCTACATTGACTAGTCGGCGGGGGTCGGAACTTGAATTCGCAGGTGCATCCTCGGCCGACAACAACGGTATAAATCTTGGAGCGGTCGAGTGGATGGCACGCTTGAGGTTCTCGTATTCCTGCCTATTCTTCTGTACTAGGCACTCGGTACGTGGTCCGCCATCAACGTATGAGTGAACGTCCCGATAGAACAATGTGAGAAGGCGGAGCACGTATGACGTCTGTTCGCCGGTTATCTGCTGTGGCATGCTCTTCAGTTCCGTGTAGCAGGCAGCGAGCTTATCGTCGACATCCCGTTGGAGCTTAGGTATACTGTGCGGAGTTATTTTAGCAAGCTTCACGTATATTTCAAGGAAACGACGATGCACTTACACGCTATTGATGATGTCGGTCAACATGCCGCTAAGATACCTCACTAGGTTGTTAGTCCCGAAACGTTTCTGTTCCACAGAGGTGTTCCACGGTGCCATGTCCGCGAAAAATTGCACCTCTGCTTCACGTGCCTCTGCAAATGTGATTCCAGCAGAGCGTTCTGCATCGTCGGGCTGGCGTGTACAGTAGTAGCCGTGGCGAAGACGATGCGATTGAGCTCGCCCTTCAAGGATGTCGAGCCAAAGCTGTTTTGCCTTGATAGAGCCGGCGCCGAGGGTATCAGGTTTGGTCATCACGCCTGGTAGGGAACGTACAACGTGAGGTTCCAAATTCAAGCCAGGTTTATGCACATACCTATTGTTCGCGAACCGTCCCGGTCCGCCTCACGAGCAAGTCTGAGAGCTCGTTGATTCTCGATATCATCTGAGAGGCGAGATATCATCATTGTGTCATTACTCCTGTGCGAAGTGCAGTGGGACATACCACTCATAGGCAATGCAACCACGATCAAGCATGTGCCAGATATGTATGTCCGAACCATGCGCTCAACAGAGAGAACAACATTCTGGTCAGCATTCTGTATGATTCCTAAGTTGGCTATTAGCCACTGGTTCCTAGGAAAGCCACTGACATAGCCTGCTTACCGGGGAGGTCAACAAAGGACAGATCAGTTAGGTCGGGACCCGAGATGTCGACGCAGACTACGTTTTGAGAGAACGGTACAGAATTTGAGGAACCTTGAGGTTGCACGTCGTTTAGTTTGGCTGTATCCATGACGAGAAATCGACTCGGGGGTATTTCAGCATTCAACACGGCGGCTTGAGCACGCCTGAGCATCATTTCAACTTCGGCTTTCTCTGTCAGTACGGCGCCAAAAGGAACCTCCTCGACGTTGTTCCTGCGTCTGCCATCCGAATGAACCTCCCACCGTATGGATATTTGACACGACCATGGTTTGTCCGATGATAGAAGTCGGCATTCCATCGGACAACGAGTGCATGTGCCCGCATCGCGTGGCACTTTAATCTATGCACAACGCTGTGAGCGTCGAGTATATGATGGACCAGGTAGAGAAAAGATCAAACCCCGGATATGGCTTCTATCAAGCTGGATTTGCCCGCACTTTGATTACCAATGACGACGATGCGCGGTAGATCCAAATGCGCATGTGCCCTACCAATCCAGTGTCAGACTCATCTATTGAACATCTGGTGATAGCGGAAAGCTCGGAAGTCCTCTCGGACGAAGGTATTATTCCAGTACTAGGAGACTTACCCAATAGCTCGTAGTTCCTTTGTCAGTGTGAGCAACAGCTTCCGGCGGCGCGCGTAGCCGCTCTCGGACGACAGATTGACATCGCGACCAGACATGAAGCCCAATACGGAGTCGATGCTACGAAGCTTGAAGGAAAGGGCTTTGATGCGAAGATACAAAGAAGTTAGCTTGAGCCACCGGCACTCGAGTGGCAGAACATCGACGGTCAGGTTTAGTTACAAGGGCGACAAACGCGCGGCAGGACGGATTTCCATATTGAGCAAGAGTTGACAACCACTGGCAGTGGCGGTTTGGTGGCGGTACTTACCGGCTAAACTTAAGCGCTCTTCGCCGGCGAGAATCACATGGTTGGGCGATGTGGCTGCTTGGTTGTGGCTGTCGTGTGCCAGTCGGTCGTGTTGTGCAGTTGAAGGTGACATCGACATGAGGGACCCTTGAACTGATACCACCAACTTAACGTTGAAGCGGCCCACTTCATGCCTACGCATCCTTGACAATGTCTTCAAAATGGGATAAATGGAGCCGTATGGGGCTTGACGTCGCGTCGACGACGACAATGTTGGGCTTCTCCGCCGCCAAAGCGGGTACAAAGCTCGGCGTACGTTTCTGCAGAGCTTCCATCGTATCACGCATACTAAAGAAATTGATTACAGTTCTCTATCACACGGGGCGTCGCGTCAACTGCTGTAGGCTTGACTGGGACCGTGGTCGACCGTGCTCTCTTCGGCGGCAGCATTGGGGCCGGTGAAATATTAGGCGGTGCGGTCTCTACAGCAATATCTGCAATCGAGTCGCTTGCTCTCGCACCGATCCTTTTTGGAGAATCTCTTACTTCTACCTCTCTGATCGCTGCGCATTCTACACTGTCTTCGCTCACGACTATATTCCCTGGCAGTGACGAGGCTAGTTTTTCGCTGGCTAGTTTTGTCCAGCTAGTTCGGAGGGAATGGTCTGAGCCTGCGGATAGAGATGGACTACCGGAGGAGCGATACGGAGTGGTCAAGATAGCGAAGGCTCTCATGGGCTGGGCGACATTGCAAGGCGTCACCAGCGAGTATCAGGAACGGCGATGGTTCCAGGTGTTGCGGGAGATTCCCGTTCATGACGAAGTGCAAACGCGACGGAACTCTGTAGACACTCCTGAGCGCCCCAGAGAACGCAAGATATCTGAAGTTCGCGTAATGTCCGACGTGGTCTATCCAAGTCACGGTGGCCAAATCGTGACAGCAGATATTGGGGAAGCACCCACGTCTACTCCAAGCAACTCGCCGCTCGCAGGCTCGAGGACGTATTCCGCGGACCTTTCTAATACACACCAAATGAAAGCGACCAAGCAAACTCTTCGACGTTTGTCGAAACTCGTTCTAGGCGGCTACGGTGGACCAAGCCTCCTCTTCTTCGGTGTATCCCCTTGGCCTGAGTCCGGGCTAGGATCTGGCGTCACCGAGAAGAAGCAGGAAGAGCTCAAACTCGAACATGCAGTGAACGCATCGGAGGAGGAAGTCAAGGACAGACATCACAAGGTGACCGTTGATGAAACACAGTCAGTCCCCGGCAAACCGTCATACTCGTGGTGGAGCGTCCTCCTAGGACGACATGATCATGAAATTTTCATGAATTACGCCAAATCACACCCGCATACCCCGGATGACTCTTCGGTGCGCTTGTTTACTGGCATTCTTCTAACCCGCTCCTAACCCTCTCCTGCATAGCAGGGAGCTTCGGCCAGTGGTGGGTCCGAGTCTCTGCCCTCCGTGCGACCACCGACTGCCTTTGTTGGGTCCGAGAACATGATGCCTCGCTTCTGGGTGCTGACCGACCACGTCCGCCGTGAAGTCGTGCTTGTCATCCGCGGAACGATGAGCCTGAACGAAGTCGCAGTCGATCTAACCTGCGAACCAACACCGTTCGAGCTCCACTCCTTTCCTCCCTCGCCAACGCGAGCCAAGCGCACAGGCAAAGGGCGAATGGCGGATCTGGCAGAGGAAGATGCGGACGTCTGGAGCGAGTTTGACGAGGAATTGGAGAGCATCCCTGGGTCGTTTCCGATCGACATCTCAACGCCTCCGCCAAAGACGAAACCCCGACAGGAATTTCCTAGCTCATCCTTGGGAGACGAGACGCACAAACCCCGTGAACGGAAAGACTCTGAAACCACCACTTATCTTGTGCATGGCGGCATACTCAAGATGGCGAGGGCGATGGGCGCTCCCGGGAAGCCTGTGCATGTTGCAGTTCGGGATGCGCTCAAACGGAATCGTGGCTACTGTAGGTCTTTGTCACTCAATCTTACGCATGCGTGCTGACATTGCATGTTCAAGCGCTTGTCCTATGCGGTCACAGTCTCGGGGCAGGCGTCGCAGCCCTTCTTGCACTAGTGAGTAAACAATGCCGGTCTTAGAGTTTCATCTAAGGACCAATGCGTCTAATATAGATGTGGGCAAACCCATACACCCGTCTCACACATCAATACTCCGGACTCCCCCGGCGGCGTATGGTATCGGCGTACTGCCTAGCCCCTCCTTGCTTGACTACTCCTGCTCTCGGAAAGATAGCGGCCGACTCTGGGCTGATCGTGTCTTTCGTTTACTCGACCGACATCATTTCTCGCCTTTCGCTCGGGAGTGTGCGAGACCTCACACGGTGTGCAGCCTGGCTGTGCAAAGCAGAGGATGAACATGGCGAAGGCTACTCGAAGGTCACGAAGCGCGCGCTGAGGTGGAAAGCCGGGTACGGGAAGGAGGGATACGAGGAGTGGGTGCGTATTATAGTAATTCCGTACGATATATATGTGCGCTGACCATTATGTGCATTGCAGTTCCTCGCTATGCGCAAGACGCTGGAAGCCAACATGCACATGACGCAGTTGTTCCCTCCGGGGCGCGTCCTCTGGGCGATGCGCGACGGCGACCTACATCCCGCTCACCGTCTCCGCGACGCTGAAGGGCAGCCCACGAAGGGCGGGGACAAGGTGCGGCTATTTGAGGTCCTCGACGTGCCGCGGGCCTTCGACCAGGTCGTCTTCGCGGGAGACATGCTCAGCTCGCATATGCCGCACCAATATGATCGAGCGCTGCATGAGTTGCTTTGATGACGGGTTCGTGTTCGGTGTATCGATAGACTGGCTATAGACGGATGACTCTGTAATGTTCTTCATGTTCTTGTTGCATTCTGATGTAGCCGTATGCGTATTGGGAGCGCGATTGGCGATACTTATAGTAAGGAGCTATTATTACTTACTGGCGTTCATTGTAATCCTAGTTTATATGTATAAGACTACCGGAAGGTAGTTGTCCGCATGGTTCATGGTGATGGTCACGGCGAATGGCGTTTTGCCTGCTTCAACAGGCTAAGTGGCACCAACCGATGCACCTCCATCCTCTCCGAGACGATTATGAGGTGTCAAACAGAGAATAATGGCACTTCGGTACGCCGATGCCTCTTAAGGTCCTATACTCATGCTTGGACCTATTCAGACCCGGGACTCGCTGGAGACCTGCGGCCCGCTTTGCGACTGGGTGGTGTCGATCCGTCAATGACTAGTCAAAGTGTACGATAAAGAATAACGCACATGACAACGGTGCCACTGCCTTGTTAAAAGACCACCTGGTTACGGAGTCAATATGATGAATACGTCCATTTTATGGCCACAGCGATCGTGGCCCAACTCCGATGAGTAAGTAAAGTGTATCAGAGGTCGTGGGCCACCGTCACTAAGCCACACCCAAGCCACACCCCTGTATAAGAGACATGCCCTGCTTGCTGCAGCCACTCATATCAACCACCACCTAATCGGCTTGAAGTCAGCGCTTTACGACGAAGGCCTGGATTCTACCTGCGCCGGTTCAATGCCACTGCTGGTGCGTTCATGCAGCATCCGCGTTTACGGACTGCACACGAACATCTCGAGTCGACGATGCTCAACAATACCAACCATGGGAGGCGGACCGTCGATGGCTATACAACCACGCGTGTCAATGTGAGTCGGCCCCACTCAAAGAATTTACAAACACTCACATCCTAATGCAGGATCCACTGGAGCCATACAGACCTCTGGCGAAAGTCTGTAGGACGTTCATGTACGTCAACCTCAAGTGCATCGACGAAGTTCTGGAGCACAGATGCCGACTGCCACCGCTCTTGGACTTCGTTGCATATGCTTTGTATCGCTCGCGACCGCTCGACTGTGTCGTATTCGCCACACTTATGCTCATGCACCGCATCGAGGTCAGACGTGCAGGCCATCAACCGGCGCAGTTGTTCGCACCACAGCATCTCTTCCTAGCCGTGTACGCTGTGGCATGGCAAGTCATCAACGACGAGACGTTTACCACCAAGAATGGACGGTGGTGGGCCAGGGATTCCTTTGAAGGACTTGACGAAGGCGATACGGGACGTATGCGTCGACCTGTTGGACTGGAACCTACAAGTCAATCCAGACTTATTGGCAAGGTTCGCAACTCACGTCAGGAAGGACTACATCGGAGGAGGCCCTTATCCGATATACGACTCCGGATTCGCCCTCGGATTGACTCTCCGCAAGCCGTACGATGAAGACCAAGTCGCACCGGCGTCAATGCAGTCTGCACGAGAGGGATCCACTGGCAAGGCCTACTTTGGGAATGCAATCGCCTTCCGAGGCCACGACGAGTCGATGCCGTCGGCGACACATCCTGGGCAAGCAATGTCTTTCCCTGGTGCACTCCAACAACATCAGTACTCCGTCAAATGCGGCGTAGCCATGCCGTGCGCATGGTAGGTAGTTGTACAACCGCACCGTATCGTTCCGCTCCTTTGACATCTGTGATCTGGATCACATTCCTTTCTCTTCTGCACATAACGCTCTCTACGCATTCCTTCTCTGGCTAGTGTACAACAGTACTGCTTGATGGCATAAGTTAAGTTAGATGCAAACCAATCCTTGTGTGACCAATGGCGAGTGGGGGATGTCATAGTGCTCCTTCGAAGAGCAGCTTTCTCGGCTTGCTGATAGCTGGAGCCGGCACAACAAGGGCGGGCCTGCAAACAGGTTCAAGATTGTCAGGTATGCAACCACTCGCACCCATACCTACGGCACTCACATAGAGGTACCGGTCATTGCCGCAGGGTTGCCCATGATGATGCTTTCCGAAACACCAGCAATACTATCTGTCTTCCCGTATGCAGAAGCGTCGAACAAATGATCTGTCGTCTTTTCAAACGATGCCAGCATAAGCACGCTGTCTTTCATTTTCGCCACACCGAAACGTGTGATGCCCAGCACTTCGCCCTGTCAAGGGACATTGATCAGCCCCGGTACCGAGCACAGGTAACCCACAGCCAACCTTGTAAGACATGACATCTCCCAAAAGCATGACGTGTCGGGGATCGATGCTCATACCGTGACTAGACATCGTGTACTGGATCTCATTGATGATGGTCCGTCTCGCAGCCTCAATACCCAGGACCTGAGCGATCTCGATGATATGATTGGACGTTGTATGCTCGCCAACAATGCCTTGTTAAAAATCAACTTGATGGACGGATTCCACAAACACGGTTTCAGGACTGACCTTGGGTGGTCATGACCTTCTGGAGGCCATAGCCTTCGACGAGCAGCTCTTTGTCTCCTTTCTTGCCGCGGTGGTCGTCGTCCTCTTTGATGTTGATGATGGCACGCCTGATAGTGGGTACGCCCTGAGTGGATGCGTTTGATTGCGGTTCAGCTGGACGGAATGCGGTCACACTCACCTTCACGACGACATCTGGGAGCACCCGCTTCAATTCACGTAGGCGGTAATATTTGTCTGTACCGTCTACATAAACGCGAAGGCGGTTCTTGCGCGGTATAACAGTGATCGACTGCGGCAGCAGGTCATTAGGCATACACAATGCGAGATACGTGCTGTTTCATACCTCCTGTTTAACCTTCAGCTTCCGAGTGTTGACAATAGCCCATTTGATGTCATCGAGGGTCATCTCAAGCTACAGACGGACGGTCAGTTAAGTAGTCTTGGATGGTACGTGAACCGACAAACCTGAAGGTCCTGTATGGTCTTCGTATCGACGATGATACCAATGTATGTATACTCCGGCGCCCAAGCTTCTTCAAGGACGGCAGCGATCTATGGGCAGCAGAATTGAGGCGAAGGGCGAATGCTTCTGTCTGGGAAAAGGCTTACGTCGCCGAGGTGTGTCTTCTCCAGTCGCCCTTTGACGATACGTGCAGACGCTTCGTTGTCAGCAGTCACCAGTTTACAACTGATGATAGGAGTACTGATTGCCTTCGCAGCGTTGATGATCTCCTTGATACGGGGAACACCGAGGGTAACATTCATGGAGGCGACGCCGGCGAAGTGAAATGTCTTGAGCGTCATTTGTGTTCCTGGCTCACCGATCGACTGTGCGCCCACAGCTCCGACAGTTGAGCCTGACACACATTGATACGACAACCCGACGACCTAGTGACTGGCTGTCTTACCTGGCTCAATTTTGGCTTTGACATACTTCGTCCAGCAGACTTCCAAAAAGGCTCGTAGCTGATCCTCAGTCACCTTCAACTTGTTATCGACGACGGCTTTGTCCGCCTCTGGTAAGACGGATGTAAGTTACTCTGACCCTCTGGGCCACTCTGCATAGTGAGTGAAATGGGGAACACTGGGCATACCAGATGCGCCAAGCGTGAGGTCCGTGTCTGCATCCCACTCATCGTCACGCTCCATTGCATCAAACATGCCGTGATCTTTCCGGATTTCCGCGAGCTTATGAGCAATATGTTCTGAGATGAACCCACGAATCGTCGCGATGTAAGCCGCAGTACATTCGCTTGTGAACTTCCGTTTCGACAGTTCCTTGTCGACACGCTCCATAATTTCGAACGGCAACAGCCCACGAGTGTGACGAGTACCGATGGACTGTCGGCAAGCGATTAAAATTCGTTCCGTAAGGGCCGTGGCAATGAGACTCACCGAAGCATGACTCCATGCACGCAGAACTCGACAGGCTGTGCATCACCCTCGAGGCATGCTGGGTCAAGTCCGTCATCACCGTACCTGAACTGAACCACACCGCCGACCGCATTCCGCACCGATGAATCGTAATGCGTAACAAGATCTTCCAGGGCTTTCATCAAACGCCGTTGCATGTACCCTGTCTCTGCGGTCTTGACGGCTGTATCAACTAGACCTTCACGACCGGAAATAGCGTGAAGAGGAACTCAGTTGGCGAGAGTCCTGTGTAGAAGCTGTTCCGGACGAAGCCCTTGGACGGGGGTTCCCTTGACTTCTTGGGAAAGTGAGGTAGCGAACGATCTTGGAACCCATCCGGGACACGATGACCCGCGATGATTTGCTGACCTACGCAAGCAACCATTTGGGCGACATTGATCACGGAGCCTACCATGATGTCAGGAGCTATCCATGCGTCAAGTCCATGATAACCAATACCTTTGGAACCACAGGTAGCCATGATCAACGGAGCGTTATGACGACTCAACTCCTTCAGACAAATTTCGCCGACCTTGTCTCGAACCTTGGACAAGACACCAGAGATCATGGCTTCGAGGGTCTGCTCCTGATTGCACCCGGCTTTGTTCTCGAGCAGACCCTTCTTGGCTTGCGTAATCAGGTCTTGACACTCCGCGTATGCCTTTGCCACGAGGTCTTCTTTCTCGTTAGCAAGCTTCGGTCCGGGAATGACATCGTTGATACCGAGGGAGAACCCGAAGTTCGCTGGAGAAAATGGTGAGCGTAATAACGCGGAAGAAGACCTACATACCCAACCACCGGGCGCATAGTTTGGCTAGTCTGTTCATTGCGGCAGCAGCTTCGTGTGGACCATAGTCCCTCATGATGATGCCGAAAACGGATTTCTTTTTACCACTGCCGACGGTCGCTTTGTCCATGACGCCGCACATAATCTCGCTGTTCACAATGACCAGCCAGCCGTCGTTCGGTGAAAGATCTAGAGCGGGATTTTTGATTCGAGGATAACACGATGGGTTAGGTTTGTCTTGTTTGTTGCACTTGCTCTCGACATTTACGCGGACATTCGACTGTTTGTTAGGACGCATCAGGACGTTGAAAATCTGTTTGCCCGTCCACAAGCGCACAGGCTTCCAGATGGTCGGAGGCGGAATGTCAATCTGCATATTGGCGTCCCGAAGTACGAGCAGATCTGAGTGAACTGGCGGCGGTCGAAGAAGGTGTCCTTGCGCGAGATCAGAAACGAGGCGGTGATGAAGTCCTGTATAGCGGCAATGACGGGTTCACCATTCCGAGGAGTGACCAAGTTATGTTTCACGCTCATGAGTTCAAGGGCTTCGGTACGAGCTTCTTCGGTCTGCGGCACGTCTGTTGGAGACCCTCAACAAATGTCACAGGTTTCGGTAGATAGTCCTTACGAAGGTTCATCTCGTCTCCATCGAAATCTGCGTTGTAAGGACCACAGACACATTCGTTCAACCGGAACGACCGCCATGGGCGAACCTTGACCTGTGACTCTTTCAGTATCTGCAAGCGACCAAAGGTACAACAACATACCCGATGACACATGATAGACAGCTTGTGCAGACTGGGCTGCCGATTGAACAGCACGATATCACCGTCAATGACATGTCTTTCGACAATATCGCCTATCCTCAGACCATCCGCGATGGCGGTTCTGTTGCCGAACTTCAGATACTTCTTGAAACCGTTGCTCCCAGCAGTGACATAGTTCGCCCCTGGGTGGACGTCACATCCATTCCGGACGGCCTTCTTCAGCATCTCAATGTTGTGAGCAGTGACACGCTCGGGATAGGTCAGGATCTTCGAAACACGTTCGGGCACCGCTACCTCATCGATACGCAAATTGGGATCGGGCGAGATGACAGTACGCCCTGAGAAATCCACACGCTTTCCGGACAGGTTGCCTCGGAATCGACCTTGTTTGCCCTTCAGCCGCTGACAGAAGCCACGAATGGGTTTTTGGCCCATTTGTGACGGAACGCCCGGTAGCTCGGAATTGATGTACATGGCGACAGAGAGCTGTAGGAATTCCCATTGTTCCTGTGTGGACCAATATTAGCTGTACCTGGTCAACTACGAGCGAGCTAAGCTGACCATAAACTGTGCTGTCGGAGAACCCTTGGCTAGTCCCTGCTTGATGAGCGCATTGCTGAAGACGATTTCGGTCAGCTTGACGGTGAGATCATCCTCATTCGATGCGCCATCTTGGGCGACGGAGGGCCGGATACAGACGGGCGGCACAGAGATGTACTGCCAGATGTACTCTTCCGGACGGCCGTACTGCGGGCGCAAACCAAGCAACTCGCAGTCCTCATCTAATATGCGCTTGAACAAGTTGAGCACCTTCAGCGGATTGAGGTCTTCATGCACCGCCTTATTGACGTACACCCCAAGCTCCTTCTGCGCCTCCACCGCGGACGAGAACGTCGCCTTGAACCTCTCCATCTCCTCTGCGGTCTTCTTCGCGCGAAACTTGTCGTGGATGATCTTCAGTGCTCCCGCCTTCTTGACCGTCCCGTTTGTCGCAGAACAGTACGGACAGTATACTGCCTTGCGCGCCAGCGTGTTAACGGCCTTGCAGAGTGCTTGGCGCTGGATGTTCTCGAGGTTGGGGCGGCGGAAGCGCTTCAGGTATGTACGCCTGTCCGGTTCCTCCAAGAGTACGCGCGCGCATGTCTTGCAGATGCATTGCAGTATACTGATTGTGTGCTTGAAGTAGCCGATATGGAAGACGGGTACGCAGAGCTTGATGTAGGCATAGTGTCCGACGCAGTCTACGGACGACAGCCCACAGGTCTCGCAGAATGCACTCTTTTCTGTTGTACCCTGCGAGAATTCAGCGAACGGCATGCTCAAGCGTATACTTCACGTACCAAACGACGATCGAGAACACCATTCTTCACCGGATGCCGGTCGACCGCTGTGTAAAGATCTCGGTGCGTGACCTCAAACTCTGAGATCTTGACTGTATCCTGGTTATTGAGAAGACTGAACTGGAGCTTCTTTCTGCGCGAAAGCCACTCTGCTCAGCGAGAGTATCGACTACCAAAGTAGAAGTACACTGACATAACCTTTGGCGCCTTGTGCGAGACCGGTTCCTTCATTTCCGCGACCTCTCCGACCACTGCCGCAAGAACACGTTCAGTGGTTACAGTCTGGAGCAAGCCAAAGCTGAGCCGCACCTCTTGATGGTTCGAGAGATCCCAGATATCACAGCAAGAAGAGGAGAAGAGTCAGTAAGCCTGGACACAGAGTCAAGTTTTGAGCGCTTAATCATTCGGCGCAAAGTAGGAATTCCAGAAAAGGCAAGTCATGACAATACGCGTCGCGTCTGGTCATAGACGCCCGACTTGCGCGTCGCTCACAAGGGCGCCTGCCTCAAGCCTAACTTGTCCTACATTCTCCTGCCCCCGTCATGTCCAGAACTTCTTACGACAGGTGAGCGTATGAAGGCACTCTGTAGGAACTGAACTGACCAGGGATCTACCCAGATATCTTACCGTCTTCTCCCCGGAAGGGCGGTTGTACCAAGTCGGTGAGCAGGGAGCTTGAACGGTTGCCTAGTCCTGAGCTCAGTCGCGGCTGAACACTTTTGCTTGATGCAGAATATGCCTTCAAGGCCATCTCAGGCTCTGGACACACGGCGATCGCTGTGAGGGGGAAGGACACTGCAGTCGTGATCACACAGAAGAAAGTCCCAGTATGTCGAGCTACATGACGCGTACCTGCATTTCATTCAATAACGTGTGTTGTTCAGGACAAGCTTCTCGATGCCTCTACTATCACGCATCTCTTCAGCATTACCCCAACGATCGGCTGTGTCATGACAGGGCTCATCGGTGAGGTGCTGAGCTATGATCACTGACGACACCATGCTGATGTCGATGTGCTGCAGCCGACGCACGCGCGCAAGTACAACGAGCGCGATCGGAAGCCGCTGACTTCCGCTTCAAATACGGTTACGAGATCACGCCCGACGCGCTCGCTAGGCGACTAGCAAACGTCAACCAAGTCTACACGCAGCGTGCAGCCATGCGGCCATTGGGCATCTGTGAGCATCTCCGCGTCCGCAGTTACTAATGTGCTAATGGTCGCACAGCGATGATTGTCATCGGGACCGACCCTGAGTACGGCCCACAATGTTTCAGGCTCGATCCTGCAGGCTACTTCGTCGGCTTCCACGCGACGTCAGCAGGCCAAAAGCAACAGGAAGCGATGAACCACCTCGAGAAGAAGTGGAAGAAGCTGGACAATGGACGCGGAGCAGAGGACGCGGTCGCGGCGGGCAAGACCCTTAGCAGAGCTGAGGTCATTGAGGTACGCCCTTACTTCTCACCCTTTCACCCAGTATATGCTCACATATTGTGACGTAGATCGCGATCGAAGCGCTCTCAACGGTACATGCCACGGATTACAAGTCAGGCGAGGTCGAGATCGGGATTGTGTCCGAGGGCGAAGAGGAGAACCCGAAGACGCGGGGGCAGTGGCGCGTCATGGACGAGAAAGAGATCGAGGAGCACCTGCTCGCGTACGCTGAGAAGGACTGATTGTACATATACTGGACTGCATGGTTTCATTGCTCTTGAATGTTTCTGGATGATGGCAAGCAGCCGGAAGAGAAAACGCAAAGCAGGTTGGATTAAGTTCTACGTGTATTATCCGTGTCATTGTCCTGATCAACAAGCAGTGTCAGGCGAATTGCGATGCGCCTCCGGTCTGTACACCGTATACCGTCAGTTCGGCCCATTGAAGAGAAGCAACATGTGGACGCACCGCAATGAGGTCGACCTCCCACTCCTCCAGATCATGCTTCCAATACTGCTCCGGTGCCTCCCAGAAGTTCTTGTACACATGCGCGTTCTCGCCTTTCGTCTGCGATGGCGGCGTGCTCGCACTTGAGCTTCCCCTATCGCCAACAGTGGACGACTCAGATACGGATGCCTGCGCCTTCCTGAGCGAGTCCGTGAAAGCTGACTTCAGGTCTGGCACTGCCAGCGGGTGTGGGCGCGGCGGCTGGGATTCTACACAGTGCAGGTCAGCTCTGGACCTCCCAGCGCGAAGCTGCGGCACGTACTCCATTGTCGCTTTCCCGTGAAGTGAATGAGAGGCTGGCGGGGCGCCGCTGATGCGCAGAGGCGGATAGACGGATGCATGACGGCGGTAGTAAGTTGCAGAACAGTGCGGGTTAGGTGCGAGTGGACACTAGATAAGTACTGGGTCGGCTTCAACTTCAAGCCCGAATGCGAGTTGTTCTTTGCCGTGCCCTCCCTCTACGTCCGCTGTTTCCAGGCCTAGGACAAGAAATTCGCAAGCAATGCCGACGCGGTCTGTTCAGGAGACTCTGTCAATGTATCGTCGGACCCACGTCCGACGACGCTGCATCGTGCTTGCGATGCCAGGAAAGGCAACTGCTGCAGGAAAGTGGCGGCTTACGTCATCCCAGGATCATCAGTTATAATAAGTTTATTAATTAGTATACTTACTCCTTATAACTGATAATCACTGTTGCTCAGCGCTGTTGAACTTGTTCAGACTTGTTCGCCCTCAGATTGGCCTTGTTCTCGCCGTCGTGTCGACTTTTACTTTCACATTGGAACTCTGTCAAACCCTCGATTCATCAATTTTGCAATGGCTCGCGGCGCCGCAACACCTCAGCCCGCCCCAGATTCTCCTCGCGCGTCGTCGGAATCCCCGCCTCCGGCTGGCGTTCAAGGCGACCTCGAGCTGGAGCTGCTCGGGCTCGCAAATGCCCTCTATAACCTTGGTACTACTGTGGTCAATGACCTCACCAAAGAGAAGGACAGACCTGGTGGCGGCGGCAAGCAGGTCGGGATGAGAGTGTGAGTATCCTGTTAGTGTATGAAGGTTGTAATGCGTGCACCGCAGTGCGACGTCGCTCCAAACAGAATCAGAAACCGTTCTCCATCCTTTTCGGCATGACATAGCAGTTACTGAATTCAATTCACAGCAACGAGGTGATTAACCACCTTGCGACCATCGACGACATGTCGCAGCATGTGCACACCATGATACCAATGCAAGTCCTGGCGGACATCGACAGCGCGCGAAACCCGCTGCAGCTGACGAAGGAGCGACTCGAGCGTGCGGCGACCGAGAACCAATTCATGAATGGGAAAATTCAAGCAATTGATGTGCGCAGCATCACAATTGCTCGTCGATGGTGGATGCTGACTGTTGATCTTAGTCTTACCGCACGCACTTGGACGAAGTGCTCACGCAAACGTTCCCCGAGCTCACGCAGTACCTGTCCACGTCAGGTCCGATAGAATCGCCCCACCTGAACATGAACTTTCCTCCGGTTGAAGATCCTGATCAGAAACCCTTGAACGGCATTCATAGCGGATGAATGGCGTCCAGGGTACCACAGGGTGTGTTCCATGTCCTGTTGTTATTATGATGTGCTAATCGTGTGAGCTTTTCGTAAGACAGATGTTTCAGCCAATCCCCTTAGACACACGATCTGCACAGGGCGTCCGACAGCTGGTCGGGAATACGACAACCTCAGTCATCATCTGGACACCATCGCTTAGGATGGTCGACGCCGGCTGTCAGTGGGCGTCGCACGCTGTGGACCTGTGGCCCTTAGGCCATATTGTGGAGCCGGGCAGTAGTGCGGCGATGCTTGCAACTTCCGGGGATGGCGAACATCGTAACCAGGTCGGCTTGATTGCATGATTGCTACTGTAGCTTCGGCCGTTCGTATGGCTGCACTGATGTGTTCGTGGTGTTGGAGTGCAGCACAGGTGCCTGTAGGAACCTCGGTGTGTGTATATATGTACTGTAGCTTGCTGTAGCTATAGAATGAAACAAATGGCAGCCATCGATGACGGACGTAGAGCGATTCGGAGACGATTTGCATGCCGAGTTACCGGTCGCCGGGGAGGATTACAGTGCACAAGGGACGCCATCGCTACGCTCCGGCGGTTGAGTGAACACCAATGTAATTAATGTCATGAACGATCATAGTAGAAGCTCATCATAGGTAACATTCATAGTAGTGGATTCGCCGTGTTTGAGCAAAATTCGTGCATGGTCACGGTGACGTATGCGCGAAAGGGCGGTGTACAGCTGCCCATGTGAAAACACGTGTCGCGTAAGGTCTACTCCCACTGCGTCAAGAGTTAGCCCTTGGCAGCTGTTGAAGGTCGTTGCATATGCCGGCGCAAGAGGAAACTGACGACGGAGGAGTGTATGACCCGAGGAAAGGGTGGTAGAGAATGTGATCCGAGGTATGAGGACATCTTCTTCATCGATGACACTGACACCTGCAATACCCCGTAGAATGCGGACTGTGACGAGACGGGGGCCAACCGCAATGACAACCACGCGAACGTTCTTGACCAAGCCACGGTCCAGGGAGAAATTGCGCAGCAAGCGGTAGACGGCGTTAACCTTCACGGTCAACGAGTGGGGAGGAAAACCTGCGGGATTCTGGCGGGCGACGTAGTCAAGTATGCTGTCGGGGGAGTCGATGCCGGCGTCGTCTGCCTCCTTCAGAGAGTCGGCCGCAAGGTATGTTCTGCTTGTCTCATCAATACGGTCGAGAATGATGCTGTTGTATCGGTCAATCTGCCTATTGGTGGGAGCAAGAATGGAACGTTTCAGACAGGCGATGGGATTGGTGAGTACATGTGTCGGGAAGACGAAGTCGATCAGCTGCTGGTCATCGGATACATGTTGCAGGAGGTGCAGAGAGACTTCTGGACCTTCACCGTCACCGATAGCATCGACCATGTGCGCGAGCTCAACGTCGTCGGCATTGCGGATGGGTATGAGCAGGCGATGGATGTCAAGCCGGGCGAAGATAGGCGAAAGTCGTATGGATGCGTCGACGACCTGAGCTCTACTTCCTTTGCGGACGACCGGACATGTCTGTCGAAAATCTCCCAGGAGTACGATAGGCTTTCCACCGAATGGTGAGTTGTTTGCTGTGACTTGCCGTAGAGTGTCTTCGACACACGCCAGCACTGCTTTGTTTGCCATCGGAGCCTCATCCCAGATGATTAACGACGCCTCTCGCAGAAGCTCGCCTCGTGGTTGATGATAATCGACCTGACATTCAATCAGCTCATTGTTATCGTTCACAGGTACCTTTAGTGCGTCGTCAGTTGGCACCAATATCAAAGCGAATGGTCGGTGAAAGAAAGCTAAGTACCTTGAAGCATGAATGCGTCGTTCTACCTCCAGGATAAAGCTGAGCAGCATATGCAGCTGTTGCAGTGGGTAAGACGATGCGCCCGTGCCCGCGAAGGTGATCGCAAATTGCATTGACGAGGTACGTTTTCCCTCGGCCTGCTTTACCATCAATGAAGATGGCAAGTGGAGTCGAATTCATCGCCGCTTGTACAACGTGGTGGAAGATGAGCCTCTGACCATCGTTCATGGACGCCAACGCGTGAGATGCTTGCCGACGTAGAGCTGCTTCTTGCGAACACCACCGTTCGATCTCATGTTGCAGCTCGGGCATGCGGCTCGTCGGCTCAGGTAGACCAAACTCGCTCAAAGTCTTGCCGTACTCGCTGAGGTAGTGCCCTAGGTCCTGCAGAGCGTCGTTCAATCCGAGTGCATTGGCGTTGTTATGTCGCAGTGTGAAGTCGAAGGACATGTGTTCCGCAAACATTTCCCAGAGAGCGAGAGGTGTGTCGGCGCAATCATTGACCAATAGATGCACGAATAGAATGCGCAGCTGACGAGGCGTTCGGAGGTCGTGTACGGCTTCGAGAAAACACAACTCTGCTTCCTTTTTGTCTGCGAAGAGCCCGAGAGCGATGGCTGCGTCCTGGAACGATGGCATGACAACATCATCGACGGTGCGTAGTTCATCATATGACATTGCTGATCGATGTTGAAGGAGTGCCCGGATATAGAATCTCTCGCCTTCGTTAGGTCTAGCAGAGTGGATGCGGGCAATATGTGTCTTCTGTGCGCTTCGAAGGATGACGTGCATTGGGGAGGTATGCGAGGCCGTATGGCTTTCAACGTAGTAGTTCTCGCGATGTACGTGCGTGTTGCTGTACTTCGCCAATCGGAATAAGGTGAAGTACTCGGTATACGTCAATTGTGCGAAGCTCCTGACGTTACCATTGCTGAACGTGAAGCTGCCATGCGGCCGTGCGAAATAGTGGTCAAGAAGCGACATGGTATCTGAGCCGTCGCTCGTGTGAGTCGCATAACGTCGATGTGTGGGCGAGCCAGCCAGATGAACAGGCAGTGCGGAGACAGCAGGGTCCTTCCGAGTGATGTGAAAGCCGAGGATGCGCCACGTCGCCTCACCAGCAGAAAGGTAACGCCCATTCCAATAGTCCTCGATCTCGTCGACAGGTGATTGATCATGTTCGGTCAAAACACTGTACTTTGCATGATCAGGACCTGCAACGACAACAGATGAGCACAATGGGGTCTAGGAGTGTGTTGCAGTGAGTCATACCTTTATGGATGTATTTGAAGAGATACTGAAAGATATGTGACGTGCTCGCAGCCTCGAAGTTGAGGTGACACTGGAACTTGCGGAGGAGAGGAAGGCAGTGGGGTACGACCATCCGGTCAGCATCTTTGCGTCGACGATAGTGAACGCGGCCCTGGGGATCAACCGTTGTCTGCTGTTGCACAGGTTGTGGGTAACCAAAACGGCAAAAGCGCTGACCATCTTGGGCGAGCCGCTGACAATACTTCGCGATGGGCTGTGATTCTGCGGGATGGCGGTGCTGCATGAATTTCTGGACGAGGTGGGCATCACCAGTGTCTGCCGGAATTTCTGCTGAAATGACACTGTCGATGTATTGCGGATCGGAGCAGTCAGCAGCGTACTTGATGAGGATGTGAGCATGAGGTACGCCTCGTTTCTGGAACTCGACGACACGGATTAGGTATACGACGGGGCCCGCGTTAGGGAACATATGCCGCAGTTCCTTCTCCAAGATGGCGAGCTTTCGTTTGAACACGCGGCAAACGACAACGGGGATGTCCGCAAACGTCTGACCGGGACGAAGCTGTTCCGTGATCTCGGGCCATTCAGTGTTGCATGTCATCGTCACGAAGAACGTCGGTGCACCAAAGCGAGCGGCGATGGCGAGCGAGTCCGCTACCTGCTCGGATGCCCAACGGCGCGAGCCAAGAAAGGACGCGGGAAGGTAGATGTTCTCTGTCTGCTCCACGTTGTCGGTACCCATGAGCTCCGCGTCATTCTGAAGGATGCGCCGCTGATTTTGGCGGATGTAATTCAGGCGACTCTCGAGGTTCCGACTGAACATGTCGACGACGTATTCGTTCGTCAGGCGGCCGAAGATGCGGAATCGCTCTTCGCGAAGAAGGCGAGCACGGTAGAACCAAATCTGGGTGGACACGTTATCGGCGTCAGGTGCGCTTCCGTTGTTGCTTGCTTGTATTGCACCACTGAGCTGCGTATCTTCAGGCGATCCAGTGACGCCCCAGCCTAGCGTGGCATGGGGGAAGAACAGTGGGTATGCAAGAGGTTCCCATAGTTTGCTTGTCGTGGAGATGCGTTGGTTTGCGGAGTTGTTGGCACGGGATATGATCATGGTGCGTGCACGAACATCAGATTGGATGGTGTTTTCATACGACATGATGGCTGCGATCTCGTTCGTCGTAGCTGCCTCATTGAGCACGAGATGGGCAGTGGGACAGCTCTCTCGGTCAAGTGACCCGAGTATGCGCAGCTGTTGAACCAAAGGGTTGTGGCGCAGAAGTGCGAGGCGTACGATGTCGATCCATGGCAGAGGAAGGGTGGACGCGATATCTTGGTGTGGCGAACGATCGCGCATGAAGCCATCGTACAATAGCCAGCGCACACCAGAATTGTCGTGCGTAGGACGAATGCGATGGTAGATTTTCCCCTGGATGGCCATGAAGCCTGGTGGGCCATTTGTGGAGGAAAATTGTGCAGTGGTCTCGAGGGATGCGAATGAGAAGATGAGATTCAGAGACCGTGAAGCCGCTGAGATGCCAGGATGGGTGAGGAGAGGTGTGAACTCAAGTGGCAGTGGTGGCAGTGGTGAGACGTCGCTGAAATATGTTCCTCCCGGTCCACAACAAAAACCGGCGTCTTCACCGGTAAGCAGAGCAATCTTGCACGTCGGGCAGCGATGCTCAGAGCGGCCACGACGGGCTCCCCAATGCAGGCGTGGTGACGAGATGGGACCTATAGCCCAAAGGTCTGGTGAGGCCAGTGCCGTGGACATTGGTTCCGACGGTGGGCTTTCACGAAAACATAAGTTCTGCATGCACCTTTGTCAGATTGACCGTTGAATACTTACGTAGCAAGGGAGTTGCAGGCAATGGATGACTGCATTCAATTTCGAAGGATACGCACACACGAGAGTGCAATGGAGAAGATAGATGATTAGACTGGGAATGGTTGACTGTGTCTGCGATGTACAGCTTGGCAGATGGTGTTGTATGAAGTCGGAGACAATAGAAGAGGGTTACACATAGAGGCAGTAGTATAACAGGTTAGTACGATGCACAGCATGAGCCTGAGGCGACTACCAACAGGGGCATGTTACTGTAATGGAGTCTATCATCTGGCACTGGCATGCTGAACATGCATAGTAATATGGGTAGGGCCACGATGCTGAATCTCGTGCGTGATGTAACCGCAGTGAATGACGGTTGCAAGCGGCAGTGCGTGCGCGGGCAGCTCTGTACGCAGAGTTTGCGTTGCGCGGGTACGCGGACGTGCGATGTTTAATTTGCGCAGAGCGGCGAATACTGAACAATGACATGTGGCGGGTAATGTTAGTGTACTGAAGTGCAACATTCGCCAGAGCGGGAATGGAACGTACAGCCTGCAGCAGCATTGCGAAGGATGCACATTGCAGAGTTGTTGTTGCAATGGTGCGCGGAGAGCGACTGTGAGTCGAAGATCTGTAGACATTGACGAATAATAAGATATTTTAAATGTCGGGCAGGCGTTCTGTGCGCTCCGACAAAGGAGATGAAGTACAGATGTGGACAATGCCCGAGATCAATGCCAAGATGAATATAAGAAAGCGGAAGTCTCATATGGGCATAACACCATTACGGCACGATACAAAGTACACGATCTAGATAATTGTAGATGGCACGAGGATCGACTGGTGGCACATACACACAGGGGCCACCGTGAGGACGAATAGTCAGAGTAGAATGATGAAGCGGCGGCTACCATTGAAGTAGGGCACTAATGTAAAGCCAATACGAATGAGCACGCTGGACAGCACCAATGTACGTGCAACTCACCTTGCATTATGGTAGCACATGTCGATAGTTGATGGCAGGCGCATCTCGGCATCATCTGCAGGCCATGTCGACAAAGGGCAGTCGTAGCGCTGCGAGAGGAACAGCGCAGGGCATTCACGGGCGTTAGTGGAGGCGTCGCCGTACGCAAAACGTAGCCCATGATTGTACAGTAAAGCACCATAGGAGTGGGACGGCGTCAGGGAGTATGAACAGCGCAAGAGACGTGCGAAATCACGAGGGTTGAACATGTAATCAGAAAGGATGTAGTGTTGAATGCAATGGTATGTGAACCAAAGAATAAAGTAAGAAAGCTGAATAGGGGCGTGTTGCAACGCAGGATCGGTGTGACGAATGATGAAAAAAATGCAATAACGTGCATGTAGTGGAGAACCCGTGTTGTGTTGAGGGGGAAGTTCAAGCCATAACCATAGTGCGCGCAACTTCAATGCTGCACGCGATAATCGATATGAGAAGCGGTTTGAGTTGTCCTGCATGGCCAGATGAGCTACATTTGCAGATATCGGCAGAGATGGCAACGCACCGCGAGCATATGACCAAGGGGAACGACAACATTGGAAATGCCATCTTCCCAGACAGAATTGATCAAGGAACAAATACGGCGAGAGCCATAGAGAATCTTCACATCAGCGGTGTCTACAGGGCGATCATTGTACAACAGCAAATATTAAATGAGTTAATGTACATCACGATGCAGCATAGAATGGCGTACCACGGACGATGCGTTGGACACCAGAATGATGCCACAGAAAAAGAAACAGTACAGTAGTATTGTTTGCCATGACCGAAGATAGAGACGAGACGGGTTGTCAAGAGGTGTACGGTGAGAGAAGGACACACGGCCAGCGTATAAGGAGCTGTGCATCACGATGTCTGAGAGAGATGCGATGAAAGAGATGTGGACGGAGATGAGCTCGGCGAGAGATGGCCCGGGGGCATAGTCAGGAGGGAAGAACTCGTGTGGGCAGAGACACACCGGGCAGCTAAGGTAGATAAAGTTTCATTGTGAGATAATGGTATTGTCAGGTCAGGAGTGTCGTATAGCATCGTGACCTGACCATGGGCACTCCCGGCCTGTTCGCCACCCTGTGCAGACTTGCCATGGCCGCAGAGTCGGCGGTGGCTGCGCAGGCGATCGGATGTCGTGGGCACGCTGACGCTCGCGCATGGAGTCTGGACGCAGACGGCTTGAGACGGAGGTCAGGCTGCGAGGAGCGCGGGGAGGATTTGTTGGCCTTCTGGGTTGGGAACTTCACGTCTTCCGGGGAGGTACATGTCGTGAGCGCCGCATCTGCAGTGAACGTTGGCTTGAGGCGCAAGCGCCTGCCTAGATGACGTGTATGGGTTGTGGTAGTCGACGGTGGCAGCAGCGTGTAAGTTGGCCTCTGCGAGCTGCTCGTTGTACTCGTAGACGGACACGCCACTGGGGCGATAACCTCGATAGTGGGCGGTGGGTGGCGGGTGATGACGATGGCTGGTACTGCGTCTGCGGCGTCGTCGACATGGACGAAGGTGTGAAGAGGGCGGCGCGGGAGTGGGCAGGTGCGAGATGTAAGGAGCGGCGGTGGACATAGATGGTGTCCGAACCAGTCAGGACCAACGAGCCAGCAAAGACACGGGGAGTCAGCACCTGTCTCCGGGGAGCCAAGGTGAAGCCCTAGCTCCGTGCTCGCACAGGCGGGCGTTGCTCCGTAAGTGGGAAAGGCGATCACGGCGGCACTGGGAGAGGCTGGCGCTGCGCAGGGTTGGGCGTGACGCGTGACGCGTGGTGCGCAGCGACAGCGGCTAGTTCCCATGCTAACGTTGTTGGCCTACATGCGCCCTGCGCAAGGTCCAGCAGGGAATAGCAAGGTCGAACGCGCTCATGCATGAACATAAAAATACATATCGCAATACAGTACATTCAACACGGCCACAGGTGATATAAGTACGAAGACTGATGCATACTGGCTGTACATTCTGACGTCAGGCGAATAGAACAAAGAAAAGCCAATGATCAACGTACGACATGAACGTCAGGCAGCGCGGGCGCGTTTCTTCCCCTTCCGCTGAGAAGGAGAGTCTTCTGCATCCGCTTCAGGCACATTACCATTGATTTCATCCGCAGGGGCTTCCGTGAGAGGAGACATTTCACGGAGATCGACAGGGAGAGGTAACTCAAGTGCAACTGCACTAGAGTTGTCGGCAGTAAGCGAAGAGGTCGAACGATGGTTTGCCGTGGGAGACGTCGACGATGAACTACAGCATGCAGATCAGAAAAGGATGGCAGAGGAAGTAAGAAGTGACGCACGCAGATGGTGATACATTGGCGGTCACCCGAGCAGCCTGCGGCGATGCCGAGTGAACGTTGCCGCGACGTCTGCGACTGCGCGGAGTTTGAGGAGTGTTAGCAGTCGACGATCGACTGCCTCCGGGTAGAGTGCCACCTCCGACAGCAACAGGAGAGGGGCCGACGTTGAAAGAAATGAGCTCAAGGTCGACACCCAACACGCCATCTGAACGCACGCGCGAGCATCGGCCGAGGAAAGATACGGTAGAGTTGGGGGCAGGAGCAGGAACGGTAACCCATCGGGGCGAAGCGTCGTATATGCACCTAAGTGGGAGATTTGATGAAAGTGCGAAGAGACTGTGCTGTAATTACACTTACTGAATAGTAGACGTTTTACTTTCGTCGCGCACGCGCTCATGGGCGACAACAGGGAATGACTTTGATTTGCCGTCTGCAAGGACATCAGGCGTGGACGCAACCGTTCCGATGCCGATGATGGTGGGCGGGAAGGACGGAACACTGTCATCGTATTCGTCCCCGAGAGATGGATCGCCGTAGAAAGGTGTGAGCTGGATAGCATCAAGCAAAGCCATGCCGGCAGAAGGGCAATAGGCACGCGCGATGACGTAAGCAATAGTGCTGTCAGGTAAGACAGTGTCGTTTGGAGGGCTGTACACGCGCAGCTCAGCCGGAATGTCGCTGCCATTCGAGCATTCGATCAAGGTGGCGTAGTAGTTGTGGAACGTCGAAGTACCGCGTTGGCGGTTAGCGCTTGATGAACGACGGCCGTTGGTGAGGGCTAGAAAGCCGAAGAGAAGAAGGTTGGTCATCGCGGGAGTTGCGGGACAGCACGTCAAAAACGGCGGGCAGGCAGCGGGCAGAAATACAGTCGAACGCATAACAATAAGCCGTTAGATCTGATCGACACAAAGACAACAGGCAGCCTTACCGTTTTGGGAGACAATAACGAAGACAGGGGTAGAGGCACTGAGAATGCATGACAGTGTCATGCGCACAACAGACAGGAGGTACAGACGCAGAGGGGGGAAGGAAATGCGCGTCCTGCAACACAGCATGTGGCCATGCGCTGAGCGGGCGGGGACTACGACTTGATTGGAAGCGAGTCGGAGGGCGGTAGTGTTACAAAGCAGAGCCAGTTGCTGTATTCGGAAGGCAGTCGGGATGTGTCGCGCTTCCGCAGACTTACAGTCAATTGGTAGCGATGGTAAACACAGAAAAAAGACAGAGAGTAGTGCACCTTGGTAATGGCTAATGGCGCATAACGACGCATAACGACGCATAACTGCGCATCGACCAGTGGCCACATCGAGTTTTACTCAGCCACAGACGTAGACAGAAGCGCTGGGCCAAACAGGTGCAAACGAATTCACCGGATCTGCTTTAGTATACGAGTAATATCATGAGCGCCTGCGGTTGTCTGCCGCCAGTCTCAGCTTGGTCTCAACGTTCATGCCGACCACTTCATACCCTTCCCATTTTTCTCTATTCTGACGACCTCCGTGCTCTCTTTTCGCCCTAATACGCTGCTCCCACGCGCGACGATCAAGAATACGCCCGGCTTGTGCTTTCGAAGATCTGCGGAGAAACTCACCTCGAGCTCGCCTGCTTCTTTCGAAATTAAATACTTGCGCTAGAAGTACGACGGCGCGAGCTTACGCTTTCACGCCTTCCGTTTACGCTAGCTGCTGTCAAGCTACTGCCGATGTCCAATTTCCTCGGTGCCTACTCTGCGCTCTCGTCCTCCTCGCTGCGGCCGGAGGTGGCGTCTGTTCTCCAGTCGATAACGGACGGTATGCGCGTGGCCCTGCCTCCATCCGCTAGCAGCAATTGAATTTCTTTCTCGACTAGCATACCCTTCGCAGATCGATCCCGGGACGCGCAAGACGCTTGTACAGACAATTCTAGACGATCTAACGAAGTGTGGTTCCGGAAATGGGAAGAAGAGCAGGTTGACGGCCAAAGGTGAGTGTCTAACCGAGCGATATACACGAGGAGCGGGGGCCGCATCTCTGTACGTGAGGAAAGTCTAATGTACTTCCCCAGACGCCTTCCCTGCCTTGTTAGCTGTGAAGATACTGGGCAAGGAACCCGCAGGCTCGGAAGTCATCGCTACGTCCGCCAACCTTTCGACGCTCCTTGCGCTCTCTCGCTCTTTCAAAGATGATGCAGACGCGTCGAACGAGGCACTACGGTGCATCGCGAATGCCATGTTATTGATCAGTTACGCGCGAGATACCTACATACGGAGCGATGTCGGCGGCGGGGATGCCGCAGTTGAGCTGCTTGAAGTGCGTTTGAGATGGGTTGCCAGATCGCTTTGCCAACTCATTCGTTCTCACAACAGAAAAGCACGAACGCGGAACGTATCTTCCTCGCTTCGCGAATCCTTTTTCTATCCACGGTGTCGATGGCGTCTTCCGCCAACTTCATCCGTGCGCTCGTTGAGACGAAGCCGCCCGGGCACCCGGGTAATATCATCGAAATAATTGGCGTGAAGCTGGACTGCCTGTCGAGGAGCATCCAGACTAGCACGAAGCTATCACGAGAGGCGATGACCGACTTACTCAAGTTTACGTTTAATCTGTTGTTACACTATCCCAAGGTGCGTGCTGAACACGGCGTGGAATTGGACATGAAAGTTTACCATTTGTGGGCCAGATTGCAAACGACTCCGAGGAGATAATGAACAGGTCTGAGGATGAGGCTAAGATCATGGGCGACTGTTGGAATGAACGCCTCGACGGGTACGTTTGTATGTATTTGAGGATGACACACTTTGTACTGATACATGTGCAGCATCCTTCCTCCCCTTCTCCGATCCTTTAACGCCCTCCCACCCTCCTTCCCCTCGCCGCTCGTACCCCCGATGACACACATTATCCACTCACTCATCACCATCCCCGTCACGCCCTCCCTTCATCCGAAGTGGCTCCAATCGAGTCGCAGCGGCACTCCGCGCTCTCCTAAGAGTCGCGAGTCACCCTTCGGTTCTCCTCCGCAAAGCGCGAGTGCAAGCGCGAGCGGCTCGCCGACGCTCGGGCCCTCTAAGGACGCGAAGTATAGCGCTTTCGACCGCGCGATCTCTAAGCTTAGTGCCGGCCGGCGATCGCTCTCGCTCTCTCGCTCTACCTCACCCTCTCCGTCAGCGCCTGTGGACGTACTCCTTCGCGTATATGACCTGCTCGACGTGTCGCTCTCGCACTACCTTCCGGGAAGCATTGATCCCGACGACATGAGGGTGCGCGAAAAGTGTCGGGCGGAGGGAAATGCCAACTTGGACGACGTGCTTGTGCCGCTCGTCCTGCTCGTCAACAAGCTGTGCACGGCGGACGAAGGTTCACGGGCGCGCATGCGCGAGTGGGTGTTGCCCCCTGACCTCGATCGCACGACACCGCTCGAAGGACGCCCTGACCTCTTAGGCCGCTGCTTGAGGTTACTCGCGAGTGTGCATCATACGCGCCTGAAGTCGGCTACTGGTGAGATGCTCTACTCGATCTGCGACTTCGACGGTACGTGATTTTCTTTGATTTTGTCAGTGCCTCTCAAACGATGTACGCTTTAGCGAGTCTGCTTGCGTCGTACGTCGGGTACGGTAACGTCGCAGGCTTCCTCTTCCACAAAGGCATCACCGGCCAGCCCTCACGGCCGTCCAACGCTCCTGTCCCGCAGATAACACAGACGGGCGTGCCCATCAACCCGATCACTGGTATCGCAGAGGAAGACAGGCCGGAAATCGAGATGACCGATGAAGAAAAGGAGCGCGAGGCAGAGAAGTTGTTCGTCCTATTCGACCGTCTCGAGAGGAGCGGGGCCCTTCAACCAAATCAAAATCCGATACGCAGGGCAGCTCAAGAGGGTCGCCTAGGCTGAACGATCTCTTCAGTTCATCTCTCTTTCCATCTTCCAGCTGTTCTCCAACTTCTCCGGCTCCCCGAGAACATTGGCAACACTCTCGTTATCTTGCCTATTCTTATCTTCTTATTGCGCGGCAGTGGCATCCACACATTCTCAACTGAATTGCTTGTTTTGCTTTTAATACCCCCATCAGAATGTCCATTCCCCTACCGCCTAACTTACGCTTCTGTTTATAATGCTCTGTTCTGTTGCATGTCATGTCTGTCACCGTAGCTCTCCAACAAAGTAGCAGTATTTGATCAACGAGTATCGTGATCGTAAGACAATCGTAAGAAGGAAGAATCTGCGGCATACGTAGGATAAACCAACCAGTCGAGACGAAAAGCATAAGCATACAATGGGGTCTGTCTAATAATGCATGGATCAGTCGAAGGTAACCTTGGTACCTGCAGAGTGTGCGATGGCACCGTTGCGAGAGAAGCCTCTGCCACCACCGCGTCCGCGACCCCGATCGCCACCACGCCCACGGTCGCCACCGCGCCCACGACCTCCACCACGTCCGCGACCACCACGATCACCGCCGCCGAATCCGCCACCAAAGCCCTGGATGAGCGTCAGTTATGAAAATGGGTTATTGATAGGTCGAAACTCACTCGGCCCCTTCCACGACCGCCCCTATCTCCACCGCCGAAACCCCGGCCTCCACCGCCATTGGAATCCCTCGGTTGTGAGTAGTCCAGGCGGATCGCCCGACCCGCGATCTCCGCACCCGACGCGCCCTCGAACGCCTTCGTTGCCGAGTCGACGTCGGAGAACTCGACGTAACCAAAGCCCTTCGGCTTACCGGACTCCCGGTCCGTCGGCACGCGCACACTCTTCACCTCGCCATAATCGCTGAACGTCTCCCAGAGCGCATCCTCCGTGGCGTCCCAGCTGAGGTTACCGACGAAGAGTGTCGCGGACGGCGCGCTCTGACTGTCACCGAAGACCTTGGCGCGGCTCTCGCGCCGCTCACCGGCCGGCTTCGGTTGGCTCTTGTCGATGTTGACTGGGCGCCCGTCGATCTCCTTGCCGTTCAGCTTGATCGCGGCCTCTACAGCCTCCTCCGTGGCAAACGTCACGTAGCCGAAACCGCGCGACTTGCCCGTGTTGCGGTCCATCTGCACCCGCGCTTCGACGACCTCGCCGCACTCGGCGAACTCTTGCGCGAGCCAGTCATTGTCGACGTTCCAGGAGAGCCTCCCGACGAAGATCGCCTTGGTCGGCTCGGAGTCGTCAGTGGTGGCTGCACCGCCACTGGCCACCTTGGCCTTTTTCGCAGGGGCGGAGGAATCGTCATCCGCCTTGCGCTTCCCTGAAGCTAAAGGGTGTGAGAAAGACCATGGTGGAAAACTTGCTTGTTACATACCCTTCGAGGACTTAGCCGTCTCGTCCGCCATCTCAGCATCCTCATCCTCAGAACTCTCGTCGGAGCTGTCCTCGTCGGAGTCCTGCTTCTTAGCAGGTGTAGTCTTGGCCTGTGCAGCCTTTTGTTGCCCCGTCGTCTTAGGCGCTTCCTCATCGGAACTGCTGTCGCTCTCCTCTGAGCTCGAAGAGTCAGCCTTGGCCGGTGCTTTTGCGGGTGTAGCGGTCTTTGCGGGAGTCGGTACCACCTGTTTCGACGCTTTTTTCGGTAGCTCATCCTCGGAGCTGCTCTCGCTTTCACTCGAGGACGATGCCGCCTTCTTGGGCGTCGCCTTCAGTTGTGCAACCTTAGGCTTTTCATCCTCAGATTCGCTCTCGCTCTCGCTTTCGCTGGAGGGAGGCTTCTTGACCTTCCCGTTAGCCTTTGCAGGAGTCGACTTGGCAGCAGGGGCCGACTTCGCCTAAGTAAACATCAGCTGAGAACGCGAGGCAGAGAGCTGGTATTTACCTTGACATTCACCTTCTTAGGTGTCTCGACCACAGGCGACGACTCGTCACTGGATTCAGTCGAGGATGAACCAGCCTTAACAGCCTGGTGGTATTTTGTGAGCAGTGCAATGAAGAATATCGCTAGGGGTACTGCACAACATACCTGCTTGCCGTTAGCCTTTGGTGCCGGCTTCTCGTCCTCGGAGTCGCTCTCCGACTCGTCACTGCTCTCGTCCTTCTTTGAAAGCTTTGCTTTGGACTGAAGTCCGATGTTAGTACTCGACGATAGACCATCCCGAACAACGTACGTTTGCCTTCGCCAGAATTTCCTTCGACGACATGGGCTTAGTCTTCGCAGGGGCTGTCTCCTTCGCAGGGGACTTGGCGGCGCTCTTAGCGGCCTTCTTTTCGGCCTTTTTGTCTACCTTCTTGTCTGATTTGCCCATGTCGGAGGAGGAGGTTAGGAGAAGGAGGATGGAGGGAAGGCAGACGGGATGAATGGGATAAGTCCAAGGAGGAAAACAGAAAATTTCCCAAAATGCACGGAGCTTCGGAATCACGGTACTTGCCGGGCGCCTCTTCATGATCGCCTTTGGGCGCTTCTTACACTACCTGAGAGAAGTCTGACAGACAAGGGAAGTCGACCGCAGTAAGTACTTGCTTGTGCTTGAACTGCTACCTTCACGAACTCGAGTTCTTGCCAGGCAAACTCTTCAAATTATTGTCAATCTGCTCAGAAACGTTACCTTCTGGTACTCAGAACAATGGATGTCGATGCTGTGATGCTTGGCAGCGGACTGACTGAATCAATTGCAGCTGCGTGAGCACCGTGCCTGCATGTGTCCCGAGACCGACTATCTGAAGCGGCCATCTCAGCGCACTTTCCAAGGCAGGTTACAAGGTTGCACATATTGACATCAACACGTACTACGGTGGAGACGATGCATCCTTGACCATCGACGAGCTCGTCAGCTGGGCAGACGAACGGGCAGCCGCGGGACCGTCCAGTTCCTCGTACGTCTCCGCGCAGCGCACCAAGTTCACGTCCATCTCGCGGTCGGGCTCGTCATTGCCTCAGTCTCGTCAATATTCAATATCTTTGTCACCGACAATCATTCCCTCTGTTGGTCCGCTAATTGACTTGCTCATCGCGTCTGGTGTCTCGCGGTATGGCGGATTCAAGCTGCTTGAGAAGGTCGCCATCTACACCGGACCTGGCACCGTCAAGCCTGTCCCGGGGAGCAAAGAGGATGTCTTCAAGAACAAGGAGCTCTCTCTACTGGACAAGCGGAGGTTAATGCGATACTTGATGTTTGCTGCCGGTGACTTCGAGGGCAAGAAAGAACTTGAGGGCAAAGAGGAGGCTCCTTTCACGGATTTCCTGCGCGAGGTCTTCTCTCTTGACGGGCAGACTGCAGCTGCTATCGCATACGCACTAGCCTTCTGTGTCTCCGCCGTAGGTGAGCGTCCATACCGCCTGATCCGCATGAATCAGGTCTGACATCCACCAGATTCGACTCTACCCTCATTGCAGCGCATCCGGAAGTATCTCCGTTCGACAGGCCGCTACGGACCTTCACCCTTCCTCGTTGGCCATTACGGCGGCCTCGGCGAGATCGCACAGGGTTTCTGCCGTACAGCCGCAGTCAGCGGTGCAGCATATATTTTGGGACATAACGTTTCCTCCATCGAAGCCGCCAATCCATCGCAGGAAGGCCGGAAGTACAAGATCTCTCTCGAAAATCTCGACGAATCAATCACTTGCGACCTCCTCATCGCGTCGCCGGGATACCCCTCGCCCCAGCCGCCCAGCACTGACCAGATAGCATCTAATAGCCATCCCATCGCACGAGCCATAATTGTCATTGACCGACCTCTGTCGTTCTCGTCTCCTGAAGCGCCGTCCGAGAGCACCGTCGATCCGTCCACAGCTGAAGAAGCAGACCTCGAAGAGGCAGAACAAATCCCCCCGAAGCAGGAGCTAGACACTGCTCTGCTGGTCTTCCCGCCGTCGAGCCTCAAAGACGGCTCGTCCAAGGCTGCGGCAAACGTGCTGGTCACAGGCGAAGGTAGCATGTCCACACCGAAAGGGAGATGTAAGTCACGAACCGCGAGCATGCATATTCCTAACGCTGACATGTGCCCTCCGCACAGGGATCCTCTACCTGTCGTTACCGCTCCTCGACCAAACTGCCTCGTCCGCAGAAGCGCTCCTGCGCCCCTACCTCGACGCCACCCTCGGCCTAGCCGTCCCCGCTCCGACTCCCACATCCACGCCTACGCCCGCCGAACCCCTCTTCACGCTCTTCTACATCGAGCACCCGGACCCTAGCACGTCCGACGCGGATTCGCATTCGTCATCCGTGCTGAGGCCCGCGTCTACTTCGCCGCTCCTCCCGGAGCAAGCCGACTCAGCCACAACGGGTGCGGAGGCGCTGTTCTGGAGAGCGGTGGAGGGCTTGAAGGCTGCTGGGAGACGGCCGAGGCGGAGAGTGGGCGAAGGGGAGGATGCGAGTGAGGAAGAGGTGGAAGTTGAGGGATTCTGGCCGCCGTTGGACGTGGTGGATGATCCTTCGGAGGATTGGTGATCCTACAGCTACGCGGATGTGTCGATGCCGCTTGTCGATGACTCTGGTGTGCTCTAACCTGACTGAAACGTCGTGCATTTGAATAGTATAAGAGAAACCGAGTCACAGAGAGGAACACAGGACAAATCGATTGGTATTACTACTGTACTATCCGCGGGTCTACGGGCGCCTGATGCTTCACATATCCTCGGGAGCATCCCAGCTCTTGGTCGCCTCATCTACAAGGTCCAGGAGCTCGCGCATCATCGGGAGGTGTTCGAAGACGTCTGGTTTGCTAGGGCCACCTTTGGTCTTGGGATTCATCGCCGAACGCGCTGCTTGGGTGGGTGCCTGCTCCACGATCTTCCGCTTGTCACCAGTCCGAAGCTTCAGGGGCGATACAGACGAGAGTCTCTTCACAGGGCTAAGCAGGTCCAGTTCGTCGTAAGAGACCGCAGTGATCGACATCTCGTAACCAGGTGTGTCCGAATCGTCTTCGGAGCTGTCGTGGAAATGGTGGGTGCGGAGGGGCGTCGTCAACAGCGACTTCGTCGGCGACTCAGAGGCGAGCTTTGCAGTGAGGTAGTCCACCATCTTCCTCGGGCTAGGGCTCTCCGACTCGGAGAACGAATTCTCACTAATCGCGCAGACCGCCTTCGTTGAGTCGAACGACGCGAACGTCGCGCGTGCGGGGTTGACCTTCGTCTCCTCGGGGTCGTCGTACGGCACGGGTATTCCAGGCAGGCCGGTGCCCCCGTAGATAGCGTGGCGCCGAGTGGTCTGGCGCCGTCGGAGAGCACTGCTGGACGGAGGCGAGGCAAGAGAGTGCGACCGGCTGTGGGTGCCTCCTGGACCTTGACGCCGCTCGAGCTTGTTCCAGACGGGCGCGGACTTCAGGGGCGTCGAGGTAGAGAGCTCAGTGTGAAGACGGAGATCTGGGTCAGATGTTGCACTCGGGACGCCACTGGTGCGCGAGAGAGCATCGGAGTCCCCAGAGAGCGGTGGAGGGTCTTCGCGCGTCACTTTGGAGGACTTCACGGCGCATATAGTCGGCTTCCGAGCTGAGGTTGCAGCCTTTACAGGCGTAAGACGTTCGGGAGGACCAAGTTTCGCGCAGTAGTAGGATGCTAGAGAGTCCAGAGAAGACGACTGAGAGGGCGAGTCTTTCGAGAACCATTGTCCGAGATTACTATCTACGTAGAGCGAGTGCGTCGACTTCGGTCAGTCAGACAAGACGCGTCGCCGTAACCATGCCGATTGAGCACGATGCACTCACCGAGGACGGGGATGCGAAAGCCTTGAACGGCACAGACCCGAGAGACGTGTTCCTCCTGCTCCGCGGCCCGGGCACAGCAGACGACCATTCCTTCCCGTATCTCCTCTTCTCCTTCGCACAAGGCGAGGTCTTATTGTCGTTGCCATTTATTGTTTCTGTGGAACCGGGATCACCGAGTGCACGAGCTTGCTTTGGTGTGGACGTGACAAACGTAGGGCTCCCGCCTGGTATTGTTTCGAAGATTGCTGATAGAAGCGGACCATATCTGCCGCCGCTTCCTTTTTCTTCCGGAATAGCTGATTCGTTTCCAGTGGTATCTGTGTCGGGCTTCGTGTCCCTGGCCATGACGATCGCTGCCGAGCAGTACTTTTGCATCAGCAGATCTCTGAGTGAATAAAGGGCTGCTCGACCGCCACGGCGGTAAGCCACCTAGACAACGTTTCGAACTTCGTACCCCGGCGTTGATGTTGAGAGCAAAAGGTGAGAGCTCGAGAATTGACAGTCTTATGATAGTTGTCCCACTGGTTCGTGTTCGACTACTAGACCTGCCAGAACTGGACACGAGTAGACGCCCGGATATTAAGCGTCAAACAGAACTGAACGCCTTCCCGGATCCCACTCGCGATCAGTACCAGGACTCAGCAGTACTCAGTGGCGCATCGATTGCGTACGCTTCCCAACGTCTCTTTTGTTAACGACTAGCATGCCTTAGCGCGGGGAGATAGATAAAAGGCATCCCAGGACCGATGAACATGATAACTTGAACTGTACTGCCAAGATGGCCTGCATTCCGCCTGTTTCAGGCATCTCATCGCAGAAAGCGCAGCGGCAGCGGCGATTGCCCGCAAACCCACATAGCTGCAAGAACACATGCAAACTGGTAAGAGTGTTTGTTATGCTTGGGGTACAGCGGCCGAAAGCTGAACTCCTTCTCATGAAGTGTGCTACCAAGTTCGGTACGGTTGCGGGAAGAGACTGGTTCGGTGCCGCTGCAACGCTATGCGCCGATCTCATCACGGAATTACGACCCGATCTTCTGTGGGACAACGAGGGAGCAGAGATGGTTCAGCAGTTCATCGCGGACATGCTGAAGTTGGCTCAGCCTCAGGTGTCAACTGTGTTGTTGACAATGTGGATCATATCTTCATGGACTCGAGTCGCTGAGTGTGAGTTGAAGAAGGCTGACCGACGGCCGTACTACAAGATGGTCTTCACAACATCATTCCATGCTGCAAACAGCTGGCGCGTTTTCCAAAGTGACCCGGGCTTCGCGTACGACTGGGTAGAGCCCATGGAGTGGTTTTCCGCTTCTACCTGGTTCGCAGACTTTCAAGTTAGTGCAGAACACACTAATCGGTACACGTCGCTGTTCAAGGGGTACATGGAGCTCATCTACAATGAAGTCTTCCCAGATTCAAAGGCAGATTTCCTGGACCTGATATCTACACCTGTGGACAAGCTAAATGATAACTTGGAATGCCGTCTGCGAGAGAACATACGTCAAGCTTACTCGAGCCGTGGCATAGACCCAGACAAAAGACTTAACGATCTTCAGGCTCTGATACACAAAGCTCCGTCCGATTCATCGCTACCTACATGGAAGGTCAGCATCGCCGTCTCCGGCTCGTGTCAGACTTTTGCTGTGTACAGTACAAAACTGATGTACGCGTGTGTTTGCAGGATTCGGTCATACAGCTGAGCATAGTCGTGGACAAATATCACAATGCAGACTCGGAGGCGCAAACCTTCAATGACAAGTCTCAACGTCAGCGCCGAATAATCATTGGTTTTTCGACCACAGGGATTCCACCCGTAATGAATCTGTTGAACAAGTATGCACCACGTGGATTAGTGACGCCAATCCAGTCGCATGAAAACAATCCCATCGAGTACTATGCCTTTCCGCCCAAGTTGGCACTTCAAATATTAATGGAATGGTCTGACATGTGTGGAGACATAATAAATGACAGCGTCCCGAAGGAAGCCGCCCATACCGTGACGAATGCGAATGCCACAACACCCCACGGGCCCTCTCCGAATGGACGTCGCCCATCATCATGGCTTGAGCTAGAGCAGGAGCGTCGTCTGCCACCACGCAGGCGGAGCCCATTTCCTGGACAACCAATCCCACCTCCATGTTCTCCTAGCATTGGTGATCCATCGTCGTGAAAAACTTTAGAGCCTTAAGGGGGCTGGCATCGCTGAAGGTCGCTTCGCGCTGTCTACATACTAGTAGCACGCGCACTGGTGCTTGCCCATATAATCCCGTTACACAATATACGAATATATATATCAGGTGTCGCCTTCTATGCATCCTCCTCAGACAACTATATATGTGATCATGAAGTTCACATGATTGGTCACTAAAGGTATTCATCCGAGTCATCTAGTAGCTCGCCTCGCAGCAGGCCGCCGCGTGCACTGCCTAGAAGTGAACTACATGAATAGAATGCCTTGTAAACTGATATCTTCGTGCATGGGTCTCCATGTAACTGAACAAAAGCCTAAGGTAAACAAACTTTCAGGAAGTGCTGCGCCGAGAGTCGCGGTGGCGCGACCACATACGCACATCCGCGGGGGAAAATTCACTGGCTGCATGCCATGTTACTTCGCCTGTACTGTACCTTCGGCACCCGATCTCAACGACGTCAATAAGTCTTGCAGACTCTGTCGCAGCTTCTTCACCCAATCGTCCTCATCAGACGACGGAGCGGGCTACATGCGCCTCCTTGAGTGTTTCGATTTTCAGCGAGTAATCGTAACATGTTCACCATTTGGTCGAGGAGGAACTGGAACAAGAATGAGTAACGACAACAGGACAAAAGCAAGCACAGGATCCACACTCACTTCCGCCTCATCTATCGTCTGAAGCAATAATACAAGGGCCGAGGTGGCTCAGGTCAGTCAGGCTACCTGGGTGCATCAGTTTGAACATGTTGCTCGACACACTGACCAAGATAATGGGACCCCTGTGCGCCGTCACTCATTTTGAATTCCTACACATTGATAAAGTCCTCACCTGTTCATACTATTCAAGACTATGATCAGCCTCAGTCAAGGTTCTGCGCGCAACCCTAGGTAAGTACGCGTATACGTGGAGGCGCGCGATAGTATGTACTTGGTACTACTTGGTACGTGAGTACAGTCACTCAGAGAGCCAGAGCGCGACGTCATGTCGAGTGCGATACGGATCGGTTCAACTCTGGTCCGTTTCGAAACTGAATCAGAATCTTCCCCCGGGCCGATGACGGTGGAAGGCCGAGTAGTCAACACAACCGCTGCGTCATGGTCAGACGTGACTGACTATTAAATCGGACGTCCGAGTTGTCTGGATTCTGGAATGTTGTGTACTGCAGTGAAGCTTGAGTACTTGAGTACTGAGTACTGAGTACTTGGGTATTGATATTGAGTACTCGTTCTTCACTGAACTTGGAGGTAATCCTATAATGCGACCATCGACTCGGAGTATCTGTGGATCCGGATTCTATTATCATCCTCGACAACTTGCATCGCCTTCAATCGAGCAGCGGGCTAACAGGGAGCAAGTTGAAGCACCTTTGTTGTCAGTATTCTAGGGAGGGGGTTCACTGTCATAATCTTCAATTCGTCAATCAGGGTGAGTGCCTTCCTGACCAGCTCCTGGCGACCGTCTGATTGCTGAATGTTCAGCAGCAGCCTGAGAAATTGAGAACCAGGACTTCCAATTTCGTGGCAAGCAGATATAATCTCTGTAATATGCGGTCAAGGGATGCGAAATACTACTGGCATTGGGGTCGTCGAGTTCACTCAAACTCAAGTTAATAGGTGCCCGGTATGTATTTCACGCGAGTGCAACGACCATCCTCAGACTTTGTTGCAATCGTTATCCATGCTGTATAGAATTGGAAATGTGCCATGCACATGGTCGAATGGATAGCTTTGCGTCACCGGTGAGACGACCCCCAAACGTTTACTCATTCCGGTGCGTTGAGGCCCCGTTCTATAGATAAGAATTGTGCCGTGGCCACGCTTTGGCCACGCATAATCAAGTCGGGCCTGCCCGTTTTGGTTCACATCAAAGCGAGGTGGCCACTCCAGGATCCTATAAATCCGGTTCATTGCACGCTCAAATTAATCGTCTCTTGCACCCGTACTCGCAATTCCCCCAACGCTCGACGCCACTCAGGCTAGTCCGATGTCGATGCAAGAGGAACGCTCCAGCCGCGCAATGCGTCGTACAAGAGACGAACGCCGAAAGAGGCCAAACCGACGATCAAAGGAGCGGGTACCGCGGCATGGCCAGCGACCCTCACGCACCATCCAGTGTGAGGAGTTGGAGGTCAGTATGTCCGCTGCGTTGGCACAGGGATAGACTGATGACTTCTCCTATGCGTAGGAATTCCCATTTGACTACACAGCTACAGCGCAGGTCTGCAAGAATTTTCTTCGCCACATCTTGCAACCTGTGCGGTATGACGAGTCACAGCCCCCAACATACTCCGGTTCGCTCTTCGGCGTGGTCACCGTCCACGAGTTCATCCGCACTACGCTGCGTAACACTCACTTCCCCGAGTGTGTACCTTTTGCCGCGCTATTCCTCTTGCATCGTCTCAGACATTCTGGGGCCGCGCTCGACGTGAACGAGGTGCACCGCCTCTTCTTGTGCGCGTACATGATCGCCGCCAAGGTGCACGTGGACGAGACCTTCTGTAATGCGTACTGGGTCATCCTAGGGGACCGCCACTTCAAGACGGAAGAGCTGAACCAGTGCGAGCGGGAACTATGCGGGCTGCTCCACTGGAATTTGCTCGTGGACCCGCTAGTGCTGGAGAAGTTCACTGAGGCTGCGAAGAGGGACTTCCGCGGGGATGGCCCGTACCCGCAATATTTGCTGGATGAAGACTTGTCAGCCCCGGCGAAACGCTTCCCACAACTGCCAGGCAACCCCGTTGTTGAGGATGAAGAGATACCTCTGGGGATCAAGCCTCCGGCTGTCCCTCCTCCGGCAGTTGTCGCTGCGCTCGCGAGACACAAGAAGCCTGTCCAGAAGGTCCAGTCATTGCTCGTTGAACCTCGAGCACTGGCATGTGAGGCGTCGGTCATTGCCTGCACGAACGATAATGTTGCACGTTCTGCACAAGACCGGCTTTTCGGCCTGCCAACATGCAAAGACGCATCGGCAACGTGGCGCCCGCTTGCTGTCCTCAGGGAATCGGGGTATGCTCTTAATAGCTGCAACCCGGTTTGACGGTCAGCGGAAGTCGCCTCGGCGTGACGGTGTCATGTTGATTTAGCGCGCTCCCATGAAGCCCTTCACGCGCACGCACGGCTCGCGAGTTACGGTTTATCAAATTTTTATCTACGTATGTATGTAAATGTATGTAAGGCGGATTGACTCTACTGTCGTGCCGATTTTCACGTTCCCCATGTACCATCCTGTTATATATCCTCGTCACTCATTCACCATGTCGCAATACATATGTATCGCACGCATATCTCCAGTCTCACTCTTCACTCCGTACCGCAGACACATAGCTATAGCACCACATTGCACCAGCCCTTCCATAGATTGACGTTTAGTACGGTCATGAAGGCTCGTACGTTACGCATGTATGATCCGCCAATCACCTTGGAACGCATCCACCCAATCGTACTCCAACTCCACGTTCTGCTCGTCCTCCGTGGTGATCAGACCACCGAAAGAGACCTCGGTGGCAGCGTGCTCGGCGTGCTGCTCCACAACAAGCTGGTGTTCACAGCTCACCACTCGGCCAACATTGAGGAGCATTTCGGGAGTAAACGTATGGGGATTGATACCCAGTTCCTGAGCGGAGCGTACATTAATGGGCAAGAGGGGCCGAGCGGGCGCTGCGCACCTTCCATGCGACAAACATGCCCGCCGTTACTTGTGATGCTTCGCTGATCTTTGACATCGAAGACCAATTCGACTCGACTTCTTCTCGATTGATCGTGGTAGACGAGCCAGCTGAGCCAGTCTCGCCGTTCGAAGGAATGACAGCGGCCTCAGCTTCCACTGGGTCGTCATACGGCAGCTCGATATCTTCCGCCATATCCTCTTCGTAGTCAACAGCTGGCTCCTGCCTCTTTTTCTTCGTCTTCTTCCTCCGAGGCAAATCAGCCTCGACGTCCACACTTGTCACAAACATGTTCGCCGGAAGCAAGCCTTTCTCTTGCTTTTCTGATGGTGGCACCAGCCGCGAGAACGTCGCAAGGACCTCCCGATCCTCGGTATTCGTGAAGGGTATCGCCTCCTGCAGTGTTCGCTCCACAGCTGCTTCCTCTGCTGCTGATGAGAATACGATCTTCGCCGCGATATTCGATTTCATCATTTTTTGAAGCCCTTCTTTTTGTTCTTGTTCTGAAGCGTCGACATCATGAAGACAGGCGGTTTTCCGTCCTGAGCGGCGGGCCCTTGTCCGTTCTGTGCAACTGGTGCTTGGACGGGAGCAGGTGGCGGAACTGTCGGGACAGTCTGTGCTCGTGCGCCCAAGGGTATCTCGTTCACGCTCGCTGGTTCAGCGGTGGTTGCCAAGCGCTCGAACATTTGCTTGCGTCGACGACGGACATTGCGGCTATGAGTTGCGGGTTTGCCAAGGCCAGGCGGCACAAAGATTTCTGTCGTACTAGCGCATATAGTTCGGATGAATCCGCGTAACTACAGCACGACCACTCACGTGGGTGTCTTAACAGGAGTGGGTTTGGCCACTATGGCAATCTGAGCATGTTTGGAAGCGACTTTGCCGTTTGGTCGGGTGGGGCCGAGGAGGGCGCAGACGATGAAGAATCAGAGCCATCAGAGTCAGACGACGAGCTCTCGCTCTCGGATGAAGATGCAGAGCTGCTGGAGTCTGAGCCTGATGATTCTGAGCTCGAGCTGCTGATAGACTCGGAGCTCGAGGAGCTCGAGCGCATCGTATGAAGGGCAGTCGTATTGTGAGGGTATCTGGGCTGCTGACTCTTCTGAGACGGAGTCTTCTTGGTTTGTGCTGGCTGATTCGCGTCCTCTGACCGCTTCACGCGCTTTCGGGTAGCGCTTCCATCATCCAAAGCTTTGCGCTTGCCAGCAACAGAGCTCCTTTGCTTTATGCTGTTAAGAGAAGCTACCATGAGAGATTCCATAAGACAGCCGGACAACGTTGGGGAATAGGCTTACAGAATGAGGTCGCCATCCCTGATTACGTCGATCGGACTGAAGTCAAGAAGCTCGAAGTCATCCAGCACAAGATCTATCTCTCGCGACTCCAGGTCACTATCGAGTAACGCCGGTAGTTCTTTGCATAGCACGGACTTGAGTTCCTCTACCGTGGTCGCCGAATGAACGCTGAACCACGCTCTACAGATAGGGAGGGGGGGAAAGCTCTGCAACTTGATGCGCATCTTGTGAAGACTAGAAATTGTATGTGCAAACTAGGAATGTGCCTCTGCCAAGCGTTGACTAGTGAAGCAACATTGGCAGGGTTACTTCGCTGAGCGAGTAGATGCCGAAGCGAGACTGGACATACCCAGTAGTTCAGGATTGTCCTAGGTACGTCGTTTGGCTAGTTTTTGAAGTGACGAAAGCTACGCAAGACGGCGAACGAGGGAGGGGATTGCTTGAGACAGTAATAATAATTCGTCGGTCTTCGTCGGTACTCAGAGTCAGGCTCAGATCGTTGCCACAGAGTCTTATGTAAGTTGACGCCACAGACGCGAAACTCGTGGTTCGGTCACATAATAGGCAGGTGGTTCCCACAGTACTCTAATGGACCGCCGCTGCCAGCGCGTCGATCCTCGCTACGTGTCCCGCATCCTGTCTTTCTCCTCCTCCTTGGTCCGCCGCCGCTCGTTTCGCAGTCTCTGGGGTATCTGGGCTTCTCTTTACTCTACTGTGCAAGTTATACTGTCATCATAGGCCAGGATGGCCAACTACAGCTATGACGAGGCCGGTAACATGGCCGCCTACTTCCTCCTCACGTTCCTGTCAATTATCTTGATTCCACTCACACTTTCGTCCTTCTCGCCATCACGAAGTGCGTCTCTCCATATTAAGCTATGCGCTGCGCTGATGAGGACCGTTTAGAACCGCGAGTACTGTCGGGATGTCAATGCGGGGCTTGCTTAGAACAGGCGGAGAGCATTCGGAGACGTGAACGAGGATCCGTACTGTCTCCAAAATTCAGACGGAGGTACGCGCAATCCCATGCATTCGTTGTGCACATAGCTGTCATCTTCGCGCTTTTGCATTTAACTCATGACGTGTTAGGACGTTCTGCCTCGCGGCAGGTTGGGCTCTTGTCGCGTACCTCGTATACAAGGTTACGACGACACAAGTGGAAAACAAGGTGTACGACCCTTTCGAGGTTTTGGGCCTTGGGACAGTGAGTCAAGTGGAGTTCGTTGTTGCGGGTCCATAGCTCTGACATGGTTGGTGTCTAGGGCGTGGATGTCAAAACGATCAAGTCACATTACAAGAAGTTGTCTCGGAAATTGTGAGTACGTCTACTAGGCTTCAAGTGGTGTTGTCTCATTGTGCTGTGCAGCCACCCTGATAAGGTGAAACTGAGCGTCAACGAAACCATCGAGATGGTCGAGGCAAAATTCGTGGAGATCACCAAAGCTTACAAATCGTGAGACCTTTGTCATTACTTCTCAGACGTAGACTGATTGTCACATGTAGCTTGACGGATGAGACCATCCGGAAGAACTGGCAAATGTACGGTCATCCCGATGGTCGGCAGGAGGTGTCGATGGGCATTGCGCTGCCGAAGTGGATCGTCGAGAGCGGCAACAACATCTGGGTGCTCGGCGCATACGGCCTGTTGTTCGGCGGTGCACTGCCTGCTCTCGTTGGCCGCTGGTGGTTTGGCAACAGGGACAAGACCAAGGATGGTGTCAAGGCTCGCAGCGCGGCGGCGTTCTTCAAGAGTCTCAACGAAGACTCCAGCATCGATGAAGTTGTGGCCGGATTTGTGAAAGCGTTTGAATGGGAGCGCCCCAAGGCCACCGTGTCCAAGCGCGAGAGCGAGCTTGACGATCTGGAGGAGCAGATCAAGGAGCGTCTGAAAGGCAAATGGAACGAACTAAACAAACTGGCCGAGGCGACGCCAGGCGAGCACGAGACGCGTCGCCGCGCATTCATACTCCTTTACGCACATCTTCTCCGCATTCCGGTCAAAAGCCCGTCGTTGCGTCAAGGTAAGTGGCTGTCCAGGCGGAGGGACTCGTAGCTGATCGAATGCGCAGAACAAACCGATGTGCTACTGCAGACGCCGACTCTGCTCAACTCAATGCTCAACATCAGCATTTCCCGAAATTGGCTTCAGCCGACTCTTGCCGTCATGCGGCTACACGCCTACCTCGCACAGGCAATCTCGCCCGGCCAGGATAACCTCAGGCTTGCCCAGTTTCCTGGTGTCAGCCCAGACGAAGCTGCGACGCTCGTTCCACCCGAAGGGAAAGACGCTGTTTCTGGTCTCGTCGACGCCCTTGAAGGCAAGTCAGACGGCCGCGTCTCTGATGTCAAGAAGGCCGTACAACGTTGGGGCAGGGCCGAGTTGGTCGGCGCCACACTCCGTGTGTTCGGCGAGCGGTACATCACCCCTCAGTCGTACATCAACATCGTGCTCAAGCTCCGGTTGTCCCCGCCTGGTGCCCCGCACACGAATGGGGACGCGCAAGCTGATGCCAAGAGCGAGGAGCAGAGGGTGCAGGAGTTCCTTGCGGGCAAGAAGGATATGGAGGATCTTCCGGGCGGTGATGGTGTGAGCTACGCGCATGCTCCGTACTGGCCCGCAGTAAGCTTGACCTTCGTTGGGAAGCACCTCGATGCTGACGATGGCTCCAGCGTCGCAAACCGAGCTGGTGGGCAGTGATGTCGGACACACGAAGCAATAGGATTATGATTGCGCCCATGAAGATCTCCGACATCCCGATGGGTCCACGGTACCGCATGTACAGACAGCAGTTCCAGGGACCACCGCAGTCTGGCCTGAACCGGTGGCGGCTCCATCTGATCAGCGACACCTTTGTCGGCGAGGAGATCGTCCATGACATCGAGGTAAGTTGCCCATCCGCCATCCTTCCTTTGGCATGTGGCAGTTCTGATGTGTGATCTGCAGTGGAGGATAGAAGACCCGGACGCGGTGAACGTCGTGGAGATGGAAGGGGAAGACGAGATCTCCGAACCCGAGGAGGACTCGCTCGCGGGCCAGATGGCGCTCATGCGCGGTGGCTCCGTCAAGCAGCACGACGGTGAGAGCGACGACGAGAGTACGACGGATGACGACCGCGACAGAGACTCAGAGGCCGAGTCCTCGAGTAGCAGCGATAGCGATTGAGGTGTAAGACCTTGAGGACGGTGGAGGAAGGATGACGCCGTTGGCGGTAGGACGGCAGGACAGGATCGGTTCTTTGCGTTGTTTGGTGGATGTATTTATTCTCTTTAGTAATTCTGGTGACGTTGACGCTCTGACTCTCGGATGACCGTTCTGAAAGCGGGCTGCAGGTGCCGGTGTCGGTGAGCATAGGTCTTCAGAGACTTGCATCGTACGATTGGTCAGGCGGCTTGCGGTCGATGCGGCATGCTACATGCGCCTAAAAATGATTGATCTTGACACCACCGGACAGTCGACTCTCGTCGTAGGTGCTGCCTGACCAGTGCCTTCTCGCCTGTCATATATCACTTCGACCATCCTCTTTGTGGTCGTGATTTGGTCCTTTCCCCCCTGATTTTATGAGTCTTGGTGACGTCGACAGTGAGCCAATGTTAGCGAGATTAGATGTATCGTTTATTAAGGATATAACGGTGTACATAGAGCGAGCACTATGCGATGCGAGTACAGCACGAATGAGTGGAGAGCAGGAGTGACCTGATATAATGTGAGCAGTCTAGTAGAGCAAGGATGGACGCGATACAACTGAAACAACGTAGACAACAAAGAGCGACGAGGTGGATAGCGTTACATGAACAGCAAAAGCGGAGCGTACGATTAAGTGTTGTGGGAGGCTGAAGAGTATTGGAAACCGGGTAACTTAAACTGGTGGAAAGATGTCCGGTAGCAACTGTAGCAAGTTCGAATCGAACTGCGGGTTCCAGAATTTCGTTCCGGTCCGACGTCTTCGCTGTCGCTCGATGCCACCATGACTGTCGCAAACCCAGTGATATGAGTGGCTTCTTAATCTGCTACCTCTTCGTCAGATGGGCTAGATGACACCGGGGCAGGCATCTTGCTGCTAGAGATCCCGGCGGCGTAGACTGGGTAGGGTCCTTCGCCAGCATAGTGGCTTTTGACGTTGCGTGTAAAGGTCGCCAGGATCTTGTTGTCGACGTGTAGAGACCAACCGAGCGCTGCACAAAACACTCGCTCGAGCTGCAACAAATCCGTCTCCGTAATCCACAGCGCCTTGGATAACCGTTCCGACGTCATCCACTTGACGAAGACGCTGTTCTTGTAGCTCCTCTCGCAGATAATCTTGGATGCAACGATGAATGCAGCGAGGAATATCTTGTGTCCAACCGCGGGCGGTGGCCTCGGGTCATCAGGGCGTTTAAGCTTGCCAGTGAGATGCGCGCGATGCAACAGCATCAAGGCCACAAACGTCACGCATTCGTGAAGCTTCGACTGCAGCAACAACCTATAGATATAGTGTTCAGTGTGTTGTCGAGTTTGGGCGGGCGTTGCTGTCCCAATCCTCCGTTCTCCTGTAGGTTGGAGAACCCAGCCCTTGACCGGGCAGACCTCGAAATGGGCATAGAGAAATTGTATGCAGAGTTTGGCTGTCGCCTTGACCTGGTCCGCTGGGGGATTTGCCCACTGATAGTATGCGGTGAATGAAGTGTACCGTCAACACACTTACCCGCTGCTCACCTCAGGAACGAGCACACGGCCTGCTTGAACTTGAATCCGAGTTGCATCGGGTGCAGCATAAGCTGCAATAGGAGTTGACTCTGTGGATTGCGACGGCGAAAGCCTAGGGCCATCAGTACTCGTTCCGCGGCTTTCGTCGTTGTTGCTGCGTGCGATTGTGTTTGGGGGTGGCAATCCAAGGGCAGTTGCTATCATTGTGGCCACCACGACGCCGCATGTGGACGGGGACATTGTCATTGACGGTGAGCATAATCCTGTGTCCGATTGCGCTCCCTCATCGACGTGATCCTCTTGCGAGTCTTGCCAGTGCGACGCATGGCCAGCGGTGACGTGCCAATGAGCTGAAGATGATGACATGTTCGGATGCGAGTGTTTGTTGGAGGTTTGGAAATTTTGGAACCTGGGTGCAGACTCAGGCTGGAGAACTTCCACAGTCGATGAGGGGGGCAGAGTTGAGGTTAAGTGACGATGCCTTGAGAACTTGTGCGTTCCTCATTGATATGGGCCACATACGGGAATAGCCGTGGCCGACATCAAGATCAAGTCCCATTACAGCGATAACTTAGCGTCCAGAAATGACTATTCTCGATTCTTTCTATGCACGTCACGGTGCCCTTTGTTTCCTGGCAACCAAATCCTAAAATGGCAAATCATGCTGCTGGCATGGAAACCGGATGAGGTTGTGTATCTGTTTGCTCACCATTCAACAGCAAGTCCATGGAACTGCCGCCAAGTCGAGCGGCCCGGGGGAGAAATGAGGCACTGACTCACTAGCATAGGCCGGAGACTTCGCAACCAGGGTTTGAGTAGGCAAGTTTGAGGCTCAATCGGTTTCTTTCAAGCCCCGTCTTGGCTTGCAGCATCTCGAGATGTCTGCCAGCTTGCTGTAGTGCCTTCATGAAGCCGATGAATAGTACCTGCAATTGTGAAGTTCAGAGCTTCTATTGAAGGTACTGCAGCACGTCTATGAGCACTGGTTTCATGATCCACAGAAAAAGGCGAGATAATGCCTCACAACTTGACCGTTGCTGACTCGGCCACGTTTCGGTTGGATTTGGGAATAGACGCTCAAGTTAGATACCGATCTGCGCATGTCCATCATCGGGCGTTACACTGCGGACAACCCGGATTGTGCGAGGCGCTTACATAGGCCTAACATTGCAAGGGCGTGTATATTAGTAAGCCATCAAGCGAACTTCCCTAACATGGGAAGTACATTCCTAGAACATGGCACGATTTCGGAACATAGGAAGAACATAACACTTACATTCCCGATTCTAGGAACATTCAAAATGTTAGGCCGAACAAAGGAATCCCATTCCCTATGTTAGGAGCTCCGACTTAGAGCCGTAAAAATATACACGCCCTTTCAATGTAAGTACCATGTGAGTGCTTCGCACAACGCGGTTTGTCCGCAGTGTTAGCGGCCTGACACCGACGTCGACTACCATATCCGAAACGTTACAAACTCTCTGCATACTTACTCTTCTCGACCAGCGAATTCTTAGCTTTCATGGGGCTTAAGTTTGACTTGTCTGCCTACACATCGGAAGGTTGCGTTGTTGTTCTGAACGTATGTCATGTCCCTCCGATGGACGCAGTATTGAGGAGGATCAGCCGCAATGTGGGAGACATGTATCGTCGTACTGATTTGTTAATGTTGTAGGGCTGACATAGACTCGACCCATTTCATCTTTCCTATACACTCGATGGACATATCATCCTTGGCGGCGCCTGCTACGCCGACGTCTGCTTTCCCGTATGCTCAGCCCTCGCTTCCGACTCTGCTCATCGCCCTGTCCTTCCTGTTCTTTCTCAATCTCCTCCGAATTACGGCAGACATTACACTGCATGCAGGCTTGGTGGCCGAACTATTCCTTGGCATGGTGTATGGTGCACCGCTAGCTGGCGTACTCCCAACGGAGTGGGAGACAACATTCAATGTGTTGGGTTATCTCGGACTAGTGTGCCTCATCTTCGAAGGTTAGCTCGTCTCATGTCAATAGGTTGCGAGACGGTGCAATACTTATCATATCCTACGTACATCGATTGCACAGGAGGCCTCTCCACGAACCTCTCCCTCCTGTTGCCTAACCTACCCCTGTCTTGCATTTGCGCTCTGACCGGGATCGGGTTTCCCATAGCACTGTCCTTTGCACTCCTCACTGCCGGCTACGGATATTCGTCGTTGGAAGCATTTGCTGCAGGCGCAGCTCTCTCATCAACTAGTCTCGGTACCACCTTGGCCGCTCTGAATAGTGTCAGCCGTCACACATCCTCAACGGTCACCAGTCTGGAGATTGAGAAGCGGAGAGAAGGTACGACGATGATGCGCTACTATAATCGTGAGACTGAAAATTCACGCGCAGAAGTACGAGAGCTTCCCTGTGATCCTGCGCCTTCTACCGCAGAGACGCCCACAGGGGGTGCATCTCGCACGTCTCAAGCCTCGTTTTGCGCGCCGATTTCAGGACCACCTTCATTGCAACAGACCAGGATCGGTACCGTGCTTACTAGTGCTGCCATTATCGACGACATAGTCGGTCTTGTCATCGCTGCGCTCATACCCGCGTTAGCAAGTCTAGAATCATCGTCTCCGTCCGACTCAAATCTTGCATGGACTCTCATACGGCCTCTGCTTTCGTCTCTTCTCATCGCTCTCGTCGTACCAATCTTGGCCCGCTTCATTCTGCGTCCCGCTTTCTGGTTCCGCGGGGTTGGTGAACGGTGGTGTGCTCCCCGGCGTCAAGGCAAGGACTGGGGATGGAAGCGCCTGCTGTCTCGAAGCGAATGGGGTACTGAGTCCCATGCGGATTTCGTCAAAGTTTCCGTCATGGTCTGCGTTCTGGGTGCGTTCCTCACGATAGCGTACTGTGAGTAATCAGGTCATTTGGGCGAGGCGAAGGCTGAAGCTGAAGCGTTGCATCTAGATACGGGGAGCAGTATGCTCTTTGGAGCCTACATGGCCGGTCTAGCTCTTTCCTACCTCGCACGACCACCTCATGATGACCATGCTCAAGATGAGCAGCGTGCCGTATCGGACGACCGGGCGGCTGCATTGTCCTTCGAGCTGACGTATGCTCGTACATTCGGTCCATTACAGGAGTACATATTCGCCCCTGTGTTCTTTGCCAGTATTGGCTACGCCATCGTCAGTAGTTCAACCTCATGATGAGACATACTCGTACTGACTGCGCGTACAGCCGTTTCTCTTGTTGTGGAGGCCGAGAATCCTCTGGCGGGGCGTGCTATACGCTATACTCATGTGCATAGGAAAGCTCGCAGTCGGGCTGCCAATCATGCTGTGGTCCGTCTTGGCTACTGGTAGCCGCGGCGTCCGCCACAGTCCGACAGAACGGGCAGCGCGCGCTTCAGGGCCCTCGCCTTCCCCTCAACACAGCAACAGACCTGACACCCTCCGCGAGCCCGTGCATCTGTCGATATACCCTGCCGCTTTCATAGGCGTCGCAATGGTCTCCCGGGGCGAGATAGGCCTTCTGATCGCCCAAATCGCCCGAAACGGGTCGGCCACGGGCGGGTCGGCTGACAGCGCGAGCGGTCTGCTGAGCGAGGAGGGGTTCTTGGTGTGCATATGGGCAGTCTTGTTGTGTACTTTGGTGGGCCCTATTTGCGTAGGGATGATCGTGCGGCGATGGCGGGCGCACATCACAGCAGGTATCTGGGCATGAGCCATAGTCGTGGATTGCCAAGTACTAGACGCAGCGACGTCGGATAGTAACCGTTGACTGCAAGACCCCACCTTTAGAGTTCGTCTACACGAATGCCACAAGATGCCGAATGGAACGAGATGGTGGCAGGGTCGATAGAGTTGGATAGCATCCCTCAAGCTATGTGGTGATGGAACTGTGGGCGGCTACTATTGTTCCAAGCTGATGCACATCGACTAGGCAGTATGATAGCCCTTTTGAAACCTAAAAAAGGCCCGCGAATTATTGCGATCAGCGTTGTGCTCTTCTTCAGAGCTTTGTGACTGACAGTGGTGGTACGATGCATGCGTATGGCGACCACAACGAGACGGACCCGAGTAAACGAGGGTCCAAAGGATGTTTCCAGACGCCAATTCCTCGAGCTGCGCATGAGTCTGGGCCCTTTCAATCACAAGCGAGCATTGTCGTTACTTTCGCGCTGGCTGGATGAGGAAGCTTTGCACATTTACATATTCGCGTACTGCGGTATGAGAGCTTTCTACGCGCAGCTGTCGAATGCTGACATCACAACGTGTCGAATGGTATCTTAGCGCAAAGAGACAATTGAGATCGAGGACGAGCGTAGATGATTGGAGCTAGGAGGACAAATACGTTGAGTGATGGCAGCTGAATAGATGAGAAGCGCATGCAGTGGTCGTCTTGTTGCACAGTTGCAGACGCTATGAGGCCGGGGCTACACAGTAGTATGTAGCGCGGGCGGATATGAACGGTCCAGCACTCACAAGTGGCCGAGTCAAAGGCGGACTCGAGAGTCGGCGGTCCTTCATGTTGTCAACGGTACCGAGATTATATCTCTGCGACAGCAGCTCTGACGACGACATGGCCTAGACAATACAGCTTCCATGACCGTGGCGTCTTTCTGGTATGATATCCTGGAACTGAAGCTTATCCTTCGTCGCCTCGACTCGCCCGCCAAAGCGCTTCAGATAGGTTCCCGCGACGTCTGGGGAAATGAAGTCGATGACGTACCAATATAGTATGCCAGAGCTCATGTGTCCTATCAGATACAGAGATACAGAGATCTAGTCGTAGACCGACGATTCGTTGACGATATCTGAGTCGACAACTTCCAGTGGAAGTCTTGAACATCACGTTCTCACTGAGATCTAGTGTCCCAGTGGTCACATTTGCCATTGAAGGCGACCCCTCCAGATCGAGGACTATGGTTGAGAAATCCGACGGTGAGTGAACATCAACGCAGTGCGCTGCAGTTCCTGAGGGTCTTTACACACCAGTGGTCTGACAGCAGTGCGACTTGAGTTCAATCGTTGTGGCTGACCGGTGGCTGATTCCGGAATCGCCAGATCGAGATCTGCATGTCACACCACCCTCAGCCACTCAGGCTGGTGCGTCGCAACTTGCAAGCACCGCGGCAAGTATATACCTTGCCCTCCACCGCAACAACTGAATCTATGGCACGGTGTTATGAAGCTGAATTGTCTAGGCAGATGCAAGCATTGCGTTTGTTGACTTGTAATGGTGAGTCCTTCTACCTCAGCGGCCAAGTCAATCCGTGGATTCCACTGACTCGGACTTTGTTCAACCAACGCCGGCAGGATGATTCTCAAACATTAGGTCTTTGTCGCCCTTTGTAAGCTCTCAACAGAGACCGTTCTTCGATATGTTGAAGCTGCGCATTTGCTTCAAATAGTCGTTGTGGTGAGAGAGACAATACTCGAGTACCAGCTATGATTGTTCCTCGACGGATGTCCTTGGTTCACCAACTCCGTGTCTGGTTCGTAGGTTCTTCCTTTTAGACCACGGAAGAGGTCTGTGGTGCGTCATGCGTAGCGCATCCCCTCAATGCAGGCCATCCCAATCATTAAATGCTCCCAAGGATTTGTCGGATTGGTTTCCATGCCGTGACTGAACTCACAATGACAGGTTACCCATGAGGATATTACCAATGACAATATCTCGCTTCGACCAGGATCAGCCCTTCGGACGTTACGGTCCGAGTTATATGAGGTGATTTCGACACGATGTTACATTCGCCGTTGCCCGCGTGCCGCAGTTCTGCAGTACGAAGGTGGAGTCGGGCGCTCTACCTCAGCAAGCGAGAATTGCATCTCGGTACCAACGAATGAGCGTGGGATTCTCGTCGAAAGAATAGTCTGTATTCCCCCCAATTTCGACGTAGTTCCCAGATGCTGACGCGCTGACGATAGTGAAGAAGCAGCACACGGCCTGTTTGACAGCTGCGTGGGTTGATTGGAACTCTGGCGCCGGACATCCCTGAACAAGCGCGATATCATTGCCTGGAAACGTTCATTTGCTCGTCGTACGTTATCCTTTGTTCCGCCTCGGAGAGAATACGCAAAGAAGGGAATCCGATCGCCGATTCTCCAGTCCTTGTCATGAATCTGCTCATGCAGTCATCTCAGAGCCTCCGTCGTCTAGCTCAGGCCGAGCGGCTCCGTGTCGGCCATGCTGGCTGTATTGTGAAGGGGGGAAGGTTCGCTGTACCGGGCGGTTCTCTTGCTTGGTTGTAAATGTATAAAAGCAAGGCCCTCAGTGCAGCAGTGGCCAGCAACCCGTCTTCTCAGTCCCTTTCACTACAGCAACAACACTGCGTCTACTGGTCAGCTACTGACTCTAATATGCCTGGCCTCACTACTCTCCCGCCCTTCCCCGAGAACGTTTCCACTCATCCGCTTCTTGTGGTCGACTACGAGCTCCTCAAGGCCGGTGACCAGGAGGAAATCGACAAGTTCTGGAAGGCCGCCACCACCCTCGGTTTCTGGTAGTACGTACAACGTTCTGGATGACTGTTCAATGTCTTACGACTGTACACTGTCATAGCTTGAAGAACCACGGTGCAGATGAGCTAGTCACACAAATGTTCGACATGGGTTCCGAGACTATGGACCTACCTTTCGAAGAGAAACTGAAGTTTGAACAAGGCGATAACGGAATGTCATTCGGGTTTGTGATTCTCTTCCACCCTCATCCGCCCCATTGACGGAGCCTGAACAGTTACAAGGCACCTGGCGCCAACGCCACCGACGAGAGCGGCGCACGCGACACGGTCGAGTTCATCAACATCTCGCAGGACGACGCGCTCGCCTGGCCGAAGTCGGTGCACCGCTCGTACCCCTCCACTGTCAATGCCCGCATGGAACGCACCATCCAGCCCTTCGTACAGCACTCCGCCGAGGTGAACCTCACGCTCATGGAAATTCTTGCGAAGAAACTCGGGTTCGAGGAAGGCTTGCTCTCTGGGAAGCACCGGCTCGACGAGAGCAGCGGGAGCGAGACGCGGTGCATCAAGAATCCACCTCGCCCTGGCGGGATCTCCGAAGAGAAGGCGGCACTCGGTGCGCACACCGACTTCGGCTCCATGGTAGGTATCCGGATCGTGGAGACTACTCGAAAACTGACGCAGCTCCACCACCTCTAGACATTCCTCCACAACCGCCTCGGCGGTCTGCAAGTCATGCCTCCGGGCTCCGACAAGTGGCAATACATCAAGGTATGCTCGCATTCCACATGTGGAGCTACATGGCAGCACTGACACCGCTCTCAGCCAATCCCGGGACACGCAGTCTGCAACCTTGGAGACGCTATGCATATCTTTAGCGGCGGCATTCTCAAGTCAAACCTACACCGCGTCGTGTAAGTGCCAAACGCCACATCAGTCAAAGTCGCTCCGTTAATCTTGTGCGGATCCCCCTGCGTGCTTTTAGCCCCGCCCCCGGCGCCCAGGCGGCCTTCCCGCGTTGGTCGCTTGCGATGTTCACGCGCCCGGGCGACAGCGTCGTCCTGCGCGCTCTGACCGAGGAGAGCGAGGTAGTCGCCGAAGCGGTGAAGGGCGCGTCGGACGCGAGTATCTTCGAGAGCCACCAGACGAGCGAGGAGTGGTTCGCGAGGAGGATCAAGTACCAGCGCAGCAAGAACCAGCAGGTGAGGCGCTTCGCGGTGACTTCGCTGGAGCGAATGCGTACTGATCGCTGGACCAGGGTCCTGAGACTTGGCGCCAGAGTCGCGGGACTGAGCACCGTCCCGATGCCGCTTGAAGAAGTAATGCATCCAACAAGGAAGTTTCTGCGCCTGGCAAATGAACATAACACGCAATTCACCTGTATATCACTGACGCGTAATCCAGTCAACCAATAATGTGCTTCTTACCTTTGATGCCTGCATGCAACGCGAAAGGAGAAGTACGTCTTCAACTTATCTGGGACGCACGAGTAATATTTAGCCCGGGACGCCCCGTTAAACCTACTTCATAAAGACCTGGCTATAGGCTCACGATGGAAAAGAGTGAGCCCAGCTGCATGATACAAAGCTTGCGCGCAACGTATACCATACAATTCCGTGGGGTCAAATACGTTACGGATTGCCAGTGGTCGGTAATGACAGAGGACCAACGCTCACTGATGCTGTCAGCGAGCAACCGCCGGGACTCGCGCAGACTCGGCCATATCTCGTGTTCTGGAAGACCTTTTGGGCCGGGTCGTTCCACCACTGGCAGACGTTGTGGCCAGTGGCCGTGTCATACTGTATACAGGTTAGTGTTTTGCCCTGGGCACCCAGCCGCGCCGGTTACTCACACGTATGCACAGAAATTGCTCCCTCTCACTGAAAGGCTTAGTGAAGATCGACCAGGTCTCATTGGCTAGTACTTATTCCCTCCTCCGACCGAAGGGATAGATCTGAGGAGGGCTTTGTGGATGGGCCGCTCCCTCTGTGAAAACACGTGTTGTAGTTGCTATAAGCGCAAAACTGCCCGGGTGTCCTTGCTCTCTGCGGGGCAGTTGGGTCCTGTGCATCTGGCTGCCTCCGGACGCCTGGAACTTTGACCATCGAACGCCTCCTCCCAAAGGTAGGAGGGCTTCTCTCACGTTGATAGCAGCGTAGTATGTCTCGCAGTCAGTACTCAAGTCAGCGGTAAGTACACACTCGTGAAAGCCCGAGAAGCCCGGGCGGCGAAGCTGAGTCTGAGGAGATCGTTGCGATCAGGGACTTCGATCGAACTCCATGACGACCGAGGTCGGAACATCTGACCTATATTAAATTTGTAGCATGATTTTGAGAGGCAAGGCACGAGCGACCCTTCTCATCACTACTTACGACCGTCCAGAGCATCTGGTGTATCCGCCCGGCGCGGCCTGCTCATTCGCATTTCTTGAGCAAAATGAGGCCGGCCTCGTTGCGTTTATCGCTCTATGTTGTACTGGTGAGCCATGTTGCTTTCTGAATAATAGGGCGAGCTCAACGGTATCATTTGGTTCAGTGGCTGTTTTCTTTCATCCTCCTTGCCTTGACGATCGCTCGTCTGAACTACACTCTCCATCTTCCGAAGGGGGACCCTCTGAACCGTGGCGCCGACTTCTATGGTGCGGACTGCATACCGTCCAGTTGATCCTTTACGTTGACTTCGTCGACATCATGTGCAGACCCGGTGGTCGTAGAATTGCTGGTTGACTCTTTCCTGGCATTCGCATTCGTGCCGTTCGTGTAAGCATCTCAGTCTCTATGGTACATGTTTCAGACGTTCAGATGCGGAACGAACAGATTCAACCTCCTCAACCGCTTCCTCATCTTCGACGTCTCCAAAGCTGTCATAGAAGCCATAGCGCTAGGCGTCCTCTGGCTGCTCTGGCTAATTGGGTGTGGTATCTCCACCGTACGTTCTACCACGTCTCAGATCTCACCACCCGCTCCTTACCTGAAGCGTCCCGGATCTGTTGCACAGAGTATCTGGCCCAACCTCGCCTTCTGCTACAACTTCGAAACATGCCGCGTCCTCGCCGCTATGACGGCGTTCGCATGGCTGGGCTGGCTCACTATCTGTGCTTTGCTTGTCCTCAGTTTCATCTCCGCCTTCAGCAAGACGCGGGACTCCGACCTCGATAGCAGCGACGACATGGTCCAATGGGCGCGGGGCGTTCCAGTGGGGGCGGTCCCGCCAGTATGAGAGCCCATAAGTATATGTTTTTGTATCTCAACTCGGATTCAGACTGCCCTTACTTAGTCTGTGGACATATGGACGCTCTTCCGCGCGCTTTCGTAAACCTCTGTTGTCTATAGAATACCAACTACGCCTAGTGCACGCGATATGACCTGTCCTTTTGTGTATTCGTCGCCGGCACCTCGTCTGCTGACTCTCGAACACCCGTCTCCGAGTGAAAGAAGCCGTTCAAGAGTCGGCCACAACAAGCGTCGTGTTCAGGTACGCCGTGTCCGACGTGCCTACCTTGACGGTGAAGTTGCCTGGCTCAACGACATATCGGTTGTCAAGCGACCAGAGCGCGAGCTGCGTCGAGTTGATCTGCATCGTCACCGTTTCCGAGCCACCCGCACTGCAATCCCGATGACTCAGTATCCTCCAGCCCTTTGAACGACAGGGAAGAAGAAACTCACCGGATGAACACCTTAGTGAAGCCAGCGAGGAACTGGTTCGGGGTCACGACGGAGCTGACCTGATCCGTAAGATAGACTTGTACAACCTCCTTCCCATCCACGTTGCCCGTGTTTTCCACGGTGACGGTGACGTTGAAGTCATCTGTGGTTCCAATAGTATACGAGGAGAGCTCTAGACTTGTGCTGGAACATAATGTGCAGAGTAGTCAGTTAGGGCGGCATGACGATGGTAACAAACCCACTAGTGGAACGTCGTGTAGCTGAGCCCGTGGCCGAAACTCCATATTGGCTGGGGAGTGTTCAGCACATACTACACGGGTATATATCAGCTGCGATTGATCGAGTGAGACGTTCATAGCGAACCTGATGCCCGAAGACCAGAGTTCCGTTGGGTGTCACATAGCCAGCGTCGACCGGGCGCGCGTCCTTGTAGTAGTTGTAGAACGCGGGCGCAGTGCCGACGCTCTGGGGGAATGACACGGGCAGCCTGCCTATGCACCCACGCATGAGCTCGTGCAAACCAGTACAGCTGCAACGGCGTACCGGACGGGTTCGCCACTCCAAATATAATCTCCGCGATGGCGAGACCACCAAGCTCGCCATAGTAGAACTGCTGGATGACCGCGTCCGCATCTGCACAAAGCATAATCAACGACTGGACTATGTCCGATCACAGTTGAGTGGTGTCCACTCACTGACAGCGATCCACGGCTCCGCCACAGGCTTCCCGCTAACGAAGACGACCACCGTCGGCGTCCCCGTCGCAACGACCGCCTCCACCAACGCCCTCTGCGCACCCACGAGCGCCAAGCTGCTCAGATCGACATGCTCGCCCGTCGTCGCGTTCGTGCCCGGCTCCCACAGGAGCGTCTGGTCGAGGCTCCACGTGCCAACCATGACGACTGCGACGTCGGACGCCCCCGCCGCCTCAACAGCCTCGGGGAACTGCGACTCGTCGTTCGACCAGAGCTCGCAGCCCTGCGCGAAGTTGAGCGTGGGAGGGCTGGTGGGGAAGATGGAGGTGTTGGCGAGGAGCTCGGTGAAGCCTTGCAGGGGTGTCAGGGCGTTGAGGGTCGCGTTGTGGAAGACGTAGTCGCCGAGCTGCAGCATGAGGTCAGCACGGGGAAGAGGAGGTACAGTGTAATGCGACGTACGGTGACGCGGTTAGCTTGTGGACCGATTAGTGCAATCGAGCTGACGTTCTTGCTGATCGGTAGCACGTTATTGCGGTTCTCAAGGAGGACGATCTGCTCCTGCTCCATCTGGTGCAATATTTCGCGAGTTTCGGGCGTGCGTAGCGTGACAAGTAGTCGGCATATGGGTATGGATCTGAGAGGATGATAATGAGCAAAGCTTGTATGAGTTGTATCAGCTTGACTGTTGCACCGTACTTTCAAACAGTCCTAAGGCGAACTTTGTCCTTAATACTGTCTTGACCGTCTCGTCGATGTAATTCACATCCACAGTTCCCGCGGCCACCTGATCTATTTCGCGTCAGACTTCATTCAACACGGACGAATGGAAAGATATTCACCGGGCAGAGTCAAGTAAGTGTACGTCCCGCCGCCCATCTCCATCTGTAGCCCATTCTCGAGCGTCTGCTTGGCGACGCATTCGCGGTCCGCGCATGTGTAATGCCATGTCATGAGGAGGTCTGGGGAGCCAGCGTCAGTCGTGACGAAGTAGGGGTACTTCCACTCCTCGCGAAGCTAGGGGATGGGTGAGTATGACGCTAGGGGGAGACAGGGATGTCTACGTACGATTTCGGTGAGGATATCTAGCATGGTCACGTAAGCTACTGCACGCACAAGGAATAGGAAAGGACGGACGATAGTTCGAGATAATAGGTACGCCGTCGTAGCTCGCATACGCGCTCATCAGGCTCAGCGCCGTCGACCCACCCTCAACAGCAGGGTTGCTCGCAGCGCAGGCGCGGTCGAATGGCTTGAGGTAGTACGTCCGGAGCTCGCGCTCGCCGCCCGACACCTGCGCTAAGTTCCTAGCCACAGATACGTCAGAGTTTGCGGGTGCGCGGAAGGGTATGCAGGGACCCAAACGCACAAGCCTCCCTGGGGCGAGCCATACGCAGTGAAGTGCTTGCACGTCGCTGCCATCCGCGCAACAGCCGTGGCGCTCGTGTTCCGTCTCCGACCGTTCTGCACGCCGCGTACGTACGCCGCGCCCATCTCTCCCGTGCTACCGTGCTGCTCAGTCTCGCGTCGTGGCTAGTGCACTGATGGGCACGTACAGGAACGGATCCTCCCCGTAATTTCTTCCACACGTCCCCACCGGAGCTCGCGCGAGAGGTCCATGACGGGTGCGAAGAGCTGGTGGAAGCCGAGGCCCTCGGCTTCGGAGCCGATCGTCTCTGCGGCTGCTTCGAGTAGGGGCGCGTTGAAGGAGGCGGCGAGCCCGATGGGCGAGGGCCAGGTGGTGCCGTTATTCGTGAACCCGTGTAAGCCTGTATTGAATGATCCGATGCTATGGTGAATCTTTCTGCGCTCAAATTGGGGATGAAATTATACCTTCGGATTGGACGATGCCGGGTATGCCCAGCGTGGTGTTCTCCATCAGATATTGCTGCCCGATGGTGATGCCGTACACCCACTTGTCCCAGGGCATGAGGTAGCCACCCCAAATTGCTCCCGCTTTGTACGTGAGCTCTTCGACCTGCGGGAGAGGCGCGTATTAGCTCTCGCGATGCATCATTACAATGAACATGTACGAGGCCGGACGCATTGTACGTTTCGTGTCGTCGTTCGGGTCGGTGAGATTCATCCATCCATCGAGGTCACCTTGAATCCTACGTGAGTAGAATGATGATCAGCTCTCAAGATCACATCGACTGGTGTGCTCATACGCACAGTTGAGCGACCTTCTCCTGGAGTGTCATTCGCGGTAGAAGATCATCCACCCGATCCTCGATCGACGCATTGGGGTTCTGGTAGATAGGGTAGAACCATCCAAATTTGCAGCCCTCGCGTGCAGCGGGAAGTGGAGATCGCCTCGAACACCAAGATGCTCCACGTCTTCGCTCGTTCGCGCCCACGCGGTATGCCAGCCTTGCAGTATTGCTAACAGACCAAGCAGACCCGTGAAGACTGTAGTGGAACGCGTCCCGAAGACTTCATACTCGTTGAAGACGTGTTCTACCTCCACTGAAGCACACCGAGACGCAGCAACCGCCGTGCGATGCACTCGTCACATCTTTATAGCAATTCTATTGCCATACTTCAGTGCGCACACGCGGGCAGCTATCATATGAGTAGGCTCGCGGTCCGTCGGGTGCTGATGCTGTGGCTGGGCGGACCGCGGCCGAGAGAAGATGGGATGGCGTCGAGGGCGAGTCCGGTGTCACTGCAAGTACGAGAGACAGTTATCCCGAAATATCGCCTCCGTCAGAGAAAGAATCAGTATTTACCTACATCGTGAGAGTTGTTATAGCAAGTGATGGGTAACATACGTCTGACTTCGAGGCATCCATTAGGGACTGAATGCCAGGTTGAACATGCCAAGCGAGGGTGATTCGCTGAAGTTAACCTGTCACGGTATGTAGGATCCCAAGCCGTAACATTGCAACATCCACAGTCCCATGAGCGGGCGTCACAGCTCGTTGAACAGCTTGGGCCACCGGCCACTAGCGAGTTCGTGACAAGCGATTCGTGAGGACATTCGAGTGAACGAGGCAGGCACTACCAATGACCAAGAGCAACGGCAATGTACAGTGACTGAATAATTAGCAAAATGCGATCCAGCCAATGTTGCCTCGATGTTGGCGGCCTGAGCCGCACCGTTGAGTGATTCGAAGCACTCTGCTCTGGTCAGCTGGGTACCAGTATATTTAGCCAGGGTGCAGTCGCGTGACATTGTCGGCGTACAATCATTACCGTCGCACAAGGGTACAGTTCTGGAAGAAACCGGCACTGTAGATGCCAGACTGACAGTAGTTGGACATGGAGGAGAGCGAGCGGGCTGGTAGAAGTCGAGCCTGAGGATACTACTCGCTCACGTGACACATAGGCCTCGCATATGGGCGCCTAATAATGCGGGGAAGGCCTGCTTGCTCTCCTCCTTCTCCTTCCTTCTCCCCCTCCTCCGCCCCCGGCGTTTGGTCCCGTAACGCGTGTGTTACGCGCAGCTCTAGCTGTTATGGCCAATGTAAATGGAGGCTCGCCATGGTGTCGGCAATCCTCACCACTGTGTGCAAGCTGGACTTGACATCCCACCAGCTTTCAAGGAGCCTCCGTGCGATGAGGTCGACGCTGTGAATCCGTAAGCTAACCGACCATGCTAGTGCGACCGATTTTAAACCTTTACAGACTTATTGGAACGGCGGTGATTCTCCCAATGGCTCTGGAGGGATGGTTCCGAGCACCGCACCACCCTTCGCCATGACGCGCTGGACCGCACAGACAGACCAGAATACGTCTCCGTCACCCCGTACAACTACACCCACACTACGATTCATGGCTTCCAGGTATTGCTGTGCTGTGCTTTGAAGTACTAGTGGCGGTGCTCACCTACTCGCGTTGGTCCGTTCATACCCTTAGGGCACCCACCAGCCCGCGATCTGGATGGGCGAGTCCGGCCAGGTCGTTGTGTCTCCAGGGCTAGGCGAAGTAAAACAGGCCTTTGAAGATCGCGGGCTGGACATAGTGTACGATGGCGACGAACGCATGGAAGCCGTCAGTGCGAATTACTATGCCGTCCTCACACAAGCCGACGATGGGGTGCTCAAATCAGAGTTGAGTGCTAGTGCGTAGCATCTCCCTCTCTGCTTATTGCTTCTGGCTGACCCACTCCTCTCCTTTGCAGCCTCGCGCGTCGGCCACCTCCGCTTCACCTTCCCTGCCAACGCCTTCGCGCCCTATGTCCTCCTCGAAGCCACCCGCCCGAGCACGCTCGGCTCGCCCGCGTCACCCAATGGCACATGGCTCACCTATCCCACTGGCCTAGTCACTATCGACCCTGCGAACCAAGAGATCTGTGGACGCAACCCCGAGCGACAGGACGAGATCCTAGGTCCGAGCCCCGCGCCGTCGTTCGCGGGGTACTTCTGCGCGCGGTTCAATGCGCCTTTTAGCACATATGGCGTCATACAAAACGGCTCTGCGAGTGAGGGTTCGACGAGCGGTGAAGGACCCGTACTGGGTGCATACGCGAAGTTCGAGGGTGCAGGGGCGAGTGCGACGGTCGTGGATGTGCGCGTGGGCGTATCGTTCATCTCGGTGGACCAAGCGAGGAATAACCTGGAGAAGGAGATCCCGGATGGCACGAGTCTGGAGGAGACGGCGAGGGCGACGAGGGAGCTGTGGGTTGAGAAGCTGGGGAGAGTGAAGGTAGAGGGCGCGAGTGCGGATGAGAGGGCGACGTTCTACACGGGGATTTTCCATACGTTGCAGGTATGTGTGGATCAGTAACCTTTTACTCTGACATGGACCCGGGTCTGAACACTGACTGGTACGTCTGACAGTATCCATACGAGCAAGACGAGGACGGCATGTACTACTCCGGCTATGACGACATCGTGCACGAAGGCGACTCCTACACGGGCTACTCCAACTGGGTATGTCTACTGCCTGCGCCTTCTCTACGTCCACGCTGACTGGCGATGTGTTACCGTAGGATACATATCGCGCTGAATGGGGCTGGTTAATCCTCTTGGCGCCGGAGCGTATACCGGGTATGGTCCGAAGTATGTTGCAAGACTATGCAGAGGGCGGCTGGCTACCAATGTGGAAGAACATCGTTGGTGGGTCCGCCCTTGTTTGAAACTAGACGCCGCTCACTGGCAATCTTGATCACAGAGACGAATATCATGGTACGTTGCCCTCGTGCTTGGTGTACTCGCTGCTGAGACTCATCGCCGGTACCTGATGCAGGTCGCTACGCACGCTGACTCGCTCGTCGCGGAGGCGGTGGTGAAAAATATCACAGGCTTCGACTTGGACACCGCGTACGCGGCCGTGTACAAGGACGCGACAGTGCCACCTGTGGATGATTGGTCGATCTCGTGGGTCCTGCCTGCATGAGGCCTTGCTCTTCGTTCACGTGTGGTCTTGCTGCAGGTATTATGATCGTGAAGAGGTACTAGGTTTTAAAGCTCGCCGTTGTAGCACGGCACGTTGACGCTATGAACACGAAGGGTGTTGGCTACGAAGTGCGCGCAGGTCTCTCCAGCGTATACGAAGAAAAAGGCTGGGTCGCGGACGACATCCACTCCGAGTCGGCGTCACGGACACTCGACTACGCCTGTACGTCGCCCGCTGCACACGCCCCTTCACACCATCTGACATCCAATTCTTGCAGATGACGACTGGGCCGTCGCCACTCTTGCGGATCTCCTCGGACACACCGAGAACGCGACCCTCTTCCGGGCGCGTTCGCAAAGTGCACCCTTCGCGATCTTCAACAACGACACCGGCTTCATGGAGGCTCGCAACGCCAACGGCTCGTGGGCGGGTCAGGACCAGGGCTGGACGGAGGGCGACATGTGGGCATACACGTTCGATGTCATCCAGGACGTACCTGGCCTCGTTGAGCGGCGTGGCGGCAACGCGAGCTTCGTGGCGTTCTTGGACGAGCATTTTGATGGAGGACATAATGACCAGACGAACGAGGCGAGTACTTCGATTGTTCGTGATCAGACCGTTAGTGCTGAATCATCTCTGAGGTAGCCTTCACATCACATCCCGTACCTGTACGCGCTTGCGGGCGCGGCATCCAAAGGGCAGGAACGTATCCGCGAGGTCGCCGTAGCCAACTACAACTCGACTGTGAACGGACTGTCAGGCGTAAGTTCCTCACGCTCTGGCTGATAGTTGCCGTCGGAACGCTTACGAGCCACGTCGTAGAATGAAGACTGCGGTCAAATGAGCGCTTGGTACATCTTCAGCGCGCTCGGGTTCTACCCTGTCGATCCAGTCTCAGCGACATACGTTGTCGGGACGTAAGTCAGCATCCGCACCCTTGCCTCGCCCGCATGCTGATAGACTTCCCGTATCGTGCAGACCATTCTACGACAAAGTCACGATCTCCTTCCCGAACGCGACCCAACCGCTCGTCATCTCTGCGCCCGGTGCACCGACCAAGCCTTATGTCAAGTCGCTCACCGTGAACGGCGAGGCTTTCTCGCAACCGGTCATCACGCACCAGCAGATCGCCAACGGATGCGAGATTGTCTTCGAAATGAGCGACACGCCACAGGAGTGGGCGAGCGCAACTTTGGTGAGTGTCGGTCTGTCTGAACGTGCTTGCCAAACCTGAGTGGGTGAGGTTGATGTGGGGACAGTATTGACGAGAGGGTACAGGTAACGACGGGAAATGCGGGGAGTGCTGAGGCACGGCATGACGAGTTGTGAGGCGGTCGTTGGATTGCGTCGCCAGAGACACTCACTCGGGACGTCCCGTGGAACAAAAGAATGAGGGCTACGTGCCTTGTATTATACCTGCTCTGATTGATTGACGACTACTGATTTCACGAGCACTCGCCTGTCTGAGAAACCAAGATGACCTTGACAGGTTGATTTCGGTTTCCGACTGAAATGACCATCTTCACCCTGCGCGGTAGCCATCGAAGGCTGCATGTACCAATCGCCTGGTCTCCGATGACTTCCGACGTGTACAAGGTATGCCGACTTGTCGGTACCATGCGGATATGGTGAATAGGTCTCACATGGATTAGCTTTACAGCGATGCAGACTTGGTCGATCCTCATATGAAGCTACATCTTCGAGACGCGTGTATTCAATCTGCCTCCAATGGCACCCGACTTGAAATCATCTCTAACAGCGTACATACAGATACCTCAACAACACCCACGGCGTACTCTAATGCAATCTTCCGGTCGGGTTCAAGCGGCCTCCGGGCGATGCTCTGTGCCGCGACTTGCACGCCATGTCTCGGGGCCCTGCACGAAGAGTACATGAAGACAGTTCGTTGAGATTTATGAACGAATAATCTACCTTCTGGTTCTTGGTCCTTTGGTTCTTGATCCTCCGGAAGAACCACTCCTTCGACGTCTGGCCAGAGAAGTAGATGCTTTTGTCAGCGACCTTCGAGGCTGCCTCCGCAATCATCGGGCTGCCCTCGGTGAGCGCCTCTAGGAGCTGGGAATAGCCAGGACGGGTGAAGAATACGAGGGACCAGCGTTCATACTGCGACTGAGCTCCCGGGGGAGGACTAGAAAAGCGGATCAGTCGTTCGATATTGAAGACACATGGTGGGCCTTCTACTGTGATTTGAATCTACTCACACGACGCGATGCAGGTTCGAGCGAAGAATACCGCCGCTGAAGATGCTCATTGCGTCTCCAAGGTTGCAGATGGCATGTCCTGGGATGGGCTGTCATACAGATATGATAGAAGATCAGGTCAGCGGGAGTCCTCCGTGCTGTACATGATCCGGGCTGTCGGAGCGCATACCTTTACGTACTGCCAGCTTTCCGTGCCTGGAACCATGACCTGCAAACCTCCGAGACGGTTGTGAAGGAAGGACTGATAGAAAATCACGCATCAGTCATGCCATAAGTCAATCCATTCTGACAAAGAAGTCTTCTACTGACCAGAGAGCCGAAATCTGTATGCGCACCGATAGCGGCTTTGGGCTCATTGGCGTCGTGCTTGGGCGGGTTCTTGATGCACCTTGACTCACTTCCACTGGGCTCCCCAGCAGATGTTTCTTGGCCAACGTGCCCTTGGGAAGTCCGAGCCTGTCGTTGAAGATGTCGAGCAACGTGCTGTTGACCTCGAGCGACTTCTGAATGAACGGTCTGATGGTGTTCTCCATCCGCGCGTCGACCGTAGGCGGATACGTGCGGTGTACCACGTTCGGGTAGGCAAGCGCATCGTCCTTCGCGACATTGATGAACTCGACTGTGTCCAGGTTGCCCTTCTCATCCGTGGCGTTGGCGCCGGCTGCCTTATAACTATGGCGAGGCCCGGTCAGAACGGGATTGCGAAGGGGTAGGTCTCACTTACCCGAAAGACATGCCGTCATCACCCTGCTCGAATCTCATTTTTTCTTCGAGGGGAAGCGCCATAGTCTCTGCGCCCATATCGAACATCTCCTGTACGTCGCCGTCGACGCCATGGTTCTTCAAACTGGATCAAGGTCATTTAATGACATGTCAACCGTAGGACAATGACATGTAGACTTACTACCAGAAGCCGAGCTCGGTGGCAGCTTTCCAGAGTGTGTCAATCTCGTTCTGGTCGCCAGCCTTCAGCAACTGATAGTCAACGACGAGCAGAGGGTGGGTAGGCACATCGTCCGGAAAGGGAGGGAAGTCAATAAGGCCTGGCATACTGCTCGGATGATCACCAAGATGTCAACTACGAAGGGGATGCAAGCTTATGCTGGAGTCGCAGTGCTACCACTCTTTTATATGAGTGGTCAGACCAGGTCTATGATCGCCGGCTGGGTGACGTCCGGGCTGTGCTTCTCCCTCGTTTCTCATGCTCCACGTTCTCGCGCGTTTGATGGAACCCTAACTCTGCACCAGTTCACATGAGAGTCGTAGTTCATCAGGTCATTACCCCGTTTAGCGTCACGAGGAAGCGCATGATTGCTAGAACGCTTGAGTGAGAAAGCAGCCGCATTTCCCCACTCAGCTTCTCACGTTGCAGGGCCGTCATGTGTAAGTACCCCTCCTCGGACCTAGCTAGTAGCAGCACTGGAGCGATCTTGGGAGCCACAGCGTAGAGATTGTGTCTACATAAACGCCCAGCGTTAGTATACTCAGCCTAGCCAAAGACTCGTCTGATTGGATGAGGACCCGAGTGCCAATCTGTACAAGTGTTGCGAACAAGAGAGCCACTGTCAGTACTCACCAGACAGATGTGGGGGCAGACGGTGACAAGCCGATGTCTGCGGATCTGAACAATGCGGGGCAACTTCAGCGCTCTTCAGCGTCGACCTAGAGCAAGGCCGATTGAAATTTCGTCGCCGGGTTGGGCGCCGTACTCGCCGTGTCTAAGACCAAGGGGATATTCTGCAAACGGGGCGCCGGTCGGAGCTGGGATATGGATGCGTCGTTGCTAGTGTCTCGGGCGTCCGGTAATGCCTGCAGACGCGGTGGTTCCCCATGGGACGTGCATTCATGGGTAGCCGTAGCACGATCTTCCGCGTCAGGAGCCAAGGCTTACAGACAGACTCGTGGCAGCAACGAGAGCTCCGAGGGTCATGACACGCGGCTGATTGGCGAGGAGGGTGGAACAAATACGGGATGACTCGCCTTTCGAGGGTCGTCTTCACGCTCCTAACCGATCGCATGGCTTCTGGGTCCCCGGACAAGACACAAGAGCGGCAGGCAGGATTGGAGCGAAAGCTAGCACGAGAGGCTAAACGCACCAAGGATTGGATCGTTTGAAATGAACCGGCGTCCAACGGTCGTGTCATCCGAAGGTCTGCCATCCCTGACTTATTCCCGACATGGTCACTGAATGTAGATGGGGAGGTGATACGGAATGACGCGACTTACAAAACTGGCCTTCGCCGGACGCCGTCTTGTCGTGAGGGCATACCATACAATGGAGTATGTTTCTATAGGCGAAAGGAAAGGTCGGCTTCCAGTGTTTCACTGAGAGCAGCGTGTCCTGCCCAATCCATCAGTGCCCCGACGCCTGACGCGGAAGCGAAATTTGAAGCTCACGGATTCCCGGCTTGGGGTTAGAAGTCGGACACAGTAGCAGGGTGCCGTGCGAGGCATAAGGTCAAACGTTCAGACCGAGATTCTGACATGATCAAACCCATGAGCTAAGCACGCACAGAAGGACTGTTTGCACATATGACTTCTCCGAGCACGGATAGTCTAGACGTCCGAGGTGTCGTCTCGCAGGAGTTTTCCTCCATGGGTATCTCCCTTCGGACTCTGCGAGATGGAGTAAGTGAAAATCTACGTTCTGTATAGACGCACCGTAGACCTTTGGAGAATCATGCACGATTAGGAGATGACATATGGCGGGATCCCGTAAAGCCTCCGTCAGCTTCTGACATATGTGCTTGGGACAGGAAAATCGCGCAACGCGTCTACACTGGACGGATTTTCATTGACTACCATACTGTGGCACCTCAGTACAACTACTTAGGAGCTTGATGGAGGAAATTTCCACGTACGGGGTATACACAGTACCACGCCACTGAGTGGGCATCTATGGCCGGCGAATGTGAAGGGCGCTGCGCGGTGTTCCGGACTGTACAGTAGGGCGGCCCCCAGCGACTGTTTCTCACTTACAAACGATACAGGAAAGATACGCGCAGATAATGGCTGCGGGAAATGAACATTCGCACAGCCGTCCGCGGAGAAGTGACCAGGTAGAGTTCGATGATTGGCCTGACGGGGTTATGCGCATAAATCTCTGCATCATGAACTGAACGTTCTGACGACTTACAAGTAGTCAGAGTCAACAGCTTGCGGGGTCTGGGTGTGGAAGCAACGGCATCAGCTTCCGTACTTTTATGTACATTTCTTATACATCATTGTTATTGTGAAAACGCAGAGGACCACAGCGACTGCCTGTGATTGAGTGTCAGCGAGCACGACCAGGGTTGAAGGGCTTCAGTACACTGACCAAACTGTACACATAAGTCCAACGGTCGCCTTTGGTATAGACTGAGGCTCTGGTTTGGGTTGCAGAGAGTTCAGGCCCAGGGGGGGCAGCTTACGTCCGACGGGGAACGTGACGGAATATGGGGTGTAGCGCCTACTGCACGTGATCGGAGTAGCTACATAGTTCGCATGTACGTAGCAGGTCTTCACGCGTTCGAACGGGGTATACTCGATATACCAGAAGTCCCCGCTGCTCTCGACTTGACGCGCGTCCTCGTCTTCAGGGGATTTCTACACGAACGCGTATATCACTACCCGTGTTGCCCGTTTTTGGTTTAAACACCTGGTTGTCTGTCTGTCTGTTTGCTCGTTTGCTGGATTGTTGTCGCCCTCCTCTCGGAATGTCGATCGAACTCACGAAGAACAACTTTACGGCCCTAAACGACACCAATTATGCGGAGTGGGCTACCCGGATGGAGGCTGACCTCATCCGAAAGAAGTTGTGGACGGGTGTTGTCGTGATTGACGCAGAACCGCCGACTGCGTTGCCGATGGGGGAGACGGAGGCATGGTGGAAGAAATTGGTTGATGCACGGTCGAAGGCGAAGATGGCGGAGGCTCGGGCGGAGATGATTGCAAGGGTGGAGGATGGTCAACTGTCGCACATGCAAAGTCGGGATCCGATGGAGATCTGGAACCACCTTGCGCAGATTCACGTTGCGCGTGGGTTCGCAACCCGGTTGGCACTTCGGAGGCAGTTCATGCGATTCCGGAAGGAGGATGAGGTTATGGCGGCGTGGATTGGGCGAGTGAAGGCTTTTGCCTTTCGAATGGAGAAGGCTGGAATTCAGGTGACTGATGAAGATCGCATCCTCACGCTTACGAACGGACTCGATGAGTCATACGAACCCTTCGTTATTTCGCTGGACGCTACGCCGTCCGACCAACTCACGCTCAGTCATGTCATTGATCGGCTGATCAGCGAAGAGATGCGGCGCGGTGGCCACAAGCCTGACACGAAACGTACGGACGGTGCTTACATAGCTCAGTCGAAGAATGGGAGTGGTCGAGGGCGAGGATCAGGGGGTGGGGATTCAGGGAACGGGGCGGAAGGCTATGGTTCGGGAGGTTCATCGGGAGGTATGCCAACGTGCTGGAGATGTGGGAAGCAGGGGCACATTCGTGCATTCTGTCGCGAGGAGCCGGTTCGAGGCAGCAGTCCTAACCCTTCGAAGAATGAAGCGCCATGACAGCTGTGCATGACATCTCGCAACTTCAAGTTCCACCGAGGGACTACGGGACGATTGAGATTGGGAGCCTTCGGTTGCCTGGGCATGTTCTTTGATTGGAATCAGGGGGTGCATTTCGCCTTAGCATTTACTATTGACATACATTCTGCATGATGCTCTGTGCAGTAGTCGAGGGGGTGTGACGGAATATGGGGTGTAGCGCCTACTGCACGTGATCGGAGTAGCTACATAGTTCGCATGTACGTAGCAGGTCTTCACGCGTTCGAACGGGGTATACTCGATATACCAGAAGTCCCCGCTGCTCTCGACTTGACGCGCGTCCTCGTCTTCAGGGGATTTCTACAGAACGGTATCGGGTGTTACATGCACTGTAGTCACACGGGAGACGAGTTGAGATATGAGTATTTGCCACAGCATACAAGGATAGCGACAAAAGAGCGGGGATCATGCGAGCAATCATCGCAATTGAACCTTGGGGAACAGCCCATTAACTGCCAGTAAGTAGTACGCGCCAAGTCCGCGTCGCACCGCCTACAGACAACCGTATCATCTGTGAGCCATCTCGCGCCTCCGCTATATGAACACAGAATTGGGGTCGCCAAATTGATGGCGTGAATTGTGGAGGAGGAGCTCAGGCTGAGGATGGCCAGGAGGAGAAGACATTAATTACTCGGGCCGCCAGCACTGCAGCGCCAGTCACACATGTATACGGCACGGGTGCGTGACCGTGACGGCGCATCCTCGATTCTCGGAGTGGTTTCCTAGTACTTACTGGCTTTTCATTTCACAGTGGTTTCAAGTACTCAGCTCAGGGGCATACCTGGTGAGCATGGCCAGGATCTCAGTGTTCCATTCAACGTCTCCAAGCAGTCCGCAGGTTGCTAGGATCAGAGAGCCGTGCATGGCACTGCGTGCGCGGGCTCCTGGCTAACTTCCGACTCAGGCTTCTTGCTTCCACAGGTCTGCCGACACTCAGTCGTGACCATGCTCCCTACAGCACAATCAGGCCACGAGATCGCAAGGGTTCATAGACTCTTTCGCACATCAGTGAATATTTGGACCCGCAGCGATGTAGGTCTGGGCCAGTCTCTGCCAGTGCGGTTAAGACCTGACCGTGCTTTCAGAACACATTCTTATCTGGGGCCTTCACTCAGAGACCATTCTGAAGGTCCTTTCGCCCATAGTCCCGAGTGTATCTTTAGGCTCTCGTGGCGTCTGTCGTCGATGCGGGGAATGTGTCTGTGGATGTCCCAGTTCTCGAGCGAGACACTGCGTTGCCCCTCGCGTCTTCCATGCTTCTGTCCTTGATCAAGCAAGACAATCGGATTGACTGGAGCGGCATTGAGAAGCGGAACGAGTTCACGTATGCACAGCGCATTGATGGCCTATACCAACCTAATTGGACAGCCGCCCAACGCTCGCGTTGGCGGAGACCGCACGGTATGGTCACCCGCAATGACGGTCTACGGACGCTGTGCAATGATCACTCTTGACTGAAATCTTTCAGAGCAACGAGGACGTGTTCCCGCTTTCAGATACGGGTATACCTGGCCCAGGAGCGACCGACTCATGGCATGAAAGTCGACAACGGATTCTACAGGCGAATTGGCTCCCGCTATGTTTGCGGTATGTTTCCCTGTTTACCGTTGTGGCCTACCAGACGATGACAGGCACTCACATGATACTTTACTGGAGTCAACCTCGGTCTCAGCAATAATTGAGGGAAACGCGCTCGATCCCCCGAAACCGCTTCACATTCAACTCCACGGCGGCCTCGCCATCAACTCGTTCATTGGCAGTGGTGGCGTGGCCAACATCGTGCACTTCGTTGTTGAGGACCCCGACACGACGGGCTACGCCGTTCCCGAGAACTGGCAGCTCGCCCACGCTTTGTTCGTCAACGTTCGTCAACCTCGATGCATGGCACTGGCAGAAGCAGTGCGCATCCCGTGATCCAAATTGACTTCGTCAACGGCACGACAACGGCGACCGCCGACGCTGGCTACAGTCTGTTACACCGCTCAGACCATTTTGCGGGCCCGTTGCGCATCCCACATATGGGTCTGCTGAAGATCGTGCGAGGGTGCGTGTACATATCCACCAGGTCCGAAGGAGAAGCACGACTGTCGTCGAAGTCCCGTCGTCGTACACGTACGACAGCCGCGGGCAATGGAGCCAGACTGTTCCAGGCACCGATCCGTCCCCTGCACGAACCCGAGATTGTCAACCCGAGCGTTGGATGAGTATACAGTTGCACCGCACGGCATCACGGAACATCCATCTCGTTCCATCGATGCTTGGCCGATACCACGCCCTCTTGCGATCATCCGTCAGCGGTCAAAGCTCGCGACCGAATCAGGTCATTGGAACGCCAGGTCGCAGACGCAGAAGGCTTCGTGTGGCTCGGCGTCAACCTAATTCACGGTTGCTGCACACGCTTGAACGCTTTGGCGAGGAAGCCTTGCACATGTGGGGCGAAGGGCACGGTGATAGAGCGACCTCGATGTTCAGGGCAGTGCATGCGGTGTCTTCGAAGTTCATCGACAGTCACAGCCCAAATGAATATCATGCGATATGGACTCAAATCTCGACACCATATCCTCATGACATCTACCCCCCTGCACACAGAGCACACACATGTCCGTCGGCTGCTAGCGTCTGATCTTGCTCGAGGCAGTGCTCTTTGGGGCTTTGGACACCTTATCCTCCTTGTCTTTCGGCTCCTGAGCGTGCGCATTGGATCCCGCCTTGGTGTTCTCTACAGCCGCATCCCGGACTCGCGAATTGAGCGGGGGAATTGCCGCAGAGTTCTGTTTTAATGGTCCGCGCGGTTTCCACTGCTCAAAGTCGCCGTCATCGAGGTCGTCGCCATCGCTGCATTCGCTAGAGCTAGAGAGAAAGTTCGTAGATGCGCGTCTACTGCATAAAGCGAACGTACGACGTGCCCGTCTCCTCGAGTCTGCACGAGCGGGTTGTCGTCGTATCAGAAGGTGCACTCGCAGACGACTGATGACCGCAGTCACTCACCTCACTGTGCTGGTAGCCGTGACGATGACCTTTGTCGTCGTCTCTGCGGTCTCAATAACCAGCACAGCCGTAGCAGGCTGTTTCTCGAGCTCGCGTTCATCGGGCGAGACGCGACTGTGATATCCACGTAGTTGAGGATCGTGTTCTCTAACAGATTCGACCAGACACATACCTCTCTTCAGATCCGGAGTCAATTGCGGCAGACAAGGAAATCGGATCTTCCATCTGGGTTCAAGCTGTATGCGGGAGCTAGAGTGAGTGGGATATCGAGGAGGGGACACTGGTAGCTGAGCTCTGAAGCAGGAGCAGGGATTAATATGTTCGGCCTCGGAGTCTATTACCACGATGGACCACACAAGACGCTCGAGGCTGTTTTTTTGACGGCACTGGCAGTGCACCTGAACCGGAGTGCGTCTTATTGATTTTCACTATTGGGGCTTGCGACGAAGGTAGACAACTGACAAGGTTGCTCCTCAAGATGCACTCACTGGTCCGGATCCTTGGTGTTGTCGCGGTCATCAATTAGAGCCCATCACATTAGAGACAAAACACCTGGTTACTTACGAGCTTACACTGTACAGCATCGGATCAGGCCTCGAGTCTTACGTCTGCACGAAGCCCGGGCATGCGAACCATGCAGAACCCTAAAGCTCAGCCTCGTATCGTTGAGGTACTGTAGACCGGATAGTGCGAGTCGCTGGCAGAGCACTTTCGGAGCATTTGGCAGAGCATGACGATCAATGCATAAATTAACTTGAGATCCAAATGAGATCCGATAGATCTTGCCAAGGAGCCAAATCACGTGGCTACAACTTGCAAGCGACGCGGAAGCAAATCATGATCTTGCATGTAATTTACTGCTTGCACTGCACTGCTGCACACGCCGTATAGTACACGTTGGTGAATGTTCAAGCCGATGTATGCAAGACCAATTCTTCAACTAGACATGCACGCGTGCGGCTTGTGCGCGGCGAACAACTTCCCTAGCTAGGGTCTTAACGGCGCACGCCGCCGGTTTGCTTGACGGGCTTGCCAGCAACGGTGTGGTTCGTTGGACCTCTGGGCTTCCACTCTTCCTGATCATCGTCGTCGATCGTGTCGGGTCTAGCAGTTCATATAATCAGAGAACATTCGTTGCACCGGCACGAACATGCGCACATAAGCTCCGTCGGCTTAATCTCTGGCAAGCCAGGACTGGGGTCCGGGGAAGCCGAAGGCTCCGAGTTGTTCGGCCTGCAACAGTAGCATGCTGAGCTCAACGCCTTCACATGCAAACATTTGCCCGGATCGACGTACTTTGACTCAAATGGTCTTGGTTCAGACATCCCGATGCAAGGCAGGGAAACAACACGCGGAGAGAGTCAATAGGCAAGCGGTGGGAAGGCGGGTGTCGAGACTATCTAGCTCAGTCTCATTTATAGCTGAGCATTTGGCAGTGACCGCGTCATAGAACCAAAAAGTTCCGGAGACCCACTTCAGGGCCAGTTCTCGAACCCGAACTTCCATTCAGCTCGTCAGTGAAGCTAGTAAAGACTCGGGCGGTGGGCGGCACGAACCACACCTGGACTATTGTATGAACCTAACCATCCGTGGCTCCATACTACAGTCGCCGCTAGTCAAGTGGTCTGAGCCAGAAAGACAGCACAAAATTCCTTCACACAAGGCATCCGCGTGCGAAGAACCTTTTCTTTCCATGAGAGCGAACTCAAGCAACCTTGATCATTCATCATAGTGCCCGCGTTCAGGACCATTCAGCGATCTTCAGACGTGGTTTTTTTGGTTGAAGGTGGGTCATGCGTACTGTGTGATTCTGTTTGTATACTGACCAGCATTCCTTACAGTCATGCGGAAGAAACATTCTCGCATGCAATGTAGCACCGGGAAGGCGGCGAATGCCTGCAGGCCTGATATCAGTGCATCCGCCGACTGTGTGGCATTAGACCTCGAAGCTATTCACGGTCGTTGAACTTGTATGATGGTCCCCAACACCGCTCCGTCTTCCTCCATGCTTCGGCCAGTGCTCGAGTCAGTCATTGACCACTGGATAGAGGGCGCAGCGCCGTTCACAAGGGTAGAAGATGCATGGAAGAGTCGTAATGTGGCTCTCCTCCGGGCGCTTGATAACGACGAACCGAGAAGGTAAGTACTTCGTGCTGGAGAAGCTGTCATCGCATGCCCGCAAATGACTGCAATGCACACCGGATCGTCGACAAGACGTTTGCGGAAGTTAAAAGATAAGTACTTTGCCACACTACACGCCATCGGGGGCTTATGGCAAATACGCGTGCAGATAAGTCGTGATAGTACACATACAAGGTTGGTCCAGTCATGCTGCTGCTACTGTACAATGCATACCGGCTCTGAGGCCAGATTACTTTAGCTCTCGCGCTACGGTAAGTGTCCTTTCAGTATTATCTCGCAGTCTGGTATCGTACTTCATTTCCTTGGCCCGAGGTCACTGCGGCAATACCTCAAAGCTGCGATGGGTGATGCTCAACGAGTCGCGCTTTCGATATATGCGAGTTTTGGTCAGGCATCATAGATGGTAAGCAGCGACGTGACGCATGATGGTCAATGACGCCAGAAGCTCTGTGGAGATAGGATCTGGTGAGCAATCTCACAAACCCGACGAACGGAGACGACTCACCGATAGCTAGGCTCGCGTGCGTCTCGTTGATAGTCAACATGTTGCCAGACGTCCGGAACGCTGGCTTGTTTGGAGGCTTCAGGTTGTAATGAGCCACAACATAGTTGGCTGAGTCAGTGCACTGACATTGGAACAACGTCAGACGCAAGACCGGGCCCGTCGTGAACGGTACTCACCGACCACTGATGGTCCGACTCGGTCTTGTACGTCCATTTGTACTCCTCGCCATTTGAAGCTCGGAACTTTCGAATGAGCGATCTGCAAGTGGCATTGTGAGTATCCCGCAAGGACAGTGAATCGGCATCTGACTCACCCTCCAAACAGTGAGACCTTCTTCAGGTACTGGTTCATGGGCATAGAGACAGACGTGCCCATGAAAGAGATCTGTCCAGCGTTCCGCTGGGCCCGAACTCGAGGGCGACAGAGGGTTCACGCTGTAATGGTCGGTAATCTCGTTGGTTCGACGACCGACGACCGACGTTGTATATCATGAGGGCGCTAGGCGGGCCATCCGTGGCACTCCCTGGGGTCGCGACACACGAAGGAAGAGACGATCGTAGATGTCGTCGAAGTCGGAGCCCGCGTACGAGCCCGAACGGTCCTCGAGGTAGTATGGGAGCGCCTTGTTGATCATCACTGCGTAGGAGTATCACGAAAGTCGTCGGCGTCGCGGGTATATGAGGGGCAACGTGCGAACAAAGGCTATAGAGCTGAGTCGGGGACGTGTCTGACTGTCTGCGCACGAAGGTCCAATATAAAGGGTCGAAGGCCAAATAGACGCGTGATTCAATTACAGATTGCATCAGTAGAGCTGAGAGTACCGCAGTGGCTGCGACCTCGAACGAGATTCCTCATGCACGGCATGTGTGCCTTCGGAAGATCCGTGCCACCAGATCCAGAGCAGTCGACTGAATTGGCCTGTCCATGTCGGCAGCGAAGCTCCCGAACTCCCGGTTTGGCTCACACCTGTGCGCTAGCGCGAACAGGTCTCTTCTGTCAATTTGCTTCCGCGAAGGCGCCCCCGGCAGGTCTGTAACTTGTGCGAGACTCCTGTCGACATGTCGGCGAGCCGCGACCACCAGGGCCAAAGTCCGCGGCTCGCTGAAGCGCAAAAATAGACCGAGTAATTACCGGGTTGTCCGGAGAGGTGGCACGCCGGTAGGTGTCTAGGTTCAAACGTTCAGAGACTGGCTCAGACGTTAGGCCAACGTTGGGCCATATCACGATACAATGGTGTGGTTCAAGGACATCCTGCCATTGCAACCCCAACACTCCCATTGGATCACTAAAGGACATGTCACGAGTGCAATCCCAGACTAGATGTGAGAATCTACGAACCAGAACACCTAGAAGCAGGAGTACCCACCTATCATCTCCATGTAAGTTGCTCTTCCAGGTCGCCTCATGATTGCTGACAAGAAGATGCTCTTGAGAGGCTCCTCCGATGAATGGCGTCCGGTGTACCGCGATACCACATACGAACAGGTTCTCCTGCGATGCATCGCGGACGCGTAAGATCTTCGGAAGTGAAACAAGACGAAATCCATGTCATGAACTTCGACGATTCGCAGACGACCGTCAACTGACCAGAACCCTGCGCCACATTCATTTGTCGCACCACTTCTCAGCCCTTCGTGGTCATAGTAGGCTTCGCCCAAGCTTCGTGAACCCTTGTCCAGGAACGCACGTTCTACCAGCGAGTTTGAGTTTGGGTGTCTATGCGTTCCCGGCGTAGGAAGTGTCAGAGTGACATGAGGGGCAGATCGAAGAAGCAGAAGCCACATACTCTATTCCGATTGGGGAAGCTACGACGCCAGCTGACCAGCCGGCCGAGCAGTTGACAGCGGTCGCTACCTCACATACACGCAATCGTGTCCTGGCAGACGTGGGATTCCGCGCGGCGAGAACCTCAACTGGACTGCTCATGACACCGAGGCTCATCGGCGGCCATTGACGCAGGGAGCCGGAGCATACTCTCGCCCGTGACGAGCACGCAGTTCAGCCACGATTACAGATGTTCACAACAGGAGGGGAACTTTACGTCGGGGGAGACAACGTTGTCGCACGATGCTGTATGTCTTCTGGAAGGAAGGAGTTCTCAGGGCGCTGCATGAAGAACTCGAGGCGATCAACTCACCCTGCTGACCGCGGAAGAAGGGGCGCAGAAGCCTGGCAGTATGGTAGACTTCATTACGGTGATTGAACGACGATGCCGGACATGAAGGGGCCAAGGGAACAGAGAAAATTGGTCGGGGCGTAGCAACTGACCCCCACGCAGAAGCTAGAAGTCAAAGGAGCATGGTCCGAATGAACTCAGGTCACCGAAGAGAACAGTTCCCAATATGGTATGTAAATAGAGCTGGCGTCCAGGGCAACGTCTGCGAAGGTCGTAGGCCATTCAATGCAATTCAATACAGGGTCACGTTGCAGGCCTGGAGGATCTCATGCATTCAATATTAGTACAAACACGGTGGACCGTCCTACAAGGTCCGCAATTCATTTTGGTGACCTGTCCTCGGCCCTGTCTGTTCCAGCACTGTCAGCTACCATGCACTTCGGATCGGCGCCGCCGTCGCCTGTACGTACTTACCCAAGTCAAGAAATACAGAACAGTCGAAGCGCGACGACAGATCGGCGCGATTACACAGTTTTGTCAGCGTCGAAGCCGCCTGACGGACCGATCGCCTCCGCGCTCGTCTTCGCGTCCAAGAAAAGCTCGCCCATCTCGTTGATGTCCTCCAGCTCGATCTGTTTTCGGCCAGACAGACCAGCGAGGATGGACGCTGGCGTGAGCAACTGCAGCGCGTATCTGTGGCAGCTGGTCAGGCAGCGTCAGGATGAAACAGGAGACAGGTGCCGACCGGAGTGAGCTTGTGTCGCCACGTTCTGCTAGCCTGTCGAGCACACCGGGTCCGAGCTGCAGCCCTTCGACATTAGCACGCAATTGGACGACCTTCGCGATGTCAGGTTTGTTGTAGCGCTCTGTCCTGACGATGAGACAACTGTGATGGCGCGATATGGTTAGACCTCCACAAGACTTCCCCGATACGTAAGACATGCATACCGATCGAGCAGATCAATGGGGATCCCGTGAGGGGCGACGATGTCTGTGGTTCCGCGCACTAGGGAGTTTCCGCGATTCGTTGCAAAGACGACTGTCGGTGCCATCGGCGATTCGAGCAGGGCGTTAAGGTAGGTGAAGCACTCGATATCGAGCATGTGCACCTATGAGAACGGCAACTCAGACATGCAGACTGGATCCTAGCGGAATGCGCGCAAACCTCGTCGATGAAGACGACACCGGGCACGACTTCCGCCACGCCCTGATCCACGTAACTCTTCACAACTTTGTTAACCTCCTTCCGTAGCTTCTCGGTGACCTCCGTTCGGCCGCTTTTCACGAGGCTTCCCATGACGCTCATGATGTCCTGTCCACCCTGGGGTCGTGCATTTGCTGCGTCGAGGTCACCGAGAGTCACATCCTGCACAAGCTCCTTCCGCTTGTGCACGTCACCCTTGGGCAGTGGGACATACGTCTCGGACTCGAGATCATATGAAGAAGCATACGCATCTGAACGTCCTACTCGCTGCCTCACTGATCAGAGCGGTCCAACGGAGTGTCATCATCGGTCCTTACCTTCACTGCGCCAGTATTAGCTTCGACATAGATTACGTCTCCGACTACGATTTTCTCCTTCAAAATGGCCTCGTATATGCTGGGATCCAGTCGAAGCTGCTTTGTACCCTTGACTGTCTTGAGCCCAACGATGACATGAGAGACGGTCTTTCCGTACCCGCTCAGAGGGTTCTCGGACTCCGTAGGGGTGAGTTCGGTGACCTCGCCCTCATACACTTCCTTGGTTTCTTTTATCCGTAGGCCTAGACACGACGATGAGGCCCATGATGCCTCACGAAATCTCATGACATACCGATGGCGCGCCGAAAGGCCTCCGCAAGCACCTCCGTCTTCTTCACCTCCGTCGAGTACACCTCCGACCCGACCATGGGGCAGAAGGGCACTTTGGCACCCAGCTCCTGAGAGATGGCTAGAGCAAGTGCCGTTTTACCTGTCCCCGGTGCACCGGCCAGGAGCAGAGCGCGTCCTGAAAACTTGCGCGACTTAACGAGATCGACTACGACGCCACATGCCTATAGGGCTACTTGTTAGCTCGTGGATCATATGCTGCCCATCCAGCAGGGAAGCCTTGAGGTGCATACCTCTCGTGCGTTGCCTTGTCCAATGAAGCCCGCTGCATCCCCACTGCCCGTACCTTCTGGAGTGAGACCAAGGCCCTTGATGTGCGAGTGTGGCGCGATGCGCGACGAGCGCGACGCAGAATTAGTTGAAGGCGGAGGCAGCGCATTATGTGCGACAGGGGCGGAGGACGTCGATGCCGACATGGCAGTGAATGGTGAGTGGTGTCCAGAGGAAGAAGTACGCGTCTGCTCAGAGGAGGTTGTCCAGTATTCTGAGCCTGACCGTGTTCGTGAGGAGGCGCATTGGAAGCGCGCACTGCGACAGCATTTTGCAACTCGAAACTCCGACGATTGTAGCTTAGTATGATAAATAAGGCTGCTTTCAACACATGCATTAGCAGTTGTATGCTATCTGATAAATCCTTGGGAGCGATGTGATTGGATCGCGAGGAGCGAGCCGCATCTCTTGCGCCGCGATGTCCTCGTCCAACCAGAAACCGTATGTCCAGTCGGGCGAACCGCTTCAGGATTTCCTTCGTTCCTTCTGGCAACGTCAAGTCGATGCAGCAGAACAAGAGACCCCCGACTACAGGCACCCGCCTCTGCCACTCGCACGCATCAAGAAAGTCATGAAAAGCGACCCGGAAGTAAAAGTGAGCTGAGCAGCACATTCACGAGCTCAGCATTGCGCACAGTATTCTGATACCATGCTTGTGGTCATAGATGATCGCTGCAGATGGTACGTCCCATCACGCACAGTTGACGTGAAAGCGACGCGTCTCATCACAGTCTAGCACCCATCCTGTTCTGCAAAGCATGCGAGGGTACGTGTTGAACATGACCAAGTCTCGAGCAGATCACTCAGCATACACACGCTGCAGTCTTCATTGCGGAGATTACTGCACGAGCCTTCATCATCGCCGACTCTAACAAACGGCGAACCTTATCTCGGGCAGACATTGCCAAGGCACTCAGCAAGTCCGACCAGTTCGACTTCCTCATCGACATAGTTCCTCGCGAAGAGCCCCTTCCCGGTGCCCCTAATGCCGGCAGGAATCAAGGCAAAAAGGCGAGTGGCTTACAGACGAAGGCTGATGTACGTGCTCTCCACCTGTGCCGGCAGATATCCATGGCCTTCGTCCAATCATATACATGCACTCCTTCCCTAATTCAATAGCTCATACCACAACTCTCCAGACCGCCGGTGCTTCACAGTCCGGTAATGGGGAAGGCACATCCAACAGCGAAGCCGTTACTAATGCAGTCGATCTCGACCAGGTAGGCCTGCACGATGTGCGTATCGGAAACCGACTTACAATGACACCCAGCTGCAATCGTTACTCAACTCCGCCGGGGACAATCGCAACGTCCAATAGATATCATTATTGCTCATTCGCTAATGTACTATAAGATTCTCCGTTCCGAGTCTACTCGCTCTTGCCATTGCTATCCTGCTGTACATCATGCTCCCGTCCCCGGACTGTTATATCCCATATATTCGCGTTATATCCTATGAACCATACCCGAACCATGCAAGATACTACTTCCCAACCCGCGCAGTCAGGTTCCACCGGTATGCATCACTGGGCCATGCCGTAAGCGCAAGTTCCTTCTCCTCGAACTCCGTGATCTTATACTCCAGGCTTCGCACACATTCCCGCAGCTGCCGGCCTGCATAGTCGTCGAGCTGAGGCGAGCCGCGCGACGCAGAGATGCCCTCCAAGACTCGCAGTCGATCCAACGGGCGCTCATCATTCACCCGCTGCGAGACGACGCTCTCCAGTAGAAATCCGGTGCACCGCCGCTCCTCCTGGACAGTCAACTCAGAGAGCTCCGGGCAGATACCGGGCACACGGAGGGCGAACAGAGCACCAGAGCACCTCGGGAGGACGGTAAGCTTCGTCAGACCATCGGTGCGTTTCAGGACACGCGTCCATGCGTCCGCCGACAGGAACTCGCCAGCGTCCACTGCAAGGGTGATCTCACGGATGTCCTGCGCGTGTAGCTTCTTGAGGAGCCCTTCGAGGACATCCTGGCTCCAGAAGTCGCTGATGAGGTGCAGGACGCCGTCGTGGACGGAGAGCACGTCCATAGTCTTGTCGCCGAGCTTTTCGACGCCGGCATACCGCTCAGCGTGCTTGTGGTCCAGGATGCGGACAGTGTGAAGGGTGCGGAGAGGGCCAAGCTTGATGATGTCGTCCGGGATCAGGTTCGCCAGCCTCGCTCCATTGTTCTTGCCGAAGAAGTGCGAGGACGCGGGGGCCCAGATGTTGAGCGCAGTGTAGGGCGGGAGTATGAGGTGGGAGAGAAGGCGCGCAGTAGCCTGAGGCAAGAACGAGTGGCCAATGTCGAGCGTGCGCAAACAGGGAAGCACCACAGGTGTCAGGAGGGTGTTGTACAAGCTCAGGTCGCGTTCGACCTCGAGGTTGAGGTCGGCCGCGACAAGAGCAAGTTCCTGGAGGCCGGAACAAGACTCCAGGAGCTGTAGCATGGAGGAAAGGGGCCGTCGGCTCTCGGGAGCATGGTCGTGCAGGCAGAGGTGAGTCAGATTAGCAAACGAGTTTCCTCGCCAGTACGCGAAGCCTCCCAGGGTGAGGCGCTCCAGGCGTGGGGTGCAACCGTCAAACAACTTTGGCAGGAATGCGTTGCTGATGGGCCCCTGGACGCTGTGCATGGTAAGCGCACGGAGGTTCGGAGCAGGCTGATTGAAGCGTTCGATCAGCAGACTCCCGTACGCAAACTTCGGCTCGACGTGCAGTTCCTCGATCCGGTGGGACTCGTCTACGATGTCCATCAGGACTGCTGTGTCCCGGAGACAAGGTACGATGCAATCTTCATCCACGCGATCGCGCATGATCACCTTCAACGGTGCGCCTCGGGCGCGGTGAAGCATCGCGTTAACGGACATCGGGCGGGCGGTATCGACGGTGGACCATAGGTCAGGGAATGCGAAGGCAACGTTTCGCCAGTGGCGGCAGACTTGAGACACATGCAGGCCATCGATGGGGTCTGGATAGGCGGCGTATGAGTGAGGGAAGGCCTGTGCTGGCTCAACGACCATCTTGAAAATGTATGCAAGAAGCTCGACGGGGATGGCGTTGATTGGCGAGAGCGCGTTCCTCACGTACTGCAGGGCTAGGGGCATGGCAACGATGGCTTCCTCGACCTCGTCAAGCAGCGCGGCGGTGATACTGGAGCGAATGCTGCAGCGAACCGTCAGGCTCCAAGTGCATGGAAGTAATAGAAATACAAGACGTACTCTCTGGAATGGCGTTCCGTCGCGTACATGGCGTGTACGGTTCCCACCAGCCGGAATGTAGTTGGGTCGAACGAACGTTTGCTGTCCACAGCGTCGAAAGTACTGGTAGATGCCATGCTATTGGAGAGTAGATTGTAATGCAGATGGACGAGATAGATGATGAGAAGCTATTTGGGTTTGCGGATATGATGTTCTACTTATAACGCTCGAGGAGGCTGACTGCTTCCGCGCGCTGTCAGCCTCGGTGAACCGTTCTGTGAGTAAAACGTCCACCAGCCGCCGGAGTTCGCCTACAGTACATTTCGACTGTGAATATGCAATCGACCAGGAGTTCTGAAATGTAAACTCACAGAACACAACGGACAGTGGACAAGCAATTTGATCATCTAGTCCAGTGCGACGGCCCGGGGAGTTTAGACGGTGAACTCGAAGCAGGAACCCCGCCCTTCTCAGTACAGTTCCACCTTCTCGTGGAATAAAATACCCAGATAGCACCGGTACATGTGCCTAAGGGTCCTTTGGACTCATCGTGGTGAATTGGATGCGGCATGCCTCTGTATACTGTGAGTAATGCCAGCACGGAGTCGAGTCTGCATGTAAGGTTTGGCCTCGATCACAATCCGGTGTCACCGTGCCTGGCAGCCCTTCCATTTTGCAAACATATCTCTCGAGGGGTAACGGAGGTAAGAGAGAGCAATGAAGTATAGCAATTGACCTGTCGTGGTGTGGTGCTCCTCAGAGTCGGGAAACGACAACGCTGCCGCAGGGCGCTAGCGAATCAAGTATGCGTCGGCAGTCTCCGATCAATGTTGTCAAAACAGGTGGCTGAGCACTGCCTCGGCTCTCTTCAAGTTCACAGTCGACGGTGTCTCTATGCACCCACCGTTGACCCATCTTATGCTCTGGACATCGCGGTACAGGAGCCTATCTTACTCTATACTGCACTGCCCCATACACGAACACTAAGTCATCAAGAATGCTGTTCAATCATATCACAGGTACCACCCGCCACAGTATCATCGCGATGCTAAGTTGCTGTGAGTGTGTTGTTTCCGGAAACAGGAACAAGAGGGCTTGCTCTATGTGGCTCGTCTTTCCGACCTTTCGCTTCCGTTCCCGGTTATGATTGTATACATAAGGTACCGTATGGTGGTTTGCCATGTACGAAACGGTGACTCTTATTGTCGTCAGATCCACGGAGTGTACATCCACTCCCCGGTGCTGTGCCAATACATCTGTTTGTCGCTGGGACTAGCAACGACGCTCACGCACGCTAGCTGAATACCGCTCCCCACCAAGAGAGCTCAGCGCTCAGAAGACACTGTTGCAGCCTCGAGAAGCGATGCCTCATAGACGAGTGCTCTGGCTAGGCCATCATTGCATTGTCGTCAGCGTGAGGCTGTGCGTCGGGCAGTTGTCAACGCCATGCAAGAGCTCCCATCTGCGACGACTCACTGCCACTGGCATGTTATCTGCTGTCTATCAAGCCAATCCCTCACTCGCTTCGTGAGCGGTGATTTTTACGATCCGTGCTGAACACTAGGAAAACAGATATATGTACAAGCGCGCGGTCCACATGTAACTACCGCCTTCTTCATGTGCGCTGACCGACCGACATCACCTCGAACGGTCTACGTATCTTCGTCGACGAATGGACCTCACACTGTGGACATCTGAAGAATAGCAACGCCGTAATGACGACTTCTCTTCCTACCCCAGAAGGCGATAAGCTCGTTCATGGAATGTATTGCAAGGAACGGCCGCCGAGCAGCTGCGTGGGTTTCTCAAAACGGTATTGTAAAGCGGTAGCTCGCTCCCAGTGCGAGATGTAGTTGAAAGTCAGTCGGATAGCAGCCGTATCCGTGTCGCCAAAGCAACAGAACACGTATGCACTGCACGGCTGACAGTAGGAATGGAAACGTACCTACATACTGAGGTGCCAGTGGCCAGTAGTATACTGCGCTCGCGGCTGCATAGCCTCAGACTCGTACGAGAATCTTAGCCTCATCCGACTCAATATGGTTGCTCATGATGCTCACAGACACATGGGACCGCTAAATGCCGTTATGCGCCCGACTTCAAGTTCTCCGCTGTTATTGACCCAAGCAGGAGAACACTTCAACCTACTCGGAGAACGGTCTCGAAAAGGACACTGCCACAGCGGGACCGTCTCGCTATATTTAGGCCGGCTCCCAACCCAGTCCGTTCGACAGATCCTGTACTTAGTGTCCGCTCGCTGCCATGGAGCTCGCCAACGAAGTCCGGTGGAGGAAAGGTACGGCCACAAGTGCACTACTGCTGTGTTGTGCACTTGCAACCATCTCTATGGGCGCATGGGCGCTGTCGCCAGTACTTAGTCCCGTTCGGCGCGTCCTGTCATAGGGCCGATGATCATTACGAGATCATAACAGCTGGCGGCGAGAACGCGTGGAAGGATGCGCCTCAGCAGCCACTATCAGGCCGTAATGGAGCCTGTGCTACTATTGATGCTGTGCGCAGGCTGATCTATCGGCATAGAGGACATAGACTTGTCCGGGTTTGTCTCAGGTCCGTGTGCCACAATGTTGGGAAATCAATTCGATCTGTCGCGAAGAGGCGCACGGTGCCTCACACCACGGAGAATAAGCCAGCCTGGGTACGTTATCCCAGTCTTCTCTTCGTTCATAAAGCCCGTCACGTAGGATCTCCGCATACCGTACCCGCCCCCCTTTATACCCACAAAGTATCGCCGAGGCCTCTATTTAATCGCGGTCCCTCCCCTGTCCTCTAATCAGCCTCCACACTTACGTACCTTACGATGCCTACAATGAAGTCCCGACGTAGTGCAGTGCTCAGGCTGCTTATCAAGTGCGCCTTAGCCATGGCCACTCTAGCTATGACGATCAAATATTGTACGTGAGTAAGGCTCTTTCAGTTGAATGTAGACTCATTCACCTTTTAGGCTTGAACTTGATGATATCATTCACGAACCCATCGAGGAGTTCTCCTTGGAGAAACATCCCTACGTTCCGCCTACAGAGTGGGACAGTCGCTCGCCGTGTCCCGCCTTGAACACGCTAGCGAACCACGGCTTTCTGTAAGTCAACGATCACTGTCGAGCGCGCTCGCATCTCCTGACCACCACCCGTAGCCCACACAACGGCCGGGGCGCGACGAAGAAAGATTACATCCGCGCGCTACGCCAGGGATACAACCTGTCCCTCCCGCTCGCAACGTTCCTCACCGTAAGCGGGCACGTCCTGCTCTCACAGTACTCCCACCTCTCGCTGGCGGACCTCGCGCGGCACAACTGCATCGAGCACGACATGTCGCTCGGGCACTGGGACACGCTCCAGACGCAGGAATATGCGCCTGACAGGCCTAGCGAGTGGCTCTTCGACCGCGTGCTCGCACACTCGTCCGACGGGAAGCGGATGACGCTGTGCGAGCTCGCGGCGGCGCGCGTCGAGCGCGAGAGCACGTACGCGCACAAGCTGGATGCGGTGCACGAGGAGATCGCGCGCGGGGAGATGTCGATGGTGCTTGGTGTCTTTGGGGGGAAGGACGGGCGTGTGCCAGTGGACTGGCTGAAGGAGTGGTGGGAGAACGAGCGGTTCCCTGAGGGATTCAAGCCTGACCACCAGCAGACGCTCCTGGACACAGTTCGCGGATCGTGGAAGATCAGGAGGGCCATGAACGAGATGGCGCAAAATGCGAGCACGAAGCCCACATAGTTCGGATTCAGAGGGCATTGATCATGATGACCTATTTAACTTATCACCGTGTGGTGTATCTATTTTGCATATTTGGTAGTGTAGCACGGTAGATGTTTGTATGATACTGACCTGATATCCGATGGACTTCGATGAATGTCATGATATAACGCCTAGTCTCCCGTAGGCAAATTCTGAACACGACCTCTTGGATCCGGAGTGGGAAGCGATATACTCTCGCACATCTGTCGAAGTGAGATGCACGTCACACTGCCCGCAATGCCCGTATTCTGCTGTAATGGCATGAAGTGAGTGCTACTTCCAAACAACACCCATGAACGAGATGAGATGTTCAAGTAGCCGCGGAAGGGGCGGAGCAAACCAGTGACTGCTCGAGTAAAACCACGCCAAGCATAGAGCATTGCCTTGGGCTCGAACCAGATGCATGAAGAGATATGCCCATGAAGCATCGCCTCGTGAACGAGTACGCTCAAGGAGTTCAATACCCTATGAATGGCATCAATCGAGTAACATCGACTCGTGAAGTCCAGAAGTAATACCAGCCATGGCCTCAGGCTGAAAGACGGGGCTTACCACTCCAGTGAGAGAGGACATCATGGTTTCGGACATGGAACGGTCATTCGACTAACTGCAAAGGATGTGCATTTGAGTAACATTGAGAGAACTGTGGGAGCGGGCATACCATCACACGCTTGGGCTTACTGAGAGTTCCCGGCGAGTAGGCCGAGCCCACAGGACGTGCCTACATATAAGTAATCGGCGGTCGCAGAACGCTTGGCCCCGTGTGTCGCTTCGCTTCCCCTCTTGTTGCATCGCTCGGTGATGTCCCGGTGGTGAACGTATGACTTCTGAAGCGAGAATACCGACATCCCGCCGTGCAGGTACTCCTCTCGTCCTCCCGACTACCTCCACCTCGTCAAATGCCACGTCCTGCTGCACTCAAGACTTCCTCTGACCTTGTCTTCGGCGTCTTACATCGCCCTCCTCCTGTCGTCCGGCGCCCTCTCTGAGCAGGTCAGACCACGCTGTGTCCGGCTCGGAATCCTACTACCACCGACGTCAAGACACATCTCACTTACCCATCTGCACTCGTGCAGCACGAGCTTGACATGACCACGAGCGAATCCGATGGCCTCTCCCGTTGCCGGAGGACGACCAGATGCGGTCGGCTGCCGCACAACCTCCGGACGATCTAGAAAGCGGCGAAGACGAAGCGTGACCGTCACTCGTAGGACCATCCGACTATTCGTGGCCGGGTCGTGGCCCAGGCGGCCTGCAGGCGGCCATTGAGATGGCGAGGAGGAGGACAGCAGGGCTGGTGAGAGGTTTAGGCAAGTTTAGGCGTCGTCTCGCTGTCTACGCGGCCGCCAGAACCTGACGAACGCTCAGTGCGTGGAAGAGTACTTCCATCCTCGCTCAGAGAACGGACTTGGCTTACTGTTGCTTACTGAAACCATGCCTTTCTATCAAATCGTATGGTCATCGTTTGGTCACCGGGCGGGCGCAGGCGACCACAAGACTGTCGAGAGTGCCACAGGGCGTCCGTGCAGCGGGTGTGGCGGGATAAACCATCGTTCCGTTGCTCGACCTTTAATACTTAAACCGCCTCCCTGATCTCCAAAATGCCGTTCCGCACCTTGATCAGAGTCTTGCGATAACTCACTGATCATTTTTCGGTCTATCCACCACCCCATCTCGAGCTGCCATGGTCTCTTCGACGCTCCGCATCTTCCCCCCTTTCCGCGCAGACCATATCGGCTCGCTCAAACGGCCCGCTGAGCTCCTAGCCAAGCGCAAAGAATTGGACGACGGGAAGTGCACCCCAGAGGAGCTGAAGGTGGTCGAGGATGAGGCAGTCACCGCCATCGTTGCGATGCAAAGGGAGGCTGGAATCAAGTCGATCACGGACGGTGAATTTAGGAGGTACGTCAACTAGTTTTGGCATGGGTTCGGTGCCGTAGGGCAGCCTTCAGTCACCGTAGACGAAACACCTTTTCGTCGGCATGTGTTGCGAAAGGATCGATGAGCTGGACTTGGGGACGGGACCAAGGCGTATCGAGGCTCCATTCCTGGCTTGTCATGCCCATGCACGGGATACATTTTGGATCTGGTTGTAGCTATATCCATTGAACTACGCTGATTGTTCTGCGCTGCAGACATATGTTCTTCGATGGTGTCTTCGACAACCTGGACGGCATGAAGTACATTCCTGTCGGTGCGTCCTACTCCATAGCTCGTATTGTACTAGCACGCTTATTGGTATCCTTACTTCCTGAAGTTCCCATGGACTGGTTCATGGTAATCACCAACTACCTCATCTTCTGACGTAAAGCTCACAATCAGTTTGCTCGCTCAGCACTACGTGCCGGACATCGATGCATTCAAGGAGCATTATTATAAGGGTGCTGCCTCCTACATTTGCGAGGTAGGCCGACCAGCGTTTGCCGTCGTCAGGATCAGCTCCATCAATTTTATATAGGCGAAACTGAAGCGCACAAAGCCTTTCTACATCGGCCAGTACGAAGCCTCAAAGCCTTGACGAAGCCAGAGGTACGTCTTGAACAGTTCGTTTGAACGATAAGTAATCCTGCGATATGTAGGAGCACAAGAACCTGAAAATCACGATGTGTGCTCCGGAGTGGTTCCATCTCCGGCACGGGCCCTATGCATACCCGAAATCCGTCTATCGACCGATGGTAAGATACACCTTGTGCATACAACGCAACGTTGCTGAAGCAGTTACTGGTAGAGGAGTACTTCGCCGATGTCGTCCAGGCCTACCGGGAGGAAATCCAGGATCTGTACAAGTCGGGTTGCCGTAAGTACCGCCGTCTCCTGCTCTCCGATTCGCCTAACTCCTTTGATAGGCAACCTTCAATTTGACGACCCCCTCCTCGCGTACTTCTGTTCCGAGAAGATGTTGAAGGGCATGGAGGAGCAAGGCGTGGACCACAAGGCGCTGCTCGACCTCTACGTCAAGGTCTACAACGACATCCTCTCCGGCCATCCCGAGGACCTTACTATCGGCATTCACTTGTGCCGCGGAAACTTCAGAGTATGTTGCATTCCTACTGAGTTTGTGGTGGTATACTGACTCGTGCGTGACGTCGTGTAGGGTGGACTTCATTTCAGCGAGGGCGGGTATGACCACATCGCCATCAAGCTCTTCCGTGACATCGCTGCGGACACCTATTATGTACGCCTCGCCTGTGTCCTCTTGACCCTCCACCTCTCACCCTCTCTCCGCGCCGACAGCTGGAATACGAGACCGAGCGTGCCGGTTCGTTCGAGCCTTTGCGATGGCTACCCCCTAACAAGTCGGTCGTGCTCGGGATCGTCTCGAGCAAGTTCCCGGTGTTGGAGGACAAGGACGAACTCGTGAAGAAGGTACACGCAGCGGCGGCGGTCATCGCCGACGGTGAGGAGAAGCGCACCAAGGAGGAGGCGCTCAACCAGTGCGTTACTCCGTCCCTCCACCATTGGTTACTCGTGGCTTACCTGTTGAGTAGGATCTGCATCAGCCCGCAGTGCGGCTTCGCGTCGCACTCAGAAGGGAACCCCGTCACGGAGGAGGACGTGGTCAAGAAGCTCCGCTTGGTCGTCGACACCGCCAAGGCGATTTGGTCTGACGCCTGAACGTGCATGACCTCCGTCGGCGCAACAATGACACGAATTCGAGAGCAATAATACTGTAAATAGTAACGCAGTAAGTTATGGGTCGCTCAAAAGGCTTGTCGGGTTGAGCGTGGCGCGATTAGCTGGTGTATCATCGCATGGATCCTCAACGATCTACTTTGCTATGTTTGTATATGATAAAAATGAAAGCATCTCCTCATGCGCCAATGCCCACTGTGTCGAATGTTATTCTCGACAGCCCTTTTGAGATGTGGGTGTCTCATCGGTGTCCTGGTAGTGCATGTGGCTGATGACGTTCCTCGACAGTAAGCTTCCCCGTATTCACTGCACACTGCACAATCATGGGAGTCGAGCTTCTTGCATCCTGGGACCCCGTATAACGACAGTCGCTCTTATGCCAAGGGTAAGATGGCTCTGAAGTCAAAAAACTCTGCTCGCATACAAACAATGGACGCAGCGCTTTCGTTTAGAGTTGAGTACGGGTGACCAGCACTGTTCTTAAGACGCGATGAGCATCGCTGACGTTGACGTCTTAGGCATTGACGTTCGTCCGTGCTGGTGCATGATCGATGCTCCTTGGCTTGCTCCTAGGAGGTCACATTAGCATTGTTCCTGCAATATCCAAAGATGATCAGGTGGACGTCTATAACCCGCATTGCGGTGATGAACATAAACTATTTGCTGAGACCGGCCACAGCTATCGACAACACCCTCATGATTGACCAACCTGAAGGCTCACGAGCCTTGTACTTATCTCCTCTACTCGAAAGTGAGATGTTCTTCCTTTGTCGTTTGCATCATTTCTGAGTTGCTCTCATTGTATGCTCTTCGCGAGCCTTTGACCTACAGGTCATAGGGGTCAGTCACAATGGCGTACTGGTCTCCCTCCTGTCCTTCGGCCCGAACTTGCCACTCTGTTATATGACGGTCTTGGCAGCTTCCATCAGTGCCGATCATTTCTGCATGGAGGACAACTTCCCAGAGCCTTGGAGACATCCGCAGACCTCGGTCCGAAAAGAATTAAACGTCGGCAAGCGATGCTTCTGCTTGAGGCAATGTTCGCACCATGGTAACTTACATACAGTGCGACCCGCTGATGGGCAGAGCGCTGAATTCTTGATGTCGTGCTCAAGCTCCTCGGCCCCTCCGACGGATTACCGCCCCTTTCAAGGTATTTCTGTCTCCTATTGAAGGCTGACCCCTCCGGACGCAGTCTTACAGATGATTTTCTATAATTGCCATACATATGCCTCCTGTGCATCTTCGATTTCGCATACTGTACCTCTACCTATTAGACAAGACCGGCGTTTGGTCACGTGCTGCATGGCAGAGGGATGCTGGGATGGTCAAAGCCGCGAGCGTACGACTCAGAGTCCTAGACTGACGACGACGGAACTTCGTCTCGGACGATGGCGCGTCAAATGATTCAGCGTATTCATAGCGTGTGGGGATCAGAGAGCTGTGGGTTTCTCGCCAGATCACCTTCCCTCGCCGGTCCGCTGACCTCTTGTCGTGACCTGCGGCATAGCAGTCCCACAGGGTGAATGGCCACGGACCATCAACGTTTCCACAACTTGAACTTCGAGGATCGCCGACTTGATCTCGGGCCTGGCGCCGGAGCGATGTTCGCCTGAGTCTAGGCGGTGGATGCTTACCGTCGTGCCCTCCGGACAGTGTATATAAAAGCCCTTCGGTCCTGGCGGCTTCCGATGTTCCTTTTGCCCCGATGTACTCTCAGGCTCTCTTGGCCGTTCTGGCCTTCAGCGTTGCTCGCGTCGTCAACGCGGCGAATGTGTCTGTGGACGTCCCAGTCCTCCAACCAACGAAGTCGTTGCCCCTCGCGTCAACGCTGCTTTCGTTCTCCATCGAGCAGGATAACTGGCCTGAATGGAGTGGCATTGACGAGCGAAACGAATTCACGTACAGCGCGTTGACGACCTACGCCAACCTTACTGGACAACCGCCCAAGTTACGCGTCGGTGCTGATTCGGAAGACCACACAGTCTGGTCACCTACAGTGACGGTATGTTCACTCTACGAGTTGTGATTCTTGACTGATCTTGGCAGATTAACGAAGACGTGTTCCCACCTTCGAATGCAATCACGCCTTACCCTGAGGCTACTAACATCACTGTTGGCAGCGAGTACTATACGCTCGTGAAATGGCTTCCGTCAGGTCTGCGCTATCTTACATGGCACTTGGTGTCGGGTTAACCAGACAGCAATAGGTACCCACATGGTTTGGGGAGTTAACCTCGGCTTCAACAATGCTACGAACGCAGTCAACATGGTGAAAGCCATCATAAACGCCTTCGCTTCACCTGATGTCATCGAATCTGGTGTCATCCTTGAACGCATCGAAGTTGGTGCGTCCCAATCACCACGTAATCAGATGATCTGCTCACTGTAACGGGTGTACAGGCAATGAGGCGGATCTCTATGGCAACAACGGCCTCCGCCAGAAGGGCAACTGGACTGTCGAGGATTACGTTCCTGACTGGGAGTCTATCGCCGATCCTGTCGTCGAGGCAGCGGGAATCTACAGCAAGAACGGATCTGTCAGCCTTCAGGGGGCAGCATTCGCATCACAGGCGTTTACTCCTCGGGAGGTCTTCGCACTTGGGATCCTGAATAGTACAGCTGGACAAACGATCTCAACGTACGTTGAAATGAATACATTTGAATGTTGACTCAATCGTTTTACAGGATCTCGCAGCATCAGTATTCAGCAGCGTTCTGCAACGGAGGCGATTTCGGCCTGATTTCCTTCATGAACAAGACAACTGTTCGCGGCAATCTGACCGTCTTTGAGGCGGACATCGCGGCGTCAAAGGCGAACGGCCTTGCTTACGTACTGGGGTAAGCAGACTTCATCTCATGTGCAATGGAGTGCGAACTGACTGAACCTCGCAACAGTGAGACCAACAGCATCGCGTGCCACGGCGCGCCGGGCGTTAGCAACACAGCAGGCGCTGCGCTTTGGGTCATTGACTACACGCTGTTTGCGTCAACCATTGGTATCGACGAGCTGTACTTCCACGAGGGCATCGGCTACAAGTATAACTTCGTCAGTATGCTTTGATGTCTCGATTTGATGCTCCTGCTGAAGTTGTTGCCTTAGCTGCAACCTGTGGCTCTGAACTATTCGACCATCAACGGGAGCGCGCTCGACCCTCCGGCGCCTCCACACGTCCAACCTGCTTACTATGGCGGTCTCGTCATCAATACGCTCATCGGCAACAGCGGCGCGGCCAGCATCGTGGAACTCACCGTTGACGAATCCGATACGACGGGATACGCTGCGTTCGAGAATGGCCAGCTCACACGCGCTGTCTTCGTAAACCTCAACGCGTGGGTCGCTAGCAGCACCGGCACGCGTCCGACAGTCCACATCGACCTCGACTTTGTCAACGGGACGACGACGGCAAAGACTGCTACAGCACGGAGGCTCGTCATCAACTACGCAGATGACACGCAAAATCTCACCTGGGCGGGCCAGAGTTACGAGGAGACGGCAGATGTCAGTCCGACTGGTCAGCTCGACCTGGAGACGATTGATTTGACGGATGGCTTTGACTTGCGTGCGACCGAGGCTATTTTACTCACTTTCTGACATAGTCCTTGTGATCTTACACGATAGATAGCTGTCGTGTTGCGCTGAATGCAATCGAACGTTCAGCGATCCCACTATGGATTTTTCGAGGGGAAAGAGATACCCTAAGTAAGTGGGTACTTACTTCGCACGTATCCAAGATATCGGCCACCATGGCCCGCCACTGTCCAAGCACCTCGACCATTTCTTGGCGGTTTGGCTCAGAACACATGCCAGGCGATTCTCGCGATTGACCTCTAATACGCGCATCTCGTGGTAATATCTAGGATTGAGCGCTGAGCTCATGGCACTCGCGGAGTGACCGAGTATGTAAGTACTTACCATGGGTGGCCGACCCGATACTGTATTACTATGGTAGTATTTCAACGTTAAGCTATTTACATCGATTCAAAAATATGTACGGTGAAGCGCTCGGAGTTTGGATCATCGACCTGAGCCTGAAAGGCGGCGACGACGGTGAGCGATCTCCATGTATGTCGCAGCAGGATATCTACGTCGACCTGTTCGCCTTCGCCTTACGGCTCATCTATGTATGCACGCATTGCAAGCTCGTTCATTGACGTATCCATTGCATTGGCGCCAAGTTGCTGTTGGAACAAATATACTTACGTAAGTAACTACATTTCGTTACGTGTTTCAATAATAAGCCGGCCTCCAGCAATGGTAGCCTCAAAAACACCGCACGACAGCATGCGCTATCAGGGTCTAGTCTCGCTTTCATTCTAACTCAAATGGCAAAACATCACGACGGAAGTAAATAGATTCACGTGGATTCGGTGTATAGAGTTTGGGCGTTCGTGGAACATGTACACAGCCTCTATATCTGCATCGCATCAGTCTCGCCTGAGGCTAAGGTGAGTTTGCTTTGATCTACCGACCGCCATGTCTGTCCTCTCTGCTGCCGATGTATACGCCGAGCAGTTGTTTCGCCTGGGTCATGGCTATCCTCTCTGGGATCCTGACCCACCTAGGCCTCAAGGAGAAATACTGATTGGGGATGTGGGTTTTATTGACGAGAATGGGTCATTCCATCGCGCATTCAACGCCATCAAACCCGAGGACGATCCTGTCAACGAATTTGGTGTTCCGAATGGCTACAAGCCTTTCAGCTTAGCCTCGAAGTTCTCGGATTTCAAGAAAGTTGGGGCACTCACTCCCGGAGCGCTGTGCAGCAGGACTATCAGGCAAACGCAAGTCGATATCAGTGCTTCAGCGTGGGTAGCGTTTCACTCGCAGTATCCACAGTATACTCACTTGACCAACAGTCATGGCGTCGGTGCTGGCCTTGAGTTCCAGTGCATAGACGACCAAGGCGCAGTCCTTGTTCTCAAACACAGCGCGGACGCGAGGTGGTCCTTCCCAGCAGGCGCATGTCGAACTACATGTCACAGAGCTTTTCAAGTTGGTACGAGTTCTTCAGGGACAGCCTCGACGTCGACGTTCCCAGAGAGTCTCTGCGCTTCATATGCGGTGTATGCAAGACTGCAGACTGGGCAGTGGCGTCATACACACAATCGGGAAAATCGGCACAATTCCAATTCAATGCAGATCTAGGAGCAGCTTCTGCCGCATTTTCGGTCTCGGCTGCGGCAAGAGTCCTTGTTGCACCTGAACAGAACTGGGGACCGCGCGACGCCTCGTCCACGGGCGATGAAATCAACAGTGGTCTCAGGAATAACCAGACCATTTTCATACACTACTACAAACTGAAGCGGCGCCTCCTCATGTTCCCTAGGTCATGAAAGCTGCAGCTGGCTATGACGAACTACCTCCTCCAGGACCTGACGAAGACGCAGATCAAAGTCGCTCGTCGATCGACAGCGCGAGCGGCGCCGAAGAGGTGAACGTGATCGAACGGGATACCACAGGCTCCGCGTTCCAGGTAAAGCACATGAGCATCATATGGGACGTGGTGAGTTAATGTCGGTTTGGCAGTGTTGGGACCCCGTAGACTTCGTCTTGGACTATATCTTGAAGGCAAGTTTTTGCCCAATAGCATGATTGTTCGAGTTCAACTGATTCGTGAACACGCAAATGCAGTACGAAGCAAGTGTCCAGGTTGCAGTTGCCAATGATCGTGATATAAATAAGCTATGCGAAGTACGTGGGTCGCTGTCAGAGGTAGTATTGACTGTTGATATGGTTATTGTTTCAGCAACACGGGTGTGAAATACCGGACGACATCCCACAGTTCCTCGAAACCGTCAAACCGCATATCGAAGTCACGGAAGATGGACGTCAGTTAATTCTTGTCATCAGACCGATCAATTGACTCATGTGTTGTCTCGCAGTCGGGATGTTGTCCCACGAGGACATCGCCATCCTCGAACGCCCGAATGCAGTAGAACAGACTGTGCCATTTGCTGTTGCCGATGAATCGTCCAGCTCGAGCATCGCTCCGGAGGGGGCGGCTACGGCAGTAGACTCTGAGCAGCCACCTCCCAGCACACAGGACTTGCCAACCGCTGCCGAGGAAACCGCTGACAAGGGCGGTCCCGCCGATCAGAAGAAGGCGAACATAGTCGCGGACAATGGTACCTTCATCGAGCTGGATCACCATGCCGGTGGCATCACGTCGCTTGCATACTCGCCTGACGGCCGCTACATAGCCAGCGGGGCTGACGATACCCTCGTGATCATCTGGGATGCCCGTAATGGCCACCGCTTGCACGCTTGCAGGTACCATACAGACGCAGTCTGCTCGCTGGCCTTTTCCCCTGACAGCAGGAGGTTACTCTCCGGTGCCAGTGACGGTCTCGGGGTTATTTGGGATGTCGAGACAGGACAAGAGCTTAGGGTCCTGACCGGACACACGGGCACCTTGTACTCTGTTGCATATTCACCTGATGGTTCGGCCGTCGCCACTGGATCTGTCGACACCTCTGTCAGACTCTGGGATGCTGCCACGGGGAAAGAACGTTCTTTGTCCAGAGGCCATAGCGCAATTGTTCTGATTGTCGCGTTCTCGCCTGACAGCCGCCGCCTCGTTTCTGCAAGCGCAGACTACTGTATCCGTGTTTGGAGCGTGCGAGATGGAACGTTGCTTTCTGTCCTCGAGGGCCACCAAGGCGTCATCTATGCTCTGGCGTATGCCCCCGACAGTCGTCGCCTGGTCACAGGCTCGGACGACGGCTCGGCGCGGATCTGGAATGCGGAGACTGGCGAAGAGCTCGTGGATTTGCGAGTGCATTCCGGGTCTGTGTGGGCCGCGGCATTCTCCCCGGACGGTAAACAGTTGCTGAGCGCAGCCAGCGACGGCTCCATTCGGATTTGCGACTCGTACAGCGGCGACAAACTACATGAAATAGACGCCAGCGATCAACTCGTGAACGCTACCGCGTTCTCCGCCGATGGCTCGCGCATCTGCGCAAGCTCTGCGGACAACAGCATACGCGTGTGGGATACGAAGACTGCAACTCAACTCACAACGCTTACTGGTCACTCCGACAAAGTCAGCTACCTGAGGTTCTCTCCGGACGCAACACGCATTGCATCATCCTCCGATGACGGCTTGTTGCGTATATGGGACCTCAGCCGTATGGGCATCGGTCACCAAGGAGCGGTTGTGGATGTGTAGGATTTGTGTTCGCTGGAATCTTGAAGATGTGTTGGTGGGATATTGATGTGTATTTTGGAATCGGATGTACTATAGTACGTGCATATCATGCTTTGTGTAAATCGGAGCCAATAACCCCGATCCCGATATGTCTATAGTAATGGCTGATGTCTCGTATTACTCGACTACATCATGATTGTGGCACACGAATTGGTTGAAGCAGCTCAGGCTGCTCGGCATGCCACTGATAGTTCACAGCGACAGAATGGGTGGTCAATTGGACTGCCGCCCGTGAAACCACACATCGTCGATTTTGCCTGATCCTCGGGACTCGAGATGTCAGAAGTTTGATGCTCCTATGATGGAGTAACGCTGTCCATGTCGACATTGGCAGTCGAGTCACATCGGGGTATCTATTTACTTCGGGCAGTACAGTCGGAGCTTGTCCTTCATCCGCCTTCTCGCCACCTTCCCACTGCGCAATCGTCTCCATTCACTTCAGCTTTACGCTCCGCTCCCTCGCAGCCTTCTGTACTTCTTCCGATCCCCGCCCGGAACTGAATCGCCAATCTGGAGTATTTGTCTGATGATGCTGCCCTAGTACGTTCCTCATGACGCTCATGGGCATCCCGCCGGAACGCACGAATGCCAAGTCTGAAGACGGAGTTACACCGCGATGTCCATGGATGCTTACTAGTAACCCCCGCGCTTTCCGCGAACAGTGTTCTGAGTCTCTACGGCTATATCTGGAAGATATATGTATTCTCTCCGACAACATGCTCTCCTTGCTCTTGATCAGACGGCTTGTATAGTGGTGACCGACGCAAACGAGGCGCGGTGAAGTCACCTAGTGTTTTTCACCGTCTACCAGTGTGTGCCAGGGAATTTGACTCAACACAAGGAGATGGCAGCAGAATATTTGTGTTTATGCTAGACCATACACCACCGTGACTGGCAGCTCGCGACCGTGCCGGCGGCAGTGCTAGTGACTGATTTCTTGACAATAAAGCCTAACATTTGCGGCGTGTAGTACCGTAAGAAGTCCGCCCCGGACTGCTCATGTATCGCGAACCTTCGTTTCTCATTTATGACCTTCGGGGCTATCAGCAGCTCCAGACTTCAGCCTGAGGCTGCTGCAGATGCTTGGACATCATTGGACTCGGAATGGGATAATTGTAAAGCCCAGCAGGAGTTTCAGGCGCAGAAGTACAATAAATCATCTCGACGTCCTTACGGAGTAACACTTCGACAATGCATATGCAATGCCAATGATAGGTGATACTATCCACAGCTTCTCCGCCTCGATGTCCACTTTCTGCACTATTGAACAAAGTTGTCATCTGAGCTGCGCGAGCTACATCAAAAACTAGCACCAGGCTGTGTCCTCAACTCGAATTCGAGAGCCCTTCCGCGATTCAAGGATTTCACGAAGTGCGATGCATCGTGGGTCCAGACACATACCGTGCATGGCCGAGACCATGCCAACGTCGCGAGAGCGCTGCTGTGTGAGGACAAAGACAGCAAAAGACAATGACTGTTGCGTCCATACAAGTCGCCTATTGTACAAAATCAGCTTTACCCGGAGTAGCTATCTAGATCAACCCGAATCTCATAATCGTAAATAGAAATAACAGTAACACAGCGACGATAATCGATACATAGTTTGTGGTGTGTGGATAGCAACTGGAAAGCACCAGTCCAAGAGAAGATAATAAGTTATTGTGCACCTGGAAACCACTGGCAACGATCACCGACTCTATCGAAGAGCGCTATCGTTGTGCCGAGGACGTCGCCGGACGGAGCGACAAGCTTTGCAACGAGGTAGAACGGCTAGTTCTTGGCATTCGTTCAACAACGTCCTGATGATCGTACGGCCCTCCCCACTCGGCGCTCCGTGCGGCGAACGAACCTTGGAGCATACGCTCCGGTCGGGCACGCGTCGGGGGGCTCGAGACGAGGCTGTCCTGGTCACTGTCACTGTACTGCATTTCCGAGTGTGTCGACGGTGTAGTGGAGCGCGAATGAGCCGGAGGGTTGAGTGGTGGGTAGCGATAGGGCGTCAGGTTCAAGTTCGCATTCACCGCATTGTGGTCCAGGTTCTCGAGCGGCTGGTCACGGTGGACGTCGAAGCGAGGCATCCGAAGCGTGCCCGAGCGATGACCGGCGGAAAAATGGTTGCGATAGTGTCGACGCATGTTCGAGTTCACGCTGAACGGGCGGCCACAAGCCGGGCAAGGAAACGCTGGTACGGACGGATCGTCGCGGGGATTTAGCTGTTGCACGAGATCTCGGGCATGAAGGGAAGTGAACTCACGTTTAGCGCCGGTGTGGGTATTCAGATGGATCGCTAGGCTGCTGGGCCGGTTGAAGCGCCTGGGGCAGAAGGGGCATACGTGTCTCTTATCATCCTCCCGGTTGTGATCGGCATTATGCACTGGAGACAATGTCGCATGCGCACGAGGCGACGTGTCCCTGGACGGAGGTTGGGAAGGCCGATTTGCGTGGTACGATAGGTGTCTAGGGATGCGCAATGCGTGAGCCTCAGCTCAACGCGGTGCGAAGGTGGTACACACCGTGATGGCAGTGTCTGGTGGTCCACACATCAGCTCTGAGTGCCGTGGGGGATCAACGAAGGGACGAACCATCCTTCCCAGTGTTACAGGGGGCGTTTTGGTGAATAAACGTGGCTCATCGAGAGACCGTGCGTCTAGAGGCCGACAGAAATGCTCTGTTTGACGAGGAAAGAAGGAGTGAGCTAGACTCCGAGACCTCAAGCATAGTACAGACCTGGAAGTAATTCATGTATGCTGGGCAATGAGACACATTCAGATGAAGCTGAGCGCGGCATCGCTGTCACTCAAAAGTGGTGGCTGAGTCAGAGGTGGAGAGGAAGTGGGAGGACGAGAGCCGCGAGATCGGTTGGGCGGCAACTTATAAAGAATGGCACACCGGACGCACAGGCCATTGCTGTCCGCATCATTGGAATCAAAGATCCCCAGAAGCTAGATGACATCTCCTACAGCAGACTCTGAGATAGAAGATACCAAAGCGGACCCGGCCGGCCGCCCATACGCATGTCAAACATCAAGTCACCTGAAGAACCCTGTCCAGACTCAATAAAAGTACAGAGTCATCTGAAGACGCAAGTCCGCGCTTACGATTGACGGGCTTTACCGCGCTGGATACGGTTTTGACGTGCCGCTCGGGGCGACAGTCGTAAGCGGCTGCCTAGGCAGCCACATACCACACTAGATTCGCACCGCGGTAGTGTATACCAGATGTGCGCTGATTGCGGATCGCAATGCTGCCCCCGCCCAACTGTCATGGAAGACGTATTAATCTGAGAAGCACCTGGGGAGAAGAAGGGGACCAACGGCGAATGGACGTGGCCGCTGCACAGCCGAAGCTTTGCCGTCCGAGCGCATGCGCAGAACAAACTCTGTTTTTCGGCAGGACGATGTCGGTGTAGGACGTCTGCGAGAACGAGTGAACGGCTGTTCGCGAGAAGGCGTCATAGGAGGGCTTCTGGCGCTCGACTGGGATTCCTGGAAGTACAGATTCCGCGGTCGCTCGTCTCGGAACCTTAGAGGAGCAACCAGACCGTCTCCCAGTGCAGCATGACAGATCGGCTAAGGGAGCCCGCAGTGGACTGAAATGTCGGGGAGGATTCAAAGGGAGATAAGCCTGAGCTGCTCACCGAGTCACGAAGCCATATGGGACACAGCCACCTGTGTAGGCCCCGTCAAGGCGTGGCAGAATCTTGGACGGACATGGTCTGCATTGCGCCACGGGATGTCAGGCTCGCGATGAAGACTCAGGCTGTCAGTGCTGCATCATCGTATCAAGTATCAACAGCGTCTGCTACGATACGTCTTGTCAAGGAAGCCGTGACCGCAAACGTCGCCGAGGGCACGAGGCTCTTGAGGCTGTGTGTCTGTCTTCCTCGCTGGATGTGGAGGGTCTCCTTGGGTTTCACTGTGGGCTGAACTCGCGAGCGATTCCTCCCGGGGCGTAGTGCAGCACCTGGAGCGCGACAGGGTTTAGATGGGCGAAGGCAGGTGACCGTGGCGCTCAGCGTAACAGTCACGGCCCGGGTCAGTGCGATCGATCTTCACGTTGATCTTGTCTCTACGATCCATCGCGAAATGGCGGAGTTCGACCTACATGGCATGTAGGATGCGGCGGGTAGATGGTAGTGGTGAGTAGACTCGTCGTCTTTGGATTAAAATCATGGATTTCCCTATTTTGACCACTGGGAGGAGCCTTGTCCTGCTGCGGCTAATTCCCATGTGCTCCTGCCAGTGGCGTCTCGGACCACACGTCGACTTGTCGCAATTCACTTTCCTTTATCCTTTTGTCCTCCGTTTCACGAACCTGCAAGATATATCGTACGGTGAACACGATGCCACTCCTCTCGAGCGCACAGCGCACGGACCACGTACCTACTCATTACCCAATACCTCGGCAACTTGCAGTCGAAGCGACTCCAAGAGGACGCCGGTGAGCCACCGTGGTCCCAATTCCTCTGCAGCGTGTTCTTCATACGCGCAAGAGACCCGCCTCGCCGAATCTACCCCCTGGACGACCTTGTATTCTCAAACGGGTACCGGCTAACATTACAAGCGTACTACTGATCTGACGATGTCGAGATGCTGACTTCGCCTTGTCCACCGGCCCCCGACACACTAGAGTCGGCGGCAACCACCTCGACGCTGCTAGCGACCTCATTGCATTGTTTCAAATCCACTCGCCGCCTGTGAGGTGCTGGACATTCACTCTCATCACGGACCCCGGAGCCGCCTGTGGTCTCCGGATGCGTTTCGATATTTACTAGGTGAGGCGCTGCGCTTTTTTAGAGTTCGCGCTCTACTTCACCATCGGACAACTTGGCCCCCACTAGCTTTGAGCCCATTGACGTCGAGCCTACATGATAGGGTCACGCACACGAACTGACTGTTCCACTTTTTGCCGTTGCACCAGACGCCTAATAGGTGGGGCACCTCTTGATTCGGTTCGGTCATCCGAAGGAGGTGCGGCCGAGCCTCCGTGCATTTCGTGTACCCTCCATGACATGCACATATGCTCCAGGAACACGAAGACTGTGCCGCGGTCCATGAGAACCGTCTCATATTGGCCGTCCAGAAGGCAAGAAAATTTGATTATTCACCATGTCCTCGAGGCTCGATGTTCTGTCATTGGATATAAATACTCACGGTTCCTCCTGTTCTTGGGAGGTTGGGCTTGTCAGTTGTACCAACTGTCGCGCTACATCGCCGCCTTCACACGAATCATCGGATTTTTAATGAAAGGCACGACACGTTCATCGCCAAAGATTTATGGTCAATCACGATATCACGCAAGTGGATCTGCGGCGCCGACGTCGAGCGGATGGACCTTCTCGAGAAAAGTACTGTTGGTCAGACGTGTAGTCATGGATCTGACAACGCAGTTGCTAGGGAGGTCTGTACTGTCCAGATCTCGTTCTCGCCGAGCCATGCAAAACAGTGTCTTGGCGACGCCGACATCTGCGATTAGCAGCTGTGCTTTCGACGACTCCGCGATCGTGACGCAACAGAGGGTTCGCGGGAACTGACGCGGACTGTAGTTCTACGCGAACAACGGGTATGTAACCAGAGGTGAGTCATAGTGCCTCGGATCTGGCGAAGACGACCGCAGGTCGTACCGAGCATCTATCTCAAAGAGCCGATCTAGCCTGGACGGCCGGCACGGTATGTCAGGGCTATGACTCAGGCAGGGACTTGCGGCCCTGTAAGTTAACGTGCACCGAGGAGGGCGTATCTCACACCCGCACACAGCGGTGGATTATCCGTGACATATTCCTATGCAAACCGTGTACGTCAGGGGCTCTGCGCGACTCGCATCTGCCATCGCGCGGACACGAAGGATCTGTCGCTCGACGAGCACCGGTAGCCCCTTGCGGTGGTGGGCTGGTCAGACAGGATCGGCCGCGCGGGTCAGCGCCGTGCTCGACGGAGCGGACGTCTCCCGCGAAAAGCTGCGACGAGAAGCCCGACGGGCAGGGGCGCGCGCGCGGGCAGACGCCAGCCGGGCACTCGAATGGAGGGCGGGCGTGATCCATGATGGACAGCGAATGGCAGCGAAGGTGAGGGCGAAGGCAGCGCCGGGGATCGCCGTGTCATGGCCGTGCCCACCACTGGCGTTGCGTGCATGCGCTGCAGACTCCTGGGGCAGGCACTCTCCTGCTGACCGCTCTAAGATTAGACGGGCTAGCGCCGCCGCCCGATGCCCCTGGCTGGCTACCACGCCAGGCGCTAGCCCCCCGCCGCGTCGAGTGCGGTTTGTGCTGGCAGCAGTGGGAGCGCGCTGTCTCCTCGACCCGCACACTCCTTGCGCCCTGCGGTCTGCCAGTGCTACAACACCGGGGCTTCATGACTGCCGGACAGTATCCGACAGTCGATGATAGCAGGGCGCTGCGAGGTTGGAGGAGCGTCGCGTAATCAACACAGTCCGCAGGGGGCTGCTTCGCTGTTCTCGTCGCTCGAAAGCGCCCCGGAGCGTCTGCCGGGGCGCAGCACGCGGCCGTGCTGTCCTGGAGGGGGAATTGCAAGGGATTCGTCCGGTGAATTTACGGCGCATGTGACGCCTTCCGACGGGCTTCCTGCGTGTAGGGTCGCGACGGTCTTTGTGCGCGGGATGGGTGGAGAATGGGATTTTTTGGAGGTGGTCGCTTAGTCCACTACCCCTCCCGCGAGCCATGTTCGCAGAGCGCGCGGGGATCGTATTGATTGGTTCCGAGCTTCTCGGACCCTCCGATCCCTGCGTGACGCCCGCTGGCAGAACCCTTGTTCCAGAGTAGTAGCAGACCGCGGACTGGATCTGCACGATTTGGGATCGAGCTTCACTTGCGACTTCCGTCAGCACGGACACGCTCGAAGTGTCGCCAGATGACGTACCACGGCGAAGGCCTACGCGGCTCCCGCTGAGGAGGAGTAAGCATTGGTGGGCAAGGAGGAAACTCTAACTTATTTTGTGATGTATTTCCTGCATTCTCCGTGCCCACGAGAGTATGCCGTTGACAGGGCTCCGCGTCCGCGATCCATAGACAGTGACTCGGACTCGGCCCGAGGCAAGCCCGAGGACGCAGAATTTCAACGGCGTTGACGACAGTCTTAATTGCATTGTACACGCTACCCTCGTCTGACCGACGGAGAGCTGGCCTTCTGCGTAGTATCCAGGGATTGCAATGAAATTGGCTTGACGTGCTAAGTTAGTGCGCATCTGATCACACGCGGGGCAGCCTTCTAGAGGGTAAGTGCAGCGGCCACTTTGAATGTGCAAACCTTACGTGAATACAATTTCAACGACGGATTTCGCAGAGGGAGATTTGCTTCCGCTTAGGTCCCGAACTCAGTGGTCGAGACACCGCGTGCCCGCAAAATCCACACAACTTCCCCGTTGTACGTGGCTCCGTGGAACCGCACCGCCTCGGCGTCGAGCTCCGCCGATTCGCCCGCTGGCTTCGCGGCAACCCTGCTGCAGATAAGAGGGTGGATGGGAGAGTGGGATTTACACCGGGCGGTGCGGGCCAGTGCTGAAGCGAGCTAGCTGGTGCTGTAGAAGGGCGCCCGATATGGGCGAGTGTGCCACCGTGTGGATCTGGGCGAGATTGCGATCAGCGCCCCGGCCGGCGTTACGGCGACCACATGGTCGCCGGCCCTGCAGTCACGTGGGCGATGCGCGCCCTGCGGAGGGATTTGCGGCGGCGTGTTCGCGCACGACGCACGTCCAGCATGCGGCGTGCAGCTTGTGCGGACAGCTGATCACGCTACGTCGACGCGCTTCTGCCCGTCTCTGCGGCTGCGACACGGACGCGGCGACCATGGAAGCAGGACGCGGACAGCCCGGTCTTCAATCGAGTGCGCAGAGTCTGGTCGCCGGTGCCACCGCTAGCGGCCGACGCGGGTTCCCTGCTTCATCTGCGAACAGCAGCGCGCGGCGACGAATTGCCCGGACGGGTCGCAGCTCGCAGGGCGTGTCGCTTCCATACCTGGCAGGCCGCTGAGCGCCGCCTGGCTGCGTCACGCATTAGCACATCTGAGGACCGCCGATGTGAGTTAGCCTGTGAGTGTGCCGCCACCTGACTCGGGATCCGACGTGTGCGCAACCTTACTTACGCCCGCGGCATGGCCGGTCGCGCCCATTTCCAGGCGCGAATCCTTTCTCGGGCTCCACGCTGATCACGCCGATAACTCAATGGACGTGGCAGGCGGATGCGGCGAGGCAGCCTCCGTACATAATGGCGAGCGGCGCACCATCGAGCGCGGGCTCTGACTGGACTGGGACAAGGTTTCGGCAGCCAGACTCGCGCACGCAGGGACGGTACGGGTACGGTACGGCTGGAGCGACTGCCGTGCGAACAGCGCCCCTCGCCACTGTCGCACACCCTCGCCGCGGACGCAGAGCGGGCAGCCGCGCGATGGCAGCCGCGCGATGGCGGATGGACAGTGCTGGCACGCGTGGACGGCCTGCATCACCCAGGCACTGCGGCGGGCGTGTGGCGGGGGACGAGGATTGTCTGGAAGCCTGATCTGCATGCCTATTGGGGCAGAGGCGTTGATACATTCCAGGAGGGTGCGCCACTGCGTCCGGGGCCGGTGTCTTCGGAGACCCAATTGATTGGCCGTAGAAGGAAACGCCGATCATGCCAATCCTGTCAGGCGCCTGCCCAGTCCGTCCAGCGCTCTTCCCGCGAGCGCGACGACCACAGAGATTCTCGCCACGCCCCATCTCGGGTCGCCACTTCGCTGGGACGACCGGTGGGTTCGGTCACCCGGGCGCATCTGCATCACCTCCATGACACATCACGCTGGCCTGGGCTTCTCGGGGACGACGATATGGCTGGGCTTGTTCTTTTTGTGTGGTCGACGGCAGGTTCGTGCGGTCATACCTCCCCACGCTGCAAATCCGCGTCGATACACGCAGGCGGAGGGCCTTCGTGATCCTCCGCCCAGGACGCTCCCATTACGCCATGAATCAGGAAATTAAGCCCACGAAGCGTGAGCGCGGGCGAATCATCTGTCTTCGCACGGCTGATAACAGGCCCCGTCCCACGTTGTCTGGGTGGTAGCGTCCGATTTGGATGCTCTGCGGGCTGGTGGGCTGCAGGCGGTGGAGCAGCCAGGTGGCCCTGACGCACCGGCAGGGAGCCTCCCAGTGTCCGTCGCCCGATGCGGCAGTCGTGCAAATCCCGCGCTATTGTCGCCGGCCGGCCATCGGCTGTGGCGCCGGCGTGGTGGATCATCGGACGGTCGTGTGGGCGAGCAGTGCGGCCGGCGACTGGGCAGAACCACAGCTGCTCCGGGCTGCTGGCGTCCCGGCACAGCACGGCACCGGCGCCTGTGGTCGAACTGTATCCTCCGGATTAACACAATCTGGTAGAAGCCTCCGCAAATTGCAAATCTCAGATATCGTCTTGAATTGGCTTGTCGGCTGTGCGACAGGCCCATATTGTCTATATAAGGCGCCCACCCTCGCGACCACCCTCCGCCCTTATAACCTGCCCCTGCCCGTTCCACCTCCATTTCCTCCCCCACATCACCATGTCGTCTCCCCACTCGCCGAAGAACATCTCCCTGCCCAGCATCAATGAGCTCTTTCCAGGTAGGTCCGCCCATGCCCCGATCGCGCTACGTAGTTGAACCAGGAATCGATCAGAGCATCTATTGGCCAAGCCACCTTCGCCAATACAGCGATACTCGTCATCGTCATCGAGAACCAGCCCAACGTCGCGCTACGCACCAGAACCGAATTTTAACTATCCAGTACGACATTCCCGTCTCATGCGCATGCCTGTCTCACAGATGCCGATTACTTAGCAAACATCCGCTATAGTCGCAGTGCCTGCCAGGAGCAGGCGAGATACAAGTCCGCCACCAAGTCCCGATGGTCCGGGAGACGTCAGAGGATACGATGGCTATGCGCCACCAACGATGCCATCCAGCGCACACGGCGGAGCATGTCCCGGGTCTTGTTGCAATCAGGTTGCACGACCAAGCCTCTCTACAGCCACATCTGCGAGCTATCAGAACAGCAGAACACAGGTGCCTTTCGCCTGCTCCGCTTGTTCATCTAGAATGCGCTGCTGACCCGGCTTCCAGGATGCTGTGGCGTCTGTCCCCGACTCGCATCGAAACGCCAGTTCCTCTGTGTTCGGATATGCGGGCCACGGCACCGACGTGAGCATGTCGTCCGTTACGAAAGCGAAGCCTACATTCCGGGTGGAGCTTCGCATGCCGGAGTCCGCGCACGAACTCTCCATCCCTCCGTTCGACCGATTCCCACGCCCCGACGAGCACAAGACCCCCGCACCGTACCCTCCCAATTTCTCCGCGAACCCATACCTGTCCGGCGGGGCGGTCTCTTCAGGTAGCAGCCAAGGTCTGCGTGGGCCTCAGTTGTCGCCAGACGGACACCCAAACTCCGAGGAGAAGCGCCACTGCTGCCCGCACTGCAACAAGCGCTTCAACCGGCCGAGCAGCCTCAACATCCACGTCAACACCCACACCGGCGCGAAACGTACGTGTCCCTCGATGACGTCTCTACGCGCACCGCGATGCTGAAATGTGCTCTGCGACGCAGCGTTCGTGTGCAGCTACCCCGGGTGCAACCGCAGGTTCAACGTCAACTCGAATATGCGGCGGCACTACCGGAACCACCTCACCTCGCGCCGCCGCGATGCCGTCGCGCGGCTGATCCAGCACCCCTCTGGCTCGGCCCACTCGCCGCCGCTCTCAGCGTCGCCGTCGCGTTCGCCCGAGCCCGCCTACTCTCCCGGCGCAGGCTACCGCTACCCCCCGGCGCCGTACCCGCTCGAGCACTCCTCGTCCTACTCAGACCCCGAGGAATACGACGGGAGCCGCTCGCCGTCCGCCGCGAGCACGCGGCACCACCCGTACGCGCGCGCGCCGTCCCCGCCCTCCGCGCTGTACGTCAAGCACGAGGCGGCCGAGCCCGCCCTGCCCGTGGGCGTGCCGGAGTCGAACCTCCGGGAAGACCGCACGCAGTGCCGCATGCGCTCGAACTCGTCGCCGATGCCGCGCTACCGCGAGGACCGCAGCCTGCGCCACGCCGAGCCCGTCTGCGACCGGCCGGGGTGCTCGTGCAACGCCCGCCCCGTGTCGACCGCGCTGCGGCCTGCATTCCCCGAGTACATGCCGCTGCCGTCGCAGGGCGGGGAGCGCGCGCGCCCGTACGGGCCATGAGGGCTGAGTGCCACAGGAACGGATTAGCCTTTCCACCATCGCTAGGATCGCGGCCGAGCGTGAAGTGGGTTTCAAATGGAGGCGGAGGCGCGCACGCCGGGCCCGCCGCTAGTGATCATGAAATTCGTGCCTTGTCTGCAGCGAACGTGGTCCAAGCCTACTCCGGCCGTCCGTCCCCACTGCTGCTCACCAATACCCACCGCTTCTAGAACTATATCCGCGGGGCCGTCGTCTGCCGTATATCAGCTTTGCTTATGTGACGTCTCGCCATGCTGTCTCTCGCTCTCGTTTCGTAATTGCTAGTCACATTGCTTTCTCCCAAGTCCCCACGTCGAGCTGTCCTTGTAGTCAAATTAGCACGCGTACCTCTCCTCGCTGTCAGTGCTGTATCAATATGCCGGACAATCACTGTATCCGTTGTAGCCTACCCCTCATGCCTTTTTCCAAATGCATCGCAGTTCCCTTCAATGTCAACTTCCGAATCCGATGTGACCCCGTACTTGGCTCTGATCCGCGAAACTGGACGGTCCGTATTATTATTGTGTGGGTAATAGTCAGCCGCGATGACACTTTGTGTGAGCCACAGGCAATATATCTCGTACGTGCGCATGGGAAGTTCCAACTAGCGCTCCCGACACGGACAACTGACAGGATGACTGGGGCGGCTCGGTACCGCACGCACTGGCACCCCGCACTGGCCACGCACGCCCGAACGTTGGCTGGAGCTCACACTCTGGCGGCGGGCCGCCCGGCGTCCCGTCTGCGTTCTGCGTGCCAACCTCGCCGCTGCCCGATTTGGCTACGCACGCCTACCAGATGATTGTCAACGCGCCGCGTTGCACGGGAAGCTCGAGGAAGAAGCTTTCTCCTGCGGACCCAGTGGCCAGGGTGCGTCCGCGGCCGGTGCCCGCGCTTAGATTGCTGAACACGGACACCGCTGCTAGCTCACGGCTGCCAGTCGTGCAGCTGGCTAGCACAACGCCCTGTAGCTAGGTTTCCGAAGAATCTCGGAGCGATTACGGCGTGGCGTGGGTCGCAGGGACGACGATGCGAATCCGCGTTGGGTCCAGTTCCAGGGTCGTCCGCTGCACATCGGAGTTCAGCTCGATTACGGACTCGGAGAAAGGGATGGCCAGCTGGGGAGCCTCAGCCGCGCCTGCTGATGCCAGTACGGCACTGGCCCATCCGGTGACTGTCGAGCTGCGAGCTGTTCCCCTTTGGGCACGGGGAATGCGATGACGAGGTGGCCCTGCCAGGAAGCCGATCCGGGTGCAGTTGAAGGATGGCTGTCAGCGGATGCTGCGTTCTTGGGCGGTCGATGGTCGATACATCGTGCGTGCTTCCGTCGCTGCTTTCGGAGGTTCCACAGCTGAGCGCGCGCTCTCCCGCGATGCAGGTGCGTTCTCTCAGGCTGCTTCCCGCAGGCTCAAGATGGGCCTGAGCATCTAGCGTGGGACGGACGTATGTGCAGACGCTGCGGCCATCATCGCGTCCGAGTCGGTCCCAAGCCGGCCACCGGGAGGGAGAGTTGCTGGTAAGCCTAGTTGATCTTGGATTACCCGTCTGGCAAGGAACGAGGCGATTGGAGGCGAATATCTATGATGCCAAAGGGAGCAAGCTCCGAACTCCCTGTTTAGGTGTGCGTTGTTCAGTAGATGGCTGTCAGCGTGATCATCGACCGCACCGCTCAGCGCTCAGCCCCATCACTGAATTCAAAGGGAGATGAAAGATGCCCCAGTCCGATGCGCCGGTACATGAGGCGTTTGAGGGCGCGAATAGTATCGGAGTCCGCGGATTCAGACTGAGATGGATGCGAGAAGGCGCCCCCAGCGCTGTGTGACAACACAACGCTTGTTGATGGTGCCCGGAAGTGATGAACATACGACCATCCAACCTCCGATCCCTGTGGTCCATCACGATGCTGACTCTGCGCAGAGCATGAGGCGGAGTCGCTGGTATTGTCCTGCTGCGCAGATAGGGATCATCGTGAGCGTCGATTCCGCGATAGATGCTTGAGGACGTTTTCTAGCATAGCAATTAATGATGAGATGGTAGGTGACATGCTCGTAGAACATGTATGCCAGGACAGGACTACTGCGACGCAAATGTCGCAGGATGATGGCGGCAGGCCATCCTATGCTTACCTAGAGTCCACGATTGACGCGGTGGAGGACTGACAGGCCATTGCGTACGAGAATAGCGAGGCTGGGCGTCCCAGCGTTCGGCGGCTTACTCAGAGGCGGTCTGCGGCGGATCTTGCCGTGCGAGCGAACCCAGCCAACGTCCGACATTGCCTCAGCAGCGCACGCCCCCTGCCCGCCGCCCCGTCCGCCCCTCGATTCAACTTCAGCTTGAATCGGGTCGTCGTCGTCCAAGACGGCGCCTTCCACGATCTCGGACGATCCTCGAGCTGCGAGATCCAGCTCCGCGTGGAAATCCAATTTGGCCAGGTCCGCGAGCAGCGATCGCCCAGATCGCCAGCGAGGTACGCGATCCGCTATCCAGATCGTCGTCGACGACCAGTCTCACCGACGGTACCCTCAGCTCGCCGCCGACACTCGACGGCTACTTCTCCACACCTGCCTGCCAGCTGCTCGGCGAGTCACAGCGCGCACCGCATGTCGATGGGCGTGTTCGTGGTCGATTGATCATGCTGTACAACCTTGTCACTGAGCCGTCCTACTAGGATCTGGCGGTGTAGCTGATGCACCCGTGCGGTGGCGACGGCCTCTCGTGTAATGCTGCTATCGTCACGGATTTTCTCCGCCGTAAGCATGCCTCCTGGGGGAACCTTATCACCGGGGTGCCAAACGAGGTTCAAACCGTACTCGACAGCGAGATGTCAGCGGCGGACGTGCGCACAAGACTTCGGGCCGGGACATCTGGCGCTGGTACTGCCTACTCTCGCACTTCGCTACCCCGAGTCTGCGGACGGTTGACTCCCATCCTCTGGGTGTTGCTGAAATACTTACTCCTCGATTTCTAGCCCCTGCCAGTGGCTGACGGCGAAGGACAACGTCTTTGACTCTTCTAGCGTATGCTGCGACCCTGCGTGACACTGTATTTTATGGCACTCATGCAACTCAATATACTTACCTCACCAGGAGGGCATGGCATCGCGCTCGAAAACTTAGTGTCTGGAATCGGGATGTCGTCCAGGCTGTCAGCTACGTAGTTCACGTGATTGAGTCAAGCGCTGATATTGAAACCCGTCGTCAAATTCAATCATTAATCAACACGACGAGGTTCCATACATACCCTGACCGGCCCTTGTGTTTTGAGTCCTACCCATAGCCCCATTTGTCTCGTTCCGCGATGCTGCATTCAAGTAAGTAACCGTGGCATGTCTCCGAAACCCGCCACGGCAGTTGAGATTTCTCTGCAGCAGCACCGGCTTCGACAATACAGTCACCACCACTGTGATCATCCTCTCAATCTGTTTCGTGCACATCGCCCGCGGAAGCACCCGCCAGACCGGGACCATGCTGTCCTTGAGAACGAGGGTGCTGCTGATGTTATCCGCAGCGGGAACCCAGAATTCCACCGTCGTCAGAGCAGTACGTCGCATTATTTCGCGTCACGGTGGTACGCGCCAGTTCATCAAGTATAGCACAGGTTGTGTGGTCGCGGGTTTATGTAACCAGCCCTGCTCTCCGATATCGTTGTATTCGGTGCTGTGCACGGGAACCCTCAAGCGCAACCGCGTGTGGCCGCAGTGGATGCTGTGAGCATGTGTCGGGCCTCGATGCAGAAACTGGTACGTTATATGCGGAATATGCCCATATTCTACTACCTTTACATGTGGGAGATCCCGCCTCATTTGCCCCACCGCATTACGCACGGATGGTCGCCAGCATGGTGTCGCAGGTATATACCCAACTAAGACATATGCAGACACAGGTGTTCTGCGGAGAACACGACGTCGGGGCAATTTTCTCGAGCCTGACGTCGGTGAGTCACCGGAAGCTGCTCAGGGAGAGAGTCATCCGAGCGCCGCTCCCTCGCTTGTTCCGTGACAGCGATATATCCCAGAATAACCCGCCGTCCGATGCTCGAATGTATCGCGCAAAGTAGTGTGCAAACCGCAGGCGCGGAATTTGTTGGATCTCCGAGCCTCCGTCTGTCAGTGTGTTCATGGGCGCAGACCTTCGATATTCGTACGTCCGTCCCATGCTCTGTCACAGACAAATCTGTCATGACTGAAGCACAACCGTCTTGCGGTCAACAGTGCATACATCAACTTTTGCCAGTGCGCTCTAAATCCCATCCCAGTGCTATTCATGGCGGGCCACGCACCCTCTGTCCACGCGTGAGAGTTGTCTGCATAGGTGTTATTGGATGGGTACTGAAGCAGCCCGCTCTCACGAGCAGTGCGGAGCGTGACACCCTGCTACAGACTCTGTCACCATGGTATGCGCTCAAGCGTGCCTCTGATGGCTGGGTGGACGCGTCTAGCCTCGACGTCGCTCCACAGCTTGGACAGCCGGGAAAGTGGTAAGCGCCACCGGAATATGTACCATGTACTCCTGCTTGTACGACCACTGACTACGCTGTCCTAGATGCGGAAGACATGTTCCTGCGACTCGGAGCAGAAGGCTCAGAGTTCGACCTCGCCACGGACGCAGTAGGCTGCCGTCATGGAGCACGGGGCCGTCAGATGAGAATAAGCCAGTGAGTACAAGAGCATCCGTTCTGGGAGCATGCAGTGGAGTCTCCGAGCCACGCAGGGCATTGACAAGTACTCCCAGATTAGCGTTGCCCAACCTGCCACTTTCTCCCAGAGGATGTCCCGACGCATCCCATGCTAGTACTAGTCGGTCACGAGCTCCTCGAGGCAGGCGATCGGGACGAGATTGACAAGCTGTGGGATGCCGCGACGCATTTAGGATTATGGTGGTAAGTCGTGCATTTGTCGTGCGGGCCTTGTGCGGATCGCATCCTCACCGCAGCAGTAGCCTGAAAAATCGCGATGCGGACGATGATCGAGGAGATGTTTCAAATGGGCGTGGAGACTATGGCTCTCGGGGAGATGCAGTACGAGCAAGGGGATGAGTACATGTCCTTCGGGCACGACGTCCTTCGAGTCAGCCTTCGCACGAAACTCACTGGTTGTTGATTATGCAGCTGTAGGGCCGCGGGGCGAATGCGACCGACGAAACCGGTGCCCTCAATACTGTCGAGTTCATCAATGTCTCGAAAGACGACGCACTCGCCTGGCCAAAACAAGCACGCCGCGTATATCCAACGCTCGTCGACGCCCGACTCGTCCGCCGTCAGGCCATTCGTCCAGAAGTTGCCTGAAGCCGACAATGCCCTGCTCGCAGTATCGGATGACAAAGTCGGGTTCCGGAAGGTGCATACCGTCAAGGAGTACAAGGAAAGCGAGACGAGGTGCATCAAGTCCCCACCTATGCCCGCCGGTACCGCACAGGTAAGGCCGCCTTACGGACTCACATGGACTTCGGGTCTCTTGTACGCTCCGAGTCGTGTCGAATCCCTATTAAGCAGCGGGTGCTCGCATCGATTCATCAATTCCCTCCAGGAGGGCCTCCACAATCGATTGGGCGGGCTGCAGGCCACGGTTCCAAGGACGGCAGTCGTGCTACGTAAAGGTGACGTCGATCTGCTGTCAGACACTCTTCGCTCCCTGGCCGACAGCGACGTGCCGTGGAGCGTGCGTGGCAGCCCGTCCCTGGCCATGCGATCTGCAACCTTGGCCGACGCCATGGCGATCCTGAGCGGGGGATCCTCACGTCGCGTCGTGTAAGCCGTCTTACTAAAACCTTAAGCCCACTTGCCCCACAATTGGCAGGCTTTCGGCCGCAATTGCCTGGTCCGCCTCCTAAAGGCCTAAAGGGCAAGCCAACTACGGTCTTTGGTCATTGGCCTTCTTTACGAGACCGGGCAACTCGGTCATGCTCCGTACGCTTGCCGAGGAGAGCCCGCTCGTCGACAGGGCGGCCGCGGAAAGTCCGAGCACAGCAAGTTCAAGGCTAAACGGTCGACATCGCAGGGGTGGCTCGCGAATCGGAGGGTGAGCGGAGATATTGTATTGTTCGTGCTCAGTCATGCACGCGTTTGCAAACAGGGGCACGAAAAGCAAAATGGCACGCGAACAGAGGGATGGAGCACCAACCTTCGGCCATATGATGAGATAGTGGGCGTCGAACAATTGCGGTGTACAACAGCAGCACTCTGTCCCATGCAGATGATATACCAAACACAACAGCACGGAGAGCGATTGATAACATTACGACGCATTACAGTTCATGAAGGCTAAGTACTACGTGTCAGACCTGCTGACCTGCATGCCCCTCGGGTTAGACGGTGATCACGACGAATGGACGTTGTCAACATACCAGTAGCAGGGTAATCGGTGCAAGCCGGGTATGCATTAGGCGTGTGGTATCGTTCCAGGTGGTCGTGGCATAGCGCTACAAATGTGGGATCTGCTCTGCAGGGAACGAGCAGTAATCTGGCGCAGACGATGTGTGAGCTGAACGACCGACAGGCGGAGGCAGCGACGATGGACGCACTGAGCATGTCCAGGCGTACGTTGACGGCCTGGTGCGATGCCAGAATCTCGTGCTCAGCAATCTCCTCTGCGTCCTTCCAGAAGACGCATGTCGTGTCTACTTTGGCGTGGGGCATGGATCCCGTCAGGTAGATGTGTGCAGGGATGGCCTTGGCTATCCCGTTCTCGGTGGGTAGCGTGAACTTCAGGAGCATGTGTGGCGGCTCCATCGGGTCGTCTGAGGTGCGTGCGATCTCTCTGAATGGAAGAGACCAAGCATCAGCGCCTGTACCTGTGGACCAGCGCAGGAAGACTCACGAGACGATCACCGACATGAACAGGAACTTCCGCGCTTTCTTGTGCCGGAGCACGTCGACGCAGAAGTTGTCGACGATGTCGATCATGTTGCGGTAGCTCTTCGAGCTAGAAGGCTTGTCGCAGACGACTAACCGAAGCCCCGACTTCGGGAGGTCGAAACAATAGTACGGCGGCGTGACGTTCAGACGATGTGCGCGCTGAATCTTGCCGACCTTGAGCCCAACCGGGATCCAGCTGATTTGAGACATGGCGAGGGAGAGTTGCGTGAAGGAGCGTAAGGAGACTGCCAGTGACCTGAGAGACGGAGGAACGAAGGAGCCCGGGCAATGTAGCAGGGATTCTCCCCGCCATGGGCCCATATATGCCCGGCCAGAGAACCCCACCCCGCGGCGCAGCGTCAGGAACAGAATGCAGGGACACAATGGGACGTCCCGTTTAATCCAGCACTGCGTAATGAAATTTACAATGGCTGCCGTAAGGAGACGGCAACCGCAATGCGCGCCCTCTCAGGCTGCCGCAAGCAGAACAATGCAAGGGCCGGAATAAGACGTTCACTTATCGAACGGCTCCGGAGAAGTCATCCCGTGACCCGCCGCGCGTCAGACATTCTGATTGCACAATAGCCGGTATTGTCAGTCTAGACAATTAAGGATCAGTGCGACGCTGAGGCGTCGGCCGGGGCCTGAGTGTGCTGGTGAAGAACACTCACACAGACACGGACTTCGCACGGATAGCACAAGTCAACAAGTCGCCCTCGAGACAGCCGGACTGTGCCAAGGGCACGCCCAGATCGACTTCTGGCCGAATCGATCTGCACCAAGTCCGAGCCGGCGGCAGAAGCCTGATATGTTTCGCACGTGATCGTACCCTAATGGGTCGAAGTGACTACCGCCACAAGGACCCACTTGCAGAGACAAACACATAACTTGCAGAGGAAGAGGGACGTCCGGTCCACCTGAATCACTGTGAGTGATTCAGAAAGTCTTCCGATGGAGGGAAACGGCGCAATTTACCAGACTTCCGTAGCATTCTCAGAAGCCAAGGGGACGTCTGCCAGTGTGCTGCTCGTTGCCCACGACATCCACCCACGCCCTACATAGACAAAAGGGTGACATGTAAATCCAATCGCTGTCAGTGTCACTCAGCCACCATTAGTACAGAGGGACTCAACACCGGTGCGGCAACAGGTAGCCTCACGCACCTTGGGAGAACCCCGGTCTTCTACGCCTCGACAACAACCACTTTGTTGGCAAACGTAGTAGGACAGTGTTAAGATGTTCACTCCCAGCCTCGCCTCGATTCCCTTGAAACTTCTGTTAGTAAGGAAGAAGCCAATTGAAAAGACCTGCCTCGTTCCAAGAACCTGTCAATATAAATAGTACCACAATTGTCCTAGCTGAAATGACCCTAGACGACCATCAGACTGCGGTGGGAGTGAGCATCGAGGTCGCAACAGCAAACAAATGAACAACTGAGCGGGCCTGAGTGAGCAGTTGAAGAGACGATGCAACTGTCCGAGAGTCCGTCTTTGCTATAGCACAACACGAGACATGAAGGATGATATACAATGCGGAGCGGAGATGCAAGACACGAGGAAACGACCGGACGAGAGTGGGACACACCCTCGATGCATGGCAAGGCAAGAGCCAAGCAAAAGCAGCGAGCACGAGCCCACCACTCAATGCCCACGGTTGAAGTGGAACTGGAACCCTCCGGGGAAGCCGCTGCCGCCGAAGCCCTGTTGGAAGAACTGTGCGAAATGCTGGGCGCCGCCGCCGCCCGGGCCGCCCTGCTGTGCCATCGGGTCGTTCGGGTCCTCGCCGTTGTCGAACTTCGCACGGAGCTCTGCAGGCGACGTCAGACAATAGTGCGCGGTTACATCGGGGGGCGTACGGACCTGGGTTATTGAGGACCTCGTACGCCTCGTTGACTGCGGCCATCTTCGCCTCGCTGCCACCCTTGTCTGGATGTGCTTTCTTTGCTGCTTCCCGGCTGTACATCATAGTCAGCTTCGAAACGCAGCAACTATGGTAGGCCAGACATACAAAGCTTTCTTGATCTCCTTCGCATCTGCGTCGCGGCGAACACCAAGCACCTTGTAGTAATCCTTCTGTCTCGACTGCTTCAAGAGCCTCTGGGCCTTCTGTAGTCTTTGGTGGATCTCGCGATTCGAGCGTCCGCTTGCCTCGAACGCGCGCTCGAGCATGCGGACGGCCTCATCCCACTCTTCGTTGGCCATCAATACGTCTGCGAGCACGATGAGCGCATCCGCGTCGTCCTGCATGCCCTCCATCTCGAGAAGCGCCTTGCACCACCGCTCGCCCTTCTTTGGATCGTTCAGCTTTGAGTGCGCGCGGCACATCACGCGCAGCAGCGTCGCGCGGCGCGGGGACGTGCGCTTCGCAGAAGGCAACGGGATTGACGGGGGCAGTCCGAGCGCGGCGCGTGAGGTATGTCCCTCGAGCGCGCTGTCGAATATCGCGACGAAGCCCTTCTCGCCGCCGAGCAAGTTGACGACCGCGCGCCAGTCCTCCTTGGAAAGGTGTTTCTCAAGGTTCTTGAACGACTTGTCGTGGGACTTGATGAGGCGGTGGGCGGGGAGACATTGGGAAGAGTCAGGGTCATAGTGTAGACATTGTTTCAGAGTGGCGAGTGCTGTAGTTTGGGTATCACCAGGGGAGTAGGGACCGAGGAAGTGTGAAAGACGGAAGATTTTCATGAGAAGAGACGTTGATGGGGTCGTAAGGTGCGTCAGACGACTGTCAAGAGTCCGTCAGTTCTGGTCCGCAGGGACACTGGCACAGTTGCGTACGTTAGGTCTCCAACGGCTGCTTCAACATCCCCCGCTGCCAACGAGCAATCCGCACGCTGCTGTCTCAGCTCCGCAGAATGCGATGCAGTGAGCAACGCTGTTGACGCTGCCTCCACACATGCATTCCACAGCTTCGCCTTCATCGCCTGGCTTGCCTTCTTCGCGGCCATCTCGCCCTCGCTAATCGAGTAGAGAACCTCCTGTGCGTCAGAGTCCTTGTTCTTTGCCATATACTTCTTGAGCGCATCACGCGCCTCCGTGAACTGGCCCTCTTTAGCGAGGATCCGCGCTTTCATGAGGTACGCTTTGTCGAAGGACTGGGACGTGAGTGAGAGAACCTTGTCGAAATCGGCGAGGGCGGCCTGGTGTCGGCTCAGAGAGTAGTATGCTGTGGCACGCTTGTAGTACAATAGGTAGTCCGCCGGCGATTGCTCTGCGAAAGCCGGTAAACACGATAGCACTCGGACGCCGATTGTTCATGAGACGTACCAATTGCATCGGAGTATGCTTTCGCAGCATCATTGAATTGGCCGACGGATAGGAGTGCATTTGCTCGGGTGATGAGAGGTTGTAGGCCTGGAGGATACAGGGCACCAGCACTTGGGTCCGCATTCACTCCGGAGAGAACAATGACCAACAGGCATGGCAATAAGAGCGGCAACCGCAGCAACATATTGCTTGATGCTTTAAGCGGATTATCTATAGCAAGTACCAATATGTGCAGTGATAGAAATGGACGCGTTGGGGAGTATACGAACAAGCCCAGACGAGAGCCCGAGGAGAGGAGGAGTTGAACATCCGAATTGCAGCCACCGTACTTCGGATTCGACCACGTTGCCATACATCATGTGATCTCACCCGACCTTGCATGCAGCTTCCGGCCACCTCGTGGTCCTTGAGTCAAATCCATCATCTTGGGCTCCATCATCCTCCAGCGAATCCAGCTCGCAATTCACGGTCACAGGGGCCGCTCAATTCTAAAGGGTTCAAAACCCAAGACTCACGAAGAGGTTCAAAACGGCGACAGGCGCCCGGGCTGATGTCATCCGCAGCACGGCCCGCTCGCTTGGCGATCCAGAACCGGCCACGCCTCGCACGAAAAACCGAAATCTCCTCTGCAAACCCTAGGACCTTCACGCAAACCCTAGCGTGGCTGCAACGCGCTCGCGCTCGCGCACGTGCACCCGGCGAGCCCCGCGCGCGACGCATCCCCCGGCGCGCGTCTCGCAGACGCGCGTCGCGCGATGTTCGATGTCGCATCCCTCGCGCGATGTCTGCCCGCCCGTCGATTCACGCCCACGTTTTCGCTCGCCGTACTGTACAACCTATCTATATTTACATCAATAAATACTTTTATATGCTCTGTGACCTCGCCCGACGCCCGACGCGATGTTGCCACCACCGCGTCCGTCGCACGTGATGTTCCCACGACACGTTGCACTGCCGCGATCTGCGAGTCTGCAACACTACAGCATTTTTCTCGACATCGCCCTCAGATCGAACAATGCCTACGGCCGGCAGGCTTGTATTACGGTCTAAGCAACATGCCCAAGAGCTTCTCCAGCAAGCAGCCCTCATCTACATCATCCTCGGCTTGTTCCTGCCTCGCCTTACGTTGCCCAACTACCACATTTTCGATGCTATCCCTGACCATCTTCGTGCTACTACCAATGCTTTCCTGCTTGCTGGCATGAACCTCCTCGGCTTCTCACTGGTTCTTGACTCAAATCATTGTGGACCATACAACCAGTTCGCCAAATGCCCTCAGGCCTTCACAATTGCACTATTGTATCCTGATCGCTGGTTCCGTCACCATTTTCGGTAAGTCTGTGGTATAAAAATGTGTGCTCTTGTACTGTGGCTCATAACAGCTGTATAGGATGGGTCGCCAGACCTTTGAGCGGCTTGTTGCCCGACTAGAGACATGTGACATCTTCCAGTCTCGTGGGCGGAAGCCACAGCGCCCTGTGCGCTATCAGCTTGGATGCTTCCTTGTCCGGTATGGCAAACGGGGCACAGATGCCCTCAGTACTGCACACGACATGGGCATCGGCTTCGGATCAGTCCACAAGTATTGTGAGCGGGTCATGTATGCTCTACGCGAGCTGGGGCTGGATTGGGTCAAGTGGGGAGATCGATCAGTGACAAAGGCTTGGGTCCACGCACAGAGCCGCCTGCGTGGTTGCCTAGGCATGCTTGACGGGACTCTCATTCAGCTCACGGAGCCACCACGTCTATCTGGATCTGTGTTCTTCTGTCGTACATCAGGAAAAACACATTTCACTGCACTTTCTCGTGGCAGGGATCAGTCAGGATTCTTCGCTGAAGATGTATCCGAAGCCGCTCCGACCGTCAAGGATATCCCAGACGATGTCATCAATGCGCAGATGGCAGCACTGCAAGAGAAGATGAACCAAGCTGTCCCCCTACGGGCAGCACGTACTGCTCGTTGGAACACAGTCTGCCAGGCACCACTTACTCCAAGTCAGGCTCGCCCTGCGCCGTCGGCCGCAGTGCCCATCACAGCTGCTACACCATCGGCGGGTCCGGCGCCATCATCAAACATGATTGATGGTGAACAGACTCGGAGTGAGCCCTCGACGCCATCTGCCGCCTTGCTACCGTGACCCGTCCAAGTCGTTGTCCACAGTCCCATAGCCAGATCCCGTCACTGCTGGCTCGATGTCAAGTGTTCCTACTTCCGAGTCACAACAGAGTATACATTTATGTCTCACCTTTAATTAGCAGATAATCATTTCAAGTCGATAATAGTACTGCTGCTCGTTCTCACAACATCGCTGGATCGTTGTTGGTTCCCTGCGCTCGTTCGTCACCTAGTGTACACTGGTGTCTGCAAGACACTCTATAATGTGCTTTTGTGTGTTGATATTCGTAGTTTCATCATTTAATGCATCAATTGTGTATTCATTACATTGATGTGACGTTGTTCCGACATCCCTAGCAGTGGTACAGTACCAGTCATTGTATGGCTTAGAGCCCAGCCGAGACAGTCATCTCTAGATTGATGACCGGTGAGGTCAGCGCCTCGCTGGTGCTCATTGATGAGTGGGTGTCTCACAGTTGCTCACGTCCAAGACGACTGTCTCACGGTTGCTCATGTCTGAGACGGCTGTCTCACAATAGAGACATGACCTCATGAGTGATCATGATTCTCGACCTCGCTGCTCTATGAGCTAAATGTAGGGGACAGGATTCCTGATGCCCGCCAAGCCCATAGAAACTGACTGAGTCAGCAAAAGCACATTCTAGGTTTACAAGACTTACTCGTTATTCTGCAGGTTGAATCTCTCCATTCAACATAGGTAGCAGAGCACGGTCGTTCGGTGTCTAGGGAACATTGCGATGATGAGCCCTTAGCTCACCTACCCACCGAAAACGCGATTTACGGTCGGTACGACAGTATACTAAGTCCGTATGGTCGACGCGCTATCCGCCCGTTCGAGGGAACCGCCCGATGTTCGAAGCTCAAGTGTCAATGTTCGGAACCCTTAGTGGCAGAGGCAAGTGGTTTAGAAGCGTCGCTACATTGGTAGGACTCCGGAGCAAGTACGTGGCTACGTCAACCTAGCTAGTGACGACCCCGGCAACTCTCGTATCTATGTCCTCGACCACCACACCCGTGACCACCACCCCTACCCCTACGAACAGACGGACCGGTGTCGGAGCCACGGTCAGTGTTGACGCGCTCGAGCAGGCTTTCGAGCAACCCGACGAGGGTGCCGTGCGTGCGGCGCTGGTCGACTGCGATGTTGTGAATCGCTCGACCCATGGACTCGAGGTTGTCGGGCAGCTGGCGAAAGTCGGACAGGATCAACGACTCGCGCTGATACTGCGGGTTCGCGAGAGGACGACGCTCGGCCTGGTTGACTTGCTCGAGCAGTACCAAGGTCTCGGACCACGCGATCGTAGGGTAGGGCGAACCTAGGATGTCTCCCTGGTTGCCATCGCGGTGAAAGACCTCGTCGAGGTAGCGCATCAACTCGTCGATCTCGGGGAACGACCTAGGAGCAGGAAGCGTATCGTTCGCTAGCAGGATAGCCCGGCTACGGGACTCGAACAAGAAGCGCTGTTCGAAGGTCGGTACGATGGTTCGAAGGATAGTCAATGTCCGGAGGCACGTACGATCATCCAACGGACTCCGTGGGCCCAAGCCAGCCACTCTCCGGGACTGTTGGCATCATATCGCGGCTCGACAAGTCCCTCGGTCTTGAGGACCTCTAGGAGGCGGTAGTAGCGGGCAGCATACGCTTCGGAAGTTGGGTCGAGGTGCGGCATGTTCGTGTAAGCCAGGCAAACTCCTGCGGCTGTCTCATATCTTCGAGGACTGTCACCGGCTCCGGTTATGACCTTCACCGTTCGGGACGGTCGCCCGTTATTCGGAACTTGCGGAAGGCCGAGTTGGGTTCTCTCATGTGTTAGTAGGTCCGGGTCGAGCGTTGTGACAGTCTCCGATTGGCTATTTTCCTTATCACTCTCATTCATCATTTCTCGAATTTCTCTTGGCTCTCTTGGTCTTCGGACCGTATTTTCCTGTATATACTCTGGGACTTGTTCCCTTCGAATCTCAGAGACCCCCTTACCCTCTCAATCTCACCTCGCACCGGCGAGGTTCGTCAGCTAGTCAGTACGTTCGAAAGTCAGCAAGTTCGCCAGTCAGCCAGTACGTTCGAAGCCAGTCAGTCAGTCAGTCAGTTCGCTAGTACGTTCGCCAGCTCGTAGTTGCCCCGAGAGGCTCTACACTTCTTCTCCTGCCGTCGCTCGCCTTCCTTGTCGCCGTTCGTTCGACACGTCTGTCGAAACCCTCCCTCCTACCTTCGAGGCTTAGCCCTCGCCTTCGAACAGTCTTCGACATCTTCGAAGTTCTCCCTCGCCGTTCGGAGTCTTGTCCGTCCTCCTCCTTCTTACCTAGACCACTGTACAGTCCCCGTACATCTCATAGACGCAGAGGCCTCGCATACCACTGCTCGACCTCACAGTTGGGTTTTTGTGTGGCTTTTGTGTTCTTTTCGGTCGCGTCAGCGAACGCGACGCGCTGGCCGCGACGTGTCGTGGGAACATCACGTGCGATGAACGCGGTGGTGGCAACATCGCGTCGGGCGTCGGGCAGAGCATGAAAAAGTTTATATTAATGTACATGTATATAGAATGTACGGTACGGCGAGCGAAAACGTGGGCGTGAATCGACGGGCGGGCAGACATCGCGCGAGGGATGCGAAATCGAACATCGCGCGACGCGCGTCTGCGAGACGCGCGCCGGGGGACGTGTCGCGCGCGGGGCTCGCCGGGTGCACGTGCGCGAGCGCGAGCGCGTTGCAGCCACGCTAGGGTTTGCGTGAAGGTACTAGGGTTTGCAGAGGAGATTTCGGTTTTTCGTGCGAGGCGTGGCCGGTTCTGGATCGCCAAGCGAGCGGGCCGTGCTGCGGATGACATCAGCCCGGGCGCCTGTCGCCGTTTTGAACCTCTTCGTGAGTCTTGGGTTTTGAACCCTTTAGAATTGAGCGGCCCCACAGTCCGTCTCGCCTTGGTATCAATATTCAATGCTGTATTTTTGTGGGCGACAACTTTCACGGATGCGCTCAGCTTAGGAAAGAAGTTATGGGATCGCGATAGTCACAGTTCAGCTGTTCGTGCAGTATCCTCTGCTTTCAATCGGCTTTCAATCTTCACCTTCACACCCCACGACCGACATATACCCATCGAGGTTCAAAGTCACTGACTGTCATGTGAATCAAGGTAGCACACCGCCTGATACATGCTCGTACGTATCCAATATATCTCAGCACCTGGCATTCCTGTGATGGCGCGCAGTAGAACACTGAAGCTCTAGTGCGAAAGAGTACCCTTCTTCGGCACTACCGCCGACGGCTTTGTCAACTTCGAAAGGATTGCATTCGAGAATAAGCCGATCGAAGTCAATAAAAACCCAACCGTGTATCGACGACCCGCCTCCATAGACGACCAAAGCCTCGTAGCGAACGAACTTGATCATAATTGCAACCCTTCTTAAGGCACGCACCCTGCTCTGCTGCGCTCATGTGTTGATTACGGTCCCATGCAAATCGCGCAAAACCGACCGGCACCCATGGCAAGGTCAACTAGTGCGGTTCTGGCGATGCTTTATGCCGGCAAATTGTCGGGCAACCCGTCCTTATAATGCGAGCTGCGTCCTACGTTGGACACATTCAACGCGATCTAACAGCCTATAGCCATGCGCGCACTGCTGTACTTCGTCGCCGTTGCCACAGCCTTGTTCAGCGCGAGGGCTTTCACGCCCGCTGGGCACTGGGTTGACACATGGGTGACCATGCCCCAGCTGACCGAGTATTACAACGTGCCAAATCCACCATTCGTGCGTGTTCGATCCCCTACGTCTCTAAGTATCGGTGTTTTGAGCACTTACGCATGTGCAGAATGGTACGAACTCGATATTCACGAATTTGACCATCCGTCAAATTCTGCACACCTCGATCTCGGCCGAGTCATACATCCGCGTCCGCATCTCGAACGCGTTCGGTGTGAATGACCTACCCATCACCGAAGTCGCAGTCGCGTTGCCTCTCGATGGAGCCGCGGGTTCGCCGCAGATCGTGCCAGGCTCCTCTGTACCGCTTACCTTCTCCGGGAACACCTCCATGATCATCCCGGACGGCGCTCAGGTTGTGTCAGACCCGATTTACTACCCCTTCGAAGCCCAGAGCATGGTGACGGTGACGCTCTACACCGAGGCTGGCCAAGAGGGCTTCTACATCATGAGCCATCCGCGCAGTCGCACCAACACCTGGTACAGCTTTGGCAATTACGTGGATGCTCTCAACTTGACGGACCCCTCGACCCAGTACGAAGCTCATTGGTGGGCAGAGTCGTTGAGCCTCGTTCGTCGGGTACTGAATGACTATGGGAACACAGGTTCTTCCTGAGCGGAATCGAGGCTTGGTCACCATCAACGGCGAGCGGGTGGGTGATCGTTGGTGACAGTATTACCGATGGTCGTGGCAGTGACACCAACGAGAACAACCGGCGCGAGTTCTGTGTCTTCCTTGCTGTCGGGAGCTAATGCCCATGTCAGTTGGCCCGATCTGGTCCTTGCTAAGATGCAAGAGAACCCCTACACAGCCAACATCGCGGTCCTTACAGCGGTTTTCAGAACTATGCGGAATCGCGAGAAAAACGAAAACGCACCTCGGGCACTGGACCAGCGCCCCGAGCCACGATTAGATTAGATAGTGGCCAAATCTGGAACTGATAAGCTAGGCCATTTCGGTCAGCAGGCATACGAAATCACAGTCGTTACATGTAAATGACAACAAGATGGCAGCGAGCTACGCTGACACACCAATGCAGCAGGAAAAACGGTGGAAAAGTAGGGCTCACAATGCGCGGCGCGCAATGTATATAATATAGCATATATAGTAAGTATGGGTAGCTGATTATGTAAACAACATACAGTAAGTACGAACGACTCAGTTGCTCTAACGTAAGTAGTACATATACATTCAGTCCGCGAACAAGATCTTTTGACTTTCAGACATGAATGGATGAAATCCGGAGTGAAGCAGCACATTGAGCAGGACCCATTCTGTGATGAATTGATAATTAATGTAAGTATACTATATTGTTGCATGGCAAGGGCAATGTTGTGCACATTGGGTGTTATGACCAGGGTAAATGTGGAGCACAAACAGCTTTACACACATCTTTGGCTGTCTAAATTACGGTCTAGTGCGAGGACCATTGCTAGATGAGCTCTGTTGGTTTTTTGAGTAAATTTGATCAAGTGGTTCCATCCGAGGCTAAAGTGAATGGTCATTGGATGGGGAAAAGATACCAGACCTCTGCATGCCTTATTGACATACCCTTCCCATTTTTGTTCACAGTCGACTTCACCCTGAAGCTTGTTACATCGCTCGCTCGGAGAGGCGGGACGCGCAGCGTCGTATCAATCTAATGGCTTCCTAACTCGGACTGCATCTAATCTAATCGTGGCTCGGGGCGCTGGTCCAGTGCCCGAGGTGCGTTTTCGTTTTTCTCGCGATTCCGCATAGTTCTGAAAACCGCTGTAACCAAGGTGCAGGTGGCAACCGCATCCTCTACGACGGACTCGGTCCGAACGCGCTCGGGCGCGTCGACCGCGACGTGCTTGCGCAGTCCGGGATCAAGTACGCGATGATCTTCGAGGGCGTGAACGATATCGGGACGGCAGCGACGGACGTCTACTCGCAGCAGGTTGTCGGCGACCGACTCATTCAGGCGTTCGAGCAGATCATCACGCGTGTGCACACATTTGGCATCCCGATCTTCGCGGCGACCATCACGCCCTTCGGCGCGCCCAATGACACCATCCAGCCGTACGCAGAGCCGCAGCGCGAGATCACGCGTTAACGCCTGGATCAAGGACAGCGGCAAGTTCGACGCGGTCATCGACTTTGACGCGATTGTGCGGATCCGAACAATGTTACGGAGTTGAACCCGGCGTACAACTCGGGGGAGTACTTGCATCCGAACGCTGCGGGGTACACGGCGATCGCGGATGCGTTCCCGATTGACCTTTTTGAGAGGTTCGCGTTCGGTGTGGATAGCTTCCAGTAGAGCTGAGACTGTTATTGGGCTTTACATAGGAGTGCCTGCAACGGACAAATCAAAATATGACCCGATAGATGTGCGGGTCGATGGCTTTCAGTAGTGATGACTTTCCACTCAAGCGCTAGCAAGTCTCAACATCCAGCACGAAGTCGTTCACAGAAGTCAGTCACAGAATACAAGACAGATCAAGTACCGCGTCTATGCACTCTTACCCTTCCTTCACATTTAGCTTTTGAGCAAGCGCTTCGGTGTGTACTCCTTGTACACGCTGCGATATCCCGCTACGCCTGCTACGAAACCAATCGAGTTCGTCATCCAGACAATTGGTGAGCGTAACGCCATCTGCCACCGTGCTTCCCTGGGTAGTTATCGTAGTCGCTGAATATCTTGAACGTTTGCAGGAAAGGCAGTGAGCCTTTGTAATCGTTGATCAAGGACATGAGATTACTAAGTGATATCATGAAAGTACAGTATGTATTCAGTCCCTCAACCCTTGAAGATAGCTGAATTCCAAGCTCACCGGAAGAAGAGCTCTTTCTGGCCGTCGTTAGGGTCTGTGCGCTCCCAGACGATCGTCTCTTTGTTTGTCTCGAGGGTCTCCCTTTGATGTGGTGTCCAAGCTGGAATTTCAAGCTGTCCGTCTTCAGGCCCAACTATCCTGACCACTGCTCCGATTGTTACGCGTATGCTGCCCTTCTCGCAATACAAGTACTCTGCGTGCGACACATGGAAGTGTAGGAACCTGATGGACGCACGTACGTAAGAATCGACAGCATGTTCACTGGGTCGACATTAGTGTGACGTACGAATCAAACTTCGCTCCTGGCTCGAAATGGAACTTGGTATGGAAAGCGGGGAGGCCGGGTGCGGGCGGCTCGGTTGCACCGAATGTAAGCGTAGCCTTCGCAGCTTCATACTTCAGCTCGAGGTTATCAGCAGTGTGGGTGCACTTCATATTGCAGGTCTGTTGCAGGTCGCGTCTGATATGGATGGCTGCCCATTGTATATATACGTGGGTCTCACGTAAGCATCCGGTATCAGGTTTCGTTTGATGATGCCATATTGCCACGTAGGCTAAGAGTCCCTCCACGCTCGAACCTACTTACGCGCCCTGATAAAGCACCGGATGAAGCGTGTAAGTATAAGGGCAGGTAGTCCGTCGATTCTGCGCTGCGAATTCATCAAGGTGCTGGCGCAACTTGACTCGATGCAGCTGCCAGAACGTGAGGAGGACTTCACGCTGTCCATGATCACAATGATCATCAACTTGGCGCGCGGCCAGCAGCATCACGTGGGCGCGTTGCGGGGGTGGATACGACGCCAGCAGTGGCAGCAGGGCCCAGCACCATCCTGTGCTTCTACGTCTTCTCTTCCAGTCGCCCATACATATTGCGCCCCCCTCATCCTCCACGAGTTCTGCGTCTCGCTCGTTACGCATTTCGAAACATCAGAGGTCTTGGTTCACTGTAACTCCAGGAGTGACGGCGAGCGGGGATGCAACGGGCATTTGGAATGTGCTGGAGCAATGCTGGAGGTATGCACTTCAATAATTCTCTGACGAATGTTAATGAGCAGCAATGACCTACGAGCTAGCTCGGGGTTCCCACAGGCTCGGAGGGGCGTTTTACGTGATGAAGAAGACGACGGTGCTTGCAGAGGCTTCTCAGTGCGCCATTGGTATACGGTCGTGAGGCATCATGGGCCTCATTGTCGCGTCTAAGCCTACGGATGAACGGAGCCTAGGAGGTGTACGGAAGCGAGGTCACCGAACTCACCCTTACGGAATCTGAGAACCCTCTGAGCGGAAGGATCGCTCTCATGTTTGGGCTCGAAACAGTTACGGGCACGAAGCTGCTTCGACTGGATCCCAGCATATATCAGGCCATTCTGAAGGAGAATCGTAGTTGGAGACGTAATCTATGCCGAAGCTAATACCGGCGCAGTGAAGGTAAGGTCGATGATGATACTCCGTTGGACCGCTCTAATCAGTGAGGCAGCGAGTAGGACGTTCAGACGCGTACGCTTCTTCATATGATCTCGAGTCCGAGACATATGTCCCATTACCCAAGGGTGACGTGCACAAGCGGAAGGAGATTGTGCAGGATGTGACTCTCGGTGACCTCGACGCAGCAAATGCACGACCTCAGGGTGGACAGGACATCATGGGCGTCATGGGCAGCCTTGTGAAAAGCGGCCGAACGGAGGTCACCGAGAAGCTACGGAAGGAGGTGAACAAAGTTGTGAAGAGTTACGTGGATCAGGGCGTGGCGGAAGTCGTGCCCGGTGTCGTCTTCATCGACGAGGTTTGCGCGCATCCTGCTAGGATCCAGTCTGCATGTCTGAGGTGCCGTTCTCATAGGTGCACATGCTCGATATCGAGTGCTTCACCTACCTCAACGCCCTGCTCGAGTCGCCCATGGCACCGACAGTCGTCCTTGCAACGAATCGCGGAAACTCGCCAGTGCGCGGAACCACAGAAATCGTCGCCCCTCACGGGATTCCCATTGATCTGCTCGATCGGTATGCATGTCTTACGTGTCGGGGAAGTCTTCTGGAGGTCTAACCATATCGCGCCATCACAGTTGTCTCATCGTCAGGACAGAGCGCTACAACAAACCTGACATCGCGAAGGTCGTCCAATTGCGTGCTAATGTCGAAGGGCTGCAGCTCGGACCCGGTGTGCTCGACAAGCTAGCAAGACGTGGCGACACAAGCTCACTCCGGTCGGCACCTGTCTCCTGTTTCATCCTGACGCTGCCTGACCAGCTGCCACAGATACGCGCTGCAGTTGCTCACGCCAGCGTCCATCCTCGCTGGTCTGTCTGGCCGAAAACAGATCGAGCTGGAGGACATCAACGAGATGGGCGAGCTTTTCTTGGACGCGAAGACGAGCGCGGAGGCGATCGGTCCGTCAGGCGGCTTCGACGCTGACAAAACTGTGTAATCGCGCCGATCTATGGTTGCGCTTCGACTGTTCTGTATTTCTTGGCTTGGGTGCGTACAGGCGATGAGGGCGCCGATCCGAAGTTCATGGCGACTGACAAAATCTGGACAGCGCTGGGGCAGACAGGGCTGAGGACAGGCCACCAAAAAAGAATTGCGGACCTTGTAGGACGGTCCGCAGTGTTGTACTGATACTCAATGTATTAGATCCTCAGGGCCTGCAACGTGACTCTGTATTGAATTGCATTGAACGGCCTAGTCGGACATGACCTTCGCGGACGTCGCCTTGGGCGCCAGCTCTATTTACATGCCATATTGGGTTGATATTGGGAACCGCGTTCTCTTCGGTGACCTGGTTTCATTCAGAGCATGTTCCTCTGACTTCTAGCTTCTGCGTGGAGGTCAGTTGCTAGTCCTGACTAATTTTCTCTCTTTTCTTGGCCCCTTCATGTCCGGCGTCGTGGTTCAACGCCGTAATGAAGTCCACCATACTGTCAAGCTTCCGCGCCCCGTTGTTCCGCGGTCAGCAGGGTGAGTTCATCGCCTCGAGTTCTTCGCGTCAGCGCCCTGAGAACTCCTTCCTTTCAGAAGACATACAGCATCGTGCGACAACGTTGTCTCCCCGGACGTAAAGCTCCCCTCGCTGCTGTGAACATCTGCATGATTTGCAAATGTGGCTGAACTGCGTGCTCGTCACGGGCGAGAGTATGCTCCGGCTTCCCGCATCTATGGCCGCCGATGCGCCTCGATGCCATGAACAGTCCAGTTGAGGCTCTCACCGCGCCGAATCTCACGTCTGCCAGGACACGACTTGCGTGTATGTGAAGCAGCGACCGCTGTCAACGGGTCGGCCGGCTGGTCAGCTAGCGTCGTAGCTTCCCCAAACGGAATAGAGTATGTGGCTTCTGCTTCTTCGATCTGCCCCTCATGTCACTCTGACACTTCCTACGCCGGGAACGCATAGACACCCAAATTCAAACTCACTGGTAGAACGTGCGTTCCTGGACAAGGGTTCACGAAGCTTGGGCGAAGCCTACTATGACCACGAAGGGCTGAGAAGTGGTGCGACAAATGAATGTGGCGCAGGGTTCTGGTCAGTTGACGGTCGTCTGCGAATCGTCGAAGTTCATGACATGGATTTCGTCTTGCTCCACTTCCGAAGATCTTACGGGCCCGCGATGCATCGCAGGAGAACTTGTTCGGTAATGTGGTATCGCGGTACACCGGCCGCCATTCACCGGAGGGGCCTCTCGAAAGCATCTTCTTGTCAGCAGTCACAAGGCGTCTCAGAAGAGCGACTTGCATAGAGACGATAGGTGGGTACTCCTGCTTCTAGATGTTTTGGTTCGTAAATTCTCACCACTGGTCTGGGATCGCACTTTTGACATGTTCTTTCGTGATCCAATGGGGATGTTGGTGTTGCAATGGCAGAATGCCCTTCAACCGCACCATTGTATCGCGATATGGCCTAACGTGTGCAGGTGTGAGCTAGTCTATGAACCTAGACACCGAGCGCGACCTCCCCGGACACGCCTAGTGATTACTCGGTCTGTGCGCTTCAGCGAGCCGCGGACTGTGCCTCTGTTGGTCGCGGCCCGCCGACGCCTCGACAGGAGTCTCGTACGAGTTACAGACCTGGGAGCGCCTTCGCGGAAGCAAATTGACAGAAGAGACCTATTCGCGCTAGCGCACAGGTGTGAGCCAAACCGGGAGTTCGGGAGCTTCCCTGCTGGCAGGCCAATTCAGTCGACTGCTCTGGATCTGGTGGCACAGATCTTCGCCCGCATGCCGTGCGTGGAGGATCTCGTTCGCGGTCGCAGCCACTGCGGTACTCTCAGCTCTGCTGATGCAATCTATAATTGAATCACGCGTCTATTTGGCCTTTGGCCCTTTATATTGGACCTTTGTGCGCAGACACGTCCCCGCCTCAGCTCTGTACCCTTTGTTCGCAGGTTGCCCCTCATATATCAGCAACGCCGACACCCTTCGTGAGACTCTTACACCACGCACGTACCAGTGATGATCAACAAGGCCCTCCCATACTATCTTGAGGACCGTTCCGGCTCGTACGCGGGCTCCGACTTCGACGACATCTATGACCGTCTCTTCCTTCGTGTGTCGCGACCACCAGGGAGTGCCACGGATGGCCCGCCCAACGCCCTCATGATATACAACGTCGGCCGTCGGTCGTCGAACCAACGAGATTACCGACCATTACAGCGTGAACCCTCTGTCGCCCTCGAGTTCGGGCCCAGCGGAACGCTGGGACAGATCTCTTTCATGGGCACGTCTGTCTCTATGCCCATGAACCAGTACCTGAAGAAGGTCTCACTGTTTGGAGGGTGAGTCAGATGCCGATTCACTGTCCTTGCGGGATACTCACAATGCCACTTGCAGATCGCTCATTCGAAAGTTCCGAGCTTCAAATGGCGAGGAGTACAAATGGACGTACAAGACCGAGTCGGAGCATCAGTGGTCGGTGAGTACCGTTCACGACAAGCCCGGTCTTGCGTCTGACGTTGTTCCAATGTCAGTGCACTGACTCAGGCAACTATGTTGTGGCTCATTACAACCTGAAGCCTCCAAACAAGCCAGCGTTCCGGACGTCTGGCAACATGTTGACTATCAACGAGACGCACGCGAGCCTAGCGATCGGTGAGTCGTCTCCGTTCGTGAGGCTTGTGAGATTGCTCACCAGAACCTATCTCCTTCAGAACTTCTGGCGTCATTGACCATCATGCGTCACGTCGCTGCCTACCATCTATGACGGGACCCGAACAAGACGTGTATACCGAAAGCGCGACTCGTCGAGCATCACCCATCGCAGCTTTGAGGTATTGCCGCAGTAACCTCGGGGCCAACATGAAGTATGATACCAGACTGCGGCATAATATTGAAGGGACACTTACCGTAGAGCGAGGACCCAAGTAATCTGGCCTCAGAGCCGGTATGCATTGTACAATAGCAGCAACATGATCGGAAGCAACTGTGTATGCATGTGTACTATTACGACTTATCTGCAGGCGTATTCGCCCTAAGCCCCCGATGACGTGTGGTGTGTAACAACGTACCTATGTTGTATCTTCAGCAACCGTCTTCGACGATCCGGTGTGCATTGCGGTCATCTGCGGTCATGCTATGTCAGCTTCGCCAGTACCAAGTGGCATGCGCGGTACGTCGCTATCGAGCGCGCGATGCGAGGGCCACGGCCTGCAGCGGACACTTCCGTGCATCGCCTAACGTTGAGTGCCTTGTGAACGGCGCTGCGCCCTGCGTCTTGTGCTCGAGGATTGATTCGAGTACTGACGGCAGCACAGAAGAAGTCGAAGCGGTGTTGCGGTGAAGAACATCACCTGAGTCAAGCAGCTGCGGATGGCTTCGAGGTCTACCGCCGCACTGTCAGCGCATGCATCGGGCATCCTCCCGGTACTACATATATCTGCATGATTCAAAGAATCGGTCGATGAGCATATAAACAGACAAAGTAACACCAATCGCAGAACTCACTTCACCCAAGAAGGTCTGTCTGTTTTCAATTAGGGTGCTCTTGGTGAACGCGCGCACTGACCGGTGGTGCTTCGATACCACATTGGCGGCTGGCCATGTGTCCTGAGCCCAAAAGACAACATAGTTCTTCCACACATGGCACCTGCGTGCGAAGAATTTGCTCCTCTCATTCGAGTGAACTCAAGCAACGGTTGACAGAAGGACGAGCGGGGAGCTTCACTGTACAACAGTCAGGGTGCGGCTCATACCGCCCACAGCCCGTGCCTTCGCTGACGGACTGAATGGAATCACGAGTTCGGGAACTGGCCTTGGAGTTGAGCCCCAGAACTTTGTGCTTCTATGGCGGTCGCTGCCGAATGCTCAGCGCTCAGCTATAAATGAGATGAGCTAGTAGATAGTGTCGACAACCCACCTTCCCGCCTTTCCGTCAACCCTCCGCGCGTCGTTTCAACGCTTTGCATTCTAAGCATGTCCGAATCTAAGGCGACTGAAGTAAAGTGCGTTCATCAAAGTGAATGCGCGAAGCAGAACAGCTCACAACGTGCTATTGTTGTAGGCCGAACGGCTCGGAGCCTCAAGTTGCCCCAGACTCCGTCCCAACCCTGCCAGAGATCAAGCCCACGGAGCCTCTGTGCGTACACCTACGCTAGTAGAATATATCTTTATTGATCGTACGGATGTGCTAGATCTGACACGATCGACGACGATGAGTTCGAGGAGTGGAAGCCGAGAGGACCACCGAAGCTGAACGTTGCTGGTCCCAAGACGGGCGTAAAGTTGCGTTGAGACCCTGGGGGGAAACGCTGTCTGCGATGTATGAAGCCACGGCAGGTCGTACTAGGCGTGTAAATGAGGAAACGGAGGACTGTTCCTGTACAGAGTTCTTGATCACTCACCGGCTGTAAGCAAGAGCGTCAATCGTAAAGTCTGTTCACGTGCTTCCGGTCACCACCGAGCTTCAAGTTGTTGTAACAATCAAGGGGCTAGCACACGAGAGCTTGGAAGGCCGTTTGTAAGGTAGTACCTGTTACGAGCATACAGAGAGTGATGATGGCCGTTCACCGTTAGCTTGAAGTGGGCGTCCAGTGCTAATTGTTATCCGGTGTCCATGTCCAGAACCTCGCACTCTCCGAGGTGAGGAGCTTCACCAACGCGTAAGCGCAGAGTCGGATGTGTTTCATCAAACATGCTGTCCAGATTGTCTATTGGAAACAGTGTCAGTGGATGTCTTGGACGCCATTTCTTGACGACGACTATTGTACGTCCTGCCGAGCGCGAAAGTCAGTGTTACCATCACTTATCATCGCGGACATTGGCTCTGAGCGGTCACGGACTCGCAAGCAGCAGTCCCGCATAAAAACAGCTCCTGTCCGGAAGACTTTGAGCACCCGAGCACCCACCACTATCAACACCCCTACTCAACGCCCACAGCACACATCGTGGTCCATGCTTTACCTTGACGCCATGACGAGCACAGGCTCCGGCGTCGAGATGGGCTTCCCTCAGGCGAGCCATCGCTTGAACGTCGCACCGCCTTTCTATTTTTGCACCCTCCCAAAGTCGGGCCTGAAGCTCGTCTTCTGCGACAAGCCCCGATCTTCCGACGGATACACGAACGTCATCCGGGTCATGGAGGATTTCGTTCATCACCAGCTGAGGCAGAAGAAGGCGAAGAAGTTCAATATCTCTGCCTTGATACTTTCGTACGCACCGCTGTCGATATATTTCGTGGAGAATGACTGACCAGTCTGGTCGATTATCACAGCGAGATCGCGCACGTCTCCGAGGAACCCTTGGAACCCACTCACATGCTCGTAAGAGTGGTGCTGGCGGGAGAGACGAGCATCCCCAGAGGACTTGCTGGGCACGTGTACCTCGTCGGCTGGGTACCGAAGGCGCACTACGACACGGCGACAGTAGATTGGAAAGCGTTGGACGACCTGGCGGAGCACGAGATCTGGGCCATGCGCGAGGCGCAGGTACTGCGTATGGACACGATCGGTAATTCGCCCTGTCATTCTGCGGTTTCGTCTGCTGATGCACATTGCAAAGGGGAAGTTATATCGGCAACATAAGGTTCGAGATGCGGGATGGACTTAACCGATTGTTGTAGTGAGGCTATGATGTACTACTGTTTCTGAGCGATTGGTGGTACGGGTTGAACATAGAATACAGCTGGAACTAGTGCTCCCTTTAGAGACGCTCCGCTGTGTTTGAACATACTCGACCTAGCTATAGCAATACTCGAATGCTTTGCGTTGGGAAATCTTGACGTGAAAGTCCAGGTTTATAAGGGTTGGCGCGATGCAGTGCAGGGTCTAAGCAAGTTTAGCGCACTCGCTCCTTAACTTGAGGGGAGGGGAGAATCGATACTCACAGAAATGCGTCAGGTTTCAATTTGGTCGCAGTTATGTGCCCGAGACGAGCTGCCCAGCACACAATGGTTGCCATTTGCCAGATCTCTACTTATCGAAAATGGACAGAAGGGTGTTCAAGTTCAAGGGACGGCGGGTGGCTGAGTATCGGGACCCCGACCAAGCTCAGCCAAACTCCGACCGCGATGAGTCGGATCTCCGAAGCAGTCCGAAGTAGGATTTCAAACTCATGCATTGATCGTCATGCACTGGCACTGCCTGAGGAATGACCACCAGCGACATTGAGCTTCAGACCGTATGTCGCGCATGTCTTAGGCGTCGCGGACGCGAAGCCTGGTCCGATGCTGTCCACGTCAGGTCCTCATTTAGGAGACTCGTCTCAAACGCGGTGCACGTGCACTATCATATCATGGTCAAGGCCACGAGCAATAGGCCCAGCGAGGTGAGTACGTTGCGAGAGGCTGACCCCATCATCGAGACTAATCAAACGGTATAGTATAACATCGTCATGTTTCTCATGGTGAAGACGAGTCCAGAGTACGTTGGTCTAAGAAGGTCTGCACCGCCGAATACAGCCTCGAGCGTCTTGTGTGGTTCCCTATGGTGATAGACCCCGAAGCCAAGTTGCACATAACCCTGCTCACTGCTCGCAGTACATTCCCCAGGATCGTTCACCCGGTCTCCCGTTCTCCGCACCCCAAACTCCGCAAATCTCCTCCAGCTCCCGCAGATGCAGGATCCTATTTCGTTGTCCGTCGCGAATGGCTCGGAGTCTGAGGACAGGTATGTATTGTGGTCGTATGGTGACGAGAACCTACACTCAACTGCGTGGATCATAGCCTCTCCTCCCCTGACGAGCGCGAGCCTGAGGGACAACTCGATACGACTGTGCTTGTCGTTGAAACCCCAGAGACGACAACGAAAGTCATCATAACGGCCACCAGTACAGTTCGGTGTGTGAGATAACTAGTCGATCGATAGTGCGCCTTCTGACACGGCAGCACAATGCAGTCCCGAGGAGATTGCCTCATTGTACGTTCGCCTATGCATCAGATGCACATCTGCGAAACGTTTCAACCCAATTCTAGCGAATACGATGATAGCGACAATGAAGACTATGGGTGGAAGGCCCGAGGTCCAGATAGCAGGAAAGTTGCTGGGCATGCCCCAACTCCACATCGAGTCCGGGATCAGCCTGACAAGGACAAGGACAAGGGTAATGATGCGAGGGCCAAAGCAAGCACCAAGGCGAACGCTCCGAACCCGAAGGACGAGGTGTCCAACGTATCCAAAGCCTCAAAGACCGCTGCAAAGGGCAAGATCAGGCCGCTGTAGATGGTAGACGTGGAGCTATGAGGCGAGCACTACGTGCACTGGACTGGTGTCACCGACGACGACGAGGTGCCGAGATTCGGGTCTGTATCGTAGTGTTCCATCGGACTGTAGCTATTTTTCCTCTTCACCGAGATCCCTTGCGCTGCCCTGAACATCGAGGCCGCTCTGCCGCCATGCTTACAGCCTTTCACCCTACACGCGCGACGCTTCTTGACGCCTTATCCTGCGAGCGTGTGCAGGAAGGTAAATATAGGTTGACGCCGGGCCACACGAACCTGCCTTCGGCACTCCCGGGTCAGCATATCAATGGCTCGATGCGGTCGCGGGCTTCGGCTGCGGGTGGATGATCGCAGGAGGACAGGGTACCGAGTGAATGAGGTGGGTGTTCCGTGATGCATACCCAGGTCCAAGCACGAACTCATGGAGTGTTCAAGTTGAGTCCCGAGAACGCGCAAGGGTCCCCAGACCAATGCAACATTCATGCAAGACTAGATGAGGACCCTGTGCAGCATGCCCATTGTTACGTCGACGGGGTTTTTCATTGCTTGCTCCCTGGAATGCACTTAGCTAAAGGCGTAACTAGAACTCAGACACCGTTAGGAAACATGCGCCGAAATACCACCCTTCACAGCCTCACGTTGCAGAAGTTTGTTCTGTGAAGTACATGGTGAGTTTTGCGACGTGTGAGTGTCCCATTCTACGTGTTGTACATCACTCTGTGGCTGATACAGCGCTGCTGCCTGACTGTAGTGTAACGTCAAGTCGCGTCGAAGGAGAATTGTACGGGCATCCTCACGTCGAGAGAACTTCTAATCATGAAGTTGTTCGTACGCAGAACCTCGTACACCGCGCCATTTCCTGGGGAGCGGCCCATGAAACCGTCCTGTGTCATGCGTTTCCAATGCGTTCGCATTGATTCGTCTCGCCCTTCCAGTCGGACGACTCCTTCATGCCATGCCGCGTGCACGTACATGTTGCAAGCCTTTCTCCGTAAAAGCAAAGGGAGAGCGGCAGCTGGCCCCCTCCAACCCCGTCCACTTGGCACTTGACGATCTATTCCGCCCTCAAGCTGAACAGACCCGATATACAAGGCATGCAATCGTAAAATCTCAGTGAAGCACACGTCATGACATTCAAACTCATACAGATCGATACGTAGGATGGAGGATCCATACCATAAGGGTGCCCATCATCTCCGGTACTTGAGAGTGCATCTCAACGGCGGCGGACAAGACACAATTAAGACTTTGAAAGCGGTGGACAAACGGAAGACGCAGAAGAAACCTGTCGCACGGGTAAGTCCGAGCAATACATGTGCCTCTCCATGCTGTTTATCATACGACCTTTTCAGTCCATGATAAGGAGCCTGCGGGTAGGTGTTGACCGTCTTCTCCGATTCAGGGAGATAACGCCGACCACACATAGCGAGATGCTAGCAATCTAATCCACATTGGCACGCATGCTTCGGCACTTACACCTCCTCCCGCAGCCGTACGTCAGACTTCGATGCCAGTCTTGTTGTGGTCGCTCATGTACCGACACCCAGCCCAATGAACATGACATGTTGCGCCTTAGTCATACCACCTCTGCAAATGTACCTTCTCCGTCAACGGTATGTTTGCTTACACGTGCTGTTCCTGTGTGTAGGAGTCTTACGCTACGCCATGAAAAGACACATGACGTGGAAAGCAGTGCTCCCCATCGCAGGAGGTCTACTACATTGTCTTACGCCAGTGATGAACGTACACTGGCACAGTCGTATCAAAGCACGAAGGTCTGTGGCTGTCACAATTCGGATCATGGCGGGCAGTTCTCATCTCTTTCGTCATACAATTCAGGGCACAGGGAATTCTATACCGAAGCAAGACGAGGCTGGAAACCAGAAGGACGGACAGAACGGGGGCCATGCTGAGCATCGCCCTACGGATCCTTGGTCCAAACTAGCTGAGACTGTGTGGCATCGAACGAGGGCCGACATCGAGAGATGGTGGAGTGAACTCAATTCTCTGCTTACCTTCGTAAGTTGTCCTTTCTTTTCATGACACTGAGCTGAGATTGGACTCGTTTGACAAGGCTGGTCTATTTTCTGCCGTCGTAACCGCCTTCGCAGTTCTAGGCTACAGCATCCTGACCGCTCAGATCGCCTCTCCCACTGATCCGGATCTCTTGCACCGCTACGTTCCGGCGCTTTGGTTCGCAGCACTCGTCTGCGCGCTCGCAGCAGCGTCGGTCGCCATATCGGTCGGCCAGTGGCTGAATTACCTCTTGACGCCGGCAGGCCTTGTCGAGTTCGGGCCACGGCAGAAGTTGCGAATTTGGAACTTGCGGCGCATAGCCTTCGATCGTTGGCAAATGGATTTTTTAGTCGGCATCGCACCTGTGTTGCTACAAATCGCGCTGACACTCTTCCTCGTGGGTCTGGTTGGCTTCCTGTGGACTGTGAGCGTCGCTGTTGCGATGCCTACCCTCATCCTTGTCGCCTTCGTTCTCTTCTTCCAGTTCATAACCGTGGTCGCACCTGCCATGGTTGCCTACAGCCCTTTCCAGTCTCCACAGGCCAGATTACTCCGATGGATGTGGGTAACTTCCGGATTCACTATCTGCTGGGCAGCCTACAAGGCCACACATTGGCCGTCCGGATGCGTGCAGTGCAAGATGATCACGCGTCGACTGCAGGCCGCTCACGCGTCACTGGAGCGAGTTATGCATCGTCTAGCAGAACTCCGCCTGCACTGCAGCTGGGTGAAGAACGAGAAGCTCTACCTGCAAGATGATGCAAACAGCACCGAAATTGATACAACTCTCTTCGCATCCACATTTACAGCTGCCGTTACCAAGGACGACGAGTCAACGCTCCACTACATTCAACAATGCTTGAACGACATGCCTATAGATCTGGCGCGCAGCAACGCGACCGCTCTTGTAGATGCATGCGACCAAGCTCGATTGGACAATGCTATTCGAGCCGGGGTCGATCACGGAGACCATTTCAGCTCCTGGTCGTATGATTCTCTGGACAAGCATGTGATCACCATGATGGGACATGTGGTCGTGGACGTTATGACACGTCTGATCCACAGCCAACTGCCGAAACACATGAACTCTTCACATGCTGTCAAGGAGCTGGACGAAATGTGTGTCGACATGCAATATGTGCTGCAATTCCTTGATGCGGAGGACATCAAGGTGTGCCACCGTCTCATCGAACTCTTGGACATCCCCACCAATAACGACGATGACGACACACGACTCGATCCTCACTATGCTCGACGGAAAGTCCTGGACTTGGTTTGGACGCAGGCCAGTATCACTGACCTCAGTAAGCGAGACGGTAGGTTCCTGCTGTGTGTCTCAAGGATCGCCTTTGCATTGACATCGAGCATCAGATATGGCAGACGTCATGACTATAATCAAGACTAGCTATGGTCAAGCAGACGATTACGCTACGAAGCTCGATCTCATCATCCTCGCCCTTCACATCAATTCCCTCTGGCTGGACAATATCGACGACATGCTCGTCCTCCTCAACGAGCTCCTGCGATCAAGTTCCAGGTCTCAATTTGAGGGTGCAATGAATGAATCCCATGTCATGATTTTATTCTGTGATCTCGAGCTACATGCGCCCGCATCGACATCACATACCGAAACTAACTCCAATTCAGCTGTCGCTGACAGCGAGGCCGATCCCCTTCACGTTCCTGACGGCGCTCGATCCCAGCCGAGTCCTTACACCGCTCACTCCAGCGAGCCAATCTCCCACGCCGCTCCTACCAAGCTTGACGCTGCCCACGACGGACCAGGTCAGGATACTCCCGCGGACATCATGAACGAGGTGCTGCGGAGGATACTTTGGCTCGTGGGCGACAAGAAGTTCCCCTCCAACTATCGCAACGCAGACGGAAGGATGACTAGCAGCTCTCTCAAGGAGATCCTGTCCGAAGTGAACAAACGCCTTCCAAAGTGAGTAGATGCTCATACGCAGGTGTGCAGCCGACTGATATGTACGCAGCCCGGAGGAGGAGCCAATCGCATGCGCCCCTGAAACCTCGAATGAGGAACGTGTGCCTGAGCAAACTGGTCTCGTGGGTAGCGTCGATCAACCACTAGCTGAACCAGAGTCGTTGAACGGGGGATGGAGTAACATTCGTCGGAGAATAGGTTTGCCAGACCGGTGAGTGGCTCGTCATCCTCCGATGACCCTACATTGACTCGGACCCGGAGTAGACGACCTGGGAGGTTTTCACGTCCTGAAGCCTTTGACGAGGAAAATCAGTCATCGGAGCACAGCCGTCGCTCAACTAGTGCATCGCAAGAGACAGGACCACTGGGAGTACGGTGACACGCCAGAATGCCTGATGCGACAAACTGTCCATGTCCGCATGCAGGCATTGTGTTTCGGCTGTGGTGGCTTAATACAGGTGATATGGGAATAACGGAGAGGTTGGCGGAGGAAGTACTTCTGTACAGGACCGAGCTTCATATACACCGATTACAGGCACCATTCAAGTTCTCCCGCTGAAGGAACATATATTCTAGTATGTGACCATATGTAGCGTACCGTTGGCGGTCCCCGGCTTGCACAATGCTGTTGTAACTTACTTACTTGAATCCACGCATCCACAATATTTCCGAGCTTCAAGTCGTTCCAACGATCAAGATTCAAGGGAACAGCGGCGACGACAACGAAGGTCACCACGGCGGCCAAATAGTAGTACGGCCGGGTGATAACAACGATGACGACGACGAGTTCGAGCAGTGGAAGGCCTGAGGTCCAGATGACAAGAGAGTTGCGGCTAGACCTCAGTCACCTCGATCTCGTATTCGTGATCAGTCTGACAAGGACAAGGGCTGTGATGCGAGGGCCAAGGCGGCCAACGCAAATATCAAGGCGGCGAATGCTTAGGACCTGAAGCTGAAGCTTGAAGGACGACAAGCTCAAGGAGTCCAAAACCCTAAGGTCAGTCCGCCGTGGCCCGTAGACGACAGACATGAAACTATGATATTGTGTGTATTCTACGTGCCATGGTCCTGGACTGCCAGGTGCCACATGTAGTATACGGTAAGTATCAGGATTTCGGGTCTGCGCCCGACACTTCCCTGAACATCGAGGCCGCTCTACTGCCATGCTTCCATCCTTTCATATCACATACACGACAATATGCACAAGGCTTGTTGACGGCTTATGATTATCCTGCAAGCGTGTGCAGCGAAGGTACATCGGGCCACACCAAGTCTTTGATGCTCCACAGTCAGTGTTCCAATATTTAGCTTAATGCGGTCGCAAGCTTCGACTGCGGGTGAGTGATTTCAGGAGAGCATAATATCAGCTGAACGGGTGAGTGTTCCGTGATAGCGGTACGAATGCAGTTCAATACTAATCTAACCCTCAGGTAGGAAGTGTGTCGAAGACACAGCAGCGAAGTCAGTACCCGGAACAGTCTGGCTGCAATCCACACAACGGCAGACAAGGATCCTGTCCGGTATGCCATTCACTGTCAGACCGACGGAGTTCAGTAGTCAGTGCTTACTCCGAGTCCGTCAGCTGGATGTACTCGAACAACGAACAGCGCTGCAACCAGAGCTCGAGTGCTGTGAGCAAGCATGCGTGAACGGACCACCGTTCACAGCTTCCCATCCTCGTGTCACAGAAGTAAGTACATGCGGTCGTACGGATGTGAATCAATCGAAACCTTGATCTAGGGTTGGGAGTTAGTGAATCTATCTCTGGCGCGGACGAGTGCAACGTACTCACCCATACAATTCTCCGCCCTGTGAGTTCCAACAATATTCACAACACGAGAGCAATGCGCCGGGAAGTATCATCAACAACCCTCACAATAGTCTGATTCACAGATAGCGATGTATGTGGCAAACAAACGTCGTTGCAATCCAACTATCGATACAATAGATCACCTAAACACGAAAAGACATACCAACCAGCCCAATCAAGCGAACAGACGCTTCGTATACCTAGCAAAGACGCGCATCAGCCCCAATCAGCACGCGCTCAAGCGTCAAAAGATCAAAGAGGACTCACGAATGCAACCCGTGCACACCACCCTCGACCTGCGCACTCGCCGTACGGAGCTCGAACCTGACCTTGCCCTCACGCACGCCCTCCTGCAGCGCCTGCGCGCTCTTCACGCCAATATCCTGGAACGAGTGCTGCAGGCCCGCATACAAGTACGGCAAGAACTGCTTCACCGAGCCCTTGTCCTGCACGTCGCCCGACACGCCCTGCGCGACCTTCACCGCAGACGACTCCGAGAAGTAGCGCGTCGTCGCCGCGTTCTCGTGCGTGTTCCCCTTCCCCTTGCCCGCCACCGCCCTGCTCGTCGCGGCCGACGCCGGTCCCGGCTTCCCCTGCTCCATCGCCTCGAGGCTCCCCATCCCGCGGTACGCCTTCACGCGCTTGCCCTCGTGGTAGAAGTACTCGCCCGGCGCTTCCGTCGTGCCCGCGAGAAGCCCACCCATCATCACCGCACCGGCACCAAGTGCGAGCGCCTTGACAATGTGCCCGACGTTCTGGATGCCACCGTCGGCGATGACGGGCACGCCGAACTTGCTCGCGAACTCGGCGACGGCGTAGACGGCGGTTGCCTGCGGCCGCCCGACGGCCATGACTTCCTGCGTAATACAGATAGAGCCGGAGCCCATACCGACCCGGATCGCGTCGGCGCCTGCGGAAATGAGGCTCGCAGCCTGCTCTCGCGTAACGACGTTACCCGCGATGACCTCGAGCTTTGGGTAAGTCGCCTTGATCCACTTGATCATGTCGAGCTGGAAGACGGAGTTGCCCTGCGAAGAGTCGAGGACAACGATGTCAAGGCCTGCCTCTGCAAGAAGCGCAAGACGATCACGATCAGCGGGGCGCGTGCCGACCGCAGCGGCAGCGTACAGCTGCTTGGACGACGGCAACTTTGACGCGAGCGGGTAGTCCTGGTTCTTCAACAAGTCGGAGCGCGCGAGAAGGGAGGTGAGACGGCCAGCGCTGTCGACGATCGGCAGCTTGCCCTTTTTCGAGTCACGCAGAATGGTGTTTGCCTTCTCAAGGGTGATGCCCTCGGATGCAGTGACGAGGTCCGTCGTCATGACCTCGGAGAGCGGCGTCGAAGGATCACGGAACTGGACATCACGGTTCGTGACGATACCGAGCAGCTTGCCCCCAAGCGCACCAGTATCTGCACATAGCGTCAGATTGATTTCAATTGCATGAATTACGCATGAAAAGATTCAGATGATGGAAGCCCATTGAATATCCGCAGATCACACGTGTAAAACGCGTTGGCTCGGAAGAACGAAGGTAGTGTAAAGTATAATCATCACGTAAAGGCGACTGCTGCAGATCGACGACTCACCCGTGATAGGCACTCCAGCAAAGCCAAGACGCTCCTTGATGTCCAAGACGTCCTCGGCACGGTTCGAAGGGGAGAGAACGACGGGGTCCGTGATGAATCCGTTCTCGTGACGCTTGACGCGGCGCACCATCGCCGCCTGCTCCTGGGGAGTCTGGTTGTGGTGGATCACACCAATGCCGCCAAGGAGCTACAAGCCAGGAGAGGACGAGTCGGACAAGGCACGAGACATGCGGGCTAGAGGATGCTCACCGCCATGGCAATGGCCATGTCGCCCTCGGTGACCGTGTCCATGGGGCTACTCATGAAAGGTGTTTTGAGCACGACGTTGCGAGTAATCTTGCTCTCCGAGACGACTTCGTGGGCGGCGAAGTCAATCTTGCCCGGGAGCAGGAGGAAGTCGTTGTAGGTCAGACCTCCGTGGACGGTAGAGTCCATGAGCTCGCCGACGGAGAGGCCGTCGGCGCGCTTGTACGCCTGGAGGACATCGAGGGCAGTAGAGGGGTCGAGGAACGCTTTGGAGGACATGGTCGAGAGGGGTGGGCACGAGGATGGTGGACGTTCGTGCCAGAGTCATGCTTGCCTCCTGCCCGCAATTTTTGTGCGGTACGCGGGCGCTTGACGCGGGCTTAATCAGGCGCTACTTGATTAGTCAGCTACTAGTACTACTCTGAATGAGCGTCTAAACTGTAAAGTACTTACCCATTCAAACTCGGTCAGAAATGAATGCGTTGCTCAACGCAATTCCCGAGACTTACTTCGTGATCGTGTGGGCTCCGTCCCGCCATCGTAGGTCTAGGCTCGCAACCCGCGGTTCGTTGTCGTTTCTGACCCGACGCTACCCGCCAACAATGTGGTATGATCGCAACAACACAGCTCGATGGCGCCGGCTGCGCTGGTGACCTCGGCGGGCGTACTTATCTCGCTCTACATCCGTGATTCTGGCTCTGTCCATCTCTACCCACGTCCACCACAGTCAGCGATGCGTACGACGTTGTTCATCCTCCTAGGTGCTGTTCTGGTGTCCTCGCTACGGACAAGAGCATTGAGGTCTCCTTCCACCCGAAAGACCTCCCGGAGAAGGTCGCGTCTTGTCAGGCGCTCAATCGTGCACCAGCAAGCAGCAGGACATTGACATCCGTGAGTAGTGACTGACCTTCCCGCGGCTGGCACAACTGGAGTACATTCATTCGCAGACTATGTGGAGGTAAACCCGGAGGCGAAGCGCACCATATTGATGGTGCACGGTTGGCCGAGCCTTTGGCACAGCTGGAAGTACCAGATCGAGCAGTTCAAGGTGCGTCGCCTCCCCGGTGGTCTTCATACTTTCATACTCATGTTGCATGTTCCCCGCCGCCTAGAACGACTACCACATCATCGCGCCCAACCTCAGAGGCTTCGGCGCGTCAAGCCACCCCGGCGACGTGAAGACCTCCGGCAACTGGCCCGACATCGTCGGCGACCTCGTCTGCGTGCTCGAGTCCGCCGGCGTCGACAACGCAATCTGCATGGGGTGCGTCCTCTGTCTTCCTCCTCTTTCTAGTCCACCCCCTCACCCTGCGCAGACACGACTGGGGCAGCCAGCTCTGCTTCCAAGCCGCCCGCCAGCGCCCTGACAAATTCACCGCTGTCATCGGCGTTGCTGTGCCCTATCTCCCCTTCAACGCCGCGACCTTCAGCCCCACCTCCGCGCTGGTTCCGTACTTCCCCCACCTCGCGTACCAGGTATTCCTTGGGGAGACGCCCGAGCTCGCGCGGGAGGAGCTCGACGCGGACATTCGGCGCACTCTGAGGGCGACGCTGAGGAATACGGTCGACCCGCCGCCGAAGGGGTACTTGCAGGATACGAAGAGCTTCTTGGGCGCATATGAGGGGGTGAAGGAGGTTGGTGTCGCCGGAACAGTGGGAGGTGTGAGACGGTAGCTGATGCGTCATCACGTAGATTGGGCCTATCCCCTTCTTCTCGCAAGAGGAAGAAGACTATTGGGTTGGGGAGTACAGCATCCAAGGGTTCAAGAACAGTACGTGTTCGCACCCGTACCTACGAGCCACGTGACTCATCACCACCCCGCAGCCCTGCAGTTCTACACGCCCGAGGTACGTACCGCTTCTCTGTGCCCGTAGATCCGCATGCTCATCCATGCGCGTACCACAGAACCAGAAGGCGTCCTGGGAGTTCATCCATGCACAGGGGAACTACACGATCCCCCAGCCAGTACTCATGGTCTTCCCCGAGGCTGTACGTGTTCTTCGTCGTACATGAACGTCCAACTGGTTGACTCACTCTATCGCTCCGATCGCAGGACCCCGTAGCTGACTGGGCGAAAGTCCTCAAGCTCCTCGGCGCCGCTGAGTTCCTGCCGAACTCAGCCGTACAGGTTCGTTGCACCCATACCCAACGTTCTCTGTACTCGCTCAACTGATGCATCTGTGTCTGGCATGATAGATGATGCCCGGAGGACATTGGCTGCACCTCGAGCATCCCGCGACGTTCAACCACTTCGTGCGGAAGTGGCTTGATGCGTTGTCGGAGAAGGAAGCTGCCACAACGCCGGAGGAACCGAACGTCGCCAAAGAAGAGCCGCACGGGCGGCCGGGCGATGAGTTGTAAAGCATTGGAAAATGTTCATGTTTCGGTGGCTGTGGTAAACGTTGGGGTACTCTTGTCTGCAAGCGGGTTGGTGTCATAGCGTCTGATGACTTCAAGAATCTGGGAACCTCATGTTACGATTGAAGTTTGCCAGAACATCAAAAAATATGGCTTATCGCACTGTACCGCGGTGAGTTCAAAATACAGGGTGCCGTACCGAGATGTGATTCGGTCCTTGTCATGCATCGGATGTGTATGGTGTGGTGGATGCGCGCACGACACGACCATCCAACTGGTTTATCATCTAGGTTGCTCCGAAACTACCAAAGCCCCTGCAAGCATATTCACATTCTGACCGTCTCCAAGTACCCAAACGCTGGGGCCAAGTCACTGAAACCGATTTCTGAGCGGGCACGGTCGCCCTCGGTGGATTGATGATACAAGGTCTGTTTGTCGCGAATGGTCAGCAAATGAGGGAAACGAGATACGGCAAGTTATTACCGATTGTCATAACCTCACGCGTCCGCGTTGTTCGAGGAATTTGAATCAAGGGGGTGCCCTGGCGGGAGTGGAGATTAGAACATTGAGTGCTCAGCGTCGGCGGTAGTGCCGCGGATCTCGAACCTGTTTCAAGCTGAAGTTCTCTCCCGCCCTGCCCCGCACGTCGAAAACATGGAAAGAGATCCCTCGGACAGAATCAGCGTTTGCAGTCAATGGTAAAGCTCAGTTGCCAGTAATACCTCATGCAAGTGACCGCAGCGGCGGGCAGAGACTTGGGCACATCCGCGTGTAGCTCGTCCAATTTAACGTCAGGAATACTGCGCACAACTCAGGTCAGGAGAGATGTCGCAGGTAAAGAGCTCTTGACGTACGATTTCCCCAACCGTTTGAGACGCCTATTGGCTGTTTCTAATATATATGTCTGGTCTTCTGAGAATGTTTGCCACAATTCTATCGCGTCCTCGGGTGCGCCGCCTGCAGAGTCTACAAATTGCAAGAAACGCTGCGATATTGCGCTAGTCGAGACCAGTGTCTCTGTGTCTTCAATAAGCATGAGAAAGAGCCAATTTGAGAGGTAGTCAACGGTCCACCCCGGAAGGCTATACATCAGCTTTCGAAGGTCTTTCTTTGAGTGCGTGCGAAATGACTTGTCCATGAATGTGTTGAATTCCTGGACAGCGTCTCGAACGTCCCGATCAGCTGGGGAGTTGTCACGTCGGGAGAGACATAGACTCGGATCCAAGACTAGTTTCCCCAGGATCTTGAATATCAAGGCGGTGAAAACGAAGCCTGCGTGATAATCCGAAGATTCATAGATCCTCGACCGTGCGTCCTTGATCCGCGCAAAACCTGATAATGATCAAGATTTCAGTATGAACGGCCGTTACGCTGAGATGTGCCAGTGGGCACTTACTGGCGGTGTCAGTACCGATGATGAATTGATCATCGTAGGAACGAATGAGTTCTAAAATCTTCATCCGCAAAGCGTGGCTCTGGAATCTCCCTCCTTGCAAACGATCAAACAACTGCATGTACAATGCAAGCGCGTCTTCATCATCCATAGCTTTCTGACTGAACAGATAGCTGTAGGCTTCGACGGCATTGCTGGTGCTCACCGGGATCTCCAGGTTCTCCGCGAGGTCCTCAAAGATTCCTCTCATCTTGTGCGAGGAGTCTGCCAATGCGTTGCTCGGCGCGTAGCGATCGCTGTCTGTGATCTTCGAGCCCATTATGACAAATATGTTCTTTTCCTGGACCTTGAGATGGTATTTATACCATGCAGCGTCACCGGCATCCGCTTGATTGACAGCTAGTTGCCGCGTCCTTCCAGGATGGCCCCGGAGCCGTTTGGAAATGGTAACTATGTTGCCCAATGCTTCGCTTGGTGAAATATCAGCGAGGCAGGCGTCTACCAACGGGCGAACCGAGGTGAGATCTGGAACCAGGGAAACAACGTTTGACAGCATGGTCCTATCGATTACCCGCCCTGCCGGAGTGTCCAAATACCTCGCCTCTTCAGCAGTCCAGGTGTTTCGAACCCTCTGCTGGTCCAGATCGGCCACTCGTTTCTCGCAATACTTGCTCAGCGTACGGAAGCATGATTCGACGAATTCAGGGCTGTCAATGTGCCAATACAGCCACAAGGTGAGCTGATACGCCAGTGAGTAGAAGAGAGTTCTCAGTGGCGCGGAGAGTCGGCGCAGGAATTCTGACTGCAGTGACACGAAGGGGCTATATGCGACGAAGAGTGGTATGGTGGAAGTGATGACCAGGAACAACAGGAGGAGGAGGACAAGCAATAATGTCGGCGTGGCAACCTCGGCGTTGAGCTGCCATAGGTACCCCACAAGGCCCACGAGGAAGAGAACAAGAGCAAGCTGCAGCAAGACTGATGGTATGTCGATTAAGACCGCCAGGCGCCATCTGCGGAAGGTTTCATGACGAAGATTCCATACTCGCATTTGTTCGCGTGATTCTTTGCCGGCAAGAGCAGTCCGAGTTAGGAGACCGTTCAGCCACTGATTGACAGAGATGGCTATTGCCGCTGCGCCGAGTCCGCATACCAACGCGGCGAACCATAGAACAGCGACATAGGCCTGAGGAGCAGGCGGCTCGGGGGCGGTTGACTGCTCCAGCACTGAGCATGCCAACCGCGAGGATGAGGCACCGGTTTGATTCATGATATCCGCTAATTGCTGGGAGATGTGCTCGAGGATCTTGGTGTTAAAGTCGGGAACGGGCGTAGGAGGTTGCAGCATGGTGTAGTACTGCACAGCAAAGGGGCTAATGACAGCTGCGAATAGCCCGGCCTGGAGGGACAGCACTGCCTCAGATGCATGCCTTTGACGTGAAGACAGTACTTACAAAGGTGAGTAAGGCATTGATCTCGCTCCGCCATCTGTCGACACGTTCCCTCTCGTACTCCCAGATTCTGTCCATCATCTCCGATAGGTTCGGCGGCTATGACGGCCCCAAAAGTGATCAGTTGTGCATCCGTGTGCGAGAGGTATAACTTCCAGACCTTTGATTCCTCTGCAACATCCTCCTCTTCCGCAGTCGTGCTCATGCCTTCACCGGAATTGTTGTCGGTACTTGCATTTCTGTCCTGCAGCGGAATGTTCGGGATGTCGCTGCTCTGCTGCTAGGTTCAGGCATATGATATATCGTCATTGAAATCGTGAGCCCCGGGAATCGCATGGCACTTACCTCTGTCGACGGTGCCTCTCTTTCACTGACACCTGCACTGGTTGAAGCTTGAGCGTCAGGACCATTCGAATCTGCCATGGCTATTGAATTGAGACCACTTTGAAAGATACAGCCCATCAGCTTTCGACTGCCAGCAGAAAAGGAAGCGGATGCACTGACCCGGCGTAAATAGCTTTGGCGGGGAGTCGACGACATTCGACATCGACAATGCTCGATTTATAGTATCGGACTTCTGTATACGGTGGCATTTAGCACGGGTGTCCATAGGCAATGAGGCATCATTTCCAATCGTGACAACCGCCTGCTGGAGAGATGGAATTATCGATACATGAGGCTAGACATGAAGCAATATCGGCCTTGTGTGGACAAAGTTGAGACACATGCTAACGTGGCAGTCATTTCGGTGCGGACATTTCAACTGTGATGAGAGGACAACTCCTCCATAGTGAGCCGCTGCCATTCATGCTTTGATATGGGCGCATAATACCGCATAATTTGGGTTACATGTCGCGGGAGCCTTGAGCGAGACTTACTTCCATACTGATGGCGAGGCCGAAAGCATGCGACATCAGCAGCAGCATTCACGACAAAAGGGTTTCATACCTTCATGTCAAATCCACTAGCCTAGTAGCCAGACAGTTAGCATTCGGGAGTCACACTACTTTTTCTGACACGCACTCTCTTACATTGGTTCCCTACTCAGGTACAATGAATAGCAGCGACGCGATAGTCGCTCGTGCACTGGCAGCATAACGTTGATATGGCCTTCGTCCATGCCTGAGGATCCGGAGCTCCCTGCCTAAGTGCCGTCTTGTCAACACGAGTTGAACACATTACATACAATCAAGAAATCCACCTCTGACGAGGTCGGAACTTGGTCGCTGAGCAATCATTGAGCAAGGCATAAACTCCACACGGTTCGTGACCGCGCGGATATCAGTGTTTCGCACAACACGTCCACTTACCCCGGAAGCCTGGCGTCGCGGAGATGATGGCGTTATGAATTCCGCGAGGCAATGAGTACGTACTCCTGTTAGTATTCTGAGCAATTGGATGCCATGTACTTATGTCCCACATTGAGAATGCCGTATGCCGCCATCTGACGGTAGAGGAAACCCGAGTAGGTCAGTCAATTGCTCGTGAGACGTACAGTAACATGTGTACCTCGTCACAATCGAATGGCCTATTTTTGCAATCATAGGCGCAAGGAATGCACGACTCCATTGAGCGCTATATTGCACAGAGATATTCATTGGCACCTGCAGGCAACATGCAGGTAACGTGCAGGCACATAAGCGCTACATGGACACAGCGAAGCAGATGTCGTACGATTTTGCCATCAACTTCGACAGTGATGAGTACGTATGCATGATCACTGCCTAAGTATTCTCTTCCTTTTTGACATTTGCGTGTTCAACGAGCGATCGTTGGAATTCCACGTCGTAGTCGATGCACTCCATTCGCCATACACCGATATCCTGCACCAGTGAGTAGTGAGTAATTTGAAAGACAGTATCATGTCGCACGAGAAGATTTACATGACAATCCCAGCCACACCCGCCCCAGTTGTACGTCTGATACACGTCGCGCCACTGGATGTCCTCGAGCGTTTGCTGATAGTAGTCCCGGTTTTCGGCCAGTATGTCGAGCTGGCACTCATCCTCAAGCACTTCACCGAGGTAGCAGCGAACCCAGTCGTGTACTACAGGCGGTGCGCCCCAAGCTTCCTTGACGACAGCTTGGCACCATGCCATTTTCCACTGTTGTAAAATCATCCCGTTTATGAACGACGCGATCTTCAATTTGTGGGTGTGCAAAGAAAGACTCACCTCCTCGGGCGCCTTCATCCATTCTGCGAAACTGATCCCAAGGAGCGACGCGTGCATCCGGTACTCTCCGACGTACAGACACTCACCTCCGGGCTGCTCGACGAATACGCGTTTCACGCTCGGCCACCTATTCTCGGCAGGTCCGACACCCAGACAGAGGCCAGGTGCACCAGGGTTTGCGGGCGCGTACGGTTGATAAGCGAGTGGTAACACCAGAAAGTCGTCGAGCCCGCGCACCACGCGCATCTCCCGTCCCAGCCGTGCGTTAACTTCATTCTCCTTGCCATAAGCGGCCCTATACATAGAAGGGAAAGCACTGGAAAGCTTCGCCCCATCGATATCTACGAGTGTCGTGCGCGGGACCGTCTCCAGCAAGAGTGCCTTCCTGGCAGAAATGGTGTGTTGTTTATGCAATGGCTCTCGTTGTAGTCGATGTTTTATGGATTTGTATCCAACGTCTTCATTGGCCGTTTTCGATCCCGTCTCGTCCTTTCCGCGACATAGATATCAGAGCTGTAAGCACAACAAAAGACAAAGCACGCGACGTACCCAGATCCAATACCTATATAAGCGTACACGCTCGTTGAGGGTCATGCCTCCTGGCACTCTCTGACCTTCCTCCCGCGGACGCCCCTCATCAATGAGTTCTGTCTAGTATTACTATGTGAACTGCCGTGTTCTCTGAAATGAAGACCACAAACCTTTGGCTCGTGCTTTACCTTTGGCACAATCGGTAACAACACATCGTCATGAAGTGGTGATTCTTCCTTCACGACTCCGGCCTCGATCTTCATCGGTAGCTGCAATCCACCCTGCGCCATGGTACACGGAGACGACGCATCTTCTGATGCGTGCAAAGCATCCCCGTCATCGTGTTTTGACCTCTTCTGCGGCTCATGAAGACCATCGGATAGGCCGCGCTTTCTGGTGCGCACTTCGGAACCAGCGTTTGAGGTCCGAGACCCAACCTCGCGCGACATCGATGAACCAGAGCTTGAGACGTCGATACAACACAACTTCTGTGTAATACTGTACTCAGCGGGTGTATCCCGACAGTTCGGAGGATGGGCGGGATTCAGCACGAATCAGTACTTGGCTAATCTTGAAGCCGTAATAGTGCCACCAGTGGTCGTTGGATGCTGACACGCGTCGAGAATCGGAGAACACGCCGCGAAGAACGCGATCACGTGGTTCTTTGGTTACGGATATACTAGCGCGAGCGCTTTTCAAGACTGAAAACAGAAGTTGTTGTACATAACACGATCTTACAAGGTACTTATTTACATCTGAGAGGACGGTCCTGTGGATGGGTACCATGTGCGTCGCGTTCTCCACATCGGACATGCTGAACGCGCCCAGGTCTCTGCTAGTGAGGCCGAGTGAGCTCACTGACTCGGGCCCGGACTACGAAGTAGGCACCCTACTGAATCATGAATGCGAAGAGAAGCGTGTATTCATGGTGTTTCTTTTGTAAGAGACACGAGCTAAGTGACGTATGCTTACCGTCATAGTAAATATTACTATGGCACGCGCTGCCATAGAACGTGTGCTAGGGCTGCGGAGAAAGTTTGCCATGATCGTGGTTCGTCATATCGCACACGTCCCCTCTATGCATATGCCATACCACTTCCCATGTCTCGTGTACCAACGTTCTATCACAGGCGCAGAAGACTCTGGGCGCGACATAGTAGCTGCAACACTCGTCGTAGCACAGGCTTTGCTGCTACGATGTCCAGGCCCAGAGCGACACGACCATAACCTGACGTTTCCAGTGATATACTCACGCACTAAGCCTTGTGCCCTCTGTCGTTAAATTGCATGCGCGGCACTCAAACGGCGCACCACATTTTCCTAGTTGCACCGCTTCCAATCGAATCAAGAGCAGCCATGTGCTGTGAATATCTCCCGTCCAATGACTCGTTTACAAGCTCGCGTCATGCCTCAGGCCGTGTCTTGCGTGAAGATATATAAAGACCAATCGCCCCACGGGGAAGGTATCCTTTTGTCGCCACGCTGCTCAAAATGAAGGGCCTTATAGATGGGTACCTAGGAGCCTCACAGTGAGCAGTCATGATCAGCTGGACGACAATACCGGGAACAAACATTGCGTGGATCAGAGGTTGAAAGCGCCATCATCGTGCCATGCGCAGAAGCCTATATAGACCTTAGAACACCGCTGCTTGTATCTGTGAACATCACCTGCATTTTCGCGGACAATGCTGATGAATTTGGTCGCGATACCTCGCCCTTGGTGTTCGGGATGGACCATGATGATGTTGAGATACCAAGAATCCAGCTTGCCCTACGCAAACAGTCAGTACTGGTTGAGAACTTATGATCTTGCGTACCGTCGGACCAAGGATCTTATTGATGAATGTGGTGACCTCGTTCGAATACTATGTATGGAGTAGCTGACTTTTCAGCTGTAGCCTGAGCTTGATGTAAGAGCACCCACGGTCTTAGTAAACCAGTCTTTGCCTTCTTGAGGGACCTTCGCGAAGAAATCGTTCCATCCCAATTGTCGTTGCTCCGGTCTATCCATTGACTAGACATCAGGTCAACATCTAGGCAGAGGTAATTGCCACGTACGTGCTGAGTAATTCTTGACCCGGAGGCATCCAGACAGCACAACCAACTATCGCTCCGCCTTCTTCAGTTGCTGCGTATATTTCACCCCCTAGTGTCGCAGCGAGGATCATTGCACGTGCCATAGGGCCAATGAGGCTCTGGTCACCGCCGCAAATGCTGATAGCAGCGAGATCTATGAATTTGAGTCCAAGATTTCGATCATAACGAAAACTACGACGCTTACCACTGCTCATGGTCAAGACGAACAGAGCCTCGAATTCATCGAGCTGCCGTTCTGGTCAACCGAGTCGTTAGTCTTGCATCACGATGGAGTGAACATCCACAGACTGGTGGGGTTGTGCAATCTGGCGAGTTTCACTTGAGACATCACAGTCTACTGTCGTTTCTGTCGACTCGTCCGACAATAGAGGTTACTAGACACAGTGCAAGCGGTGAACCCACCTTTATAGACGTCAGCTGCAGAATCAAAATGGAAGCCATAGTGAGTATACCACGAGGTTGAGCAGATTGCGAAAGGAAGCGTTATTGTCGTGTTCGAGATCATATCCATAATACCGCCGACCATGCCTGTTCCTCACATAGTACCGCGACATCATTGAGCGTCCAACGGCAAGATAGCGGGGTTCATGGGGTTGTGACGAAGGATACGGGATCGCGTCGCGGCACATCCATGCCACCCACATACAAGGATCGGCCTAGTACTTGATACATTTGTCAGAAACTCTGTACAATGAATGCGAGCCTCTGTGACACGTACCAGACAATCTGCAGACGTCTCGTAGCATAGCATTGGCACATATGTACGGAAGCCGACCACCAACGAAGTATAGAATCATCAGCAAGTTCTGATTCCAGAAACATGGCACGTCAACGCGATAGAACATCGTAATTTCAGTGCATGCTCAGCCGACTAGTCTTATTTGAATTAGCTCGTTCGAAGACGCACACAAGCCTAATATTCCGAGTCGCACGTCCGGTCGGACGTGAAGCTTTGAAGGTTGAGCGTACTGAGTGTGGGCTTCTCGACCCGACCTTTTAGAGCACTGTCGTATAATTGTTGAGTCTATTCTTGACTCGCAGCCCAAGAGAATCTCGTCGACATCGATCGAAATGAGAGCGAACCTAAAGATGAAGAGACCAGGATTGAAAGGTCTCCGGGCACTAACTAGATGTCTTTAGTAAGAGGGTTATCCCAGTGATGCAAAGCAAGTAACGTGTGAACCATCTACGTACGGTTCATGGGACGACAAAATAACTAGACGCTCGGGGAGCCTAGCACCTGGAATGATCGTTCAGAGAGTGATGGTCGCGTTGCTGTGTTTGTGACCTCTGTCGTCGAGTCAGGCTCGGATACCTTCACTTCTGGGGGACTGTTTTCAACGTCTCCTCGCACTCGATGACGGGAACATCCAAACCAATCTCTGCATGAGCAAAAGTCAATATTTCATGAGATCAGACGGCGTCAGTGAGTTGTGTTACCTGATTGTGCCGACAAAGTGAGGCTGGAAGCCTGTACTTTGTGTGGTTTCCTTCGTGTCAGCGTTCAGCTGGGCCTCTTCGGTTGTAGTTCCATCATCCACAGAATCTAACACTTCTTGCTCAGCGGGGAGTGAAATACTTGCATGCGGGAATCAGTGCGATAGACGCCAGTTACAAACTTTGACCTACGGCTCGGGTTCGTTTAGCTCTTTGAGACGTGCATGAAGCAATCTCAAAAGGTCTTGGAAGGACCACAAAAATCCGACCTTGTTGAATTCATCTTCACCGATCAGCGACCGAAGGTCGTTCAATACTGTCTCCAGCAATGGAAAAGCTTGTTCTTCCGGGTGATCGAGGATAACATCTCTATGAATCTTCAGCATAAGTCGTACCGTGAGCGACATGATTACATCACTCAAAGCTCATGACAGCCTCAACTTACTAGATAATGAAGATTGACCTTGAGGTAGTAATCGCTCCACCGAGGAATGTTCAAGACTGGCTTCTGCGCCTCGCGGTCTGGTACCGCTTGCAGGGAGTCTTTCAGATACTCCTGGAGTTTGTCAAGTGCGTACAGAACGAGAGCCCATCCGCGGTCCTCAAGTACCGACTGGGTGAATATCTCGAGAGCTAACGCCGTGTAGATCAATGTCAGGGAAAGATCAGGTTGAACGGTGTAAGTCCACCAATTCACGTCTTTGACTCGTTCGATGTCTATATATAGTGTCCAGTTTGAATGCTCGAGTCAACGAGAGTGAGATATACTCACCGGTATCAGCAGAGATAGAGAAAAAGTTGTCATAGTTGTAGATAAGTGTCAAAACCCTCGTCACTATTGCAGTGTCTTGTAGGTCCTTGTTCCGCAGGAAATCGAACAGGCACATATACACTTGAATACCATTCGTATCATCCCGAACAGCACCGAGTGAGTTGTCGAAGGCATCAAGGGCTTCATCTAGGCTCTTCTTGTCGGCATCTTGATTCGTGGACCACGTACGCATCGCAATCAAGTCTGCGACGAGCTTGCCCATGTCGACGAATATGTTGTCGTCCCGGATATCGTGCTGCCATCGCGGAACGTCGTCACCATCTAAGACCGGTGGCCTTCGCTTGCATATGGTGATCACATTGCTGAACGCTACGTCTGGCTGCATCTCTTTCAGAGAAGAGTGTATCAGCGGAAGAAGAATGTTGTAATCTTTTACGAGAGAGAACGCGTTTGCGATCATGGTCTTGTCAATGGCCTGCCCCGCTTCGCTGCGCAGATACGCGGTTTCTTCCGTGGCCCACCCATAGTAGCCGTATACTCGAAGGGCTTGCAAGTCGTCGAGCCGCTTTTGGAGTTGATCCATCAGGCTTCCGAGATAGCCATTGATGTAAGTCAGTTGGCTCTTGACCCATAAGCAGCTGAAGAACCGTGCCATCGACCCGTAGAATGTCAACTTGATGGGCACGCAGATCCAGCGCAGGAAAAGAGACTGTGGGGATATGAAGGGGCTGTATGCGAGGAAGACCGGTATGATGGTAGTGACGGATAGGAACAACAGGAGGACAGCGACGAGGACGAGTGCTGGCATGGCGACCTTGACGCTGAGCTGCCAGAGGTATCCCACAAGGCCCACGAGAAATAATATCAGTGCGACCTGCAGCAAGACCGACGGGATGTCGATGAATACTGCTAATCCCCAGCTCCGGAAAGTCTGATGACGAAGATTCCACACCCGCAGTTGCTCGTGTGACCCGGTGCCAGATAATGCGACTGGCGTCAGCAAGTTGTTCACCCACTGGTTAACCAGGATCGCGATTGATGCGGCAGCAAGACCGCAAACTAGCGCCGCAAACCACAACGCCGCAACATATGCATGCGCGGGGACTATTTCGGGTATGTCGAACGGCGGCAGCGATGAAGGCAATGGTTGCGAGGGATTGCTATTCGTTTGGTTGACGAGACCTGCCAGCTGAAGCGAGATACGCTCGAGAATCTGCGTATTGTAGTCGGGCGCGGCAGGTTGCTGCATCATGGTGTAATACTGGACGCCAAAGCCGGTGACCACGGCGGCGAACAGACCAGCCTAGGGTAAGGGGTCCCTGCATCAGAGCGATGCCATTGATGATGAAACACATACTTACAAATGTCAGCAAGGAGTTGATCTCATTTCGCCACCTCTTCACGCGTGCATTCTCATGGTCCCATATCTCCTTGGTCAAGCGTGTTAAATCCGACATCTGCTATTCGACGGCAAGGCAATGAGATTACATCACTTCGGACGCAAGGTATGCATGTACGTCATACCTTCTGATCTTCGCTAGATGTCTGTACCCCTCGGCCATTCTCAGTGCCCTCCCCCTATGGCTAATGATCAGCCTTCATCGGATGTCATACCTACACGTTACCTACCGAGGGAACCGGGGTTTGTCCGCGAGACGAATTAATGACACCAGCATGTTCATTCGGAGCCTGATGGTCCGAACCATTATCATTACTTCTGTCTTGTTCTGTCTACTCACTCCGTATCAGCATTACGGGACTCGTCGAAACCAACAAGTACCAAGTACTGACCTGTACCGGAGAGTCTTCTAGCACGGGAACCTGGCCAGCCGAATCGTTCGCGTCGGCTGAGAGCGACATTGAGACCCTTGGCACTCGGATACTAGAAGTTCAGTCGTGCATTTCAGTCTCAAGCCAACAGGAGAGGGGGCCACTTACACTACGAGACGTTGAGCCTCTCGCGAGGAGGGGGACGTTGTGTGGACAGTCTTGATATATCAGGACCACATCGGATACATTCGGACAAGGTTGAGACACACGCTGATGCAGCGGGTTGAATGCCACCCAAGGTAGGCGTCCAGAGTTTGATGAAGGGACGATCCATCCAAAGCGAGGCACGCAGCGCCGCCGTTCCCACAAAGACCGACATGGAGACATGATGCTGCGCAAATCGGGTTAGATATTGCAGGAGACTGTGCGAGAAGCACCTCCACATTGATGATGAGGACGAATGTGAAATGCTACAGAGGGTCAAGGCGCCAGGTGGTGGCAACGTAGAAAAAAGCCCATACCTTCCTGTTACACTAGCGGGACAGTTCGATACGGAAAATTGTATTCCACTGCTGATCAGCTTCTGGAGGGTCGGAGCTGAGACAGACGGGTGATAGCATGCGATGTTCATTGGTGAAACGACAGCATCGTGTTTAGTCGGCATCTGCTGGATATGGGCCTTCTTCCATGCCTGGAGGTTCTGAACGCTGTTCTGTCAGCCAACAGCTGACGCATGCTCAATGATATCTGGAAGGAGGAGAATGTACGGTTCCGCCCAGTCGCTGACGCCGAGCAGGGCTATGCATTGGATCATGAGCCCGTGCACCTTCTAGCATGGCATAAGACGTCGGCTTACCCAGAAAGCGGAGAACCCAGCATTGCCTTGGTGAATTGGCAATTCGACCAGCAATTAGTCACATCCGTGTAAGCATTGCGAGCGGTCGAACGCCACTGATGAACCACACCGAAAAGACCACAGAGGAAACTGGAGGAGTATTGGCGATCCGCATGCCGGACTGGTCCGTTGCCGCTGTATGATTTATAGACCTTCCCTGTTCACCTGTCTCGATGGCACGAGTCTAACCGCAATATGGTGCGTCCGAGAGGAGATATATGAGTCTTTAGCGGAGGTATTTCCGGAATTCAGACAATGACCTGTGGGCATCTCTACCGCTATTACGATCACCGAGAGCCGCTGGCGATACAACACACGCCAAGGGTGGAACCGCACGGACATTCACGGTGCCGACTTATGGATCGGTGACTATACAGTGGAAAGAGAAACGCACAAATCTCACCTTCCACCAAGACTTCCACCAACTATATCAGACATGCGGCAGGGGCGGCTGCCCTATGATATTCTTAGTGGAAACTGCGTGATGTTTGAACGTTGAAGCCTGAAGCTCGCGAGGGAACGCTGATGCGTACACGTCTTGCATTGCCCTGACAAACCAGACACTTGTCGGCGTTTACGATCTGCAACGAAGACTATGGCAACCCATTGAGCCAAAGGAAGCGCAACGGTCGCCCTTCATCCCGACTATCAACTTGCGATGTCAACACCACACTGTGAGAGAGTGCTGTTTCGAGAGGGCCTAGTGGGAAAATCGTGACCGAGCGAGTATATGCGTGTTATGATGTTGTAAGTTAGATGTGGGCAAGTCCGAGAAGCTTTCACCTCAGTTGCGAGTTATGCAAAGTGCACCGCCAAGACTGTGCATGACCATCGCTCGCCTGATCTCTGTAAGTTCATACCTTGGTACATACAATTCAGCTCACAATGATGTGTAACGGTCAGTGGTTACCATATGAACACAGCGTTCGCCCAGGATGGCACATCCCCGCGGAGTACAAGCTACGGGTGCTGACGAAGAAAAGATTCCGTCAATGCGAGGACTTCACTGCAATAAGTATTGGGCAAGGGACTAGTTCTACAAAGACCGCGTAAGAGGGCAGAGGACACCTTCCGCACGCGATCTCCGCATGCAATGATCTTCGGATGGCAGAGGGTAAAGCATACTCTACTCACCGTTGATCAAACACGCATATACCCATCTTGGGAATGCCAGAGCGGCAGGGAGATCACCTATGGGGAGAGGGATAGCGCGAACGGCGGCCGGATGGAGATACATTATCATACATACAAGCTCAGCTAGTCGCCAGAGCGTCAGACTGACCAGCAGCACATAAGGGTGAGGCTCAAGACTAGTTTCGCACCGGTTTGCGACTCGACAATCACTCCTTTTAGGCACATTGTCAAGGGGACTCCGTGTATAGCTCTTCTGTTGCGGTAGTCGTCCTCAATCAGCGTCAGCTGTGTAACTCAGCGAGCTTCTCCCACAGTGAGATTATCGACCAGGGCTATGGTTGGGCACTATCGTCGCTCACGCGACGGGTAACAGAGGTGCGTTCGGAACAGCGTGCAGGGAGACGATCAACAGACGGCCGAGAAAGTCTCGCAAGGCAAGCCATGGCATTTGTGGTGCACATCAGGAGGCGAAGACGACCATATCAGCGCGACGGATGGGAGGGAAACGAGCGAGACGATGTGGACGTCGAGTACGAAGTATGTAGCTCAGTTGAGTTTATAGGCATTGAGGCAGGATAACGCTGGGTTAACAGGCTAATAAATGGGTTATCGGAAGTTGTCGCGAAGGATTCTGCCTGGCAACGCTCCTGAATGATTACGTAAGTACCCTTGCAGTCCTGCGGTTGCGAGCAAGTTAAGACTTGGTTAAGACTTGCTCCTCATCGTCGTCCTCGTCCTCGTCCTCGAGCTGCACGACGCTTTCGCCCTGTTGCATGTCGATGGCATCTGCAGCCACGCAGGAAAGTACAGGTGCGGATGACCCTTTCGGCTACCATTGTGCGCCGCGTGAAAGAAGCGAGAGCTAATCCGGACGCCGTAGACATCCCTCGCCTTTCTCTCTCCGTTGACCACATCGCATCGTCGTCGCCGTTTCCATCGCCAGGCTCACCATTTATACCTCCACCACGCTTGAGTGCGCACGAATTCGCCCTACGAACACCACTGCAGATGCGCAACAACGTCCACAAAAAGCGTCCGTCGACCGAGCTGCCATCCACGCCTGCCTCGGCAGCACTGTCGCCGACGATGGCAACGGCAGCGGGGGGATCGAGGCATGTTGATGACGACGTGACGCCGACCACGGCGTCCATGAAGACGGCGTTCGACCGCACGGGTCCCTCGCCACCTACGACCCCCACACCGAGCGAGGCCGGTCCCAATCCGCTCACACCACCGGCCACACCCAAGATCACCATTCCAGAGCCCATACCCAGCCCAGCTCTGGGATCGCTCCCCGACGTCGCGCGCCCCACTGCGCTCAATCTCTCCCGCGTCTCCTCCCAGCGCGACTCCCTCACCTCGTCCCGCCCAGCACCCCCAAGCCCCGCACTATCCCGGCGCACCTCTGCTGCGCTCTCACGCCGTTCCTCCACACGCTCCCGGCGCGCATCCAGGCTCCCCGCAGAGGCCTCCGCGTCCGCCCCGCCCACGCCCACGCCCGCACCCGAGAAGGAGAAGAAGCGCAAGTCCTTCCTCGTCAAGATACGCGACTTTGCCTTCTCGCGCAACGACGACCGCCACGTAGGCAAGGGTGTCGACGTCCCGCGCCCCAACCGCGTCCGCCGCAGCACTGCTAGCACCTCCTCCACCAGCTCCAATGCGTCCGGCATCCCCGAGGACGAACCTGATTCCGGCTGGGGCTCCTTCCGGTGGAACACCCTCAGCGCTCACCTCTGGCCGCACGACACCACCCGCGATTCCGTCGCCAGCGCGGATGCAGGTGGGCCCTCGCGCACGGACTTTGAGCGCAATTTCGACGTGTCGTCGCCCTCGGAGGAGGTCCCCGACCCGTACCAGCAGGGGGAAGACGAGGAGGAGTACGTCCAACCCGGCGAGGAGGGTCCGCTCATTCCAGGCCTCTATCGCGCCATGTTCGCGTTCGAACCGGAGGGCACGGCGGAGATGGCACTCGAGGAAGAGCAGATCGTCAGGATCATTGGCAGGGGTGGTGGCGTCGGGTGGGCGATCGTGGAGAATGAGGACGGCGGGCATGCGCTCGTGCCGGAGAGCTATTTGGAGCTTGTACAGGCTGAGGAGGGCGAGGCTGAGGACTGATGCGGTGTATTGATGCTTGGCTCGCGCGGGCGCGGCCGGGCAGTGTAGATGGATCTCCAGCGTGTCGAGATGCTCTCGGAGTCGTGCTGAGCAGTTCAAGTGTTACATTGTTGTCTCATTATTAACAAAGCCTGTCTTATATCCCCAGTACATCCCAGGGAACTTGTGTATACCGTATTACAACAACTGGTCGGTATAGACACAGTCTATGCTTCTGTCATACCCGGGTTCCACGAAGACATCTCCCGTCCATCGCGTGATGGCAGAACTGATAAATGAGCACGCCCTTCGCTACCGGTGTTTGCGTTAGCTGAAGTAGGTAGGCAAGACGTACGCCAGCTTCTGGCGGTCCTCCTCTTTTTGCTGCTGCGACCGCGGCATGATGGAGTATTGCATCGACCCTTGCTCCTCCTTTAGTAGGCTTCCTTCCACTGCGGCACCGTGCAGTTCCTCGAGTATTCGCGCGGCTACATGGCGCGATAGACGTGCGTTCTCCTGCAGGGTCTTGAATACCTCTGCCGCAGTCACGGAGTCCTCGCCTTCGCGCCACGAGTCGTAGTCCGTAGAGGTCGCAATGAGTGCGTAGCTGCGGAAGGACATGAATTGCATGAATAACACGACACAACGAAGACGCACCTCAGCTCGGCCTCTCTCGCAAGTTTCGCTTCGGGAAGCACGCTCATGTTAATCACGTCCGCGCCCCACGCACGATACATCCTGCTCTCCGCCCGCGTCGAGAACTGCGGGCCCTCCATGCACACGACACACTTCTCCGTGTGCAGCAGCGGCGCGCGCTTGCCCTCCTGCACTGCAGCCTTCCCCTCCTCTTCTAACACGGCCCACACGCGGCTCTCCAGCCAGCCGACCAGACCCCCGGCGAACGGATCGCCGAAGGCTGCGTGCGCTACGACGCTGGTGCCTTCGAAGAAGCTTGCGGGGCGTATGCCCTTCGTGCGGTCGATGATCTGCGTGGGTAGGATGAAGTCCCCCGGTGCGATCTCCTCGCGCAGGGACCCTACTGCTGAAAAGGCGAGTACGGCGCGCACACCCAGTGACTTGAGGGCAGCTATATTGGCACGAGAGGGTACGGCAGATGGGCTGATCGTGTGTCCGGCGCCGTGACGAGCGAGGAACGCGACGAGGGTGCCCGACGGGAGAGAACAGATGGTTATGGGTGAGCTAGGGAATCCCCAGGGCTACTCACTGCAAATTAGCTCGTCACGTCGATACGTGAAGGCAAGGCTCATACCGTCTCAGGGTTGACGTGCTTCCTATTAGATAGTAGCGAACCGTCAGTCTGTCGTCTCGTCCAAGGCTTGACTCACACAAAGGTGAGGTTGTCCAGATGGTACAGTCCGCTGCCTCCAATCACTCCGACAAGTACTGCAACAAGAGACCACGTCCGTTAGCGACAATGTACACCACAGATCCCCAGGCCAGGAAACTCACCATTCTCGGTCTCGGAACTCATCTCGGCGGAGGTCTCTCTGGGTCGATATCTTGTCGGTTGCCTGGTACGCAGTACGTGCTCCTTGAGATGAGAGTATGAAGACAACGAACGACAGGTACTGTTTCTGGTGAAGACGACCGAGTGACTCGACCTGAGAGCTTCGCCGTCAGCATTTAATTATACAGGAAGAAATTTAAGCTCGCGATCATCTGGCGCGATCTGCGACTATCATGGCCAGATTCGATCTCGCGCAAATGCTGTGACGTAGTTTCCGCTTTGGAAACAACAGTCTATTGACCTACGTGCACATGAGGCGCAGTTACATGACAATTACAGCCCGATCTAAGAATACAACAAGATGTACATACGTGATCGATCTATTGAGCTTCGGTGCGAACTACATATCTCATAAAGGTGAAAACGACAAACGTGCATATGCTGCACGCGTACTAAGGTGCATGCGCTGAGGGAAAGTGAGGGAGGAGAATTACTTCTTCCGGAGGTTCGCTTCCGCAATCTGCTCGAGACTCATGTTCACAAGCCGTTCGAACCCCATTGGGTGCTCGCGCTCGACATGGCCAGCAAGTGTGTCCCAAGACGAGTCGGTCGAGAAGGACGCGACGCGGAAGGTCCGGTCTTTTTCGTGCCGACGCCTGTAGAGCCAGTAACACATCAGCAAACAGAGTGATATATACTACGCAGCGTGGGGACGTACTTGCACATAACGCAGGTGTACCGCGATCCAGCTTCGTCGTACGCAAGATGAATGTGCGAGATGGTGAGCGACCTTCGGAGGGGTGGGCGGTGCACAGGTGAAGAGGCCTCCGACTTCAAAGGTTTGAATACGAAAGGCTTCGGAGGCAAAGGTGTATTCGACTTTGTAGGCACCGTCGGTTTGTTGGGAAGCGAATGTACCCTGAATGGAGGCATAGGTCGGCCTCGGCCTGCAGTCGATCCCGCCGTACCACGGGGAAGCGGACAAGGCAAACGCGGTGACTCTACTTTTGGCGTTGGCGTTCGTAGAGGTTCATTTTGAGCGGATAGTGTAGGTTTGGGGGAGGGAGCCAGCTGTGGCGACGCATTGGCTTCTTCTTTGACCTCCTCTTCCTCCTCTTCCTCCTCTTCCCGCATTGCCATATGCATCGGTTCTTGCAGCCCGGCACCTTGCTGACCGGTATGATCACCCGGCCCAGACGTTACGTCTGGCTTAGTCTCGCCTTGGAGCTCTTCCAAATCCGGCTTCGACTCTGAGGGAGCGGCATCGGATGTTGCCATGTGGGCATTCCTCTCGTCAACAAGCGTTTGATCGGGGTCGGCATCTCGTTCCGCGGGAGGAGCAGTTTCAGGTGTGGAGGTGAGACCCATGAGCAGGGGCGCAGCGCCGAACTCGTGAATGGTCATCGACGAAGAGGGCGGGCGTTCGGGCGAGGAATCTCTAGCTTGAGAGTGTCGTTCGCTGGCGATGAGCTCTTCCGTTCTCCTCCTCTTCAGAGCATTCATTTCGTCCAACATCGACGGACTCGCCGGCCTCTTCCTATCTGTTGAAGCGGGTGGGCTGGGGGCGCCATCTGACATCGTGAGATCAATGACTTCCGACATGTCCCTCTCTGGCGCGGCCGGCTCCATCTCGACGGTCCCCGCTTGCGACTGTGGTGTCGCCAGCCCCATGAAGGTCACACTAGCTGAAGGCAGGGACGGCTGTCGTTCTGTCGCGGGGTGCTCGTGCCTTGTCTCGCTTCCCAGCTGTTGGCCAGAAAACGGATCGGAAAGGCCTGCCAGTTTCGGCAGCGCAGAGACCATCTCGGGCCACGTTGTACTCGTCCCCGAAGTTTGAAGGAGTGCCTATATGCGGGATAAACTGACTGCGCTTGCTCAGGAACAGGATTTACACACCTGCTTGCTTATCTTCGCCTTCAGCTCTGTGAGCTCTTGCTCAACCTGCATTCGCCTGTCGTGTTCACCCCTGACCTCTGCCAGTGCTATTCACCGAACCATGAGCATTGCACCCTTCTACCAATCCGAGAGAGCACGCACCACTAGACAGTAGCATATCCCCCGTCATCGTCGGGTTGCTCTCCTTCCGCTCCCGCTCACTCAAATGCACATCCCGCGAGAGCTTCGCCACCACCTCCTTCAGCTGCCAGTTCTCCTCCCGCAGACTCTCCCTCTCCCCCTTCACCTGCTGGAGCTCCGTCTGCGCCGCGTTCAGCTGGTTGCGCAGCATCGCGCACGCGGTCGCGAGGTCCTTCGCCGCATTGAACGCCACCGCCACCGCCGCCTGCTCCTTCGCCACCGCCGCGCGCGCAGCCCCCGCCGCCTGCCTCTCCGCCTCCGCCGCGGCGAGCGCCATGGCCTTTTCGGCGCGCAGCGTATCCCGCTCCGCGGCGACCGCCACATACGCCTTCTCGAGCTGCAGCGCGTACGCCTTCACGGGGGCGAGCTCGCGCGCGAGATGCACCTCCGCGGCGTGCGCGAGCTCCGCGAAGTGCTTCCCGAGCGAGTTGAACGTCAGCCGCGCGTGCTCCGGTGGGTCCCATTGGGAGATGGAGTAAGCCACCCGGGTTTCTGGCTCGTTCTGCGGAGGCGCACGTCTCTGCTGCTCTGCTGAAACCGGACCGGGAGTTGTAGGCTGGAACGGTTGGGCTGACGCTGACGGCGATGCGGGACTCGCGGCAGACTCAGAGAGGGATGTCGTCGTGTGTCGGTTGTGTTCCGATGCTCGAGGTATGCTGGGTGAGAACGGAGGCCGAGGCTGCGCTGCTGCTGAACCCATGTTCCCGCTATGTGATTGCACGGATTGTGTGGGTGCCTGGAACTGTGTGCTGTCGCGCCTCTCCGGACGTTCTCTGGTTGGCGAGACGGGCTGCCCTTGCTGGACTAGGGCGTGACTGTGGTGACGCGGGAGGCTGGGTGACTGCATTTGGACGACTCCAGGACCACGGCTACCATCATGCGAACCAGGATGTTGAGGCCCATACATTGGTCCGCGCTGGTACGCCACTCCAGGTTGCTGTGCCATAGACAGCGATTGGCTTCGTGGGTGTGACGTTGAGCCGGACGAGTGTTGCGGTTGCAGCTGTGGGGATCCTTGGTGAGGATATACTTGAGGAGGAGGTCCTCCGCCGAATTGCGCCAAAGGAACTCTGTAACGCGGAAAAGAGCTCGAGGACGGCGATTGGATATGTGGATGCTGCGCTGCATTGAAATGTGTCGGCTGCGTCGACGGACCTGCGATGCAAAGTGGATGAGCCCGTGCCGATATAGTAAGTGATGTCGTTTTGTTGCTTGTGAAATGTACAATGGAACTTGGCCAACGAACTGATACTGGGAAAACCTTTGTCTCGCGATCATCACTGTTGTGAGACGCTCCCCTGTGTCAAGTATAAGTTTGCATGCCAATGTTTTGATTCACTGGACGTCGCTCGGTATGAGGTTCAGTGGCGATGCGCGATAGAAGTCCTCGCTAGGACTCATCTCGTGATTGCACACAAGCAGCACAAAAGCAGCAAGACGACATCGTGAGGACAGAAGACTTACCAGGGGATAGCGGCGTATACTGAGGGAAAGCTGCTACTGGTCGGTGATGGGGAGAGCTCGCGGAAGCAGGTGGTGTGGGAAGCACTGAGTTGGACGGACCAGCAACTGTGGTATTCAACCTCGAGAGGTGCCCAGCGGTAGACGATCCCTGTTGAGGCGCCTGCATCGCGTCGGTTTAGTTGCGTCGAGTAGAGGTACCGTATGGGCGTCAAGGAGCGGGGTCGGCCTGTGCGTTATAAGGTGTTGGGCGTCGGTCAGTACACGAGGACTGCGTATCACCGAGAGGCTTGCGCAGGTGAAGAAAGGGAAACAGACGTGATCGGCGAGGAAGAGCGGGTAAGAAATGGCGGATGTTTGGATAATTATACCCGGCCGTATGCAGCAAGGTACTCGGCACGCCGCTCGGCGATCACAGACTGAGTAAAACGCTGAGGATGCGAGGCCGGTTAGGATGCGGATGGCTGTCGGTGAAAACACGCGAGGGGCGAGAGCATGCTTGAGCTGCCGTGCGTAAGTCGCTAAGTACTTGAGTCCCGAGATGGACGATGGGGACTAACCCTTTTTTGGTAATCATGGTTCTGGCGGCTTCTCAGATCTCGATCCTAGATGGTTCCGGTCCCGCTCGATCTCCGCGCTCCCGCCGTTCAATGCCGACAGGCCCGCCACATCCTCTGCTCCTGGCACCTGCGAGATAATATTCGGTTTCTGCTCCGTTCACATGCCTTACGGCGGATTTGCACTGGAAGAGCTTGCCCACCGGCAGAAAGAGTCAGGGTTGCACAGTCAACCAGTAGTTGAAGGTGCTTCAATGAGACCCCTGACATCCGAATCCGTGTGAGCAGGGCTCTCCTGGACGAATTGGCATACGGAAATCGCAATGCGACCGCGACCTTCTCCAATCTCCACCCAGGCTGGCTGGCTGGGGACGCAAGTGCTGCGCCTCGAGGCCGCCACTGGTGATCGATGGTATGGTGATCATGCGCCGATCCAATGCAGTCATCGTCCCGGTTATGAACGTTAGACTTCGTATTCGTGTGGTGAGTCAGGTTGCTGTGTTCATATCCGCCATGTCTTCCTCGTGCTACTTCTGATGGCTTTTACTCCTTGTAGCAAAATGAAATGGAGTCAGAGGCTCTATCTTCCCGAATCCGATAGTAGGCATAGCTTGGGCATAGCGCTCTCCCATTCTGTTCCTCGAAGTTCGCGAGCCTTCTGACGCTCCTCACGATGCCATCTCCCTCTGACTCTGTTAGTAAACGAATTCAAGATCTCGAGGGCTCCGGTCTACGAACAACTTGCACACTGTGTCCTCCCTACTCACAGCGTTCATCTATCACGTACGCCATTGAAGGGGCTTGATGCTCGCAGATGTTACGCTCCCTCAGTTGCGTATCCTGGCGCAGCAGGCCAGTGTCATCAAGGTCGGTCGGAGCCTGGTCTGCTGCTACGATTATGTACAGCACGCTTCTCTCCTGTTAAGGCAGGTCCGAATGTATTTCTGGTGGACAGGCGTGCGAGCAAGCATGCGCTTCAAGCAGGCGTCTTCCTCTTTACGTGGAGAAGTCCCTCCGATGATAGGAAGCAAGGCCCCGCGAGATGCCGTAGCGAGTACAAAACGCCGTGCCTGCGTAGCGGGACCGCGTACGCCCTTTTACCTCCCACCACCACCATAGCAGACAATAATCAGTCATGGCAGTCATCGAGAGGTACGCTCTATCCAGTGCTGTTCTAGCCTCTTGACTCAATGTAGACGTACGTTCAGACGCACCGTGCGCTACATCATCATCGGCGTCGTAGTAGGCGCGGTAGTCGTATCGATCATTGTCCTGCCGGCCGTTCTCCCTGGTGCGCTCGGTTCAATGGGTTTCACAGCTACAGGTGTGCAGCTAGGTGCGCAATGCTCGGCTGAACCTTCACCAGTCAGACACTGACATCGAGTGTCGACGTCTGCAGGTTCAGCTGCAGCCGCCATCCACTCGTCGATCGGCCTCGTCGCCTCGGGCTCCGCCTTCGCCCTCGCCCAGTCGGTGGCAATGGGCGGCGCTATTCCTTTTCTGTGGACGCTGGGCGCCGCGGCCGTCGGGATGCTCCTTGGAGGCGCGTTAGGCGGATCGGCTGCTCGACTCGAGACCATTTTGGCTCCTCACGTCGCACATGTGATGCGTGGGGCACGAACGGTCGTGGGTCGCGCTGCGCGTGGTGTGAGCCGCCTGGCGTCGGGCGTGAGATCTTGGTTCTGAGGTATTTCATGTAATGCTGGAGGATTCACTGTCTAGTGTCCATGATACCCAACTGTTGTATTTGTGACTTTTAATTGCTACGAGGATCGTTATGCATCGATTGATCAGTATGATGCTTCTGTGTATCGCGTCTGCGGCCTTTTGAGCAAGATGTATACGTGGTCGATCCAAGGTTGATCGTCCCAAGCAGCTCGCCTATTCGGAGTGAAAAAGCCTTGTAGATAAATATCTATGGATACTGTTGTCATTGACAGTACACGGCGAGGCGCGAAGATGCCCCGGGTCAATGTGGCCCTGACAGCACCGTGAAGTTACATCTGCTGACCCCTTTCATACATGAGTACTCTGTCTTGCTAACCTTGAAGACCGGCTACAAGTTACTATACACTAATCAAACACTCCCGATCTCTGAAGAAAAAGGACTGCGCTTCCGTAGCCGACAGTCCGACACACTGCATGCCCGTTCACGTCTGCAAGGCATCAGCAAGAACCTGCTCGAAAAACATGCTGAAATGCGTGCCCGGCACCTCCACCCGACGCATATCCGGGAACGCCCTCTCCAAGCCGTACGCATCCCAGCTCCCGTCCGGCACGATCCTCCTCATATCCCCGAGCACGCCCTCCCTCGCCACGACCAACGTCACGGGCGCCTTGATGGACCGCAGCCACGCGACGACGGCGTCCTGCATCGCGTCCAGCGAGTAGGGCGTCTCCGGAGGCAGGAGCTCGAACAGGAACTCGTACGTCCCCTTCACGATGTACTGGAACAGCTCCCAGACCCGGTCGTAGGACGTCCCGGGGACCCCGTGCGAGATGTCCTCGTAGTTCTGGGCCATCATGTGCCGGGACGGAGCGGGGTCCGCGCGGAGCAGCGCCAGCATCGTCTGCAGCGCTTGCAGCACCAACTCGTGCGACGGTCTCCGCTCTCTTGCAGACTCCGCGTCAGGCTCCAGGTACGGCGAGATGAAGAGCAGCGGGGAATGGTCGAGGAGGTATATCCGCTCGACCTCCTCGCCCGCATCGAGCAGCTCCTCGGCCAGCATGAACGCGATGACGGTCGTCGCCGAGTACGCGCCGACGCGGTAGGGGCCTCGCGGTTGCACCGCCCGGATCCGCTGGCAATAGAACTGGGACATGGCGCGGAGAGAGTGCAGCGGCGTGTCCGGGGTGGTCTGTACCGCCCAAAAGGGCTTCGCCCACTTGTGCTGGCCCACGGGTGCGATCGTCGTCACGTTGCCCGGCGCTCCGTGGACCATGAACAGAGGCGGACCACCCTCCTCCACGTCGACGAACTTCACTATCGTCTGCAGCTCGGTGTCTTCCGCCGTCGTGCTCCGGTGCGACGCTTGGGCCGAGCTCGTCGGGGCCGGCGCTGTTTCACGGAGCCTGTCGTAGAGGGCGGACATACTGAGCCCACCCAGGAGCTGCATGGATGACACGAAGAGATACGGCCTGATAGCAAGGGCGATGCGACCCGCAGACAGCGAGTCGATCCCGTATGATGTCAAAGGAACTTCGGGGGAGAACTCATTGATCTGGATGTCCAGGTGTCGTAGAATAATATCCTGCAGTGCGGCTTCTCGGTTCAGCGCCTCGTGCTCCGGACTGGGATTCGACAGGTGTGAAACCGGCGTAGCAAGATGATCGTAGAGAGGCGAGGGGCCCATGTGTTGGTGAACAAGGTCCCAGTTGAAGTCGGGGACGTAGAGACCTACGGGTCCGTCTGCGAGCTTGTGTATTCCGTCCTCGAGGTAATTGCAGAACTCTTCAGTGAAGTGTCAGCCCTGAAGACGATGGTCGGAGCCATGAAAAGTACACACCTTCGGACGAGAATGCCCATTCCATTAAGTGATTCAGTTCCGTCCTCGGACCATGGTCATCGCCATCTCGGCTCGCAACAGAGGCCGTGTCGACAATAGCAGGTGCAACGATAGCGAAGGCATTCCTATACTGCATCATCATTCCCTCAAGAGCCGTATTTGCGCTGCCAGATAGAATGAGACAATCCTACTTCAGGACAGCAATCAGCGTAAACCTCACCTAGCATAGTTGGTCTGTCCAATGTTTCCAAACGTCGCGATTGACGAAACGGCTACGAAGAAGTCCAGTGATTCAATGTCCATCGTAGCCTCGATGGCCTCGAATGCCTGCACTTTGGGACGAAAGACGGCCTCGAAACTCTCGGCGTCTTGGAAAAGGAACATGCGGTCCATGAGAACGCCCGAGAGAAGTATACAGCCCGCGATCCGCTGCTCAGGGTTGGAGAGCAGAGCGTGCAACGCGCTCTGCGATACGGCGTCGCACGCCTCCAGCTTCAGAGACAAATCGGGTCGTGTCTCGAGATATCGGAGAATACGCAGAGCGAGGATGTTGTTTGCGCGCTCGAGGGATGCCCGTCCAGAGCGCGACGTCAGAACTATGGAGCGAGCGCCCCTCTGACCTTCGATTAGCACGAGACACTCTTGCAGAACCGTACTGGGACTCACGTCGTACATCCAACGCGCAATATGAAGCCCTAAACTTCCAATACCACCGATCAGAATGTATGTCTCGTCGGCCTTGAAGAGAGCGTGGTGTTCTCCTTCGTCGATCGGGATCTCCGCGTGCGCAGCAAGAGCAATCTGAGTGCTGGTAGGAGGGGTGGTTCGCGTTGGGAACTCGGAGTCGTGAAGCTTCTCTAGTCCGAGCCGTAACGTCTCCCCGATGAGGTAGGGATTGCTGGCGATCGTATGTCGAATCAGATTATTGCCGTCGGAGCAATCGAAGACGCGAGCACCGCTGCCGGCGAACGTTCTGGCGATGTCAGCATCGCGGGTGCATTCGCAGACTACAATATCCGGGGTTTGGAGGGAGAGACGCGCAAGGGCCACGGGCAGACTGCGAGCGTCCAAGGCAACAGGATGCACATCCAGTTGTCGAAGGAGCCATGTGAGGTGTTGTCCCAACTCGGAGCCATCGGACACGACAAAGATTTGGCCTGGTAATCCACGTCCGGCGCCAGTGAAAGCATCTGCACCTAGCAGCATCCCGACAACGAGTATGCTGGGCGAGACCGCTGCAATGTTATGTGCGGCAGATTCGTCGTGTATACGAGTAAGGCAGTCGCGACGCAGCGTCATGATAGCGCGACGAGGTGCGTCCGATACCACAGTAACGACTAGTGCGCCGAGAAGAGATGGCGAGGTGTCATCGGGATCAGGTATAGCCACCACCCGACATATGACGCCGTGAAGCGTAGATCCCTGGGAATGCGTAGCGATAACCTCCAAGCGGACGTGTTGCGCAGGGGGCCTACCCACAGGGAGAGCTGAGCGGATCAAAGATGGCGCTTGGGTCCCAGGCGAGGAGGATGCACGGAAGCGGGGTACAAGAATTTCGCTGTGCTTGTTGAGGACGAGTTCCCGGTCTGATCCCGGCGTGCGAGTCAAGAGGCGGATGTGCTTGATGATGTCGGCTTCCGGCATTTTGTCTGTGCAAATGAGCAACCCGATGTCCCACTGAGGGAATTCGCGCCGAAGACACCTAGTAAACCCTCTCGCGGCATCTCCATCTCGTTGGGTCTTTGCGATGAACCAAAGAGAGAGCGGTTCATTGACGTCGAGATGCCGTATGTTGGCTTGAATCGTAATTTCGTGGCCGAGTTGGTAATACAGAGTCTGTGGAAACTTGGTCATGTCCGTTGAGCGCTCTCCGGCAAGAGCTGTCGAGGGCTGTGAAGGGTACAGTAAGTATTTCCGCGACTTCGGAATGCGCACATGAAAACTGCGTCATTGAAGTTCTCACCATGTGCTCAATCCCGTTCTGTAGGTCTGATGAAGCCTGTGCGACCATAGCCAACGGCTCATGGACCAGAGTGAAACGCCTTGACACAGCTGAAATCGGTTCGTTCAGATGACGGCTCACGACGAGGTTTTCTAGAGTACAAATCCTGCGGCCAGATTTGCTGAAGACGAACACATCGCTTATGACCTGATCTGATGAGGTGCGACATATGTCAGCTGCGCAACAGATCGTCCAACAAACTGTCCAGACCTGGGAGCCACTGCCTAAGTACTGCATAGGCGTAGACCTTCTCGCGAAATGTGGAGTCCGTTGGGACATCGTCAAGGCGGAGGGACGATAACGACGAAGGTAGGTAGTAGGCATTAGGATCATAGTTAGCTGTGAAGCGTGGGTGGGCGACGACGTGTATGCAGGCATCGAGGATGTTCGGAGGTACGACATACGTCCTGAGAGCAAGACATCAGTTTCGGGCATGGTTTCAATGTTTGACTACGCACGATGCCGTCGAGTCGTCTTCGAGGGCTCTAACCTCCACCAGAACGTCGTCATCGCCGAAATGACTGCGCGATATGCGGCGGAAATGAGGACCATACTGAAAGTGCTTGAGGTCGGCATAGAAGTCTACCCATAAAATGATTGTGATCGGCGCTGCAGTGATGCAATGAGCGAAGCAACAATATGCTGACCTTGTGCGTCATGGAGCTCACGACTACGAAGAAGGTCGCCAAGATCAATCTTTGTCGCAACACAGGCTCCAATGTCAGGTTGATCACAGAGCATGTAGCCCTCAGCGTGGACAGCTGAAGCCGCCACGTCCTGATAATGCCAACGTTATGGTGAGTTGTGAGCGATGAGAACGTCATGGAAGACGGGTACTGGTGACGAACCTTCTCCTGATAAGATTGCGTTGCTGTCCTAGAAGAGATACTCCACTGGAGTCCATCCCGTCTGAACTCGAGTAACGGAGGACGCTCGGCCGAAAGCGAGAAGAAGGAATGGAATTGCACATTCCAAAGTAGAAATGATCCCGCTTCCAATGCCTAGCACATCTCTTACTATTCAGACAACAAGGAGAATCGTGATGAACGCATACCATCTCTAGGAAGCCGCTCGCAGGCATGATGGGCTCGTGGTTGATTATATGCTGCGCGATGTCGGGATGCGTCATGTAGTTGACCCGTAGGCTATTCCCGTGCAAGGGCCTTAGTGCAGGCCCAATCTGCGTCCGCAGAAGGGGTGAAAACTCTGGTAGGTAGGCAACCGTTTTCTTCAAGAAGGGATATGGAGGCGTTCGAGCCTTACGGTCTCGCGGCCGCTCGACAGGGCACAAGACATCGAAGTCAACGCCGTTATAACCTGCTGCAACAACGCGGCCTAACGCGGTGAGCAACGCAAGCTCTTCATCGCCAGCGTCGTAAGACCTCGTCCGGCGCATGGGACACGCTACGGAAGACGGCGTGGCTCCGATTTCCTGGAGGTAGCCCGACAGAACGGGATGAGGACTGATCTCGACGAAGATTGCATTTGGATGTTCGTGCAATATCCGCCGCACCGCTTGCACGAAGAGTACAGGATCCCGACTGTTGCGCCAGAAATAATCAGCCGTGAAGTGCCGGAGTCGCATACCCGTCGCAGTAGAATAGGTCGTGACGCGAGGATTCAACAGGTCCTCGCCATGGCGTTGATATATTTCGGTAAGTCGTGCGCAATACTCCTCGCGGCAGAGCTCCATCAGAGCTGAGTGCACCGCGACGCCAGTCTGGATTCTTCGCGACAGGATGCCTTGCTCATGGGCCACGTCGACGGCGCGTTGTATTGAGTCTTCGTCACCAGCGATGGCAACAGCCTCGGGACCATTGTAGCATGCAATCGCCAGGGCTCGGCCATGCTTTGGATCGTCTGAGTCGGAAGTCCTGACCGCGTGGATGATAGCTTGAGCACGGTGTGGTGCGCACGACAAAGCTACCATGGCTCCTCTTGCCTGCTCGACGGCTTCCATGACTTTCCCACGCATAACAGCGATTTCCATCGCCATACGCTTCGATCCCGCACCACAGGCATAGAGCATGGCGGTTTCGCCGGCTGAATGGCCCATGACGATGTCGGGCTGCACACCGAGCTTGACGAGAAGGTCATGAAGGGCAATATGGACCATGAGGAGAGACGGCAGGATAATCCTGATTGGCCAGATGTTCGGAAGGGGCTTGGCTGTCGTGGCAGGACCAAATAGCCCGACATCCTGAAGGAGGGATGTCCCAGTAAGCTCAAGATGAATCTGGTCAAGTTCTTGGATAGTAGCGCGGAAGGAATCAAATCTGGCGAAGAGCTGACGACCCACTAGTTCACATCATTAGATCTATATTGTACACATCATACTGATTGCTGTAACTTACTTTCCATATGTTGTGGGCCTTGTCCTGAGAAGAGAAAAACAATCTTGGGCCTTTCATGGGGAGAAAGAATAGGCTCTGGAAACCTGAGCATATTAGCCTGCAATTTGTCTCTGTTGATGACTGTGAAAGTTCTCCAAGTCATGCTTCTGACTTGATGACCATGAAGATTTGAGATAGCAGCTAGCTGTGATGGAGATTGTCTGATGGTTTCCTGAAGGTTTTGGGCCATTGATGTGGCAGATCTTGGAGATAGGCCTCCTGCCATCATCAACTGTAGAGGTCCTGAAGAAAGTCCAGAATCATGGACCATGACTGGACAGCTTTGCAGCAAAGCATGTCCATTTGATCCTCCAATTCCAGAGCTGCATATTGAGATTAGTGACCCTCCTGCAACAGATTGAGGTTTCAATGAAATTGGCTGCAGAGGAACATGGAGTCTATACTGATCCCATGGGATAGCAGGGTTCTTCACTTTGAGGTTGACATTTGGTGGAATGACACCAGTCTCCATGATACCACAGACCTTGCAGATAGATGCAAGAAATGCAGTAATCTCAAGATGGCTTATAAAATAAAATAAGAGTTGGTCTTAGCAATATCTGACAAATGAAACATTTGAGACTGACCCAAGGTTACCCTTTACACTGCCTACCAGCAGTTCTCCATCTTTGCTGAACTTTTCACCCACCCAAGAGGCTTCAATGGGATCTCCCACAGTTGTACCTAGTACCCATGTTAGCATGATATGTTTATTGATGAAATAAACAGCAGCACACCAGTGGCATGCATCTCAACAAAATCTACATCCTGTGGGACATAGCCTGTTGCATGGAAAGCTCTCTCCATAGCTTCAGCTTGTGCAGATGCAATAGGTGCATGTACAGGTCCTGCAGATCCACATGCATTGATACCAGTTCCCAAGATCTAAATCTAGTCAGTCCTAGTATAATATCTCACATCTCTGTGACCTACATTAGCATAGATATGGTCACCATCTTTGACTGCATTCTCATAGAGCTTTAGGACAATTGATACTGCCCCTTCACTCCTGGAGAACCTATACAATCTTCAGTATGCATATCAATTATAGCATAGATGGCTCAGTTGTTACCCATCAGCATGAGCATCAAATGGCTTGCACTTTCCATCTGGCGCAAGTACAGATGCTTGGCTGTACTGGACCCAATCAGCCAGTCTAATACACAATCATGTCAGATTGACTCTCGTATATTTTATATGGCTTACCTGAGATTGAGTTGGCAAGCACTTACAACGGCGGCTTCGCATTCCCCTGCACGCAATGCTTGCACTGCCAAATGAGTCGCAGTAAGGCTTGAGCTGCACGCCGTGTCCATAGGAATGGATGGTCCCCGAAGGTCAAGATGGTATGATATCTTGTTAGCGACCATGCAAGGCATGCCCGCAAACGACCCTCTAGCCTCGGTAAGATCCTAGAAATGTCAAGTCCTAGTCAGGTCAATAACGGACATATAACGACCTGTGTGACGTACGGGTTCAGCGATGTTCATAATGTCATGATTCGTTGCTGTGGCGTAACAGCCGACGTTCCGGCCTCGATAGTCTATGCCCGAGTCCAAAAGCGCGAGGAAAGACAGCTCAATAAGCTTTCTAGTACTCGGCGACATCGCGCGAGCGTCCTTCGCCGATATACCGAACTCGAGGTGATCAAATTTGTCGACATCCTTGAGAAAGCCACCATGCGTCGTGGCCACCTTTCCGAGAGCATCGCCCGCCCAGCTTATAATTAACCTCAGCGATTGTTCGATGTTGACTTCTAAGATTGACAAACTCACGAGTGTATATTCAACCGTTTACGTGGGATTTCCGTGTACGCTTCGCCCTTCTTGAGCAAGAAGTCATGGAATTCAGCGAAGCCAAGGTCATGGTCCGCGAATATGCCGCTCGGAAGTGCAGCAGCGATACCAACCTGGGCAATAAAACTTCATGAGCCCAACAGAGATCATGCTGAAAGTTCAAATGATGGAATACGTACGATGGCCACCGCACTACGCTGAACGGGTGAAGCTTGAATCTCTGTAACAGTCATTTGCGTCTCATCGAAGGGTTGTGCGGTACGAGCGTACTCCTCGCAGCTGACACGGGACTACGTCTTTTCAAGGTTTACACGCAAAGTACACGCTGTTAGGAAACGCGCAGAACGCGGTTGCTTACCTACTATCGGAGTGTCTTGGTTCTCTGATCGTACACGCCGTGGCAATGTTCACGAACCGGAACATGCATCGGTTCTAAAAGATGTCAGCGAGAGTTCGTGACTTCCTCAGAGCATTGCTGGCGGATTCGGCCTATTCGGCCTCACACATGGCACATGCCATCACCACGCGCGAAACAACAATATTTATCATCCGATTCATTGATCCCGTAACGGGACCTTAAGGACGTTGGCGTGCTTCTATCACCGCTCACTTGCGCAGGGGGAGATTTCATCATATTCATTCCTAAGCGGGAGGCTTCCCTACCTAGACATCTCAGGCACGACATGTACCACTCATCCACCCAGCCTTGCTTTCCATCAGTAACACGCTGTACATGCATGGCGGAGACGATGCACTCACGAGGTTTATCACGACCTGTGCCCTTTAGAAGACGGGGGACACGTATTGAGAACGCCCGGCCCGGCCAGTGACTCAGTGTGCGTATTGACAAGGGTCAGCCGCCGCGCCGCTGGGAAAGCCTCGTTCAAAACGAGTATCGGCTGCGACAGAGGATGCAGCGCTCAGAAAGATGGCCCCTGGGCCGTCAATGTACTGTTGCAAATAAATCGTAAGCGTAATTGGCATGGCACAACTGGATACGCACCAGATAAAGGGCCGTAAGCCAGTCGAGCGGACGAGATACCCATACGGGCCCATCATCCGCGTCGTGAAACCGCACACGCCGGCGAGGCTGACATAGATGTTGTGTGAAGGTGAAATGCTCAAACTTCGCACTGAGCCATTCGCTGAAGGGACGCGTCAGTGAGCGCGGGTTGACTATGAACGTTAGCATGCTCACCGACAAGTAACCTTGAGGTGACAGTTTGAACCGCTGACGCTTGGTTGATGCCAACTTCATTCGGCCGTGAGCCCAAGCGGTGAGGTCGAGTCGGAGCCGAGACGATTTATAGCGAGCCCGGTCGGTCAAGATGCTGCCATCAGAAGCTCCTCTCGAAGTGGGTGTAGAAAGATGAGACAGTTTAGAGGAATTGACGCAGTTTAGGTCGGAACACGATGTACATACAGCAGTGCGGCTGCGGCGAAGTCGATGTTCGGTCGACGTCGCGCCTCGTCGCGCAAAGGCCTGAAGAGACCTGGCGCTACGTATACCATATATGGTAAACGCGGTCTTGCTGCGCGGCGATGATCATGCCTTCCTCCACTGGTCTCCTCTTATGCAACAAAGTTACCTGTAACGACCAGGTCACCGAGCATGCTTCAAGAACTCACGTATTATCCCAGGGCTAGGTCTGACACTAGCAGACCCAAATCAAGAATGGGGTCGGGGCACACTAAGCGTGCTCACATACTACTGCCAGCACGGATTCCTCCTCAACTTGAACTCAAAGCTTACGGAGCTCGAGGCTCTTGAACCCCTCAGGCTTCACCGGCCTCACCGGTAGGCTTATCGACGACCGCGCCATTCAAGCATTCAATATGCAAGCCCCGCGATTGATCATACCTCACAGAGATACAAATGGCTACACCGACGTTCTCAGGATATACATACATCGGAATTGGTGGCACTTGCTACACGGTACCCGTACCCGCTTTCGTACCAGTATAGAAACAGATACCTCTCTTTCTCTAAGGCGAGCGGAATCCTGAAAACTATGAGCCTGCCTGTAAATCAAAGGGCGGTGTGCGACGAAATCGAAATCGAAAACGCAAGGAATGAAGCAAATCAGTAACAGCGTAACGAGGGATCATAATTCCAGCGCACGGACATCACGGACCTGGTTGATTACGAGTCGGCGTCGCTCACTCCGAGTCTGTTGTGGCGATCCGAGCCACTACACACGCACCGTTGATCAATACCGACGAAGGGAATACATTGAACCATACACCACTGACCTTTGTCGCCACCGAGTGTCTCTGGGGAAGGCGCAAAACAGATGACACTCTCCGTAGGCTTCACGGACTAAACGGCTCTTCTGCATCAGCGTAACTCGCTCCTCAAAACTAGCATATAACGCTTGCCTCGGTCCTCGAAGTCGACGGTTGCATGGCCAGAACTCGTTCGAATTTACGTTTGATCCCGAAGTCCGTACCATGTGAGGCCCCGGCAAGCGTACTGGCAGTGTTGTCGCTCCTCTGGATGCCCTGCATCGACATCACATTGCCGTCCACGAGACTCGCCGTCCGTGCTCGATTGTTGAAATTGATGAGCAAGGTGTTAGAATATCTGTCGCGTCTCCCAGTAAGTTCACGGAAGGGTTCATAATGGGGTCGTGTACTCACAGCTTAGATAGTACCAGAACGCTGATATCAAATTAAGTATTGGGGTCATGAAGATGTCGGGCAGGACGTACGGGGTACTGTGAAGATATGTTCTCTGTAGTGCGAGTGAGTATCGACGGCGTAGTACCGATTGACATAACACTCACGGGCTTTATAGTGAAGAATAGGAGATCGAGGATGGCAACCACCGCTTCGTTGTAAGACTGTCAGAGCCCTGTCATACATAAAGTAACGTCGTACATACCCGTGAAAGTGCCTGTCTCGATACCGAGCGCGATGAGTCGGTCAATAATCGCGTCCGATCTTCGAATCCCAGTCTTGGCCCTGGTAAGCTTCGGTATCTCTGTGTCAAGGCCAGGAAGCTTCCAAAAACCGACATGAACACTCACCAAGAGGGTCATCGAGATAGCAATAACACTATCTGTGAGTGCGCTCCCCGCAAGCCACGTCTAATGGTCATGTCAGATGAGACCGGGACAGGTCTCGATTCGGAATTCACGTCAATATATGGAATGATGACTGCCTCGTCTTCATCCGTGGTCAATGCTTTCATCTGATGAGTCCATGAGTCGCTGATTTCAATGGGAATAGAGCAGAAAACCGAACCTTCACGCCGCTTACTATGGCTGCAGACATTTGGGTGAGGGAGATCTATGTGCGTATGCTACCTTTAGATTAACGTCGCTCGAATCTGCAGTAGTACGCACCGTGACAATGAAAGCGCACAGCCAGCGGTAACGCGACATCATCAAGATTCTCCACGCAAAGAACGATTGCACCGCAGCTGACACGAGGCCAGCCATGACGCAAATCGTAAACCAGCCATTGTAGAAGCTGAGCAGATTGTCAACTTGGTCGCCATAGCCCCAAACGTATACGTGAAAGCTGTCGACGGAACATAAAGCAGTCTGCACGAGTTCAAAGATGCAGACGCCATAGACTGCAGAGATTGAATCAGCGCATCGAAACTCGAGAGTAACGCGCAGATTGGGTACGAACCGAAGGCTTTCAAGGAGAGTGGATCGTTTGGGAAGCAGACATGGTATATATCTGTAGACAATAAGTCCGTGAGCAGTTAACCGGGACGTTGGCTCGGTGACTTCTGGCTCACAAACTTGGGCGATGAGGACGCCTTGCAATCCGTAGTTTAATAACGAACCGACGAGCTGGAAAACAGGCTTCAATACAGAACATGACGCTAACACCGAGCGATGTTACCTCGGGACCCGAACTAGCCAAAAGATAGCCAATGAGTGGGTTTGATTCAGTAGACAAAGGTCATCGACTGCACTTACAGCAGGTTGACGCTAGTAGACATCTCCAATTGCAACGCGACGAGTGGAGTATAATTGGCACGACCCGCGTCGTGGAAGTCCTAAGTAATGCAGCGGGGCTTGAGCTTGAGACCTAGACGGATGCGAATGCGAATGCTAAAGAACTTGAACGCCTAGCTCAGCTGGGACCGCACTGATTGTTCAGTTGTATCCGAAGCACGACGGTACTGCCCCTGGGAGCCTATCTGAGTGCGCTGAGCGCATGCTAACAAAGCGTACATAGCTCGTGTGTACTTCGCATCGATGGGGAGGATCAAGAGATGTCGACTCCTTTGACACATCTGTGAGCCACTGGCAGTGCCAGTGTTCCGGACAAGTTCCGGATGGCGATGCGCTGGCCGTGGCAAAGTTCAAGAACGTTGAGCGCTGAGCGCTCGAAGGACGAACTTGGTTCACACTTCAAACGTTCATCGATTCATCAGGCCTCAGGCTTCTGCCAGTGATCGGCCTTACAAGGCGATTATACATACTTTTGTAAGGGTTTGTACTCATGAACAGCCGGCGGCCGGATGTCTGGTATCAGCTGTCAGTGTCACCTTTTCATTGACGTTTCTCAAGACCCAGCGCGACGCTCTCATGCTCGACTTTTCGAACGCCCCAGCTGCCCGGTGCTCTCTTTCCCACTCCAGCACGGAGGTACGTGACTACTGTATACGTGGCTACTGTAACTTACTATGAAGGCAGCGCATCCGAGGCGGTGTCTCTACATACCGATTAATGTCCGATGCTACGGCCTTCGAGAAGGTATGGTTCTATGTTGTACGTATACGTGATTGAAACTCTCATCCTTGTGAATTCGAAGCGTCTGTTTAGCATCGTTCAAGCTGAGGTCTTCTCCGAAGCTTAGGGCAGCGATGTCTTGTTCACATGTCAATCAAGTATTGAAAGAGGAGTGCTCTGACCACGGTTTGGCTGTGCGATTGTCGTGACCCGCTCATGGAAGATTTCTCTGACACACAAATCAATCGTTGCGACGCAAATCCTAAACAAACTGGTATCAACCCAAAATTCTGCAATCTCGGATCACTGGTCGCCACGATAGGACGTAGGAAGTACAGCCCGGGCCAGAACACTCCCCGCGTTGTGGTCCTGTCATAACTGCACATAACAAGCTTCGTCTTGTGCTGAACATTCCTCACTTCCCTCCAAGTCCCCATTGAAGTCATGGACCCAACGGAGATACGTCTGCTGTGCGTATTTGCGGTCACGTATGCTCAAGCTAAGTCTCATAGCATCCTCACCCCGAATGTATAGGTCTGCTCCTATCGTAAGTATTTTACCCGTACGTGCTCTGCTGTTTGCAGTGGTCTAGAGCCTCGTTCACAGATACTCGGGATCCATCTCAATTGGGGCCTAGAAGGCATATTGCTGGTGCAAACATGTGAGTCGGTACTCGCGCCGGGTTGATTTCCATGTTGACCATTTGATAGACATCTACAACGCGCGATACACGTCCGATCCGCTGCGATTCAAGGTCCTCGGTGAGTCTAGCAGCTAGTAGCTGTGATTTTGCGTTGCCGTTGACATTACTACTTAGTGTATGGTGTGTTCGTCTACGAGACGGTTCAAGCATGCCTGCTCGTGGGCGACATATTCCACTACTGGGTGTATAACTACGGAGATCCTGACGTCCTAGTGATGCTGAGCAATATGTGGTTCAGCATCTTCGTCATGGGCGGTATCATGGCTGCTGTCGTACAGAGTTTCTACGCATGGCGTATATGGAAGATCGAACAGCATCTTCTCATGACTGTGCCAATCGTCATTGTAAGTCAACTCCACATACTAGCTGTGTTCATAGTTGCTCGGTTAACGCCGTTCGAGTGAAGATTTCTTTCGCTCAACTGGCACTTGCCATAACGAGTGGGGTCAAGGTATGTGTGGATGAATGTACCCATATTACGAGCAGCAGTATTGAGTAGATTCTCTTATAGACGAAGCTGCTACAATCGGTTGTTCTGGAGCACCGTATTGCAGCTTTCATCGAGGTATCCGCCTTCATTTGCGTGATACCGTTCAAGCTAATTTCCGTACGAAGGCTTGGCTGGCCTGTGCTTTACTGGCCAATTTCATCGTCTCAATCACCATGACCGTTCATGTGTGTCATCCCATTACCGCAGGACATCCGTGCCTCCTAACTACACATATCTAGCTTCTCAAGAGCGGCCGAACCACTGGAAGCACCCCTATCAGTCGTGCCCTCGCGTTCCTTGTGGAGTCCGGAGCATTGCTCGGTGTGTCAGCACCGCTGCGTACTCACTGATTTGCGAACTAATCTACTTGAGAACAGCTATATTTACCCTCGCTGAACTCGTTCTATACATTGTGGAGTTGGTGAGTATGCTTTCCTTGTCGGTATATGATCTCCGCTAAGTGATTATGTCGACCAGGAAACCAATATGCATCTGCTTTTGTGCGTAACACATTTTGCCGCGCAAAAACTCATAACCTCACAAAGATGTTAGTGCTCTGGTGTCGTCGAAAATGTGCGTCTCGTCGGGCTAATTGCCCTCTTAGTTTACCACTGACTACTTGCTTATGACAGCTATGCCAATAGTCTGCTGATGAGTTTCAACAACCGCGCACTCCCGGGCATGAACACGAAGGGGTTCTTCTCACCGTTCCATACAAGTAACACTCGACTTGGAACTGCCAGCACTGGGACCCAGATGATCTTTGCCCAAGCACAGGGCACGGCTGCTCTGGGAATACGCTCGATGAGTGTCAAGGAAACCTTTGATTGAGCGTCGGACCAGCGTAGGTGCCTTCACAATAACACATTCCCGCCATCCTACTGACAACGGAATCACGACGCCAGATACAGGCGATGTTTTGGGGATTATTAGCTATGCTCAGACATGCCGCTGACTTCTGATGCGGATCGATGGGCATTAACTGATTGACTTCGGAATGGATAGGATTGCTGCTCGCAGATGCTTGCATCAATGTACTCGGAAATGAAGCTATGTACGCCTTGATGGCTGCCATGCTGATCGATGATGATGCCAGGGAATCGATTCGCTGGGACCACGAAGTCCGGACCTATAGGTATGATGCAAGTGCTGTCTTCGACGTCAGAATCGGACACAAGCTCCTGAACCGCTGCGACTCGGGCCATCCGACGATTGCTGATTGACTTTCAGGTACGAACACGATTTCGACGGTAGTACTGCGTTCGTACCGCATACTCGCAAGACTCCGGATCCATAAATCAATGTTCGCTGTCGCGGCCTGTGAACGAAGATTGTTGCCGCGCTGCATTCTCCATTCATTCACTCCCAGGTGCGCAGAGAGAATTCCAAGAGTTAATCTCTTTTGCTCAGCAATCAAGGGTCAGTCCACGCAGTTGGGTCAGGTACTGACTGTGGTCTACCATCAGCATCGAAAGCGGACGATATAGCCGGTGCCGCATTCAGTCGATTGTTGGTCACACAGATAAGTAGCATGGGAGATTGACAGACGTTCAATATATGACGCAATGCGAGTCGCGAACTATGTATCTTGGCCTTCGAATTGTTCATCATGAACTCAGCCTTCGTAGCCCTTGCGTAATGTACAAGTGCGTTCTTTCATACCGATTAGAATTCAGCTCTACATACCGAAGACTGTATGCCTCGACACGCCGTGGTGCTGGCTGTAGTAATAGAAGCTATTAGAACAACTGTAGACGCGGGTACCCGCCGGACCGGTCGGAGCGAGTGACATGTTTCCTGGTACTATGAGTAACAACTAGTACTACTTCAATTGTACGACCTAGCTTCAACAACGGTCCGTCATGTACACAATGTTCATCTCCAACCACCACTTTCCGCGACTCTCCGTGGCGGACAGTGCCTCCCATGCAGCGGCTGGCGCCGGCGGTCAACCACATGCTCAGACGAGGCAAACTCGCCGGAGCTTCGCGGTGTGCGTCACGGTGCCGCCTCAGAGGCCTCAGGCCTCAGGATCAAGCACGATGCCGGCTCGTAAGGTCGACAGGACGGTCAGCATGTGCGCGAATTGTGAGCGAATCCAACAAATTGTGGCACCGTATGGTATGTACCCGACTTCTTGCGTCCAACTGATTGTTCTCGCAGTCTGTGCGGCCGCGCTGGTTCCTTCCGCCGTCGAGAGGCCGCATGCCCCATTGCTCACTCTGCGCCGTCCATCTGGACCCAGAAAGCCTGAAGGAGGCATAATTCATTCAGAAACGCCGAATCCGTAGTGCGCTCTACTGCCTCCACGGTCGTCAATGGAAAGCGTGTCACCCTATGATACCGCGGATTCATCTCAACATGATCGTGATGCTCCGACGATGTTCATCATACACGGCGCGCGGAGATCTTTCGAAGCAAAACAGGCTTCTTCAAGGGGTAACGATTAACGCATGATCGGACCGAAATGATACTAATTCTTGAGTTGATGCAGTGCGTCGGTACCGTTCAGTATAGATCATTCGTACTGTGCCGCTGAAGTGCTTGTCACATATGCAGGGCGATTTGTACAGTCGCGCAACGCATCAGACAAATGACAAGACAAGTACCCAGCTTCCTTGTCACAAGAGGCCGCTCTAACCCACATGCACATGTACAGCGGCGATTCGAGGGCACGGATCCTCATTCGAGGGTAAGCTGTGTCATCCCTCTCTATCTCGAATCAGACAAGATTCAATTATAAATCTCAAGAGCGCTGACCTGAACCCTGAGCTAGCCGCAGACGATCTATCGACGCCGGTAGAACGAGGGACGGGACATGGATATGAACAATACATCTCATTGCGCAACGCATCCTGGGACAGCGTCACCGTTCATGCGTGATGTCTGTGCGATCACGGTACGTCCCGTCGCTCTTTCATCATCTTGATGCCCATATGCTCCGACGGAAAGGCTACCTATCATGCGCAGAGACTGCATTCGGGCGATAGACGTGGAATCATCCCGGGAACCCCGGAGTCATATGTCATGTCTGTATATTTATGTCATCCAGTGAACACAATCGGAACGCAATAGACCCTGTGAGAGGCAACAGTCTAGGCATTCAAATCAGTTCAAGAAGCTCACTTTCCGCGCTACGCACGTTCAGCGATATCAGGTTCCCGTAGGTTCTATCGCACCTTCCATGTACGAGAAGCAATGAGGATGAACGTGATTTTCTTGGATAGAGAATTGGATTATCCGTCGGCGTCGCAAGCGCGTTGGTATAGGCGACCTAGTATATCCTGGACCATCGCTCAACCTGCGTTCTTGACATCGAGCTGCCGCACGTCTACTCATATATTCAAGTATCCAGACGTCCTGCGCATTTTTTCACTAGCAACATGGAAGCGAAACTAGCTACCATAGGTGACATCGCGGAACAGCGCTTTGACTTCGTCGTCGTTGGTGCGCATTACGAGTTGAGATCAATATCGTTGTCACTGACTCTCTGTGGGCAGGCGGCGGTGTGAGCAATATATGGGCATTTTGCTTAGCGCTCTTTGACGTTTCTCGATCCCTAGACTGCTGGACTTACTGTCGCATCCCGACTGTCAGAGAATCCGGATGTGACTGTCGCCGTGTTAGAGGCAGGAAAGGCTAGCTTCGATGACCCCAACGTTTGTGAGTCATCTGCGAGCGGGACAATCGGGCGGCGCGACTAACACCAATGACTTTAGTGAAACCCGACGGCTTCATGCAGCAGTTGATGCGACCCGCCTATGATTGGGCGTTCTTGACAGCGCCGCAGAAGCATTTGGGAGACAAGGTCATGCCGTGGTTCAGGTTCGTGGTGTTGGTCGATTGTCGTGGATGTTAATCAATGCGGCATACAGAGGAAAGGGCTTAGGAGGCAGTTCTAGGCTGAACTTTCTCATGTGGATGACTCCGCAACGCGAGGATATCGATGGTAATAGTCCTTGCGCTCCCATGGCATGCTTGCTCATACCGCGCCAGCTTTCGAGAGGTTGGGTAATACTGGCTGGAATTGGGAAACAACGAGCCGCTATCTTGAGGGGATTCAGAGGTCAGAGGTCTTCAATTACCCATTAGCGTGGCTCATGTTACTCTATAGGCCAGTTGCGGATGCCACGGGACTTGGGGGGAGGCTACTGGTGAGGCTGCCCGATATTCATTGCTGCAATGAACTGATCAATGTTTGAACAGGCCCGATACCCCTCGGATATGCAAGCACTCCGTCTGGGGCAGAGTTGCCTTTCCAGAAGGTTGGCCCAATCTATTGCATTATTGTCATCATGTCTAGAACCCCTGTCTAGAGCATGAATAATAATGGCATAGCAACCCCTCTTGTGGAAGATATGGTAGGATGCATTTGTTGGTTTCATGCATGATATCTGACCCAGTCAATGTTCAGGCTACAGGGCAGGTGAGTTGGTTCTCCACATGTAAAGTATTGCTCCAAAGACTAATCCATTGTAGACATGTGGAAGCTGGCTTTGTACCTGTTGTATTGACCCAAAAACTGGCCATCGTGTCAATTCAGCAACAGTTGAGTGTTTGCACATTTCCATAGGACAAGCCTGATGGTATCAATACCAGGCCTATCTACTACCAGCCCTTGACAGACCAAACCTCCATGTCTTGACTGATGCCCATGTCACAAGGCTTCTCATAGCTCAAGGTCTTGATGGTAGCAACCACACAGCTCAGGGTGTTCAGTTTGAACACAATGGCAGTCAGTACAATGTCTATGTGAACAAGGATGTTATACTGTCTGCAGGGTATGTGAACCATGTTTTCTGTATATGATAACTGATGTTTGTTGCCAGTGCTGTCAAGTCACCCCAGATACTGGAGCTCAGTGGTATTGGCAGCTACAATATCCTGAGTTCTCAAGGGATACCTGTGAAAGTTGACCTTCCAGGAGTTGGTGAAAACCTCAGAGACAAGGTTACAATTTCCATTACACTAGGTATGTGTATTATGTATTACAGCCAAGGCAATGACTAGATATGTGATTATAGAAATGAAGGAAGGACATGACATTTTCAGTTTTAACTTGATGGCCAATCCTGAGTTTCATCCAAGATTGAATGAGATTTTGTATGTGCTACAGTGGCCTTATGGGTGTATTTGACTGATTTTCATCACAGCCCAGATACAGCTGGAGATTTCTCCAGTGTCATTTCTGGGATGACCTTTGTCCCTATACAGGCACTGCCAGACAACATTCAATCCACAGTTCTCAGCTCAGCAGAGGCTTTCACCAAGAATGCTAAACAGCAAGGGTTGTACACCAAGGTGCATGAGCTGCTTGGGGACCATCTCAAGAGTGCCAAAATCCCAGACTTTGAGGTGGTTGTGACACCTTTTGTACCCTCAGGCCCTGGTGAGTTGTCATTGAACTCTAGATCTATTTGTCTTGAACATGGCTCAATCTTTATAAGATCCCAAGAAGCCCTACATTTCTCTTGTAGTGTGCCTTAGTCATCCATTCTCTAGTGGGAATATTGTAAGTGGAAATTGAAAAATTTCACAGCAGCCTGTTCTGATCAAGTTTATAGCATATACAGTCTCAAGACCCCAAGATGATCCCACTGATTGACCCTCATGTCTTTGAGAACTCACTAGACCTGGACATCTTGGTGGAAGCCTTCAAATTCACCAGACAGGTTGTCCAGACAGCCCCATTCTGTGATGTGGTCTCCAAAGAGATAAACCCAGGGCTTGATGCCAGCACTGATGATCAGATCAAGGGTGGGTATTTTTGTGATGCTAGATTGGAACCCTGAAGTCATCTCTGACACTTGGTTGACATAGCTGCTATCCAGAAGAATCTTGCTACAATCTGGCGTGAGTAAACAAGATTTGTACTTGTAATGACTTTTCCATCCTCAGTAATATTTAACAGACAGCTCTGGTACTCTGTCAATGCTGCCCAAACAGGATGGTGGTGTGGTAGATAGCAAGCTCAAGGTTAGTTGGTATAAGTTATTGATCAGATATTTGTGAAACTGATTTGTGCAGGTCTATGGCACAACAAACATACGTGTTGTTGATATGTCCATTGTCCCTGCACCTATCAGCAGCCATACTCAGGGTAAGTTGACTCAAAAATATTGATTCACTGTAGTCCTTACACCTTGCTTATGTAGCTATTGTCTATGCTATGGCTGAACAAGGTAAATGATGCCATATCCCTGTGATTCTACACTAACTGTCATGTTTGCAGCTGTGGACATCATCAGGAAAGAGTTTGGGTTGTAGTTAGGCTCCTTGGCATGATCAGCTTGACATCAGAGGGTGAATGGTCAATGAATTGTCTGTCTACTTTGAATGTACTTTTATGATAGCAATCGTAACAATGGTGTGGACTGATTGCGCATATCATGCGTGAAAAGGAGTCTGCAGCACCTAATATCGTAGTGACACGGAAACGACCATAAAGCATTCACAGCGAGTATCCGCGCATCACAATGTAGGCATGCATGGGCCATAGTCCCGTTTCCCACCGAAGATGCGGTGAGCGGTGTGGTTACTTGCAGCGAATTGAATACCGTTTGAGCACTGGCCTATTGTTCGAACACATTCACGGAGCGCGCATGAGGGTGGTTGGATGGCACTAGTCCGAACTCCAGAATGATATCAGCTAATACTATCCGACGCTCGTAACGCGCACGGCGAACCACTCATCTAGAGTTTGGACCTTTCGTTCTCAGTGGCGGGCAAGGCTGATGAAGACTGACTGTCTTCTCAATAATACACACAGGATCACGTCAATCCTCGGCGACCGAGATTGACGTGTCCCCCAGCGCGCATGATTGCGATTGCCATACACCCCTCGCATGCGTGCTGTCAAGGTTGGTTTGTAGTCGCGTCATGTTGTTTGATAGGGTCGAAGTGAAGGGAACCGAAACCCGACATGGCTCTGTACCGGCACCGATAGCAGTTTGGATAGTCGGACGACATTGACCTCCGGGAGATCCGAGCCTTGAGCAACCATGTTACTCCAGCGGGAATAGGAACGCCGATCAGAAATGAAGAGCCTCACACCGAGCGAGCTGACACTGTGTGGAGAGCAGATTCAGAGAGCGAGATGACTACAAAGACCCATAATGATACATTGAAACATATAACCTCCGCAGTGGGAGGATACGTCAGACATCTGCCTGAATCGGAGGAGGTTCGTCCCATTCACTCGGCTATGACCATCACTTAACAGAAGAATAACTCAGCGAGAGCGGTGTAGACGAAGGTCGGTCATGGCTGACCTTTATTGTCATCATCGACGGACGGTTCTGGGGTGGCTGAGAGGTACACGACGTCGCCAACGGGCTTCGTGGACTACACGCCCATGTTAGCGTCGAGTGCTCAACGACAACGTGGACGACTTGCCTCGGAGGTCAGTGCCGACGCCTGTGCGGAAAGGCGAGTCTGACGTCCATCTTTGCGGTATTGTCCTATGTCCAGGCTGTCCGTTGCACCTGTCATTGTACTGGCACCATTTCGGCTGGAGTGGACGGCTCCCAAAGAGACTACGTCGCCATCCATGAGACTCGCCGTACGTGCCCGATTATTGAAGTTGATCAGCAGGGTATTCGCATACCTGGAACGCAGTCAGTTTATGGAGATTGAACGGTGGTGGGTTGAGGGTCCAGTACTCACAGTTTCGACAGCATCATAACACTGGAGCCAGAGTCAGCATCAGAGCGGTGAGTAGGGACAGAAAGAAGGCGTACGGCGCGGCGTGAAGATATGTCCTCTGCGAGTGTCAGTTTATGTGAGCAAGGCCGGAGCAATCGATGTAAGACGCACGGGCCGTATGGTGAAGAACAAGAGATCGAGAGTCGCAATCACCGCTTCATTGCAACGAAGTCAGCGTGTTTCGCGTTGAGCATGAAGTCGCACGCACCAGTAAGCGTGCCTGTCTCCACGCCGAGCATAATGAGTCTGTCGATGATGGCATCCGAGCGCCGTATTCCGGTCTTCGCTTTGGTAAGCTATTGGACGTCAGCATTACTGATGTTCCGACCGGTACGTTGGTATAGTCGCTCACCAAGACTGTCATGGAAATGGCTATCACGATGTCTGCGAGCGCGCTTCCCGCGAGCCACGTCTGGCGATTGGGATGAGAGGTGTAATAAGCGCGAACGCACAATATCGCTAGACTCACGTCAATGTACGGTATGATGATGGCTTCGTTCTCATCTGTGGTCAATGATTTCATCTGGTCATGATGATGGCTGTTAGGGCGCGACAATGACGGAGACTAGAAGGACGAACCTTGACCCCACTTACGATGGCAATAGACATTTGGCCAAGGGCGATCTGTAGGTACACCTCGGCTCTCATGACGATGCTTAGAATCGCATTGGCACGCACCATCGCAATGAACATGCACAGCCAAACGGAGCGCGACAACATAAATATCCTCCACGCGAAGAAGCATTGTACCGCGGCCGAGAGGATACCAGCCATGATGGGGAGACTGAACCATCCATTGTAGAAGCTGAGGAGGTTGTCGACCTGGTCACCGTATCCGAAGACGAAGACGTGGACGCCGTCGATGGAGATCAATATTGTCTGTATCAACTCGTAGATGCAAACACCATAAACTGCACCGACGTCAAATATTCCAGTCAAAGTGATACCCGACTGTAGGACGAGTGTACGCACCAAAGCATTTCAGCGGCCATGGATCTTTGGGAAAACAGATGTGGTATATGTCTGGAAGAGGAGGAATGAGCTATCATGGCGTTGTCACATCGTCGGCCGCGGAACTCACACACTTGAGCGCAAAGGACTCCTTGCAACGACCAGTTCAATAACGACCCAATCATCTGCGTACAGGTCTCCTCCAGACAAGCCCATAAGATGGATGGCGAAAAGTCGTACCTCGGGTCCGGCCCTGTTGCAATGTGCAGACTGTAAACGCACCACTCTGAAGATGACGATGGTTGAATTGGTACGTACAGCAAACTGATGCTCGTAGACATCTGGAAACTCGGAGATGGGTGAGAGAGACGACTAGCGAAGACAGTGCGATGGCTTTCTTGGGGAACGGAATAGCATTCCACGCTAAGGCATTGGTTTGTCGATCCGTGTCACGGTCGATTCGGATGTGGCAGAGACCGCCAACGCCGGATAAGCAACGTGCGCTACTGAGCCATTCACGTCGACATTCAGACAGCGACGCAGTATGGCCCCAGATCCCCACATGGGGCCCCAGTAACTCCCAACTCTGAGTGAAGTGGTTTCGGTGCCTTGCATCGCAACAGTGATGGAGACAATCAATTGAGCCTTGCCGATGCGATCCTCACCAGTGAGATATTTCAAGTTGTGCTGTGGACCGAGTTGATGATGAACTCAGGATTATTTAACCGCAACAAGCAAACAATCGTGCTAAGACGCGGCGGACGCCGGCCTGTGCGAGGGCGGGCGTTTAAACGCGCCGCCCAGGCCTGCGCCCCGTTCGAGGGTAGTGTAGTAGTATGTACGCGTGAGGCTTTGTACTGTAATGGTTAGGCAAACAAGGCAGGGAATGAGATAGTGTCTAGTGGTGTGGTTCGAGGTCGGGACGTAGCTCGCATGGTAATAAATCCCTTGCTCGCTAGAGCAAGGCTCTCTCGTCTGTAATTGTTGCCGGGCGCCTGAACACTTGTTTGTGGCTGTTGTCAATGTCACATGCGTGAGCAGCGATACCGTAGTAGTATGAGCAGGCACATCGACACCAAATATTCAGAGTGTCAGACAGTTTCACACTTATGAAGAGTTTGTTTGTGGAAAAAAACTACAGGTAAATGAGTACATGATGTATGACCATGCATAACAGTGTTCAATGAACGAGAATTATGGTGGTGGCAGTTACTTACCTTGTAAGGTAATACTCGCAAGCGCCTGTTAAATGCGGCTGCTACTGCGACCTGCATGCCTGAACAGTGCACGGGGCATGATTTTCTAAGCAAAGTGAAGTGATTCAGGAGCATTCTATAGCACTCAACGTACTTTGTGCCAATTTTCAGGCGCCTCACAGAGTTTTGCCGGGTACAACGCAGTGTCTGTCTTCCTGCATTAGCCTGCGAATACAAGCGCCGGTGCAGCGGCACTCTAAGTCCGCGTCTGTACGATATTCCGCTTCTCCATCGAGGACCGATATAAGTTATGGAGGTTAGTCGAAGCTGCGTTATTCATATCTGGACCATGCTCATATTATTGTGCTTATTTCGACTCGCGCACCCGACCTCTCCATATCAATTCTGTCTTGTACAATAGCAGTGTCCTCAATTTTTGTACGTTCAGAAGCCTTGTTACCTTTCAAATGTTACTGTATTTGTCGATGTCCCCTTCCAAAGCCCTGCGCGAGCAAGGTAGCGCCGCCCCTCTTGGCGGCATTTCGAGTAGAGAATAAAGATGAAAGAAAATGAGAGGCATACTCGTCCATACTCGGCTCTCCGGAGGCTGTGGACCGAGTGTCTGTGGCGACAGTCTGAGTCTCACTGTCTCCGTCTGCCAGTGGCGGCGCTCTTACATAATCACTCTCTACCAGCCACGTCTACACCTGTCTACATCTTGTCTACACCGCTCGACCATTGACGGACTGTACTTGTTTCTCAATATATTGCTACTAGGCCGGGAATCCGAATTCTTTGAGTACGTTGGCATGGATGCTCGTGGTCTGCAACGAGCGCTGAGCGCTGAGTCTCCAAAGGCAGCGTACGGTCCCCACTTGCGCTGCTACGTTGCCATGTCCTACCACAAGTACTGACACCGGGTTCAAGGTGAGTCTTGATTTCTGTTGCATGGCGACTCGGATACTTATGTTGTTTTCAAGCCTCCCCGCGAAGGCACGCCGTCTCAAGTACGTACGTGTATTCCACTTGGCGGTACGCCCAGGACTTCTCAATACAATACCGGGCGGCGGTTCCATTCCCATCTCATGCATTCACACGAGGCTCGACTTCTACGGTCTCCAACCTGCAGAGCCATTGTCAATACTCACATCATGATGGTTCTCGTGTTGCGCACTAAGCCTCATTCTCAGTCTTTCCACGGCTCGTGAAGCTCATGCACATGTCTCGCATCGGAAGGACGTGCACACAATATCAAAATGCATGCGAATGCGGTGCGCCCAACCCTGATGTGATTTGTATCGATTTAGGTTCCGTCTCCCAGGCTGCTGGTCTCCGCCCGTGTCTGCAGATCTGCAGCTGTGGCGCTCAGATGGAGCCATATGACCTTCGACGGTACCTGGGATTGACCGGGGAGTCCATTGACACGTACATCAATCCTCAGCGTTCAGCGCTCAACATTGACCCCGGGTCCGACTCGAACCCGGAATCCAAGTCCACGGCTTGACTTGAGCTTGAGGACTCCGAGTCCACAGCCGGGTTGCTCACCACCGCTCCAGCGTATACGACTTACACCCAGCCCTCGGCATTCACTCCACCATATAGACGTTGGGTAAACTGGCATTACAACTGTGCCATCCTGCCTTCAAATTCCCGCAACGATGGACATGGCTGAGATACGTCTGCTGTGCGTGTTTGCATTGTCTAGGTGATTCTGGTGCATGCTCACCCCGCACACGTAGGTCCGCTCCTGTGGTAAGTACGTCTCCTGCAGATGCTTGACTGGGCTCGAATCGCTCTGCAGATACTCGGGATCCACATGAATTGGGGTTTAGAGGGCATACTGCTAGTCCAAGTTTGTGAGTCTCCGTCTATGTTGGAAGTATCCGACGTTGACTGGCTAGTAGATATCTACAGCGCACGTTTTTCGTCTGACCCATTACGAATCAAATGTCTTGGTGAGTTCATATTTGTACCGCAGCCTGTCGCGGACGTTCATGTGTGCGATCAGTGTATGGCGTGTTCATCTACGAGACGGTCCAAGCCTGTCTTCTGGTTGCCGACGTCTTCCACTACTGGGTGTGGAACTACGGAGACCCAGCGGTCCTTGCCACCCTTAGCAATATGTGGTTCAGCGTCCTGATCATGGGCGGTATCCTAGCTACTCTCGTGCAATGTTTCTATGCATGGCGGATATGGAATACAGTCAAGCATGTCTTTATTAGTGTTCCGATCATTACGGTGCGGTCAAGGCAGCACTATCATGCGTATGATGCTCAAATTGACACCGATTCTAGGTAGCCTTCACGCAGCTTGCACTCGCTGTGACTAGTGGAGTTAAGGTGCGTGCGTGTCTGCGCAAAGTACCTTACTTCGTTGTGCCGAACTCCCTCCACAGGCGAGGTTATTGCCAATCGGTCTCGAGAGCCGTATCGCATCGTTCGTAGATGTAGGTGCCTACGACATCTCGTTCAGATCAACGCTAACCCTGGCTTGAAGGCCTGGTTGGCCTGCGCTTTACTAGCCAACATCATCATCTCGATAACCATGATCGTCCATGTGAGCCATGTTTTACGTGCTTCAAGTGCGAGGTGCTCATTCTGACTCTGCGGGATTAGTTTGTGAAGAACAATCGACACGCTGGGAGTTCCCCAGTAAGTCGGATGTTGACGTTTATTGTGGAGTCTGGGGCATTGCTTGGTGCGTCTATCGCAATATGGTATCGTGATTTTACTGAGATTAATTGACCATAGCGATTTTCACTCTGGTTGAACTGATCCTTTTCATTGTGGAGCCGGTGAGTATGCTTCGCACGTCGCACTGCAATTCATCCTGAGCCGTTTCATCGCTAGCAAACAAACCTTCACTTGCTCTTGTACGTGAATTCTGACTCAATATTTACGGTGTGACCTCATCATGTTACCAGTGCTATACTGTCGTCGAAATTGTGCGTGCTGATCCATGTCGATCATGGCCGAGTTGTATCACTCAACACTCCACCCGTCAGATACGCCAACACTCTGTTGATAAACTTCAACAATCGCACACCCCCTACCACGGACGCACGAGGATTCTTTTCAGATTTCCGCCAGAGTAGCGACACTCGGTTGGGCTCTTACAGCGATGGCCGCCACTCTCTCGTCTTCGCCAAGTCAGCGCTCTCGACTGGTGTGGGACTGCGCTCGCAGAATGTGAAGGAAACAATTCTGGATCGAAGCAGCGTAGGTCCTGTCTCAGCGTCAATCTGCCGTCTTGCTGATAGCATGTCCTGGATAGACGGAGTAGGTGCTCAGCTGAGCACGAGCATTTCCCGAATTATCCGAGACGCAGTGCACATTAGCCGGTCTGTTTCAGTCGGACACTCACCACATTCGCACCCGTCCACCACTATACTCGCATGACATCTGTATGTGAAACTGCAATCTCAGTCGGATTGATTTGGTACGGTGATCAAACGGACGAGTGTACCAGTGCTGAACAAGCCTAGCTTACGGCCGGTGGCGAGATCCGATGTCACGCGTTCATAGACAACAACATGAGAGCTCGACGTCAGGGACGAGGGGCCCAAGCGCCAGAACTCATTCGTTTCGATGAGATGATGGGATACTCCTTGTTCAGCATTCAGGTACCGAGCAGTTATCGAGCAAGCCTTCAATCCGTTCAGGAACACGTTCGAGAGAGCCGCTCGCACGATGCGGCGCCCTGTGAACCCGGTGAGACCAAGTTTGGACCGTGTCCTCAAATCACTGATACTGGCGATTTCGGAAGGTATAGCTGGAAATCCGACGATTGACCTACGGGTTCGTCGTGTCCTGTGTGTACTTGCAGTCGCTGCACATACGGTTCAAGACCTCTCAGCGCATAATCATGACCCTGCGCTGTCGCCCGACGGGCAGTGGATGCCAAAGCATCAAGCCTCTGACAGTCACTTACGTCGCATCACAGTCATCGCTAGGGACACAAATAGCCGATGCGGCCGTTGAGCTTACGGTTCGTATCAGACGTTTGCCTATATGATGCACCGAAGCCCCCGTATCGAAGGCTCCATCCTACAACCATCTACCAGTGGATCGTCCTTCGTCACTTGGGTATCGCGCAAGCATGGGCTTCCTAACATATTTGATGCTGCTTTGCACCGCAACGGTGGCCTTTGTCCATGGGACGTTGTTTGCAGATCCGCAAGAACTTCCCCGACAATCGTACGACTTCGTTATCATTGGAGGTGAGCCAGTGTCATGACCAGTGTCGATACATCGTGCTTACTGTGGCATTCATCCCAGCGGGTACCGCGGGAAATGTGCTTGCTCGCAGATTGAGCGAAGTATCAGAATTCTCAGTTCTTGTAATCGAAGCAGGTGTAAAGTGAGATCGAGCTGCTACTGAATTCATTACGTGCGTCTTACCTCTTACAGTAATGATGTTCTGTTCGACGACCAGGTTCCTTTGTTGGACCCATTGATTTGGCCCGATACCGCGATCAGCTGGAATTACACCACCACTGCTCAGACAGGACTTGAAGGACGATCATTCGATTATCCACGTGGGTTTGTACTCGGCGGAACGAGCACAATCAGTGCGTATGCGAGATGAATATTGATCTATATGAGCGCTGATCTGCGTGTCGAGACCTCATGGTATGGAGTCGGGGGTCTGTGGACGACTGGAATCGTTATGCGAACTTTACCAACGACAGCGGGTGGTCTTGGGAGGAGATGTTGCCATACATGGAGAAGGTATGTCACTACCGACAACTGCGTCGGCTTCCTGCCACTAACTGTGTTTAGAGCGAAATGCTTGTTCCACCGAATGATCACCATAACACAACGGGCCAAATCAACCCGTCTGTGCATGGCACCAATGGACCTATTAGTATCAGCCTCCCCGCTGCCTCCATGCCGCTGGACAGTCGTCTACTCGAGAGCGCCACTGCTCAATTTCCGTATAACGAGGATATGAATGACGGTTAACCACTGGGTATCGGTACGACTGGTCCTTTTGTCGCAACCACACTCGCGAAGCTGATGCTCCTTAGGTTGGCAACAGGGTACCGTCACCACAGCGGGTAGAAGGAGCGACTCAGCAACGGGATACCTGGATCCCATCATAAATCGCACAAATTTGGACGTACTCATACAGACGCGCGTTACCAGACTCATATCATCCAACTCCAGTACCTCTGTGCCAAATTTTAACCAAGTAGAAGTGGCACAGAATCGTTCTTGTGAGTGCCTGATTGGTCCGTATCGCCGTCACCGGAACCCGAACCTAGTGCCGTTTCTACTACAGCGGAGGGCATCATCATCAGTGCTTCCAAAGAAGTGATACTGTGTGCAGGCTCAATTGGCACTCCCCAATTGCTATTACTGAGCGGCATCGGCGATCCCAACACACTCCAGGGACTAGGGATCGAGCCTGTCGTCAACAACACCGACGTTGGTCAGAATCTCGTTGACCACCCTCTTATTGGCAATGTATGGATTGTCAACTCGAACGCTACCTGGGACAACGTGTTTCGTAACGCGACATATTTGGAAGACCTATTGCAGCTTTGGAACTCCACGGGAAGTGGCCCTCTGAGCGACACGGGTACGAACCAGATCATATGGTCAAGATTACCGAACGGTTCAGCCATCTTCGCCAACTATACGGACCCCTCTGCAGGGCCCGCCTCTCCGCACATAGAAGTACTATCTCATGTGCGTGTGACATACAATTGTACCCGATAGTCGACTCACTGACTTTGTTCTGATGGACCTGTTGTAGAATTCGTTCGGTTCACTTGTTGAACTCATGCCGAGCACGGGAAGCTACATGACTCTATATACGGCGGTCGTCTCCCCCGCTTCGAGTGAGCAAGTGCTCCATCCGGCTGCAACACCTGACTGACTAGCAGTGTTCTTTAACTAAAGAGGGCTCTGTGACGCTTGCGTCGAATGATGCGTTTGACAGCCCCCTAATCGATCCTGGATTGCTGTCTGATTATTTCGACGTCTACACCATGATCCAGGCAGTCAAACAGGTGCGAAACCTTATCAACTCGTCCGCATGGGAAGGGTTCGCTGTGGCAGAATACGGCCCGTTCGCGGATGCACAGACAGACGAGGAACTAGAGGAATATGTCAGGAACAGCACAACGTCAATATGGCATCCAGTCGGCACGGCAAGGCTATCCGCGGATGCCAGTCCCGATGGAGTCTTGACATCCTCACTCCTTGTCAAAGGTGCATCCGGTCTACGCGTTGTCGACGCCTCCGTACTAGTGAGTCGTTCTTCACGGTCATGATGCTTTCGCGCGTACTCACTCCCATCGAGCCCTATATTCCTGCTGGACATCCGCAAGCCGTCGTCTACGCTATCGCTGAAAGGGCAGCGGACCTGATCAAAGCAGCATGGCAGAACCACTAGGACGATACAGTTTATTTCCATAGCAACAAGACGGACATTCGACTATGTTGTACAGCTTGTATGTAGTTCGTCGGAAATCACGCCACAGCCATATAATCCCTGTACCCGTTAGTCCGTACCAATAATGTGATTTCCGACGATCGTCAGTGTATTCTTGAAGCCCGTGCAGTCAGGTGGCATGTGAGCATCGATGTCTCGAAGACACACCTGCCTGTCTTGAAGATGTGTGTACGACATGTAGTAGCGGATATTTTGCTTGGAAAATGTAATACTACTAACATCACCAAAAGGCGTTGTAGGTCAACTATCTAGGCTCTCCGACATAGCTCAGAGAAGCCGGGGCGGTATGTACATCTAATACTCAGTCAGTACCATACACTACAAGAATTAGAATAAGCATAAGCCAAAAGAAGTATGTGTTAAACTGATGGGGCGCAACCAAAGGCGCCTCATGGTGTGAAAGCTAGATGGCACAAGTCACCGTCCTATGTGGCGGCACCGGCATCGAGAACGGAGAATCTACCACATGAACGAACGGCCCATGCCGAAGGAGGCCCGGTGCGAAGGCCCGAAGGAGTAGCACCCGCCACCTTGCTCCTCGACCTCGAACTTGAGCGAGCACTTCATTCCGTTTTTGGAGTAGTTTACGTCCAGTCGTACAATGTTGACGTCGACGGTGCCCTGCTTGATAGACTTCGCAAAGTACGGGCCGCCTACAAATTCCGTGATTATTGGGCTGTTCCAATATTATAAGTCGTGTAAAGGATGCTTACCTCCACGCGACCACGAAGTGCCCTTCAACGCCTTCACCTCGTCTCCGAATAAGTCCTCGATAGCCGCCATGTTACGCTTTGCGATAAACCTTTGTGAATGAAGTGCGCACACGGACAGGAGCCAGACGTACGAATTCCATAATAGTCACTGTACTCTTGGGCTTGTTCTCAGGTGTCGGCTGGATCAATGTGCCCTTGCCACCAAAGATCGACTGGAACTCGTCGTATTCGAGAACTTCGTCAAACTTGATCGTCTTGCTCGTCCCTTGGAACTTCACTGAATCACTCTTGCATTCTTTCTTGAGGCTATGCATGATGCGTTACTGCAATGACAAAGAGGCATGTCTGTCGAGCATACCGGTCGAATATCTTCTTAAGCTGCAATTTGCGCTTCTTGTCTTCGGCCTTCGTGGTGCTTGCTGCGACAGGCGCAGTGGAAGAGCTCGTGGCCTCGGCAGATGGAGCTGTATCGTTAATTTTTCGTGCACGCTTTGCCGGCGGGGGTTGCGAGGCCAGCTGTTCCTCCAACTATTTGTCGCGTATCCCGTAGTGAGTGAAAGTCTTAGAGTGAGATGACGTGTCAAACGCGCCTCGATGATCCTCTGCTTCATGGCCCCTATGATGGCTGGGCTGACAGAACCATTAGGGTCCACGGAGTCAATGTCTAATTCATCTGTGTCCAGTGGCACCGTGAGCGCGCGCTAGCTTGTCAAAACATCCGACGCGTCAAGAAGTCGTTAAGGCGTACATTTGTCGACGACGAGAACGGCGCGCTTGCGCTTGAGACCTTTGCTCTCTGATGGGAAGTAGGAGCCTATGCCTGCGGAGGAAGCTGAGGCAGCGGAGGACATGGTCGTGATAAAGAAAGGTGTCGAGGATGGGTGTGACGCCGTTACTCGCAACGCAACCGCTTGCGTGACATGGCGCATGAACGGGGTCACCTGATCGCGTTCATCGCCGGCCAAGCGGCGTCAAACATCAGAGTGGCTGGAAGTTGTCGGTCGCTTCGGAATGATTGCGACTTGAACAACACCTGAACTAAGTTCACAAACAGTGAGAACCGTAGCATCCCTGTGTCTCTTTGCTGAACTCCGAGAACTAGCCATAATGCGCACACTGCCAATATGTTACCTTGCATTGTCGGATCTGTATGCCACTGGTAGGGGAATGATTCCATCATAGCATAGTGACTACTGAACAGTAACAACAGGTCTGATTACATGGCTATTAGCGGATGCAGACTCGTTGTACAAACTGGGTGCATTCTGTACGCCCAGCTGGAAGTACTGTTTAGGTCCATGTGCCGTCTGTGTGTCAGGGGTCTGGACCGTTACAAACTTGACTGGCCCCCCATCCGCCTGGCCAGCCTCCGTCAACTTCCAAGTGTTTGCCAGCCGCAGTCAGCCATGCACAATGGAGATAAATTCAAGCAGTCTTCCGAACTCTCATTCCAATTCGCCATCTCGCCTGTCAAGCTCTCTGGAAGACGTTGTCTGGTCATTTGGGAAGTTCGTCTCGTATTCTCAGCTCGCTAGTCACAATCTCCTCGGGTACCTCAAGAGCGGCTTTATTTCCTAGAACGCTTCTCACGGGCGACAGTTACTTCTGTACACTCTCCGATACATTACCCTGATTCACCAACAATGGCATCGACAGCCACTCGCCGTCTCGCCGACAGTGTCTCTTACGTTGTCCTTTCCTCAAGCACGTCGGGCCAGCTCACCATCCCTCTCATCGATCCAGTGACAGGCAAGACCGTGCACTATGCTCTCGTCAAGGTCGACACTCCGCCAACGGTTGCCAGCCTCGGTCTCAGTCCGCGCCTGCACATGCGCTCGGTCTCCGAGAGTGGTCATCTTCATGACTCTCACCCGCAAACTCAGACCGCCCGTAGACTGGACCGACTAGCCAAGGAATGCATGCTTGACGTCTCTAGCAACGCGCTCCGTATGTTGGAGGAAGATAAGGAATGGCCTAGCCTGGCTTCGTCGTCCCGGTCGTTCTGTGTGCCCTCATCTTCTTCGCGACTCCATGCGCCTAGGGTGTTCTCCTCCAACACCTTCAGATTCGACGGGCGCCCGACGTCCTACGCCGAGACGCCCTCTCTATACAACGAGTCCCAATCTGATGAGTCGGTCTCGTATGTCGGCACGCCTATCTCGCACTCTCGGTCACGTCGGCAGAACACGGTCACGGCGCTCGGTTCGGCGGATACAATGGACTCCTCGATGCTCGTCGGCCTAGGCATCTCTGGAATGACGAAGGAAGACGGTTCTCCGTTCGATGGGCTTGGTTCTCTCCCGCGTACTGCCTACACCGCCACCAGCACCGACTCGCCCATGCCATCTCCTCCCGCTTACGCACCCGCATCCGAGTCCTCATGGTCGTTCTTGCCCGAGCTCTCCCCCGCTGCCTTCGCCAGCGACGCCCCAGAGGATCCCGTCGCGCTCTTCTGGAAAACCGCAACTTCCGCCGACTTCCGCCGGTACCTCGACAACAGCGTCTCGTCGCACCTGCATTCCGCACCTGCCGGCGCGTGTGGCTCGTGGAAGGTTGCCAAGAAGGTCGGAACGATGCACGCGCTGGGGCTCGCGCCGCCGAGCCTAAAGTGTCACAAGAAGCGCTTTAGCATGCCCCGCGCTGAAGAAGATTTGTTCATGTGCGAGACACCGGCTATGTCGAGCTTGAGCGATAGGATTATGACCCATCTGGAAGGCGCAAAGCTGGAAGAGGAATCCTGGATGAAGGCGAGCAATCTTCTGGATGTGGGTACAAGCCGGAGGCCTGTCTCTTGTATGCTCTGATACATAGGGATCGTGATCGTCTTCGGGATCTGGGATTGTGTACCTGTAGCAACTGAACAGCGAGTTGTAATGGGCTCAGCGGGCAGCTAAGACGAAGCGCCAGCCCTCCTGAACTTGAGATCAGTATGGCAGAGCTCGTTGACAGTCCACGATCGCGCTGATACGAGTACCATCTGTAGTACCTAAAGGTGTACGCTTGTGATATATTCCATAAGTTCATAGTCCTGTCTACGTGTACAAAGTCGTGGTCTACATCGAACCTGGCAATGTTGTCGTACATTCTGCGTGAATGGTCGTGTAAGTATCGCAACATTTTTCTTTTCTCGTCCCTTTCCCTTCAGCCTCATTAGCAGTCATACCCGCCCATTCCCGTTGACATTACCATTCATTATCAGAGGTCCAAGTGTTTGCTTCAGCAGCAGCTCGATGCGATCTCGGTCCTCGGTGAGCTGCTTCATCTCGTCCCGCCAGCGTACTTCCCGCTCCTCGTATATTTTGCCCATCTCGCTGAGGCTGCCTAACGCAGCCTCCAGAGCTCCACGCAAATCCGCCTCGCGCGACTCGGCGCTGATGGGCGAGCCGTCGGCGGATGCTGCGGACCGGGCGGAAAGGTGGAGCCTTTCGACGAGCGACACTCGCTGCGAGCGCGCGTTGCGCCGTTGTGCGGAGAGGTGATGGAATGCAGAGCGGATACTTGAGAGCTTGGGCGAGTTGTACAGCGCAGGGTCGCGTCGGATCGAGCGCGACGTTAGTGCGTGCAGTTTTGTCGAGTGAGATGGGGATGCGAGCATGACGAGCGTAGCATCTGTCTCTCTGTCGAGAGACTGGAACTACGAAGGTAGAGTTAGCTTTATGACAGAGTGAATCGAAGGATCCAACGTACTGCCTGAATGAGTGCATCCCAGCGTGTCTCCCATCTGCGCCGCCGTCTCTGCGGACTGCTCACATACGTCGGGTGGTACTCTAACTCGAGCAGGTCCTCTTCCTCACCCTCCTCCTCCTCGTCTACCCACTCACCCTCCTCAGCCTCGGCGTGCTCCGTGCCGTTCCCGTTAGTCCAAGGAACAGCGCTCGTGGTCGACTGTGCGCTAGCCTCCGCGATGTAATGATCCACGAACTTCTCCTCGCCGGCCGTCTCCTCGCCCGAGCCTTCAGACGACAACTCCGGGCTCGTTTCGCGCGGCTGCGTGCTCTCCACGCGAGGCGGGGGCTTCACTCGCCGGACAGGTCGGGCACCGGGCGGAGGTGCGCGCAAGTTCGGGGCTTGGTCGCGCCTGCGTAAGCCCCGGCCCCGCATCGCCGGCGGAGGTGGTAGGCTCACCGGTTCATGGCTGGGGCTCGAGCGCATGCTCATCACGGACGCGCGCGCACCTGCCTGCCCAAGGCCTTGCACCCCCATCAGAGGCACGAACGCTAGCGGGTTGTAGCCTGGGCCAGGGAACGGCGTGCCGGGCGGAGAGAACGTCGAGGCCTCAGACGCTTGCTGGTAGCCGTTGTTCAGCGCGTATATTTGCATCTGCAGTGCCATCTGCTCGCGGACGTAGTCGACGTTGTTCATGTCAGGCGTCGACGAGGGGGCCTGCTGCATAGCGGGCATGGTCGAGCGGCGGATGTGCGTGAAGGGGTACGGGTACGGCGAGCCGATTTGCCGGGGCTCGGCGTCGCTTTGCATGGCGGAGAGAAGAGGCGAGGGCGATGGCGCGGCGGTGTTCGATTGGGGCGTTGGAGGAATGGGAGCGTTCGGGCGAGCACCGGGAGTCCGCAAGAAGCTGCGGATGTAAGACGATGTCGGATCCTCCAGCATGCTCTGCAGTTCTTCCGGGTGCGGGAAGTGAGGATGATATATGCCGGCCTGGGCCAATTGCTGCTCCGTCAACTGCCCCAGCACAGCGTGGCGGGCAGCATCTGCTTGCAGTCTTGACGGATCCAGCCGTGCCTGAGCCTGTTGAGCCTGAGCCATGGACTGCTGCTGCTGCTGCTGCTGCTGTTGTTGTTGTTGCGGCTGAGGAGGTGGCTGGGGCGGACGAGAGGATTGCCGCTGACTACTAGCAGGCGAGTCTCTGTCGTTGCTTCTGAGTGTGTTCACCGTGTTCTCGAACATGGCAGGGTCGAAGCTCCGCATGCCCAGCTGGTCGGTCGGGCCAGATCGGTGCTTCGCGCGAATCGTCTTTTGGTAGTCCGCGCTTGGGCTCGCCTGGTACTGAGCGGTCGCCGTACTGTACTGCGATGTGGGGCTGGGATACGGAGCATCCCGAGAGCGATCTGGCAACGCTACCGACGGCGAGCGAGGAGTAAATCCCGACCCTGAACCCGAGTCCTCACCGTCCTTCCCTTGCATCTGGTGCTCGTCGTCTTCGTCATTCAACGTCACGTCATCCTCCTCTTCGTCACTACCGCGACTGCCGTTCCGCGCGTGCTCGCGACGGGGTTCGTAGCGTCCTTCGGGGTACACGTCTGACGATGGGATGGGTGAGCCTCGATGGAGGTCCTCATACTCTGGCTCACGATCGACGAAGTGCGTGACCTCCTCCTCTGGCTCCTCCTGCAAGGGCAGCGAACGCTCCGACGGACGAGAGGCCATGGCCTGCAAGGGCGGGGTGTGGCTCGAGGCAAGTTTGGAGCTGGCAGGCGGTGTTAAGCGCGTCGGAGCAGCCTCGGCAGGGCCTACGAAAGGTACTGGCTTCCGAGTGGGGGCCGTGGGACCCTGTGCTTGTGTATTGCCCCCTTGGTCACGGTAGCCCTCCGGGACGTACTGCGTATAGGCCGCGGTGCGTTCTCCAGGTGAGGCCATCGGCGTCTGGAACTGTGGCGATCCGCGATACTCGGGCGTGCGAGCGGCCGCAGCGTGGCCTTCCATCGAGGAGATCGACGACACCGTCTGCGAGCGATCCCGCGTCTTCGGACTGTCGCGCGCGTTCATGCTGTCTTTGTCTCGCGACTGGCGCTTCGCGGCGGTAGCATCCTGGTCTTTCGGGCTGGACCGATCGCCAGCGCGCACACGCTCGACGGCGGGATCCTTCGCGGGCTGCATGAGCTGGGTCAGTCCACCGGAGGCTGCTCCTCCGGCGTAGGCGAACCCTGCCTGGCCAGCAGCGGCTTGCTGCAGGTCCGCCCGCTCAATCTCGGCCATGAACTCCGGGGTCATTTGCCATGTGTCATTGCCAAACTGAGAGAGGAAGTTCGGTGCTGGGATGCGGTTGATAGGCCGGGGATGGTGGGGGTTCTGCGCCTGCGGAACCGAGGGGAGACTCTGGCTATGAACAGGACCGGGCGGCGGGAGAGGGATGAGATGAGGAGGCAACACCAGCGGAGGATGCGACTGCAGAGGCGGAGAAGGCGCACCCTCTGGGGTATGTTCACGTGCGTGCGCCGCCACCGACATCTTCGCAGCGACAGGTGAGATTCGTGAAGGTGGCGGCGACCTGCGAGACGGATGAGAGCCGGTGGAAGTCGTCGGACTCGGTTGTTGGCCTTGAGGATATACGGATTGCCGCTCCTGTAACTGGTTCAGGGATGGCACAATCGGCAGCGAATGGGTCTTCGTCGCACGCTGCCTCTCGCGAAAGGAAGGAGAGGGAGTCGACTCCCGGGGCGCGATCCCCTGAATCGGACCTAAATATGATCACGGATTCAAATGAGCGTTCGCGGGATCAAATTTACGGCGGTGTAAGAAGCGCGAAAGGACATATCCGTCCCAATGAATGGCCCGTCCGATAGCCTACAAGACGTAAAGAGAGGCCATCACGGATCTTCGTAGCAGAACGAGCGACGACGTTGACAATTACCAGCCGAGCCACCGCAAGCACCGGGACAACAATAATCATCGCAATCACGCTGGACCTTTAACGTGGGAGGTGACGGGGCGCAAGGAAGGCTTTCGAAGAGACGCGACATACCCTGTGTGCCCGGAAGCATCATCGGCTTTCTGTTGCGCTGCGGTGATTGACTAGACATAACGTGGGTCGGCTCAGACTGGGTGATAGAGGTGGAAGAGAGGATCGCAGGGAAAGACGCACTCGGCTGGCGGATAAGAGTATGTCTTCAGAGGTGAATCATTGTACTCGCGTTTCCAACGTGGCGGCGGGTCTGCAATGACAGGAACATCGCCTTGCGCACAACGAGGTGGATGGCCGTGTATGGAAGGTCACGGTTCATGGCTGCCTCGAGGCAGATTACCGCCAGCATGAGCTTCGGTCCGGCTGCCTGTCCTCGTTCCTGCGGTCATGTCCGTCGATGGGCGGCCCACAAGCCGCGTGCTGCGAAACCCTGTGTTCTATCCTGTACCGTTTCGACCATAGTAGGTTTGGTCACGGGTCACAGGGGTCCGAACTGAGGATTCCTGGAGGCGGTCACAGGTATACGAATGCAGTTTCAGGGCTGCGGCGCAGTGCCGCTGGCAAAGGCTGTCACCCGCACAGCGCAAAAACCGGCTTGTTCGGAGTCCTAACATTGGTGACTTATGCCGCAAGAGCGCCTAGACTATCTAGGTTATCGGAAATGGCATATGTTAGGCAGGGGAACATTGAAAGGCGTGGCTTCTGATTGGCTGGCTTCCAATGTTCCGGACATTAAAATACGTTTTGTTCGGTTATCTAAATATCTACACACTTTTACTGCGTGAGTCGTGACAATGTTAGGGCTTCGGACAACTTACAAGGCGATTTGTCCGCTGTGCCGCCGCCTGCGGTGGACTATCCAAGTTCTGTGGTCACAAGGAGTCACCAGGCCCTGTAAATTAGGGATTTCGCTAGTTCGTTGGTCACAGATCACATCCCCCGAACCTATGGTCGAAACGGCACAGTATACCTGCCGAGGCTTGGTGACCATGCGGAGTTTTGAACCACCACACATTGACAGATGACAGCGCTAGCGGGCTCTGGCCAATAGAGCACTCCAAAGTTGTTCATAGTCACCAACGCATGAGGCTCGCATGGAGCCCAGCCTGTAATGCAGTGGCCGGCAGGCCTCCTCATGTTTTCGCGTTGAGTGTCCACAGATCGTCGAAGGATGATGCGAGGAGGCTGAGATGATGCTGCGGCCACTCGGTGTTGCCCTATGTGGATTTCTGAGGGTTTGCTGCTGCCATTTTGGGCGGGATAAATGACACTTGGGCGCGAATATCGGGACCGCAGAGCGTGCTCCCTGCCTCGTGCATCGTCCAAGGCAACCACCTGGGCCACCTTGCGGGCTCGTGCTTCTCGCTTCTCGTTCGCGTGAAATCATCCGTGAAATAGGCTTCGTTCTTGCCTCCGTGTGCAGAAACTGTGTCCGACAGTACAAGGGCGCGCGCGGCCTTGACAGCGACATGCCCTAGTGGGCCTTAGGGCCTGTTCGGTAAGCCGGAGACGTTCGCCTGCCAGCTCGGGCGACCCTCGGAGCGCTGGTAGGACAAATAGAAGTAAACATTAAATCGTCACGCACCGAATCGAGCCACTGCATGCCTGTCCCTGCCTTGTACACGCGAAAATGCCGTCCGACAGCCGCAATGTTGACAATAGCTGGCGGCAACGGCGCCAGCAGCTACTCGTGTATGCCCTTATATTCGTTAGAATCCTCTTTATGGCTGTTTTCATCATTGCTGAGCCAACTCTTGATCGAGAACCATACCACACGTCTATCCTCACTGGCGAAGGTTGGGTTCTCGAGCTTCTCCTTGGTCACCCTCAACGGATCTATGCAGAGCTCGGTGTACATCACCATGTGTTCTATGCTCTCATTGAAGAACTGAAGGCCATGGGGTATGGTGATTCACGACATGTCACGCTTCAAGAGCAGCTTGCAATTTTCTTGTATGCATCTGTGACGGGTCTGTCGATACGCCACCTTGGTGAACGGTTCCAACGGTCTAACGAGACTATCTCACGGTTTGTCTATTTTGGCTTGACTATCTCTATGCTGACAGAGGATCCCAGGTATTACCGCAAGATGCTCACCATTTTCTCGTCACCACCTTTCTACACGAAATACGTGAAATTGCCAAAAGCGGACGATCTGATCCCACCAGAAATTGCAAACAACTCGCGCTTCTTTCCTTATTTTGAGGATGCGGTTGGAGCTATGGATGGTGTTCAGGTCGATGCAGCACCTTCTGCAGAGGACCTCGACAATTCACGCAACCGCAAAGGCGGGGTGTCCCAGAACGTGCTTGCAGCTTGTTCATTTGACATGCGCTTTCAGTACGTGCTCAGTGGTTGGGAGGGCTCAATCACGGATGCTGCGCTTTATAACGAGGCTCGTCGGACCAGTCTGCTTGCGCTCCCTGGGAAATTCTGGTTTGCAGATGCCGGATTTCACCTGTGTGATGCCTTGCTTGTTCCGTACCGTGGAGTGCGCTATCATCTCGCAGAATGGAGGCGTGCTGATTTACGGTTAGTCTGGTCTTCTCTCTCATCCAATATACTCAATCTTTTTAGGCCTGCAAACAAAGAAGAGCTATACAACCTTCGCCATTCCTCGGCTCGCAATGTCATAGAACGCATTTTTGGTGTCCTCAAACGTCGCTTCCGTATCCTCCTCCTTGCTCCAGAGTACTGCATGGAGATCCAGGCCCGTATCCCTCCAGCTCTATGTGCTATCCACAACTTCATCCGCATCCACGACCCAGACGAAATCATGGAATTTGCTGATATTCTTGATGGGCATGGGCTGCATGGCGGCGATGTGGATTCAGGTATCCTTGCAGAACGTGCAATCAATCAGGCAGAGAAGGACCGTGCCAATGCGAAGCGTGATGCTATTGCAACTCAGATGTGGGAGGATTACCAGGCACTTCTACAGGAAAGGGAGGGACTTGGAGAGGGGATGATGGACATGTAATTTAGGCATCTACAGTGTTCCAGCCAACTGCCTGTCTACCCATTTCCTACGCACAGCACGATCCTTGATCTGAACGTACAAATCTGCAGCACTCGCATCCTTCCGAAAGACGTCCAGCAGAGACACCATCTCATCCGCATCCAGCCCTTCCTCCTCCTGCGCGAGTTTGAAAGCACGGGCCTTGCGGCTCGGAGTCGACTGGCTGCTCATGTCAGGGGCCATGACAGTGCGTACCATCTCGTTGAATACACCAAATTCCTCGTGGAGACTGTTGAGGGCCGCGGCTTGCCCAGGCCCTCGCATACGCTTCGAGCTCTGGGTCGACGTAGATGACGACGCAGGGGCCTTGCGCTTCGGTGGTGGTGGCGGAGTCGCAGGAAGCTCAAGGTGCTCCGTGTCCTCTATGGCCTCGGCTACCGGAGTGCTGTGACGAGCTGCATTAGCCTCACCATCATCACTCGGTTCTGGCGTCGAGCGATCCACCGTGGCATCGCGAGAGGCTCCCGCATCTGCCGAGCGTCCTGACATCTGCGTGGCTGGATGGAAGGCATGGGTACCCTTCACTTTCGATGGCATGAGCTCCTTCATATCCTCGAAGTGCGGCCACCCCTTGTTGCGAAAGGGCTCAGCCTCGGGGTGCTTCTACATGCCATTCTATATCAGCCATATCCATGCGAGCACACACAGTACCCACCTCGACATAAGCCTGCCACACAGCCTCACTATCCTCGTCTATCGCGGCACCATTCTCATTGTCCCAATGGAACCCGGATTGCACCGAGAGGTCGTACACGACCTTGTAGGTCTCGCGCAGCTACCACCCATCTCAGTATCGAAGCCACACAGAAATAGAAGGCATACCTTGGCATACTTGTTTCGGCAAGACGTCCATGTCTTCACGGCCCCTTTCGTCCGGCATTTCTCCAGCTCGCCAGAAGCCTTCTTGAAGGTCGGTGCCTTGAAGTTCCCGCCATCCCCAGCCTCGGCCTTGTGTTCCTTCAAGACCTGCAGGAAGGTGGAGACATCGGCATCAGTCCAGTGGGCCTTCTCGCCCATGATGCGCAGTGTGAGAGTCGCAGCCTGTGCGAGTCGCAGTACAGAGACGAAGACGGCGAAGACGGCGTCGATCCCCAACATCGCCAGCTTGCTGTCACACGGTGTCACACCCTCGGGTTTCCCCGAGTGGCTGACGCTGGCGAGCAAGCGAACGTCTCCGGCTTACCGAACAGGCCCTAATGGGCCAGCAGCCTGCCAGGACTGTACGATCATACTGTTCAATTGATTGCGTCCTCGGGGTGCCACGTGCGATGACTGCCCTCAGACACGATCCGCACGGAGAACAAACCTACTACAGCGCTGGATCTCAGTACCCCAGATTTATACGACCAACGCTCACGTCAAAAGAAAAAACGGCTGCGAAGCCCAGATGGTCTCCTACGGCATCGTGAGTACCTTCCACGGTAAACTCGATGACGCTTGATGAGCTTTCGAAGCCGGAGATCCATCACTTACATATATGGTGCAACGTCGGCACTGTTGACACTTGTGGGTCCACCTTTTGTCGCTTCGCAGGATGCACCGCAGACGATTCAGGCAGTCGCCACGTTCCAGCGACAGGCACGAGAGCACTCCGATCCAGCGGAAAGGGGGTGCATTGCGTATGGTACGATACTGGGACGAGGAGAAAAACGCAAATGAGCGGCAGTGGAATGTCCTAGAGCTACAAGGATTAATAAGATAACGTTACGGTATGGCACGATACCACCAGTGAGCAAGCAATCAGTCGACGTCTTCCATACCGCCGAAGCGCGGTCCTGAGAACACGTCTTGCAACAGGTCAATTGTGTGAGGAGATGGCAGTGGAGGGGTCGGTCCGGCCGACGGAGGAACGGGAGGAACCATTGTCGAAGGCCCAGCGACGGGTGCCGCGTTTGCGTCGGCTCTGGCTTCTCTATGCTTCGTCGTCGTACGCATGCTGTGGACCCTCTTTCGCTGCGTCTTGACGAACTGCATCAGCGCGTCAAGCGCATCGCAGACGTGGTGCTTGCTCGGCTTGTCCGCTAGCCTGTCTGACAGTTAGCAGCGAACCCGCGTGTTCTGAGAGGCCATGCTCACCTGCCAACCATCTCGTCCACGATGTCGCCCGCACGGACAAATGGCATCATGTCCAGAATGTCCTTGCACACCTTGACCAGCTGCATCGGTCCACCCACAACCAGGGGCGCAGTCTCCACCCAGCCCTCGAAGCGCTGCTTCAGTCTCGGCCTGAACTCCTCGCGCAAGTCCTCGAGGTCCGGGTCGTTCGGATCCAGGTCAAGGTAGCCTAGGGGATCCGCATCCTCCGACGGGTCCATGCCAGGCACGAGCGGCAAGCCCATCATCATCGCCGCGAACGCCATTGGGTTCGGCGCGTTCGTCCCCGGGGTGGAGATCGCGTCCACCCACGCCTCGATCCGGTCCTGCCTCCCCGCCGCTCCTGGCCGCATTTTCGAGATCGCTAGCACCTCCGCCCGGTGCGCGGGCGCGTCGAGGTGCGAGAACGAGACCAGAAGCGTGTTCCGCAGCGCCCGCGCCGTGTCGAGCATCTCCTTCTCCATGATCTCCAGCGCGCGCCGCTTGTATGGCTCATGCTGCGCTAGCACCGTTACGGCGCGCTGCAGTGCGCTCGCGTCGCGCGGGCGGAGCAGATGTGAGTGTGTCTCCAGCGCCCTGGCAATCTCGTTCGGAAAGCATTCGAACGCCCAGATGTCGAGCGCGGCCGCGAACGCGTCAGACGAGCTTGTCGCGATGCCCTCCAGGTAGCGGCCCAACTCCTCATGCGTGGTGTCCTCGACGGAGAATTCGGAAGACAGTGCGGTGAGTGCGCGGTAGAGCTGGAGTGACGGTGTTAGCTTGAAAACGCTTGCCAGATAGGCTTGTATGTGACTCCGTAGCGGAGGCATGGCGTTGCTGATGCGGTACGACCAGTGCCGCGCGGGGTGTGGCCCAGTCAGTGTATCCTCGACAAAGTCCGATTCCGTGTAGTCGTCCTCGTCCTCGAACTCATCGAAGAACTCGTCCTCCTCGTCCTCCTCTTCATCGATGTCGTGTGGACCTAGACTGATCATGAGCTATTTATGCACGCGCATGCGTGCCCCGCTCACATTTCTTCCCGCCATACAGGATGCGCTCCAATGCCGTCCAGCCCAGCAGGTCGTCGATCTCCTCCAGCATGTCCGTGATGTCCTGTAGCTGCTTGTTCGTGTTTGTCGCCAGCATGCTCAGGAAGACCTCTCGCCAGATGAAGAACAGCACCTCCACGATGTTCTGGACGCCGTTGACATCCCAGGACTTGACGCGCTTCCCGTCTTTGTTCTTCAGCGTGACGTTCACGAACAGGTTGGTGAACGCGCACTTGCAGCTGCACCGGACGTCGCGTCATCGGCCGTCAGATACGAGCTTCGCGTACGCACCTCGTTCGCCCGCTGATCATATGGTCTATTGTTCCCGCGACGAACAGGAGGCACTTGTGCGCGTGCACGAACTCGACGTTGTGCTCGTAGACCACTCGCCAGATGTCGCTCAGCCAGTTCGTCAGGCTGTCCACCGTCTCGCTGATGAGCTCCTTCTTCATAGATCGCTCCTTCACGAACGACCGCTTCGAGTCTCGATGTAGCTCGTCTAGCAGGGCGTTGACTTCTAGCCGCTTCGCCCTGAGATCAAGAACGGGGATGTCGGCGTGCATTGTCTGGAGGTCGCCCGCTTGTCCAAGGACCTTCTTCCACTGACTCCGGTCGACATGATTGAGCAGCGGTATGAGTTGTTTCTCGATGAGAGTCTGTTGCGCGTCGGGTGGCAAGCTATCGTACACCGCCTTAAACCTGGTCCAAGAGCGCCTTCAATACACGGCTCAAGAGTTATTTGAACATGAATACATACCTCGCGCTGGGCAACTTGACTGACATGGCTGTGAATGAACAAGTGAATGAAGGTATGTATGCAAGCCGTATGCAAGTACAGAGCAGAGTACAATAAACAGAAACGGATGTACGCGTTGTGATGAGTGCTTTCGGAGATTCAAGTTTGTCTTACAATCAGTACAAGCTGAACAAGGCAGGTTCAAACTCAGAAGACGCAATCAATACAATCGTAAACCGTATCGGGGCTGGATCTCGGCCGAGTTAGGCTACTCAGTACTGGTCGACTGGTTTGATGCTCTCGCGCGAGCTTCAAGGATGCATTTTAGCTCATCGCGTAAGCTGTGCCTCTACAGGAATCTACATCTATAGATTTTCCGCAATAATGCTCCGAAGTGGAGGGTCGCCGTTCAAGGTGTGACAAACGCGTCGTCACAGCGTGACGGAGCGTGTCGCGTCACCAGCGCGGAGCGCGTTCGCGTGCCGCCTCCTCGCCAACTCCTCGCCCTCATTCTCCACGCGAACCATATATTCACGCTTCGGACTCTGCCAACCACAACTCACCACGAATGGCGGGGACCAAGACGAAGCTTTCTGCGAAGCCGCAGGGGAAGGACATCCGGGGATTCTTTACTGGTGGTGGCGCAGGTAGTAGCAAGTCGGCTGGTAGTTCCATGTCGACTCAACGGTCAAATGCTTCTGTGAGTTTCCATCCCACTGTTTTTCAGCCAACCCTCTAGGGTGGGGGCTGTGTCCGCGCTTGTATTGCTTGAGCAGCAGATCCGGTCGCTCATCCGTTCTAGCAACCCCTCCAATAGGGTGAGGCCACAGATAGACCTTGCTTGCACTGGCACATTGATGTATACGAAGAATCGATGGCAAAGCTGTTGTCATTTGTGCTGGATATTGACCAATATGTTGTCTACAGCTGAGACAAAGTGGATCCTTCAAATTAGAAACCATCGAGATCAGTACGTTGCCTGTATTCGCGATTTCGTTCTATTCTAACTGTGTCTGTAGGTGACGAAGACGATGTCAAGTGAGTGCTATAAAGTTCTATATCATGCATCCCTCTGAACATGAGTAGGTCAAGCAGCAAGCCTTCCGTCCCGTAGGTCAAGAACTCTTGAGTGTGGTTCTTGCGATTGACACCTTCCCTTCTAGACCGAAGACTATATCGAAACAAGCTGTAAGTCATTTGGCAACTATTATCACCCACTGCTGATAGAATATCTCAGAAGCCGAAAAGCGAACGTGCCATGGGCGAGGATGTTACATCTAGCCCCGCCCCTACTCTTAAGCGCAAGAAGACAGTCGTCGTATCGAGCGACGAAGAGGATGAAGAGGACACGAAAGCCTCTCCGCCAAGGAAGAAACAGGCCGTAGTCACATCGTCCTCGTCCAAGGCCAAGGCCAAGGCGACTTCCAGTACTCCGGCGTCGAAACCTACGCCCAAGGCCAAGGAGCCCGCTGCGCGCCGGGCAAGTACCGCCACCAAGAAGCATAAGCAAGACGACGACTTCATTGCATCCACCTCCGAGGAGGAAGATGACGACTACCAAGACACTGAAGCCGATGAGTTGCCGAAGAAAGGGCAGGCGAAGGGCAAGCCTGTCCCCAAGAAGGCACCTCCCAAGAAGGCTGCTCCTGCGAAGAAGGCGACACCGGCCAAGGCCCAAGCCGAAAAATTGGCGAACACCAAAGCTAAAGCTGTAGCTAAGGAAGAACCGGTGGAGGTCGATGAAGAGAAGCCGAAGCCCAAATTCAAGTGCGTTCTGCCGACCTTCGTTTCGTCCATCTCTGATGCATTGTGACCACAGCTGGGCGGCCGCGAGAGCGGCCAAAGCAGCAGGGCCTGTGGCTCCAGGATCGAAGCCAATACCGACCCCTGTGGCACCGGACTGCCTTGCTGGCCTGTCGTTCGTGTTCACCGGCGAGCTGACCAGTCTATCTCGCGATGAGGCCATCGAACTCGCGAAGCGCAACGGCGGGTACGTTGCATGTACAAGTGTGATTTTGCCTAGTGACCTCACAGCGTTCTCAGTCGGGTAACGGGCCAGCCCTCGTCGAAAACTTCATATGTCGTTGTCGGGTCGGACGCAGGGCCCAGCAAGCTTGCTGCGATCAAGAAGAACAACTTAAAGACAATCGACGAGGACGGCTTTCTTGATCTGATCGGGACTCGTGTGCCCGATATGCGCAATCTGGACGACAAGACAAAGAAGAAACTCGAGAAGGAGAAGGAAGCGATCCGAACTGCTGCAGCGGAGATGGAGAAGCGGGAGAAGAAGGCGGCGAAAGCGAGCGTGGCCAGCGGGAGCACAGCTAAGATCTCCGCGCAGGACAAACTCTGGACAGACCGGTATGCTCCTCAGACATTGAAGGAAATCTGCGGAAACAAGGGCCAGGTCGAGAAGCTGCAGCGGTGGCTGCATGACTGGTAAGCTGCTGTTCATCCGTTGCACTTATATCCACGTTGGCTGACGCATGTAGGCCATCGAGTCTGAAGGCAAACTTCAAGAAGCCTGGAAAGGACGGCATAAACGTCTACCGAGCAATTATGATCACCGGCTCGCCGGGTATCGGTAAGACTACGAGTGCGCATTTGTGTGCTAAACTTGAGGGATTTACTCCCATTGAGTTGAACGCAAGTGACGCTCGGAGTAAGAAGCTTGTAGAGGTCAGCTCGCTCCTCTCTTACACATAGTACAACGCATGACCAAAGTCAATTTGCAGAACAGCACAAATATTGCAAATACATCCCTTGACGGATGGATGGGAGGTGGACAGGTTCGTCTTACGAATGTTGCTGCCGCTACGTTACTTTGCTCACTGACATGGCCATAGTTGACAAACGCTGCTGGCGTCACTATCACCGACAAGTCCTGCCTTATCATGGATGAAGTAGATGGTATGTCCGCTGGGGACCGAGGAGGTGTAGGTGCTCTAGCTGCTTTGATTAGGAAGACAAAGGTTCGTGTGCTGTTGTACGCAGATATGCCTTCTAACGCAAGACATGAGAGTAGATTCCGATCCTATGCATTGCAAACGACCGAGGCGCTCCAAAACTCAAGCCTTTGACCATGGTCGCCTTCAACTTGACGTTCAGAAAGTCAGTTCAAAGTTCCCTGCACGAAGCATCGCGTCTCACCTTGATGTTAGGCCAGAGGTTGCATCCGTCCGCTCCAGGATATTGTCGATCGCATTCAAGTAAGTGAATGCGCGCTTGAGCTTGATTGGCGACCATATGAAATGAGTGAATCTAATCGTTTCCAGGGAGAAGATGAAGATACCGGCCAATGTTATCGACCAGCTCATTGAGGGCGCACAGTCCGACATTCGACAGGTGTTGAACATGCTATCTACATGGAGGTTGCAAAACGATACGATGGACTTCGATGAGGGAAAGGCACTGTGAGTCGCAATCTGGCATGCGTGTGACGTTCAGGCGATGACGTCCGGACTGGTAGTGTCAAGATGAATGAGAAGTATGCGATCATGACGCCGTTCAACATTATTCAGAAGATGCTCGGGCCGTACATGTTTTCCTCAACTTCAAGAGAAACTCTCAATGATAAGATGGAGCTCTACTTCCATGACCACTCATTCGTCCCGCTATTCGTCCAGGTTGGTGTTGTTTGATTGTTGTGCGTCAATCATGCCGAATGTGGTGCAGGAGAATTACTTGAAGACTCACCCGGCAAGAGTGAAGAACCTGGACGGGCCAGAGAAGGTTCTAAAACACCTGGAACTCATGGATAAAGCTGCTGCGTCCATATCAGATGGTGATCTGGTTGACTCGTTGATACATGGGTACGTCAGCGATGGTCATTCTTGCCTAGAGTAATGCTGATCTGCCGCCGCAGACCCGAACAGCACTGGTCGCTGATGCCATTGCATGCTGTCTGCTCGACAGTCCGCCCGGCATCGTTCCTCTACGGTATGGGTGCGACATACGGAGGGCCCAACGCTATGTCGTTCCCACAGTACGTCTCATGTTGTCTCGCTGGTACGCATGCATACTAAGGGTTGTCGCAGGTGGCTCGGGCAGAACTCAAAACAAACCAAACTTACGCGACAACTCACTGAGGTCCAGGCGCGCATGCGGTTGCACGTCTCTGGAGACAAGGCTGAGATCCGGCAGTCTTACATCCCTGCGATGTTCCCTTACCTCGTGAAACCTCTTGCAGAACAGGGCGCGGTACGTATCAGATGGGCTCACGTTGGATCCAAGACCAAACTGATGCGACTATCGCGAATGTGCAGAGCGCAGTGGACGACATCGTTGAGCGGATGGATGACTATTTCATCTCTCGGGAGGATTGGGACACGATCGTGGAGCTTGGTGTCGATCAGAATAAGGACAGTCTTGTGCTCAAGGAAATATCGACAGCTACCAAGACCTCTTTCACTAAGAAGTACGTATCGACGAGGAGACTGAGTCACCGCTTGCTCACTTGATGTAGGTACAACTCGAGGGATCATCCAATCCCCTTCCACAAGGCCGCAGACCTAGGCAAGGTGCCCAAGAAGCTTGCCGCAGCTGGACCCCTCCCTGATCTGGAAGAGGCCTTAGATGTAAGTGGCCCTTAATCCGGCGGATCCTGTGCTGAGACATGACTTAGGTGGATGATGACGGGGAGGGTGTTGCCGAGGAGGTCGAAGAGGCTTCCGACGATGATGTCTCAAAGGACAAACTCATCAAGGCACCCAAGAAAGCGGCCGCTAAGTCGGCAACCACGGCCAAGGGGAAAGCTAAGGCCAAGAAGTGATTGTATATGTATCTGTCTCCATCCAGTGTATCGTAGTACTATAAGCTTGTTTAGTGTCTTGCTTTTTGGTGTAATGATCGTGTTTGACTGAAACTTCCATGGGTATCGGTGCTCGATATAAGTCGGGTATATAGTGAAGAACCCGGTTTGTCCGTTGCGTCCTCGAATCTGTGTCGCAGTCATGAGTACAACTTCACAGCATAACTGCAGTGATGGTTGCTCCTATACTCGCAGATACCAGCCACCGGGCGGTCCACTTGTTTGCCCCGCTCTCCTCAGCGGACACAGACGAAGATTTGTTCAGTGAGATGGGGACGGTCTGCACAGCTGCACCGTTCGCGGGAAGCGTTCCTTCGTAAAAGCCGAGTGTACTGGTCGCGTTGGTCACGTTGCCCGACCCGCCGCACGCACCGACGAAATCACCGTACAGCGCCTCCCTCTGGCTCACGAACGACACGAAGCTGTCCAAGGAACACGAATCCTCCGGCCCATCGGTGCATCCTGGCAGCGGTATCTGCGCGGCATTAACGAGTACCCGGACGAAATCGGTGTTGCTGCTGTTCCCGGTCGCGGTTGCATTGCATTGGAGGCGCTCGAGCCCGATGTTTGCGAGGAAGGGCAAGATGTTGGAGGTGCGCCATGCCCGGTCGTAGTTGATCGAGTCGGCCGGCATACTTGCGTTCGTCGTGTTGAACAACCCGAGATTGGTGACAATGAAGGGTGGCTCTGCCAATCAATCAAATTAGGGCTGCACGCATCGTTTTCGCAGATGTCAGATACGGACCTTCACGGTGTGTGAAGCTTATAAACAATTGCTGATCACCAGCGCTCGAGTTCGTGGCCGAAGTGTTCGCGCTCCCAGAGAGCAGGCGAGTCGACGCGGAGACCCAAGGCATGCCGAGCACGGGCGCGAGCTCGTTGCCATACCCAAGCGAACGGTGGTACATCAAGTCGTTCGCGTACTCGTAGCCGAGCCACTCGCTCTCGCTGAAGAGGTCCAAGTTGCAGAACCCGGAGAGGGTCATGTTTCGGATGACGGTGTCGTAGCCACAAAGCGATTGAGCGGCAAACACGTCGCTCGCAGTCCAGTTGAATGAGGAGCTGACGAGTCCATTGAGTCGCGCGACGATCGTTGGTGCGTAGGTGTTGATGAAGGTCATCTTCTCGACTGATCCTCTGTTAGCGTCGAAAGCCTCGCAAGATTGCTGTCAGGTGCGTCAGGTCAGAGATTGTAGTGAACTAGGAGTAGCAAAAGACAAACATGCGGAGTCAATGTATTCGCAAACTGGCTCTCGCCCTGATCCACAATGACAAGGGTTGCTTTATCCATGGATGCATTGAAACCCTGGATAAATGCCTTGGACGTCTTCTGAATAACGGCGTCAGCCGTGTAAACATACTGCTGTTACATATGGCGCAAACCTGATCACGCGTTGCCGATGCGCTCCAAAACTTCCAGGAATCCTCGTTCTTGAACCCAAGGATACTGTTATACCTCTGAGCGAAGATTGCCCCAAGAGCGGCGGCATCCTGCTTGCCAGTCTTGGTCACCTTTTCGATCTCTTTATCAGGATCGTCAATCGGACTTGTCCAATTGGTGAGGAAAGACAACGATGAGTCGTCCGAGAACGCATGTCTGTCAGAGAAGTTCCCCAGCTTGTAAAGAAAGGGTGCGATGGTATGCTCGTATTCGTACTACGGAAGCTGCTCAGCAATTGTCAGCAGCATGAGATTGGCGGCAACGAACGTCATTCGCGTAGATGTCTGAATGCCGAACGAGATATGTTGCGTGCATTACAGAACACCCAACCGGCAGCGCTGCGGTTAGTCCCACCCCAGGTGAGTTGAAGTATGGCGAGTTTCCGGACAAGTCTGTAAGCCACCAGTCAGTCCAGATGCATCAGAACTCAATTGGCCGTGCCTACGCTGCAAGACGTCAAAAGTATCATTGCCAATCACTTCTCGAGGTTGATGTGCTGGGTGGGCATCCTTGACGAACTCGGCGCGTACCTCCAGCTCGCTCCGCGGGAGCCCGACTGCAAAGGGGAGCCCTGTGAACAGCGCGAGCAACACCTTCATATGCATGGTTGTAGTCAACGCGGCGTTCACGGGTCGTCAGCCTCGCTAAGGCCAGCTCGCGTCGTGCTTTTGCTATGCAAGCAGGCGGCTGGCCAGACCGTCATGCCAAGGTCGGCCAAGCTGTTACCCCACGCGGTCGGCGGGGCGAATGCTGCATGCTCAGTCCGAAGCATATTAGTTGGTCGTCAAAGCCGAACAGCAGCCAAACGAATGTGTTGCAGAACTTCCCTCTGGCGTCGGCATTTGCAGTGTAACTCTGGAGACATCGTTGCCAGTCCAGCCTGAGTGTCTCGCGCAGTGTGCTGCCGCAATGGTGATCAACCGGAGTCAAAAATACGGTCTGGCAGTGCTGCCCACTAGTAGGGCATAGTGGCAATGGCAGCTTCCTGCGATGCTACCAAGATGCTACATAACGATAGTCCGGGTGAGTATGAACGCGTTGCGGCTTGCGCCTACATACTAACTACGCCGTGCAGACTGGAGGAGGAGGAGGAGGGTGGGTCCATTTGTGACAAATTTACGCACAGAAATTTAGCGGTTCCCGCTGACGGGCCGCGGCGGACTGCAGATCATATCATCATGAGCGTCTCAGTGACCCTCTCCTGGAATCACATCCACTGTGGCTGTCCACAGGCCGTCGGCCCCTCATGATCAATGCTTTTGTTGTTGCAACGGCCGACCTCCACTGGCATATGTCTTGGGGCCCCTTCAGTCTCTTCGCTCGACGACTCGGAGGAGGTTCACATTCTTGACTCATTTCCTCTTTCAAGGTCTTAAGCTTCCGAGTCCTTCCGCGCTGACAACTACCTATCGCGCTTGCGTAGGCTGGGTCGCCACTATTACTAGTAGACTCGCTACCAGGTTGGTCTCCTACGTATGCTTCTCTGGTAATTGGATCTGAATAGGATTGAACTTCTTCCAGAACACGCGTTGTAGCGTCTTACCTTGGCCCTATCCTCCCAAGGCTCTGTCGAATCATGCCTGTCAATTCAGAACCTGTAGTCCCTGCCGAACTCTGCGATACCGTCATCGACCATCTTCACGATGATCCTCGCACCCTCGCAGCGTGCGCGCTCGTCTGTCGAGCATGGGTCCCCTCTTCACGGATGCACCAATTTCACACCGTCATCCTCCACCGGTTCCCCGGCTGGCGAGGCCGACGACTCTCGCTCATTTCCGACCCGTCATCGACGGTCCTCCCATACATACGTCGCCTTGCACTTGGAGAAGGCAGACGGCGCGGATCTGAGCCATATTGGCTTGACGAAGCGTTGCTCGAGATTCGCGTCGATGATCTAGTAGCACTAGAGTATCTAGAGCTCATCGACCTCAATTGGGAAATGCTCTCGTTGGAGTCGGTCAGACGCCTCCATATGCTATGCCATCGACCTCAAAGTGTGGCTGTGCGGCTCTCTTTCATTCCCAGTCTCTGCTCCCTGCTCGACCTACTCCAAGCATGCGACTCAGCCCACAAGTTCGTCGCCGACGGAAACGACGATGTACATGAGCTCGCAGCCATGCCTGCTTCGTTGACCATGCCACAACACCTACACACCCTGGAAGTCAACGGCTTCATGGCCCATTTCACTCATGCCCTCTGCCGCCTTGCACCGAAGCATGACAACATCCGTACGGTCTACATTCCATCTATCTTCATCGGACAGGCTGCCGGGATCGCCCGCTTCATGCAATGGTGTGGCTCAACCGTCGAGGAGATCAGTCTAGACTTCCCGGATCCACGCACCAGGCGGGATGATTCTGAGCTCCAGGAAGGTAGAGGCTGCGTCTCGTAGACAAGCTCTCCCACTGACAATCTTACCAGCTCCATTCTGCGACGCCGGAGGATTGAAGGACAACACATCGCTCCGCGTCATCAACCTCATTGGTGCTCCCTCAGGCCTGCTGTCAATTCTCAGGCAGGTCAGCTCCGAGGTCGTTGAGCAGGTCAGCATCGACACCGCTCCTGGCGCCCTGAGCGATCTCGATTTCGACGGGCTCGCTGCCCTCTTCTCAAGAGGCGTCTTCGCATCGGCGAAGCTCCGCATACTTGGCTCGGACATACCCGTGCAGCCCCTGATAGAGATGCGGGACGAGGTGTACGATAAGCTGAGTGCTCTGCGGGAGCAGGGGCGACTCGTATTCGAGCGGGCTGGTGGGTATGCCATGGACCCCTCTACGCCTCCCGTTAATGAGGCGAAGTGGGGTCCTCCATTTGTCGTGAACGATATGCTATTGGATCATTATCACCCAGGCAGCTCGACGTCCTAGAACGTTGGTAAGCCTGGGGTAGAATTCCATGCATCCCAAAACTAAATACATTGTCAGTGTATTGCTGATGAGGCCACGAATTTATAATTTATTGTAACATGCGCGACCAGGCCTATTGTACAGGCTTATGTCGTAAACCCCTGCGCGCGTTGACGGTCTGATGGCGCTGAACTGCCTTGAGCTCTTCAATAAAAGTTGTCGCTGAGAATGTGGAGCGCCTTATGTTATGGTCACGGTTTCAATCCGGTGAGTGAAGCACCAACCTTCTGTCCAAACTGCTGCTGCCTGCAGGCTTGTCGATCCATGAGAACGTCGGTCGTATATATATAGCGCCCTCGATTTGCAGTTGGCTAACAGGCTGTCAAGGGCCAGAATCCTGCTGGTTTCACGGCGACGCCACCGAACTTAGCCATTCTGGAGGGCGAGTCCTTCATGTCGAGCGTCGTGGCCACAAGTAAGTACAACATACCTATGCACAACTTGGATTACCGATATGTATCCAAGGAAAGCGAGTGAAACCGCCTGACGGAGGTGCGGGCCCAGTGTCAAGAAAATACCTCCGAGTTGACATTAGGTCTTCAAGGATCTGCGACGCTTGCGAACTGGGCAAAAGCTGTGCGTGGTTGAAAGGTTAGTGTCCCACTGGCACTTCCTTCTTTGACGGTGCTCCGACTCCGAGAGGGTTTCGGAAACGCCGCCGGTGGTCTGGATCTCATCACGACAATTCGCGATAACAACCTCACCAGGGAGCCTTCGCATCTGCTTCCAGTTGTGAGGCAGGCGAGTCCGAGGTCGTGGAACGCGTCAGCATCGACACCGCCTCCTGGGCCTTCGACGCTCTCGCGTCGGCAAGACTACGCGTACGACCCTCCGATATCGACGTGCTGTCGATAGGAAGGAAGAAGTTGAGTATTGATCTTCAGGAGCAGGAACGGCTCGGATTTGAGCGTACTGGCGGATATCCGATGAATTGGGACCCTCTTTTGACGAGGCGAAGTCGATTGGTACCCTGCTTACTCATCCACGACATCGGTGAGATCATGCCATGATCTCAACATCTAGGCCAGCGCTGTGCAGAACAATCGCATCGAGTAGGCTGGATCCTGCTCTAGGACTGGTTGCAGCGACTCACCGCATGCAGTGTGGATACGGTCGCATAGTGAAACCTGAGTATGCGGGATATCACAGAGCCTCACGTCCTTGCGACAGACGACTCGGAGGCTGCTGTGCAATCACGGTGGTATGATGATGATGGCCTAGAAGGCGGCTGCTGCACTTTCAGAGAGACATGTCCTCTCGTGAACACTGCACATTCGCTGTGGTTGCAACCCTGTGACCTGTTGGACTTGCTTCTACCATACTCACTGCAGAGTGTTAAACGACGTTATCAGCCACTGAAACCACAATGAGTACGAGTAGGCGGAATACAAATAACGCGGCGAGTCCTCGATCCGCGAACATGTCAACGTTATGTCAAACAACAGAACATGAATGCCGTGTTGCTCGCCGGCGACGAGATCCTGGGCAACAATTCCGCGATCATTGATACTTATCGGAACCACCTTGATTGCTGGCGATGCCAGTGACCTGCCCAACTTGAGCGTCCATCCTTCGTCCTTGCGAGTCCTCCGATCCGACGCAGAGGCCAGGCCAGTGGCCGTCTAGTGCATTCTTGATACACCCGCGCCCCAAACGATGTGGCACAGTTGTTCCCTTGTTCAAGCGTCCTCTCGGGATACGGGCGTGCAATCAGTAGTGTGAGCGACCTGGGCAAGTACCGAGGAAATGGCAAATACGATAGGATTGCCAACGGCCGTATGCACGAATGGAGAATCGTGGCACCTAGAACAACACACTGCGAGACAATTGCCATTGGTAGTATGACTTCGACGGTCTCCAAACGGTGCTGATTGCGTACCAGTGCAATTTGCGTGATGAAGACCAACTTATGAAGACACTCAGGTAGTCACTACTAGCGCCGTCCCTGTTTAACAATCATTTGAGCCACAGACGGCTGGATGGTCTGACGTAGAGCTTTCCAGCAGGGTGCAGTACATACAAGGATCACTTCAATCTGCTTGGTTCGTGAGGGGGACCACGCCCGGGTCTCATGTCCGAATATCCGAGTCGAGACTACTTGCGTCCTAGAGGCCGGTACCGGTATTGATGGAGGTGTTGTCACTGTCAGATGCTTGACATGAAACTCTCACACAAATATGTGCGTTCAGTTTCGCAAGTGGTTTCTTTCACCGTTGGCAATGTGAACGGCATCGCGGTATGCACTCGAAAACAGCCGAGAAATGGGAGTTGCAATGAGCAAGACAACAGAATGAGGAAGATGAACGCCAGGGCGAAAGGCAGAGTCGACAACAAGCGCATCAAATTGACCGCTGGCCGAGCGACCCGGTCTGGCCGTCTTTGGCAGTCCATCAAATGTTCGATGCGCCCTAGCGATCATATCAAGGCTGTGCGTTCTGCCGTCAGGCCGTGCGGTGTCAAGTAGAGGGGCGGGACGTGTTTCGCAGCGAGGCATTCCTCTTCGTCTCTTCCTCTTCATTCGCCTTTGCCTCTTTTTCTTACGGATTTTCTACATTTTATCGTCATGGCCCAACAGTTCGACAGTCGTCTTGACATGCGGGTACCGGGTGCCCATGCTCGTCGCGGAGCAAAATTCGCGCGCTCACTGAGCGCATCACCCACGTCGGGGACGGTGGGCGTCGAGACGTCGGTTCCCAGCATCACCGCTCGCTCGCACGGGGACGAGCTCACAAAGGGGGAGAAGGCGGGTGTGGTCGTGTGTGTAATTCTATTCTTTGCCATCCTCGGTGAGTACTTTCGACGTGCTTCTTGATAGACAACCTGAGATGGATCGTCCTTCGTGATAGGCCTCGTTGCATGGAGGGTAGGCAAGTGGCGCCGTCGGAAGGCCCTCATGAAGGCAGCGTCCGCCCATGTCAACGTCTCGTTTGCTGACCAGAAGCACGGCGAGAAGACGGCCTTCTACATCGACTTCGACAAGGTCGGCCAGCAGATGGAGAAGCCGCCGATGAAGGTGACCATGCCCACCACGCCCGCTGCGAGCATGAAGCGGACGTCGACAAAGGGACCGTGGACGCACATCATCCCCGGTGCGCTGCCCTCAGGAAAGAACAACTACCTTTTCGCCCAGATCTCGGCACGCCCACGTGACGAACCATTCAGCGATTCTCCTCCACCCTCGTACGTCGCAGCAAGTAGTGCGAAACGTGTGGGTCCGCCTACACTCGCCATTCCTCCCAGGCCAGACTCTGCCAACGCCGTGGTTCCGAGCCCCCGCTCATCCTCGTTCGGACCAGACTCCCCTCTGTACAAGACGCCCGGCAAGGACTTGAAACACAAATCTTTCCTCGGCAGCAAGCCCCTGCCGCGCGTCATGTTTGTGCAGAGCACCTTCAAGCCTTCCCTCGCGGATGAGCTTCCCATCAAGGTCGGCGAGAAGCTCAAGATGCTGGAGGAGTACGAGGACGAGTGGTGCCTTGTCCAGCGCATTGGGGGCGACGTGCAGAAGGGTGTCGTCCCGCGCTTCTGCCTCCGCGAGCAGTCATGAGCATACCTCCCCGTCACACCCGGACCTGCATGTTTGTAACGATCGATCACGAAGCCCCGCGACGCCATACGACGCATCGACGCCCCACCGCATTGTGCACTGCGACAGTTCTACCTTAACTGGCCATTCTTTTGTACCCCTTGCCTTGACTTTATATTTATCGTACTAGTCTTTCGTGAGTTCTCCGCTTGTATCTGAGTCTTCCTAACGCTGATCGCAGTTTGCTTCCCAGGTCGCACTTGCCGTGACATTACGACTATTTATAGTGCTTTGTTCTTCGTGAGTGCGGTGACTGTCCTCTCGCTTGCGTACCTGCCAGTCAGAGTCCATCCGCTCCTTTTGTAAATTATTGTCACGGACAGTGCTACGATGAACAACCCTGGACAATATACTCTATATGGCTGCGGGTCGAAGTGCTCGCCCGCTAGACTATATCACCGTGCAGTGTTACGAGTTTCATGTCCGTCGAGTGCATCGTCATCGCTGTGGTCTTCATTCTTCATTCCTTTCTAATGCGTTCATGGCACAAGGATTGGATGCTTTACATGCATGCACTATACGGCGGTGGGTATGTAAGGTAAGGTACGGAGTCGCGAAGAGCTACAACATAAAGCTACAATGCGACGAGGGGCCGGAAGGAATGCGGTCCGTTTGGCTAAGCTTATGTATGACATGACAAAGGTATCGCGACAAGACGTTGTCCACTCCTGGGTATTGATGGATGTAGCTACAAAAAGTGCGTGGGCGAGGCAGATCATGTTGACAGAGTACGAGAAATTTATGCTACTTCGAGTGCTACGATGCTTTATGTCAGTCTTTCCCCAATGCTCTAGACCGAACCAAGACTCACCATGCTACAGTGCAGAATACAAGCCAGTGCTGGGTGTGCCCGATGACATGATTCAGAGCTTGGGAGACAGCGTTCCGCGGCCCCTTCCGCCCTCGGCAGTCTGAAAGTCGCCTTTCTCTGAGTCGACCTCTCTCAGAGCCACACTGGCCAGCCCCATCCTCGGTGAGCTCAGCGCGTGGTCTGAAAGCCCTGTGAGCCCGAGGCCAAGGCCCACAGAGGATGGAGACAGGGCCTTCTCCCGCTCCCTCGGCTCCTCCATCGCATCCCGCCTCTCCCTTTCCGGAGCCCTCCCGCGCTCGCCCAAGAGGGGGTCCTCGAGTCTCCGCCGGTGCCCACGGGCATCATGATAGGAGCGGAACGTGCGGATAATCATTGCGAAACAAAGAAGTCCGAGGGCGAACACCGCTGTGATAGCCGTGCGTACGCCGATGGCCTGTGTGCGGGTCAAGGGAGCGGGGGGAGTCTGGTCTGACGCCGCGCCGGTTCGCCAGACGAAGGAGAGGATGGACACGCAGAAAGCAATCATGGACCATGCTAGCCAGATAGCAGGCGTCGCGAGCAAGACCCAGATGTTCCACAGGATGGAGGTCTTGGATCTCTGCGCTTCCTAGAAGATAAATTAGTATCGGAGCCTGCCGAATGCAGTACCCAAACGTACCTCCGCCCAGCGGGATGCTCTGTCCATAGTACGCATGGTTCCAAATTGTACGATGAAGACACATCCATAGATGAGACTCATGAGCGCGAAGATCAGGCCAAACAGCGCGGCTGAGCGTGTCAGTGGGTCGTCGTCCGCGTCGTTCACTTGAAACATCGTCAAGATCGCCCTGTATCAACAAGATTGCACAAATGTGAGTGGGTTATAGTCACTATTTGCACACGGAAGAAAAAGGGAAGAGCGGACCTCTTGCGAGGGGGTGCGGAGATGATCAATACGCACGTGCACAGAAGCGCAGACACCAAATTGAGCGTCTTCCACTCGCGGAGGAGGGAGTCCACGAACTGCTCCCATGAGTGTTTGAAGCGCACCAGTGCTGGTGAGACCGTTTCTGGGTTCCAGTCTTCGGGGAAGGGCAGGAGCACCGTGTGCGCATGAGGCGCGGAGCGGCCCCGCGACGCAGATTGATACAAAGTAGGGATGTGAAACGCGTTCGAGATCGACGCGTCGATCATGCGTCGAACGTCGGGCTTGCTGACCTCCGCATCTTCAAACACTCGAGCGACGCGCGACCAGTACAACGCGGGCAGCCCTAGTAGCAAGATGAGGTATGCCTGACGGGGAAGGCTGTCGCAAAGGAAGATTTGTGTATCGCTGGCGAGCGTGAACCAGCCGCTGTCCGACTCGGCCGACTTCTCTCCGGCCTTTGCACTCGCTGGTAAGGGAAGACACCCGAAGAGTCGATCGTTAGGATTGCTGTCTTCGTCATCCTTCCGTGCACTGGCGCATCTGCTACCTCTGTTGAACGCGCTCAAACGGAATGGATCCACAGGAATGAAGGGTTCCTCGCGAGTGTGGTGCCGATGTAGTGCCCATCCGAGTCGACGAAGAGGCGATGCAGCTCTGGATTGGGACGGGGATCGGGAGGTCGGTGTTTGCGTTTCCTTGCCGGGCCTCGGAGAAAGGTTGCGCAGATTGTGTATACGGAGGTCAGAGGGCTGCTGCGGTGTCTGCTTGGTACCGACAGAGCCCTCTCCTGACAAGGGAGATGGGGAGCGGGTTGCCGACTGGCTGCGACGATGAGGGCGTCTCGCCGCAATAGCTGTGTACGATACATTTATTCAAGCAACTCAGTGCATAGACTCGCTTTCGGGCGGCGACCTACTTACCTTGCCTAATACCTTGGAGAGTAGCTGGCAGAGACGTGTGGTCGCTCTCCAAAGATTGCCTCTGCCGCGTCGTCCCAACGCCAATGGAACCGTCCGATTCGCTGGCACGCGTGTAGGGTGGAACCTGATGCCGGCCTTGAGTACCGGCCGAGCCCGGCGAGTCGATAGAAGACAGTGAGCTAGACATATCCATGCTGCGACGGACAATACGGCTTGGCGAGCGCAGACGTCCAAGAGCAGGTGATGACTGAGTCGGTAGCGCCGACAGTTTGTCCGAGCTTGTCTGGTTTGACGAAGACGACTCAGACTCTGGTGTCCGCTCAGCCCTTGCTCGTCTACAACATTTAAGAAAACACTACCTTGCATCTGTGCGCCCTGCGAGGTACTGGATGATGGAAACGGTACTGAGCTCTGGCCAAGCTGGTGCGTCTGGGGATCGCTTGCAGACATATGGTGCCAGGAACACGTCGGTCTAAGGAGAGTGAATATTCGGGAGGAGGACTAGAGAGCGTAGAGAATGAGCGTGGGTGTCTCAGGCCAGCGTCGCCTTTATATGACTGTGCGCGACTAACGCAAGTGGGCGACTCGGACAGACCCCACCGAGCAGGTTCAACAGAGGTTACTAAATTGGGAAGACGGGGTTCGGCACGTGACATCTGTCCAACTCCGGCCATTCACGCCACAACGGCGCAATGGCACTGAGAATGTAGTTCGCTTTATGGGCATCTGCATTGCAATGAACGAAGTCCATCGCATGTAATATATGACATCCTATCATGCGGTGGTCATGCCACACTATGATGGCAGTTCTTTCAGTCGCAAAAACGATCCCGTGAAAGTATAGCTGTACCGACGCCCGGCGTCGGCCACCGGGACCGGCTGCACCGCACACACAACCACAGGCTGACCGTAGGTCACATAAGCCACAGTGACAGCTAGACATGTTACGGAATGCAGTGCCAATCTGCATACAGAGGCTATGACGGATTGGTGATGGAGGCATTGTTTTTGAGACTCACTTCATCTGGCGGCCATTATTCCACCTAATCTTCTGCATCAAGCTTGAGCTTCCATGCTTTAGTTCAGGGGTTTTGCCGGTTCCTCGACCAATAACAACGAGCAATGTCAATAAGTCTCCAGCCTAAGCACGAAGATGAACTCACGATGTTAGGCTATTTGGAATCAATGGTTCCATACCAAGCTGTCGAATTCAACGGAGACACGGAAGGATAACCCGAGCAGTGGCATCTGAAATATAGAGCAGGGGCCCAACCGTAGATGCACTGCCATACATGACGCGTTTGAGGTTGGCTCATCGGTGATGTGACGATGCACCGAGCCGCTGCCGCCGCGACATTGATGCCGGGGAAACGTCGCTCCGTGAAGAGGACAGGGCTGACAGTGCAGGCAATTAACCGAGACGAAGAGAATGCCTGTCTCGTGTCCGTCAATTAAATCGGATTAATAAACATAGACCGCGGAATTAGAGCGGCCCTAAGGGCACCATCGTAATTGCGACAATCTTGGACCAGATGTCGAAGCTCCGGCGGTCGATTGAAGCTTCGCGGATCTTAGGCGGGACCCATGCCTTCCGGACGTGCTTTGCAAATCGGCAGAAATAAAGACGTCGATGCAACGGGATCGGCGTGCACCGATCTCGTCGTAGATCGTGTCCGGAGCGATCGACGTACCACCGAGATGAGGACGTACCAAAGTAGTAACAGTAACACTGCGCCAGTGTTACTCCTTTGCCGTAACCAGTAAGACTCGACTCACCAGTGTTACTCGAGGAAGCCAGTGTTACCGAGGAAGCCAGTGTTACTAGGATCGCGGCGGGAGGCGGTGGCTTGGCGCGCGCACGCGCGTCTTCCCTTATTCGGTATCACTCCTTCTCTCATCCCGCAAGGCCGCGCGTGCCACTACCACTGAGGCTCAACATTGCTCGCGTTGACGGCGAGCTCATGAGGTGCGTCCTGATTTGTGTTGCAGTCTTAACACGGCTAATTGCCCATCAAACACATAGGTAGCATGTACATACAGTGGCGAGTCTCGCAGGCCAGCACTAGTATTACTAGGCTAGCACGACGGCAAACCACTGGCACCACGGCCTCATTGTTTTCACAAAGAGTAGTGGTCATGGCCACTCGGGTAATATATGTCTGTGGCCCACTGTTCTTGTACGCTTTGGCCGAACATTTTCGTATAAATACGGGCAATGCTGTCTGCCATCGGAATGGTGTTGCGTCTCATCTCGCCTTCTAAGTCTGTGCTCTCCGTCCCTTTATGATGGCGACTGTCTATGACAAGGATGACCCGGAGAGGCGTCGTCAATTCCGCCGCATACTCGACACTGTAGGCGAAGATGCAATACTGGCCTACCGTGATTCGGTGAGCGCTGTTGTTGATCAATGTGCGAGCACCTTACTGACTCGAAAGAACTAGACTCTCGGTGCCATTGAGGACGTTCTTCCTGTCCCTTTGGAGATGTTCAATGCTCGGAATGCGTTAGAGTGGCTAGACATCGACAACTTCAAGATCTGGGTCGTCGGCTACCTGCAGAGGACTCAGTCCCACGCACCATCGCAGCTCAGAACACCCCAGAGACGCACCCCGGCCCCGCGTCTCGTTGACGACTCGGAGACAGTTCAAAGACCTCGTCTGCGCCCGCTACAGCTCGGCTCCCCCGTCAAATCTCCTGCAAAGCATGTATCTCGGTAAGATAATTTGTCTTCTCTTACCGTGTTCGCGTTTTCACGAGACTTCCTCACTAGATTTGAACTTGACCCGGAACTTGAGCTGTGGCCACCAGATGATCTCGCTGTTGATGCAGCCTGGTCCGCGCCTATGATCCCGACCTGGGGAGATGCTGTCCTCGATTCTGAGCCTGATGGTCACGCTAGCCTTCCGCCAAGCTCTCCGTCCCCGTCGATGAGTTCTGAGCCGGAGCTTCATCCACTCGAGGTCCGAAGAGATGATCTGGACTCGGATGCTTCTCACCAGCTGCCAAACCGACATGCGACACCGCGAAAGGCACACGTTATTGCTAAAGGCAAGAGGAAGCTCAAGGAGGTCATCGAGATTGAAGATAGCGACCTTGACGACGATGTCGACAAACCCAAGCCATCTTTGCCACGGCCACGAGGAAAGAAGAAGCCAAAGAGAGGTGACCGGAAGCTCGAGAATGAAGAATCCGACGAACCGGAGATTGTCATCACACGTGAACGGAGTGTCCGCGAGCTCAAGATCCTTACTGACGTTCCACGCTGCTGGGAGGTCCCAGAGCCGGGGGAGAGCTTCGCATTCTTGCTCGACCTCAGAGCCGAGCATCTGAGGAACCGGTGGAAGGATACTGATGGGGAGTTGATGTCCATGGCGGCAGTCATTAAGGCAGAGGTGCGTGGCAGTTCCTCTACAAGGCTATCATTGCAATCTCACATGCAAACATGATTGTCATCCAGGATCAGGACGCTTGGGGCAAGGGAACTGCAGGCTACGTCAACAGACCGGTCATGGTCTCGGCCTTTGGCGATAAAGAAGCAGTTCCATGCCGCTATGCGCAGCATGAATGTCAGGGAGTATTCCACTGCGAATTCATCGACTCGGCCCTTTTCGAGGGCATACAACGATATCAACCAAATGATGAAGACCGACGGGCATTCTGGGAGGCTATCCGTGCAATAAGTGAGGAAGATGGAACATCGAAGCTGCGTCAAGCAGCGAGGTATGTCGTGAAACTCTGTTTGTCTTGAAGCTCGAAATTGACGTAGTTCTAGTTTCTACACGGAAGTCCACCGGGATTTCAAGTGTCAGTGTGCGACTGATAGCTCGGTCAAGCCGACGCCAATTCTGCGGCACTTCAAGGAGGTTTGTGATGTCAACGAGTTGCACATTCAGTATTGACTAACCTAGTCTTTCCATAGATGAGCAACACAGGCAAAGAGATGTTCTTCGGGTGCTCTGGTTACCGAACGGGTGACAAGCCCAGATCGCACACATTCATCCCGATTCCATCTTACATAGATGAGCAGCTCTTACTCGACATGTGCAAGACGAATGCGAGTACGAAGCACAATGCTGAAGATAGCGCAGTGGTTGGTGGCGAGTGCGCATACGTTGTTCCCTGCCGAAGTGGTGGGAAAGGGCGAAAACAGTGCCGTAAGTTCATCAATTCAGTTACACTGGACAAGCACCTGATGCTGTAAACAGCGTACACTCATCTAGAGTACAATGACGATAGTGCTGTGCCTACACCCAAACTCGGTAATCTGAAACGACGTCAATGCACCTCAAGAATCCGTATCTGGACCCCGATAGACAATGATGACCGGCGTGCAATTGTCATGCTTGAAGGCGCACACAACCATCCTACGCCTGCGCTGACGAAGCCTTCCCGGGAGGCGAAGGAGAAGTACAGTGATGCAGTGAAGGCAATCGGGCTTCATGGGCTAACAGTTGGGAAGGTGGACCGGGGTACGAAGTATTTCCGCATGTAAAATGTACAATGGAGTCTGAAATTTGATGTTCTATTGCCATAGCTAAGAGCACGCAAGGGCTTATGGGCGGGCTGACGCCATCAGAGTTTGATCCCGCCCTATCCAACCGCCGTCACCGTGCAAAGATAATTCAAAACATACGACATGATGCCTTTCCGCATGGACTTGGACTTGAAGGTATGTGTTGCAGTGCACGTCCATGTACCTGCCATCGTCAGAATGCACAGCCTCAATGTGTCTACCTAGGTGTTATGGCGCTTTACGAGAAGGAGTTCAATTCTCTTCCTCTAATTGACCGCTATATCCACCGCATTTTTGCGGATGGTAGTACGCGTGTTGTTGTTACAATGTACGGCGGCCTCGCGGCACTCCTGCACAGCGCCAAAGCCACCTTGCACGACAACACCTACAAACGTGTCCACGGGAAATGGAAGGAGTGGGAGGCCACCCTCTGGTATGACCGGCTCCAGATGCGTACGTTCAGAGGCAACCACTTTTGCATCATTCTTTAGTACTCACATCGTCATTTTGCTCATAATAGGTGTAACTTATGCCCGAATCTACTGTACCGAAGAAACACGCGAAGCATTCGATCTCATGTGGACTGCCTTGTGGAAAACTGTCAAGGATGTTACGGGCAAGGCAGTGAAGTTCAAATTCATGCATGGCTGTGGTCTATTAGGTATTGTTGTGGATGGCTGCAAACCACAGGCCGAAGCATGCGGGGACGTTCTTCTGCGTCTCAACAACCCTGCTGAGACGAACATCAATGATAGCGATCCACAGGTCATTATCCAACGTATACTTAAAACGTGTATGGTTCACCTGGACCGGTATGTGCATGTCGCACGGTTCAAGTTGTACTGCATGAGTCTGATATTTGATTTCCCTCAGGAAATTCACTGATCTCAGTAATTCGTGTCCAGATGATGTTATGAAGCGCATTCGTCAGTTTCCATACCTGAAGACGGAAGAAGAGCTGTCTGAGTTCCAACACTGGTGCGCGACCTCCTCGCACAAAGCTATTCGGGGTATGTAACACATGTTTTACATGTTCTCAGCAATAAATTGCTTACTACTCGCACACTTTTGTATGCTCGTACTAGATTGGTACGCAGACAAGAAGCCACATCCTTGGTTTTGGGCCTCTGTGAACAAGCACCTGTCGAAGATTCCGGCGGACGATTGGGACTTGATTCCGGCCAATACGAACCTCAATGAAAGTGCACATCCGTTTACGAATCAGCATACTGGAACGAACCTGCCACTGCTTGATTCCATACAGCTGTGAGTATACTTATTACTGTTCATCGTGGCACAGTAAATTTGTGCTGACATCTGTTGCAGTGCACGTGAACTTGACGCAACAATCTTGACGAAAATTCGTAAAGCCGAGGAAGATTGCATTCTTCCCAACCACCGAAATGAATTCAGCCAGCGCCTGCGTGAGAACATGCGTCGCGCGACATCGAGGCACAAACAAGCAAGTGCTCGCACGGCAGCCTCGGAACAGCTTACAGAGCTGGAAGTGGAGCTTGCTGAAGCACAGGCGCAGCAACGAGAGGCGCAGGCAAAGATCAAAACATTGAAGGACCAGACAAAGTCGCTCAGGGCAACAGGTGCACGCAAGAAGACGAGGCCGACGAAGTATCAAGACGGAGACGTTGCTGACGACCCCGCTGGGTCTTCGACGGTCATCGATGAAGGTGCCGCTTCAGTTCTCAACTCGGATAACGGTTCCTCTGTCCCTCCAAGTTTCACGCCGGCCGACGGTCAGCCTTCGCACGCTCTGCCAGAATCGTCCACGTCCGAGTCCAGTGCAGTGGCTTCAAGTCCGCAGATACTATATCTCGACGACAATCAACTTCAAGTTGAAGCTTCGGACTTCGACGGTGTCCTGGAGAACCCTCGCCATGGGCAGCTCGAGGAAGCCATATCAACTCCGCCTGAGGACGAGGTGACGAAAGATGAACCGCGTGCATATCGAGGCTTCAACTCGCCGCTCAAAATTTGCTACATTCCGGCGCTGGTGGGACGCACTGGCAGTGCCAGTGGTTGAATCCGCGGAAAGGACTGCAGCCTCAGTACATCGTAGGAGATGTGCCATGTGTATTTTACATCATTATGTCTGTGCAGCAATCTCTCATGGAGGATACACGAGACGTTCCTTAAGTAGCGGAAACCCGGAAACCTTGCCTGGAAGGTGCGCCAGACGGGCTACTACTAATTACTAGTAGCCACTCGAGCGCAAGCGCCCAGCGCCACATGCGTTACAACAGTTTCTTCGCTCACCCTGCTCGCAATATTTCTTTCCCACAACTGTTCTCTACGGTATTAGTGTTTTTCAGGCGCACCTAGTGCGTGTGCAAAACCATATTTCTTAATCTTCAACGCTGACTCCAGGAGCAACGCTAAGTCGACGCGCTGCGCGTCACACATGGTTACATTTGTCACGTGCCCTGATGGGCGGGGCGCGCGCTTGGCGCGCGCCCCCGACGCGCCCTCAGTAACACTGCTACCTTCAGTCTTATTCGCAAAGCGCACGCAGTAACACTGGTACGTCCGGTCTTATTCACAGAGCTCAGACAGTAACACTGGCGCAGTGTTACTGTTACTACTTTGGTACATACTCCACCGAGATTCGGATCTGAGCAAGGATGCGGCGTAGCCTCTAGGTGAGTCCTTCCTGGGCATAAAACAAAATGGATCTCACTGTTCGTTTTGTAAGTAAATGGTGCTTGGAATGTCATATCATGACTCGGAGCTGGCAGGGGCGGCAGGCAGGTTACTAATGGTACCTTGTAACAAGACGAGTTTACGCCTTGTACGAAAGGGTTCAGTCCTCACGCGGTTTGCTTAGGTAAGGGGCTCGACGGGTGATCAGGCCGACGAGGAGGGCGAGAGAAGGGAGAAAGGGGAGAAAGGAGTTGGATTGTACTATCTACGGGTACAGGTGTACAGTAGATGGTACAAGAGAGAGGCAAGAGGCGAGACGAGAGGGGGTAGACGTTTGACCAGCAAAGCGTGTCGTCTGCGAGTGTTTCGGCCCTTCCTATATACTCGCAGCGATCCTCGCATTGGTAAGCTACTCTGTATCTTCACGAGTACTCTCGAATATTCCATAGCCTTCGATAACATACCATAGAGGTCGTGAACATACTAAATGATTCAATATCGTTCTATCGAGGACTAGTAACAACTAGTCACTCCTTACATACCTGTTCAACGTTTGAGTAGTACTATATGTCATGTCCCTAGACAGAAAGCACCTACCATGATTGGCAGTACATCGCACGTAGTATGCCTATAGTCCGCACTCACCCGCGCAGAGCTCGGCGGCAGCTTGAGTTGGTCCCGGGGTCAGCATTATGGGAAAGCTAGTATCCCAGGTTACCGGACCAAATGACGATAAGTACTCATGTGCGACATGGAGGATACCCATGTTGCCTTCGTATATGTCTGGAAATCAAGATGGGATGAGAGCATTGTCAATGTTCGTGCCAAGTTCGTGCAATACTGCGAGTGCAAATCAGATTCTTACCGTCTTCCCGCCTCCTGTTGGCCACGTGATGCTGCGCGACGCGTCGGTGGCTAACCGGACAATGACGGACCGCCGCAGCGGATCGTCCGCGACCCGCGACCGCTGCGGCTGCTTGCAATTGCCTACCACCATGTCCGAGTCTCAATCCAAGACAGCGATCAACATCATATCCGGGAAGCCTCCGTTGGACGAGAGTTATTACAACCCGGATGACGAGGAGCTCACCTTCTACAAGTCGCAAACCGGGATCGCTGATGACCAGGCCCTGAAGGACCATATCACCAGGATCCAGACGGACGCGTATGAGACGGTATGCATGTATTGGTGTCACCGAATAATGCTAGTCATACTGTGAATTGGGGCAGGTATATCCGTACCCGTGCATTCGTCGATTTGCCTTCATGAGGTATGCGCGCCGAAAAACTAATATCAGTGCGTGTCGCCCAATTCACGTACGCGCTCTGCAGGCTCAAAATATCGCGTCTGCCGGCCTACCCGAAGCTGTTACGTCTCGGGAAGGAGCGCGAAGGAGCTATATTCTTGGACATCGGATGCTGCTGTACGTTTGCATTGCCTATCTCCAGCATGTCTATATGTGCATCACGGCGTCTTAGTCGGAAACGATGTTAGGAAAGCTATTGCCGATGGCTATCCAAGGGAGAACTGCATTGCGTCAGACTTGGAATCAGGCGAGTACAGGATTCTGCTTCTGCTCATACAAAAATATCTTCATCTCCGCTCGCAAGATTTCTGGAAGCTCGGACATCGTCTCTTCAACACTGACCCAGAGACATTCCCGGTCCCTTTCATCCCCGGCGACGCCTTTGACCCTAACTTTATACAGTCTGAACCGCCCTTCTATTCGCTTCTCGAGTCACCGGCACCGCAGCTGTCTCGGCTCACAACTCTGACACCGCTACTCGGGCATGTCTCCGCCATCCACGCGTCTTCGCTCTTCCATCTCTTCGACGAAGCAAAGCAGCTTCAGCTGGCGCGCGCTCTCGCAGGGCTTCTCTCACCACAACCCGGTTCACTCGTCTTCGGCATGCATGGCGGGCGCCAGGAGAAGGGCTTCAGAACTGAACAGGGTGTCCCGGGCCAGACCGGAACGTACATGTTCTGCCACTGTCCGGATAGCTGGACGGAGCTCTGGGACGGTGTGGTTTTCGAGAAGGGCACTGTGCGGGTGGAGGCGGAGCTGAAGCAGATAGAGAGAAGAGACATTCAGGCGGAACCGGGCACGAAATTTTACGCGCTCCTGTGGTCCGTGACAAGGTTGTAGAATATGGGATGAGCTGTGTGTAAGATCGGCTGGCTTGCATACAAGCGGATGTGCCGCCAGACGGCCCTCTATGAATAGCTTGTACAGGTGTATACTTAGAGTTTGGCTGTACCTCGGCCAGGAAAGAAGCTCGCTCATGGAGCAGTTATGGTGTACTATCAATGCTCGACTTGTATTGATTAACGTGCCTCGTCCCCTGCCCCCAGTTCTATTCAAAGCATCACACTGACATTATCAGGGACCGGTGAGTACTTTCTTAGGCTTGTGATGCCAGCCAGTTGACGGTCAAGTTTTATATCCGAGCCGAACGTTAATGCCAGCTAAGTAGTAGTAGTAGTAGTAGTAGTAGTAGTAGTAGTAGTAGTAGTAGTAGTATAGCTTATCCACAGCAGAGAAGGAAGAAGTGTGATCCAATGATGTTGTACTTAGATGATACGAGAATATACCTGAGCGCGCGCCCCACAGATATAGAAGAAATGGGCGACTCCGACTTGCAATGCCCGTTGACATACGCAGTGTTGCTGGCCCGGAATAGAAGTGTGCTCTCAGCGACAGAAATTTCATACTCGAGGTGAACGCTTTCGCCGATGACTCGCTAAGACTCGGAAGCCCATCTGATTACTGCGACGCTCGGACGCAAGCTTCACGGGTCAAAATAGGTCGTTAGGTCGCTATCGGGACGCTCCGCCGCTGTTAGCGTACAAACGACTTCTGGCATGTCTGTTCCGACACTGTCAATGACACGCTAAGTCGCCGCCCCTCTCGGGCCCATGGCAAGTCGCTTACTAAGGAGAGGCGCAAGCTAAGTATGCGACGTTATCATGATTGAAATTAGCGAGCTGTTCGTTAACACCTGGGCTTGGAAGACGGTATCCTGCGATCGAAGATGCTACATTGCTGTATAGCCGTAGACTTGCGGTGAACTGCAGTCGCGATACTAACACCGCTGAGCCAAAATGGTTGCCGTTCTGTGGCCGCGTCGTAGTATATGTTCCCGTGAGCGTCGCCAGATCTGATCGGGTCAATCCACCCAACGCTCAAAATCAATTTCAAATGCATACAGATTCCTCAGTGCGTGTGACTTCTGTCAGACCTGGCTATTTACCAAACAGACATACTGGCCTACATCTCTACTATCCCCGTCGTGGCTCGAGCTTCAAGCTTCACTGACAGTGCTAACGCAAAATGAAAGCAGATCGGTGACTCAGAGCTCAGGTTGCGCACTGAGAGCCTGAGACCCATCGGCATGCTTCGAAGGTCCTGACTCATCTGGACGTTGCGCGTCGCGCGAGCGCGCTGAGGCGGTAGCTGTGTACATTCACGATTCCTGGGCGGTACGTACCCGCGAGCACATGGTAGGTGCTGACCCTGATAAGCAGACCTCTCTCGCGTCTATGCTTCTGGCCTTCGGACCTTCGATGCGCAGTCCTCCTCAGGACCTCCTGAAATCATTGTCTCCGATTTGAAAAATGAAGAGTGGCATAGCAGGTATGTCCGATGCTACTCCACCATTTCTCGACGTATTGCATCTAAGTCAAGTTTCAACAGGCTCAAGCATCGATTTCGCATTCGAGTCAACTTATCTGAGTCCGGGCACCGCTTTCGCTTGTAATTGGAATTTGTATCCTGCTCTTTCTTGTAGAAGGTTCCTGAAAGTTCCGAGACGACCGATGTTCCGTGTCACAACTCCCACAAGTGCTCTTACGGACGTGCCTTTCCTCGATCATCCGAGTCTGATCATCTGCTCTAGCACGCTGGCATCTCTACCCATTGATATGAGAGTGGTATGGTCTATGCTCTGCGCTTATGAACAAATGAACAAACCTCGTGCACTGCCATTTGAGAGGTGTCGCCATCACTCCATACTTGCACGATGTAACGGGCCGGAGATGGCGTTCTGAGCGGGCACCATCTAGTAGTTCACAGTGTACCGCATTGCACAGCAGAAGGCGAATCAAGATATCTGCGACCATGACTTTCAGGTCCGAGTCCTTACATCAATGGCACGTTGCTGCTAATTATACGCAGTAGGGCCGTCGCGTGGTAAGAATGCCGTAGACTCTAGGCTGAACGTGTTCACAACTCCACAACACAGATTCAGATCCACCAATCGCGACAGGGACCACGGTGGCGAGACGGCGACAACCTACAGGTAACAGCGTGGCTGTTGATACAGTGACCGCCTTGGACCGCCTCGTACATTTGACAACGACTTCCGACCGCAACGGAACGAACAACAGAACTTGCTATTGGTTGTAACCGCATTGAATTGAGCGCCCGCATACCGTGCAGAGTTCATATATCATACGTAATCGCTTCTGGTTGCTGAGTGGGTGTAACGTTGGTGCATAGCTTTTCGTATCGCATGGCGACTAGCTGACGCGCGCCACTTAGTCCTCACTCGGAGCCCTTCATGTGGACGCCCAAGATGTTGGGCAGAGAGGAGTTGGAATCAGGTATTAACATGAGTTCTTTGTGCGACGTTGTTCCACTTCATTCTCAAAATAACACCCGCAGGGGTTCAGATTAGGAAGATTTCATTCTGGGGTCAACCTCCGCGGGCATCGGTACCATTTGCCGACCTATGGCTCGCCGCCGTGTCTGTGGTTACCCCATCGGACGTTCTACCGCTACTCGCAGTTTCCCCGTGCCATCCGATTGGATTTGACAGGATCATGCCGAAGCAAGATATGTCTATGAAGCAGAGGTCACGAAGCTACTAGTGGTGTCAGAGCGCGTAAAGGTCTGCTTGCTGTTATTCGCCAACGTATTCAAAAAGCGCTGAAAGGCCGTCTTTAGGACGAGAAGTTGGCTACCGAGGCTAGTTGAAATGATTACCCTTGCACGCAGCAGCTCGTGGTCATGTTTGCTGCTCGGCACCTCAATTCAGCCCCCCCATACACCGTTGTGACGGATACATGAGTTCCGTCCCTCGCATGAAGCGTTAGCGCAAGCTGCGCAACGACACAATGTCGTGCTAAATTTGTCACAGTGTTTCAAACTACAGGAAGGTGAGCAGTGGTGTTCTGTGTGCGCTTATCTTGCACCTTGCCGGTATATAAGCTGACCCCTACATTGTGTCTTGCTAGGCCTCGTACATCCTGTCCCATGATGTCTAGACTCCTATCATTCGTGCTCACTGCCGTGTTCGCCTCTTGCCTGACGGCTGCTGCCCCGGCCGCCATATCAGCGTCTGGGTCAAGCGTAGCGTCTGCCGCGGAGCCTAGCGAGACCGTCGCTCTTGCTAGTGACAACCCCAACGGTATCCTGTGGAACACTACGACGGACACCAACCCTCAGCCCATACGCGGACAGCTCGGTGGGACCATCTTGGCCCAGCAGAATGTCCCGCTTCAGCAGCAGAACCCAGATCTCCTCGCGCCGCCTACTACGGACCAGAACACGATGTATGTTACACTTACATAGAGCCTTCGCCTACTAACAGCCCCCTAGTCCCAACGTAAAATGGCCATTCAGTCTGAGTCCAACGCGTCTGAACACCGGCGGTTTTGCTCGCCAACAGAACAGTACGTATCTCAGCACGGTCACGGTCGTATTGTTTTCCACTGCTAAGGTCGTGGTCTCCAATAGTCAATCAAATGCCCGTAGCCACATGTGCGTTGGTAATTCGTTATACACCAGATGTTTGCTGAGACATTCACAGCTATGGCTGGTGTCGACATGCGCTTGGAACCCGGAGCTATTCGGTAAGCGGCAAGAATGCGTGTTTGCTGAATTACATAAGCTTAGCTGCACCATCACAGCGAGCTGCATTGGCATAAGACGTCCGAGGCGAGTCACTACTTACAATCCAAGACGATGTGTGACTAACCCATATTGCAGTGGGCATATGTACTGAGTGTTAGCTGGCTACCGCAATACTTTGGAGTCAGATACACTGACGCGCTTTCTGTTTAGGGCTACACACAAGTCTCAGCGGTAGACCAAGATGGACGCAACTTCGTGGGCACCGTGGTACGAGCACTGCGTTCAGCGGTCTTGCTTCCCTGACCTCGGTTCAGGGACCTGGCGACTTGTGGTACTTCCCGCCCGGTATTCCTCACAGCCTTCAGGCGACGAATCAGACGGAAGGCGGATCCGAGTTTCTCCTCGTATGTCCGCTCTCCTTCAAGTGCGTTATCGACTGGGGTTCACTCCGTAGCAGATCTTCGACAATGGTGACTTCAGTGACGGCTCTACATTCCTTGTGAGTCATTGTTTAGTGCTGATCTTTTGCATCGCGCCTAACAGCCTCCTACAGCTGACAGACTGGCTGGCGCACACGCCGAAGGAGGTCATAGCCAAAAACTTCGGAACGAGTTTGGCGGCTTGGAACGATATTCCCGGCGAGCAACTATACATCTTCCCCGGTGGTGAGTTGATGCGCTTGTGCAAAAACGTCATCACTCACGTTGGTAATCAGAATCTCCGTCGCCGGATGCAACGGCACCTGAGGACCCTCAAGGACAAGTGCCAAACCCGTACATCTACAAGCTGTCCCAAACCAATGCAACACAGCTCGCTGGAGGCGCTCTCAAGATCGCCGACTCGCGGAACTTTACTGTGTCTACTACAATTGCCCTTGCCGAAGTTTGGGTCGAGCCCGGAGGAATGAGGTCCGTGAAACACACTCCTTTCCTGTTCTTGATAATCTGACCCCGCGTCTTCGTATTAGGGAGTTGCACGTGAGTTTGCGCACAACTCAAAGTAGACTAAATATTGACTCCTGAGGCACCCATAGTGGCATCCAACGGAAGACGAGTGGACCTATTACATGTTTGTGGTCTTCATTAAACATTACATTGCTTGAGCTAACTTATGATCAGATCGGGGTCTGCTCGTGTGACGGAGTTCGCCTCGAGTTCGACCGCCCAGACTTTCAACTACGTGGTAAGTCTACTATTCTCCAAGTGGGCCATATTTCTTAGGTGGATGTGACAGGCCGGTGATATCGGATTTGTTCCCGCGTCCTATGGTCAGTCCTCTCTACGGCCACTTCAGCACTCGTCATTTGACCATTGTCGTGTCTCACAGGTCATTACGTGGAGAACATCGGCAATGACACCCTCCATTACCTAGAGATCTTCAACAACAGTATGTCATCTGTCATCTAACGTAACTTCAGATCTAACGCAGACGGCACAGATCTCGTGGTGGACGTGAGCTTGAACCAGGTCAGGCCCGTTATTTACACCATCACCGATTGTAGACTGACCTTTCCGCAGTGGCTTGCGCTCACGCCGCCTGCGCTCGTCAAGGAGCATCTCCAAATATCCGATGAGACGATCGCGCATCTCAGCAAGATCAAGCCGTACGTCGTTGGAGCCACCGAGGTGTGATGGCAATGCCAGGGTCAATTCTCTTCGTAAACGTATATGATGTTGTTGGTAGTATGTACGTGTATTCACGATTTATAACGGAACTCATGCAATGTAATGAAGATGTCTACTTGAATGAGAAGCTAGGGCGACCTACGTGTCATGTTCCTTCATAGTATTAACAGTGCGATTGCTACATCGCTTTCGCGCGAGGCCACGCTGAGAGTAGCAAGGTGGTGGAGGTGCTCCAGAGCTTCCACTGCGTGATAGGTGAACATGATTGCTCTACGCGATCTTGCCAGGACGCGACGACCACAAAGTTACATTATCCCTTAAGGACTGAATATCTAAGCTTAGGACATAACATAAGTGGTGGTCATACTGGGCGCAACTATTGCCAGTCACTACACAACAACGGAATATCGTAGCAACATCGCAAAGTCCTTGAAGGACGTCCAATCACCGGGCGTAAGGATGGTAGTTGTGCTGACCGCGCTGGCCGGCGCGTTGCGGGCCTACACCCGCAGGTCCTCCGGGGCCTCCGGGACCGTTGCGTGGGCCACGAGGGACGTTCGGGCCCATGCTTCCTCCAGGGCTCATCGCACCGGGTCCGCCCATACCTGCGCCGCCGCGGCCCATACCCATGCCAGGACTCATACCGCCACCCATGCCCATGCCCATGCCAGGCATCATGCGGCCACCGCTCATCCCACCGCCGAATCCTCCGCCCATGCCGCCCATCATGTTCATGCCTCCTGCCATCATGGGGTTCATGCCCATCTGCTGCATCATACGTGTGTATAGCTGGGCAAGCTGTGTGGGGTCGAAGGGTGCGTTGCCACCTGCGCTCGCCGCGGCCGGGGCGCCGGCGAAGCCGCCGCCCTGTGCGCCGTAGTTTCCGCCGCGGCCGTAGCCGCTTTGACCACCTTGCCCACCGCTCTGCCCTGCCTGCCCGCCCTCTGAGAAGTTCTCGCGTTGTGAGCGTGGCTGAGCGAGTTTGACGTCGATCTATACGTGAGACTGATGAGCAGGAGAGCTACGCGAAACCTGCACGAGCGAAACTCACCAGCTTTCCATCGATCTCGAGGTTACCGAAGCCGAGAAGCGGCTGTACGTCCGCGTTTTCGAAGGAAACGAAGCCAAAGCCTTTGCTCCGGCCTGTCTCGCGGTCCAACATAACTGTTGCATCGACGACCTTGCCATACTGAGAGAAATACTCCCGCATCGATTCGGATGTGACACTTCCAGCCAAGCCACCGATGAAGAGCTTCGTCGCTCGTTGATGCTCTTGCCTCGGAATCGCACGTTTTGGATCGATCTACGGTCTACATTCAGACGACGAGCGCTACAGAACGACAGTACGTTACGTACAATCTTCCCGTCCAAGAAATGTTCCCGAACCATGACGGCGTTCACGGACGCGGGGTCCTCGAACGTGAGGAACGCGAAACACCGCGAACGACCTGCCGCGTCGCGCATGATTGTGCATGCTTCGACCTTTCCGAACTGCGAGAAATACTTGCGGAGACCCTCTGCCATGATACGCTATTTAGCACTACGAATTGAGACACAAGGCGGACTATGAATAAGTATGTACCATCTGTAGTATCCCAATTGAGGCCGCCAATGAACATTTTCCTGGTGATCATGAGGTTTGACGTTGACGCAGATTGCATGGGCAGGTGGGCGGACGATACAGGATATGGGAGAGCAAGAACTGATATTAGCATCGGTAGCCTAGAACAGAGGAGCACGACCAGGGTAGAGAAACGGACGACTCTACTGTGCGTGACTGTGTAGCGAAGCGATGCTAGCCTAGCCTAGACTAGGTATCCCAGATGTGCTAGAGCTAGTCGTAGGCGATATCGGTGACTACCGCGGCGCCGCGCGCATTGCTACACAAGCAACCGTGTCCCATGTCTAAGGCCCGTTTGAAGACCCATCCCAGTCAAGTGGACAGCACAGCGAGCGCCCTGGAAGAGGTCAGCGACATGAAATCAGGAAAACTCACCCTTCCTCCTTCATTTCTGAGGGTCGCACGGGTCGGTCGGCAGGCCCTCCGGCCTGGAAATCTTGATGAGGCTGTTGCACCTCCCTATAGTCATCCGCCTGGCGCTCCTGGTACGTCTGTATAGGCTGTGCCGAGTCGGACGTGTAGGATGGGATTGCGGAGCCATTGGAAACACTTGATGGTGCGGTACTTGCAGCAACAGCTGGGTTCGATACAGGTGAGTTGATACTTTCGGGTGGCTTCTCCAGGTTCGCCTTGGTTGGCTGAATGTTTTGCGGTGCCTGCGTGTCCTGAGCTTCTGTTGGGGTAGGTTCCTCGGCGTGCTGAGTCGGGACCGCATATTCTTGCTCGTCATTGCCGTAGAGATCTACAACCCTATTGTAAGCTTGACATTGTTTCCTGCCGTATCTACAATGCTCACCGCCGTAAAGGTCTGCGTCGAGGTCGGACATGATGGTGAGGGGGCTGGGACGATGGTGATGGTGGTCGAGTGGCAAGAGAAAATGCGGTGATTCACGCGACGTGGCCCAGTCAGGCAGCTGCCTTGATTAGTCACAAAAGCCTACCATATTTGGGGGTCGCAAGACTGGGCGCTACGTTGGGAAACTGCGTAGGAGCCTGGTAGACGCTCTCAACCCACCAGCATCTCGACGTCGGGAGCATCGTTTTCTCTATCTCTCACCGCGACTGCCATGAGACCGAATCTCGGAAGGTAGTTCAGGATGTTGTCCACGCTCTCTTGGCCGCTCGGATCACTCAATTCTTCTCCAGACAACTTCAGTACATGCATGCCCTTCGACGCGTATCCTCGGACACCTAGCACCTCATGTCTTCCTTCCTACACTCGCATTCGCGCTCGTTTTCTAGAGGAGGATGCGTAGACAGGCAGCAGAAGACGGGCGGCGAGGCTTGATAAGCCAAACAAGGTAACACACTGCCACATCGCGCAAATAGCGCCAAACAACAACGCCCCCTCTTTCGTCTATTACGCCTCAGCAACTCGGATTGTCTGAGCTATCCTCGCGCTCGTCGTTTCCCTCGTCCTCGCCGACAGCAGCCAGCTCGCCATCTATCCTGCTCTGGCGACGACTGAACTGCTCCACAGTAAGGTGGCTGTAGCAGCTCGTCTCCACTCGTCTGCTATTGTTCATGCCATCCGTCGAAAATCTGGAAGACTGGCCCAAGGATCCTCCTGTACCGACCGACGCTGCCACTCAGAACACCGCTCGCGAACCCAACAAGTCTCTGAGGATCAAGATTCCCCTCATGGCTCCTAGTACTCGCGCGTCGGCTCGCGTACGCTCGGAATCCAATGCGTCGGGATCGGAGTATCACGAGAGCAACGCATCCATGGACGTAGATGAAGAACAAGTACCAGCCGAGGATGATGAGCCTGAACAACCGCCAGTCGAGTACAAGACGACCGCTAGAGGCAGAAAGGTCCTGTCAATGTCGTACAAAGAGTCGGGAAGCGAGGACGACCCTCTGCTGTTGGGCCACGATCGCGCTCCTTCACCAAGCAAGCAGGAGGTCGCCGCAAAGGACGAGACGGACGAAGACGGGCCGACGCCCTATGCCTTTCGGAAACCGCGCAGAAAACCCGGCAACCTGAAGGGTTTTGTGGAGAGTGACGAGGAGGAGGACGGGACCTCGGGCTATGGGCTACGAAGCAAGACTCGGAACGGCGCGTCGGGTCAGGACGCGCGCGGTGCACGCATCACGCGTCGATCAGGGTCTCGCACTCAGGCATCGACGTCGCGACAGACTCGCAAACGCACCGGCAAGCGTGCGACGCGACAAAGTGCGCGGGGTCAACGCGACGATGAGGGCTACGAGGATGTAGCGTCATCTGGGTCCGCTGACGCTGATGGCTCGTTCGACGACGCCCCGCACACTTCCCCTGATCCCGAACTGGATGGTGACGCGGATGCCGAAGGAGAAGTGGATGTAGATGGTGAGGCGGGACAAGAGCCAGAGCAGGGTGACCGTCCGTACTTGCTGCGGCAGCGCACAAAGATCAACTACGCCATCCCGCCAGCGCTGGAAGAAATGCGACCGCCTCAACCCAAGCCACGCTCGAATGGGAATCAAGCGAAAGGCCGCCATGGCAAGGCCAAGGTGCCCGGCTGGAGTGCGACAGGTGCTGAACTGAGCAGATGGATGGGTGGTCCGGCCGGGGATGATTCGGTGCGTAGTTACATGTCTGACCAAGGCCCTCAGACTTATTGTGAGTGGGCAGGACTCCGACTTTCCTTCACGGACACCACGGAAACAGCCCTTCGGAACTGGGGCCATGGGTAGTGGCGTATTCGCCGGTGGCGCTGGGGGCCTCTTTGGCGACATGGCAGCCGCCGGGACGCCATCGAACCTGGGCAAGGTTGGGGATGCAAGTAAGTTGACTAGTTCTATTGCACTCCGATTTGGACTGACCGCCTTTGTACATCAGCTCTTGCTGATGCTGATCCTCTTGCGGTAAACCAGAATGTGACCTTCGACGAAGTCGGTGGACTGGACGATCGTGAGCGCGGTCAGCTTTTCGGCCCCGTCTAGCTGCTCATATCCTCACTAGATATCAACTCGTTGAAGGAGATGACATTGTTGCCCTTGCTATACCCTGAGGTGTTCCAACGCTTCGGTCTCACTCCCCCGCGTGGTGTACTCTTCCATGGTCCCCCGGGAACCGGTAAGACTCTCCTAGCTCGCGCACTCGCGGCGAGCTGCCGTTCCGATGGCAAGAAGATCTGTATGTACATGCGTTTGAATATATTGCCTCTGGCTCATCCTCTGCCCAGCCTTCTTCATGCGGAAGGGCGCCGACTGTCTATCGAAATGGGTCGGCGAGGCTGAACGCCAGCTCCGCCTACTCTTTGAGGAAGCAAGAAACCAGCAGCCCAGTATCATCTTCTTCGACGAGATTGACGGCCTCGCGCCTGTGCGATCCTCGAAACAGGACCAGATCCATGCGTCGATCGTATCGACACTACTGGCGCTGATGGATGGTATGGACGGCCGAGGCCAGGTCATTGTAATCGGCGCGACGAATCGGCCCGATGCTATTGATCCTGCGTTGCGGAGACCAGGCAGGTTCGATCGAGAGTTCTACTTCGCGTTGCCTAGCTTGGAGGCACGAGAGCGTATCCTTCATATCATGACGAAGAAGTGGGCTGGTTGGGAAGGCGAGATCGGCGAGACCAATGTGAAGGGCCTGGCGAAGCTCACCAAGGGTTATGGCGGTGCTGATATAAGGGTACGTAAACATGAAGATCAGGGTGGAACGTCGTCCAACACCATCTTAGGCTCTCTGCACGGAAGCCGCTCTGAATGCTGTTCAGAGACGTTACCCGCAGATCTACAAGTCCAATGATCGGTTACTACTCAAGCCAGAAACGATCGAGGTGGAGTTGCGCGACTTCATGATAGCAATTAAGAGTACGTTTGACAGCACCCTCACCACAAGATCAAGCTCATGTCTCATTCTTGTGTAGAGCTGGTACCTTCATCCGCTCGTTCAGTCTCATCTGCGGCTTCGCCATTGCCATCACAGCTTGAGCCCCTGCTGCAGTATTCGCTGGACAAGATGAAGGAAGTCATCGCCAAGGTCCTGCCGGTAAACAAGAAACGGACAGCGCTTGAGGAGGCCGAGTGGGAAGACGGAAGTAGCGAAGGCGCGCTTGACCGTGAACTGATGCTACAGTGTACGTCAACTTTGTACAGTCTGTGCTGGCGCTAACGCCCCCTTTTACAGCTATGGAAACATTACGCGTGTATAGGCCGCGTGTCGTACTACATGGTCCCTCGGGGATGGGTCAGGCATACGTCGCTGCAGCAGTGCTACACCACTTGGAAGGATACCATGTCCAGAGCCTGGATCTCGGCAGCCTCATGGGTGACTCTACGCGGGTATGTGGTTGTGCTCCTTGATTCTGCAGCGTGGACTGAGTGGTGCAACCCAGACCCCAGAAGCAGCTATTGTCCAGCTCTTTGTGGACGCGAAGAGACATCAGCCTTCGGTCATCTACATCCCATCATTGGTAGGGTGGTGTGCTGCTGTGTCGGAGACGACCAGAACGACTGTCCGCGCCATGCTCGACACTTTGGCACCCACGGACCCTGTGCTACTACTGGCCGTCGTTGATGGCCCCTTCCTCTCTCTTCCGCGGGACGTCCGGTCGTGGTTCGGGCCAACGCGAGACAACCGCGTGGAGTTGACTCATCCAGCGCCGTTACAGCGAGAACAGTTCTTCGAGGGTCTACTGAAGGATGTTCGGCGGCCACCGAATCAGTTTCCCGATGGTGTTCAACGGAAGAAGCGGGTGTTGGAAGAGTTGCCCGTCGCTCCACCTTTAGAGCCACGACAACCTACGGCCGCGGAGCTTGCCGTCCAGGAGGAGAATGATCAGCGCGTCATTACGTTGCTGAGGTATCGCCTGGGCCCGATATTGCAGGAGCTGAAACGCAAGTTCAAGCGCTTTACCAAGAGAGCGATGGTATGTATAGACCTTCCTCTGTCGACCTGATATCTCATGTCCTGTGTAGGAGGAGTACAACTACGACTTCAATGTCGTCCATCAAGAAGTAGAAGTGGTCACTACCAACGTCAAGATCCGGACGAACGGTGATGGGATCGTCGAGATGACTGGAGAGCAGCATACGGAACATGTTGACCAGCCACAGGTCAACGGTATCAACGGTGTGCATGAGGCGGCGGCGCCGATACCTCCGATACCGCCGCAACCCCCGTTGTTCGACATGGATCTCGAGCGGATGCACCTCGAGCTCTATCGCAATCGGTATCTCACTCCCGACGACTTCCTTGACGACATCCGCAAGATTGTCCACAACACTGAGGTTAGGATACATGAGGACCCTGACCGACTCTTCCGCGCCAAAGCGATGTTGACTGCAGCTGAAGTCAGCATCAACGACTTCGACCCTTCGTTCAGGCTAGAATGTCAGCGCATGGCAGCTCGGGAGAGACGGCGTCGAGAGGAGTACAGGAAGAACAAGGAGAAGGAGAAGGAAGCACAGGAGGCTGAGGCCGCGTTAAATGCTGCTCCTGGTATCCGACGGAGTGCGCGGCAAAATGGCCAGCCCTTGGAGATCTCCATCACGGACCCCACGCATATTGAGCGGCGAGGCAAGAGACATCGGTCCACATCTGCGGTTGCCACAGGCTCGGAAGACGAGAACGGCGATAGAGCCTCGAAGCGCTCACGTACAGATGCCGATGGGATGATGGATAGCGCTGCAGCAACTCTATCATCTGAGAAACCAGCTGGCGTACGCTTCGCAGACGACGTGGAACAAGTTCAGACACTATCCGTACCAGAGCCACAGTTGAACGGTTTCCATGAGCAAGTGTCCGTACCCAACGAGCTGGTCCAGGTTCCCGAGGTCCTGCAACCCCAACCTCAATCTCAATTTCAGCTTGAGCCAGAGCCAGAGCTTCCGCGTCGCACCGGTGGTTTCGACCCTTCACTACTTAACCCCCTTCCGTCACCCACGGGCATGCCGCAGGCCGGCCCCTCTTCTGTGACTCTCGATGTCCAGAACAATCCTTTCCTCTCGCACAATACGCCGTCACTTGCGCCTTTTGCCCCGCCCGCGCCTGAGATCGAAGTGTATCCGCCGCAGCCAGAGCCATCAATGGATGCAGAGCCTGCCGTCCCCGAACAGCCGGCTCCCAGTGAGGAGGCTGAGACGACCCGACCCGATGTGCCCGATGTGCCCATGGAGATCCATCGCACACCCAGTCCGGTGCCTGACTTCATCCTGGACGAGTACCTTATATGTGACCTGAAGCGGACATTGCGGGACGACACGACGTCTCTCAGCGTGGAACAGCTCGAGCAGCTGCGCGCAATATGCCTTGGTTGTGTATGGCGGCATCGATCCGACTGGGATCGCACCGAGGTCGTCCGTGAGCTCATGGACAACGCCAAGGTGTTCGTTGAGGAAGCCTCCACTGACGATATGGACGCTCCGTCACCATGATGAGATATCCGGGAATGTGTCACCTGTAGATCTGTATAGCTGCATAATTTGTCTTTATACGTTCCATTTGTATTCTCAGCATAGTACCCCTCGTACATCATCACCTGTATGTTATTCAACGCACGATATGGTCATCCCTATTGCCCGTCATCGCTGTCCCCACATCCGGATCCCAGCAGATCAACTCAAGTGAGCATCGACGAAAACGCAGTTGTCCCAAGTTAAGACGGCCCCGCGGTCAGTCACGCCTTGTACATAGAATCTCAATGTCTTCGCGTTCGACATCGCCACAGGAAGGCAGGCAGGATCGACTCCGAACCTGTTCCGCCGACCGTCGAGACCTGTTGTCCCGATCCAAATGGCGGTCTCTGGACCGCCGATGTTCCCATCGGACGGATACACCTGTGCATAGATGTTGAAGAACGCGAATGCAGGGAAAGCCTCCTCAAGCGTCCATAGCGGTGTCGGATCCTCCGGGTCTCTAGCCAATGCAGTGCTGGTCACAGGCCCAAGCGAAGCTGCGATATCCCAGGATAGGACACCAGACAACCGTGATGCATTCTTTGGTTGGAGAGCGTAGTCTGCCCACAGGATTTTCGGCTGGTGAGTGCTGATGCCGGGAGCGGGGGAAGGTGAGGTAGGATGGACACTCATGAGGCCCAGGAGGATGTTAGTGTCGATGGCATCTGTGGGAGCTTTGAAGCCTACGACGAGGCCAACTGCTGATAGGACGTTGGTCGACTGGTCGCTCCGCAAGATGACGTCTGCCGAAAGAGACTGCCAGCCATGCGACAAGCCTGAGCTTTGAGGTGTCCTCTGTTTGACGTCGAAGGCAGGTGTGGGCGAGTCTCCCAATACTTTCACAGAATGCGTGACGTCGAGTTCGAGGATGGAATGAGAGGTAACCTTGTAGACAAGAGTGACGGTGTAGGATACATGGGGCGAGAGTGCAAGCGTCTGGACAGGGATCCAGAGGGACCTGCGAGCGTTGTCTTCGCCTTCCTGTCCCAATAGAGACAGTGTGATGTTGAGAGAGCTACCACCGAGCCACGCGTCCGTCAAGCAGAGCGAGGTCGACGTCGCAGGCACTGGCAGCGCTTCTTGGGAGTCGACCCATTGCGGCAAGGGCCGTGGCCACACAAGGTCACCTAGTGCCGTTGTCTTATCCAGATCTGTCCAACCAGCTGTGGTCCCGTACGCTTTCTTCCCCTGCACAAACCAAGCGTACCCGATGCCCGGCGAGAAGTATGTTAGGAACGGCAGCTCCTTGGGGTTGGGTGGGGCCTGTCGAGGGAAGAACGCAGAGACGGGGGTGAACTCGCCGTGCTGACAGTCCGGCTCGCCCGCACGGGGATTGTGTGGAGGGACTTCTACGGCCTCGCCTTCCGTCTCGGGCCCGATCCAAAGCTTGCGCTCGTACGCCCACCACGTCTCCCAGGAAAAGCCAGGCTTGTCCTGCTCGGTCTCCCAGGACCAGCCGGGCCCAAAGAAGGCGACGCTGAGTCCTAGGAACTCTGGGTCGATGTGCGCAAGGGATCGGTAAGACCCGAACCCGCCTCCACCGTGTTGGCCGCGGCCCCAAACGTCGATGCCGACGTAAATGTCCTGGAGTGTTTTGGGGACGGTCATCAAGGCGGGATCTAGGCTGAAGAAGTATTGCGCTGTGAGGGACGGATAGTTGGGCCGCCACTGCGCGGATATGAGTTCTAGGGTAGACACGTCGATTTGATCGGTCACTCACTGTATAGTTCGTGAAGAAACCAGACGACGGAAGGAAGAATGGCAGGTTGTAGTTGTTCAGCCTGTCTTGCCAGCGCAGATCGCCCGTGACGACAACGCTATCGTACCTTCGTAGAGACGGTCAGTTATCGGATGCCTGTCGTGCTGCCTTATGCCTTACCAGATAGTCTCAGCGTGCGAGCCAATCCTCCGCTTGAGCTCGCTTTCGAGTACGGAGATCCACGCTGCGAGAGCCCTAGCCTGCTCGATGCGACCAATCAGAGGAACTTCCACATTGAGGAGGTAGCCATCGAATCCTCGTTGATGTGCCAACTCAGCGAGGAGCTTCGCGTAATGTGGCGACAAGGGAAATGAGCTGTCCGCAGATGGAGCAGCTGGCCCCGTCTTCGACTGCGGCAGGTGTCCGACAAGGACCCGCAAGCAATCCTGCTGCCCAGCGTCATGTTCAAATATCCTGGTGCGATGTTTCAGCGACAACGTGGCAGTCAATTCTGCAGGGCCCACACTCACAGAGTCCCGAGCATCTTCACACCCTGCCTGTGGGCAGCGTTAATCCATCCTGCCGGAGGTACCGTCACCCGATGGTGCGAAAAACTGCTCTCCTCGTTAAGCGAGCAGTCGCCAGCGCCGCCCGGCCTTACTCACTAAATGAACGTATCGCAGTAGGACCAAAAGTTGAATGTATAGGCGAGCCCCGAGGGTGTTTCAGTATAGCCACCCTGTGTCAACATCGCGTGAATTTGTGGTCCGTACAATCCTGTCCTAACATTACCTTGTAGTCATGGCACACCTTTGCAATAGGTATAATGTCAGTTATCGTTCCACTGTTCAGTGATAGGTTCGTATCACCAGAAGTCTGCCTCTGTTCTGAGATGAAGCATCCGTTCCGACCAGTGGGCGCGCTATGTAGGGCAATACACCGTCTAGACCAGCATGAGGTTTAGTGGCCCAGTCGTCCAGATCCGCAAGTGTCTTGAAGTAGGCTGCGTCACTTCGAATATCCTCGGTGTGGTCGGTTCCACGCAAAGGCATCCCGTCTCAGCGTGCAACGATCTGTATAGAGGGGCAAGAACAGTACTGATTACTAGTATGCGATAGGAATGGTCGTGGCTAGTCACTATTAAGGTTCAAGTGTTCAAGCGTTCATCCAATTCGGACCAGGCAATACGGCGGCGTTGCAAACGGGCGTCAACTGTAACGCAGCAAAGCCCGTCCTTGGATCTGCTCTACCACAGTGCTGCTCGCAGAATGCAGTCGCGTCGCGCGACGGTGGAGCCTCGACGCCCGCCCGCATGCGCCGAGCCCGCGTCGCGCTCCTCGCCAACGCATCCCATTGGCTGCCGTCTCGTCTCGGACCGTCTCGACAGCGACCTGGCTCCCTTTCAGCGCCGTCCTCTCGCTGCTGTCGCCGTCCGACTGCCATCCCAATGCCATCCTCCCGCCGCCGTCTGCCGTCCTTCCGCCGCCGTCTGCCTGTCCCCCGCCGCATCTCTCGCCCTCCCGTTCCTGCTGCTCGCGCCCGCCGCGCCCGCCGCTGCCCTGGCTGCATCCGCGCGTCCGAGGCGCGTCGGCGATACCCACAACGCAACGTTTCCCCTCTTTTCCAAGCACAAGGTTCGTCTTTCCCTTTTCTTCCCAGATCGCACGCATTCATCCAGAAAACCCGTCTCTCAACCTCCTCTCCCGACTTGCTTAGCCTTCCCCCGCCCCGAACCCGCCACAAATCTCCAACCTGCGCATCTCCAGGCGATGCGCAAGCATCGTACCACCCTCCTCTCACTCGCCGGACCATGTCTATGCATCGGACGGTTCGCTACACGCCGTTCTCTGCACGCTGCCCAACAAGCGCCCGCGGTCGTCCCCTGCGCGCTGTGTCTACCCCCGCCATCACCTAACGCCTCTCTGCGCGACGCAGATTGCGCTGCAGCCGTCTGCTCATGCATCTCGCACGCACGATCGTCAGGTGTCCTACACGCGCGCCGCGAGCACACGAGCCACGCTCGCTCTGCCGCACTCTACACGCCGCACTTCACTCAACTCGCGTCCGGTCGTGTACAGTTCCGCGCACAGCACACACGTCAGTGCGACTCAATCCGTTCGGCTCACGGCGATCCGAGACACACGACGGACATCGCGCAACATGCAAACCTACGTACGCCCATCCGCAGCACCTCCCGCAGCCGCTGGCAACGGTTCCGCACCGCGAGGACAATGCGTCGCAACTCATGCCGCGTCCCCTCCCACGCCCGCGGCCCATGATCAGGACACCTCCGTGAAGACGCCTGCGAGGATCTACGACAGCGCGCCCATCGTCAGCGACTCCCAGGACGGCGTCCACAGTCAACACGGCTCACCTGCTCCCGCCAACGCGAGTGGTGTCGAAATCGCCGGGAACGCGGCACGACGCTCGGCGGCTCGCACACAGGGCCCGTCGAGGGCATCTGTGAATCCATGGTTAGTGCTCTTGGCCAATCCGCGCGGCGAACCGTACAACTTACCGACACCCCCTGCGTCCTCCGCGCTCGCCCTTATAGCTCGCCCGCGTGGGTGCTCGGCAGCACGGTGACAACACTTGCTTCCCGTCGCGTTCTGGGCGACGTCCGCGGAAGCGAGCGTGGCGCTGCGTCTGGCGTGGAAGCCAGCCTCGTCGGTCGCCACAGACACGGACGGATGCATGGACACGGCGGGCGAACGCCGCTCCGCCGCGACAGTCGAGTGGGACGGCTCTGGCTGCGCGCGGATCGGACGCAGGCCGTCCTTCCTCAGCGCAAGAGGGCCGTCCAGGATTCCACGCGCGTGTGCAGCCGCGCCTTGGGCCAAGCATCTTCGCGGCGAGCTGGCTGAGCGGCGGCGGTGCAGGGACGTGCAGGCAGTCACGACGACGGACCGACGCAGCGCATCACGGCATGCCCCAGACAACGGAGCCGAGCAGGCGATGCGATTGGGACGGGCTGCAGCATCGTACGACGGGTGCCAGCGCACTTCCATTCTCCGTGACCGGCTCGAGCATGCAGCTCTCGAGGGGGGTATTCGCCTCCCTGGGTCCGAGCCCCCTCCCTCCTCATTCACCCTCCACTCGCTCGTTCACTAGACTGTTCTCCGCACCGATCGGATCGGTGTCCGCAGTGTGTCGAAGTTGTATGTCCCTGGACCGCGGGGGCTCAGCGTCCGCGACAGGGCTGAACGCGGTGAGCACTGTCACCGCATTCCCTGGTGCTCACAATGTCTTGCTTTGGAGTGGATGACGTGCCCGCGGGAGCGGCTCGAGCAGGATGCGAGTGGGGAGCCACGATGCTAGGTATGCCATCGGCGCAGGCCGATACACAGACCCGTTCGCGGCGTAGCGGGAGTTCCTGGGGACGCGATGGGGCGGGCGGGGGTGCGTTGATGGATGCACCGCGACGTCGATATCGGCGTGCAAACCGACACGCAGAGATGCATGCCGGTGCACCGCTGCGACGATCGCTGTGTAGATGACCGGCGCGTCGTGCACACCGCTCCGTGTAGGTACAGATATCATGTACTTAGTGTCGCGACGAATGAATGAATTTGAGCTACCTATTACATATGGCGGGCGTGAAGCGCGAGGATGGTCTGAGCCGTCGCAGCCTCCGCCTGCGACGTCTCGGGTCTGGGCTATGAAATAGAACACGACGAGGACCAGAGACGTGGCATGTACACTGCGCAGCGAATCCCGCAATGGTCGAGTGAATAACGTACTCGATACCACCGGATACCACCAACCACCCATCTGCCCTCCACGTACCCTTGACGTTTTTCGTCGAGCCATTGGGCTCGTGCTGCGAGTCTCGGCGACATTGCGCCTGCTGACCTTCGAGTGCCAGCGGGCCCAGACGAGAAGTCGTGTCTGTGAGGTCGACTGAAGGGAAGGAGACGACGCACCTGCACGGCGTGATTGCGTCGTCAGTGAAGCTTGAAAGAGCCGGATGCTCGCTTGACATCTGTAGGGACAGAGCCGTCTCGCCAGGACACGAGTGATGCGACGTGAAGTGCCCTGCCAGGGGCGCAAGGCACTAGTACTCAGTTCACTGATCGCCACTGGTGTCAGTTTGAGGCTGTGAGATGGGCGACTCACAGGATGGGATCCGGAAGTCTGGGCTGTGGAGGTGAGGAATTGACGTGAGAGGGCCGACAGTCCAACATCTGAAGACTGTCGACCGTCCGGTCGCTCGATTACTTGTACGCGCGATCCGAACCGCCCTCAACGCGGATCTCGTTCAATGAGCAGATCGGTCCGGCGGAGCCTCAGCGCATGGCACGGTGACAGAGCCGTCGAGGACAATGGAATAGCGACACTGAGGCACAGGTCCGCTGGGCAAAGGACGACTCGGAGAGTGTCAGTGACTGCTCGTGGTCTAACCAGACGAGTATGGCCCGATCCTTGCATGTTCTCCGTGCTGTTCTGAAGTCGAGCAAACGGCTGATCAGGCCGTGCAAGGCAGAACGATGTGACGCACCGTACCGTACTTGGGGATGATAGCACCGCTACATGCCAGTGGGCTTGGAGATAATAGCATCGCCAGTTGCTTGGCTCTGAGTTTTGGATTGCACACGACTGTCTTGACTCACCGTGAATCAAGTGCTGTGTGGTACAACGGTAGCCCGACCGGACTAGCTCGCCGCGCAAAATCCCGTGTTCTCAATTTACAAGGGATCGCTCCGCAGTTTGTCTGCCAGTGCGCCCGTTTGACCGAGTTGAGGAGTGTAAGTGTCACCGTCGAATGCGATGAGGATGTTCAAGGAAGGCAGTATGGCGATGCTCAGTGCACATAGCTACGGCATCGATGTACCGGCAACGCACGAGAACATCACTGCCGTACGTTGATTCTCTCTCGTGAGCATAGATGCTGTAATTGTACGAACGCAGCACTCACCTTTCGAAGTGTCCGATATACACGTTAGCAGCATGATCGCCCAGTCACTGTCGTCGATGCGTTTTCTTTACTCTGAATCTCAAGCGTTGTGTACTGCCTTCGTGCACCTCGACTTACAATCGCTGGTCGACAACGTTAATTCGCTCTCAGATCGAGTGCTGTTGCACATCTCTACGCCTTGCACGTTCCCCTCAAGTGCGTGTTGTCTTCCCGCTATCCAGCGTATAACTCGACTGGTCGAATCCGACAGGCACAATGTACCCTCAGACAGTCGCTCCGACGACGACGTCAGTGGCTGCTTCCGAACAGCAAAGTAAGACGGGAAACTAACCACTTATTCTCGATACAGACCTAGTTCCGCGAACGCTGAGACGTCATCCAGCGACGGCTGGTGGCGAGCGGGTATATCAGACCCATAAAAACTGCCATTCACTCGTCGATTGCTCACTGCCTCGGCGCAACTCTGGACATCCCTCACGGGAGCCCGACGATGCAGTAGCAGTGACACTGCTCGCCGAAACCTCGCTCAGCGTGTCAAAGTCATGACTTCGATCGGATGACGCACTCTCCATCGTAGATCCCTCACACAACGCTCGGGCCGAATAGAAGGCAGGCAGGCAGGCTAGGTACCGTGCCCGGGGATGAGGGACACGGCTGCTTTCCGTGAACAGCGGACCCGAGCAGTCGAAGTCGAGGTCAGTCGTACGTCGTACAGCCCCGCGAGTCGACATGGGGCTGACAGGGAAGTGCATGCGTCGGCTGTAACAGTTGACGGCAAGCAGGTGAGTAATGGCGGCCGAGACGTGGGACAGTCTCGGCACCTCGTATGGAGCAATGAGTTGGCAGACGGCGTATTTGGTAGTGGGACAGGCTTTGTTCAATATATTAGATCCAAATAACAAACAAGCTCGTCTCATGAGGGTAATGCATCCTCACAAACATCGAGCGTCACGATTCCAGCACGCATGTGCGCTAGGTCCGCGATAGAGTCGGCAGACGCGGGCCCCATGGCATACGATCAACAACGGCGTACGCGTCAAACAGAGAATGGAATTCGGGCAGAGAACCGAGGAAGGAATCACTACCCTATCGCGTACATCAAGTCTCGACTCGTCTTTGACGTTGGGCCTTGAAGGAATGAGTCGCCACCCGGGAGACGGGCACCGGCATCATTTGACGTCCTCGTGAAGGAATACCCAGCTCGTGCACGATGCGATACGTCTTGGTGCGCGTATCGGCTGGCGGTTTAAACAGCCAGGATCGGTACGGTACGTTCATACCAGTGTCAATGTGACTGGTACTCGCGTCAACACCACAGCAGAGTCGGCGGGAGATGGTGCTCTGCCCATCTGCGGCGCTCGAGATCGCTCGGCGATATACTCGAGACGCCTCCGATCGACGTGTAGAATGCGCATCGTGGGTGCATCTCAAAGGGACATCATATCCGCGACTGCCCGCCGCAAATAGCAGAGTGATCTCCCCTCAAAGGCCCTTCGTCCCCGCCAGGGAAGATCGCGCTGACATTATAGCGTCACCGTTCGCGTTACGATCACACAGTCGGTACCGCAAATACCCTTTTGACCGCCCAGGGGTGTATGCGCCGCGGACGTCGAGGGGAAGCGTGGCTCTGCGTGAATAGTGGACGTAACAAGCGCATAGACTCACCGGTGCCGTGGCCATATCGTCCGTTCCGCCCTTCTACGGGTCTCAAATCGAGATCTTCGTTCATAGCCTGTCTGACATGATCTGTCGAGGTCAGGGAGAACCGGGGCGCACGCGGCAGGACGTGTAGAGTGCCTGCAAAGTCCGGAGTCGGAAACCTGATTCCCAGCCAAAGCTGCAAGTGTGCCCTACATTCTTTGAATGTGAGAGGGTCCGAACCACGTAGTGCACTGCGACAGGGACAGGGCGAGCGGGTGGGTACTTGGACGCTCCGAGATTGGTTGAATATCGCCAAGTTCGCCAGGAGAGGCCCTCGAAATGCGGAAGAGGGCTGCAGATAGCCTGTGACAGTCTATGACAGGTAGGTCTGCGTGTTTTAATCCTCTGTCCGCGGGCGCATATAGGCGGAGAGAGATTGGCTGGGAGGAACAAGCGAGCGGACGCGCGAGTAGATGGGTGTACGGAACAGAGCAGCGCGTGACGCGCCACCGATGCGCCTCCTTCAAGTTGACCGACACTCACTGAGTACTGGCAGTGACAGTACTTGGCTCATGCTCTCTCGATCTAAAGCTGCCTGAGAGCACATGCGATCCTCTCCAGCACTCTCTACTCAGTGTCCATCACTTCTACGCTACATGCGCCTGTGACTCATCTAGCGCTGCGCTGCACACGCATAGCTTGAGGGCGCATCACAAATCGATCTCGACCCTCGGGCCTCAGTAGCGTGGACGACCTCAGCCGGCGGATAAGAGGCATGCGTGAGTTCATTCCAGTCCAATAAGTGGAAGACGCATAGGGAGGGGCGTGAAAGGCAGGACGATAGTCCGTGCAATGCTACGTACAGCTGACTACCGTGACGATACCTCTCTTCCAGACACAGTGATAGTCTACGTGCCTACTCCCGCCGCAAGGCCAGCATCCTGTCCTCCGCTACTGTGGGCAAAGCTCCCGCCCATCGCAAGCCCCAAGCCCACACTCGACCGACCCGACAAAGATGCGGCAACCGACGAGGATCTATGGTGGGTCACCGGTCGTCAGCAAGCGGTGTCCATAGTCGAGAGAGCTTACCTCCGGTGTCGCACATGCGGACGATGTTGACCACTCCACGTCATTCACGACAGCTCCCGCAGACGGCGTACAGCTCAACAGTACGCTAACGCGGCCTGGTCGTCTGGAAATGGGCGGTCAGTATTCTTACCACTCGGGACGGACAGAAGTACAACTCACCGATGCCCCTCGGTTCCCACCACGCTCGCCTATATACGTCGCTCGCCTCGGGTGCTCGTCAGCGTGGTGACAGCAGCCAAGTCTCCGTCACCTTTCCGGGCGAAGTTCACGGAAGCGAACACGACGCGGCGTCTGGCGTGAATGGCAGCCTTGTCAGTTGCCACAGACGCAGACTCGGACGGACTGATGAAGGCATGTCATGGCGCCACAACCCGCAAGCTCATCCAGGTATGATGCGCTTGTTGATCGCGCATGGCCGTGAACGTCTTATGGTGACAAGATGCAGGAGGACGGCGTAAGAACAAGTCCGCAAAGTGGACAATCGATCTGGTCCGTCGCGGCCTACTCTAGACAAGCTACGGAGGGAACGTGACTGGGAGGATGTGCATCTTGTGCGAAAGTATCGTACGAGCGGATTGAGCAAGATTCCATTCATCGTGTTTGCCAGCCGACAAGTCCGTCGCCCTCAGTCCGCAAAAGTAGGTTGCACTTCCGCGTCAACGTCCATTGCACAAGCGAGCGCCACGACCCGTCGCCGGTCGTCTTCTCTCTTCCCTCGCGCGTCAGTATTCAATGCTACGCCTTTTGCTCGCTCGTCGGAAGGCCGCCATTTCCTGCGCTAGGCCATTGGCTATCAGAGAAGCTTCCGAGCCGCGAGCGACGTTTACCGGTCACAGCGTGGCTCGGCGAGGTGAGTACTGACTGTCACAGTATTTTCTGGTTCCGGTGCGCTCGGGCAGGACAAGTAACGATTTCGGATAACGGCGGGCGTGGGTGCGGAGAACTTCCACATTGGTGTCACCGTCAGTGCAGGCCGCAGGGTATGCCCGCGGAGTCATTGTCTAGTTCTCTTATATGTCTTTTCTCGGAACTTCACGGACACCGCACATGTGCTGTATGGTTCTCGAAAAATTTCAATTAGTAGGCGTATTGAACAATCCGGCTTATGCATACCTGATTGTCCGAGTCGAGTGAATACTCTGAGTGGAACACGGAACATTCGCCGCTCGGATTCACCGAGGCTCACAGTCGATCATGTGGCCATGCCTAAGCTCAAGTACGTGATGCTCTACAAATGGTCATCTACGTACAACCTATGAAGCAGAACTAGTGTGATTCCGTACTTGAGAGCTTGAACATTCATTGAGACGGAGAGACACTATCTAAATATGGCACGGCGCTACGACTCAACCTGGTATAGATCCAGATCCGGATTGCCATTTTAGGTGAGCCACCGTTCCCTGTACCACTTCCACGAGCTCAAGAGTCAACAGGCCGATCAAAAGTCTTCAAAATACAATAGGACCTGTGACAGTAACAGTGAGTGATTTATTGATTTGGTTCGTGACTCAAAACTGGGTGGGCCTACGTGACTGTACCTGCCCATCATGTTCCGAGCCTGTCGGGGATGGGCTATATCGGGTAAGTACCATTCACCTACTAGGATACAATTCGGCTCAGTGGAACACTGAGAATATGTCTGCTGAGAGCGAGTAAGATGATGAGTAAGCCTGAATGTCAGTCGTGGTCTGAATACGATGAGATCTCTTACTCAGTACTGCTGAAGTTAGATTATCGAAATGTGAGTGGTAAACTGAGGACTCGGAGCAGAGTGTATGTGAGCAGACTGGGTAAGCACGGAGATCACAACTCAAATGACATATAATCAGGGTTCATCGGAAGAATGCATGACTGACAGGAGACAAGCACCCAGTGTCCGAAGAGATGCTCGGTGACATTGGCGCGCATTTGTGGCGCCATCCAAGTGTTGAGGCGAACATCACTGGTGCAGTGATCGCGGAGACTATGCGGCTCTGACATGATCCCGGCATTCAGCGTACAGGAGCCGAGCATGGGCAGTATAAGGGCTGGTGAGCAGAGTGGACAGACGGACTCCCCTGCCCCCCACTATGCTCCTCCCCTCACTGATCATTAATCGCCGCCGAAGTCTACGTCCATCATCTCGTGTACTCACTCGGACCTACCATCGCCGCTCGCCGATCACCATTCCGATTCCCGATCCACCATCGCCATGAACACTCGACCTTGCATGTATACACAGTCAGTATATCTCTCTCACTGCCGTGATCATACCTATACTCACCATTTATTCCGTGTCCTGACAGGTGCTATTGAATGCTGTCATCGAGGGTGAAGATGCACGTATACTATACGATCCTCGCCGAACTCTGTAAGCCCTTTCCCGATTTAGTAGCCGTCTTGCCTCAGGCGCTCACTGTGACGGTCTCGCGTTTACGAACTTAGCTTACTAGAAGCTGCACCCATGAAGTCACGCTCGACTCCAAGTCGGACTCTTACTTCCCTTGAGACAATGAGGTGTGTCAGCGAGTCTACGCCGTACACGCATGCCACAAACTATTCATCTCACGCAGGATCTTACTAGAGTGAACATCGACGAAGTTGCAGCGGTGTGCGTTGCTTATGAACACAAACCCGGACGCTCAGTATGGGTGTCGTAGAATCGTGAGGAATGAGCCCTGTCCGATAGTATGTGATCGACGTGTATCGGCATGTGGTACGTCTGTCAAGTTGCGGTCTGTATGGCTATACTTGGTACTAATGGATGTAACTCAACAGGCCGGCGTACTAGTCAAGCACGAAGTACAAGGATCATACCGGCGCAGCACTCCTATCTCTGAGGTGAGCATACATGGGGCACGCGTCGACTCGTCGTGCTCACATGAAGTGTATGTGCAGCCTCATGCCCTCCGTACTCGGCGAGTACTGGTAGTAGAACGACCAATGGCGGCGCAGGACATAAGGCGCGAGTTGACGTCTACACTACGTGGGAGACATGTCGGTGGACAGTTTCCGTGTCCATGTAGACAGACACGTTGCATGCGGCGGCCTTGCGTTGACAGGTATGTCAGGCGCCGCGATGTGTTGACTGTCGCGCATGACGATTATTGATTAGTTATGAGTAGATTAGCCCTTGTCACGTCAAGATGGAACTACATCATCCACCGCCCGAGGCTTCTGGCGTGTTGTACGTGGGTCCTGTTGTGCATTATGTCTCGCGATACCGTGTACTGATCATCGCGCTGTCAGCTCCTTTACCTGTCCCATTAATGTGCTTGGTCGGGTAATAAACATTGTCATTTGAGTGGTACTCGAGCTGTCAGTCGCAAAGGGCGTTGATCCCCAAGTCGAGGACTTGTGTGGTAGGTGTCTCTGTCGAATGCGACACTCGATCGACTTGTACGCCATGCCTAGCCACTTGAGCCGCGAAACTTCGGTACTGTAGGTGGCACGGTGCCGCCTCGTGATCTATAACACCGCCGGGATGACGATGTTCGTCAGCCACGTTTACGATGCAGTCGTGAAGGTACAGATGGCGGGACGAAGGGCAACAAGTCCTTCGTACCTTTCATTCCAAGCCCTCTGTCATGTATAACACCTCTGCGAGTGCTCCTCGCCTCAAGGACTACTGCGGTCGATAAGGTAAGACATACATGATATATGTCCTTGTTCCTCCCGCTCACATACCTGCAACTATGGATCACCCACTCAGACATGCTGCCCGAGTGTTGCCGTAGCCTCTTACGATGTATACCCGTGTCTCACTCCAGACGCGAGCCCCCGCCGAGGACCGATTCGCATTCGATGAACACGTTCCAAGGTCAGATGATGCCGCTCGGTCACCGATATGCTGGGACGGCAATATATATATAGAACGCCGTCCGGCGAGCAAGGTGTTACGGCCAGGTTCGTGGTGAACGCCGATCAGTCTACGTCGATGCACTGACCTTTGTGCGCCATGTAGCCTTCCACCCGACGTTCCCCGAGGAGTGCGTCCATCACGCGGTACGCATCCATGTTGCTGCCAGGCCCCAGAGTCCGAGTCCGAGGTCATGCATGGTAATGTATATATGGATCGTCTTCCCGCGAGCGGGCTTTCCGTGAGGGTGCGTAGGTAGCCATATCCATGCTCGCAATGACACTGACCGACACTCGAAGTCACCTTCCGAGGACGATCCGCAATTGGCCGACAAGAGGCATGTGCACGTCAACGCTACGCAGGCTCCCTGATGGACACTGTGCCTACCCGGACGTTCTCGGCTGCCCTGCTCGTGACCGCGGCCGACCGCGCGTGGTACATGCATGGCGAGTTATGGGCAAAGACGAAGGTCGCAAGCCTTTCGTAGACTGACTAGTAAGTGTCTTGACATGCGTGGTAGTTATTAGATTCTAACGAGACTCCGGTACACACAAGTCCATTGTCGTCTCCGCGACGTTGGTCTGTCAGGTTCTGACAGGATACTGGGTGGCCCGTGAACGGTACGTGATGTACGTGCGGACACCTTGCATGTGCCGACGCGCCGGTGGCAGTAAGCGGCGCATACGGTGCTTCTCACTTACAATGCCTCGAAGGGCAATGTATATATGTATCGACGTCCGCCGACCAACGTCTCGGGCCCTGTACGGGTTGAACTCTACACGCTGACTTTGTGGTGCCCGGAACGGCGATGTATGTACATATCGACGTCCGGCGAGCGACATCCCAGACCGTGCGAGAGGTGTGTTGTCTGTCAAACACAGGGACCATATCACTGACACGACGTCTCGTGTTGCGCGCGAGTCCCCTCCGAGTTTGTCGTTGCCGGGCTCGTCGTCAACGTGCAGATCGCCGTCCGACGAGCGGGCGATCTTGAGCGGTGAGCACTCAGTCCTTTTCCCTCGTTGACCGACACTAACTTGGCGAGCATACCAGTGCGGCGTGGCGCGACAACAGTGTCCCGTGGCGTCCGTCTCCCGTTCGCCGTGCCTCGCAGGTGGACGAGCTCGCCTTGTATGGTGAGTTGTGCGTCGTGCATGTGGCTGCCATGTTTGCTGATGAGTCTACACAGCCGCCTGCGACTGGTCGACCGAGTCGGGGGACATTGCTTTCACTGGAGCGCATGTATGTACATGGACAGACTTGGCTGCAGAGAGGACATTCGGTGGGAGGAGGGTCACGCGCCGCCGGGATGCGCAAGAGAGGGGGAGGGCTTTTTTTTTTTTTTTGTTCATCAGCATGTACATACGGGGCCCCGTTTGCGTGATCTGCGAAAAAGTTTCGGCACGCGATAATTGACGAGCTCCCTGCGGGGAGGCGGAACTATGGCCGAAAAAAGTGTGTTTTGGACTTGGGAAAAACATCGTCTTTCTGCGCTCCAGCCAATCCCTGCGCCCGCACGTAATCTCCCCACGCCCGCCGTGCGACGATCCCCGCCCCCGCCCCCACGCCGCACTCACACGCTGGCCGCGCAGATGCAATTGGACACTCACCGTTGACGAGCTACCACCAAGCCACGCGTCCGTCAAGCAGAGCGAGGTCGACGTCGCAGGCACTGGCAGCGCTTCTTGGGAATCGATCCATTGCGGCGAGGGCCGTGGCCATACAAGGTCACCTAGTGTCGTTGTCTTGTCGAGATCTGTCCAACCAGCTGTGGTTACGTACGCTTTCTTCCCCTGCACAAACCAAGCGTACCCGATGCCCGGCGAGAAGTATGTTAAGAACGGCAGCTCCCTGGGGTTGGGCGGGGCCTGTCGAGGGAAGAACGCAGAGACGGGGGTGAACTCGCCGTGCTGGCAGTCCGGCTCGCCCGCACGGGGATTGTGTGGAGGGACTTCTACGGCCTCGCCTTCCGTCTCGGGCCCGATCCAAAGCTTGCGCTCGTACGCCCACCACGTCTCCCAGGAAAAGCCAGGCTTGTCCTGCTCGGTCTCCCAGGACCAGCCGGGCCCAAAGAAGGCGACGCTGAGTCCTAGGAACTCTGGGTCGATGTGCGCAAGGGATCGGTAAGACCCGAATCCGCCTCCACCGTGTTGGCCGCGGCCCCAGACGTCGATGCCGACGTAGATGTCCTGGAGTGTTTTGGGGACGGTCATCAAGGCGGGATCTAGGCTGAAGAAGTATTGCGCTGTGAGGGACGGATAGTTGGGCCGCCACTGCGCGGATATGAGTTCTAGGGTAGACACGTCGATTTGATCGGTCACTCACTGTGTAGTTCGTGAAGAAACCAGACGACGGAAGGAAGAATGGCAGGTTGTAGTTGTTCAGCCTGTCTTGCCAGCGCAGATCGCCCGTGACGACAACGCTATCGTACCTTCGTAGAGACGGTCAATTATCGTATGCCTGTCGTGCTGCCTTATGCCTTACCAGATAGTCTCAGCGTGCGAGCCAATCCTCCGCTTGAGCTCGCTGTCTAGTATGGAGATCCACGCTGCGAGAGCCCTAGCCTGCTCGATGCGACCAATCAGAGGAACTTCCACATTGAGGAGGTAGCCATCGAATCCTCGTTGATGTGCCAACTCAGCGAGGAGCTTCGCGTAATGTGGCGACAAGGGAAATGAGCTGTCCGCAGATGGAGCAGCTGGCCCCGTGTTCGACTGCGGCAGGTGTCCGACAAGGACCCGCAAGCAATCCTGCTGCCCAGCGTCGTGTTCAAATATCCTGGTGCGATGTTTCAGCGACAACGTGGCAGTCAATTCTGCAGGGCCCACACTCACAGAGTCCCGAGCATCTTCACACCCTGCCTGTGGGCAGCGTTAATCCATCCTGCCGGAGGTACCGTCACCCGATGGTGCGAAAAACTGCTCTCCTCGTTAAGCGAGCAGTCGCCAGCGCCGCCCGGCCTTACTCACTAAATGAACGTATCGCAGTAGGACCAAAAGTTGAATGTATAGGCGAGCCCCGAGGGTGTTTCAGTATAGCCACCCTGTGTCAACATCGCGTGAATTTGTGGTCCGTACAATCCTGTCCTAACATTACCTTGTAGTCATGGCACACCTTTGCAATAGGTATAATGTCAGTTATCGTTCCACTGTTCAGTGATAGGTTCGTATCACCAGAAGTTTGCCTCTGTTCTGAGATGAAGCATCCGTTCCGACCAGTGGGCGCGCTATGTAGGGCAATACACCGTCTAGACCAGCATGAGGTTTAGTGGCCCAGTCGTCCAGATCCGCAAGTGTCTTGAAGTAGGCTGCGTCACTCCGAACATCCTCGGTGTGGTCGGTTCCACGCAAAGGCATCCCGTCTCAGTGTGCAACGATCTGTATAGAGGGGCAAGAACAGTACTGATTACTAGTATGCAGGCTTGAAGATAGGAATGGTCGTGGCTAGTCACTATTCAAGTGTTCAAGCGTTCATCCAATTCGGACCAGGCAATACGGCGGCGTTGCAAACGGGCGTCAACTGTAACGCAGCAAAGCCCGTCCTTGGATCTGCTCTACCACAGTGCTGCTCGCAGAATGCAGTCGCGTCGCGCGACGGTGGAGCCTCGACGCCCGCCCGCATGCGCCGAGCCCGCGTCGCGCTCCTCGCCAACGCATCCCATTGGCTGCCGTCTCGTCTCGGACCGTCTCGACAGCGACCTGGCTCCCTTTCAGCGCCGTCCTCTCGCTGCTGTCGCCGTCCGACTGCCATCCCAATGCCATCCTCCCGCCGCCGTCTGCCGTCCTTCCGCCGCCGTCTGCCTGTCCCCCGCCGCATCTCTCGCCCTCCCGTTCCTGCTGCTCGCGCCCGCCGCGCCCGCCGCTGCCCTGGCTGCATCCGCGCGTCCGAGGCGCGTCGGCTGATACCCACAACGCAACGTTTCCCCTCTTTTCCAAGCACAAGGTTCGTCTTTGCCTTTTCTTCCCAGATCGCACGCATTCATCCAGAAAACCCGTCTCTCAACCTCCTCTTCCCGACTTGCTTCAGCCTTCCCCCGCCCCGAACCCGCCACAAATCTCCAACCTGCGCATCTCCAGGCGATGCGCAAGCATCGTACCACCCTCCTCTCACTCGCCGGGACCATGTCTATGCATCGGACGGTTCGCTACACGCCGTTCTCTGCACGCTGCCCAACAAGCGCCCGCGGTCGTCCCCTGCGCGCTGTGTCTACCCCCGCCATCACCTAACGCCTCTCTGCGCGACGCAGATTGCGCTGCAGCCGTCTGCTCATGCATCTCGCACGCACGATCGTCAGGTGTCCTACACGCGCGCCGCGAGCACACGAGCCACGCTCGCTCTGCCGCACTCTACACGCCGCACTTCACTCAACTCGCGTCCGGTCGTGTACAGTTCCGCGCACAGCACACACGTCAGTGCGACTCAATCCGTTCGGCTCACGGCGATCCGAGACACACGACGGACATCGCGCAACATGCAAACCTACGTACGCCCATCCGCAGCACCTCCCGCAGCCGCTGGCAACGGTTCCGCACCGCGAGGACAATGCGTCGCAACTCATGCCGCGTCCCCTCCCACGCCCGCGGCCCATGATCAGGACACCTCCGTGAAGACGCCTGCGAGGATCTACGACAGCGCGCCCATCGTCAGCGACTCCCAGGACGGCGTCCACAGTCAACACGGCTCACCTGCTCCCGCCAACGCGAGTGGTGTCGAAATCGCCGGGAACGCGGCACGACGCTCGGCGGCTCGCACACAGGGCCCGTCGAGGGCATCTGTGAATCCATGGTTAGTGCTCTTGGCCAATCCGCGCGGCGAACCGTACAACTTACCGACACCCCCTGCGTCCTCCGCGCTCGCCCTTATAGCTCGCCCGCGTGGGTGCTCGGCAGCACGGTGACAACACTTGCTTCCCGTCGCGTTCTGGGCGACGTCCACGGAAGCGAGCGTGGCGCTGCGTCTGGCGTGGAAGCCAGCCTCGTCGGTCGCCACAGACACGGACGGATGCATGGACACGGCGGGCGAACGCCGCTCCGCCGCGACAGTCGAGTGGGACGGCTCTGGCTGCGCGCGGATCGGACGCAGGCCGTCCTTCCTCAGCGCAAGAGGGCCGTCCAGGATTCCACGCGCGTGTGCAGCCGCGCCTTGGGCCAAGCATCTTCGCGGCGAGCTGGCTGAGCGGCGGCGGTGCAGGGACGTGCAGGCAGTCACGACGACGGACCGACGCAGCGCATCACGGCATGCCCCAGACAACGGAGCCGAGCAGGCGATGCGATTGGGACGGGCTGCAGCATCGTACGACGGGTGCCAGCGCACTTCCATTCTCCGTGACCGGCTCGAGCATGCAGCTCTCGAGGGGGGTATTCGCCTCCCTGGGTCCGAGCCCCCTCCCTCCTCATTCACCCTCCACTCGCTCGTTGACTAGACTGTTCTCCGCACCGACCGGATCGGTGTCCGCAGTGTGTCGAAGTTGTATGTCCCTGGACCGCGGGGGCTCAGCGTCCGCGACAGGGCTGAACGCGGTGAGCACTGTCACCGCATTCCCTGGTGCTCACAATGTCTTGCTTTGGAGTGGATGACGTGCCCGCGGGAGCGGCTCGAGCAGGATGCGAGTGGGGAGCCACGATGCTAGGTATGCCATCGGCGCAGGCCGATACACAGACCCGTTCGCGGCGTAGCGGGAGTTCCTGGGGACGCGATGGGGCGGGCGGGGGTGCGTTGATGGATGCACCGCGACGTCGATATCGGCGTGCAAACCGACACGCAGAGATGCATGCCGGTGCACCGCTGCGACGATCGCTGTGTAGATGACCGGCGCGTCGTGCACACCGCTCCGTGTAGGTACAGATATCATGTACTTAGTGTCGCGACGAATGAATGAATTTGAGCTACCTATTACATATGGCGGGCGTGAAGCGCGAGGATGGTCTGAGCCGTCGCAGCCTCCGCCTGCGACGTCTCGGGTCTGGGCTATGAAATAGAACACGACGAGGACCAGAGACGTGGCATGTACACTGCGCAGCGAATCCCGCAATGGTCGAGTGAATAACGTACTCGATACCACCGGATACCACCAACCACCCATCTGCCCTCCACGTACCCTTGACGTTTTTCGTCGAGCCATTGGACTCGTGTTGCGAGTCTCGGCGACATCGCGCCTGCAGACTTTCGAGGGTTAGTTGGCCCAGACGAGAAGCCGTGTCAACTGAAGGGAAGGAGACGACGCACCTGCACGGTGTGATTGCGTCGTCAGTGAGGCTTGAAAGAGCCGGATGCTCGGCGTCTGCAGGAACAGAGCGTCGCCAGGACACGAGTGACGCGACGTGAAGGGTCTTGCCAGGAGCGCAAGGTACTAGTACTCAGCTCATTGATCGCCACTGGTGTCAGTTTGAGGCGGTGAGATGGGCGACTCACAGGATGTGATCCGGAAGCCTGGGCTGTGGAGGTGAGGAACTGGCGTGAGAGGGCCGACAGTCCGATATCTGAAGACTGTCGACCGTTGCTCGATTACTTGTACGCCTGATTCGAACCGCCTTCAACGCGGATCTCGTTCAATGAGCAGATCGGTCCGGCGGAGCCTCAGCGCATGGCACGGTGACAGAGCCGTCGAGGACAATGGACTAGCGACACTGAGGCACAGGTCCGCTGGGCAAAGGGCGTCTCGGAGAGTCAGTGACTGCTCGTGGTCTAACCAGACGAGTATGGCCCGATCCTTGCATGTTCTCCGTGCTGTTCTGAAGTCGAGCAAACGGCTGATCAGGCCGTGCAAGGCAGAACGATGTGACGCACCGTACCGTACTTGGGGACGATAGCACCACTACATGGGCTTGGAGATAATAGCATCGCCAGTCGCTTGGCTCTAAGATTTGGATTGCACACGACTGCCTCGACTCAAGTGCTGTGTGGTACAACGGTAGCCCGACCGGACTAGCTCGCCGCGCAAAACCCCGTGTTCTCAATTTACAAGGGATCGCTTCGCAGTTTGTCTGCGCCCGTTTGACCGAGTTGAGGAGTGTAAGTGTCATCGTCGAATGCGATGAGGATGTTCAAGGAAGGCAGTATCGCGATGCTCAGTGCACATAGCTACGACATCGATGTACCGGCAACGCACGAGAACATCACTGTCGTACGTTGATTCTCTCTCGTGAGCGTAGATGCTGTACTTGTACGAACGCAACACTCACCTTTCAAAGTGTTCGACATACATGTTAGCAGCATGATCGCCCAGTCACTGTCGTCGATGCGTTTTCTTTACTCTGAGTCTCAAGCGTTGCACACTGCCTTCGTGCACCTCGACTTACAATCGCCGCTCGACAACGTTGATTCGCCCTCAGATCGAGTGCTGTTGCACACCTCTACGCGTTCCCCTCAAGTGCGTGTTGTGTTCCCGCTCTGGATCCAGCGTATGACTCGACTGGTCGAATCCGACAGGCACAACGTATCCTCAGACAGTCGCTCCGACGACGACGTCAGTGACTGCTTCCGAACAGAAAGACAAGACGGGAAACCAACCACTTATTCTCGACGCACACCTGGTTTCGCGGACGCCGAGACGTCATCCAGCGACGACTGGTGGCGAGCGGGTATATTGGACCCATAAAAACAGCCATTCACTTGTAGATCGCTCACTGCCTCGGCGTAACTCTGGACATCCCTCACGGGAGCCCGACGATGCAGTAGCAGTGACACTGCTCGCCGAAACCTCGTTCAGCGCGTCAAGTCATGACTTCGATCGGATGCCGCACTTTCCATCGTAGATCCCTCACACAACGCCCGGGCCGAATAGAAGGCAGGCCAGGTACCGTGCCCGAGGATGAGGGACATGGCCGTTTTCCGTGAACAGCGGACCCGAGCAGTCGAAGTCGAGGTCTTGTACAGCCCCGCGAGTCGACATGGGGCTGACAGGGAAGTGCATGCGTCGGCCGTAACAGTTGACGGCAAGCAGGTTATTACTGGCGGCAGAGACGTGGGCCAGTCTCGGCACTTGGTATGGAGCAATGACTCGGCAGACGGCGTATTTGGTAGTGGGACTTTGTTCAATGTATTAGATCCAAATAACAAACAAGCTCGTCTCATGAGGGTAATGCATCCTCACAAACATCGAGCGTCACAATTTCGGCACGCATGTGCGCTAGGTCCGCGATAGAGTTGGCAGACGCGGGCCCCACATACGATCAACAACGGCGTACGCGTCAAACAGAGAATGGAATTCAGGCAGAGAACCGAGGATGGTGTCACTACGCTATCACGTACATCAAGTCTCGACTCGTCTTTGACGTTGGGCCTTGAAGGAATGAGTCGCCACCCGAGAAAGGAGCGACAGACGGGCACCGGCATCGTTTGACGTCCTCGTGAAGGAATATCCAGCCCGTGCACGATGCGATACGCCTTGGTGCGCGTATCGGCTGGCGGTCTAAACAGCCAGGATCGGTACGGTACGTTCATACCAGTGTCAATGTGACTGGTACTCGCGTCAACACCACAGCAGAGTCGGCTTGGAGTCGGCGGGAGATGGTGCTCTGCCCATCTGCGGCGCTCGAGATCGCTCGGCGATATACTGAAGACGCCTCCAATCGACGTGTAGAATGCGTGCCGCAAATAGCAGAGTGATCTCCCCTCAAAGGCCCTTCGTCCCCGCCAGGGAAGATCGCGCTGACATTATAGCGTCACCGTTCGCGTTACGATCACACAGTCGGTACCGCAAATACCCCTTTGACCGCCCAGGGGTGTATGCGCCGCGGACGTCGAGGGGAAGCGTGGCTCTGCGCGAATAGTGGACGTAACAAGCGCATAGACTCACCGGTGCCGTGGCCATATCGTCCGTTCCGCCCTTCTACGGGTCTCAAATCGAGATCTTCGTTCATAGCCTGTCTGACATGATCTGTCGAGGTCAGGGAGAACCGGGGCGCACGCGGCAGGACGTGTAGAGTGCCTGCAAAGTCCGGAGTCGGAAACCTGATTCCCAGCCAAAGCTGCAAGTGTGCCCTACATTCTTTGAATGTGAGAGGGTCCGAACCGCGTAGTGCACTGCGACAGGGACAGGGCGAGCGGGTGGGTACTTGGACGCTCCGAGATTGGTTGAATATCGCCAAGTTCGCCAGGAGAGGCCCTCGAAATGCGGAAGAGGGCTGCAGATAGCCTGTGACAGTCTATGACAGGTAGGTCTGCGTGTTTGAATCCTCTGTCCGCGGGCGCATATAGGCGGAGAGAGATTGGCTGGGAGGAACAAGCGAGCGGACGCGCGAGTAGATGGGTGTACGGAACAGAGCAGCGCGTGACGCGCCACCGACGCGCCTCCTTCAAGTTGACCGACACTCACTGAGTACTGGCAGTGACAGTACTTGGCTCATGCTCTCTCGATCTAAAGCTGCCTGAGAGCGCATGCGATCCTCTCCAGCATCTCTACTCAGTGTCCATCACTTCTACGCTACATGCGTCTGTCGACTCATCTAGCGCTGCGCTGCACACGCATCAAGCCTGAGGGCGCGTCACAAATCGATCTCGACCCTCGGGACTCAGTAGCGTGGACGACCTCAGCTGGCGGATAGGAGGTATGTGTGAGTTTATTGCAGTCCAATAAATGGAAGACGCATAGGGAGGAGCGTGAAAAGCAGGAGGACGCTATGTACAGCTGACTACCATACCTCTGTTAACGTGGCTACTCCCGCCGCGAGCCCAGCACCCTGTCCTCCGCTACCGTCGGCAAAGCTCTCGTCCATCGCAAGACCCCAAGCCCACACTCAAGCGACCCGACAAAGATGCGACAACCGACGAGGATCTGTGGTGGGTCACCGGTCGTCAGCAAATTCCAAGGCGGTGTCCATAGTCGAGAGAGCTTACCTGCCGGTGTCGCGCATGCGGACGATGTTGATCACTCCACGTCATTCACGACAACTCCCGCAGACGGTGCACAGCTCAACAGTACGCTAACGCGGCCTGGTCGTCTGGAAACGCGCGGTCAGTATTCTTACCACTCGGGACGGACAGAAGTACAACTCACCGATGCGTCTCGGTTCCCACCACGCTCGCCTATAACTCTCGCCCGCCTCCAGCGTGGTGACAGCAGCCAAGTCTCCATCACCTTTCCGGGCGAAGTTCACGGAAGCGAACACGACGCGGCGTCTGGCGTGAATGGCAGCCTTGTCAGTTGCCACAGACGCAGACTCGGACGGACTGATGAAGGCATGACATGGCGCCACAACCCGCAAGCTCATCTAGGTATGATGCGCTTGTCGGTCGCACATGGCCGTGAACGTCTTATTATTACAAGATGCAGGAGGACGGCGTAAGAACAAGTCAGCAAAGTGGACAACCGATCTGGTCCGTCGCGGCCTACTCTAGACAAGCTACGGAGGGAACGTGACTGGGAGGAAGTGCATCTTGTGCGAAAGTATCGTACGAGCGGATTGAGCAAGATTCCATTCATCGTGTTTGCCAGCCGACAAGTCCGTCGCCCTCAGTCCGCAAAAGTAGGTTGCACTTCCGCGTCAACGTCCATTGCACAAGCGAGCGCCACGACCCGTCGCCGGTCGTCTTCTCTCTTCCCTCGCGCGTCAGTATTCAATGCTACGCCTTTTGCTCGCTCGTCGGAAGGCCGCCATTTCCTGCGCTAGGCCATTGGCTATCAGAGAAGCTTCCGAGCCGCGAGCGACGTTTACCGGTCACAGCGTGGCTCGGCGAGGTGAGTACTGACTGTCACAGTATTTTCTGGTTCCGGTGCGCTCGGGCAGGACAAGTAACAATTTCGGACAACGGCGGGCGTGGGTGCGGAGAACTTCCACATTGGTGTCACCGTCAGTGCAGGCCGCACGGTATGCCCGCGGAGTCATTGTCTAGTTCTCTTATATGTCTTTTCTCGAAACTTCACGGACACCGCACATGTGCTGTATGGTTCTCGAAAAAATTCAATTAGTAGGCGTATTGAACAATCCGGCTTATGCATACCTGATTGTCCGAGTCGAGTGAATACTCTGAGTGGAACACGGAACATTCGCCGCTCGGATTCACCGAGGCTCACAGTCGATTATGTGGCCATGCCTAAGCTCAAGTACGTGATGCTTATGAGTGACGTTTTCGTGGAAAAATACTTACCGGCAAGTCTTACTTTCCCGACTTAGAACTTAGTGTGATTGGCGCCCGTCCGAACGCGCCGATGCGGTACTTGCCTAATCGGGATGAACATCGCGCCTGCCAGGGCCGCTGCGCCAGGCGTTTTCCCCTTATTCTCTTTCATGTATAATGTCTCTTCATAAATTTCATACGCCTTCTTTTATGTGTTGCATCACCTGTTCTCTTCGATATAGTGAGAACCACAGGCTCATGACTATGGCTCTCATCGGAGATTCTACTGAAGCATCCCGGGCCATACGTCTCGTCGATGATGAGGGTCATGAGGATGACATGCTGAGAGGAAGTTTACAGACTCCCTTCTATAGAATTATTAGTGGGCTTCCGGATTCGCCGTGCAATGAACAGCAGCGCGCATAAAGGCCCGCAGACAGAGTTGCCACAATTGGCTAATGATTCCGCATTAGGCAATTCACCAGCCCTCGAAGCAGAATCAAGTGATCTAGCATGAGCAGACAACGGATCTGTGACTCACTGTAATCTATATACAGTGTTAACAAGGCCAGAAATATCCATTATTGTAGAGACCAAGTGTACGAAACGGAGCGAATCTAAGTCCGAGGTGTACGGGTCACGTGTCAACTAAGTAGCAAATCTTACGCGATAACTAAGGCGTAAGTGTAAGTATTTTTCCGCGATAACGACCGTCATAGATGCTCTACAAATGATCATCTACGTACAACCTATGAAGCAGAACTAGTGTGATTCCGTACTTGAGAGCTTGAACATTCATTGAGACGGAGAGACACTATCTAAATATGGCACGGCGCTACGACTCAACCTGGTATAGATCCAGATCCGGATTGCCATTTTAGGTGAGCCACCGTTCCCTGTACCACTTCCACGAGCTCAAGAGTCAACAGGCCGATCAAAAGTCTTCAAAATACAATAGGACCTGTGACAGTAACAGTGAGTGATTTATTGATTTGGTTCGTGACTCAAAAATGGGTGGGCCTACGTGACTGTACCTGCCCATCATGTTCCGAGCCTGTCGGGGATGGGCTATATCGGGTAAGTACCATTCACCTACTAGGCTACAATTCGGCTCAGTGGAACACTGAGAATATGTCTGCTGAGAGCGAGTAAGATGATGCAGTAAACCTGAATGTCAGTCGTGGTCTGAATATGATGAGATCTCTTACTCAGTACTGCTGAAGTTAGATTATTAAAATGCGAGTGGTAAACCGAGGACTCGGAGCAGGATGTATGTGAGCAGACTGGGTAAGCACGGAGATCACAACTCAAATGACATGTAATCAGCGTTCATCGGAAGAATGCATGACTGACAGGAGACAAGCACCCAGTGTCCGAAGAGATGCTCGGTGACATTGGCGCGCATTTGTGGCGCCATCCAAGTCTTGAGGCGAACATCGCTGGTGCAGTGATCACGGAGACTATGCGGCTCTGACATGATCCCGGCATTCAGCGTACAGGAGCCGAGCATGGGCAGTATAAGGGCTGGTGAGCAGAGTGGACAGACGGACTCCCCTGCCCCCACTATGCTCCTCCCCTCACTGATCATTAATCGCCCGCCGAAGTCTACGTCCATCATCTCGTGTACTGAGTACAGTACTGTACTCACTCGGACCTACCATCGCCGCTCGCCGATCACCATTCCGATTCCCGATCCACCATCGCCATGAACACTCGACCTTGCATGTATACACAGTCAGTATATCTCTCTCACTGCCGTGTTCATACCTATACTCACCATTTATTCCGTGTCCTGACAGGTGCTATTGAATGCTGTCATCGAGGGTGAAGATGCACGTATACGATCCTCGCCGAACTCTGTAAGCCCTTTCCCGATTTAGTAGCCGTCTTGCCTCAGGCGCTCACTGTGACGGTCTCGCGTTTACGAACTTAGCTTACTCGAAGCTGCACCCATGAAGTCACGCTCGACTCCAAGTCGGACTCTTACTTCCCTTGAGACAATGAGGTGTGTCAGCGAGTCTACGCCGTACACGCATGCCACAAACTATTCATCTCACGCAGGATCTTACTAGAGTGAACATCGACGAAGTTGCAGCGGTGTGCGTTGCTTATGAACACAAACCCGGACGCTCAGTATGGGTGTCGTAGAATCGTGAGGAATGAGCCCTGTCCGATAGTATGTGATCGACGTGTATCGGCATGTGGTACGTCTGTCAAGTTGCGGTCTGTATGGCTATACTTGGTACTAATGGATGTAACTCAACAGGCCGGCGTACTAGTCAAGCACGAAGTACAAGGATCATACCGGCGCAGCACTCCTATCTCTGAGGTGAGCATACATGGGGCACGCGTCGACTCGTCGTGCTCACATGAAGTGTATGTGCAGCCTCATGCCCTCCGTACTCGGCGAGTACTGGTAGTAGAACGACCAATGGCGGCGCAGGACATAAGGCGCGAGTTGACGTCTACACTACGTGGGAGACATTGTCGGTGGACAGTTTCCGTGTCCATGTAGACAGACACGTTGCATGCGGCGGCCTTGCGTTGACAGGTATGTCAGGCGCCGCGATGTGTTGACTGTCGCGCATGACGATTATTGATTAGTTATGAGTAGATTAGCCCTTGTCACGTCAAGATGAGAACTGCATCATCCACCGCCCGAGGCTTCTGGCGTGTTGTACGTGGGTCCTGTTGTGCATTATGTCTCGCGATACCGTGTACTGATCATCGCGCTGTCAGCTCCTTTACCTGTCCCATTAATGTGCTTGGTCGGGTAATAAACATTGTCATTTGAGTGGTACTCGAGCTGTCAGTCGCAAAGGGCGTTGATCCCCAAGTCGAGGACTTGTGTGGTAGGTGTCTCTGTCGAATGCGACACTCGATCGACTTGTATGCCATGCCTAGCCACTTGAGCCGCGAAACTTCGGTACTGTAGGTGGCACGGTGCCGCCTCGTGATCTATAACACCGCCGGGATGACGATGTTCGTCAGCCACGTTTACGATGCAGTCGTGAAGGTACAGATGCGGCGGGACGAAGGGCAACAAGTCCTTCGTACCTTTCATTCCGAGCCCTCTGTCATGTATAACATCTCTGCGAGAGCTCCTCGCTTCAAGCTGCAAGGACTACTGCGGTCGATAAGGTAAGACATACATGACATATGTCCTCGTTCCTCCCGCTCACATACCTGCAACTATAGATCACCCACTCAGAGATGCTGCCCGAGTGTTGCCGTAGCCTCTTACAATGCATACCCGCGTCTCATTCCAGACACGAGCCCCCGCCGAGGACCGACTCGCATTTGATGAACACGTTTCAAGGTCAGATGATGCCGCTCGGTCACCGCTATGCTGGGACGGCAATATATGTATAGAACGCCGTCCGGCGAGCAAGATATTACGGCCAGGTTCGTGGTGAACGTCGATCAGTCTACGTCGATGCACTGACCTTTGTGCGCCATGTAGCCTTCCACCCGATGTTCCCCGAGGAGTGCGTCCATCGCGCAGTACGCATCCATGTTGCTGCCAGGCCCCAGAGTCCGAGTCCGAGGTCATGCATGGTAATGTATATATGGATCGTCTTCCCGCGAGCGGGCTTTCCGTGAGGGTGCGTAGGTAGCCATATCCATGCTCGCAATGACACTGACCGACATGCGATGAGCAGGGGTGTCCTTCTGATGCCTTCCGTGGACGATCCGCACTTGGCCGACAAGAAGCCTCCCGACTGACACTCTGGCTGCCCTGACGTTCTCGGCTGCCCTGCTCGTGACCGCGGCCGACCGCGCGTGGTACATGCATGGCGAGTTATGGGCAAAGACGAAGGTCGCAAGCCTTTCGTAGACTGACTAGTAAGTGTCTTGACATGCGTGGTAGTTATTAGATTCTAACGAGACTCCGGTACACACAAGTCCATTGTCGTCTCCGCGACGTTGGTCTGTCAGGTTCTGACAGGATACTGGGTGGCCCGTGAACGGTACGTGATGTACGTGCGGACACCTTGCATGTGCCGACGCGCCGGTGGCAGTAAGCGGCGCATACGGTGCTTCTCACTTACAATGCCTCGAAGGGCAATGTATATATGTATCGACGTCCGCCGACCAACGTCTCGGGCCCTGTACGGGTTGAACTCTACACGCTGACTTGGTGGTGCCCGGAACGGCGATGTATGTACATATCGACGTCCGGCGAGCGACATCCCAGACCGTGCGAGAGGTGTGTTGTCTGTCAAACACGGGGACCATATCACTGACACGACGTCTCGTGTTGCGCGCGAGTCCCCTCCGAGTTTGTCGTTGCCGGGCTCGTCGTCAACGTGCAGATCGCCGTCCGACGAGCGGGCGATCTTGTGCGGTGAGCACTCAGTCCTTTTCCCTCGTTGACCGACACTAACTTGGCGAGCATACCAGTGCGGCGTGGCGCGACAACAGTGTCCCGTGGCGTCCGTCTCCCGTTCGCCGTGCCTCGCAGGTGGACGAGCTCGCCTTGTATGATGAGTTGTGCGTCGTGCATGTGGCTGCCATGTTTGCTGATGAGTCTACACAGCCGCCTGCGACTGGTCGACCGAGTCGGGGGACATTGCTTTCACTGGAGCGCATGTATGTACATGGACAGACTTGGCTGCAGAGAGGACATTCGGTGGGAGGAGGGTCACGCGCCGCCGGGATGCGCAAGAGAGGGGGAGGGCTTTTTTTTTTTTTTTGTTCATCAGCATGTACATACGGGGCCCCGTTTGCGTGATCTGCGAAAAAGTTTCGGCACGCGATAATTGACGAGCTCCCTGCGGGGAGGCGGAACTATGGCCGAAAAAAGTGTGTTTTGGACTTGGGAAAAACGTCGTCTTTCTGCGCTCCAGCCAATCCCTGCGCCCGCACGTAATCCTCTGCAGCCTACTTGGCCTCACGCGCGGCGGCATCAGCCCTGCCCGCCTCCTCCCGTGCGCTCCTCGCCGGGACGTTTACGATACCTCTCGCTATCGGCTGGCGACCTTATCAAGCTCAACAATGGGCTGGACAGCAGCGGGGACTGGATGGATGGATGTCGGTGTGGTCGGATGACGGCGCTAAAAGCGCGGGATGGTGTCGAGCGAGTGGAGGCCGGCTCCTGAGCGAGCGTTGCACAGTCTTGTGAGTAGCTCACCGGTTGGGTCTGGGGGGCTTATCTGCGTCTTGTAGGGATCGACACATCCTAGACTATAGCCTTCGCGGACCTAGTCCCACTTGTGGCAGCACCGCCCGGCCCACCCGCTGGTCTCTCGTCGCCGCACTCACTGGCGGCGACGTTCGCTTTGAAGCAGTCTGCTGGGGATCACCGACGTCAGGAAAGTGTCCTGTCTGCACGACCTGCCGTCTGGAAGCAGGGCGCTCGACGCTGCTGTCCTGTAGCAAATTTGCTCGGTGACGCCGTCTTGATGTAGACTCGCTCGACGAGAATCTACATGCTCTGTACCCGCCTCGAAGCAAATGCTCGGCGATGCCGTCTAGAAGCAACTTGAATGCTCGAAGATGCCGTCTCGGAAGCAACAATGCTCGACGATGCCGTCTTGGAAGCAACTGCTCGACGATGCTGTGCAATTCCGCCTTGAAGCTGCAATGCTCGGCGATGCTGCTGTCTAGCGATGCCGCCGTTAGGTGATGCCGTCGTTGGGTGTTGCCTCCGGCAACGCCGACGACGATGACGTTTGTCATGCACGACCTATGCTCAGCGAGGCAGCCGCGGGAACGCTTGGCGTTGCTTAGAAGCAGTCTGCTGGATCATCGTCTCTGGGACATGCACGACCTATGCTCGGCGATGCAGCCGCGGAAACGCTGGGTGCCGCTTCGTAGCAGTCTGCTGGTGTTCCTCGACAACAAGGGTGGTGTTGTTCTCTATCCTCATGCAGGACCTATGCTCGGCGATGCAGCCGTGGAAACGCTCGGCGCCGCTTTATAGCAGTCTGCTGGTGTTCCCCGCCACCGAGGGCAACCTCATTCCTCACCCCCCCCCCCCCCCCCCGAATGACCTATGCTTGGTGATGCGGCCTGGAAGCGGAAAGGCTCGGCGATGCCATCTCGCAGTGTAAAACTCAAGGGCGACCGTCTCGGAGGATCTCAACCATGCCGACTCGAAGCAAAGTGCTTAGTGATGGGTTTCGGGGGCAACACCCTTGCATTGACGATGATCCTGCTGTCGAGCGATGCGGCTCGTGAGTGTGCGGTCGGCGATCCCCGCCTTGCCTAGGACATCCTCTGTCTTGTAGCTATTACTCGACGATGCCGCCTCGAAGCAGTCTGCTCGGCGCTGGCAATGCCTTCTCTTAGCACGAATGCTCCTCAATACCATCTTGTAGCCGGGGAGTGGTCGACGGCGTGAGCCTATCAAGGTGTACCTTAGGCCTTTGTCTGAATTCTCGCCGATGTTAACATTGCCGTGTGGGCGCACCCTTAGTTTGAATTCTCGCCTCGTAGCTTTGGCTCGGCGGATACCACCTTGCAGCATGCATGGTGATGCCACCCTTTGGTGATGCTGCCTGCGGGCAATGATTACGAGTGTTTGACAACATTCAAGTCGTTCTCTGGTCAATGTGTTACACTGTCATAATTCATTGCAGTGTGGCACAATGCTCGGTTCCTTTGGCAGTGTGAGCTGAGTTTCACTGTGCGGGCTGCGACGGGGACTGCTACATGGCCCATGTGTCTATGGTATGCCTAGCAACAGCTACTGGTACTCAATACCTGCACTTTTCTGCAGAAGTACACCAAATGTATTGGAAATGCTACCCTCATGGCACCGATTGAACGTGTGCACCGTTCGAGAATCGAGACAGCCGTAGCACAGTACTTGCATGAGGAGTATGAGCACCACTAGGCCGTCCCCTTACCACTGATCCCCAGTGTGTATCAGTCACCTTTGTATTCAATACAGTGAGCGGGCTACCACTGTCCGCCCGCGTGCGACTGTATGACCGCAGCTTCTTGTTTGAAGCCCATGTTCTCCACTGGAGTTCACCACTGGTTTACAACCAACTCACGGATTCCCTGCACTCACTATGCATTGGGGGCAAATCATGCCTTCCACACAATGTAGGACGGCTGTAGCACTAGATACATCACCTGGATCATGGGGAGTTATGTCAGTGTGGCGGGGGACTGCCACTGACGCCTGGAGGCTTTTGCATATTTTTTCCTGCCAGGTTTTACCCATGATGCCCGCCCAGCCTAGCAGCTAGAGGGCCAAGGTATACTGCATGTATGACTGTAATTGTGATCGTGTGATAGTGAGAGTAGGGTACTGTAGGTTAGATGTGGACAAGTGGCGGCCTCTCGGATACGCAGCTGTCATCTAATCGGTGAACGCCGTCACGAGCTATGTACTGGCGCATCTGCGTAGGTAGTACTTAGCTGGGGTGACTAAATGGAATTACCTCCTCCTCCTCCTCCCCACGCCCGCCGTGCGACGATCCCCGCCCCCGCCCCCACGCCGCACTCACACGCTGGCCGCGCAGATGCAATTGGACACTCACCGTTGACGAGCTACCACCAAGCCACGCGTCCGTCAAGCAGAGCGAGGTCGACGTCGCAGGCACTGGCAGCGCTTCTTGGGAATCGATCCATTGCGGCGAGGGCCGTGGCCATACAAGGTCACCTAGTGTCGTTGTCTTGTCGAGATCTGTCCAACCAGCTGTGGTTACGTACGCTTTCTTCCCCTGCACAAACCAAGCGTACCCGATGCCCGGCGAGAAGTATGTTAGGAACGGCAGCTCCCTGGGATTGGGCGGGGCCTGTCGGGGGAAGAACGCAGAGACGGGTGTAAACTCGCCGTGCTGACAGTCCGGCTCGCCCGCACGGGGATTGTGTGGAGGGACTTCTACGGCCTCGCCTTCCGTCTCGGGCCCGATCCAAAGCTTGCGCTCGTACGCCCACCACGTCTCCCAGGAAAAGCCAGGCTTGTCCTGCTCGGTCTCCCAGGACCAGCCGGGCCCAAAGAAGGCGACGCTGAGTCCTAGGAACTCTGGGTCGATGTGCGCAAGGGATCGGTAAGACCCGAATCCGCCTCCACCGTGTTGGCCGCGGCCCCAGACGTCGATGCCGACGTAAATGTCCTGGAGTGTTTTGGGGACGGTCATCAAGGCGGGATCTAGGCTGAAGAAGTATTGCGCTGTGAGGGACGGATAGTTGGGCCGCCACTGCGCGGACATGAGTTCTAGGGTAGACACGTCGATTTGATCGGTCACTCACTGTATAGTTCGTGAAGAAACCAGACGACGGAAGGAAGAATGGCAGGTTGTAGTTGTTCAGCCTGTCTTGCCAGCGCAGATCGCCCGTGACGACAACGCTATCGTACCTTCGTAGAGACGGTCAGTTATCGGATGCCTGTCGTGCTGCCTTATGCCTTACCAGATAGTCTCAGCGTGCGAGCCAATCCTCCGCTTGAGCTCGCTTTCGAGTACGGAGATCCACGCTGCGAGAGCCCTAGCCTGCTCGATGCGACCAATCAGAGGAACTTCCACATTGAGGAGGTAGCCATCGAATCCTCGTTGATGTGCCAACTCAGCGAGGAGCTTCGCGTAATGTGGCGACAAGGGAAATGAGCTGTCTGCAGATGGAGCAGCTGGCCCCGTCTTCGACTGCGGCAGGTGACCGACAAGGACCCGCAAGCAATCCTGCTGCCCAGCGTCATGTTCAAAGATTCTGGTGCGGTGAGTCAGATACGTTCGGTCGTAAGATGATCTAGTCAAAGAAAGTCGAGAGCACAAGGACAAGCTACCACCGCTGCAACCTATTGCATACCACGCAAATTCACCAGTGAAGACAGCTTAGGTGCACTTCCGGCGGATGTCACCGTATGAGAGTTGGCGTGACCTTCACTCACAATGTCCCGAGCATCTTTACACCCTGCCTGTGGGCAGCGTTGATCCATCCCGCCGGGGGCACCGTTACCCGATGGTGCGAGAAACTGCTCTTCGTTAAGCGAGCGACCAACGTCGTCAGGCCTTACTCACTAGATGAACGTATCGCAGTAGGACCAGAAGTTGAATGTATAGGCGAGCCCAGAGGGGGTTTCAGTATAGCCACCCTGTGTAAACATCGCGTGAATTTGTGGTCCGTACAATCCTGTCCTAACATTACCTTGTAGTCATGGCACACCTTTGCAATAGGTATAATGTCAGTTATCGTTCCACTGTTCAGTGATAGGTTCGTATCACCAGAAGTTTGCCTCTGTTCTGAGATGAAGCATCCGTTCCGACCAGTGGGCGCGCTATGTAGGGCAATACACCGTCTAGACCAGCATGAGGTTTAGTGGCCCAGCCGTCCAGATCCGCAAGTGTCTTGAAGTAGGCTGCGTCACTCCGAACATCCTCGGTGTGGTCGGTTCCACGCAAAGGCATCCCGTCTCAGTGTGCAATGATCTGTATAGAGGGGCAAGAACAGTACTGATTACTAGTATGCAGGCTTGAAGATAGGAATTGTCGTGGTTGTAGACTAGTCACGTCTATTAAGGTTCAAGTGTTCAAGTGTTCATCCAATTCGGACCAGGCAATACAGCGGCATTGCAAACGGGTGTAAACTGTAACGAAGCAAAGACCTGTCCTTAGATCTGCTTTACCACAGTGCTGCTCGCAGAATGCAGTCCGTGTCCCAGATTGATTGATACAGTAAATATACAACATGCTTCAAAATGATGCCAAAGTTAAGCAATAAACAAGTTTCTGTCGCGTCACCTGCACGCGTCTACCCAACGTTCCGGATCCCTTGATATTCGTTCCTTCACGATGACACCACAGCTACATTCGTATCGACGGTGCGTACCATTAGCCCGTACCACATGCCATGCATGCGTAGGACAAGGTTGATGATCACAATGATCATGAGGGAGGACAGGTGTCGAGGGCTTGGAATTGTCACAAACGAGATCCGATTGACGACTCGCGCGGTCACCTTGCGATGGCGGAGGCATCCCTCCCGGCATGGACATGGATTGCTGCGGGCTATCTTGCACCAGCGTCGAAGTTGAAAGTGACGAGGACATGGAGTTTCCTCGTGCTCGTTGACTTCTTCTACTTCGTCTGAGTACTTGCGGGAGGTGGTTGCGTTCGTTCGATTCCTCGTACAAACTCTCAGATCGAGACGTCTGTGTGGACGGAGCACACCGAACAGGCGTTACTGCGGGGCGTCCATGATCAACATCGGAATCAATGTCCATCATAGACGATAAACCAGAGGCTGTTTCGAGCGATGTGCGGGCGGACGCAGCATTCATTTGTCGCACCGAACCCGTATTGCGGTCCCTGAATTCTTGATTGTCGAGAACCGTGGAAATGCTTGAAGCCGACGTCGATGCAGATGAGGCAGATGCTTCGCGGACCATAACGGCGGGTTGCTCTATCCAGGAATCGTCGCCTTGCCACTGATCTCCTTTCTTCGTCTCCTTAGGTTTGATTCCACATGCCGTACAGCGATACGTGCGTGTGTACCCATTCGCAGTTATCTTCCAAGTGTGCGATCCGGAACCGGTACACGGTGGTAAAACGGACGCCACAGGGGAGCGAGGTGTGGGGTTCGTCAGTACCGATCGCAGGCTCTCGCGCGCAGCGTGTGTCAGGGCGTCGCTTGGCGCACTGGCAGCGTCGGGGCCCGCAATCGCAGGGCGCGTCGTGGAGCCATGTCCACCATCTACAATAAATTCGTCGGCTACAAGGGTGGATCCCCGCGACAGGCGACTGCTGCTTGGTGTTGACGCGTAATCGGAACTCATTGGCCGATTGGCCGATCCGATGTAAAGCACAGGCCTTCCGTCATTGGACCACACTACAGCGAGGTCAGCATGTGGCATAATGAGGCGATGACAACGGCCTACCAGCGCGGATCTCATTAAGGTACCTCATTCCAAGCCACGCAAATGCTTGCTTGCCCTGGCGATAGCCGTAGACGTACCTGCATATCAAATTGAATAATCCCTTTCATGAAGGAACACTAGCGAGATTACCACGCGGAAGCCCTCATTCTCTCCACGTACATCTCCGCGAAAGTTCCGCCTAAAAGTACGTTAGCGTGAAGTTTATGTAGAGACATAGCTTGAATTTACCTCCGAAATAACGCTCGCGGTAGCGCGCTGTGACGATCTCAGCGTACTTCGGTTGATTGTTCTTGAAACTCCTCTTCTCTGTCTCTCCTACTGAGATTTGGTCATCCTCACTCGCCAGCGACGGAACGGATGATGGAACGTACCGTCTTTCGACTCGCTATCCTTGGCTATCGCTTGTTGAAGTTCTCGGTTAAATGCCTCCATGGCGGGAGGCGCATTCTGTAGTGCGTCGTCCCACACCGTTGGGTCCTGGTCTCGAATAACCAGTGCGCTGTCACAGGTGAACAAAGACATCTTGGCTCCGTCCTTCCGGGGGACGAGCTCGCGCAACAAGTCCAGCGGGTTCTTGAAGCCAGGGTCACGATTCGCAACGCTGCGCGCTTCCTTGATAATGTCGTTGAATCTGCGTCTCAACTTCTGCATGTCCGCGCCAGATTTGAGTGCATCCTATCACCACAGCACATGGACCTGAGCCGTGCTCAAAGGTGTGAACCATGCCGGCTGGACGTACCAGGGCGGACTCGGTGAGGATCCCCAGCTCCCGCGTGTGGTGCTCGTTTGCCAATTGCGGGGTAGATACAGCAAGCTGCTTCCATTGGTTAGCCATTTGGCCAAAGAAACCATTAAATCGGTGATCGATGAACGTTTGCAAAGCGGCCTGTTTAAAGGCTGCGTCTGCGTTCCGTCTCTGGTTGTTGCTACTTGTCGCGCTTGCTGAGAGCGGCCGATGTTGAGGAGGAGGAGGGGCCTTGGGTATTAGATCAGAGTCCCACACTACCAGGTACTGATCACCGTCTAGGTCCCTGTTTTGCGAGACGTCTTGGCGGCTTCACAATGAACAATAGCATAGTCTCACTTACCCCGATGCCATGGTGTCCGGAACAGAGTGTTGCGATTTCCTCGAAAACACTGTGCGAATGTCATCTTCACATCAATCGCGGTCAATGCAGTACATTGATACACTACCTATGCAATTGGTGAGATGTTTCAATTCCTCGCGATACACAGCTCGGAATACGCGTATATCTATGACATTTCAGTGTTATACAGCATGGATGCACCTGTTCACTGACCTGCCGGTGAATACGATGGGTTTCTGTGGGCTCGCCAGTGTAAATTTTGACATAACATCCCTAACTCGAGCACGCGCCTGTAAGCCATGACCCTCGGCTTTGCAAGCACTCCGGTGCGACCAGGAATGTTGACAAACACTTCGTCGGCCTCCAGCAGCCCATATTCGTCGACGATTCCAAATAAATAAGCGGAGTCCTGGCCGGTCCTCAGTCCAACCACAGCAAGAGCACGAAATAATTGATTTATACCTCAACAGCAATGTGGAGCTTGTCGCGCAGAACGCTATATTGATGCTGCTGAAAGGCTTTGATTTTGTGCTGCACATATGGTTCACTTAGGTCGTGGTAGGCAAGTAGCAAAGAGTAGACTACGAGACGGATCAGCAAGTCATGAATCAAAGGCGTGAGCGCGAGGTACGCACGGTCTTGAGAAAAGGCAGTAGAGGAAGCATCCAATTCTCCTCTGACTGCTTTCAATGCCTTGTCTCGATCGTTGGCAATGGCCCCGATGAGATCGAGTTGGTTTAAAAGCAGTTTGCGAAAAACCTGAACCATAAATGGCTAGCATCAGCACTGACGGCGCGAGTAGGCAAGGTAGTTGATGTACATCCAGAGGTACGTCGAGGGTTATGAGAAGCAGTATAATGTATTCATTGAGCCTCGCGGAACTTGGGCGGCTGCAATGGTCATTGATTTCCAGTGTCGTAGGGCCACCTCGATACTTCAACATTGAGTGGCGAAATGCGATGACGATTTCTGGGCCAACGCTACTCTTGTCGACTAATATGTTCTCAGTATTGCAGAGACGTTCGAAGTCTTCGTCTGGGTATCGCCCGAGTACTCCTTTCGTGCCTCCGCGACGGATTTGGAAGACTATAACCACCAACCAGTCAGTGTGGGTACAAGGCACAGCTATAGTCGTTTGCATAATGGTTGTCACTTCGCGTTTTCCAGCATATGGGTGGGGGCTGTGGCTCCCCGCTCCACATCTACCACGGCACACATTGGCAGAACGACCATAGCACCTGCACCCCTCGTCCCAAATATTCGGAACAGCTGGTATCGCGCTGGCTACCGTCCATGATTTGTAGCAGGGATGCAGGCTGTGTGTCATGGGTACCGTGGCCGAAGTTGAGAAAGAACTGTCAAGGACAGACTCTGCGCTCTGCACAAACAATGGGACTGACCACCTCCGGTGGTGCGTCGGGGCCAGCCAAAGAGGACCAAACAGGTTTGCGCGTGTGCGACAACCATGTAAATGACTGTAATGAAAGGCCAAGCGCATCAAGACTGAAAGACCCGTACCTGAGGTGTCCTCGGGTATGTGCAGACTGTTGCACAATTCTCGAGCAAAGGAGTCCCGAATCATACCACAACCGTCGGTATGCAATGACCCATCTGGAGCCCGTAGATCTTCTAGGAGCACTGCGCGTTCGCTGCTGACCTGCCGATTGTCAAACAAGTTGTTAGAAATGGTACAGATCATGAGACTTCAGACGTCGACTGACGTCTTGGGCATCTACGGTCGAGGAGAAGGAGAGAGCTAGGCGCGCAGCATACTTGCCGTAGCTGTGATTGCGGTACACCTCATGGACATCACCGATCTTGTGAAGCAAGCGGGCCACAGTCCACTCTGTGTCTTCGCGGAAAAATACGACCTTCCCGGCTTTCAAGTGGCCATCGCTGTACCCTAGCCAAGTATACCTGCAGCAATCGTAACATTCAGCATACACTCATGGCAAGTTTCAACGGTTTGCTGACCGAGCACCCTGCAGTTGAAGACCATTTGCGATCCAGTCCTCGAGGTCTGTTTTGCGTGGTGTTCCTGTTCCGTTGCCCTCTCTCGAGGTAGAGAGGAAAAGGGATCGTTTCGAGTCGTCAACGAGTCGTGCAGCTCGAAAAGACCGGAGTGGCTGTTCTTCAGGCTCGGTGACGCCGCCGCGCTTGTTTACGCGAGCCGCAAGGACGACCACGTTCGGAATGTTCACCATTGTGTGAAACGACGCGTTTCGTAAGTACCTCCCGTCGTACTTCTCGAGGCAGAGGTTATGCACATAAGATGATGGTGGTCAGAAGCTGAGGATAGATTAGAGCCTGCACACAATCGCCGACATTGTCAAAGAGGTCGTGTCTAGATGAATATGGAAGTTGTGTCACGGACTCGCGGAAGTTGCCGCACGACATTGTTCAGAATCAAAATCAGATGCGCCACTGAGACCTCTCGAGACTGCGTTAGCCTGACTTGCACCAACTTGACCTGCACATGCATAACATATGGTAGTACTATTAGTGCGTAGGACAAATGACGACTAAGGCTTTCGCATATGAATCGCACTCGCAGCTGAATGAAAGACAAAAACCTATGCCCAGAGTCCGGACTGGACGTGGACACCACGCAATTGAGATGCCACAACGAATATCACGCGCGAGGCGAAGACGTCAAAAAGGTAAGCATAATTGCGGGCAATAGGGCCTAAGAACTCATAGAAGATTGCAATACACTACGAATGATGTTGCCTATCAGTATCGACCACGGCGTCCTCCTCCCGGACCTTGATACGGTCCGTAGTCAGGGGGTGGGCGACCACCTGTATAGTCCATCAGATTCAGACACACGCAAAAGACACTGAGCGGACTGACCTCCTCGGGGCGGCGGGGGCGGCGATCGTCCTCTCGACGCGCTAGAGCTCGATGGAATAACCGCGTTCCTGAACACCTGCATCAAGTCATCGGTCCGGAATACGGGACCTGTCGAAACATCATGCGCACATCAGACCTCAACGATCGCGAGACGAACGTGTCACGGTTACGCACCGTCGAATGAGGACGGCGCCGGGAGCATGCCAACGAACCACGACAACACAGGAGGAAGCGTCACCGGCTTCTCCTCCTCTCTCTCCTCCTTCATGCTCCGACGTCCAGGCGCATCCCTGTCGCGTTCTCTGTCCCACCCGGGGCTGCCATAACGTCGCCGAGGTGGGCCATCCCACCTAGCATCCCGCTCCCGTTCGCGTGAGCCCGCTCGCTGCCGCTTGGACGGTGGGCCATAGTCAGGTGCACGGCTGTCGTCTCGCCTCCTGCTGTGTGCCTCCGGAGACGGAGGCCGTTTGGACGAACTCGGCGCCCCCTGGGACTGCGACGCCGTGTTGGAGATAAGAGACATCTGCGTTTCAGTACGGCCAAGGGTGCCACTGCCGTTCGAGCGACTGCTGCCGCTGCCCTGGCGAGAGAGGCTGAAGCCCAGGTCGCGGTTGGCGATCGCATCCGTACCCAGATACTTGTACCGCTCCGCGAAGCGCTTGATCGGAGGGTCTACATAGATCGGTCAGAACCAAGAGACGACGACCTTTCTGGGAGCGTGCTCACCGTTCGGATATGCCTCTGCCATGCGCTTCTCGAGCTTATGCGCAGCCTCGAGGTCGCCATACTGATACTCGTATCTCGACCAGCGCTCCCATAACGGCCGCGCTTTCTCAGGCGGGAATGTGCCAATGACACGCTCGAAAAGCGCCCGAGCATCTGCACCGAGCATGTCAGTCACGAAGAGCTCGTATGAAACCAACGAGGACCTACTGTTTTCGTCGTTAATCGAAATGAGGTATCCTAGGTACCGCAGGACAAAGTCCGCTTCGTCGCTGAACGTCTCCATCCCCTTCTCGAAGATGCGGTTCGCGACATCGGCCGCCTTGTTGCAGTGGTATTCCATCAGCGCTAGCATCCATCACGCCAGTCAATCGTCGTCGTACGAAGATTAAGGCGACTACGCTCACCAGCAGCCTCGTACACTTCCCAGGGCGTCCAACGCTCCTTCCTCGCCTTACCAAACACAGCTCGCGACGGTTTCAGGCCCTCCGCGCGTCTAGCAAATCGCATGTACGACACCCACGCGATGCCGTATTCTGTCCGCCGCTCGGTGAGCTCCTTATTCTTGAGCGGCTTCTCGTCCGACTTTTCCGTAGCGAATGAGCCACCTTGCGACTGTGAGCTGGGGTCGGGCTGGGAGTTCTCAGCCGGTTCCGTCTTCTGCGACGGAGAGATGTTCGACGAGAACGACGAGTTGGCCGAGTTGATCCTGTTCTCGACCGCGTCGAGGTCCGTTTTGAGCACATCAAGAAACTTCTCGAATGTCGAGTGCACTTCCGCGACATTTTTCGCCGTCTCTTGCGCCTCTGCGTAGGCATAGTTGAGAACAAAGCTACGGGTGACGTCAGCGCCGTCAAGAGGATCAGTACCACAAAACCTACCTAGACGGATTCGCATCTATTCCAGCTTTCAGAAGAGCAAGAGCTTCGTCCGTTTTACCAATACTACTTGTCCATACGTACGCCATGTACCTATCCCGACAAGCAAGTGAGCTAGTCGTCTGTACTAGAGACGCTCGACACATACCAAATCTCCGAGAAGAACCGCATACGGACCACGGCCTTCTTGTACACGCCTTGAAGACGTGCGTGCAGGTTGCCCTTCTCCTTATCATCCAGCTTCAACGGATTGCTCTCCTCCCACTTCAGGTACTGACGCCACCGCCCAACCAACGCCCTGTCGCCGGCGTTGAATGTCGGGGATCGGGGAAGCCATATCGGCGGCCGCGACGACCTCGACGGCGGAGGAGGGGGAAAGAGGATGGTCAGGTGCTCCTGTAGGGTCGTCAGGACGGTACGCGCCTGCATGTGACTCTCCTGCAGGTCGGACAAGAACTTCTTCGCCTGCCTTCTCATGAGCGTCGGTGGCGCTTGGTGCGAGAACATAGGTGCTCACCGTGATCCTGTTCAGCCCATTCTCAAAGTCCTGGTACTCCTCCCACAGCCGCTTGATGTTGTCTATCGGGATCTGCACCGCTCGCTGATACGCCTTGCGCACTGCGTCCATCTTTTGTTGCTCCTCCCATGTTGACGTCGTCTGTCTACGTGTGAGTGAACCGGTGTGTATGGTTCTGATTCGGTACACACCTCGCCGGCTTTCAGAAACTGCAGGTAGTCACTCCACATGTCGCCGCTGTCCTTGTCCTGGCCGACATGGTTCAGGGCGAACTCATAGGCCGTACGGATTACTTCACGCGAGTTCGGACCAGTGTTGACTCTCCTGTAATCACGGAATCAGACACCATGTTCAGACGAGTTGATAACTGCCGCGATGCAAGCAGTCTCGTGGCATTGAGTATGGATTGAAGCAGTCCGTCACACCAGCAAGCCGGCGAAGCTATCACACAGGATAACACGCATGCGCTCCACGTTCCCGTTGGTGTCCTACAGTCGTGTGCATAATGGTTGTCGCATGTGCGCGACGAGCATCTTGTTTGGCCCTCCTTGGCTGGCCCTGACACACCACCGGACCTGGTCAGTCCCGTTACCTGTGCAGAGTGCACAGAGCGGGTCCGTGACAGCCTTCTCTCAACCTTGGCCACGGTATGAAGGACACCTAGCCCGTACCCTCGTCACGAAAGATGGAGGGTATGTAGCGCAATTCCAGGTATGCCGAATATCTCGGACGAGGGGTGCAGGTGCTGTGGTCGTCCTGCCGTGGCGGATGAGGGGCGGAGAGCCACAGCTGCTGGGAAACGCAAAACGGTACCATTTTGCAAACGACTGTGTGTTATATCACTGAAGCAGACAAGTCTTGCGAACGTGCGGCCTTCTGGAGCGGTTTCGACTGAGAGCCACTTACCTGACGAAGGTGAGGTAGAACTTCCAGAGGTCCACAGAAGACGACTTGGTGAGATAGCGCTTGAACAAGGCTACAGCAGATCCAAACGTCTCGGGGTTGTCGGTGTAATGATTCAGGTAGGCTATCTGGGCAGAAGACTGGACGAGCAGTGAGTTGGCAGCTTGAAACGCAGACAAAAGGGTCGCGAACAGTGTTTGGGTATGCTTCCAACAGTCCCTCGTAGGTTTCTTTGATTCTGTCGATGTCACCAGAGTCTTCTGCGAGGTCGACCAGTCTCAGCCACCCGTCTGCATCATAAGGCTTTTCCCGCAATTGTGCGCGCAGTTGTTCCCATTCTGACGGAGGTGATGGCGTCGGTTCCTGCTTAACAGGGCTCTGCACATTCGTGTTGCCGTTCTGGGCGTGCGCAAAGGAGCTGGGGTTGAGTTGCCGCAACGCGTTCAAGATCTCCTCGGTTGGTTGTGTCTTGTCTTCTTCGCCGACTTGAAATGACGCGTCGCCAGAGTCTGGTGGATCTACAACCATTGGTTGAGCCTCGGACATTTCACCACACCGTCGCACGATGTAGCGGGATACGAATGGTCGAAGTTCAGGTTCAAGTTGCAAGTGGAGGTCGGTGCTGGTCACGGCGCTCAGTTTCGAATTCGCGATGCGCGAATTTGACGCGCGGGTCTTATCGCAGTAAATTCAATGCAACTCTCTATTGACTTTGACAATGACTTTCTAAGCAACATTGTTTTCGACTTACTTAACCGATACTTATTTAGTGGGGAGCTGGTAATGGTTTGCATACTTAAGTACCGATTCACCCAGGGTGCATTTTCCTAAGTATTAGTCTCCGTTGCAGAGCAGACAAGCGTCTGTTATGGCATTAGATCTTATTCGGAGAACATTGACAATGCATCGACTAACAAGTCGACAAACGTGCCGTTGACTGGAACATTGACATTGTGCGTAGTGAGGTTTACACAACCTAACGCACCAGCTTACCTCAATGTATCTGTAGATAACAACCTGCTTGAGGCACTGTCTCTGTTGAATTACCAGCAGACTGCCGCGTTTCAAACACGAGGTGCATGCATCTCAACCAACTCGGAGTCGGTCTCCAATATCGTGCTGTGACGCTACACATACCTCGGTAAGTTCGCCAAAAGTTCCTGTCCGTCATCATCCTACCGACTCAGGGGAGGTAAGCTCTCATCTGCAAGGTTCCTCGTCTTGGCGAGGCTGCAACGCCGAGATTGACTTGGAACCTGTGGCAGGTTCCATTGCCGCCGACTCCCAAGGCTCCGCTGAGCTACAAACCGCTTCATTTCGCACATCCACCACTGCAAGTCAGCCTTCCATCAGGAAAATCCCTCCCTGGGAATTACAACGAACAGACGAAGATTCTCCATAATACGTAGACTTTTGGGAATCATGATGCCATTCGTGATAACATCCCGTATTGTTGATCATTCGACACGTCGTTCGAGTGCAGTTAATAAAAAGGTACTAATATGAGTGTTATGATTGGAATTTTCTGTACAGAGGTGCCGAAACAGTAGTTCATTCGCGAGGTTCACAGTGAAAACAACGAGGTTATATTGATGTGTCTCCTAAACAATTCTACGTATACTAGTAGTACACTACTACACATGACCCGAAGATCACTTTGTCCTCCACCACGTATGCGTAGTCATCTATGACGACCACACCTCAGTCGTCCACGAACCCACAGGTTAGTAAGCGGGTCCGCAGGCAATTGGGTGCGCGGACGGATGAGTGGGTGGCCGGCCGGCTGAGCAGACGAGAGCGTGGACAGGAGAGTACATGCGAGAGGAACACTGAGCGAGACAGAGTGCGAGCGTGTGGGTGTAGCGCGAGACAATGTGGGTCCACGAGTGGGTGCGGATCCAGAAGCCGAGAGAAACGGGTATGAAAGTGAGAGCAGGAGCGCAGGCGCAGGCGGGTGGTCGGTCGACCAGGCTAGCAATGAAAGCAAAACGTGAGGAGACGAGAACACGTGGGCGGGCGGGCAAGAACGGGCGAGCGGACGAGCAAGCAAGAGTGGGCGAGTGGGTGATGAGGCAATAGCGGGCCGGCGAGAAGTCGAGGGTGGATTGGCGAGTGGGCGAACGAGTGGGCGATGACAAGCAAACAGGCGAGAAGGGTGGGGTGAGTGAGCAAGATCGAGGGGTACACCACCAGAGGTCAGAGTGTCTGCTCGCTTTTCGGCAGTCGCAGAGACTTACACGGGTAACTGTGTGGCGTGCCCGTAGAGAAGCGTGCTGCGAGTTTGTTGCTCGTCAATGCACTTGCTCGAGCATCGCAACTAGGAACAGAGATATTTAGTAAATACACTAATGACGACTCACTTCGGGGTTTTATTTAAATACCTCTGCTTCCCTTCCCTTTCGTTCACTACTCCTGCCCGCCATATGTTATGCTGTCCCTCTTCCTTTGACCGTGCTCGATTGTTGTGCTCAGGCTCGCCGCCTTGCGTGCTCGGGCTTGTCGCATTCGGAGTTTGGGATGGCATGACGGTGCGTCGCGCATAGTGGTGGTTGTCCGAATGCAGACCGTCTGGCACATTCGCGAGCGGCGCCGACGCTCGCGCCACAGCGGGACTGTACTTAGCTGAGACGGGGCAAGTTGGAGATGGGCGATGATTGGGTGACAGACGGGCGACACGGGTGACGAGCGACAGGCGGATGGCGCGGAGACGTGCAACAAGTGGGAGCGCTGCTTGCCCTAAACAATATCTCGATCGAATCTGACCGCCGCCACAGCGCCACGTCAGTGCTCTCTCGCCCGCCGCCGCCCGCTGTCTCACTCGTTCACCCGCCCTCTCTTGCTTGCTCGCCCGCGTGTCCTCCCACTTACCCTCTCGCCCGCTCACATGTCCTCATTCTGGCTCGCTGCCCTCTTGTTCGCCCACCTACTCGCCCTACTGCTAGTCTTTCCCAGTTACCGTGTCTCGCCCCTAGCTCACTCTCGCACCCGCCGACCGTTCTCACTGAGGGCACACGCATCCAGCGACCGCGCAGCCGAAAGACTTTGAGTGTGAGGCTCAAGGGCCCTATTCGCGATACAAAGGTGAGCCATCACCAACACGATCTCCCTGCACTGCCATCTACGAATGTGCCGAGGCCCTGCTGAACCATGTCCTATCTGTCCGCCGTTCCGCTCCGCCAACTGTTTTCCTTGCCCGCCATTGCGCTCGCCCGCCATCTTGTCATCCCTCTTGCCGCCGTCTCGCACCCGCCGACTTGCCGTCTCGTGCCTGCCCATTTGCTTTCTCACGCCCGCCCACTGTCTTCTCACGTCCGCCCACTGCCTTCTCGCGCCCGCCTGCTTGCACTTTCGTGTCCACCCATTGGCCCTCTCGCGTCCACACCCCGCTCTGTTGTGTCCGCGTGTTCACATGTCCTCGCGTGCGCGCGTGCCTGTCCTCCGTGCTGCTTCCATAGCTGCTCGCTCTCGGTGCTTTGACCGCGCACCTGTGATTGCCCACCTGCCTGCCGTATCATGACAAACATCGACCTGTGTGCGTACCTCCTCGCCGTCTATGACAGCCAGCGAACATACATCCACATGGAGAACTGTCACCCCTGTCACTCGCAACCTACGCGCCCATGCCCGTGGACATACCATCTCGCTCTACACCCACACACCCGACTCTGTCTTGCCTGCAATCTGTCTCGTATGCCCCCTCCCGCCCATGCTATCGTCTGCTCGGCCGGCTGGCCACCTGCGCATTCGTGCGATCACCCACGCGATTGGTCACTCGTCCACGCGCCGACTTGCCTGCGGACCCGCTTAGTGACCTGTCGACCCGCGGACCCACCGTCACTGTTACTCTAGTCATACTTTACTGCCTGTGCTTGTCATTTATCTCCCTCCCTAGTACCTGTCTCATCTGCTCGTGGCCTCGGACCTCTCATGATACATCAAGATTCTCACATTGGACTCGTAGTACTACGTATATTTCATGCACGGCAATGCATTAATATCTTTTCTAATCACTGTGTGAACGAACATCAGAGTGAATGTTCATTGAATGTGCTGAGAATGGCACAGAAGCCATGACTTATTGCGTGAACATGCTACAGTAACTCACGAGAACACTAATTACTCGAGTATTACTGCGTATTCGTACACGGACCCATGGGGACCACGGAATATGGTCTGTTATTGAATTAGGAAGATTAATGCTGTTTATCTTCTATTCCTACGAAACTGCCTCTATTCTTCCGCATTCAGGGGAAGGTTTTTTCCTGATGTCCTGGTCGCATATATGAGGCAGCGTGGTGATTCTATGTAGCTCACCTGACTGCGCTGCAATGTCGCACGTACCTACAGTGCACGTATGGGCCACTCGACTTTCGACCGACGGTCAAGTGTACCCTCCACTGCTTCAGGAGCAGCGATCTTCGCGGGTCACACGAGTAATTGACGATTCCAAGCGCCTTCTTTTCCTGTCCGTTCCACGGGCGACTTCGGATGACGTTGAATCTCTCATCCGTCAAAAGGTGGCGGGTTTGATATCAAAGGGACTCTTGTGGAATGGTCAACGGTGAGCCATTCCGATCGAAAGGATCCCTCTCAATACGTTGAAAACGCATCGCTCGTCCAGTTATACCTTTCTTGGATTCACCGCTAAACACGTCAAGGAAGGCACACTAGTGCTCTTTCGCGAAGACGCCTCCTGGACTGCCTCTCAACTGCTCCAGGCACTCGGAAATCTGGACACCGCCTGCGCGAGAAGTGGCTATGGGAGGTTTGCCACTCGTCTCGATTTATCATTCGCTTTCACAACGGACGCCCTGGACGTGAGTCGCTCCTTGACCACTCTTGATGCACTTGGATAAAAGAGTTATTTACCTCGGTCAGGTCCCAAATGGCAGAGTGGCTCTGCTAGATGATCTGTATAATTCGAGCGAGTCTCTGTACACAAAGGACTGCGGCATCATCAGAGATTCAATCGCCAAGTGCATCTGTGAAGACGTCCAAATTTCCCCGGACACTTCAGGTGAGTTTCCAGTGGATTGCAGAAGAAGGCCAGTTGGTGTTCTCGTACCGGTCGATCTGAAATCCCCGATGTTACTCAGTCTTTCATGTACAACGCGGCGACTGGAGTGGTACACTTGTCCGCTACCCAGACGAAGACTTCACCCGGTTGTGCTCTGCTGGACAGAGGTTTACGGGCCAGGATCGCGGTGGTGACGATTACTGGATTGCTTGTCGGCGTTCCGTATACCTACACGATAGCAGCATGACTATGTTGGAAATTCTTGGCTATTCTCGTCGGTCGGGGCCCTCACGATTGACCGCGGAAACGATCCTCAAGCTACTCACGCTAGGTACACCACCGAAGGTATCATTCCACAACGTCTCAGGCTCATCGAGACATGCGCTAAAACTAGCATTCGATGCATCTCGTGTCCACAGGTATTCGAAGAACTGCTCACAGACGATCTCAATGCGATCGCGAGTCTCCCTCGCAATCGCGAACAGGCCTTGCGATACGTGACAAATGAGATGGAAGCATCGCCCTCTGTCTTCACCAGCGAACGTGAGCTGGGCATATTCACTGAATTTGTAGACCGCTCTGCTCATGGGTATCATATGCTAGTACTCTCCCTACTGTTAGCAAAGCACGATCTCCAGGAATGCTACGTCAAGTGGATGCTGAAGCTGTTCCAGCATCAGCAGTACAAGACCCTACAGCAAAATCTCAGCATTCGCGTCGAGGTAGTCTCCAAAGTTAGATACCCTTTGATGCTTGTTTGATGAAGTTGAAACTGTCAGGAGTCTGCTCGGTTGTATGGAGTCGTCGACGAAGAGGGGATTCTTGGACAAGACGAGGTTTTCATCAATCTTCCCGATGGAGAGGGTATTTTGTCAGACCGACCTCTGTTGATCGTAAGGTATGCTATACCTCAATCGGCGTCTTGTCCACTGTTCTGACAGCGCGACAGAGAATCATCTCTTTCTACTGGAGGTGAGTCGATTGTCGGATTCATCACCAACAGTACGATAATCTTTGCTCAGATATGTGGTTGTTCAAAGCGGTGCGTTGCGAACGCCTGAGGCACCTCACCAATTGTGTCGGTGAGCTATCACGCTACTTTTGCTGGTACAATATCGTCTCACATGCGAACGTAGTCTTCTCGAAGAGATCAAAGCACGCAAAACTGGGCTCTGTCGTATCAGGGTGAGCAGCACCCGCTTGTACGTCCGTTGATAGCCTCTGATTACAATGAAGAGCTCTGGACAAGCACCAGTACTTCGTGACTTGGAACACAAACCTTGTCAGCGCAACGCGGGCTACACCGAATACCAGTCGATCGCACATGAGCAGCCATCAGGACGCAGTCAAGTCAGAGGGTTCCATTGTGGATGTGAAGGCCGCAGCGCTGGATGTGTTCATGCTGCACAAGTACGGCCGACTGCCAGAAGACATGATGAAACAGTGGCATCATTATGCACTTCGATCTGAGAAGCTAGCACACAATCCCCATGCAGTCGCTTTGCAACCGTTGATTCAGTGTGCTCTTGTAAGTCCCTCAGATACCGTGTCTCATAAGGAAATCGTTTGCGATGACTTTGCCCAGGACGATCTCCACGATCCAGCCTTCACGCGAATGCTCTGGGACAGATTTCACGCTATCCAGGCTGGACGCTCAGGCCAATATCTAGTAGCTCAATTCACGGATCCGCTTGAAACCCTGCGTCGACTAATTCCGACGTGTGAGCCTCCGAAAATCTCAAGCTATACGTTGGATCCTGTTCTGGACATCAGAGGTCATGACGAACACGCATGGGATGATTCTTACAGAGAGGCAGCGAATGTCTGTTGGAAGTTCAACCAAGATCTTGAGGAGGCTGTGAAGCGCGATGAGTTGGCTACGAGTGGTAAGTGATTCATGACTCCTCTCGACAATGTCAAAGTTTTGATGAACACATTCCAAGATGGACACGAAGATAATATCCTGACCCATGGCATCAGCGCGTTGTCCAAACATGCTGATGCTGTATTCACTAGCTACCGCAGTCGGTACTTCGAAGGTTTGTGGGTACTGATATGAAGTGAAGAAAGCGATGTCTAAGTCTCTGGAGACAGGAGAGACCTCATTTGTCAAGCACATACAATCAATCCGAGTGTCCGCCTGGTCAGCTACTTATGATTTCACCCGCTCTTTGTCAGACCTTACTAACAACGGAGGTGTTATCAGGTATCATTATGGCTATGCGCAGAAGAACCCCGCATTTGCTTGGATTGGACTTGTATACCTCAATCGGATTCGCGACGGTGAGTGCATCAGATAACGTCTGTCCCTAGCTTACGCTGTGGCAGACTGGTCCCAGACAGTGAGCAAAGCCACATTCGCCACGCGAGTGACCGCACCTCTCGAAGGACCACCATCCGCCACTTCAAGTTCGAGTGGCAATCGCATCTCAAGCGCAACTACGATTATCGTAACCTCGTCTTCTGTCGCTCAGGCTTCGTCCTACGGTGCACAGGGCGGTTCAGACCAATCACGCTCTGTAGAGTACAACCTCACGCCGCCCAATCCCGTGGCCTCAAATCCACCATCGTGCACCAATGCCCCCGAACATACGTGGAGGATAACTACGACTGGATCTGCATGATCCTATCAATGCACTGACTGCACGGTTATAATCATCGAGCGTAAGGAGGGACCGAACTGGGTAGGGGATGTGGTGCATTCGCTGCAGGCAGCTCAACGTCCAAGAACGCCGATAGCCAAGTTGCTGCGTCCTGTAAAGAATGCGAATCTTGGTCATCCAGGAGACTCAGTTGTGCGGCGTGAGGTCGAAGCTCATGCGATGAAACGAGAGGATATCGACAACAAAGGTGGTCTACTCCACTCGGTATCGGCGACAATGAACGAGATCGGAAATTGCTCTCAGTTACCGAAGGATAGCGGCGCCGAGTACAATGTCAAACCTGCATCGACCTCGACGAGAAAACACCATGACCGTGTCTGTGACGATAGCCCACATGTCTCTCGCATTTCTCCTGTTCTCAATGCTCGGCCGGAAACATCCTGTGCCCAAGGCCAAAGCTCTGGGGGACGTACAGGGCACGCTCCTAGATCCTCGATTACGCCCCTTGCAGAAACATCCTTCTATAGAACGCGCCTACCAACTTCAACGCTTGCGCAGGCCCCACAAGCAAACCATTGAAGCAGCTTGAAGGAAACGCAGACGCTTGCTGTCGCTGTCGAGCAAACAACGGGATCTGACCTCGTGTGCGGGAATGAAAAGCCCTCTGCACCTGTTGCTGTGCACTCAAGTCTTGCCAAGTGCCGGGAGGTTCGTCATTCGTGGCATTGCGACTGGGGCAATGGGTCTGCTAGACGGTACGTTTGCAGAGCGTGCAATATCATTGTGATGGAGCACAAGGTCGGTGGTCGGTGGGTTGCTTACCACAAGAAGCCTCAGAGGCGACGGCGGCTATGATAGTAGTGAACTCGTCGGTTTGCCAGTGTACGATTAGTAGGTCTGGGAGAAGAGCGTATAGTTTGGCCGACGATGTATGTACAAACCTTTGAGTGGTCTGCTACCTTGTATACTTGTTTCTCATGTCTCATACAAACTGTGTGTATGATGATTTGGCTGATGTGACTTTGTAAAGTAGTAATTTTGACAAAGACGCCACTAGTAGCAGACTTACGTCTTGAGGCCCGCTGAGGAGAACGCCCTGCAGAGTCTGCAGCGCTACTTTTCATTCGTGGGACCACTAGGTGACTACGGGAGCACGGAATGCCGATGCCAGTGATCAGTGCACCTTCTCCCGAAAAGAACCAATCCCTTGCAGAAGGTGCGAACCAGTGTATCACAAGGACCGTTAACGCGCTAGTATTATGTATCTCCTGCCACTGGCACCAAAATTTAAATGACCCGTTCAGTTCTTCCAGTCACTGAGGCTCAAGGCCGCTAGAAGCTCGTCTCTGTGAACATTGCGTCAGAATGCAATGACTTCGGTCAAACGGGACGTAAGGGTTGCCCACGAGAGGCTGGGTGACGATATATGAGCCAGGTGTACGAACCGAAGAAAATCCTAATATAGGCGACTCACCATTCAAGTTGGACCTGGAAAATACACATTCTTACGAAACAGTCTGCACGAAACTCATGAAATCGAGCGGTAAAGACATGTCACTAACTTGGATAGCGGCGAAGAAAACCTTCGGATCCGTGGATCTTACTGCCAGTCTGGGTGAGTATCGACGAGTGCTAAGCGCTAGTAAGGTGTGACTCTGATGGTAATCACTTACATCCGAATCACAGCGACGGTGATGCCAATTTATTTCTGGGCAGCTTTGCTGAAGGAAGCCGGTCTGCATACCCCATCATTCACACAAAGCTCACCTCAGTGCGCCATGGAAGTGGCGATCTTGATGTCTAGGCATACAGGGAGCCGTGTTGAGTCCCTCACTGGCATGCTTGCAATCGAGGGCCGCCCCCACCTTTGTAGGTTAGACCCAATTCTATAGGAGGATACGTGTCTGCAGATTACGGGATCCAATCCGGTGTGATTATACTACGTCGTTCTTGAAGTCGCCCTTGATATCATGATGCACGTCGTCCGACCAGTCGACTCCATGCTTGAATGTCGGCACAGCTACGTCAGTCACCTCATGTCGCTCGACGCTAACCACCACTGCCTATATCGTTGTATAGTATGATTAGTGAGCTTAGATCCACAAGCAGCGGCAGCGTACCTGTGGCAGTCGCCCACGAGTTCCCGTTGATACCAGCTGGATATCAGTTTGCTGAAAGGACGAGAGAGCAGTAGTCAGTCACACTAGAACACGTCGTAATATAGAACAAAATTAGTACCCTTCCCGATGAGTCGTGTTCACTGTAGGGTGACTCTTTGGACGATCCATCGGTGATGATTTTGCGTGCATTGAGACTTGACATGACGGAGTTACCGTACCTGCCCACAAGTATGTAGAAAAGTCGGTTGATAACATATGAGCACTCACAGTTTGACGAGGGCATAATTGAACCCAATGTGATACCCTTTGGTCTGACGGTAGCAACCTTGTCAGCATCCGGAGCCGTGTTTGTATGTTAAATGACACGTACTGTCGCAAGGTACGATATGATATCCGCAAGAGCCAGGCTAGCGGTCAGTAGGCCATTTGACATGATCACTAAGCACCGCATTTTAGAGGATGGACAGAGCCGAGAGATTAGGCACGTACGCTGCACCAGTCTCGAGAGCATTTGGTTCGTGCGTGGAACTCCGTCCGTTTCCGCCGCTAGTCCAGATTTCAGTTTAGTATACGAGTCGAGCTATCTGACCGTACCAGCTGCCAGATCAGTAAAGTTGCGATGATAACGTCTGCAACCGCCGCTCCAATGAGCCATAGTAGGACGATAGGCTAACCAAAACGTGTCACTTCCACGAGCGTGTCATATGAAAATGATAGTACAGTACCTTCAATCTTTGCAACTGAGAGAAATCGGGGACAATAGCCACCCCGATTGCTGTCCCAATTCCACTGACTGGACAAATGGCAAGTTGAGTGTAGTGATTGCAGGTGAGAGGATTCAACTTACGTCCGCCGACAACCGAAGGGACGATAACCAGGATGGCGGGCCACCAGCTCCTCGTGAGCGTCTTGATGCGCCAGGCATAAAAGAACTGCACTTGCATAGCAATAATGCCCTGCCCATCAACTTGAGCTTGACCCAGCTCCTTATATACATCATGCGCAAGACTTGACTTACCGCCATAGCTTCCTCTATCGTGTTCGGAGACAGTAACGTCGTCTGAGTGAGATGCAGTGTCTATGCGCTTCGTGGAGTAGCTTACCTGTCTCGAATACTGAGCATATTAACAGGTTAATCACAGGTTCGGTCGATATTATCAACATGCCTACTTACGCCAATTGCCTTTACCTAACGCCTCGACGTTACCTGATGGGGATAGTGAACAAAGAACATATGTCCAAGCAGCGCCAAGAGCACCAACCAAAGTTGTTGATGAGTACGTCGTAGATCCACCATGTGTTGAAGACAGTGTTCAACGTGTCGTTGAGAAGCAGAACCGCGACCTTGAACGTATAAGAGCTGCGTCAACAGAGAATTCGGGGACACTAAGCCTCGGCGATACTAGGCGCTATGAGACGTACATAAGCCTTTATCCACGAAGGATCCCTGGTACGGCAACTAGTGAGTCGCTCGACCAATGACGCCAGACATCATACGTACTTTCTGTACGACGAAAAGTAAAAGAAAGTCTGGGTGATCATAGCGCCATAAAGCCTGCATGTGGATCAGAAGGAGTGTCGACGATATATTGTTGTTACTTGCATCGTGTTGACAATGATTCCGATCAGCGCGGGGCCATCTCTGGTGACCGTCAGCACGGAACACACTGACCAACACTAGGGACATACGCAAATTGAGCGAGCATCTCCCCTTCAGTGTACAGACTTGCCCTTCAGGGACGTCTGCGACCGCAGGAAAATTCTCCATCGCGAGCAGAAGATCTAGGGGATGCCAGAGTGAACTGTTGTTCGGCCGAACATGAAAATGTCGGAGGCAAGGTATGGACGTACCAAAGACAGAAGACGACCTCTGCTGGGGATATGCACGGTCTTCAAGTGCCGAGAGAAAGAGCGGCGGGGGAAGCTATTGGGACACTGTCCCTGCCGTCAGCACTTCTATCGTTCTGGATAGTGGCGACCCTGACCGGTGGAAGCAGACGATGCCCGACGTCGACGACTGTGAAGCGATCCCAGAAGCACCACCAATCGGGATGCTTCTCAAGGCGGATGCCTCCCAAGTTATCATACAGTGTACTTAGTCTCCTCCTCGCTGGTTCCGTCTCAAGATGGCCCTTCGTTCTGATCGACCGGCCTAGCCGACGTCGACGTCAATTACGACGGTGCACCACGAGCGTCTATCCCCGAGTTTCTACCAGCCTTAAGTAGATGCAGTCCGAGGCATCCGCGCACGAACACGGTCGTCGGTGAGATAGTGCTGAGTGCTGATCTCGAAAGCGAAGCAATGGCCATACATTCGATGAAACCCGGAAGAATATGGCGTTTGAGGCGTCTCTGAATTTACGCTGGAGCAGTAGGTGAGGCAGCCTGAGGCCGAGGTTTCACGTATTCGCGAGTCAATCGCCAACCTAGATCAATTCTCGTCAATAGCATGGCATCAGGCTAAGCCAAGGCTAAGCACTCCCATAGTGTACGCGGCGCAGCTTTGAAAGCCGGGAAGGCAACGGCAACGAAGAGCATGTACAAGATCGAGGATCAGCGCAAAATCAGCGACCCACTATACTGTAATTGAGCCCGCGCCTCGCCGAACCATTGCCGACCTGGCAAGTTTCAAGTTGCAACAGGTTGTGACCCAAGATGCGACAAGTAATATACGATACGTTGCCATGCCAGGGTTCTACAAGCGAGGCATGGAAGGCATTAGTGTAAGTCAACGGCGATGCTCCAAACGGGGACACCGGGAACAGCACTTCCGAGTCGACTGTCGAACATGCAACGGAAACCACTCCTTGTGGAGAACCGTTTCGGAGCACATTTGGGATCCAAAAGATTGACGAAGATGTTATATTTTCGGTCGACGAATTTCCTTTTTTGGTAATTGTGGCGATGTTCGTTGAATATCCTTCGTATTTTCGGCATACCTTCGGACTTCAAACATGCTCCGAAACGGTTCTCCAACCAGGAGCGTTGTTCATTGCATGTTCGACAACCAATTCCCAAGTATTGTTCCCGGTGGGAGCGTACCTACGCAAAGCACATGGCGAAGTGATGCGATGACTCGGACGTGCCGCAGCTGAGCTCCCCTCCGCGCAGCGTGCTACGCCTGGTAAGACATCATCGATCATATCGCGTATTGAAGTGCTTCCACGGGCTGTAGTAGTAAACTGTGTCACCTACGGGCCCCTTTGAGGAAGCTGCACCTCAAATCCACCGACAGGATACGTTGGCCGTCGAATGAGTATACTCATAACGTCCATATTCAAGGTACAGATCTGGGCAGTGTAAATTTTGATCAACAGAATGCTGTTCACTGTGATATATTGGATCAATAAGTTGAATAGAGTCATGGACTATTGCTGGTAACACCAGAAACGACCCGCGAAAACCTGGCGAGGCCAATTCGCCAATGAGTGATCGTCACAACCACGTCAAATGCAACAGCATTGGTCTGACCTATCCGATCCCCCTTGTGTGTGCTGTGCAAGCAAATGAAAGCAACGTATGCAGGCAACAGGGTTGTGTTGATACCCATCGCGAATTGGAAGCACTCGGTACCCTTCCTTCAACCTTCATGACAGGTTGACCATCGGCGTCCTGACCGTGACACTCGCATGAAGCCTCAGGCTCATTAAAGGAGTAGAAGCCCAACGGACTAAGACACTGACCTGCGTCGTATATGGCGTCAGTGACGTCAATGAAAGGGCGTGAATCATTGCCGTCTGCGAGCGAGAGTCTCTCACCGGCCACTCCACCGGACCCTACCAGCTGCAAGGGTCGCAAGTGCCCACAGATTACACGGAGGTTGTGTTCCCCCCGCTCATCGGCCAATGACTGAACACTCTTCTAAATGGCTATGGCGCGCAAGAGTGGATGAAGAACCGTAGTTGGTCTTACTACCTCTTATCTGTATACTGAATGAGCCTGCTGTTTGAGAGAAGAGACGTGGCCAGATGACCCAGGCTGACATACCCATTCGAGATGCTAGCGCTTTCCGCACTACACGGCCTCTGAACGGCGGCCGACCGTATTCGCGGGTGCGACATTTTGTCATCCCAACAAGGTGGAGCAGACTGGGGAATCACTTGCGGAGTCCGTAGTGCGTGAAAGGCGAGATAAAGTGGGAACTTCTGCAGTCATTCGGTGGTCCGTGGTTCTTGGTCGTCCGGTATGTAGGAAGTTCATTGGTCCTACAGAGAAATTGTATGATAAATGTGCGACCAGGACATGGCTACAGCAGGACTCAGGCATTACATCGCCATAGCTTTGTTCCTACCATGTCCACGGGGTGCTGTTCGGCTGTGCCGCAGCATGGCAAGACGTGAAAATGATCGAGGAACCGACACAAGAACAATTCGAAACAAAGGTCCGGCGCGTTGGATGGCAACCTGACAGCTTGGAGCCATGGCACCGTACCCTTGTCGTTGACGTCCGGCCACCGAGGTAGCAGCTGACCGACTATGGCGTCCATGCGCTCAGGTGCCGAGACGACTGAGGCTGATGCGTGACTCTCCAAATTGGTCCATTCAATTGAAAAGCACTGCAGCTGCCGCCGCACGTGAAGTCCGCACTGCGCTAGAACATCGCAAAGTGAGGCTTGCGGTAGGAAACGCAGAGGTCTCGCCAATCGACGGGTCGTCATCCTATGCAACCCGACTTTGCTTCCGACTGCTCACCCGAGAGAATCGCAATGCGTACATCTACGACTAACATGCGTACATGATTCGGATCATGATTGGTTGGATTGAGAAATACTCGGGGGTGGTCGCCTTCGACCCGGAGGTATTCGGTTGACCATGTTGTCACTGATGAGACAGGACGTCAGCTCGGAAACAAGAAGCGAGCACTTCATACCATGAGACTTTCTCAAGCATGCTCGCGTTTGCAGAAGTTGAGCAGGCAGCTACACCGGTCGGTATGGTGGTCAGTGAGCTGTGTTGTAACTTGTAACTTGAAGTAGACGTTGTGCGAGGTTGCCATATTGAGTCAGACGATGTTGGCCACGTGGCTCTGCAGTTGGACGACAAGCGCCTACACGGTCCTCCTCCTCCTCCTTCGTGTCAATCGTGAAGCCCTCTCGAGTCTCCCTGGGATTTGCAGAGACATTCTGCAATAAAACAGACATCGCCAAATGCTCAGCTGACCGGCCTCCAAGCCCAGAAGATGAAAACACGTTTAACGCCCAGCCATGGTGTGAGAGGGTTCCCACTGAGAGCTATACACAATTGTGCCGATCTCGCAGCCTCAGACGACGTGCGTAGTCCTATTGGAAGCTCAAGTGCATGTCTTGTTCTCAGCGGTGTCTAAGACTCCTAACTTGCAATGTTGAACCGGTATGTGTGTCCCGTCTATTTCTTGCGAAGGTCGGACTTAGCGTCATGAGGCGTCCAGGGCCGTACGGCTGTCTTGACCTCTACTCATCTTCTCTGACTACTTACCAGTGTTGTGCAGGACTGACAAATGTGTCGCTGGGCATCATGTGCATTGTTGCCTGAGACTTTTGACCCCCGTGAGGGAAGAAAACAAAGGGACGGAGTATGGTCCAGCCCTTCGACCCCTAAAGCGGCGCAGAAGTACCATGACACCCCATCTACATCACCAGCAATTCTCGCTCACCGCGTTTCGACACTAAGCGCACTTCTTCACGCCAGTCATCTGCATGGCCCCATGATTCTTCACAACGTCAGCTGGGAACCACTTTCCGGCGGGAGAGTTATGCGGCGTCCCTGAGCGTCTCTCCAATCTGGAGTGCTGACAGTCAGGTATGTACAACGGTTGTTGTTACTCCCGATAACAGCCTTCGAGGTGTGGGAGGACAACGTTATGACTTCTATTGTGTCAAAGACTGACCAATAACCCCCTTGGTGTAGGCCTCAGCGATAACAGGAGGCTTCCTCTCCTCCAGGACGACTTGCTAGGAATCTGCCGCTAGTCCCGTCCGTGGAATGATCGACGACGGAGGATTTGATAAACTGCCGCTAGTTTGATCTATGAAATGCGGGGTAGTCTGGGGTAATGCGGGGTAAGTCGGGACATAGGTACACAGACACAGACTAACCTTGGATGGTCGCGCAGTTCACCTGACGGGTGATGATGGGAATGCTTCTTACGAAGTCGTGCCCATGACTTCGCGAATGACCTTTCTGTGAACGCCACTCGGTACCTCGTGGGCCAAGATTCCAGGACGTATATAAATTGTGTTCAATTCAATGAGGGCGAAGCAGCGATCCATTTACGACCGCTCTCTCTGTCTGCTCTTCTCAGCCCTACCCCCTAACTCCTGAATCACCATGCATCCAGAGGAAGTCGACGTCATTGTCTGCGGGTATGTCTCAGTTGTCGATGTATGTTAGTCGTCGTCATTGACTGAAATAACTTTGCTCGACAGTGGTGGCCCCGCTGGCTGTGTGGTGGCAGGCCGTCTTGCCTATGCCGACCCCAACCTCAAGGTCATGCTCATTGAGGGTACGCACCTAGTATCTCTCCGTACCCGCTACAGTCGCTGACGAGTGGCGTTCAGGCGGTGCCAACAACCGCGACGACCCCTGGGTGTACCGGTCAGTACATCCGGTGGTAAAGCAAGTTGGCGACGTTAGTTATTAATGACGGATTGACAGGCCCGGTATCTACGTTCGCAACATGCAGAACGACGGCGTGTAGGTTGCGTACTGTGCTAGCGAGCGCGCATCTCTGACGCACTGTGGTATAGCAACGACAAGGCGACGTTCTACACCGATACCACGGAGTCGCCCTTTATGCGTGGCAGACGCTCAATCGTCCCGTGAGTGATTTACCCGTTGTACAGCCGCGTGACATAGCATCTGACTTCACTATGCAGCTGCGCCAACATTCTCGGTACGGTGCCTGTGCTAACAGGCGATGCATGCGACTGACGAAACTTCCACTGTTCAGGCGGTGGCAGCAGCATCAACTTCCAGGTATGCAATGCATTTCTAACCACTAGAACATCTCACCAATGTACTATTCCACAGATGTACACCCGCGCATCCGCGTCGGATTGGGGTAAGACAGACAGTAATGTTTCCCGACCAGGGGATTGACACTACCTTCAGACGACTTCAAGACCGAGGGCTGGACTGCCGAAGGTAAGCATGATCGGTGCACGCAGTTGATTCCTACCTAAACGTTGTGCAGACCTCTTCCCCCTTATGAAACGTCTTGAGCGGTATCAGAAGCCGACCAACAACGACACCCACGGCTACGATGGCCCCATCGCTATCAGCAACGGCGGGCAAATCCAGCCCGTCGCTCATGACTTCCTCCGGGCCGCGCACGCCATTGGCATCCCCTACAGCGACGACATTCAGGGTAAGTCTTGAGTTCTCAGCATCAGGCTCCGATCAGCGCTCAATAAAAGCTCAGACCTGAAGACCTCCAACGCCGCTGAAATCTGGGCCAAGTACATCAACCGCGAGACCGGTCGGCGCAGCGATGCTGCAACCGGTATGTCGCTATAGCTTGCTCACAAATTGCAATTGGGCTGACTGGCCTTGGTACAGCCTACGTCCACAGCGTCATGGACGAGCAGAACAATCTGTACCTCCGCTGCAACGCCCGCGTGTCGCGCGTGCTCTTCGACGCCAACAACAAGGCCGTCGGCGTCGCCTATGTTCCGTCGCGCAACCGTGCGTCCGGCGGCAAGGTATACGAAACGGTCGTCAAGGCGCGCAAGATGGTCGTCCTCAGCTCTGGCACCCTCGGCACCCCGCAGATCCTCGAGCGCTCTGGTGTCGGCAACGCTGAGCTCCTCCGCGAGCTCGGTATCAAGGTCGTCAGCGACTTGCCTGGCGTCGGGTACGCGAGTCTCTCGGGGACAGCCGTTGCATCGCATTGATCATTTGCCATCAGTGAGGAGTACCAGGACCACTACACTACCCTCTCCATCTACCGTGTCTCGAACGACACTCAGACGACCGACGACTTCCTGCGCGGTGTCAAGGAGGCTCAGCAGGAAATCTTCGCCGAGTGGGAGCAGAGCCCCGAGAAGGCTCGCTTGTCTTCGAACTCTATCGACGCTGGATTCAAGGTACCGCACCTCTCTCGCACCATACCGTGCGCTTCTGATGTTCGACGCAGATCCGCCCGACCGAGGAGGAGCTGAAGGAAATGGGCCCGGAGTTCAACGAGCTCTGGGACCGCTACTTCAAGGACAAGCCCGACAAGCCCGTCATGTTCGGCTCTATCGTCGGCGGCGCCTACGCTGACCACTCGCTCTTGCCGCCCGGCAAGTACATCACGATGTTCCAGTACCTCGAGTACCCGGCCAGCCGTGGCAAGATCCACGTCAAGTCGACGAACCCATACGTCGAGCCGTTCTTCGACTCCGGCTTCATGAACAACAAGGCCGACTTCGCGCCGATCCGCTGGAGTTACAAGAAGACGCGTGAAATTGCGCGCCGCATGGACTGTAAGCACTTCTGTTATCTTCGACCGCTCTATCTGACTGTCGGTCAGCCTTCCGCGGCGAGCTCACGTCGCACCACCCGCACTTCCACCCCAACTCGCCCGCGGCGTGCAGGGACATCGACATCAGGACCGCGAAGGAGCTGCTCCCGAACAGCTTGACCGTTGGTATCCACATGGGTACCTGGCACAAGCCGGGCGACGTGTACGACGCGAAGAAGGTACACGACGACCTCGCCTACACGAAGGACGACGACGACGCGATCGACAACTGGGTCGCCGACCACGTCGAGACCACCTGGCACTCGCTCGGTGAGTATTCACACGCCCATGTTGCATCCGGAGAACAACTTGCTGACTGCGCTGCAGGTACCTGCGCGATGAAGCCTCGCGAGAAGGGCGGTGTCGTCGACAAGCGCCTCAGCGTGTACGGCACGGAGAACCTCAAGTGCGTCGACTTGAGTATCTGCCCGGTGAGTACACGGTCTACCGCGATTGGCGGCCTGGCAACCTGACACACATTCAGGATAACTTGGGGACGAACACCTACTCCTCCGCGCTCCTCGTCGGCGAGAAGGGTGCTGACCTCATCGCTGAGGAACTCGGCCTCAAGATCCGCCTCCCGCATGCGCCCGTGCCGCATGCTCCTCTCCCGACTGGCAAGCCGTCGACTCAGGTCCGGTGAAGTGTCTTTGGGCCCGCTGCGACGGCGCCTTGGGGAAAGGCGTCCGGTGCCTGTCGCTTGTGTTAGGTGTCGGAAGAGTTGTATTGTACGAATACCCTGTCAGCGCGGAGTTATTGTTGTACGAGTAAGCCTGCCAGTGCGGCCTTCATGTACTTCTACCTGCAATCTTATCACGGTCCATGCAATGATGTCCTCTTCTCGAGTTGTGATGATCATAGCCTCAAGCAACAGCCTGTAAGTAACGTCGTCCGACCTGGGCGAGATGAGCCTGAGCGAGGCTGGGCGCTCATCAGTGTTCAAAACTGGAGGCTTTCGAACTTCATCTGATCTCCTCACTGGCTACGTTTCTGTCATGAGCTACAAAGACAAGTATAGACTATAACTCGGAGCACGTCTGCCGCGGGCAGGACTTGCGCAGGACGGCTGTGGAAGCGATCAGGGCGTTGTTGCCGTTGTCTGTCTCTAAGTAGGCGGAAGCAGATCAACGCAGATCGGGGTGGGGTTGGAGGTGCCGGTGAGTACTTGCAATTGAGTACTTGAGTGCTCGTGAAAAATGACATTGAATGTTCTTCATGCGACGGAGTGGGTTTTAATTGCCAGTGGTTGGGGCGATATGTGGCCATGAAAGTCGAGACCGCTTTTCTGCTCACCTTCATACATAGTATTACCTCCCGCTTGGTAGGTTCTCTTCTGCGCACTTGCATCAGCTGTCTGACAACCTACTAGTAGGTATCAGGCTCAGGGTATCAGGCTCAGGGTATCAGGCTCAGGGTCACAGCGAGGCTGCTCGGAAGCCACGAATCGTCATCAGTGCCATGAGGTGCTTTATACAGTCTTCTTGCAGTTTCACAGACTCGGACAACCTCAGGCTCTCTGTATAGCATGCGCATTGTCTGCATGCCCTGTGCCCCCCGGTGTGCCCCGACCATCATCCCGTTCTCCGCTACCATCAACCGCCAGGACCTCATCACTGGCACGCCCGCAGAGCACGTCTACTTCTGCTACCTCTCACCTGCCGCCGCCTGCGCTGCAGAACCACTCGGTCCCACTCAATAACAGCCATGAACTGAAGACCGCGAGCCATTACCAGGACATAGCTGGCTTCATGTCGGCACGGGACACGGAGCAGCAGATGCTATCCTTATGTGGACGCTGCGGTCATGCTCACTCGTTGTTGAACTCCAAGCCTTCCGCTTTGTTTCCCGATCACTACAAAGCCAGGCTGTCACGCATCGACAACTATGCATTCTCCTGAGCCTCAGGTACGTCCTCATGCACCCTCCCACTGGCAAACTGTGCTCAATAATTCCCAACGAGGATCGACGCAGTGCCGGGCGTGTAGCAGTAGCCGTTATCCAGCTCAGTCCCGCAAGTCGAGAGCTGGTGGCAGCTACCTCCGCATCTAGAGACATCTATCAGTAAATCTTGCCTTCGCCGTCTATCTGCGCACGTACCCGCCGCGGTCGTAGAAACCGACGTTATTCGTAGCGGCGAGGCATTGCGTGTTCGGCGCGCTGAGGCACGTCGCCCCGCCGTTATACACGGTGCACGAGCCGCCGCAGACGTTGTCGACGCGCCTGCTGCAGTACGTGACCATCGTGTTCTGCGCGGAGCGCGAGACAAGACCTTCGGGCGCATTGACACCTGGGATCGGCTCGCCGATGAAGGTGAGGTTGGCGTCGGTCGACTTGAGCCACTGGATCATCTCTGCCTCGGTGGTGACCTCGGGCTGTGTGTGGGGTGTCAACACTACTGGCGGGACGGGATGAGGATATGTACTGACGGAAGGATTCGCAACGACGACCGCGACGATGGCGGCGAGGGTTGCAAGGGAGAGCTTGAACTGCATCGTAGGAGGGTTCGGACTCTGGGACTTGATTCTCGGTGGTGAGCATCTGATTTTCGTCTACGCTTTCTGCAGCTTATATACCCTACTACTAGTAGACCGCCTCTCGACGACGCTCGTAGACCGACCGCGTGCTGCTTGCCAAGGAGGAAATTGCCTAGGTAACTGGCAATAATTCACGGCACCAACTCATTAGTCGCCGATACATTGGTCTATCCGGCGATTCGACGTCGCTCCGAGTCTGCAGCGCTCTTCAAGCCTCCCGCCTGTGGCGCCCAAGCTGTACAAATTCATGAAGAGGTTCCAGGCGATCAAGACATGCGCAAGTGATCAAATTGAATTGGCACTGAGATGTAAGTCGAGACATGGATAGTCGCGAAGTCCACAACGTACTACGGCCCTGTTTGCAGACCGAGATTCGCGTGCGCCCGTTGCACAGTGCAATGCTCTCCGATCGTACAGGAACATGTCCCATTCGAAATGTGAGCAAGTCGTCACGGTCGATGTCTGGCAAGTCCAAGATCAAGTCCGTACCGGACAAATCTAATCCATGTCCTCACAGCCATAATGTCAGTCCGAGTTGTGCGTTCATCATGTTGACGTTGCACGTGGCTCACCCTCATGTCAGAGCCACACAGTCGCGCGCCGCCCTCCTCATCGGCCTCATCGGCCTCAATGTCCGCACCTCCTTGTGTCAGGGTCTCATCGCTGACCGCTTGCGGTGCAGCCCCATCAAGGGGTGCCTTCATCGGACTTTGGGTAGTCGTAGTCGCGGTGCAACTTGAAGCGGCCGTGTCAGTGACTGACAAATGTATTCAGCAGAACTTTGACTCGGGGAACTTGGACTCACACCGTTTTCCCTGGCAGACTATCTTGCACAAACCTCTGCCTGTCAGCGAGTTAGGCATCTCCGCAGGTTCAGTCTGCCCATACTAACCATTAGTCACTGCTCATCCTCGGACACGAAAGTCCCGACAATCAATGAAACAGTGTTCATATTTACGGCAGATGACCGCACAAATACGAAGGTGTCGTACGGTTTGTTCAACGTCGGAACTTGAACTTCGTTGAAAGTCTGCGACAGCATGTGGTGGAGCGCTCGAAACTCGGGCTTACCTTTTTTGCCCGAGGTGCCCGAGGTGCGCGTCGGGCAGCCACTGGCATTTGTCTCCAATTAATTGTGCTGCCTTCTCTTTCAGCGAGCTGCGCCTTCAAAGCCTCACACATTACAGACTCGGGCCCACCGCACTAGCCCGCTCAGCCTATGCATGGGGCGTCTTGCATTGAAGGTTCATACATGGCAGACACCGGCGCGTTTTTTTCCCTGAGGATTGTCTCGTCCCATACGTGACAGACCACGCCGGCCTTCCATTTCGAACGGAACGCTACGGAGCGGCGACTCGGAGGCCTTGCCTCGCTGCTTCAGCAACTTCTGGACAACGCTCTACTCTCGCCTGCCTTTCAGTCGCCCCCGCCATTTTGACCCGTATCCCGTCTGGGCATCACACACCTCCGCCGCCGGCCTGCTGGCCCTTGCCAGTGTTGATCTGTCCACTCGAGGACGGCAAGCGCACTCTCTCGTGCCCCAGCTTTTGTGTATACTGGAAGTCTGACTTCTGTAACTGGTGTCAAACCAGTGGTAGTACAAAGTGGGCTGATGCAATGTCCCTTACGCGCGGAGATCGCATCCTTGCGTAACGTGATGGACCCTTGGATCAGGACTTCAAACGTGCTCCCCATGACGCTGGGCCCTTGCGCCCATCCGGACATGACCCGCCGTGGTGTCTACTGCCAGAGGGTCTTACTACTTCCTGCAAACTATAATTCAATTGATCAGTACGTCGTCTCGTTCGTTCATCAAGCGTCTTATACGTTCTGTCTCGACTTTTCCACAGGCTATACTTAGAGGCCTACACCAGCTTCTGATTATCATACATGCAGCATGAGTCATGTATGACACGGTCGTGAAGCCTCGATACCCGCCTGCGTATTGCCGCCAACTATCAGGCGGTTCCGCAAACTGCCTGAGTCGGATGCCTGAAGTATCGCAAGGATATTCCTAATAGGGGTCGCGGTCGGTGCATTGACAAGCATACAAATCCTCGGTTTCTGCTGTGGGTCACTGACTTGGAACGGGCAGAATATGTCATCAATGGACAGCGAGAAAGCAGGATCGAGCCCGGAGCTTCGCGTCATTTCGACCTCGCTCTGTACGCACGTCAATGTTGCTCAACATGCGCGGTGCCTCCCGTGCTCCAACCATCATCCCATTTTCCGCGATTATCAACCACCAGGACTTCATTACGCCCGCAGAACGCATCCACTTGCGCTACCTCTCACCTGCCGATACAGAGGGTTCGATAGTGAATCACGAGACCCATCTGCCGCCTGCGCAGGCAAAGCACTCCGTCCCGCTCATTCGCAGCCACGAGCCGGATACCGCGAGCGGAAAACACTGTTTTTAGGACGGAGCTGAGTCCAAGGCATTATATGCACACTTAGCTCACTCATTGTTGAACTCAAAGCCTTTCGCGTTGCGTCAAGTTCTCAGTACAAAGCTAGGCTCTCATGCATCGACAATCAGACACCCTTATACATCACCATGGCCCATCGCCGTCCTCGGCACATTCAGTATTCCCTTGCCTACACTCCCAAACTGGGCTTAATAATTGCCGACGAGGATCGACGCAGTGCCCGGCGTGTAGCAATAATTGTTGTCCAGGCGCGTCCCGCAGCTCGAGAGCTGGTTGCAGCTACCTCCGCATCTAAAGGCATCTATCAGTAATCCTTGCGTCCGTCGTCCATCTGCGCACGTACCCGCTGCGGTCGCAGAAACCAACGTTATTCGTAGCGGCAAGGCATTGCGTGTTCGGCGCGCTGAGGCACGTCGCCCCGCCGTTATACACGGTGCACGCGCCGCCGCAGACGTTGTCGATGCGGCGGCTGCAGTACGTGACCATCGTGTTCTGCGCGGCGCGCGAGACAAGCCCTTCGGGCGCATTGACACCTGGGATCGGCTCGCCGATGAAGGTGAGCTCAGCATCGGTCGACTTGAGCCACTGGATCATCTCTGCCTCGGTGACGAGATCGGTGGCAACCTCGGGTTGTGTGTAGGATGTCAGCACTACTGTGACAGGCGGGGTGGGATGGGGTTAGGTACTGACAGACGGGATTGCAGCGACGGCCGCGACGATGGCGGCGAGTGCTGCAACGGAGAGCTTGAACTGCATCGCGGGGGGTTCTGGGACTTGATTCTCGGTGGTGAGGATCTGCTTTTCGTCTACATTTTCTGCAGCTTATATACCGTAGACCACCTCTCGACGACGCTTTTAGACCGACCGCGTTCCGCTTGTCAAGGAAGCTTGCCTAGGTCACTGGCAATGATTCACGACAATATTTGGCCAGTTGCCGATGCACTGGGCCCTGCCCTGGTCTGTCCGGCGATCCGACGTCCGTCCCAGTCTCCAGCGCTCTCCAAGCCTCCGGCTCGTGGCGCCCAAGCTTTACAAATTCACTGAGAGGTTCGTACTTCTCAGGCTATCGAAAAACGCGCAAGTGATCAGGTTTAATTGGTACCTTCTGACTGGAAGTCGAGACATGGACAGTCGCGAAATACGCAACACATTAGTATGTCCCTGCATGCAGACCCAACTTCGCATGTACCCTTCGCATGCAATGCACTCCATTCGTACACTAACATATCCCATTCAATATGGGAGCAAGTCGTCACGGTCGATGCACGGCGAGTCCAATATCAAGTCCACGAGTTCAATACGTAGCACCACAGCCACATCGTCAATTCGAGTTGCGTTTATCATGTCAATGTCGTACGCGGCCCGACACCATCGTGTCAAAGTCACACAGTCGCGCTGCGCCGTTCTCTTTACAGGCTCCTTGTGCCAGTGTCCCTCAACTGGCCGCTTGGGGTGCGGCCCCATCAAGGCGCGCCCGCAAACTTTGCAGACATATGATCACCTTGTCCAGTGGGCCATCTTCTCGGGCGCAGTGTCACTGTCGTCTTCCTTCATCAGGCTGCTATTCACCGCGAGGCCTTTGGCACGAGGTTGCCGCCTCGACGTAACTTTGACGGCCTTTACCGAGGTATAGAACACCGTGCTCAGGGTGATGACAAGGATCGAGGCTGCGCGAACCCCACGGTTTTTGGTAAGCAGTGAAGGAAGGTCAGCCACTGGCACAGTATCCTCACTGGTATCCGACAGCCATCGGAGACAGGAGCTTTAGATCTATCTCGCGGATGCCACGGGATATGCATCAACGGAGGTATGGCACCGATCAGCGCACTGTGACAAGACGTAAGGACTTGAAGCAAACGCACACTGGGTAAGACTTAAGTAGGAGTTGTTGCTGAAGTAAGACGAGCACTAAAGGGGAAGCGGGCGTACGCTGTTGCTTACAGTTGTTTGCAAACCGATAGGTCCCTTCCAGAGGAATCATTATACAGGTGGAGGACACCGGGTCTTGACTTCATCTGCTGTTCGACCTCAACCACCCCGTGCCATGGTCACGGTCTGGCTTAGCCCTCGACACTGCTAATTGTTGATGGAGAACACGTTCCGATCACCGCTCCTCCGAGTCTGGACACGGAGGCCTCAGCTATCAATCCAGAGACAAATATAATCTGCTGGGGATTTTCTACCGCTCGTTCGTTGTGGTCCACCTACTTCAGTTAACGGAAGCCTAAAGTCAAGGTAGTATTATTGAACGGGCGACAAGTTGTGGAGGAGTATCACCACATAGTGATCCGTCCAAGGATGTTCAATACCTCTCATCCAGTGCTTCCCTCGCAGAAACCCTCAAGGTCTAAGATCCTAGACAGCAGGCTACACTGTCACGGGCTCTGTCCTCACAGTACGGAGATAATGCATGAACGTGTGTGGTACTAGATGCCGGGTTTGAGGATGCCATATGTACGTGAGCTACTAGTGTCATAAGCTGATGTATCATGTTGAGTACACAGACAGCTGTGATGCACCACATTACACATGCTACATCAGACATGACAGACACTGCGGTACCTCCTGGTACCGCCCGTTATCCTGCCATCTCTTTTCCAGTCCGAGTCAGCGAGGCCCGCCCGCACTAGCCTGCCCGACTCGCGCATGGAGCAACCTCGTGTTCAGTATTCCTGATGACACTGTGACAGACCCCGTCGCGTTGAGTCCTTCCTGATTGTCCTGTCTTCATACCTGACAGATACCTGACAGACCACGCCGGCCTTCCATTTCGGACGGGACGGTGAGATCGCACCTCGCTGCTTCGACAACTTCTGGACAACATTTTGGGGCCTCCGCCGTACTGTTCCGTCTCCCGTTTGGGTATCACATACAACCGTTTGTTGGCCCTTCAATTGACGGTGCTGATTTGTCCGTTCGAGGACGGCAAGCGCGCTGTCTCGTACTACAGTTTCTGCTGGCAGTACGAGTCGTTCGAGCCTAATCCTGTAGTCGGTGCCGAATGAGTGATAGGACAAAGTCGCCTGATGCGATGTCCCTCGCGCGCGGGCATAGCATCTTTGCGTACGTGACTCGGATGGACTCACGGGCCAGGACTTCAACAAACGTGCTCACCATGGCGCTGAGCCCTTGTCACGCCCATCCGGGCATGACCCGCCGTATGTCCGTCGGAACACTTTACTACTTCCTGCAAATAAGATTTAATAGATCAGTACGTCGTCTCATTCGTTTTTATTTGTTCCGTACCGACTGTGTAATAGCCTCGCGAGCTATACTACTTAGAGCCAGCTTCTGAGGTCATCATGCAGAGTCATGTATGGCACGGTCGTGAAGCTTCAGCTTCGATACCCGCCTGCGAATCGCGGCCAACAATCATGCGATTCAGCAGAATGCCTGGGTCGGACGCCTGGACAGACAGGCTCGCCAAACTTTCCATGTACTGCCACGAGCCGCGCCCTCCAGTCGCGAACCCTCTCCCCCACTCCCTCTCACGGGTACCTATCCCTCGATGAGATGCAGTAAGCTAGAGCTGGCAAAAGGCTACAGCTTCACTTTTCCTGCGATGGCCACCGTACTTAGGGCGTTGTCGAAGTCCCGTGCAATAGTATGTGTTTCTTTCCGATGTACGGTTTTCCACCAGTTGGACGATGTCAGTTACTCATTCTTAGGCTACCTAGGACTCGGGCTTGCACTCTACGCGTCCAAATTTGTGGCTATGATTGAATTGTGCAATTGCAAGGCCACACAGTAAGGCAGACATATCAGTCTCCGATCGACCGTAGTAATCCGGACGAGAACTCACCCTTTCTTGTACATATGCTTGGCTGTACAGTCTTGCAGACAACTTCGCCATGGCCGAACTGAAGCATCGAGACGTCCAGAAGAGCTCGAGGAGACCTACACCAGTAGTGTGACTACTCATGGCATGTTGTCCCGCTGTCGTCGCGTCGTTGTGTTCATCTCATCCAAATAGCAACACTCGGTTCCGGCCACGCACCACCGACGAGGGGCGAGGACGACTCCGAGTAAACGAGTCACCACCGTGGTGTTGCGTGCCAACTTGAAATAGGGCACTATATTCGTCCCTCAGCGATCTTGAATTGGACACACTGCATAGCTCAAGATGACAATATTAGAGATACCGATAGGCAATCCGATGCGGTTGAGGCGCAGCTTCGAGATTCGAACCATATAACAGTGTACTGAGCGTAGTAGCCCCCGTTGCAGACCGTGACTTAGCTGGCAAGCAGGTAGCTTTGTGGCGACCGGACCGGCAGGTGCCGGCTACTGTGGGGAGGTGCGCCACACACGCGACGTTTCTTGCTTCCTCCCTCCGGCTGAACGAAGAACGCAGCTGCAGCACTACCAACAGCAGACTGTGACAACTGTCCTCTCTCATCATTGACGACTGAACTTCGCCGACTTCTGCTCTGCTGTCGCCGCAACGTTGTCGGATATCTTGGTGCCTTTCTATCAACATGTTCAAGTTCCACGCAGGCGCTTTTCGTGCTTTACAGGTCCAGGCCAGTGCACACTCGCTCAGGCAACCTGGGATACATCCCGGGACGACACTTGCACGACCTACAAGGGCTATCTCTCGTGCATTTGCATCTCTTGGCCGCACTCAGGTCCTCGAAAGACACGTGCACCGTGCGCGACTTTTCGTGTCTACCCCGTGCAATCCGGATGACCGTATGCAGCAGACCCTGCCCGAACATGCTTCGGTCGTCCTTGCGCTGCCTTCAGTAGCAGCGCCCCCTCTCGCGCAGCGAAAGATTCGTCCGTGCCGCTTGACGACGTGCCGATGGTGGAGAACCCGACGGCAGAGCAGACGCTTGACGTGTTCGAGGGCCTAGCCCGCACGCAGTCCCAGGATCTCGTCCCGGGACTGTACTCCGACCCGAGCCATTACTGCGCTGCGGTCGTGAGGAACACCATGATCATCGGGCATTTTCTCTCGACGGTCGACAAAGACGTACGTACTCCCTTCGACACCTTCCGCATGCATGCCTGATATGTGCGTACTGCAGGAGTTCCGCTCGGGCACAGATATCGCGCCTGAGTCGCCAATCGCTCGGGGGCGCGCTGCGCTCATGCTTACCGCGCGCACCGCGCACCGGTGGATGCAGGAGGCATTCCCGCCGCACTCGCCGCCTGCGGACCAAGACATCGCGGAGGCGATGATGTACTTCTCTATGAATGACCGCCTCATGGACGTCTACGAGGCGGGCGGTCCCGAGCCCGTCCCACAGTGGCAGGACATCTGCGACGTGATCTTGCTGGCGTACTTTCACGCGCTGCCCGCGCTGAAGAGGGTTGCGGGCCCGATGCCGGACAAGTTGGTCATTTATGATGCGGTGCTGTCGAAGAAGGACACTGGGGGCGAGGGTGGTGCTTAGGTATGCCTCCTGCGACAACTTTCGTGGTGTTGTGTGTGCCCAGTGTGACGGACTAGTATGTCAATACTGGTGTCTGATTATCCCGTACCGTGATAGACTGCTTTCCGTAGGATCATCTTGAGGTCATAGCGACGGGGGAGTCTTCCCCTGCTAAGATGGCACCCTGAGCTTTGCTGTCCGCCAGCTGACCTTGAATCTAGTCATCGCCTAGGAATGGGTTCACACATGACTCGATGGACGGAAGCTAGCGGCGCAGGGAGGCGCCGACTCCTAGTACATCAAGTCGCTGAGCAGGTCACACGTCTCCTGGCCCCGTTATTCGACCAATGAACCGTAGAAGCTGTTCGTTTGTATAGCGTTCAGTAGTAAGCCAGTACTACAAGAAGTCAGTGACACCCTGGCGTGATGAGAGCATTTACACGCCGTCTCCAGAACTTCGAGTCTACTTCAATTCGGGTCCTATCGAAGGCTGCCGTGCTTGTGTCGTCGTTCTGCGGGTTGCATGCCCCCCCAGACTTAGATTCGTGACTGTTATGTTACTACTTTACTCTGTGCCTGAGGCCTGAGTGTCCGTGATATACAAGCTCTCATCGTGACGCGTGGGATGCCACCTCCGGGTCTTTCCATGCTCTGTAAATCAACGCTTTGGCTGTCTCTCGCGGAAGAGCACCTTTGCCTTGCGATTAGGGATCATTGATGCGGATATCCACGTCGGCGGCGGTGTAGCGTGTGCAGCTACCCCGTCCAGGCTTCTGACGTCGTAAGTCATAACGACGTGCGCGAGTATCAGCTTGAGCATCGTCGCAGCGAAGAAGCGACCAGGACTAGCATATAACCCGCCCTGAGTATTCATCAACCATAGCCACTCTGCTGAGAGACGTACCACGCATGTCGACCATGCCCCCACAGCAGGTAATGGTCGCTTGTCTTGATCATGTGGTCTTTCCCTCCCCCATTTACGAAGCGCCAGGGGTCAAACACATCGGGATTTGCATAGTGTTCGCCATCAAAGTGGATAGGACGAGCCGCGGCAGCTAGGAAGGTGCCTTTTGGTATGAACGTCCCGTCCGAAATCGTATAATCCTGTACTGTTTTGCGGTTGATAGATACTATTGCCCGGTCATGAGTCAAAAATTCAGAGATTACGAGAACAGAGCTTACTTACTTGCACCCAAGCCAGTGACGCGCCCCACTTCCTTAAGGAAGCTGTCGACGAGGCACATGTTTCCAACCGCGGCCTTGCTCCAGCCGTCGGCTTGGACAACCCGATCGACTTCGTCCCGGAGAGATGCCGCGTGTTCCGGGTAGGCCGCCAGGTAGGATAAGCTATGGGTGAGTACCTACACAAGAATCTGGATCAGACGGAGCCGACAACAGTCGGATTCCAAACGGATCCAATAGACGCACAGTAGACGTCGTATGGAGTGCAGCGAAATTGACGACTAGCACTCGCAAAGCGAGTGCAGAGACAGTTCGCTCAGTGCTCTCCTGTGCACCTTCGATGAGCCATTGCAGCAGATCACTCTTGCAGAAGCATCCGGGAGAAATTCAGCACAGTCGCATAGGCATCTGCGAGAGAGACACTGACCGGGTTGTCTTCCTCGTCGTCTGCATAGTGTGGTTTCACATCCATGGCTGCACGCAGTAAGCGCTCCTTTATTATCGGTTCCAAGTGGTGGACAACACGATCAACACTCCTGGGGATATTCGTGCAGAATTTTGCAACAAATCTGCATATTGAGTTTGAGTGTCAACTTCAATGACGTGCAGCAGGACTAAAGACGTACGGCTTTAAAAATGAAGGGAATAACTTGATGAGAGTGCTCCCAACGACAACATCCATCGTAAATCCTTCGTTGACCGCTATGTAGTCGGGATCTCTGCCTACGTGAGCAGACATCATGTCACTTCAGTCGGATGGAGACCGTGAGATCCGGGACCAAGTTGAGAGTACATACACACTGGTAGACCGACAAATATGCGGTTGGCAGCCCGACATACGCTCTGGAAAGCTACATCCTTCAGGCCTATACTAACCCATTCTACGAACACGATAAAATGACTTGAGATGCAGCACAACGAGATAGTCAAGACTCACCATTCGAGTTACCAGAATCCGCAATTCGTATCTTGTCATTGAAAGTACACACAATCTCGTCCCGTAGATCGTCAATTATCCGTGGAACGTTACGCATGAGTCGTGTACGGAGGACTCGGATGTGATAGGGATCTCGCGCGATGTTCGGGCCTAGGGTGTATGGAATCTGCACCAGCTGTCCATTGCCAGGCCTAATCAGTATTAATTTTTTCGAAATGTCGATGTTTCCCCTCGCTATATGGATCGTCTGAGACAACTGAACTCACGTCAATTGCGGCGGCAGAGAACGACACGACATCTTCTGGAGCCCGCGCAAGCTCCTCTACGGCTGCTGGGGATGTGACGAGAACACACCAGTAGCCAAGTTCTGCGTACTTGAAGCAGTGATTTTTGTACTGATGCTTATCATTGGTCAGCTGTTCCAGAATTGAGTGGCTTAAACAGGCCGTGCACCTTTGCGTAGCCGTCTTGTATGATGTTGGCTGCATCTACGAGGGATCGTATGGCGCCGATGTAAGAGAAGATCGGGAGTGAGGGCCCGCCAACGGTGGGAATGTCGGACATCTGGAAGAGAGCAGTGAATAAACAGGGTCATCCTCGGAAAGGGGGGATGGCCTACACAACGATGACGATCGGAGAACACACGGACGAGATACAACAGGCCACAAGCAATAGACGCGTAAGTTGCAAGCAGGAGAGACATCTTGTCAGCAAGCCGGCTCTATGCTGTAGGAAATGAGAAACAGTGCGTTCATGAGCACTCTCACTGTATCTTTATACAACTCGTAGTATCCACGCGGGTGACGCCAGGAAGCCTCTGGAGCTTAGTGCACAGTACCTGGAGCGGTCCCCCGTACCAATGCCCTGTATACGGCTAAACAACTGCCGGAAAGCATCGCGCGGCGCCATACTAGACGGGATACGGTGGTATCATGTTGCGGTGATTATGTGTTCTTGACTTGATGGCTAGTCAGCGTTAGCGTGTTCGAAATAGAGTCGCTAGGCCGCCGGGCGACGACGGCGTCACGGTGTGGGTGAAACAGAGAAGACATGGCTGTTCCGACGACCTATGCAGTTGAACTTTGTTCATTTGACACATCGCGCGACCATACTCTGGACCCTTTCTCGAAGCACGGCTGGTAGAACCGCGCAGACGTTAGGAGCGGGCAGGACCACCTATATACTCACCTATATCGGAAGGCTGAGTTCTGCGAACTATCAGTTCAATCGTGAACTATGACGTAGCAGGCTGTAGGGGGCCCCTATGCTTACTGCGAAACATCTACGTCGCCAATCTGCTCTGCCGCGGCACGGTGATCACGCATATCGTCCGACGTCGTACTAATAAGCCAGACGTACCAGTCTGAGTCTTTCGCATAGGGTTTTCTGTTACATATCCATCAATAATGAGGCATCTATGATGCGCACGCCAGTCAACCATGGACAAAACGACATAGAGGTCGCTCCGAAACGTCGGACAGTTCTGTCACTTGTGGTACCGTACCCACTTGAAGTGTACAACTAGAGTTCGATCGCGCTGTGGTATCGGCACATCATCATCTCTGAAATACACCTGCGGATGTCAGCTTGCTAGGCACACCTGTCAGAAGATATTTCCGCACCAAATGCGAAGGTGTCACAGAACTTGAAACAACCGTACTTACTACACGTCGACCCGGACTCGGACAAGTCGGATGCCGCTGCCTGCGAGGGCTATGATTGGGCAGTACGTGATCCCGATGTGCAATCGGGAGCGCGATCTGGCTGCTGATTCTGGCATCATCTAGGTCACCGCCCGACTCGAAGGCGTCGAGGAGAAGTCACTTTTCTCCTCCTCCTGCGCTGGCACGACCGCGACAGACCGACATCGATGCTTTCCCAACTACATTACACGAGCCATGTAGAGCGTGTGGCAACACTATTGTGTGGAGAAGCAGCATACTATGCTACCGAAACCCTGCGGCAATGCCAGAGACGACTCTTCAAATCGACCTTCAAGTTGGTCGACCCTCAATCCTCAGGCTGAGGCTGGCCCAGTCCAAAATTTAACTGGTTTGAAGAAGGCGATTCTATGCTTGTGGATCAACGACTAGGCTGGAGGAGCACCACGATGTCTCGTCTTACTCTGTCGTAGATAGGTACCAAGGCGAGAAACAGCATAACATATGGACTTCGACCTTAAATAGTCAACGGCGTCTGAGGCCTGCTTCGCAACCACCGCCCGTGCTTTCCACACGTTTCACAGCCATGTTACCCCCGAGTTGGCCGCGGCACACTGTAAGTACCTGTATTCCCTTTTTGCCGCTTTATACCTTGCCCATGTATCTCACAGAGGCCCCTCGTTACTTGTAGACGTCAACATGGGGCTTTTCACGACGTATCCGACTACGCGACCCCGGGACCTCGCCGGCACTTACGACTACATCATTGTTGGTGAGCTTCTACGATTCACCTCTTATTGTCTTCCTCTCATCCGCCCACATTGCAGGAGGGGGAACTGCTGCATGCGTGCTCGCAAACCGTCTCAGCGAGGACGAGTCCGTGTCGGTGCTCGTAGTCGAACGCGGCGATGTCAAAGACGGCTTTATCTCTCGCGTACCCCTCTTGTCTTCTCACTTTGCGTCTGACGGGTCACGCTCGCGCCTCTGGGAATCTACGCCCCAGGCGCACGTTAACGATCGCGTCTTTCAGATGGCTGCAGGTTGCTCGCTGGGAGGCTCGTCGAAGATCAATGCAATGCTATACACCCGTGGCCTCCCCGGCGAGTACAATTCGTGGAGCCAAGCGGGCCGGAAGTGATGGGGCTACGATGAGATGCAGCCGTATTTCGTTAAGTCAGAGACCGACCTTGATCAGGATCCCAGCAAGGCTTCGGACTTTCATGGTGTTGCAGGTACTGTGTTCGCGACATTCATGGACGTAGAATTCTCACCCGAATATTCAGGCGAATGGCAAAACCGTTCTTTCCAGCCCTACTTCTGGAAGAACACGCCGTAGTGAGCAGCACGTTGAGCCGCCACACACATGCGTACTGATACTTGTCTTAAGCATTATCGAAGGAGCGACGGCTATGGGCATTCCCTACGTAGACGATCTCAATTCGCCGCTACATTCGTCTTTCGGCTGTGCCAAGATGCACTACTCCCTCGATCGCTGGGGTCGTCGAAGCTCCGCGTTCTCCGCATTTCTGCCCGCGCAATTGGTCAAAGAACGCCGACGTCGGTTGCACATCTGTGTCCGCACCCTTGTCCTCAAGATCGATATCCACGAAACGTCGTCCGGAGTGTTGAAGGCGGGAGGAGTGTTTCTCCAGTCCCTCGGCGAGAAATTCCCGTCGCGGTACATAGGAGTGCGGAGAGAAGTCATCTTGTGTGCGGGCGCTCTCTCCTCTCCTCAGATCCTCATGCTCAGGTCAGTGTTGCGCGTGTTGCTATGAGCTTGCTTGGTGATGTTGGAGCCAGTGGTGTTGGCCCTGCAGATCACTTAGCTCGACACGGCATTCCCATACTCAAGGACCTGCCTGGAGTAGGCTCGCATCTGGTGAGCTTGCGATTGTACGTAATCTCCCCGCTTTTCGTACTGACTGATGTTCTGGCCTGCAGCAAGATCATTTGGGTGCCGCGCCTCAATATCGCGTTCCTCTGCGGGACTCCATCATCAAGCTGAAACTACAGCCGTGGATCACCATCATTCAGCTGCTCATGTACATTTTCTTCGGCGTGGGGATGATGCTCGGAAACGTCCTCGACGTGTCGATCTTCATGCAGTCACGCTTGTTCGATGGCAAGTACAACGCCGTGGTCAACTCCGAGGAAGACAGAGATGCCTCGCTCCCGGAGAACGTTCCAGACGTCGAAGTTATGGCTGTGAGTGAACAGAGCATCTGAAGCGGCACGTGCTGACTGGTATAGATCGTGGCGCGCGACATGTCTGCGTCTGTTTCCGAGAGACAACCCGCGCAGATCGACCGCCGACGCGGGAAGAGCGATGTCTCCTATACCAGCGATGCCTCAAAATCCACGCGCGACGGAGGATTGGGCTTCCTAGCAGTCAACCTCCGACCGACGTCCCTGGGAACGGTGCGCCTCTTCTCGAGCGACCCCAAGGAAGACCCGGTCATCGATCCCAACTATCTGTCGACGGACCACGACAGGGAGGTCATGCGCAAAAGCGTCCGGTTCCCTATGCAGCTGAAGGAGAAGATGGCGGCACGCGGATATCCCATCACTGACTTCAGGATTCCTGCAGGTGACTCCGACGAAGAGGTGGACGAGTTTGTCCGACAGGTTTGCGAAACGACGTATAATTATTCGTCGACCTGCCGGATGGCCCCCGAATATGATGGACCGCGCCCCGGGGGTGTCGTCGACGACCGTCTCTGCGTTCACGGAGTGCAAGGTCTGCGTGTTGCCGATGCCAGCGTCTTCCCCCATATCCTCAGCACCCATCTTGCTGCGCCTGTTGTTGCCGTGGCGCAGAAGTGTGCTGATATGATCAACGAGAACCGGGCTGCCGAGGCACTGAATGGGAGGCACTGAGTGATTGTGACGAGGTTTATTCAGCCTCTGAAGGTTGTCTGAAGGTATCTACATGTCCCTGCATACAGACGAACTACATCTCAACATGCGCCAAGCATTGCTACTTTGTGCACTCAGTCCACGGTGAAACATGAAGGCTAATCACCGGCGGGAGGTACTATTGGAGTTTGATCAAGTTAGTGCATTGAGGGTCACCAAGCGACTGTCACCTCACGCACCAGTTGTTCTGATGAGTCGTCAAACCACCGAGCCACATTGTTCACATGTAAGGATAGTGGATTTTGACTGAAAATTCATGAATGAGATATCGCTTTACACATTCATCGGTTTGATTCACCTTGATCGCGGACATGATCATGTCATCCGTGTCGTCAGCCGACGATGGCGGAGGGTCTCTAGCATGCAACACGAGTGCTGGCAATTCTCCAGCCCGGTGGATACTTAGTAGAGCGTCAGGAAGGCTTTTCCCGTGGATACTCTGTCGTAAATTGAGGCTGTCATGTTCGAGTATTAGCTATCGTGACATGAAGATATATAATATGGTACTCAACGTGACCATACAAGTATTGACGTAAGCTAGTCAGCGATGCGTAGGTACAAGTGAGCTGTACTGCAAGCATAAAATTGGTGCTCAACACACCTTTGGTGATGAGCATTTCGAACACTAGAAAAGCGAGGCATGTAGGTGCTACCTCATACTACGTGTCGCAAGTATTGTGTCAAGAGATGTTACAGTCAACTAAAGGAGTAGACTCACTGCGATAAGTTCCGCGCCGTTCAAGACGCTTTCCGTGATATCACTTCGTCAGTGGGTTTCATGAATGGATATGGTGCTGCATACGCGGGTATGATACCAGTGGTAATGATGTAGCAAAGTGTCAACGCATTAATCATCCTTTCGGTGCTGTTCGCCTGTGCAGTGAGTTCCACCAGCCCATAAAGCATTGCGAGCTCGTACTGCACCTGGGAATGCCTGTTCGACTTCGGTATAGCTGATAGCTTATAGTGGTAGATATCATGACGTCGGCCGTTACAGTCAGGCTGATTATTACACTGTCGATCCACTGAAGCGCCGGGTGTGACCATCGTGGTCGACATATGGGAAAGGCAAACACACATTGAAACTGGCTTCTTCTAGTATAGCAAACGAGGTACTCCTGATTCTGTTCCAAAAGCTGAGTAGAGTAACTGACCTTTTCTGGATCCCATGACTTACTGTCGCACAGTGGCATCTAATATAGGTCATTCATGTAACTGTCGCGAACAATCAAAGCGAGGAGACTCACAACAACCGAGTGCTATGGTATCGGGGTTAAGACTTGTAAGTAATATTCCCAATCCTACTCACCTAAACCGGCAACAGAAAGGACAGTCTTGTTTGATGAGCCAAGCTGTCCAGTGTAACAGTAGGAGAGGGACAACATACAATGACAACAGATAGCGGAGCAAAGCGTTTGTTCACTGATGGGGTAGTAGTGAGTTGTGTACCCAAACGCTGAAGGCAGGGCGTACATGTCCAGATTCGATAAGCCAGGAACCTTTCGGTGTCGTTATATCTCGGTTTCCTTTTGAACAAATGGGTCTCAAATCGACGTACCCATGAACGATGACAGCTACAATGCTCTGTTGACGTGCATAGTTCAGTACACGGCTTGCCATTCTTAATCGTGACACAGTACTCACAGCTACTATTGGTTCCGACTGAAGAGGATACATCAGAATTTAGTAAGGAGAACACTGGCATCAGCACTGAGCAGAGGCATACCCCGAGAACTCTAAGGAGATCATATATTAGCCTTCGTGATATCTCATAGAAAGGGTGTATCGGACGCACTTGTTGATGTGCAAAAGTGCGAGTACGTCCATGAAGTCAGTGATCAGGTACGTGTACGCCGCATAGCACATCATAGCAGTTGATGCAGAATCCAACACCCTAAGATGCTTTCAGTATATTGTATGCAGACAATAGCAGATAATCCAAGTCGGTATGGCTGACCACAGCGTGAGAACCTTGGAACGCGCATCAGCTCTGCCGCAATTTCTCTGTTAAAGGCCTCATACCAGAAGCTTGAAGAAGATGTTGTCGCGCGGATAGGTAGCATACTGTTGGATTGTACTAAGTGAGTATACATATTCTATCAAAAGGACCACTTACGTAGTAGATGGTTTGCATTAGTGTTACTCCATAGAAACTAGGGAAATAAACAGTGATTATGAGGTGTTCAGATGACTGTGAGGATGGGACGACCGTGACATACATAGAACTGAGCACAATCGCAATGAACATTACCCCCATAGTAGGGTTGAGATCGATGAAAGAGGTCATTGCACTCGACAAGTCTGAACACGGGAAGGACGACTAGACCTGTATTCAGTGCGCGCATTATAAGCAAAACGGCGATCACACTCGACACTGTTGAAGTTTCGCGGGTTTCTCAGGACTCACAACAAGGAAGCTTACTAGCCTGCCATCCAGCCTGAGATGTAGAGTAGCCGGATCTTCGGCGCAGTCACTATGAGCTTCGTTGTTCAAGTCACATTCGAATGCGGTGATGACTCCGAGTCTTATCTGTCACCGTGTCACCATCAGAACGGCGGACCGAGAGGTGAAGCAGTTGTGACAGATTGAACCATACAAACAGCTTACCATGTCATCTCGAATTGAACAAATATGTCCGGAATGGACCTGGATCCATCGCACTCAAGGCACGCAACGTTCGGGTTGTGACTTCGTTTGCTACCGCCCGAGCACTCCGGACTCAGTGGCATGTTCCTTGAGGACGCCCTTCCTCTCTGTCGAGGTCCTGTCTTAGTCTAAGGAAGACTGGCGGCATGTCCATAACCGCTCTTGTATGGTCGGCGACGGAGAATAGCGGCTGGAGCCCGACAGTGGAGCTCGTCGGATGCCCTCGCCGCACAGCGGCACAATTGCTTCGCAACATCCCCAGACCCGGTCAGCCATAGTACACGCAGAGCCGTGCGATCGCGGTAGATCCTGAGCAGCATGGACAGCCTGAGAGCAATCCTCGTAAGATGGATGGCTTACAAGTTGGTCGTACAGTCTTTACTTACCTCCTACCGGGTCGCTGTCCGGGTGAACCTTCGATGAGACAACTGCTGTGCGCCGCCGCACACACTTGGATGCCTGGGAACGAGAATTTACATATGTAGATGGGCCTCGGATGGGCCTGTCTAAAGATGCCAGATGGACAGAGCGAGGTCAGAAAAGATATAATATCATTGATATGAGGGTTGGATAGACATCATCTCCGAGTCATTCACACGAAGGCTAATAAAATCATTCGGCGTTTCAATGCACTGACATCTGTCGCTGACTGCAAGGGACAGTTCTAAGTTAACTGATGTGCACCCCCAGAACCAATACAAGCAGCGACTTTCATCTTCACGAACATTCCGGACCCCGGTAAGTACCATCGTGGAACTAGTACTCATAGAACATCTGTCACTCGACTATGATCTTGCTATGATCATCTCTCCAGCATGTTTAGAGCGCACAGGCGTTCGATGGACGCAATGCAGCGACACCGGCGGCCCATGTCCGCACTGGCAGTGTTCTACCAGTGTTATCTTCAAGAGACACCGCGATTCTTGTGCAACCTTCTGGTCATTCCGGACAGACATCACTGCATCGAAGTAATACGTAATAACCCCCTGGGGGTGAATGTGCCGCACAGAGACATGTCAATCGTGTTGAGGGATATAATGACTATCGAAAGTGATTAGACAATGCTCTAAGCTGTACTGTCCAGTAATGGAGCGTAGAGGTATCATTGGGCGCATTGTCCTTGTACTTCGGTGCCCCTCCGATCGAGACGTAGCGTTCTCTGTTACGCTTGCGAAGTCGCGCTCCTTGGTAAGCTTGTGGCCCGTGTGTGATGTTGTATCGCTGTCGCGAGCCTCAAGTTTGCTCTGTTTATGAACGAGTTGGCTCGTTGAGCGTGAAGGTGGTGCTGTCGTGTGCGTACCAGGGCATAAAGTGTCAGTAAATACGCGCGTCGTCGCTGTGGAAAATTACGTACCCTCGAGGTCTGTGAGGATTATATCGCAATCCTCATCTGGACCGGAGTGTGCGCGGCTTAGTACTTTCGAGCTCAATCTCACTCGAGGTCGCCAGGTCCAATATCCCTCGTGTCGTGAAGCTTGATGACCCTGCATTCCGTAGCCCCAGAATACGCATGCTGGAGTGCTGTACTGAAGAGACCCGCGCAACGCCGCGCGCTGTAGTAGGCTGCCGCTAATGACAAAAGTAGAGAACGATCATACTCGAGGCGGGTGGATCGATCGCGTGACCGTATATCGCGGAGGGGCTGCAGCCAATGAGGGGAGGACGGGATGAAGCGCGCTCCTTCCGCGCTATGATTGCCACCGCCGCCCGCGGCTGGGACGCGCCGTTGCAGTGAACATGCCACCGTCCTATCTCACTCTGTCGTCCGCGACTTCCTCCTCCTCCTCCTCCTCTTCCTCCTCGTCGCCGCATGTCTGCCGCTTACTTTGCCCTCTAAGCTTGTCCTGACGAGCTACTGCGAAACGCTATGCATACTACCGCACACCACGCGCACGGGCACGCACCGCCTCCAGGCCTCTTCAGTGCGACGCGACTAGCAAGCTTCACGACGTGTATACTAGTCGCACTTGCGTCTGGTACCAACTATGTGCGTCCGTCGTTAGCGATGTATGGCGGATGCGGGAGTGGTGGCTAACTGATTGGTTCAGGTCTTCTCTGGTGAGTCTCGTTTCGTAGTTTTCGCCTCACGATGCAACGGCGTCCGCGTCGTGCATGCATACGTCGTGTATACATGCAGCTAGTCTGACACCATGGTCCCTTTCAGCCTATGCCCCTCAACTAGGCTCGCGACTCGGGTTGACCCACACACAGCTCAATGTCATAGGATTATCAGGCAATAGTCAGTACTTGTTACGTGCTCAATATCCTTAAGCTGACACGCATCTTACCGCCAGTTGGTGTGTATGGCTCCGCACCCCTCTGGGGACGAATAGTCGACACACGCGGCCCGCGAGGGCTCTTCATCATGGGTTTCTTCGCGCTCCTCGTCGGCTACCTTGGTATTCGCCACTACTACGACCGAGGATTGCCAGATGGGTCGAGCACACTGAGCACGCTGAGTATATGCCTCCTCGCTGCGTTCAGCTTCCTCACTGGAATCGGCGGGAATGGCGGCTTGGCGGGCGCTATGAATTCGACCGCGAAGAGCTGGCCTGACCGGATGGCAAGCTATCCTCCCTTCCTCTGGGACCCTAGCTGACCATGCTTGTATCGTCGTGCAGCGCGGTTCGATGAATGGCGTCGTAATCTCTGGCTTCGGTCTCTCCGCGTTCCTATTCTCCACGATTGCACACGTCGCGTTCCCGGGCAACACCTCCGACTTCCTGCTCATCCTCGCCGTGGGCACGGCGCTCCCCATGGTCCTCGGCTTCCTCGTCGTCCGGGCGATCCCCCTTCCGCACGCCACTGCGGGCATCGAAGAAGAGGCTTTCGAGCCCTCCTCTGCCCACGCGCACGCGCCCCGGCCGGCGCCGTCCGTGGCGATCGCGTCGCCTGCGCTGTTCAGGGATGATACGAGCCGCACGCATCTGCTCTCGTCGTACCACCACTACCACGACGAGACTGAAGACGGGGACGCCGCGGAGGAGGCCGACGAGCTGATCCCGGGGTATACCTCACACGGCGCGGTCGCGTCGGACTATTTTGTGCCTGCGAACACGGAGAGCGTGGCACTGAGCCCGACGCGGAGCCAGGGGCGCTCGCGGAGCAGGAGCGCGTTCTCTGGGCGGAGGGGAAGCGCGAGGAGCTATGCGACGCCGGTGGTGGGCTTAGAGCCGCCGAATGTGCATGGGAAGGGTTTATTCCTGGATATCGACTTTTGGGTGATGTTCAGCATCACTGCGCTGCGTGAGTGTTCAGGTGTTTATCGTGACTGAAAGGCTGAGCTAATCGGTGATTAGTGGCGGGTACTGGGCTGATGTGTAGGTTTGCTTTCGCGGGGCATCGACATGGCGATGTCTGACGGGGGTTGTACAGACATCAACAACGTCGGCTCGATATCTCAGGCGCTATTTGCGACGGGTAACCCTGACTATGACGAGTCCAAAGCGGGGCAATGGCAAGCGACGCAAGTGTCCATCGTCAGCGTCACGAACTGCGCCGGCCGGTTCTTCGTCGGTATGCCCCATCCCTATCGGTTCACGCCCTGCTAACACAGCATCCTCTGCGCAGGCATGGTCGCAGACTTTGTACGCAACTACCTCCAGCGCCCCCGCTCGTTCTGCATCACCGTCGTCGCAGCGATCTTCATCGTCTCGCAGGTGACGTGCTACTACGTCTCGACGGTCGAGAACCTGTGGAGGGCGAGCGCTCTCCTCGGGCTGGCGTACGGGTGCATGTTCGGGTTGTTCCCGACGATCTGCATCGAGTGGTTCGGGCTGCGTAAGTGCTCGCGTGCATAGTGAACTACGTGTGGTTGTGCTGATGCCGGTGGGATCGCCTGTCAGCACACTTCTCGGAGAACTGGGGCTTCGTCTCGCTCGCGCCCATGCTCGGCTCTAACATCTTCTCCCTCGCCTTCGGGCGCAACCTCGACGCCCACGCACCGCACGCGCCAGAGTCGTCCTCCGCAGCCTCCTCTTCACCGAGCCCGCGAGGCATCCTCGACCTCGCGCGCCGCGCAGGCCTGCCGGGCGCCACGCAGTGCTTGGAGGGCCGTGCGTGCTACAGGGATAGTTTGAAGGTCACGATTGCGGCGTGTTTTGTTGCGCTAGGGCTCGCGATGTACTCTGGATGGAGGGACCGGAGGAAGCAGGTGAGGGTCGCGTTGAGGGTGGAGGGCCCGGGGGCGGAGGTGGTTTGGGAGGAGGAAGAGGAATAGGTGGAGGTAGCGGGTTCTTGGGATGTGTGACATATGGCATAGACTCAAGTGTGCCGGTGCGTAGGCCTCGAGGAGGGCAAAAGATTGTGTTACCTGGATTTGTAGAGGTCGTAGTAGACTTGTATGTATGCTGCTGTAGATATCTCGTTCAGGACTATGTATAGTAAGTAGCATGGTGGTGAGGTTGGTTTCGCGACAAAATGAGTGTCTTAGAATGCACGAATTGCAGAACGTGATCGTGTGCGACTCGAGTAGGTCGAGTAGGCGGAGGAACGGTCTTCGGCTGGTGCGCATTGCGTTGCCCCAAGCGCGGCGGTGACTCTCCTGGCATTACCTCCGTACACCAGGCTCTCATGTCCGCAGCTCTTTGTACTCATCACCGTGCGTATCAAGTGTATCCATGGGTCCAAAGAGGAGCAACTCCCTTGAGGTACGTAAAGTTGTAAGATCGTTCAAAGTCCTAGAATCTGAAGCGACTTAGAGGTGGTCAGGCAACGTATGGGATAAACGAAGCGCAAGCAAGGGCTCGGAGAGATTGTAGAATTGCACTCAGCGCCCGCGAACGCTGGGATATCAGGTAAAGTTCAACATTAACGGCATTCAGCGGTACGGCGGCCCAGATAATCTAAGTCTTGGAGCTGGGACGCTCCTAATATATAGGTGTGGTGTCCTACACCGCGGATACATTCGCCCGGAAACCCATCAGATACTCCATGATCTGGTATGCAGCCTGAGTGAGGCCATACTCAGCAGTTCTTCCACGCATCTGCAGCAAAATGAAGCACGTACCACGGGCGAGAACTCGGGCACCATATGCCCACTCAACGCAACTTCGACGTAGGCCAGACCGCGCTCGTAGTGCGCGTTGCCGAGTGCGCCGACGCCCTCGACGACGAAGCTGTCGTTCGTGATGGATGTTTGGAAGCCTTGCAGTCCGTCCCCTGAGATGATGCACTGGTCACTTCTTGACGCACAGTAGAAATGAACGATCGAGCTTACATGTCATACTGCGATGTGGACAATGTCAGTGTTATCATGGGTCCTCAGGTGAGTAGCACGTACTTCTGAATCGCAATCCTCGCTCCGTCGGCCATAAGAAGGTAATCCGCAAGTCCTTGCACAATAACGGAGCGCTCGCTCTTCTGGATGATGTTGGGCAGCACGGTGAACGCAGACGGAAGACTGGTATCACCGTCGCCGGCAAAAACTGCCTCGGTACTGCATACAGTCCAGTTGACGTCCATTGGCGCGTTAATGGCCGCCTGACGTCGTCCCTTGCGAAGTAAGGTGTTGTTTGTATCTCGAAGAACGAGCCCGGGAAACCAAGTATGTCGAATGGCACGGGCCACTAGGGAAGAAACGTTCAGCTCAGCCGTCTGAGGCTGTACGTCGTGTGCTTTACCGTGTCAAAAATGCGGTAGACATTGAAAGCCGGGTTGACCTTCAGTGCCGCAGAGAAGATTGTCTCCCATATATCACATCCTTCGACGGGGTATATGCTTCCTCCTGGCAACGGGAGCAGTCCCGTCGGAGGATAGGTAACGTACTGCTCCATGTAGCCGGAATAATTGCATGCTGCGGCCTTCGCGTCGAGCTGGCTCATATATGACTGGTTGAAGGCGAAGACATTCTGATACTTGTGCACAAAGTCCATCGCAGGGATATCAGCTTGGACAACGTTCCAAGAAATGACCGCTGTAGGCAGCACTGTCAGTGACATACTGGGTAAAGGAGAGGGCGCGCACGGTCTGATATCCAGAAGCCTGTCATGTTGAGGTCGAGGGCGTCGGGGTTCTCATAGATGTAATTGGTAATGTCTGTCGCACAGAAATCGTAAAGCGGCGATTTAGGAAACATGTGAACTCTGCTCACAAGGAACGTACATCCCAGCGTACTGCGGCGCGCAAAATGAGTTAGATGCTCTAACAGATCACAGTCATCGTGCTCACGCTCTCTCCCGTCGTGTAGAAGTTGTTTCCTTTGAGCTCGGAGAAGACCTCCAGGAACTGTTGGAGGAAGCCAACAAGCTGCTCGGCCAACTGGTCCTCGTTCTACAAGCAATGCGCGTCAGTGTTCCTGTCGCAAACGGCGATGCGAAGCTGTCACCTCTATATCTGGAGTACCCTGAGAGAAGCCGGTACCGACCGGCTGATCAATGAACAAGATACTCGATAGATTCGTCCAGCTGTGCTCGTTGGAATGTGGTATCGCCCGACCTATTTCCCACGAGATCGGCTGTACAAGTCGTGTCAACTGACTAGCTGGAACTCTATCACTACAGCTATTCAGTCCACCTACACCGACTTCTTGCAGCAAGCCCTGCATGGACGAACATCCAGGCCCCCCGTTTATCCTACGCAAGACAACATCTGACCAAAAGCGTTGACTCGTAGCACTTCGGAACGCACCAGAGAATCAAGTCATCTAGACTACCTTGAGGGCCTGGAGGGAAATACCAGAAGAATAACTGAAATTGAATGCTTTCACATATGTAGCGACGCATATACCTGAGCACACTAACCTGTCTTGTTTCGTTCGTGTTGTTGCTAATTGGTAGCAGACCGGCCCAACTTGGCCCGATATCCCAGGTGATTTCAGGCAGGCTCGAACCATCGACGTAGAACTCTATGTACAGCGCGATGAGATGATGCAGCATTCCCCGCCAAAGCAATCACAGACGTACCAGAAGCCTGTGGGTTCGAGAAAGTGATGTTCTGCACTGTCCCAGGACCACCAGCGACATCCGAACGAGATTGCAGCACCCAGTCTTCCGCTACTTGCTCCCGGTGCTGACGTAGCTTATGATATATATTCTGCATCCTCGAACCGGCATCTACTCCTATAGAAAAGGCTGTGAGGGCTGCTAACGCAGCGATTGGCAGCGATTGCCACAACATAAGTAACGATGACTGTAAGAAGAAAAGGAGTGTGAGATCGCAAAGGAATGGCGGGGGTCAATGCACGAGGGTCGCATAGAGCTTTGCTTTTACGTGTGTTCGACCATGAGTGGACGCATCTGGAGATCAGCTTCGCTGCGCATGATGCGCTACGCTTCCTTCGGCTCTTTGATGGGGATGTCGGTACTTGCCCTGATGCGGTGAGACAAGTTGCGGGGCGGCCACGGGCTCCGGAGGAGGGGCGGAACTTGACGTTGCCAACTTGCTGCAACTCGTCCGAGTCGTCGGCCATCACAGAAGTCGTCGCTGCAGCGCGATGAGAGACGCTTGCTGTGAACACTCATACAGCCCAGGTTATCATGCACTCTGCTCTCGTGTTCACTCACAAAACTGCTTCGCTTATCATATATGGACACAGCACAAGAGTGTCTCGGGGCGGTCATATTGGCATGCCGGAGCTACGGAGTGTCTCTGAATCCCATCAAATACTGCATGATCTGGAGAGCAGCGACGGGCGAGAATTGGGGTACCCTAAATGGTGACCACGCAGCTGAGTTATTCTACTCGGCGGACTGAGGGGACACGAAGCACTCACATGTGTCCCGACAGCGCGACTTCGAAGTATGTCAGACCCCGCTCGGAGTGGACGGTTCCGAGCGCGCCCATGCCGTCCACGATGAAGCTGTCGTTTTGGATCGGCGTCTGGAAGCCTTGCAGGCCATTCCCTTCGGAACACGGTTAGATGGTGACCAACTGTCATGATATCATGCACTTACAAGTCATGCTGAAATACAAAGGAGGTTAGCCTCATCTGAACGGAAGAGGAATGTTACGGATAACCCACTTTTGGATAGCAATCCTCGTCCTGAGGGCATAGGTCAGTTTCGCGCACTATTTCCGACCCACCGTACGCACCCGTCTGCGATCAGAATGAAGTCCGCCAGTCCGTGCACGATCACTGCTCTTTCACTCCTCTCAATGACGCTTGGAAGCACCGACAGTGCCGGTGGAAGGCTATTGTCGCCATTCGGGAAGACGTTGATATCCGAGCACTCAGTCCAGTCCACGTATGAAGGGGCGTGGATCGCGGCCTTGACATCGTCGCGGTTGAAGTATAGAGGCGACACTTGCGTCTGAGGGAAGGAGCCAGGGAAGCCGAGGACGTCCCACAAGATCGGGTACTTCATCGGTCATCCGTGAGCTGCTCGTTCGTGCAGGAATGGAGTGTGGTAGAGATTGCCACTTACCGTGTCGAAGATACGGTAGATGTCGAAGGCGGGATTGACCAACAGCGCTGCATCAAAGATCGCGTCCCAGACGTCGCATCCGTCGTCGGACTCGACGCTTGACCCTGGAAGAGGCAGAAGGCCCTGAGGCGGGTAGGTCACGTATTTTTCCATGTACCCGGTGTAGTTGCATGCGGCGGCCGTTTGATCGAGGTACGCCATGAATGTCTGGCTGCCCAACCAACGCACCGTGAGATGACATCAACTGCGGCGGGCGGGGATCAACGCACTTAAACGCAAACACGTTCAGATACTTGTTGACGAAGGCGACAGCTGGGATTTCCTCTTGCACGACGTCCCACGAAACCGAGGCTAACAAGGACTCAGTTAGTCATCAACATAGCATAGTCGCTGAACGTACGATCAGATATCCAAAAGCCCTTGAGAGGGACGGGAACCGAGTCCGGGTTGTCGTAGATGTAATTGGCGATGTCTGTGACGGTCAGAGCCTGACCTCATGAGGAGACCAATGGGTTCACACACAAGGGATATAGGTTCCCGCATACTGTCACACGTGAAGATGAGAGACCTAGCAGGATCATGCAGCGATACACTTACGCTTTCGCCAGTCAAGTAGAAGTTCTTGCCCTTGAGCTCGGAGAAAACTTCAAAGAATTGTTGGAAGAAGCCAACCAGCTGCTCCGCGAGCTCATCCTCGTTCTGCATGCAGACCCATCTCAGCCTAGCACATCACACCGCTCAAAGCGATACACGCACGTCGATATCCGGCGTACCCTGCGAAAAGCCCGTGCCGACAGGCTGCTCGACGTACAGGATGCTAGATAAGTTGGTCCAGCTATACTCGTTCGGTATCGCCTTAGCCTGTCCCGGCGACCAGTTGAGAGGCTGCCATGTGCGCGAGCCAGCATGATCAGTCAAGACGCCCATGATCGACATGGCTAGCGCTTACTTACGCCGTTCTCTTGCAACAAACCTTCGAGGGAGGAGCATCCCGGCCCGCCATTCGTCCTTCAGGGAATTGAGTAGCTCGTTCAGACACCAGTGAAAGAGAGGAGTACCAGAATATCAAGTCGTCCGAGCTACCCTCAGGACCGGGCGGGAAGAACCAGAAGAAGAGCTGTACAACGGGGGTGAACGACCATCGTGTGCGAGCGCCCGAATCGCATAGCTCATAGACGCGCACCTGTCTGCTTTCATCCGTTTTGTTGCTGATGGGCAACAGACCCGCCCAGCTAGGACCGACGTCCCAATCGACAAGCGGGATGGTTGCGCCATCGACGTAGAACTCTGGTCTACAGTCAGCTTAATCCCGGGCACACGACATTTATTTGCTCACCAGATGCACGGGGGTTCGTGAATGTGATGTTCTTCACCGTCCCTGGTCCTCCGCTGCTCGACTCCGCGCGACGGTATGGGCCGAGCCTCTTCACCGCTTCCTCCTGTCTTGCCCATAAATCCGCCTTGGTGAACGTTCGCCTCGCCTCGACATGGGGAGCTGTCAGTACAGCGAGAGCAGTTATCACTTGCAGGAGTGCCGAGAACATGTCGATGGGGACGCTGCGGTCGGCGACGTGCACCACAATGCTCACGAACGCTATAAGTAGTCCAGAGACGTGGCGCGCGTCTCGGGGGAATTACGAGACCTTCCTCGGGAATATCAAGCTTTGCGACGATATGACGGATGACATCGCCCGAGCAGAGCCGAGTAGGAGTCAGGACACCTGTAGGCTATAGGGCTTCAAATCCCCTTCTCAAGCCATATGGAAAGGGCCTCGCGTGGGATCCTTATCGCGCGTCTGCTTCAAAGGTTTTTCATTGACTATTCATGTCGAGCGTCGCCAGACGGATGGAAGCATGTGTTGCGCCACAAATAGCGAGGAACAAAAACAGTATCCGGGCCAAATCCGGGCGGTCTAGCATTAGTATGTACGGGATAGATGTCTAGAGCAAGGGGTAGCCTGTGGATACATATGCAGCGATACATAGATTGATACGTACACGTAGATGGGTGATGTCGCTCGTGGCTCCGTCCGTCTAGGGGCCGAGTCTATGCCAGTGACACTCTAGGTTGTTACGATAGCGAGGGCAGGACGCACTGCCGGATGAAGTACTCGTGGAAACGATCGTCCTTCGTCAGCTCGGGATGGAATGTCGTGAGCAGGTGGCGTCCCTGCCGGAGGGCAACGATGGTCCGTGGGTCGTTCGGATCGGTATTGCCCGCGTCTAGGGGAATGGTTGTTTGGTTATGGGGGAGCAGACTCGCAGACAGGCGAGAAACGACCTCGATGGGAGGGTCGTTCGATGAGGGGTCGAGAGAGAGGACGACCTTTCGATCGAACGTGAGATGCCAGGTATGAAACAGCGAGGTAAGGACGTACAGGGGCGCGAATGAAGACACCATGAAATGGCCGGTCAGAGTCACGCAGGCCATCGACTGTCAACGGTGCCTCGAAGGATTCCACCTAAAGAACATAAGCACCTGATAGGGCTGAAAAAAGAGGTTGCGCACCTGAGACCCGAAACCATTCCTCATGATCGTGACAGACACTCCCCCAAGCAGCTCCTGCCCGCCCTTCTTGGTACCCTCGGCCGCCTGCGCTAGCAGTATCGCGCCAGCACATGTTCCCCACACCGGCTTTGTCTTCACAAAATCTCGAAGGGGGGCCAACAGGCCAGCTAGCCGTGCAAGCAGTGCAATAGTGGTCGACTCTGAGAATGCACACGACCATTTCGTCAAGGCTCGCCACGCAGATACTGCCGCATATACCGACGTACCTCCGCCGGGAATGATGAGGGCATCGCACTTCGCCAAGTCCTCTGGTGTTCGAACTTGCACGATGTGTATCCGTCGCCTCAGTGATACTTTCTGGAGGGTGGCCTGGTGCTCGACGAATGCACCTTGCAGGGCTATGTCAGACGTCAGCTGACGATCCCTCCATGCTAGCACTCACGCCGAGCACACTCACCAAGGATCCCGACGGTGACCACCTCTCGGTGCGTTGACGACTGCATTATCCCTGAGCTAGGTGGCGGTCAAGATGAAGGTGTCTGTCGTTGGCTGTATGTCGAGTCATTTTTCGTGGGGCTTCCTCCAGGCTCCTATGGCCACCACGGCGCAAGTTTGAAAACTCCGTTTTTCAGAAACAAAAAAGGGTTCAGGGACACATGCGGCGTACTGTAACAGTATGAAATGAACACTCGTGCCGAAAAAATGCATGACAGGAGATGGTGGTCGACGACCAATATGTACGCGCGCCGGGCGCTCGATTGAACCTGACTTGAACGCTCTTGAACGGCGCCGTTTTGTAATTAAGTAGTTCAATTCCGCAATAAAAAGAACTTATCATTGTGCAACATCCTAGTCGGCCCTTCTCAAGTCTGCGCCTGTCTGCGCACTACATCCTAATTGCTTTCATAAACAGACAGCAGATGGGCTTCTACCCAAGCGTTCGCCTTGCGCTCATGACAATCACTGAACGTTTGGACGCTCCTGACAAGAATTGATCCGACTCCGACCCGGCGTCGCGGTATGTATCGATGAAGAACTCAGTACTCCCTCAGTACTGATATGAGTACGTCGCGTCGACGCCTTCGAACGTACCTGCAGCAGTGGCTGACTGAGACTTTCATGGTGAAGGCTTTATGAACTCAGGATATGCTCAAATGCCCCGTCTAACATTACACTAGCACTCTATGGGATCGACCGTGATAGTACTTGACTAACCCTCTCGGCGGGACGCACTGATGTACATCTCGCAGATGAAGTTATACCATGCCTCATGCATGACCACACGGGGCTTCCTGCAGATCAGTACGCAGGTTCACAGCCGCGTCACCGACCAGACCAACTGCCAGAACTTCGCGCCCCTCGGCAGCACGACACCGGGGGGAGTCTCCAGTTCCTTCAATTCCGCCTTCACCGCCACCGTCCCTTTATCAAAGATCTCGCCATCCCATAGCTCCTTCCAGCTCTGCGGGCAGTGGCAGAACATGGGCAGCGGGTCGCCGTTAGGCATGGTAGCGCCCTTGATGAGGCCTTTCTCTATGCCACCGACGTGCCAGCCGAAGATCATAGCTCCTGGTATGGGTGCGAGCAGCCCCGCGAGTGCGCGCGCCAGTTAGCGCTACTTCTCCTCCGTGAAGAGGTGGAAGAGCATGGATGCGTGGATGGCGGCAAGGCGGCCCGCAAGGGGCGTGAGCGACGTCAGAGAAGACGGTTCGGGCGGCGGACTATCGGGAGGTGCGTAAACCGGTGGCGAGGGATCCAGGAATGCAGGGTTCAGAACATCGCCTTGGAGGAAAGGGACCGGGAAGCCCTCGGGAGAGTCCTTGAAGAGACGGTATCCGAGGTGCCAGAATTCTAGACCCAGGAGACATCGTTAACATGCTTCTTGACATCCGCCTTTCGATGCGTAGACTCACCGCCCTGCAGGTCGGTACCTATGCAGTTCTTGGCAGGGAAACCATCTTCGACGGCCTTCCTGATGTCGTTCCCGACTGCGTCCGACGCACCATCTAAGCTTCCACATGATATACGAATGACGAGACACTTACAGCAACAGCCGACATCCATGAAGAATGCGTTGTCATGCTCTCTACCAACCTTCAAGAATTGATCATATGCAGGGTGACGAGCTATCTTCACTCTGTAAGATGGGTACCAGTAAGCGATCAGTAATCGTCTGTCAGTGGATCAATCAATGTACTTCGTGAAGGAAAACCATCGTATACATATGTACGGGAAGACCTGCCACCCTTGTCAAGCCCGTCGTCGGACGAGAGCACCTATGGGAGGACACACCTCATAAGCTTCGTGTTGCACTTGCACGATGTGCTCCTTAAGCACGGTTTCGTCATGGATGCCCGTCTTCTGCTTGTAGAAGGTAATCTCGTCGGCATCGAGATGGTAGAGCTTATCGTCGAGTGGTGCAGCGATCACCGCGTGCAGCTTATTCATCTCGGCGTTGGGCGACATCTTGCGGGTGACGAACCGGGCAAGGCTTGAGTCAGTGCAGAGGGGTGCGCTAGCTTTTATGCGGTCCGAGTCCACGCTTGCCGCCAATATTGATGCACTGCACATCCTCGCGGGAAGACGACGGTGTCAGTGACATACAACTGCCATCCGATTGACACGTACAGGTGGGGGCCAATGAAGTCCTGAAGCTTCATGGTCAGTTTCCACTCCACTGGCAGGTCGCTCGGCATGCCAGCGCGGCGTTGATAAATGAATTTGAGTGCTTCTTCGGATCGAGTTGCATACCCATATATATCGATCTCGCATCAGTAACTTCCCAGTAGGTAAAAGTGACAGTGAGCTAGAGTGAATGGCCGCAGGATGACCAAGGCAGCGGATCCGCATGAGTACGCATATAGCACGGTATCCGTGATGCTCGCACCGTGTGGCTCTCTATTCGCCCCAAGCTTCACTAGTTACATACCTGTTGAAGACAAACCCCGATTGAGGCAGTGACTTGTGGCATCCGCATGCTAGTACGCCCTTCTAGCTGAAGGCTAAGTTTGATCGGTGAGCTAGAGTAAAAATAATGCAGAGCGCGGCGCACAGCGATGTGGCACGAAGACTCCTTGACATGACATATCACCACCGAATGCATCCTTCAGCCTGAGGGGCTCGGACTCGACCCTTACTGAGAAGGTTTCACACGAATCCCGGCCCTATGGCAGTTAGGGAATAGGTCGAGGACATCATGATGCTAGCCGTCGTGAATCATCACATATGGGATGACGCCTCCTCTGTAGGCGAAGACCTCAGAGCCCCTGTTGTCGTTGACGAGGTCCTTTGATGAACAATATGCTCGCGCCCCAGTGGTGCCATGCAACACGGCTCATATATCGCCGATAGTCAATATGCATCCTGAGGATTTAGTCAGTCCTTAGTAGTGGCAACGGAAAACCGAGCAGTTGTGTAAGGCACAGCTCACCGGTTGTACCTCTGCGATCGCGAGGCTTTGACCGGAATCATGTCCATCGAACGGAGGGCGTACGAGCGAAGCATGTACCCCAATCTACAATGAACACGTTTTTGACCTGCATCTCATGCATCTAACCTAGATAGTGACTATGCACGCACCAAGGTCAGCCTTATGTGACACAACTCTCGAGTCCTGACTAACAGATACGCAAGCGAACTTGTCTGCATATGCCAAGGCGAACGAAGGCGTTGATCATAGGGATTTCTGGCTTGCGAAAACGATGGTTTATACGCTCAATCATGACGCGGTATCACTGAAGGGGCTTCATCGGCTACCGGCTAAGTTTGAACAGGTACCCAGTTTTCATAAGGACTACTTACCGCTTCACTCGGAGCTGCAGGCCTATAGGACACACATATATGCACCCGTGGTCTATGCTGTACAAGCTCTGTCGTGTCCGCCTGAGGGCCATCACATCCGCGACATGTAGGAAGGTGGATCGTGCCCGTCCGGTCTACATGCATACGTCTCCTCGAGCTGTGAACCGACAGGTATGGGAGATAACTTTGCACTGTTTTGAGGAATGCCATCGGGTGATAGAACCAAATGCTTTATCCGTGCATAGACCGATAGCTTCTCGGCCCCTTGAGACGACCAGTTCTCTGAGTCCGACGATGAGACGTGTTGAATGTGATTGTCATTGTACAGTGAGCTGAGGTTTTTGAGAAGCCTAGATGATCATAGCGTATGCATACTGATACGCCGTTGATCCTGAGCTACTATAGAGCTGAATGAGCGATGAGCGAGGGACAACTGCCATCCTATGTAAGCGTGGTTCACCGACTTGAGATATTGAGATCTTGAGAGCCCGGCGCTCAGTGGGGCGTGACAACTTCCCAATTAGGGTAGGACTGCCTGCCCTAAACTCACCGCCTATAAAACTTTCGTCTCGGCGTCGTGAATCCTCAGAACATACTCAGCTAGGATCTATTTTATAGGTACTAACTCGAGTCTCGCACGTTTATTCGTGCCACATCCTTCATGTCCAGTTGATGACAACAGCGCCCACTTGTTTTGCAGAGCACATGTCGACTTCGGTTGACGCGAGGACGTTTGGCTCGTCGTTCGTTCGCGCCCTTTGGGGCCGGATGGGGACTTGCCAGCGAGTAGGGCGTATGTCTGATGGATATCTGCTCGTTTGTAACTCAATGTAGTATCGTCAACGCTGTGTATCAATGGAATTTACTTGCAAGAGCATATGCATTCTATCGTAAACGTATGACAAGTCTGGAACTGTTTGCTTGTGATAACATTGTCCTACCGCTCTGTGGCGTCTCGAAGAGCCTGCGATGCTTTGCAGTCCTGTGTAGCTTTGCAATGCATTGATTGTGTACGTCCCGACTTATCGAGGCCTCGAAGTTGTTCAATCATTCAGTTCGTTGCCATGGTGGAGTCCGTGCCCTTGACAGAATACGGACTCCTCGGTGTGCGTAACAGGAGTCGTGGACGTCGACTCTGCTACAAACCATGGCAAGACAGAACCTCCACTTGCCACCCTCCACGCACGTTCACAGTTGTTTGATCATCGAGTGACGCAGGTACAATGCCAATGCACCTGTGCGGACGAGTTCAGAGGCCAAGTCCATCCGGGCGATGGCGCGGACGACCGTGACGAAGATCGGATCAAGTCTCGGAACTCAGTATGCATCGTTGTACTCAATGGCACCTGAATGAGTGCCATATGACAATTCGCAGAACACTCACCCGGACGACATGCTCTTACAGGTCCGCCTAACACCGTGTGGAGAGTCTTGAGAGGAGACTTACAACACGGACCGAGTCCAACATGTAACAGCTGGGCGCCGCATCCGCTTGACGCTCCCCGACTCATGGGATCAATGTACCATCCGAGTACGATGGGCCTTGATACATGGAGAGTATGATTGGAGCTGGCAACACCGGACGGTTCGGGTTTCAAGGCAGTGATGATGTGGCATCGGCGACCTGGCTAGTCCGACGCGCCCGCTCCCGCACAGTATGAGTGATCAGAAAGCCAAGTCGGAGTATGCAAAGATACTCGGCCAAGGGCGGTCATCCAGTGAGCTGCCCGAGCAGGAGGGAACCTGTGGGAGCCTATAGCGAGTTGCATAAATAAATGAGGACGTGAATGGTACATATTGTCACCTTGCTCTGATCAAAGCCCCTTCACCCCGCTTTACTAGACCGTAGACCGTGTTCGTCATCGACGTTATGACAGACAGGAGCGGGGAGTTCGTGTCCCTAGATCGTGATCGAATGCCACTGGACGAGAAGCTGTACCGCTTGTCTGAGGACGACGTCGCATTTTTGAAGTTGCACACGGGTATACGGGATGACGACGAATTGAAGCAGCATGTCTTGGAAGTCCAGGCGGATGCATACCAGGTGGGCATGGAGACCGGTGATTATCATGAGCATGTTACTCACACAATTGTGTTCGTGAAGGTGTATCCGTACCCCTGTATCCGTTATTTCATGTTTACACAGTAAGCTCCAACCGGACGTGCTTGCGAGACAAATGGGAGCTTACGTTTCATGCAGCACGGGTATCGCCCGACACTTTGCCTACGGACAGTTTCTGAATCTGGGACGTGAGAGGCCGGACGAAATATTCCTCGAGCTTCCTGTGCATGTTAGTGCATTATTCAATCCTCGTCCGTCCATTAACCAACTGGCGATAAGTCGGCAACGACGTACGAAAGGCTGTCTCTGACGGGTTCCCGCAACAAAACTGTGTTGCTGCCGACCTCGAGCGAAGTAGGCCACCCGAATCTCGGAAGACCAGATCTCTTGCTGACTCTGGGCGTCTCTACAGAGTACTGGGAGCTCGGCCATCGTCTCTTCAAGAGCACCCCAGAATCATTTCCCGTCGCATTCGTCCCGGGCGACATCTTCGACCAAGATTACCTCGCGTCGAGCGTTCAGCCCGTCTACGCACAGCCAAACTCTCCGGCACCCGCGCTCTCCGGCCTTGCGAGCCTGACGCCGCTGCGTGGCCACGTATCAGCAATCCATGGATCGCTCTTCTTCCATCTCTTCGACGAGGAGAAACAACTCACGCTTGCGCAGCGCTTCGCCAGCCTGCTCTCCCCCTTCCTGGCTCGATGATCTTCGGCCGTCATCACAGCGCCGATGTCAAAGGCGTGAGGGACTTCCCGGTGCCGGATGGAGACAAAACATCAAATGTGATTCAGGTGTTCTGCCACTCACCGCAGACGTGGATGGTGTTGTGGAACGGGAAGGTATTCAAGGAGGGCACGGTGGAGGTCAAGGTAGAGCTCCAGGAAGAGCCCGTTAGTGCGATGGCACCGCCGGAGCGGAAACTCTACGTGATGGTCTGGTCGGTGACGAGATTGTGACCGTGGCACTAAATAATATCAACAGCCTGTACACAGTACAGAGCTGTTGCCTTCGGGGAGGCTTCTACAGCATTGAGAACATCTCTTGTCATGAGTCATGACATTCAACGGACTTGCGGGAGGAAGCCTACTTATGAATACGGCAGTCTGGTGGATGCGTCCACGATCACTGCAAGCATCTGGCGCATTGATAACACTGACGGGTTTGAGGAGTGCTACAACACCGCATGCGCGATTTTGAACGCCACGCTCGAAGTCGGAGCTTGAGATACTGCTTGTCTGACCGAAGCTTTACTTACCAGCATGCCTGATAGATCACAAATTCGTGTCTGAAATCAAACTATACCTTCACCGACGAGTCAGAACGCTCGAGGAGGTATGTATGCTGCAAGTCGCGCTCTGAGTCTGTAGACACGAGCGACGACGCGGCGCGTCGCGAGCGCCTCGTGGCTTCGGTCGGTCACGCGTGCGACGCGAGATGACTTGCCCTAAATGTAACGCGTCTCAGTGTCTGCCCAATGTCTGCCCAGGACCCCATTCAAAGATTCACTTCTGGAGGGCTTGATTGCTGCTGTGCTTGAGACTTGCCTGTAACCACTCAAACCAACCATGATCAACACACGAGCCAGGCCGCTCATACGGGAGAAATAATGGCGGTTGGACATGCAACACGCATTCACTACCAGCCTGTGGTGCGCGTACTCAGACCAACACTGCTGGCGATGTGCTGCCGTCGGATCAGAAAGCAGACGCATTGAAGGCGGCATCGTCCTCTGAGCGTGTTTAGAACTGTGATATGGCTTCTCGTAGACTGCACAAAAAAGTACGTATCCGGTACGATGTCGTACATAACATAATTTAGGACTAACTGTTCAGCCTCGCACACCTGTTGCACCACTTGGCACTTGGATTCCGACGCGCGGATCACATACTTGAAGTCCATAAAAACGTTTTTACCACGTCTATTCGCCGCATCTCAATCTTGAGTGACGCATTCAGAGATTCGAGGAATACATGAAGGCCCCAAAGCACCTGCAAACTGATCATCGTCTCCCGAGAGTAAGTGGATACGATCAGTAATCTGAGGGACTCTACACAAGGTGAGTGGGGTGCATGAAAAAACTGATTGCTCGCTAGGTTGAATTCGGGTACGACTTCTCACAAGTTGACCGGCTGGACATATATCCGTTCGGCCATCCTCGCGGGTTGTGTGCAGGAGCAACATGTGAGTTTGTCCGATGATAGGTTCTCTTCCGGATGGAACGAGCGGAGGGGAGGATGCTTTGGCTTCCCGCCACGCTCACAATTTGACTCACAGACAGCCAGGATAATCGCCTAAGCCTGTCGTCAGCTCGAAGCTAGACTTCTTACGAGGCTGCGCCGGCTACTTGTGCATCTAACAGGCGGACGAACAGATTGGCAGGAGTGCGTAAGGATATCCGGCGCAAGGGAGGCCAGCTGGCCAGCACTAGCGGGAGACGAACAATCTACGAGGCTAGAGATAAATACGAGCGATCGTGCAACAATCACATCCCGCCTGCGGAACTGGTCTGCATTCTTCTTTCGTCTTGCGCACTGATCATCCTCCCTGCCTTGGCTATATTGGACCATTTCACTTGCGGACCCAGACATCATGGCTACAGACAGAAGCAGAGAATTTGCCTCAATCGCTCGAATGCCATTGGACGAGAGTCTATACGACTTGCGCGAAGACGATATCTCGTTCTTGAAGGCGCATACCGGCATAGACAACGACAATGAACTGAAAGAGCACGTCATGAAGATTCAGGTGGACGCGTATCAGGTATGTGCCCAAAATCGCCTCCTGACGAAACACCGATGTATCGCTCTTATAATTCATGCACAGGTATATCCATACCGATGCATCCGCTATTTCTGGTTCGCACAGTACGTTGTGATTGTTCCTATTCATGAGGTAATCGGGTACTGACTCATCTGGCAGTACGGACATATCCCTTCAATCTGCCTACGCGCAACTCTTGAAGTTAGGACAGGACAGGCCAGGCGCGATATTCCTCGAGATCCCCTGTGCATGTGAGTGTGTCAGTGTCCTTTCCTCGATGCGGGATTTATAACGCGGTGAACAGTCGGCAACGACCTCAGAAAGGCTATATACGATGGCTTCCCGCAACAAGACTGTGTCGCCGCAGACCTCGAGCAAAGTAAGCTACTCATGCTTGACGGACGCCTACTACTAGCAATCTGACATATGTTCGTAGCGTACTGGCAACTCGGCCATCGGCTCTTCAAGAGCACCACAGAATCGTTTCCCGTGCCGTTCGTTCCTGGCGACATCTTCGATGTCAACTATCTCGCGAGCGCGCCACCATTTTACGTGTCGCCTGCTAGCCCGGCACCCGCGCTCTCAAACCTCACAAACCTCACGCCGCTGCAAGGGCACGTCTCAGCGATTCACGCAGCAATGTTCTTCCATCTGTTCGACGAGGAAAAACAGCTCATCCTTGCGCAGCGCTTCGCCAGCCTGCTCTCACCCGTTCCCGGTTCGCTGATCTTTGGTCGCCATTACAGCGCGTATGTCAAGGGTGCGAGGGTTGGAATTCCAGCTGGGGAGGGTACACCGGGTGTGAGCCGACTGTACTGTCATTCGCCGGAGTCATGGACCGCGCTTTGGAACGGCGGGGTGTTCAAGGAGGGAACGGTGAAGGTCGAAGTTGAGCTCAAGGAAACGCAGTGGGAGGCTTATGTGAACGCCCCGCCGGAGCGAAAGTTGTACATCATGCTGTGGTCGGTGATAAAGATTTAGGTCCAGGCACTGTAATAGATCAAAGGATGTGCCGTCCACGATATAATCGAATGAAGTAGACCGTGACGTTGCGGCCGCACCAGGTGCCGGATAACCCTAGTAGCATGGCAGTGGATGGCTTGGCGAACTTGAAAACCTTGCACCGTGCATGACACGAAAACAAACATCGTACCTCAGTGTGCGATGATGGACATACTAATACTGAGAGCATAGGTAATCATTGTTGTGGCGTTGAACATTGCGAAGCGGCGGGCTCCCGGGAGTCATGCCTATTTACGACGAGGGCCGGCTCAGGTTCTTCTCGGCTGTAGCCGCACGTCTGCTCTACGTACCCTGCCCCACGCACTACCATAACGGTATTGTTGTGGCCCAACTGGCTGCGAACATTCACAATGTCCTGCAATTCCAGGCCGATCTAGTGGTATAGAGCACTGTGTATCATTCGCATGTACGCGAACACGACATTGCGTTCTTGGAAGAAGCACACCGGGATCCAGGACGACGACGAGCTCAAAGGGCATGTCATGAAGATCCAAGCGGACGCGTACCGGGTTGGTAGAAATAGATGTTCATGGCCAATGCGCGCGAAGCTCATCTGGCTCTGTTCGTACAGGTGTATCCATACCCATGCATCCGCTATTTCTGGTTTATACAGCGAAGAACGTTCACGTATACGCTCACAAAGCAATGAGGACTCACTAGCACTCTTCATGCAGCACGGACGTCACCCTACAGCCCGCCTACGCGCAGCTGCTGAGATTAGGACAGGAGAGGCCAGGTGCAATATTCCTCGAGATTCCCTGTGCATGTCAGTGCATCATTGTCGCTTCCTCGTCCGGACGTACGCTAATTGAATGGAAGTTAGTCGGCAACGACATCAGGAAAGTCATAGATGACGGATTCCCGCAAGAGAACTGTGTCGCCGCTGACCTAGAACAATGTGAGCCACCAATACGTCGAGAACATCACTGCCAGCATGCTGACATATGCATCCTTCATAGCGTACTGGGCGCTCGGTCACCGTCTCTTCAAGAGCACCCCACAGTCGTTCCCCGTGCCGTTCATCCCTCTCGTGCCAGTGTGCGACAACGGTTGGGCCGCGCGATCTTGACACAGAGCTTCTGTTCTGCGGGAGTCGGAGATGAAGGGGGAATGTAGCCTTCCTTTGAGGTGGACGTGGTCAAGATCTCGGCATCATAGACTACGGCGGACCTGCCGCCACCGATGCACTCTCCCAACCTCAGCGACAGGTGGCCAGCATCGTTGCGAGGAGACAATGATGGCTGCCAGTCCGGTCTGGTTCGATACATGCCAGGATTTGCGTCGAACTGACAAGCTGGGAAGTCCTTTTGCCTCGGTAATGTGACGGGCTTTGGGATCGCGCTGCCCGTAAGGGTCAAGGTAGAGAACATCAGCGTTGATTCCTACGAAGAATAGTAGGTATGGTTGATAAGTGATAAGTAGCCTATGAGACGACGGACCGTTGTCATTGAGCTACATAGACAACGATCATGTAGGCGATGGATGCGTTCAAGCTCGAAGCCACTTCAACTTCAAATGGCGCGACATACATAGTAAGTAATATACTCTTGATTCTGCGATCGGCTCGTGCCTCGCCTCTCGCCATTTATGGAACTCAATGAACCCCTTCGGACTACTTAGTATTACTGCGATGAGGCGGCTGATAGCTGAACATTGAACAGGCATACAGTGGACAGCGGTAGAGAGAGACGAGTCGTGATCCGAACAACAACGCAGTCATATAACTATGGAGCTGTACTAAGACATGTGAACGAGCAATGTATTCCTCAAGTGTGGGAACCATGCCAGAAATACCAGGTCCCAAAGCCCGCGCGTTGAAGTTCACGTATGCTCCTCGACTTCGTTTTGAAGTCGCCATTCGCATCGTCGACGCAGGTCCAGGCAAAATCAATGATGTTCCACGCGTGGACACGGTTGTGTGTCTTGCACAGTTCCGTGCCTGCCGGCGCACGCACAAGATTGTTGGGGCGCAGATCACCGTGCCATAGGTAGCTGGCTGCCAAGTCATCCAGTATCGCACGTACGTCCTCTCTGCGTGCACCGACTTATGAGGAACATTGATCGAGATCGAGGCATTAAACTCACTGCGTCGCTTTGTCGGCATCATCCTCCCTTGTGTAAACCGCACCCCCGCGTGACATAACGATGACAGCTAAGAGCGGTGCATCAGGATCCGGCCGCCAGTGGCACCATGACGAGAGCTCCCTGCCCCCAGGACCCTCATCGTATACATCAATTAACCTGTCTCCCGGCAGGGGATCGTCGCGGAGGGGATCGTCTTCTGGGTCGTCTTCGCGTAGGTCAAGCTCGAAATCCTCAGTGTTCCAAGGCGGAAACGTCGGCGGTTGTTGGCGAGATAGCTCGACAGCGAAGAAGCCATATGTACGGGGGGCAATCACGCCCTGCAACCGGTCCCGGGACCTTAGCTGGTCACAGACCCATGCTTCCCGCGCGAGTGTGCGACAACGATTAGGCCGAGCAATCTTGACACAAAGTTTCTCTTCTGAGGGAAGGGGAATGTAGCCTTCCTTTGAGGCAGATGTGGTCAGGATCTCGGCATCATAGACCACGGCGGATCTGCCGCCACCGATGCAATTTCCCAGTCTCAGAAACAGGTGGCCAGCATGATTGTGGGGAGACGATGATGGCTGCCAGTCCGGTCTGGTTCGAAACTTGCCAGCATCGGCGTCGAATTGGCAAGCCGGGAAGTCTTCTTGCCTCGATAAAGTGATGGGCTTTGGAATCGCGTCGCCCGTAAGAGTCAAGGTAGAGAACATCGACGCTGGTTTCTATGGAGAATAGTAAATATGGGTCGCTCGGTAGCCTATGAAACAATGTACCGTTACCATTGAGCTACATACACTGCCGTGTTGTGTAGCGGATGGATGCGTCAAATGCCTTTAAGAACTTCAACTTGTGGCGCGACAAACTTGCCGCGACTCGGAGCGTATATATGCTTCTCATACGGCACGTGACCTTGTGGCGTCGGTCTCCGAGGTTGTAACCTACCTTAACTTGAAGGCTATGATGCACGCCGATTTGATAAGTTATGCGTCTTCTATACCTCGTCGTCACAACAGCTGAGTTTGTCTGCAGGTTCTGGGTCGAATACATTGCCGAACTGGCCCTGTGTGTATTGAATCGCATGGGCTTGAAATCCACAAGCTTGATGTGATCGGACGCTCGACTCCTTGTCCTCGGGCGAAGTAACATACCATCGATTCATCTATAGGCAACGCATTGAGCACGATGAGCCTGGCCAATCATGGCTTTGTTTACCCCTCGTATGGGTGCCAAACTTCATCCTGGTCCGTGCGCATCTCGAAAAACGGTTATAAGAACGCGGATCGGCCGCAGTGTGCCCAGCAGTCCCCAACTCGAACTTCATACGACATCCTTCCTGGACAGGTATGTCGCTCATACATACTACCAGTTACCTTCTAGCTGACTGGTGCATCCTAGCTACACTTACTCAATCATGAACCCGAACGACAAGGATTATAAGCTCTCACATCTGTTCCTTATTGGCCAGGCAACCGCACGGTTTGGTGATCTATGCTTGAAGCCGTCGCTGAGGAACCCTGTATCGACTAGCACTGGCAGCGCTTCAAAGCCCGGTATTGATACCGGTAATGTCGTTCAGGATGAATTCGCGAAGCTCTATTGTGGAATCCACTTCATTGATCGCCTGCAGAGCTATGTTGACTTCGAGCACAAGTTGCCGGAGTCTGCTGCAGCGCCCAAAGAGCCGTATCGCGCTCGCGATCTTCCGAACAGTGATCTTCGCTTGCCACCGACGCCACAGATAGTCGACGCTATAGGACAACTGTGTCAAGAGGAGCTGAGGCTACGGCAGTATGACCCCCTACCGCTTATGACAAACGACTCCGCTCAGGACGAAGTACGGGAACAAATCATACCTCTACTCAACCACGCAATCAAGGTGCCTTTGCCGTTGGTCACATACGATGTTTGCTCACCAGCTTCTTTGCAGACTTACAAGTGCAACACTATCACCTCTCAGCACTTGCCTCCGCCCGCGCGGCGTACAGACAGTACCACTCGCGACCATTTTGAGGATGTCGACGCATCTAAGCCGGTGGAAATCGATGAGGCGCGACAGCTTCTATTCTTTCCATGCTGGGCACGCCACGCTATCAGCTCTGCGGCGCGAGATGCTACCTCCGGTAAAGCGGATTACGCACTTTTTGAGTCTCCGGTGAAGCATGGTATTTGCGCTCATGGTGAAGCTCGACAATCGTGGATATACACAACCGAAGACATCTATCGCATTTACGATGGTCCAGAGTGGGCTGTCGCGAGCAACGCACCCTACGACTTCCGGTCCGCGCCACACTATGACTACCATCCCATCAATTCGCTTTTGAAGATGGTGCGTCTGCATTGTCTCCACTCCTGTAACTGCTGCTAATTAAATTATCAGGCCTTTGGCCAAATCCGCATACTCGGTTCCTATATTGGATTCTTCACCAACTTGTCGGTGGTGGTATTCTACTTTTACTACGACGGAGAGCTAGTCATGAAACCCAAGGCCGTTGACACCGAAACAGTTGATACCCCGTCGTCAACTGCGGAGGGGACAGTGCGATTTCAACTGCCTTCGGGGCCAACCCGGCAGGCGACGCGTGCTAGTGCGCGTAACAAGGCCACAGATGCAGAGAACAAGCCGGAGAAATCGAAGAAACAAGGCAAATCGGAGAAGCAGGCTCAGGCTGAGCTGGACTCGAAATGCAAGCGTGGGCTCGTCCTATCTCGTCCAATCGACTTCACCGCTCCACAGCTGCTCCGATGCATGCAAGCCATGACGTTCCTAGCACTCGATGCGAAGAAATGGGAGGGCGATGGCAAGAGAATCGTCGACATCCTAGCACCCGGTGATGAATTGCAGCAGATCAAGCCGGCCGATGCCTAGGAGTGACCTATTGGTGGTTCTCCATGCATCTGACCGATCCGAGGCCTAGTTACATAGACCCGAAGATGCGGTGTGGAGGGTGGTCTTGTAGGTGATGTTCAATAATGATCTGATCTGATTATCGTCTCTCGCGACAAAGGCTTGTCTAGGTATCCATGTACTTGTATTCTTGACCCTGACACGAAACTGTAAACTTGTACCAAGTTGACATGTACTACGTTCTCCGTGCTGCACGCTTCGCTAGTGGTGTATGTAGGCACACACGGTCCATGATGTTATTCTTTCCCTCGTCGACTGTATAGTTTTCTGTGATACTCAAATGCACTTTATTGACCGTGTCCATGTGTTGGCTGTAAGTACTTATATCGGCTCACTACACAGAAAACAATCTTTATCGCAAGTAGCCCTATTACGTACTGATGGACATAGTACAGATCAACAAATCACTGTCCAAGTACAAGAACCATTCCAGTAGTGATTTCAACAACAGACAAGCTGGAAGGTCATATATGTATAGTCCTAAGCTATGTATCGATGTCACCGTCTGTATCGTCGGCTGTAGTCTAAGCAAACGAAGGAGCCATAGATACGAGGGGCGACCACGCGCTGCAGGCCGCTCCTCGAGCGTAGCTGTTCACACCCCCATGCCTCCCGCGCGAGTGTTCGACAGCGATCGGGTCGCACAGCCTTGACACCGAGTTTATCTTCCGGTCAAGGCGGAAATGAAGGGGTAAAGCAGTCTTCCTTCGAGGTAGACGTGGTCAAGACCTCGGCTTGAGATATGATGATGGCTGCCAGTCCGGCCTGGTTCGAAATTTGCCAGCATCGGCGTCGAATTGGCAAGCCGGGAAGTCCTCTTGTCTTAGGAGGATTATTGGCCTCGATATGGTATCGCCCGTAAGGGTCAGGGTTGAGAACACCAATGCCGTTTCCTGTATACTGCAACATCAGTATGTGCTGAGTGTTATTCTGGAATAACTCGAACGCATCGCTCGCCACTGCACGCACCACCATACCGGTCTGTCAACAACGTTGATGGGCCCCTGAACCTCGAACAGACGGCTTCAGGTAGTTCGCAATGATCAACCTGAGCCAAACTCGTATTGATGAGATATTGAAGTACTGAGGCAGGTAAAGTTGAACGGAGGAGCTTGGGACAGACATCGGTTCGGATAGTTGGAGCATGTGATCAATCATCTTCGCGACGGCCGTCGGTACTAAGTACTAAGTAGTGATGTCTGTACTAAGAACAGCTACAGTAGTTATCCCTACCAAATAAGCGTGCACTTCCATCGGGCTATCTATATTACCCAGTGAACCTATATACAGCGGCGGGAAGCACATTTCAAGTCACAGGTTGATAGACCGAGTCGCTACGCGCTGCCAGTGATCCATAGTATCACGTTCCGAATGGGCACAGGGCCATTCATGAGAGAGAACCATGCCAGAAGTAGTAGCCGCGATAGGATGCTCGCTGCGACTCGCGTATGAGCTTTGATTTCCCGCCGACGTCACTGTCTGCGTCGTCAACGCCAGTCCAGGCAAAATCGATGATGTTCCACTTGTGCACGCGCTTATGCTTTTTACACAGCATTGTTCCCGCAGGCGCACGCACGAGGTTGTTCGGGCGAAGGTCCCCGTGCCAGAGGTAGATGCGCGACAAGTCATCCAGTATTGCACGGATATCTTTCCTGTATGACCCATCCAATTAGAGACCGACCTAGTACACGAGTCTGCGACTCACTGATTGGCTTTGTCCGCATCGTCCTCACGCGTGTAGGTCGCTCCTCCTCGTGACATGACAATGACAGCCAAGAGCGGTGAGTTTGGATCGGGCCGCCAGTCGCACCATGGTGAACATTCTCTACCCCCGGGACCATTGTCGTACTCCTCTTCCAATGGCTCGTCGTCTGGCAGGGGGTCGTCGCAAGTGGGGTCGTCATCAGGGATTTCGAGCTTGAAGTCATCGGCGTCCCAAAGTGGGAACGCTGACTGGTCGTCAGGCAGGCTGGCGGTGAAGAATCCATAGAACCGAGGTGCGATGACACCCTGCAGTTGGCCACGCGAGCGCAGCTGTTCGCAGACCCATGCCTCCCGCGCGAGCGTACGACATCGATTACGTCGCGCGATCTTGACGCAGAACTCCTGCTCAAGAGGATGCGGGTTTGACAGAGGGATGGTGCCAGCCTCATACGCGGTAGAAATCTCGGCGGCATAAACTACAGCCGATCTTCCGCCAGCGATGCACTCCCCCAGGTGCAGAGATAGGTGGCCGTCCTTCGGAAGCGGTGACGGCTGCCAGTCCGGCCTGGTTATATATTCATCGAGATCATAGTCGCACTGACGAGACGGGAAGTCGAGTCGTCGAGACAGGATTATGGGCTTCGGAATGGCGTCGCCCGCCAAGGTCAAGGTCGACAACATTGATATTCGCTCCTATGTGACGAATGAAATGTTTGAATCGACGCGGTAGCATCAGTAGCGTGTTTTTTAACGCACCATGCTGATGTTTGTGATGTATCCGCAGCGCTGAAGGTCGATAGTGGACACATTCGGGTTGCGAACAACTGTGCCGCTTGAGGCTTGCCTGACGTGAAACTTGAACGCGTTCAAGTCCGAGTCGTTCTGACTTGACGCGGAGACCGCGTCTGTCATGTATCACGTGCTCGTATCACGCTCGCGACCAAAAACTTGAACCCAGCGGCGGAGGAGTACTAGTACTAATACTATGCACGAATCCTCTGAGCCTATACAGATCTGTGTGTATTCGCCACAAGATTGCTACATTTCTCTTCAATCTTCCAACAATCCATGTGATAATAGCGGTACATGGCTCTAGTTTGTGCCAAGCTTTAAGAAGACAACGTAGACAAGCCCAGATAATAACGATCAACCACATAACAACTCTGTTGCCATACGCATTGACGGACGCGTTTTTACGGCCGAGTCACCATTCAAGTAGTAGAACCGGTCCAGAAGTAATGGTTACGATAGCAGACCAGCTGGAGGTTATGTATAGTCCTCAGCTTTACATCGATGTCACCGTCTGTATCGTCGGCTGTAGTCCAAGCAAAGTCGATGATGTTCCACTTGTGCACGCAGCCGTGTTTACTGCATGGAAGCGTGCTTGCGGGTGCACGGACGAGATTGTTCGGGCGCAAGTCACCATGCCACATGTAGATATCTGACAGATCATCGAGTATTGCACGGATGTCCGTCCTGTACGAGCCGACCAGTAAGAACGAGTGAAGAGACTCTGATTGCACAGACTTGCAACTCACTGATTAGCCTGGTCCGCATCATCCTTGCGCGTGTATGTCGCTCCTCCCCGCGACATGACGATGACAGCTAGTAACGGCGAATTGGGGTCTGGCCGCCAGTGGCACCACGGGGAGCGTCCTCTGGCCCCGGGACGCTTGCGACATCGCGCCTCCCCCAACGACTCGTCGTCTGGCAGGGGATCGTCACGAGTCGGGTCGTCTTGTGAATCCTCGTCAGAGATCTTGAGCTGGAAGTCTTTAGAGCCCCAAGGCGGGAACGTCTGATGGTCGCGGGATACGTCGGCGGTGAAGAACCCGTAGGCTCGCGGTGCGATAATCCCCTGCAACTGACCGAGACTCAGCTGGTCACAGAACCAAGCTTCCCGAGCGAGCGTGCGACAACGATTAGGTCGTGCGATCTTGACGCAGAGCTCCCGCTCTGAGGGAAGCGGATCCGAAGGGGGGATCTCTCCTGGCTTGGACTCGGTCAGGATCTCGGCGGCATAGACAACGGCTGACCTGCCGCCGGCGATGCGCTTCCCGAGTCTCAAAGACAAATGCCCGTGCTCTGGACGCGGCGATGGCTCCCAGTCCGGCCTGTCTCTATAGACACTGCGTGTGAAGTTGAACTGACAAGATGGAAAATCATCTTGTCTAGACAGGGTTATTGGCTTCGGAATGTTGTCGCCCGTAAGGGTCAAGGACGAAAACATCATTGTTGAGTCCTGCGCAGCGATGAGTACTTGCTAAAGAGGGGCTTATCACCTGCGTACCATTGAAGTTGTTGGGTATGAGTGTCAGGTTCAATGAACTGATAGATGGAGGACGCGTTCGAACTGTGAACAGCTGTGGCGCAACTTGAACATGCATCCCCGACTCCGACCGGAGGGAGAGGAGGGCTTTGTCGACCATAAGTCGTTCGCAGCCGGCGATGCCGCTCCCTCCGTGGGAAACACGTGACTTACAATTCCCATAAGCGGTATCGCAGCAATGCTCGAGTGTCTTACGAGGCAGCTCGAGGCAGTTGGATCCGACCGCGCATCTGGCTGCGTCTGGACGTCTGGATCTTTGACCACCAAATAACTCCTCCCAAAGGCAAGAGGGCCTCTATTACGTTGGGAGCCCTCGCATGCACTGTAGTGCTTATGTATAATGGTAAGTAAGTTCACCGTGTACTTAGCTCAGACTCGTGGAAGCCCGAGACGCCCGGGCGGCGAAGCCGCCGCGGGCGTGAGGGCTTCCAATTGAGTCTCCATACCATTCCGATGGTACAATATTACAATACACACATAATATACTATGGTGCTGCTGTGGCAGGCTGAGTAGCTGTGTGCCATGCAGGAGTCGGGGATCGGCGCTTGCGCCGCTACGATCGGGATTCGGCGCGCCTCGGCGCGCGTGTGAGTATGCCTTCACGATCACGTGACCAAATCCTTTCCGCTCTATCAGTGCACGGTGGCGTATTACGGTGGCGTTGAATGCATACGCTCTTATGTCTCCTCAATGTGCCCGTTTTCATGGATGCCTAGCAGCCGATGAAGCGTAGCTCGCTACTGGATTCCAAATCTGCCTTACATTAGCACCGATTCCATGGTCAAGTTGGCGTGATTGCCTGAGACGCTCACTGGCCCTTCTGGTCTAAACTGACTCAGGGTGACTTCTTACAGAAGGATGGTCAGAGTCCTCGGTAGCTGATGGGAACGATATGACTGCCCAATGCGAGGCTTTGTTTTGCTCGTCATTCTGTGACAAACACTGATGCTGGTCCGTGCGCACTCTACGATTGCTATAAGAGTGTGGGCTGCGACCGTGCCAAAGCAGCCGTGCTTTGTACTACCAGTAAGAGCTACACGGACTACCTTTAACGGTACGTTGACAGCTTCTGTGATGCCCTCTGGTATGCTACAAGTCTCTCATGACAGCCAGCAGGTATAGGACAATCAATTAGTATCCATGAACTCGAACCAGGACTTCCGACTCTCCGATTTATTCTTGGTCGGCCAGGCGACCTCACGAACATTCGGTGATTTATGTCTCAAGCCGTCATTGAGGAACCCTATCTCCACCACCAAAAGGAGCGTCTCGCAACCCAGCAACACCGTCAAGGCTGCTGTCCGAAAGGACTTTGCGAAGCTCTACTGTGGTGAACATATCATTGACCGTCTGCAAGGATACATTGACTTTTCACACAATCTACCCGGGAGGCTACCATCTGAGCCAGCTCCTACGCAGCCGTATCGCGCACGCGCTGCTCCTGGCAAAGATCGTGTGCTGCCTCCGACATCGCAGATAACGGAGGCCGTCGGACAGATGTATCAAGAGGAGATGAGGCTCCGGCAACATTCCCCCCTCCCGCTCACGACGAATGATTCTGTTCAAGACGAGGTTGGGCATCAGATACTGCCATTGCTGAATCATGCGATCAAGGTTCTTATAATACTGCTCAATTCTGTGATGTCGGCTCATCAGCTCCCATGTAGACCTACACTCATAACACCATCATCCCTGGTAATTTACCTCCGCATTCTGAACGTACGGATAGCACGCAGCGCGACCACTTCGAAGAGGTCAACGCATCTGAGGCTGTGAACATCGATGTCGCACAGCAGCTCCTCTTCTTTCCATGCTGGGCGCGACACGCCATCGGTTCCCTGCAATGGGAGCAGGCTGAAGAAACCGCAGGAAAAGCGTCCTCGGGAAAGGCAGACTATGCCCTGTTCATCTCGCCCGCCTTAGATGGCGTCTGTGCTCACGGCGAGGTCAGACAGCCATGGATCTACACTACCCGGGAGATCCATGAAGTCTATACCGGGCCCGAGTGGGCTGTCATGCCCACAGCACCGTACAACTTTCAACGCGGCTCGGGATTCGAGCGTACGAAAGCTATCAATTCGCTTCTGAAGATGGTACGCCCTGTAGTTAAGGCTTCCCGTGCTGTGACTCAAACTTTGCCAATTTCAGGCCTTTGGTCAGATCCGCGGACTCAACTCGCATATCGGGTTCTTCACCAACCTGTCGGTGGTAGTTTTCTACTTCTACTTCGACGGGAAGCCAGTCAAGGAGGTCAGCGATGGTGATGATGTGGCAGACAATTCTGATTCATCGACGTCACTGGAAGAGGCACCGCCACAACTCCAGCTGCGGTCTCGACGCTCGACGCGTATGCGCAGTAAGGTAGAAGAACATGCGGACAAGAAATTGGGTAACACGGTGCCAAAGCTGGACGATACGAAGGCGGAGCCCGAGCCTGAGCCTGAGGTGGACTCAGACTCCGAGTCTGACGACCTCAAAAGCGGCCTCGTCCTATCGTATCCGATCGACTTTACGGATCCCCGGGTGCTTCTGTGCCTGCAGGCAATGACGTTTTTGGCCCTTGACGCGCAGAAGTGGGATGACGATGGCAAGAGGATCGTCGACATCCTGGCGCCAGGCGATGAACTGACGCAGATCCGGCCGGTCAATGCTCAAGAGTGACCTGGCGGTGGTCTCGCTGTATCATCTCATGTCTCGGAATGGAGTTGAATTAGGACGGGGGTAAGTATGGCATGGCTTTGCAATTGATGTCTGATGATAAGGAGTTGATTCTTGCCTCCGAATGCTCGCGACAAAGACCTCTTTCTTGCCAGTGTACTTGTACTTTTGATCATGACACGAGACTGCGAGTGTTTTCATCAGTTCGACGTGCGTATTTACTGTGTTCGCTAGTGACTGATGAACTTAGGTAGTCGTCCGTGATCTCATACTTGATGCCTCTGTATACTTACTATTGTCGAATCAACTGCCTCGTTCTGTACGATTATGCCTACTGATAGAACGGCATCGTGATCACCTCACTAAAGTTTGCTCTGACAGCTACTTAGGCGGATTACAACATGCACGTCATCCCATTTGTCGTCGGAGTATTCATGCAAAAACAATGATAATTCTAGGCTTGTCGACGCAATAGCACTTTTGAGCATAATAGCTCGGTCGAATGCGCCTGTTGCACGCACCACATGATGTTGTCTGTGTGCCATTCCAAGTCGCAGTGCAGGTAGAGATGTCCGACAAGTCGTCCAGCGTTGCACGAACACCAAGCAAGTCGATTGAATAGACAAACATACTTGCAGTGCATCAATTGACGTCCAACTATGAATCACTATGTGCCAGCCTTATCCGACCTATTATCTTTTCCGGCTTTCTGGCGCCGTTCGTTTCTCGATGCGCGTCTTGGGGTAAGAGTGGGGATTGATTACGCTCGATGCCGCAACAGTACAAGCCAATGCGCACTACTGACAGGCCTGCAATAAAGAGGCAAATATCTTCAATTCAGACGGTGCACCCTCAAAGGTAGCTTCGCGCCCTCTTCTCCTGCAATACACGGCCGAGGCAGGATACCGCGCTTGATCTCGGTCCTCGTGTTGGGTCCATCTCTAAATTCGAACGCATAGTTCCTGATAATAACAGAGAGAACAGCCTGTCGAGGAGCAACACAGATCAGCTTCGTCGATACAACGAGCCTTTCCGGTTAAACTAACCTTGAATTCAGCGAGGGCAAAGTGTCGCCCGAGACAGAGCCTCGCGCCATCCGAGAAAGTGAGTAGATGCCTATGTCCTGAGATCTCCTGGGCTCGCTCCGGAATACCGGTTTCGTTGAGCCAGCGCTCGGGTTTGAACTCCTTCGCATCCGAGCCCCAGAACCTGATCGACTTGTTCATCATGTGCTTCGGAACTACGACGACTTCGCCTTTCGCAATGTTGATACTGTCCACTGTGTCTCCGCCGGGTGTCTTCAATGGAAACGACAGGGGAAGAATATCGTCTTCCGCGGCCTGTAATGGATGTTAACTACTGTTGGCTATGCGAATCGGGAGATCGGACGAACCACTCGTTCGCTCTCCGGCAAGGGCAGATGGAGTCGCAAGGTTTCGTGCACGACGGCGTCGAGGTATGGGAGCACGTTGGTCAATTGATCCCAAGTCGGATCGGTGCTACCGAACTGCGAGAGCTCTTGACGCAGTTTCTGTTGGACCTCTGGATTTTTGCAGAGCTCGAGAAGACACCACTAGAGCACGCGATTGGTATCAGTGAATCATCCGGCGAGAGACAAGTCGACATACCGAGAGACTGACTATCGCATCTCATTTAGTGAGTCACACATCAACATCGACAGTGATAGACAGGGCGTACTGGATGTGGTTTCATAGCCTGCGAGCATTAAGACCTTCATCTGAGCACAGAAGAACCCCGTCAGAAGCAACAAGAGGTTGAAACAACTCGTCGTTACCTGCGCCAACACTTCATCGCTTGACATGTGCAGCTCGGAGTCGGTTATCTCTGCCTTTACTAAACAAAGCGAACATCGTAAGTCAGCTGCGTCGCTCCAAATCTGGGGTGAATACCCACTCAGCAGCCCGATGATAGATTTATCCTCCGTCTTGATCTCACCCTCGCTCTCCTTCCGCGAGTTCTCCAAAAGCTCCTGGGCGATCTCTCCCATGCCTGCATTCAGCCTGTCGACGAGCTTTCGAAAGTCCGTAGGAAGCTTGAGGACCCACGGGAACACCCCGCCCACGACAAACTGCATAGCCCCTCCTAGGAGGCTGGGCTTCAGATTCGCGAAGTCGTTGAAGGTGGCTGCGACGGCGGAGGGCTTGCCGAGTAGTGTTCCAAAGTCGTGCGAGAAGCCCGCGATTCCTATAGTGTCCAGTCTAGCAGTACTGCAGGATGAGTGTCATGTTAAGTGCGTGGCGTTATTGTACTGACGAGACGTAGTTCATCCTTCAACAAAGGCAAGTGAATCAGAGGCCACCTCATGAAGACAGAAAGGCAACGTACCACCGCTGGACGTCGATTACAGCTGATTCGGCACCAAGATCTGCTTCGATGATACTATCCCATGCAGACTTCAGCTAGACAAGAATGTAAACGATTAGAATACAGCTAGATCGCAAAGCACCCCAAACTCCACCTTGTACGCTGAATCGTAGAATACAGACGTCATCCTCCTAATGGCTGCATTGCTGAAAGCGGGTGATAACGCCTTCCTATGCCTACACACCTATCAGCACAAGGGTAAAGTTTGAACACCACAAGATGCCTACCTCTTGTGTGTCTCGCCTTCAGCCCAGAGTATACCACGGCCGGACTGCAACAATTCCATCAGTACTTTCATTCTCGGGGCAAGGACCACAGTAAGATTCTTACAATGTTCTCAGTTGCGTTCTTCATCATGGTCGTGTGGACGTATCCGACTGTCTCCCGGGAGAAGAAATGCAAGACGGCCTTGGGGTCGCACAGCACAATTTTCGACATCCCGAAAGCAGCAGGGACACGGTACACAGAGCCATACGTCTCCGACCACTCTTCATACAGGTCACCCGCGTCCACCAAGTCGCTGATGAGCTTGCTAGCGCCGAAGACCAGACTCGGGTTGGGTGGTCCAGCGAGCGACGTAGTCTGTGTGCGTCGACGTCGCTGCTCGACTACCTTCGATAGGAGCCACACTGCGAGAATGCCGCAGAGGATGCTAGTCACGGAGGAAGCTGGTAGCACGGTCATGGCGAACCGCGAAGCAGAAAGAATGGGTATCACAGCACGGTTGCGGCATCCTTTTAATACGTCTCGGATCGTGTCAATTGACTCCTAGCCGTCAAAAGACGGGGCCGGTGCGAGGTCAGTTGAGTGGGCAACATACGGTTCTCGGAGAACATCGGGTGCTGCGTACCAATGCTGTTCCCAGGGATTTGCATACGTGCCTCCTTGGGCCGTGATCACACAGATTACACGTAAGAACAATGTGTTCTTGGCAATTGATGTGCAATGGTGAGTCCATAAGTCGCACGAACGAGTCTGTCGAAGGTCAGTGCTACACATGCACCGGCGCCAAATTGCTGACCAGTGACATACCTCGTACTTAAAGCCTGTATATACCGCGCCAGCGCGAGACCTCTGGCCGACTGGCGGCGAGAGTTAGATTCGAAATCCCGAGAACAAGGTATTGACTGGACTGCCGAAATACAAGCTGCCTTGACTGGAACGACGGAAAGCAATCAGTTGCTACCTCTCGACGTAATGGCACGCCGAGCCACTCGAGATGGTTGTCATGCGTGAAGGACCACCGAGTCGAGAGACCCAGTAACCGTAGGGAGCACAGTAGAGACACGCGATGGAGCGTTAGGGTATGGCGCGCGATGTCACCAGTTCGTTGAGCCGCGGGATCCTGTTGGAACTGCTCATTTAAGTACATCATTTCTCGAGTCCTCGACTATGTGTGAAGCTGTATCGGCAGCATGCTGTATTCGCTGTGGAAGCTGACTGAGCAAAAAGAGATACTATCGTTTACCCGTGTGCAGCGAGAACGTGGTGTCATGGACTGTTTCGCCATATCGTTGGACGCGGTATACCGTGTCGATGTTACATGTCGACATACTGAGCCTAAAACACTTTGCCTCCTTTGAGACAAGCTGGTCTGACGGACAGCCGAAAAGGATCAGATGCGGCAAACATAGAACGGGACAGTATATGGCTTAACTTACTACGCAGATAAGACAGGCGATGGTATTGTACTTACACGCAGACTAAGATACGTCCCCGGGTAAACCGCTATGATTCGCATCCCCGCCGCAGCCTGTGTTGCCTCAACATCAACTCAACCGCCAAGGTCGCACTGGTTGTAGTACTGACCTCCCGCATGTATGCCGAGTCCCGACGGTGCACCCAAGTCGATCCGCTGAGATTCGTCATCTGTGCCGCAGTTGTTGAACCACAGTGAAAACAACCAAAGACAGTCTCACCTTCGCCATACAAGTCCATCACAGGCCCGCTGTCATCATCTGCCACAGCATCAGACTGCGACGTCAGCATGACCTGCTCATCGCCGTCCGTCCCCGCTTCCGCCATCGCCGCCAGCTGCTTCTTCCTCCCCACCGTGTCCGTCCGCCCGGTCCCGCCCTCGATGCGCTTGAGGAACTCGCTCCAGAGCCCGCGCTCGTCCTGGCCCATGCGCTCGAACGTCTCGCGGAGCTCCTTCGGCGCGCGCCGCCACACCCCGCGATGCCGACACACGGTCGACTTGACGTACCGGCAGTGGAACACGCGCTCGAACGCGGTACGTTGCGTGAGCGACGGCTGCTGCGCGACGAGCACGTCCATCTGCCGAAAGCCGGCGGAGAGCTCGAACACGGTGTAGTCGTTCGGCCAGCGCTTCACGAGCGGGAGCGTTTGGAATGTGAGCTGGGTGGGCGCGCCCTCGAAGTCGGGGGATTGTTTGGAGGGACACGGGTCGACGGCGACGAAAGGGGAGGGCATGCTGAGGGAACAGGGGCCTGGTACGTGCTCGCGCCAGGCGACATGGGACGGGGCGGGGAGGGTTCTACTCTTGCGTACTTCACTGACGGCGCCATGAGCAGAGGACTGTCCGGCGAGGAACGCTTCTTGGAAGCGACGACGGGAGGTGGAGGCTGCAGACAGATTTCCTCACCGAGGCTAGGGCATTCACTGTCCTCAAGACCCTCCAGCAGGCTCTTGCGCACACGGAACAGCAGCCGCTGCTCGCTCTCTACCGCGCGGACGGCGCTGATCGTCTGTTGCTCCCAAGCGCGTGCGTACGGGTTGTATGCGTCTACATACGCCGCGGGCGCGAGCCCCAGATCGGCGGCGAGATGCGCGAACTGTGAGAGCTGGAAAAGCGGGAACGTCGCGACTTCGCCGTGCAGCCGAATCGGCGGGCTGTCGGGCTTGTACCAGAAGACGACAGTGACGGACCGCTTCAGCGCGTCTTCGAGGCGTGTGCGCGGGTCTTCATGCTGGAGCGCGATGGCGCCGTTCAGAGGTGTCCCGAAGGGTCGGGGAATGGGACCCTGGGGCGGCTGGTACTTTTGCTGCTGAGGTGTCGACGGCGAGAGGGGAGCGTGAACGTCGTCGGTTGGTTGACGACAGTAGGAGGTGGTTGGTCCATGCCGTTTGCTGTGTTAGCGACATGGCGGTGAGCGATGTGAGTGGAGAAGAGAGAGCGAAGGGCAGCTTACCAAAACAAGAGGGACTTCGACTGGTTCTGGCGGTGCGGGGGAGGCGACGTGGACGCCGGGGACGGCGGCGACGGTCGCGCTAGTCCTCCATCTTATCTAATCTTGCGTCCCGGGCACCATCTGAAGCGCCCACCGACTTGATGCAAACGTTCAACTGAGGCGGCGCGTCGTCGACTTGAAGGCGCGAGTTGGGCGCGAGCGATACGAGCGAGCGAGGGGGAGGGGGAGACTCGATAGAGAGTCGGGCGACCAGGCCCTGTTTAAGTACGCGCAGCACGAACGAGGAGTTCTGGAACATCGCAAGAGAGACAAAAAACTAACAGTGACAGAGAGAGACGGCGGGGAAGGGTGGAAACTCGAAAGAAAAGCGTGACGGGTGAGAGCCATCCGACAGAAAGCGTGATGAACGAGAAGTAGTGTGATCGTTGAAAGACGAGCGTTCGCTTGACAGGGAAGGAAGGTATGTTACTGTAAAAGGAAACGACTGCACGCGTCGGACGTCTGTCGCGGTTGACCCCTTCTGGGATTGACGTTAACGGACCGATGTCTCGGTGTGACGTTGGCAGATCGTGCGGTAAGTGTCTACGAATTGCAGCCTGGACACCCAACAGGCGTCACGGCTCGTCCGAGGTGGGGGGAAGGCGGGGAGGGTGGAAAGGGTGGATGCATGGTACAGTCTGTCAAGAAAGCGACAAGCGAAGCGTCGGATTCGGAAGTGCGCGATGAAGAATGCGTAGCGCGTGAACAAGTAGACGTTTCGGAGAGCGGAGGGTCGGAGAAGGGAAAGGAGACGCGGCGTACATGTGGCGACGAGCGCCACGAGACTCGAAGTCCCCTCCACACCGGCACACACATTGAGTACCACGTTATCTCATATAATCCTCTCATTTTGGCAGCTGGCTACGCGTAGTCAGGTTAGGAATGTCAGTCATGCTCCCAACACGTCGGCGACTCTAGATTCAGGTCACCAACCGATCGGATCCGCGTATACTACGTCTGGATCGAGACTACGTATACTACGCGCCGTTGCTCGCGCTCGGCCTGCTCAGTGGCCCGGGACTCGAACTGGTATGAGGCGCAGTGTCTTCTCCGCCGAAAGCCGTAATTCAGACACGCCAGTAGTAGCTCGCAAGTGGCTCATGGTCACAATCCTGACACTGCTCAAGCGTCAGGCTGTCGATTCAAACACCGTGGTCACTCATGCACTGCTATGTAGCTTCGTCGACGTCGAGAACCCTGTTGGCGAGTCGATCGGCTTGTCGGTCAGTGCGATTCAACTGAGGACATGCCAAGAGCTAAACTAGATGACAAAATCCGCTCCGGCTCCAGTGGACCCAGTCAAGATGACAATGGAGCAACTTACAGACACCAATAATCACGCAAATCCTCATGCAAGGTGCCCTACGACAACACGGAGCCGATGTGATCCAACCGTTGGATTCGCAATGTCGGATACGGCTTTTCGTGGCGAGTATTGCTGTCCATAGTTTCCTCGCCAGTAATTGCACCGCCATGTCTAGATCGAGCAGTTGTGGTCATGACAACGATAGTGGCTTATAGACACCGGTGGTGAGCAGTATAGTACACGACCGACCGATCGGAACTATCGCTTACAATATCGGGAGACAGGGGATCAGTGGCAGTCAGTGGCGAGATTCTCGGTTTATCGGCACGTCGAAACGTACTATTTCTCGAACAATATGATTCACGCTAATGCAGTCCGAGCTTGATAAATTGCGTCGTTTTCTGTCGCTCCTTGACCAAGCTTTTAAAGTACGAGCCAGGAGCACACTGACATTGTGATACAGCGTCAGTTGTAAGCACAGCTCGTCGAAGAGTACATGCCAAATCAAATGGATCCGCGTCGGTATGTCTTTCTCTTAGATTGCTGACCAGTCTATTCTTTGACACCCGTCCACGCCGAGGATGCGGAAGCTCCGGTACGCTGGTTCTACGCGTACGAGGTAGGACCAGTTGTTCACAATAGAATAACCAGTCCAGAATTGTATCCGCAGGAGCATAAAAGATCGCTCATCCCGCCCATGCTCCCCAGCAACTCGCTTGCCCTGCACCCGCATCACCCCGCTCTAAGCACCCACCCACCCTTACTACCATGTCCCCCATCCATATCCACTCTGCTTCCCTTGACCCCGCCGTCCACCCGGGCTACTGCATTCCTCGGAAGACCCTGGCCCAGCGCCTCGGTCTGAAGGGGAAGAAGGGAGCCAAGAGGAGGGCGTCCGCCCCGGTCCCAGCGCCCGCTCCCCGTACGATGGGCGACCTGAAGCTCGAATGCGCCCTCGTCTCGCTGGACGTCGCCAAGGAGCGCCAGCGCGAGGTCCCCTGCGGCGCGTTCGACATCGGCTGCACTCTGATCTCCCTCGACGTCGCCCGTGGCGCGAAGGAGATCTCCCACCGTGCGCTGCGCTAGTGACCGGATCCTCCTCAAATTGGGCAGCCGCGTGTGCCCGTCGTTGGTGTCAAAAGCCGGGGTGGGTGTTGAACTGGAGTGCTCTGCCTTGGTCGGAATCCTAGGCCCGACTGGGGTACGATGGGGACGCACTTCATCCTGGCACTCGAGTGCGACTCGGATCCGTCTGCAGTCGTGCTCGCTCTCTCGGCCTGCCTCGGTGACTCGGAAGAAAACACTGGAAATTCTAGAAAAACGCGGAAAATACATAAGCACAAAAACAGTTCTCCGTTGCTATTTCACTTACCTTCTTGGTCCTCTTTCTAGCCCTCTACTAAACTGTCAACATCCCCAACACGATGGCCAACGCTGCGCAGCCGCAAGTTCGACGACAGGAGATCCTGGAGGAGTCGACGTTGGACGTCGGAGAGGCGAGTGGAGCGGACTTGATCACCCGCGAAGCTTGTCCTCTTCGATGACTGGTAGAGTTTATCGTTCCGTTTCCTCAACAGAATTGTAACTGATTGCCTGTCTCTCTAGCCATACCCTCCGAGTCCAACACTCCTCACAGCATGCGGCTGCCTCTTCCTTGATAAGTATTTTGCTCGCTGTACGTCCATCTCACCATGTTTGACTCTCACCTAGGATCCGACTCGACTCTGACACAGCACGGCGGCGACATCGACAGGAGGAGGCCGACTCGGAGAGAAGGCGCTGGAATCGGGAGAGCTCTGTGCTGGGAATTGGCCAGCCCTGTGCAGATGCTTTCTCGAGGACGGCGCCTGGGGCGGGTTCACTGCGGGGATTACCAGATGAGTACGACGTTTCTTCCGTGCTCTATTGCTCTAGATATTTACACTGACTCGTCTCGAGTTGATTAGATACGCGAAACCGCTCTCTTGGTTCTCGATGCCTTCATCATGCTGAGCCCGGGCCTTTACTTCGCAGCAGTGTGTTTCCGTTTCCCTCCAGCCAGAGTTATGAACAATGTTCGTTTTTGTAGGTCGTGCTATGATCTGTCTGTATCCGCGCTGTTCCTAGTGTTTGAAAGTGAGTACATCTCCTGAATCCCTTTATCATGCTGCTCCTTTTTCCAGCTCTCGTCGGCAACCGGCGACATCGGGTGGCAGGTTGGGTGAGCGGGTAGCTGCTGCGGTCGATTAGCCCGGGGAATGTGAACTGGCCACTCACAGACCTTTGGTATTCTCGAACGTGGCAGCTAGGAGTCGACAAAAAGATAAGTACCACTTCCCTCTTGATGACAACCTGGCAACCTGCCAGTGCGTCCTGCGTCCACGGTGCTGACCTTAACCCTAACCTCAGATCCAATCTCCGGTTATCGGTACCCCCGGGTGCGCTCTCCGGTGATTACGATTTTAGTTTGGTAACCCCACTAAGTCTCCAACGGAGACTACTAAGTTTCACCCTTCTGACTTAGCTGACAGCTTGAAGGCGACGCTGCGCAGCCGGAAGACGGAGAGACCGGCAAGGTGGACATTAGGCGGAAACGGGGGATGGTACTACGTCGGCGAGGCGAGCTGAGCGGACTTGATCACCCGCAAAGTTTGTCTCTGCGGCGAGCGGTAGAGTCTATTGTTTCCTCCGTTCCAGTAGCAGCGTTCACTCACGACCCGTTCCTACAGTCATCCTCGTACTTACTCAGCTCACACGTAAGTACGTTGCCCATCTTCAGGCCCTTTAGGTGAGTGTTTCATTGTTCCGGTACTATCCGTTCCTCGTGGTCGCTAACTGGGGATCTAGGTCGCTTCGGCATCAACGCAACATCGACACCGACTCGTATCGAAGGAGGGGAGAAGGCGTCAGATGCGGGGAATGTCTGCACCGAGAACTGGCCACTCTCGGGACGGATACTTTCTCGCGGACGGCGACCTGGAGACAGGGCGTTCACACCAGAATCCCGAAGATGATTACCAATCCTAGATATGAACACGCCAGATCTGTGGTGACTAACCATAGCATATCAGGTTCCTGCTTTTGTATGCCTACTTGTACTGTCTCGATCTGGGTCATGCGGCGCACCTGTGTGCAAATCCCGGTCGCGTCGCATCAATTACCACCGGTCTATCAAGCCCCTCCGACTCGCAGATAGCAATTTCTCGAGATCTATCTCAAGTTTCCACGACGCGAAGAAGGGAGACATCAACTTGACGGGTTCAGTGAAGAATGTGGACTCGGAGAGAGGAATCACCCGGTCGCTGCAAGCGAGATCTGCTTGTGCTTCCGACGTCTGTGAGATACAGTGATAGTGCAAGGTGTACATGATCGCATACAAATTTTTGAATCTGCATTAATCCCACCTGATTGGCAACGTCAACTTGAACAGTGAGGGGTTATTGAAATACGTACGTCTAACACAGTCGAATGGCTGCGCTTTTTGAATGTGCTGAAGCTGGCTGCCTCAGGAGGCATCGTTTGGGGTGTGTAAGCTGCTCAAGAAGTGTCAAACCTGACTCCGCCAGGTTCGCATTGCTATTTAGTCGCGTCAATACACTAGCACGTGACCGCGTTAGTACAGCCGAAATTCGAAGTTCGACACTTACGCAGGGTGCAGATCGAATTTCCAAACAAATGAAGTCGGCCACCTCCAAGTAAGTATATGGGGTAGCTTGAACCTGTCCATAACATACTGACTCAGTGGGGCGTCCGGGCTGTGGCAAGAGCCGCAAGACACGTGAAGAAGCAATGGAGATGGGTTTTTTGCGCGGTGGCACTTCTAACACCGCGTACAACATCAAACTCATCTCGATATTATGCAGTAGCGACGGAAGATCCGCCACTTTCAGAGGCCTGGACGGACATGGCATTGCGGTAGTACCACCGTGGTATGGCCACTCGACTATGAAGAGTCCTGAAATTGCTATGTCCCTGTCCGAGTCTGGAACAGAATCCAATATGCAGTACGTCCGACACAGTAATGGCCACACTTCCCGAGAATTTGGATAACTGTGCTGTGACAAGGCTAACTTCAAGTTCAGGGTCGTCTGCAAAGCCATGTTTGACTTCGTGCATTCCGATTCACGTGGGTTGCCAGTGAGGCGTGTTTCGACGGGGGTTCCCCCGATGGAAAATCAATGGAGACAGCGTCTTTGTCAAACCGGCCGTCGGTGTCACCGAGGCGTGTAGATGCTAATCTTTCCCTCCGTCAGTATGCCTCAGGTGCATAAATACCGGTGGTCACAGACAGGGCAGTCATTATTCTTCTCAGCATCGAAATGGCGACCACTTACTCTTCCAACGACACTCAGGCCACTCATATCTCCCAGTTCGATCAAGCCCATGCCGGCCACAAGGGAGAATTGCGCGAAGACTTCTTGCAGTTGACCGACGACGAACTCGTTTTCTACAAGCAAATCACGGGAATCAAAGATGATGCTGAATTAATTCAGCACATCGTTCGTATGCAGGCCGAAGCTTACCAGGTGTGTGCTGTGTAGCCGTTGCTGTACATTAGAGGCACACCGACTGACGAACAACAGGTATTCCCATACCCATGCATCCGTTGGTTCGACTTCGTGAGGTATCCAAGTCGACTGGTGCCTCCGCACAACCGTTGAGCATGGAACACTCATCCTTCGTGCTTTAACAGACTTAGGGTGTCTCGCTTCGCGGTGTACTATGACCTGCTGAAGCTCGGAAGAGAAAGGGAGGGTGCTCTCTACCTCGATTTGGGAACATGCTGTGAGTGTGTCTGTGTCGGTGAATCGCCGAATCTGGCGCTAATTAGTGCTTTGCAGTCGGTACCGCCATCCGCAAACCAGTACTAGACGGTTTTCCCGTCAAGAATTGTATCGGTTCGGATCTTCGAAGAGGTTTGTCTTGCTCTGTCTGTCTTGCATCTTCCGATGTCTTCAGTCGCATTGCCAGAATTCTGGGACATGGGCTACCAGTTGTGCAAGGACTCTCCGGGGGTGTTCCCCGTCCCATTTGTCCAAGGCGACGTGCTCGACCCGTCCTTCCTCAAACCATCGGCGCCGATATATACTCCGCTCGAGAGTTCCAAGTCCAACCCGGAGCTGTCCTCGCTTACCAATCTCACGCCGCTCACTGGCAGGCTCTCCGCGATCCACGCGTCGTACTTCTTCCACCTCTTCAGCGAGGAGAAGCAGCTGCAGATCGCGCAGTCGCTTGCCGGCCTGCTGTCCCCGCTCCCGGGGTCGATGATCTTCGGCCAGCACGTCGCGTATACGACCAAGAGCACGATCATCATTCACCCGACCGGTGAGCCGGTGCCTATGTTCTGCCACTCACCGGAGTCGTGGAAGGAGCTCTGGAACGGGACGGTCTTCAAAAAGGGGAGCGTTAAGGTGGAGGCGGAACTGTCTACGCTCCCCGTTCCCAAAGGTGCTCTGGATCATACTTATTGGCAGCTTGTCTGGTCTGTGACGAGATTGTAGTGAGGTCTCATGTACACGAGTATGTAGTGATGTCGTACCTTAGCAAAGAACAGGTACTGGACATCGAGATGGAGATATAGACGATGGAGATATAGATGAAACACTTACTTCGGCGAGCTGCCAGCTGTGAACCTACAACTCCCTTTCGTCGTCAAAGATATTTACGTTAGGGCCTGCCTCGGGAGAAATAATACTGTCGTGCTGAGCTGGCGTCGGCGTGCCGGGGATACTATGCCAGCGTAGCATCCTTGATGTAAGTTGCCCGATGTGGCTGAATTACTACGCTCGGATCTACCCCAATGCTAGGGCATGAAATTGGTCTGAGTCTCCTCCTGAGCCCGACAGTGATCGTGTGGTAAAGATCGACGTGCCAGTGACTGCACTTGAAGGCCACATAGCCGACATGAGTACGTACGTGTAGTCACGGTAGCGCTGCCGGTGGTGTTGTGACTCGTACGCTACGTATTAACACGGTATTATAAGGACTAATGCTAGTTTATCATGCTCAGTCGGTGAGGTGTCGTGTCAAGTAGCCTAAAGTTTTGACCTTACGACGAGGTTATACGTAGGTTGAATCTAGCCTGCGCACTCTCAAAGGGACGCTCTGTCCGTCTCCGCCCGGGATGATAGGCCTCGACAACAACCATCCGTTGATGCCAGTTTGAGTGTCTGGTCCATCCGCAAACTCGAACGCGTAGGATCGGACGAGCAAACATAGCACAGCCTTAAAATCACAGCATCAGCCTGTCTTCTTGACCGGACTGTTCATGCGAACAATACGATTGCTCACCTTCGCTTCAGCAAGTGCGTAGTGTCTGCCAAGACATAGTCGCGGGCCACTGACGAACGTCAACAAATGCTTATGTCCTGGGATTTGCTTTGGGATGCCGCCCTCCGTCAAGAAGCGCTCTGGCTGGAATTCCTTCGCGTCGGGTCCCCAGAATCTTGGCGAGGTGTTGATAGCTTGAATGGGCACGGTTACGAGTTGGCCCTTCGAGATGAATATACGATCAACAGATGCGCCTGTTGCTGTTTTCACGGGATGAAAAAGGGGGATGATGTCGTTCTCGACAGCCTAGCAGTATCAAGGTCGGTCAGGTGCTTCCGTAGATTATACAATATCCGATACACTCACTACGCGGGTTGTGTCGCCCAACGGCGGATGAAGGCGCAATGTCTCGTGAAGAACGGCGTCAAGATATGGCAGCCCGTCGATGAGCTGCTCCCATGCCGCGTCGCCACTAGGAAGCCGTGAAACTTCTAGACGAAGTTTGTCCTGTATTTCTGGCTTCTTGCAGAGCTCAACGAGGCACCACTGCGTAGCGAGGATATTTTAGCAGCAGACTGCGAGTATAATGGATGCTTGGTGTACCATCAAGCAGTCTATTCGCGGCTTAATCAACCAGGCAGAGATGCAGCAATCACGTGTACTCACTCGACGTGGTTATGTAGCCTGTCACCATCAGGAGCTTCATCTGGGTATCACGACCAAATTTAGGAGTGTCCAGTTTTCAGCGATGTCATGCCTTGACGCACCTGTGCCAGGATCTCCTCCGATGACATACGCAGCTCAGAACTGCTCTTCTCGGCCTTGACTGCAAGACAACTCGTCAGTCACATAGACAACTGTGAGCCGTAGTACGTTACCCATACGCACGCAGCAGTCCCATGATAGACCGATCTCTACTGTTGCATACAATCTGTTTCTCCTCACGTGCCTCTGCGAGTATCTCGTTCACAACGTCGCTCATACCGGCGTCGAATTGGTCACTGATGCGACGAAAGGCTGTAGGGAACCTGAGCACCAATGGGAAGACCAGGCCAAGGATAAATTGAGAACAGCCGGCGAAGTCGGCCTTCATCCCGCTGAAGGCGTCGATGGCGCTCATGACGGTGTTGTGCTCTCCGCGAAGCGTGCCAAAATCGCGCCCGAAGCCTGTGACCCCGAACGTGTCGAAGCTACGGGTCGAACTTGGATCACGGTGTGCTGACCCGAGTCGGGAGGAACGAACTCACGATACACGATTCATCCTACGTCCAGAAGAAGTCTGTACTGTGTTCCAAAACAAATCGAGCGCGGAGTAGCTTACCAAGAATGAACATCAACTATAGCCGAGTCACTGCTGGGAGATTGCGCCAATATTATGTTATCCCAGGCCGCTTGCACCTGGAGGAACCGTTATGCAATAGGCCTCAAACCCAAACGACATCGTCATACCTTGTGTGCAGTATCATGGAATATAGGCAGCATGTCCTTAAGTGCTGCAAGGCTGAAAGCAGGCGCCAGCGCCTTTCTGTGCCTAGGGAGGTATGAGGCCAAGGTGAGAACTTGAAGCGGTCAGCGCATGCCCTCAATCACACTGTACCTTCGATGTGTGTCACCTTCGGCCCAAAAGAGGCCGCGTCCGATCTGTTTGCCCCAAAAATTGATAAACACCTACATCTGCGGCCAAACTGAAGATTTTGGACTCACCAGAGTCTCCGCAAGTGCTCTTAACAGAGGGGTGTGCTGGTAGCCCTCTGTCTCTCGGGCATAGAAATGCTGAATAGCCTTGGGATCGGACAGGACCACGCATGGTTTCCCAAAAGTGGCCGGAACGGTGTACACGGGCCCGTATTGATCTTGCCACTGCTCATACAAACCACCTGGATCCGAGGATCTCGCAATGAGTCTGCTTGCGCCAAACAGCCAGCTGGGATTTGGTGGTCCATTGAGCGGAGTAGTCGATGCTTGAAGCCGTCGCGAGTAACGGTATACGAGGTGTACCAGCAGCAAGGAAGCGAAGAGCAAAAGGAGGGTATTGGATGTAGAAGAATAGTCGAGGAATAACATTGCGGAGACGAAGTATAACGAGATTCATTGGTGACCCCGATGTACTGTATATACCTCTTCGGGAGCGGTGCCGCGACACACGCTGTAGTGATGGGAAGCTAGTCGAGTGTCGTATGTCAGTATCAGGTCGTGTCTCATACGTCAATCAGACGGAGTCCTGCTGAGATCACTGTCATCATGAAAAGTGCCGCTGGACGTCAGCGGCACTATCCAGCAGTGCAAATGATAGAGTCAGCAGTGCCACGATGATCGCCTCTTATGAACACAGCGCAGTCGAGCTCACCAATTCCTTAGCTTCCATCGTCACTGTGTTTTGTATGTGTGCCGCTCGAGAGCTGCGGAACGAGTAAAAACACGGTCTTCTGTGCTTTGGGTACCTCGCCCCAGCAAATCCCCGCCGGTGCACTGATGAACGCGGAAGGTGTATGATACAAGCGCCCCCATCGAGTCTTCTTGCTTTCGCTGAAATTTGACTAGTCGATCCCTCAGGCTGTGACTAGCCTCTGCAGATTTGACGACAGCTGGCGCAGCCTATGTTTCAATCTGTCTTCATACGTTGTCAGTGTCCCGAGGTTCTGCTTAAGACGACTTACCCATCTAGCATAAGATACGCGCGCAGGCTCGCGTTCTGGTTCTCAGCGAGCCTAGGTTCGACTCGCTATACGAACATCGCAATGCCGACGGAGAGTCATCCAGTTATACAACAGATTGAACACCAACGTAGTACTCCACGTCTCACCGACGATACTTGGCAATACATGACCTCAGTCCAGCCGCCTGACCCTGAGGGGCAATCGCGCGCCCTCTTCTCCTACAATACTCGGCCTAGGCAAGATCCCCCGTTTCACCTCCGTCTTCGTGTCCGGCCCATCTCTCAGTTCAAACGCGTAGTTCCGGATAAGCACAGACAGTACAGCCTACCGCACAGCTCCCACGTCAGCCCCGGTCCTGTCAGGTCGATCGAGACTAACCTTGAACTCAGCGAGCGCAAAGTGCCGCCCAAGGCACGTCCTCGGGCCGTCCACGAACGTGAGCAGGTGCCGGTGCCCCTGGATCTCCTGCGCGCGCTTCGGAATCCCGTCCTCGTCCAGCCAGCGCTCGGGTCTGAACGCCTTCGCGTCCGCGCCCCAGAACCGCGCGCACTTGTTCATCATGTGGATGGGCACCGTGACGAGCTGGCCCTTCGGGACGGCGATGCTGTCGACGAGCGTGCCATTCGGTGTGCGCACGGGCGAGGAGAGCGGGATGATGTCGTCTTCGGTTGCCTGGAAAGGGTGTTAGCTGTGCCTCGCTGTTTGAGTGGCGAACGTACCACGCGCGTGGTCTCGCCCAAAGGCGGGTGGAGTCGCAATGTCTCGTGTACGACGGCATCAACGTACGGCAGCCCATTGGTGAATTGATCCCAGGTCGGATCGCTGCCGGAGAACTGGGATAGCTCCTCGCGCAATTTCTGCTGAATCTCGGGCTTTTTGCAGAGCTCCAAGAGACACCACTGATTCACTACGTCAGTTCGAAAACAATTCGTAGTCCAACGAGCTGACCGTTAAGCTGACTATTGAACGGTCAGGTGGTTCTCAATCGAAGGATGACGGATGAGACTTACTTGATGTAGTCTCGTAGCCAGCCAGGATGAGAACTTTCATCTGAGAAGTCACTTTCAGTGGTATTGACATATGACGACGATTTGGATGCTACCTGTGCCAACACCTCGTCCTCCGACATTTGCAACTCCGAGTCGCTCTTCTCAGCCTTGACTGTTCCGTCCGCTTTCAGTACGCATCTGACTATGCCCGTTGATGCACCTACTCAGAAGCCCAATGATAGACTTCTCTTCCGCCTTGCTCTCGCCCTCGCTCTCCTTCCGCGTGTTCTCCAACAGCTCCTGGGCGATCTCACCCATGTTTTCATTAAGTTTGTTGACGAGCCGCCGGAATCCGGTGGGTATCTTGAGCACCCATGGGAAGACCATGCCTATGGCGAACTGCATTCCACCCAGGAGACTCGGCTTGAGCGTGCCAAAGGCATCAAATGTGTTGGCGACTGTTGAGTGCTTGCCCTGCAGCGTGCCAAAGTCATGCGAGAAGCCTGCTATGCCGATGGTGTCCAACCTATGTGTAGGGTCAGTACATCACGCGTAATGCCCCAGATCTTTACTGACGATACATGGTTCATCCTGTTGGATTCTCACTTCATTGATGATACCTCACGAGATTAGAGATGACGCACCAGCCTTGTACGTCGATCACAGCATCACCTCCTGGCTCCGACTCTAGAAGGCTGTCCCATGCTGTCTTGACCTGTGTTGCTCAGTCAGTAAATTCGCATTGCCCGACACGCCACGCTCTACCTTGTACGCCGAGTCATAGAAGACGGAAGTCATCCTCCTGATGGCCGCGTTGCTGAAGGCGGGAGTCAACGCTTTTCTCTGCCTTTAAATTCGTCAAAACAAGTAGGAGTCTGCGTCGTTGACTTCCTGTCTACCTCTTGTGACTGTCTCCTTCGGCCCATAGCACGCCTCTGCCGACCTTCACGAATCGATGTTAGACCGCTTGAGTTGATCACCATATACGATATGTCTTACCAGGTTCTCGATCGCCCTCTTGGCCATGGTGCTGTGCGCATATCCATACGTCTCCCGCGAATAGAAATGCAAGACGGCCTTCGGGTCGCATAGCGCAATGCGAGAGAGTCCCAAAGTAGCAGGAATGCGAAACACAGCACCGTACTTCTCAGACCACTCCTCGTACAGTTCTCCCGCATCTGGCGATTTCACGATGAATCTGCTTGCGCCAAGCAGGAAGCTCGGGTTCGGCGGCCCCGCGAGCGGCGTGCTGCGTGCGCGCCGGCGCAGAAGCTGGATTGCCTTCGACAGCACCCATATCGCGGAGACACCGCAGAGTGCGTTGAGGACGCTGAGAGCGGGCAGTGCGGACATGGAGGGCGAGGACAAGGGGACTCACGGTCGGCATGACCTCGTCCAATTTATGAGGAGCATATTGACAGGCCGACTGCGCCGTGCCTGCCATCCGTGGGATGAGGCCTGTGTTACTGTGGGAGTCAGACTCTTCACTTGTTTTTCAAGTTCACTGACTTGTTTCATGTCGGGATCTCGGCCGGGTAAGTTAGGCTACTACTCGGTCAGTCGAGTACCATGGGCGCAAATCTTCTGCAAAACACACAGTAAGTACCTGCGCAGGTGGCTGTGAATCGTGGTAGCATACTGGTGTACTGTTTGCCAGAGAAAGGCGAGCAATGTTCACGATGGCGGAGTAGGTAGGTGACCGACATGGTAAGTCTTAGTACGTACTAATTATTTACGGGCCGAGTACTTACGACGTCTCCATCAGGCCGGGTGACTCGGATCTGGACTTGCGCTAAGTATGCAGTCACTTGTAGTAGCACGATCAAAGGTTGTTTGTTTATTCTCTCCTTTCATTGTGAGGGTCAGGCCCCATGTAGACATTACAAGTGGGAATTTGTCTGAGCCTCAACATGTCACTGAGCATGTGCATGACCAATGACGCGCAGTCTAAGTACTATAATATTATTACCGATACAACACAAATCGAGGGATACAAATGAAGGTGCGGTCCTGTTGTCGAGTCCGATGGGATGTGTGTGGAACGAGTGATCTGAGGCCGTATGTACAAGGGATTAAAAGGAACAAGGAGGCGAGGGAGGAACACGGGTGGATCATCATCATATCATCGCCTGGTCGACGAAGAACTGGTGGCACGCCTTGAGGAGCGCGCGTTCGTGTTGTTTCCAGCGTGCCACTACTTCGCTCTTGACGTGCGCGCGCGCCTCATGCTGCACCGACTTGACCGTCATTCGGAATGCAGATGAGATCGGCCGGTGGTCCGACACGTTCACCTCGTACCGACGGTAGTGCAGCTGCTCGACGCGCGACGGCTCGCGCGAGCGCCAGAGCACCCGGTCACACCACGCCGGCACGCGCGCCTTCTCGGACGTGTCGTACTCATTCGAGCGACGGTCGTATTTGTAGGTTGGCGCGAACGTGATCGGCCCTTCAAAGAAGGAGCGCAGGCGGAAGGCGCGATTGGTCTTCATCTCTCGGAGTAGTTGGTCGTATGAGAGTAGGGTTTCAAGGTCTCCGGCTTTGATGGCGGCAGCGACGAGATCACGCCGATGCTCGATGCGGTAGTTCATGTCCCCGTTCATCTGATGTCGCATTAGCGGATCCCCCAGTTGAAATAAAGGCTACTCACGAAGACGACTTCATGATCCAGCACCATGGAACCATCTCCGCCGTTCACATACGCTAGTGGTTCTTCAACCGCGTCCGATTCTGGGAAAACGGATTTCTCTTCTAGCATGGCTGCGACGTCGGCATTTCGTTGGCGCACATGGTGTTGCCCAGCAGCCAAGTGACAGTTGATGAAGCATATCGAGGTATCGTCAATGACAAAACGCGCGACAATACCACCCTGCCGAGCAGAACTCAGACTACAAGGAAGGTATAATAATGGCGTGTCGACTGACCTTGTTGCCATACCGTCCACCCATACCACGCTTGATCGTAGTGATCGCGACGTGCTTCAGCGATATCCGCTCCGTGTTCTTCACGAATATACAACTAAACAGCCCAACGAGGTTCTCCGTATGTATGACCGTATACGGCTCGTCGGGCGGCATCGCCCTTTGGACCGCCAGCACCAAGCAATCGTACCACTTCTTGTAGCTCGTCGAGACCTTCTGCGAAATTGCGCCGTCGGGTGACTTGTTCTTCCCTCCCAAGAGCACTGTCTTCGCGGCCATCTTGCGGCTCTCCAGGTCAATGAGCTCCTGGAAGCCGAACGCGATGATGTCCGGGTCGTCGACGCTCGTGAGCGCATCGCGTAGGAAGTGGTCGTTCTCGGGCGTGCCCGTGAGCGTTTCGGGCTTGGCGGAGTCGAGGTTCCAGGAGACGATGAGGGCTTTGATCGTCCGGAAGGTGCTGAATTCCACTTCGCGCTTCATCAGCTCTTGGTCTGTCAATGCTCGTTCAGCAACAGACTACAACAAGACATGTCTTGGTACTCACCGACCCACTGCGTCCCCAACAGACCGTCCCAGAAACGGAGCTTCTCGTCTCTCCCTATGCTGTACACAGTAAGCCGACCAAGCTTCTCGATGCTCCAAGTGTCTACAACTAGTCTGAGCACAGGAAGTTTCGTATGCGCTTGCCAGCAATTGGTAACCACCCACGGTCTCGGCACGACGTCGTACGCAGATATCATGCCGATGCGTCCTCCAGCCCACAGCCGGTCGTTCACTCCCTCTAGGCTCAGGACGTCCGATGTCGAGATCTTGATGACCTCTTCGCACATCGGCACCCCATCCTTCGTGGTGAGCTGCCAAATACTGATATGGCCGCCCTCGTGCCCGAGATAGACCTTGTCGGGCTGAGACGGCAGGATGGTTCCTGATGTCACTGCACCGAGGTGTTCAGTCGGCAACAACGACCTGCCAGTGCTCCCAGGCGAGAACACATCGTACACCCTCACGATCGGGCCCCTCGACGTGCTTGCCACCGACCCCCCGTTATTCGGATCTCGCGTCGAAGTCCAGAGTTGACCCCCAAGGAGCTTCGCAAACTCCTGCTTCTCCGTGATGCGCACGACGCGCGGCTGGGTATACACGAGGTGGACGTCGTCCGCGCTGTCAAGCTCGGGCACGAACACGAGCACCTTGCCCGAGTCGTCCATCGTCACCATCGCGCGCGCGTGCCGGAATATGTGCGTCACCGCGTGTGTGTGAGCCACCGGCCTCGTAACGACAATCTTGCCCGAGCGAATATCGAGCTCGTACAGGCTCCCGTCCTTGCACCCGAGCCAGAGGAACGCGCCGCGATCCGCCGCGTTGAGTGTCGCCTTGAACTCCATCGCTGTCACCTTGAACCCGTTCAGCTTGTCCAGGCCCGCATCCCGGCTGTCGATGTTCCGCACGGGTGCCTCGGACACAGACAGGTCGTAGATCTTGATGTGATGGTGGTGTGCGACCGCAACGGTGTGCCCGGACACGGCGACGGTGCTCGTGTACGCGGCGACATGGATGTTGAACTCGGAGTAATTGTGGCAGTCGACCACGGGCGGCCGGCGCGACGAGCGCGTCATGTCCGGCAGCGACTCGACCTTCTTGAACTCCTCCTCTTCGGACTCGCTCGACGACCCGGACGCCTGCTGCCGGGGGCGCGCCGCCGGAAGCTTGTCATTGAGCCCGATGCCGCGCTTCGGCGGCGGTTGGAATGCCCTACGCTCGGTCGCCGGGGAGGACGTAGGAGGTGCCGAGCTGGGGTGCAACAGCGCTTCGCCGTCGTGCATTCGCGGAGGAAACCTGCGAAGGGGCTCGTCGACAGGCGTCGCGGGTCCTCTGCGGGCGGGTAGGGGAGGCGGGGATACGACACTGGCGAGGGACGGTGAAGGGACGTGTGCGGAGCTTTTATGGCGGGGAGGGGGACGTGGAGGGGGGATCGAGGGCCGAGGGGAGTGGGAGGCACGGACAGAGTCTAGCAGAACGTGGGCGGTGCTGACGTCACTCTCGCTAGAGGTACGACTCGAGCTACTCGACGAGAACCCGCTGTCAAAGGGAGGCTCCTGCTCTGACGGACTGCTGTACACTGGTCCATGTCCATTGAGGATGGACGTGCGCGAGGGCAGCGGCGGAGGTCCGCCAGCCACAGTACGCTCAGAGTCTGAGGCCGAGTCGTCGCCGAACGGGTCGTCCGGCCCGGTAGAGGAACTTGAAGACGTGCTTTCGAAGGACGACACACTCGCAGAAGCATGGTGGTTCGGGGCGGGGTACGAATGGCGGGGTTTGCGAGCGCGTTCGTCTTCGGTCGGTTGGGGACATGAGGGAATTGAAAGAGACGTCACAGACTGGGAGAGGACGCGGCTATGTGCTGGTAAGGGCTTGGCGGAAAGAGGTATTGGTGGCGGCGGAGCCCTGAAAACGATATGTCAGCGTCTGCACGAAGATGTGTTGTTGTACGGTGTCAGGCTAACAACTAGACTTCAGGACCTGCCCGGGTTAGAAGGGGTCGATGTAAGGATTCCCATCATCTTGCGTGAGCACCCACACCGCCCGTACCGCAGAGAAGCTTCCCAGAGATGGACTTGCCGCAGGACCACATCCCTCGGAATAGTATGCCCCGTATGGTCAAGCAGAAGACCACTCACCCGAACTTTGTTACTAACGAAGACACAGATGTCCGCTCCGCGGGGGTCGCTTCAGAGGGAGGCTCGCGGACATGGGGCGGCGGTGGGGGAGGCGGTTTGCGCGATAACGAAGCCGTCTTGTTCGGGGAGACAGAACGCGAACTCGGAAGCGTAGCGTCGTGAACCAGAGGCGAGGACGGCGGTTCAGCTGCCAGCGTCGGGCGCAGCAAGGGACTCGACACCAGAGGCGCAGGAGAGGGTGCCCTGGAGGAGCGGCCTGGAGGTGGTGGTGGAGGCCTCTTCGTGCCCGTTTTGAGGTCTGAGGAGGACGAGGTTGGGCGAAGCAGGCGAGCGTCCGGTCTGAGCTCGTCTGTTCCCGATGCTGCGCGCGGACGCGGGCTAGACGGTTCAGGCGTAAGCAGCCCATGACTGCTGAGAGGTCGTTTATGCCCTGGTGCAGCGCTGCTGCCCGCAGCGAGCTGCTCGAAACGGGACCGGAGACTGCTGACTGCGGGTGGCGGGGTGGACTCGATGTCGGGCGAGCTCGACGAATCCATGACTGTCGAAGGCAGGGTAGAAGATGGCTACGTCGTCTGAGACGGTCGCGGTTGCGAAACGGACTGAGTAGATCGCTCGAGCCTCGAGCAGCCTTTAAGTTAGCCGACTTCTGTACCACACCAGCGCTTAAAGTTAGCGACATCGCATGACGGCGCTAAAGCTTAAGGCGCACCTGAAATGCTTCCAAAAAAGGAATCTCACGTAACGCTCCTATCGAGTCTTGACCCGGACCCTCGACGAGTCGGACGACGACCTTCATTCATTGAACCGTTTCTACTTAGCCTTTGCTCTTGTCTGTCTATCAGCCACATACTGCACCTCCCAGACATCAATCAATCACTTACTTGACCTGGTGAGTTCCAAAGGAAGGAAGAGGTTGACATATGCTGAGCGGAACGACCAGGCCGCTATTTTTCGCAGTGGAATACTTGGCCAATGTTGCGTACACGGTCTGTCTGGATTGACACTCGGTTTCTCGCCTTCGGTTCGCGCAGTGTCCCGAAAAGCCGCTTTGCTGCCCTCGCATCTCCCGGTCGGTTCCAAGCCCTTGACCACGTATCGTGAAGGGCATACACATGACCACAATGACGGTCCGCTGGGAGAAGGCGCTTTGTGGGAAGGGAAGGGGCGCGATACTGATGCACGCGAAGCAGCACCGTCCAGCTCGACTGCGGACTCGAACAATCGTCGCGATGCTGTTCCTAGTCACAACGGCAGGGGTGTACAGCGGCGGCGTCCATTCACTGTGGCACACGAGACTGCAAGGTCGAGGGACGAAACCGCGTCGAATGCTGCCGACGGAGCCGAGCTGCGACGCGCGGATATGCAAGTTAGCCGTGACGGTTCTGAAGTCCCGAAGGAGATCGTCCGGAGGGTGTGCCCAGAGTACCCGCCGTTCGTCAGCGAGCTCGTCGGCGAGGTGCGGGACTCGCTCCGAAAGTGCGGTGAGCCGACCGCCATAAAGCGCTTTCACGTCTTCTTGAGCAAGATGCCGGAGGACAACCCCACGCGCTTCCAAGTTTTCGAGGCCACTATCCGCATGCTTCTTCTCGAGGGTTGTCCAATGGCCGCCGTTACGTGTTACACGCGTATGACGGCGGAAGGGTTCATCTGCTCCATATCCCTGCGCGCACAGATGACGGTCATATCGCTGGCGAATCGGTCGCCTGCCCCCGAGGAGTTCTTCGCGCTGCTAGAGATGTGGTTCATGAACAAGCGTTTCAACGAACATGCGTTCCAGGACATGCTGTTCCTGCTGGATAACACCATCAGCGAAGATCCAGCCTTCGTGGACGCGGTGGCGAAGCTATACCTTCGCTGTAAACGTCCTGGCTATTCGTTCGCGCGGGAGACCATTAGTTGGATAGTCTACGTCCATGCACGGGCGGGCTCCAAAGGCTCTGCGAAGGAATGGCTCGATCCCGAGCGCCACGCTGGCGCAAGCGGTCCCGAGCCCTACACAAGCCTCCTGCGCTTCATAGACGGCTCGTCGGAGGACGAGGAGCTGTACCGATGGATCGTGGAGCGAATGCAAGAGCTCGAGATCCAGCCGGACCTCGCCTTCTACAACGCGCTCATGTCGGCAGAGTTCGCGCGCAAGAAGTACGACAACGCGTACAAGATCTATGGCCTCCTGAAGGCCAGCCCAGACCCCGCGATCACGCCGGACGAAATTACCTTTGCGATGGTCTTCCGCGCGTCGCTCTATATGTCCCAGCCACGCAGCTTCCTCACACGAAGGATCGGACGCCCCCGCGGTGCACCTTCGCCTCGCCAACTGTACCAGGACATGATCCGGTGCCATATTGCACGTGCGAGAAACAGCTTCGAGGGCGTCCTGTCGAGCAGTTCTCTGATCTCGGCGATGCGGGTGTTCATGGATCGGCGAGACTACGCAGCTGCGTTTGTCGTCTTCAAGACCATGCGGCAATGCGAGCTCCCCATGGACCTTGTCATGTATCAGAGGATCCTCGCTCCACTAATGAGAAGGCTCAAGCATGAACTACCTTTACTGGCGGTAGAGAGCGATCCACGCTCCTTCTGGTCGTATCGCTTCTTGGGCTTGTCCACGGCTCCATCCAGGCAACGCCCGGCATATAACTCGCGCGTGCTTGACGTACTTCTTCGTATCGGTACGATACCACGCCTTAGCCTTGCATATGTCGCACCAGAGCTAGAGTTGGCTACGGAAGCACATTCCGAGTCACCTCCGGGATTTGAGGCACCAGCAGGGTCGTCAAGTACGCGCAACCGACCGCCGCCAGCTCGTCCGCCAACACAACTGGAAGATGATGCTACTCCATCCGCAGCAGATGAAGCCAAGTACGAGGCTTTCACCAAGGTCTTCCGGGAACACAACATGCCGTCCACCTTGGAAGTCGCAGGGCTCGTGGAATCAGTCCCTCACCAAGTCTACTCACCGGTGCCTCTCGAGCGTATCCTCCGGCGCGCCATCCTAGCTGCCCGCCCGGATTCGGTCCTCTCCGCGATGAAGGAAGTGAACAGCGAACTTGCAGTGGCGAAGGAGCAAATGATTGGTGACTTGGCGTTCGAGCTGTCGGGTTTCTCGACGAGGAAACGGAAGCCGCGGTATGTCAGCTTTAGCGAGGATCTTGGGAAAGCGGCGAAGAAGACAACGCGGGCGGGTACCGGTGAAGTTGAGGTTGAAGCGGGCGGTTGCTGACATGGTGTGTCCATAAATAATGACCGTTCATATTATTACTGTAGGGTGCATAATGCGAGACTTCTGAGTAGCGTTCCCTTGATAGCAATGCTGTGTGATGTGGCAAAGTGCGAAAACGGAGATGGGTAAAGACGAGGTGCGACAACTCCTGTCATGATCATGGTTCAGGTAAGAGTGAAACTTGCAATTCGAGGCAAACCTGGCTGCTAGCAGACCTCACGGCAGCACCTTTTTCTTAGCAGGCGGCGACCGAGGGCCATCTTCGCGATCCCTCTTCAAGCCCTTGTACCTATCCCGTGAGGATAGCGACGGCTGCTGGGCGCCGTGGCCCAAAGGAACTGCGGTGAAGTTGTTCTGGGACAACGGTGTAAAGTCGCTGATCAGGCGGCCGCTCGCGCTCTGCACTCGCGAGAACGACCGCTGCTTGCGTGGAGACGCCGAGCGCCGATGCTCTTCCTGTGGAGGCGTGAGCACCGGATCGTCCGCGAGGGGGTCTTCTTCTTCTTCCTTGGTCGCGGTGGGCAGCAGCGCGTTGTACGCGTCTCGCACAATGCGGTTGAAGCTGGGTGATGATAAGTGCTACGAATGACGATCGATCTATGTCAGGCGTAGCGTACCGTGTGTCCCTTGTGTAGATGCGCAGAAGAACCTCACCGAACTCACCCGGCATGAGCAACGAGACATCGTGAGGCTGCGCCTTCTGGGATTCTGACCACGAATTACAACCAATATTTCTTACAGCGCACAGATCGGACTCACTGTCTGGGCAGTGCTTCGAGTAGAAGCTGACCGTGTCAAGCGGGTTCTTATCCTTCATGCCGTAGTGCATCATCGAGATGTCGACGATGATGTGCTCGGGCTTGAGCTCTTCGATGAGCTTGCGGTACTCGTCCTCACTGGCCTGATCCTTCTCGCTGGGTAGTTCTCGCTCGTCCGCCTGCGCGGCGCGCACAATCTTCTCGGGAGTGAAGATCTCCTTGCAATCGTGTCGGAACGCCCACGGAAAGACCTTCCAATCAACCATGTGGTAGAGGTCCCTCCTGTGGATGCGATATAGGATGTCTCGCGCCGGCTGGAGTTCCTAGATTGACCTATCAGTGAGAGCGAGTAGCGTACGGACTGGCTATGACTTACGGGACTCTCAGACGCCTCGATTCGGATGCGGATGTCATCTGTGAGGTAAAGATACCGTTTCGGGTCGAATATGTCGCGTGCGAATTTCATGTAGGGCTCTGCAGCAAGCAGAGCGTCGATGAGCATGTACTCTATGGCCTTGGCTACGGGCAATTCAGTGAAACGTGCGTTACAAAAGGAAGGTCCTCATACCCGTCTTATGGCCATAGACGCGCTTATGCAGACTGAACCGGGTATGGCAGAGCTCGTAAATCTGGCTCGCGTCCTTGATGTGATAGCAGATCTCGTCGTTGATGGCCCGCGCGGAATGGATAAGCCTGCAGTCACGGGCACGTCAGTAGATGTCGGAATCATAGAGTGCGCTGCTTACCGCGTCAGTGAGAGATTCACCTTCATGTCGATGGCATGCGTGTCTCGCGCAATGTAATCGAACCTACTTGTGTTAGTGCTCCCGACATAGCTGCATGATATGCACGCCTACTTATCAACATCCAATCCGTTCCTCTTGTTTGCCACAATTTCAAACAAGAAGGGCTTCTCTTTCCGGCTTCCTTCCTGCTGAGTAATCGCACGCAGGCGCAATGTTGATTACTTACCTACAACGACTGGTTTCACCAGCAATCAGAGCTTTGATGAATGAGGCATCGTCCTCAGAAATGTCAAGGTCATTTTCCTGAATGAGGGCGTCGAACATCATGTCCGACGAGTCTTCGTGCTTCCACTTGGTACCAGGCCTACATTGCATCAGTACCGAGCTCACTTCCGTGAATGGTAATATTACATACAACGCACGAGGAATGAACATTGCATCCCATACGTGGCTCCAGGGTCCATGCCCGAGGTCGTGGCAGAGCCCGGCGATGGTCACGCATTTGACGTCCCGACGAGTGATATTCAGCTCCGGCTGACTCTTCTGCAGATGCTCAGCCATGAGCCCCGCTAAATGCGCTACACCTATGGGGGAAATATCGCTTGTTAGCCAGACGATCGCTTATTGCCTTGAACACAGCGTCCGCCACGCCGGGGACCTTCATATGTGTCGACACGGTATACGGCTCGAGCAGTACCAGCCCAGTTTCATCTGAGAATAACTTCTGCGCACAAGAACGACATTGGGCTCCGGCTGGCATATTGCACCTGTGCCTCCGTGTCAACCTGACATGCTCCAGATCATCACCTCAGTCGTCGCAAGCCTCATCGTTGGCTGGGCGGTCCCTCTACCTCGTACGACTCCTCCCACATTCCCTCGTGGACATGAACCATAAGGCCCAACTACTGCCTTCAGATTGCAAACACTGTTCAACAGCCTTGTCCTCGATTCCTCGCATTCGCTACGAAGAGCGCTGTATGATGTAGAGGGCGACCTTCGCGCGCACTCGAGGGCTGATATCTTTGGATGGGAGACGAACAAGGCCAGAAAATCGCAGACGCATGGATTCCAGCCACTCGGAAACTTTGCAATCGCAAGATTTTCCCGCTGAAAGCCGCAATTCAGGGCGGTTTTCGTACAAACGGCCGCATATATGCCGCATATAGCCGGCTTGGCTTGGGTTCCGCGAGTCGCAGAAGCGCTTGAGAGAACGATGTACGCACCGAGACTGTGCTCAAACCGATTGTGCGACGCTCCCGGCCAGACATAATACGACGTTCCAAGCTGCTTGATGTTGCGAAGGCGCTGAAACTGGGGCCTGCACAACGAAATGAGTATACTGACTCGGAAAGGGTTGACAAAGAGACAGACGTGTCGATGATGGCGCAGACTTCATAGCTGAAGGGGACTGTCCGCGACGCAGAGACATCAGTATCATGGCCTCCCAGCAATATATGTCGGTGGCACGTACTGAAATCATGAATGGGGTCCTTGAACCTGCGCAAGTCGAGCAGCGGCGTTGACCGCGTCTGCGGCTCAATCTCGTCGTCGTCCGCCTGCATGAGCCTCATGGTGGTCGCACGGCCGCCCAGGGTTTATATGCGAAATGAGATGTGGCAAATGCGCGATCCTCGGGCCGAAGGGTCCAAACGGCAGGTCAGTGTGATGGTGTGGAAGCAAGGTAGGGTCGGTGGCAAGTCACAGTGCTCGCCACTCGCGGTGGCTGCGAGGCGTTCCTAATTTGATAAGTCGCCGTGACGCGTCGCGACGCGTCGAGGGTCACGGTCGCGCGTCCGACGCGTGCCGTCACGCGTCATCCACTGTCACTCTTTCACGCGTCTCCCAGGATGTATGACAATGTAGTACTTACTTCCCCCAGATTACCATACTGATGGAGTACATCATGATGAGCATAAGCTAGTACAGTCGTCTTGTGTAAAGTGAGGGGTACTCGTCTTCAAGCTTTAAGTCTAAGCTAGTGCATCACAACATAGTTGGCTTCGAGCCAAAGAAGCATACACAGTAGAGGGCTGTAGTAAGTAGAGGTGGGGCGGTATTGGGATGCAAGCGATAGCACGACGACAACGATAACAACGACCACAATGAGCTATGCTACAGATTGGGTCTGCAAAGACACGGATACGAGTAGATACAGATACATGAGGGTGAAGGAATGGATTATTCAACGACGGGAAAACGGACACCGTGTCCGTAGCGCTCATGAGGACTACCGTCCAGCGAGAGGATAAATGGGTAGAATGGAAGACACAAGACGACTAACGCATCCAGATCAGGGAGCTTTAATCACGAGGTACAGAGCGATGACTGTGCTTCCGACCAGGATGCTCACTGTACTGGCACTGCGATCGACGACGCTGGCGCCGCCAGACTGCTGTGTTGTATCATCGAGATTTCCCTAGTTAGAGTAGCTATTAGACTCGTCAACACTTAAAGTGCACAACACTCACAGAGCTCTTCGTTGCACCAACTACGTTCGTCTCGCTAGGAGTGGCGGCGGACGAGGACATACTAGCAGCAGGGACGATGCCGGCGGCAGCAGATTGCGGAGGTGGCATGTCGGGCGACAGCTCATCCAGCACGTAATGCATGGGCCACCAAGGGGCAGCAAGCACTGTCAGATACGTATGAGCGATTCCCCTGGTTCCTGCGTGCACAATTGACGTACCGGACGGCGCTAGGCTCGCCACGAAGGCGAGCGCTACATAACTGCGCACAAACACGCTCCAGAACAGGAGCATCGCACGATGTGAGGATGAACGACGCAGTGAGGTGTGAAGTTAGGATACAGAACGAAAGGACGCCAGCCCGGATGAAATGGCGAGTCCGAGAAGGCAGACCACGGATTATAAGGCGGGATACGTACAAATTGCGCAGCGCGTTGCGAGTGGAGACGAGTGCGATGCACGTTATATGTGATCCACTTCGACTTGAAGTAAGCCCAGCGGAAGACGGCCTTGTATTTCGAGACGTGCATGTCGCGTTGCCGCTGGAGCGGGACAACTCACTGAAGCTTCCTCGTGTAAGGCAGGACTAACACAAGTCTATATCCGAGGGCTAGCTTGTTTACGCAGAAGTTCTGCGTATGCGACTAGCTATGGCTTTCCTTGTATTCTGGGGTGTCGAGCGCGAAATCGATAAGAGTACAACATGCCTCGTACTAGTTACTTCCGAATACAATGTCTCATTGTTTTGGTCTGTTGACGTCAAGCCACATTGCAAGTTCTACTCGATCGATTTTTTGCACTGCAAAATGACAGTACATAGAATCGAGTGCGACATATTAATATTGTACGATTCATGCGAGCTGGACTGCGAATGGGCCATGTGCTTGCACTGGTGGCAACTGTTCACACCGTGGAGAACTGGTTCTAGCCGTCTCCAGTAACAGCGAGGGCTGCAGGCTTCGGTATTGCATAACGGAAGGTACATACTTCCTATACAACGCAGGGCCTTCAAATTTGCTTGAGTGCCAACGGTGGACTCGCAATAATTCACAGGGTGGATATTATAACAACGATGTCCATGAGAGTGTGAATAGTCTCACACGTGAAACAATAAAATGGGATCTATGCCCTGCCAGCTCCTCCCAGGGCAGAGCGTAGATATTGGTCCAACGTTCCGTTGAGGTCGACGCGGCGGGCTCGATATTTGAGGGCAGTGAGTGTACCATTTTGGTAGCGTGACATTATATCCGGAGCTTCATTCTTTGGTCCTGTGGCCGTGACTAGGCATCGTTGGGTCTAGGGTAGAGGAGCATGAATGGTACCCAAAGCACAGGCTTCGACCCGACTCACGACGTCAGGAAGTCCCTGAAAGTATTCAGCCGTCGTGGGCTCTGGGTCGTCCGTGATGATGTATGTTCCTAAGTAATAGGGGGCACCGCCAAGGTGGGCGATCAAGTCTATTTGTCCCTTTGCGATGCGCTTGTTGAAGGCTTTGTTCTTACACGGTGCCCACTGTCCATTGTGACAGACCATGGACGGCTTGATGAAGTACGAATCCTCGATGGATTCTCCAGGAACGAAATCAGAAGCAGTAACAAAGAGAACGTGATTGAATCCGCTGTCAAGGACATGGGTTCGGTCAGCCGGCATCTCACGATCGAGATGTCCATTTTAGACGCACCATGTCTTCAAAAAGGTGCCAGGATTCAGTCACGGTCATCGGTCAGTAAGGGCCATCGTGAACCTACCCTTTGCAAGTGGTCTAGGGCTGCTTGAGTGATAACTTTCATAGGAAGCGGCGTGAGAACGTCTTCGATCCTCCTGCCCTTAGCCTGTGCGGGACCAGCAACGATCATCTCGCCAGCTGGGCGAGAGCCAGAGCCAGAGCTGCCTGTCTGGGTCATTGAGACCGGCCCCCGTTCACCAGACTGAGATGCGTCGGCACCAGGAGGAGCATCGGATCGAACGACCTTGTGTTCTGACTCTTCCAGCGCAGGGCTCGATGCGAACTCGGTCAGGCTGACCATAGACCCTGCCGTACTAGAGCCCGAGTCGCCAACGGTAGCATCATCCTCGACCAGGGATTCGCTACCAGGTTGGAGCGCCGTAGTAGACGGCTCGCCGTTCACGTCCGACTGTGGCTCTTCTACGAGGACTGATGTCCGAGGCGGCTCCCTATCGTCCGCCGGCTGCACAAACATCAGAATCTGACCCAAAAGCATCTGAAAAAATAAGATACTGACGTCGGCTGGATTCGTCGCGGGTTGTTGGGGTAGATATCCACCAACGCCTTTGTACACTTGAGCGACCTTGTTGCGGACAGTACCCAGGAGGCCAGGCCGGCTGGATGCATCCTGGATGAGGCACTGAGATCATGCAGCTGAGATCCGGAACATGTAGGATAGCGTACCTTCACTACTTCGACGGCCATACACAATGAAGCCACCTCTTCCTCATGTTGAGCGATCGTAGAAGCGAAGCGCTCATTCAATTGTTCGAGATGGAGCTGCCGCCGATGAAAGTGCACGAGAAATCAGGAACACGAAGATTCGCTCACTTGATTGGCTTTACCTGTCGTTGGTTTGACTCAACGGTGAGCGTCTCAATCTTTCGTTTCAGTTGCCCATTTTCCTCGCGGAGGAACCCCATCTCCACCTCCATTCCTGAGGCTTGGGACTGCAGACACGTTGACGATTAGTGAGGCCAAACGAATCAGTCGACACCATACTTGAGACGTGGAGCAGGCTTCTTGGGCTCCTTTGAGAAGCTCTTGGAGATCGCTGGACTCGACATGTGCAGCGAAAAGCTGTTTGACCAGGTCTGACACCCGTGCCTACCAGGATAATGTTAGAGAAGTTGGGTGGAAGGGCGGCGCGAGGCGAAGGAGATGTTCTATCACCTCGTTTTTGACACGCTCGTCTTCAAGACGGCCCATCACACCATGTGCGTCGACGAGCTCGTCTCGAGCGACAGCTAGTTGCTGTTGCAACTCGTCAACGTACTTCTACGGGTGTCTGTCAGTCATCTTCTCAGCTCATGTGTCAGATTTTCGAGTCACCTTCGAAGTGCTGAACTCCGGTTGTGTTGTCCTTATGTGGGCCCCGTCCTTCAAATTTCAAATGTGGTCAGTTTGTGTGCATAAACGTCGGAGCATATATCAGTATGCACGCACCTGCGTTCCATTGAAGTCCCTGGTAGGAGCGTGCGTCATGTGAGACACCAGCTCTTGGAGCGAACTCTGGTGATATACAACAGCGTCACCGCACGGCTCACTAACCAGTCAACACCGTCAGACGCTACCTGCATCGTACGCATGCGGTCACTGATTGAAACGAGCTCCGTGCGGAGGGAATCGCTACTCTCCTAACACTATTGATCTGCACCTTCGAGCTCGATATATTGGGCGGGTGTGCGTACCTTCGGTATGAACGCCGCTTCAAGAAAATCACTTCGGAGTTCATTGAATTGTTCGAGAGATATCGCTCCATGACTGCCTTGCCGTGAGCCTCCCGACTAGTGTCATGGTGAGCCGGTGAATGAGGGATGTGAGTGACATTGCCTCCGCACCCTTTCATTTCCGAGTTCAACTCGAAGACGGATAAGCTCTGCAGCTTGCAGAGCGATGACTTCTTGTGCTACGGCTGGCGATATTTGCACGATCGGGCCGGGCGCATTCAGTGGCATAATTCTGAGGCAGAGTCAATGTAAATTTGGGGTAGGCCGAACTAGCACGGAGACTTACAAGGTCGAACCACGGGGCGACTGCTTGAGCAAAAATCAGCTACACCTGGAGCAAAACAAGACAGAACGGGAGTGACCGCCGTGAGCTTCGTCGACCGTTAAGCAGTAGGCATGGTGCCGGTGTATATAAGAGGCCTGGAATGCGTGCGCCGCATCACGGTCGTCAAAAGCCTCGTGGAGGCCGCATTCCTTACCGTGACGCCACGGTGCCATCAAAGTCTAGGTCAGAACGCTTCTCCAGGAACATGTGACCCTCGATAGCACATACTGTACGTAAGTTGTTAGCTCTGCCAGCAAGGCGCGGAAGACGTCGTGCCACACTCACCCCGCAGCACTGATGAATAGACTTCCAGTAAACAGCGTGTACCGTCCAGGACTACCAGGGAAGCACTGCGGCGATGCTGCTTGGCATGGGTACGTAGCTTAGAGTGTCAATTATCCTCACCAGCAACCCGAGCTTATTGACCCCAACGTTGTGCCAGTGAGAACATCTCGCAGGTGGCCTTGCGTCACAAGTTCGCACTGTGGCAGCGCAGCGACGTCGAAACATTCTCGTGAACTTCCACGTGTATGGGAATCGGGATCGTACGAAGTCATTGCGGTATTTGAGCGTACTATAACGAAGGATAGACATATACCAAATGCTCGGTTTCATTCATTCGGTGTGTTCGTCAGGCGTTCTGACGCAGGTATCGATTCAGCTTCGAGTTGAAGCCAGTTCTCCGCACCGGGAACTTGAGTGCAGAGAGCTTCCCACCCAAGTACAACTCTCTCAGAGATCCGTACTCCGTCGGCTTCCCTGACGAACCGACAACTCCTCGTTGCGTCTGTGAGATGTCAACAAAGAGCGAAAACTACTGCCAAGGCCGACGTTACCTTCTCGGGAAGTCGTTCAAATTCCTCGACATTCATATGCTCTGCTTCCCCCACAGTATAGGTGCCTACGTAGTAGTAGGCTCCCGAGAAATAAGGAATGACCTCAGTAGGTCCTTGCTTTTGGAGCCGCTTGATGGACTTTAACTTCGCGTCTTGCCACTTTCCCCCCTTGCCATGAAATAATGCCGGTTTGACAAAGTGCCCCGTATCCGGACAACTAGCCCACACAAACTCAGCAGGAGTTACGATGACGAAGTTCCGGATTCCCCTTTGAGGCAAGTATGTGTTAGTCGCGGGGGCAAAGGTCAAGAATGCTACGGCTCACAAAAACTAGGAATTGTAGCGCGGGTATTAGAGCCAGCACGCAGGCTATGACGAGACTAAAGACTAACCTCGCTGAGTACCCGAAGATTGGGCTCCTTGTTGGACAACGCTCGGAACATATCTTCCAGGACGCCTCCCGGTGTCATGTACAAGCGAGGGTCGTCATGGCTGATAGTAGACAACGAGGCGGTATTTCCTACCATGACATCATCGCTCGGACACTCACCCCCTTGAGAAGCGATGCCACTTTCGATATTTGGCTTCTCAGAAGCCTACAAACGCGTTGATGAGCAGATGCGGCGACCATTTCGTCGGACTCACCTCCGCCTTATCACTGTTGCCGATCTGCTCCTTCAACTCGACGACCTCGATTAAAAGTGATGCTTCTTTGGCCTAGATGGCGCGAATATCAAACCTCCCCTTCTTTCAATTTGAAAAGACCACCGACCTTGGCTTTGGCCAGCTCTTCTTGTGTCTTACGCGTCACCCATTTGTTGAGACTAGACCCCCGCAAGAACGCAGTTGTTGCATTGTCTTCAATCTGTTGACGTACTTTCTGCCATGAAATCGACTCAGTATGTTGTATAGATCCACGGTGAATGAGAGTCGAGCCATACCTGCTGGTCCGATATCTCACCGAGCAATTCCTGAATATGTTGAGAACATAAAGCTAGCTGATGCTCTAGCCATCCTTGGTCCTGCTGCACATTAGATCAGCGAGGGTTGACATTGACACTGATGGGTCGGACCTCAGCACCCCGAGCTCTGTCTTTCATCTCATCCAACATGTTCTCGAGGAAGCATACATCGTCATCTGTTTCCTGGAGGCGGAGAGTGTTCTGCCTTGCCTCTTCTACAAAACGCGCCTGTGCAAGGTGAGTTCACCGACCCTCGCTCGTGGTTAATCAGTTACCTTTGCCCGGCGCAGGTCCTCGTCTGAACCCGACCGAGCAGTCTCGGCCCGCGTTGCTTTCTCTTTCAGCACATCGTTGGATGCCTTCGTCACCAGTCTCGTCAAATCACCTCTATTTTCCCCATGAGCCACTCACCTCGAGCTCGCAGATTCGATGTTGCGAGTCACGTAGCTGCGATCGCAGCTGGTTGGTGATAGACTGGGAAGTTGTAGTCGATAAGATCTGGTTCATATACGCTTGGAAGGCAAGACACATACTTCTACAGCAGACAATTTTTTGCGTAACTCTTGATCGCATTTAGTGTCACGACCCTGTACTGGAATGTCAATCCGATAAGTTGTGGTTAGGGATCCAGCTGACTTCTTTGACAATGTTCCGTAATTCATCAATCAAATCCCGTATGTCGTGACGCTCCTTCAGCTCGTCCTGCATATATCTATCAGTAACCTTCTGGAGCACGGTGCATCTCGTACCTTGGCTACTTTCATTTCATGGCGCAGACGGCAAAGCTCTGCGTCCTGCAGCGAGACGACATTCTCTAGCACATTCTTGGCAATACTGATACCTCCTTTGAACTGCATGGTCTCGTTGATGGCGTAGAATATGCGATCGAGTAAACTCGCCAGCAGTTGAGATGTGCGCAACTGACGAGCGAATGTACTCAGCCGCCAACGCTCCAAAGGGTTGCGGGTTGCTGGTATGAATGCCCTGTGCAGAGCCTTCATATGAGCTATCGAACGTGACACAAGCGCCCCCATGTACGCTTCTTCTCTTCGGTCTCCCACCATGGGACGCCGATTAGTTTACCGCATTCATTACAAGCAAGGTGTCTTGCCTAACATATCCCGATCTCGAGCCAAAGTGGCGCCTGCAGGCCGTCTTCGTCACGGGATGATCACACCTCATGTACTCCTATCGGCGGAGCGAAAGCGCAGACATTACCCTGAACTCAATCATTACACCAGAAGCATGTACGAATCTTGAACCGTCTGCGTCACTCGCCATCACCTGACGAATCGCTTTCTCCAGCCTCGAGCTCCGCCGGAGGGTGCAAGGCTTGCAGCGCGTTCACGAGACTGACGACCAGAGCGTCGTTGAATGACACTCGTCTCAGAGTGAACTTCGTAGCGCTCAGCTCTCCAGCCTCGAAAATGGCGTGAAGCTGTTTGCGGTGGCTCTTGTGGCCAGACTGAGACAGGAGAGCTCCGCGGGTCTGATGCGCCTCTGAGTAAGCAACTCGGGGGCAACATAAGTTAGCACACGCACCTTATTCGGCAACGCCCTCGAATCCTCCAAAGATAGCGCGTCCTTTGCCGTGACTGCGTACGTCCCGAGGTAGAGCCAGCTGCCTTCCGCACGAGCGATGAGTTCGATCTTGGGATTACGGCGCAAGAGCTGTCGGTTGCCTTCTTGCCATTGACCTTTCTTGCTGAGTCGACGATCAGGTTTCACGGAGAATCCCACGTCAGGAAATTCCAGCCAGTGAGTCTCGTCGCCAATTACTACTATGACGTTCTTCTTTCGGCTAAAAGCGCATCCAGACTGAGTATTTCCAGGTGTAAGATCGTATGTACACGCACTGATACTGATAGCAGCGAGTCAGAGCACTGATATAGCGACAGGATGAGTAGAGTCACCTTTTTGGTCTCTTGTATGAACTTGCGAGGTGTGGTTTCGTCGCAAAGAACTACAATGCCACGAGCATCCTTGTATGAATACTGGCCAAGACTGACAGAAGGCTCAGAGCCTCGCATTCGGTCACGAATGCGCGCAACCTCGGCTTCTAGTCTGGCGTGCTTGCCCTGGAATACGTACGATTAGCCCTGGCAGGTCGCAAAACAGCTTGATCTGCACCTGCAAGTCGCTGTAGCCCGCTTGCAGCTGAGCCAATTGCTGTGTCAGAGACTGATTCGAAGTCTGCAATGTTCGCATCAGCTCGCGATATTGTAAGGCTGACACAAAACCCACACACCTCAATATCTTCCAGTCGGCTGCGGAGCTGCTGCCCTTCCTCGCGATTGAACGCCGGAACGATGTGCTCGACACCACTAGGTACGTCGACGTGTGTTGTTGCCATGTTGCGAAGGTCCCAATGACTGCAGTGAACCACCGATTCTTGAAGGTGGGCGTTTCTAGCCCTTCCCAGGCTGACATGCGCATGCAATGAGGCGCGTATTCGTATGAAGATGCGGTTAGAGTTACAAAGCGCATGCAGAGAAAGGCGCACCGTATATTGAACTCAATCTCCATGAGGCGATTGCGCATTACACGAAACACTCCACATCTGGACACATTGGTAGGCGGCCGTTCGTCACAGGCTAGGCATGCATTGTCGGAGTTTAACATAGGATCTGGCTCATGCTTCTCCAACGACAAAGGATAGTGGATTGCATAATCCCGAAGTAAGGCAGTATTTCGTTCGCACTGGGCTTGCATAGTAACTCTTTAATCAGTGTCATCAGAGCCCTCGCTCTCTTCGCCCTGGGCGCCACCGATGCCGACGTTGGCACTGGACGCGAGGCAATCCCATACCCGCTGGTTCACCCCAACCCTTCTGAGGCTGATCTTAGTCATCGTTATCTCACCGTTCTCCAGCATGGATCGCAGACCGTCACGGCGACTCTTGGTCCCAGCCAACATAATGACACGGGATTGCACCTATGCACCGATCATCAGAGCAGCGTACCGACGTTTCTGAGCAAGACACTCACCTCTTCAGACAATTCCCGGAACGATTGAGCCGGGAACGTCTCCGACGAGACTGACGTATACGTTCCCAAGTAGTACCACACTCCAGAGATACATGCCATCAGTTCATTCGCGGGACGACGCAGCTTGCCATGTTTGACGGTGGTCCAGTTGCTCTTCTTGGACAGTCTACGGTCCGGTTTGATGACGTATCCCGTCGCCGGAAAATTGTCCCATACAACTTCGCCCCGCGCGATTATCACACTGACTCGTCCACTAAGGGTACTGGTGAGCTTGAGCGAACGCCTGGTATTGAATGCTTACAGTGTCTGGAAGTGATCGTACCGGGGTAACGTCAGAATACCATCCACTCGAGGAGCACATCGCGTCGAACTCACATCCTTCATCGTCTTCAAAGGAGCGGACGCGGTTCGCTGAGAAGAGATGGGCAAAATAGCAGCTTCACCCTCTTCCGGAACAGCACCAACAGCGAACGGACGTGTCGAAGAAGCCTCCGTCCCTGGAAGCGGTCTTTGCAGGTCTGCTAACTGCCGCTCCAACTGAGCCTGTTCTCGCTGAGATGCAATTAGCCGCGGCGCAGTCCAGTACGATGTCAGCCATACTTTGACGGTTCCTGCTGCTGCTTGAGCCTTTCTCAACTCGGCAGTCAGACTCGCATTCTGTGCCTTTGAAAAATAAGTTGAGTGAGAATGTGCCATACTCGCGGGACGCGTTGAGTTGCTTACCTCCGCGAGTGCAAGCCGTGAGCGAAGGTCTTCCACCTCCAGGTTGCTGAGCGAGGCGATCACGTCGCTATTGTTGCTCTCCATAACACCCTACAATACAGGGGAGAACTAGCTGCTAGATGGTATGCGGCTGGCGCGCATATACTGTGATGGAGTGAGGACAAGGTTGAATCGATGAGAAGAGGACCGTCGAATTGTATCGACACGAGGTCCAATTGTATCCGAGTGAACTGAACCCAGTTACATCCACGCTATTGACGCTATCAGCGATGATACGCGTGCCAGCCATCTTTCAAAGAATCAAGCTGACGAGGCTTGTTGAGTGGCTTCAGGCAAGAATATTTGCAGTAAATAACGCTACGGAGAAGTCTATGGTGAGTGATGTCCCCCTCGTGTCAGTGCTTTAAGTTGGAGATACACGCAAGTCGGAACAGCCAAGGCTAGAGCGAGCTTGTTCGTATTCCACATTGCGAGAAAGAACCATAGGCCCTTCTACTTCAGCGGGATGACCTTGGGGCGAGGGCGAGCCGCTTTGGCGCGCGGTGCTGGAAGATGCGTACAAAGATGGCGAAGACCACGCATATAGACGTCCAAATCATCGACATGCATGAAGCAAAGCAAGATTTCTATATGCCCAAGCATCGACGTGGCAGTACTAGTATGGAAAGAAAGCATCGAGGCCGTCGAGACTCGACGACTCTCGAGGCATTACTTGCCTGCCCTGAAGCTACTCTACACGTGCTCTAACAGGCGCGGTACACTTAGCACTGGCATTGCACTGGCATTATACAACTGGCATAACGGAACTACTGGGAGACTTTGAAATCTCAATCCTCTGGCATCTTCATTTCGGCCTCTAGACGTGCTCGACATTCGCTTTATTCTTCGTTGGTTCCCGTTGAACCTCACCGCTCCCTTCCGGCAAGCTCTGGTCCACCATCCACTCCCAAAGCTCGAGTTGATTGTACGCTTCCGTCCAGGAGTCGTGCCCGAGGCCAGGATATCTGCAGAACTTCACTTGAGGCGCGTGTATTTGCTGCAGCGCCTCGTACATCTCCTTAGACTGCGAAATCGAGATGATGTCGTCCCTCTCGCCATGATGGATCCTGTCGCGATATCAGTACGCCAGTCATGCAAAGACAGTCTTGGTGCTCACCACTGCGGGATGTGCTTGATGTTTAGTACGAGCAGTGGCTCACCTCCTCCGCATATCGGCACAAGGCTCGCGAAGCGTCTCGGCGAATGCTGCGCCAGCTCCCACGTACCATACCCGCCCATCGAGAACCCAGTGGCGTGCACCCTCCTGATGTCGACGCGGTAATTCTCGACGACCTCGTCGAGCAGCGACGACAAGGCCGGCGCGTTCCATCCGTATCCGTATTGCATGTTCAGGGAAGGTGTGACCGTGATGAAGCGTTCCGCGACGAACTCGCACACGCTCGCGGGAACGGGCGTCGCGCTCAAGTCCTCCTTCTGCACCCGTTGTCCGCCCCTCAATGGGATGTCGACCTTTGGCCCTAGGCCGTCTTTCAGTCTGTCGTAACAGAGGATGATTTTGGGTACGCCATGCCGCAGGGTGGCGTAGCTTTCCTTCTTCCCTCTCTGCGACTCGCCTGCGCCGTGGAGGAAGAACACCAGAGGCCAACGCTTCTCGCTGTCGGCATCGTAAGAGGGCGGAAGAGACACGAAGTACTCATAACCGAATGCAGAGGCTGAGCGGGTCTGCTTGTAGAACTCGAAGGAGATGTGCTTCGTCTTTGCGTACGGGTGCCCGGGATCGATGCGGACCTGCTTCGTCGTCGACATGGCTCGTGGAAGGACACCGGTACTGGTGAGGCGCTTTGCGTTTGAATGCTACCCGGGGGTGGCTGCCTTTGCCGCGGTCCTTTATACGACGTCTCGTATACCCGGAACATCGTTCTCCGTGTATACGGTTCAAGTACGGGCCATTCCTCGGCTTGCACCAAGCTTGCACTGCAAAATGTGGAGACATCACGTGCGGTATGCGCATTCGCATTGAACTGGCCGTCGACGGTACCAACAGGTCAACCAGTCGCAGCTCAGTGCTCAGCTTTGGCTCAGGTCCCAGAGCTCTGTCGCATCCACAGGCTTCACGTCGCGTTGGTTTATTTGCTCGGGAGGACTGGAGACAGCCATAGGTTCGCACAGCTTGGTCCGGCAGAGACAATATGATTGACTACATACATATATGTACGACAGGAGGCAATACACAGGCAAGGAGCAAATGGCACAGAGACAACGGATGCGCAGGTACAGTAAGTATTGATTCCAACGTCCTCAACTACGTAGAGTGAGTCCATAAGTATATGCGATTATATCGTACATATCGTACATATGTACCACGTAACCGTCCATCCTTGGTGCACATATTGGACCGTCAGCAGTGTCACGCCCATCCGCCGCTGCCATTCGGTGGCGAGCAGAATGCACATAGACATTCATTCGCGTACCGCGACGGAAATCGCTGCGCACGGAGCACGAGAATTTGTTCAAAGTACGCGCGTTGAGATGCCGAGGGCACGACGATGCGCGCGCTCCTCGATTGCCTACGCGCCGCGGCCAAAATGGCGTTGTATTGTGCGAGGGAGCCGTCCGGCCACACGCCAGGCTGGAGTATTTCGACGCGCCTCGCACGCAGGACCAACACGAGTGTATGGCCGAAGTGTTTTTCCACATACCGCTCAAAGACTTTCAGCTCCTGCGCCGGGATGGTGACTGCATATTCGAGCGCTGTGAGCAGGGTTCGTTCCAGTTCGCCGACCTTCTCGCGCGTGTGGCCTTGCCTAGCCATGGTCGCGATGGCCGCGTTATTCCAGTTGTGGTCCATCAAGACCTTTTGCGCCACGGTCAAGGCTGCAAGAAAGCAGTCTGTGGCGGACTGGAACACAGGCTCGGGGCATTTTGTCTTGACTTTATCGACAAGGTACAGTGTGGCTATTGCGACATTGCGGTGGAAGTTCCCGATTCGGAACGTGTTCGAAATGACATTGGATAAGCCATTCGGAACGAAGGTCACCAGAGCCGCATCGTTATAGTGTATATGGTCTAAGAACCGCGCGCTGAGCGCGACCAGTTCAGCGTGGGCGACATACTATTGTGGGGAGGGGGAGAGAATGCAAGTCAGCGGAGGATAATGTAACGACCGGAGAGATGAACGCACTGTGTGATCAGGCTGGGGCGCGTTCATTGTGATGATTAGAAGGGAGATGAGGATGAGGGATGTAGTGAGTGAATGAGCGTAGAGGCCCATTTTTCCTGCCATTTATACGCTTGTGCGGAAGCCACACATCAGGCCTATTTAGGAGGTGGCCCGGCCAACCCCAGGAGGTGTGTATGATAACGATGAACATTACCTGACCCGCGAGTAAATTCCAGGACGGGATTTTGGGCGGAGGAGCGGAAGGGAGGATGGCGTTAGCGGTGTTTCAATGTTGTATGCGAGGGGGGACGACAAGCGAACGTATCACTTCAAAGAGTGTGACAATGGAGCCGACGTAAATGATATATACTCGACGTCTGTGCAGGTAAATTACATGACACGCACCGCACGTTCCGTCCGAACGCAAGCCTCGCTAAGCCATGACTCACGTTTCATCAGGAGGTCCACGGTCCATATTAGTGCGTTAGCTTGTCTTCCATGGTGGCGCTGTGCCTAAAAGGAGCGAGTGACCACACTCGCTGATGGTGGCAACAGAGCCCGTCAGGGCTACATCTGATAGACTCCCTGCAGACCGGTGGCCGCTTCGAAATCTGCGTAGAAGAGGTCGTCAGCTCGCGAACGTCGCCGAGTATGATCAACACGCACCTAAGTCCAACCGACGACGAAGCGTAGGGTATACGCGTGCTTGTGCACAGCAATGCCCTATAGCACGGAGACATGTTTAGTGGGAGGACCGTACATTCGTTCACCTACACGATCACACAACCGCAACGAGAGGGAGAGATGTCTGCACGATTTAGTACTCGATTGTCCATCGAAAGCCACGAATGGAGAACAGTCAAGCGTGGATCAAGCAGTCAATCTCCCACATCACCAGTAGAGGAGACGAAGGCATTGAGAGCCATGTCCCTAGGCATTAGCGAGTGGGTACGGAGCGCGTCCACGCCCGTAGGTAGAAGTGCACAGCGGGAAATTTTCCAGAAGAGTGCAAAAGTCGCGAAGACGAGCTCAAAAGCTCATGTAGAGCTCGTGCAGAGCAGAAATTGTGTCAGCTTAGTGTACGATGGAGGATAGAAGAATCACAATGCTTGAAGTTGAAGTCGTCGTTGATCTCACCAAAGAAAACGAGAGTAAGAAGGAACGGGTTCTCGGCGAGCTGGCAAAACGACTCGACACGCAGACGCCTGCCCTGAAGCCGATGAACCACGTGATGATTCGCGTGTTGTTCGCGTCGCGCGCCTGGTCGTTGGCGCCACAACCGATCGTCCTGTACCATCTCTCTGCGTCCTCTCTCCTCCCCACGCAGCCCCAAGAGTTCAACGGATCTTGAACAAACCCAATCCACTGCATCATACTAGAAAACGGGTAATTGAAGCGATCTCTGAGCCACTCGTATAAGAGGGGATCCAGTACCAGGTTTCGCAGTTACACATCGAATTGCAGGTACGCATGCATGGTCATCCTCGGCGTGCATGCAGTAAAAGATTCATAGCAATAGACAAGACAGGATGATTCTAACACCATCCATGGCGCCTCCGCCCGCCTTCAACTCTGCTACGCCATCCGCACACGGCACGCGACCTGCTGTGGTGCAGCCACCCCTCACCCAAGCATCTGCGAAGGCTCCGGTTCGCAAAGAGGATCCACAATGCTCAGACGCAAGCCTATCACACCTGAAAATCCCTTATGTGCTTCTAGACGCTTCGGTGGTGACGCATACCATGGCAGCGAGGCTGGCCATGTCACTGCTAGGCCACATTCTCTTCCTCAAGAGCCAGATTCCTTTGTGCGCACATTCCGTTTCCTTTCTATTTCGAGACGCTTATCTCCGCCACAGCCCGGTGGTCCAGCTTGCCCGCATGCCAGGTGGACGGTCCGATACACGGGCAGCGAAGCGCCGAAATGACCTCCTGGCCACAATCGACACGCTAGAGTCTCATATGCACACGACATTTACCGCTCTGTCTACTGCGCTCGCCCGTCGCAAGTCTCGAGATGAAGATGTTGCTTTGCCTTCGACGGGTACGGCGCATCTAGCCTTTGTGCTTGGGCCGAGTGTCGGAGCTGCTCGTGCGCGGATCGTATACACTGTCAACGGCTTGGAAGTCAAAGTGTGGGGTGAACGAGACGATATTCCGGGTCCATCTAGACATCCACGGGCAGAGGAACCCGATGCCGATGACAGCGAAGAAGAGGAGGAAGCCGAAGACGACTCAGATGAACAGAGCGGAAGCGGAGACGAAGAGTCCGAAGATGACGCCGAAAACGCAGAGGATTCAGACGTGAGCGATGAGGAATCTCCGTCCGGGCCGCCATCGTCGCGGTCACCTTCACCTTCACCCCCAGCTTCCCGCTCCCAGTCGCACACATCGTCGCCGACACGAGAGTTGTCAGAGAACGTTGCCCCACCACCAGCGCCTCGACGCGCCTCGGCGTCGCCACCGGGTCAAGTATCCAGTCAGACATACGCGGAAGAACAACAGAGTCTACGCACTGCGGAACGACTTCTCTCGCGAACCCTCGCGAATGCTTGCGCAGAAGACGGCGGGGGCATGTCCTCTGAGCTTGGTACGTGTTCCTCGATTTCATGCGTCTTTCAGCATCGCTGATTCTCTGTCCCAGCCCCGACGCAAACCCACATTCTACTCCGCGCACCGAGGCGATTCGCGCACCCTGCGTGGATCCCGAGGCAAAACCTGACACGTTCGCTTGAAGGGACACTCCAATCTTTCCTCGATGATGCGTGTGCCGCGGACGACGCTGCACAGACCAAGAAGAAGGGCATCGCAAGAGGAGCCAAGACAGAGGGTGTCTGGGTAGGGTGCAGTAGCTCGAATCTCGCTGCTGGCATGCAGCTTGGCAGCGACGTTGACGAGGATGAGGAAGACGAGATGATCTGGTGGGTATGGGACGGAAAGATCGTTGGGTTCTCAGACTGGTGAACCCAGTTTGAATACCACGAGGCGACGATCTGATTTAATTTGGCTCGTCGTGGAGGACCGACACAGATCGCACATTGTTACCACACGTATCCCTTGCCTGTACATATACCCCGCAGTGACGAATACGGGATGGTTCACATCTAGGCAAGATTCCTGGCGGTTATCGTCAGGATTGGCAGAGGTATCAGGTGGTGTTCGAACATTCAAACGATCAGAGTTAACCTTACTAAGTACCCTGGCGCGTCCGGGTCAGATAAGGATATCCTGAGGCACGAAGGTGTAAGGAATTGTCCGTCTGCCTGGGGAGACCATTGGGAGACCAGCTCAATGATCTGTCCGGCGCTAATCAGAAGCTAATAATTCAATAATAGCGGGTCAGTAACCATAAGTACTTACTGTGATGTCGTAAGTACAGAACTATGCACTGACATAGTACTGGCATCTATCATCATCACTGCGAGCATCCCACACATTGACGTGACCTATACCCTCTCCGTCTTGTTCCATGACTGGCCAACCGTTCTACCGCCGTTGTTCCCTGCATTTCCCCTGATTCGGCGCGCCGCAGACACGCGGTAGGCAGGATTCAATAATTCATGGCCGCCGTACCGCCGCTAATTTGCGTCATAATCCCGTAAACGACCCGGCCTCGCCCTGACAAGGTCTGTGCGATGCGGGGAACATGGGAAAGTTCGCAACTCACCGAACAGCAGGCAACGGGGCGAACAACAAGCTTAAGCTCACGTCGTACGACACCCTCTTCCATCCCTCCCCTGCTGCCGCACTGTGACAGTCCTTAAACTGACCGTCTGGCGGATCCAAAGGAGTCGTACCACCGCCATGGGTCTCTCGCAGTCGAAGAAGTTCAACCCTACTAACCTGCCAGACCTAACGGGAAAGGTCATCGTCATCACCGGCGGCGCGTGAGTGTTCCCTGTTCAGGTCTCAGGCACTTAGCCTGTCCAGGGTCGATGCATACTGATCAACGCGTTCAACTCTGTAGAGCGGGCCTGGGATTCGCGATAACCCAGCATCTTGTCCGCAAAGGTGCCAAAATCTACATCGCAGCGCGTGCCATCGACCGTGCGGAGGATGCTATCAAGAGGCTCAAGGCGGCGGGGCTCGGTCCGGGCAACGGACAGCTCGAGAGCTTGGAGCTTGACTTGGTTGACCCGCATATCGTGAAGCGGGCGGCGGAGGAGTTCATGCGGAGGGAGAGCCGGTTGGATGTGTTGAGTGAGTTGCGCCGTGTCTCGAAACGTGCCTTCGCTGACGAGCCGTAGTCAACTGTGCTGCCATGTAAGTGGTAGGTTCGCCCGAGGATCGACCCGGTAATGATACAAGATTATTCCTACAGCATGATGTGCCCGTATCAGAAGACAAACCACGGTGAGTTAATGACGCCTGGCAGTTGTTTCCTTATTGTCGGGCCCCAGCCTTGAGAAGCAACGCTTTGGAATCCGCTGTCAGAGCGGGACTGAACGGTCCTATAATGAGCATGTATCCAGTTGTGCAGTCCTGTCAACTCGCAGAGTTGATCTAGTCGCTTATGCCTATGTGAATCTACGTCGGATCCTGGCTTCAGGTGACGCGCGTTCTGTGTCACTTGAAATCAGTACCGACTAAAGTGTGGGGACCCAACGATATGGAGATACTCATATTGTCCCAATACCGTGCTGACGATCGAGGCATGTAGGTATTCAGGATGTCGTGATGATCAAGTTAGTCCATAGGCATCCTATGTTCATCACGGAACTTAAACAGTGTCCAGCCACATCGGACATTTTGTCTTCATCAAAACACTCCTGCCCATCCTGAAGAACACCGCGAGCGAACCTAATAGCGATGTCCGCATAGTGGTTGTAAGTCCGTCTGGTTACTCATGAAAAATCACACAAAGAATGACATGCTGCCTAGGTATCCTCTGATGGCTACGAGGCGGTTCGACACCCTGTCAAGTTTGAGACTATCGAGGACTTCAATCTGGAGTACAAAGACGCTGTCTTCCCCTGGCCGTCGTTGCAGCGATACTGTACGGTCGCGCCGTGCACCGTTAGATAAACCAACTGACCGACTACTACCGTTTAGGCTATAGCAAGCTACTTGTCTGCATGCAGGTCGCAGAACTGCAGCGGCGACTGGACGCAGAGGGCGTCCCCATCATTGTCCTGTCCACACACCCAGGAGCGGTCAACACAGGTGTGTGTTCAATGACCCTGCTATTTCTGTACCGTTGTGTCCCATCCCAGAAGGCGGAGGCCACCAATCCGTGACCTGAAAGAGCCCGCACGCTGCCGTGCACTTCAGCCACTTGCCTCAGGTTCATGACGACGATACATATTTGCTAATCCTCTGTCATTGAGTACTGAGTACTGATCCTGCACCCACAGATGGCGCACAGAATTGGCTCGCCACTCTCGGTACCGGCTTCCTCGCGACCCTCGCGACCTGGATCGTCAGTCTCTTCTTCACTCTCCCCACAATAGCGGCGTACGGCACCGTCTTCGCCTCGGCCGCGCCGGAAGTCCGCGCCGAACCTAGGAAGTATCGTGCTGCATACATCACGCCGCCGACGAAGAATACTGGGCTGAACGAAAAGGCGCGGGATCCGGTGGCGGCCAGGGAGTTGTGGGAGTTGACGGAGAGAACGCTGAAGGACATCGGCGTGTAGTGCCGCTCCTCAACGTGTGTATCTTGTGCTTGTGCAAAACCAGCTTCTGGAGCCGTGCCCACAATGCTGTGCCTATCTACGTACATATTCAATAGTGTCAATATAACTGGTTATAGTTGCACATCGTCAGTGCCGCACCAATCAACGTTCGGCGTTGTACGGCTTCCAGCCTTTGAAACCCACGCCAAATAGTCCTCGACTTCATCGCTTCTCGATGGCAACAGTCACACTACAAGGCGGACGCTATGGCAGTTTCACAGCTTCGGCCATCTCTCCCTCGACGCTATGGGTCTGTTTTCAAAGTCGTTCAGTCCTGAAACCGACCTCCCTGACTTGAAGGGCAATGTCATCATTGTCACTGGAGGAAAGTGAGCGTCATGTACTAATCATGCCCACCCGCGCCCTAACTCTATCCGCGCCTCTCCCACATTTCGCTCACCACCTGTGAACCTCCAGTTCCGGCGTAGGATGCGCTGCCATCCAGCATCTCGCGCGAAAGGGCGCGAAGGTCTACATGGCCGCACGAAGCGAGGAGAAGGCGAAGGCAGCGATCGAGAAGGTACAGAAGGCCGGCCTCGAGCCGGGCAACGGCGAGGTCGTCTGGCTACCGTTGGACTACAGCGACCCGAGGGATGCGAAGAAGGCGGCTGAGGTGTTCATGGAGAAGGAGCAGCGCTTGGACATTGTTGGTGAGTCGGTCGTTGTCTGGAACAACGGGCGGGCAAGTGACTCTGACCGACTCCTGTTCGAACGCAGTCAACTCTGCTGCATTGTACGACACTCTCCTCGTGTCAGTCGACTGTATCTGACGTTGACGATATTCAGACTCTTGACTCCGTTCACGAAGACGTCTGATGGTAAGTGGTTCCTCCTTGGCTTCCCATGACGACTGCCCACCACCGGATGTACTCATTGGTATTCGCCCAGGCATCCAAGAAATTGCAGTGGTCAAGTATGCCCATCTCTCCAGAGTGCTAGGTAAACCAAAACGAATGCAACTTCCGCAGTTACTTCAGCCCATTTGTGTTCGTACGAACACTACTCCCTCTGCTCAAGCGCACAGCCCAAGAACCAAAGAGCGACGTCCGAATAGTAATGGCAAGTCTGCTTGTCTCTTTGCATGAAACAATCCGACTGACATGTTACTTCAAGCTCACGTCAGAAGGTCACCGTATGCCTCCGAAGGACTGCCACTTCCGCAGTATCGAAGACTTCAACCGTGAGTTCAAGGACGAATCATTCGCTTCGAATAGGCGATACAGTATGTTTCCTCCAGGTTCGTGTTCACAGCTCCAGTGCTGACCTTGTACTCGTACGGAAGACTTGAGCAAGTACATGGGCGTCCTACATGTGAAGGAACTACAGAGACGTCTGGATGCCGAAGAGGTTCCCATCATCGTCACGGCCGTTCACCCTGGGATCGTAAACACAGGTGACACTATTTTATACCTCGGCCTCTCAGAGAAGTGTAGCTTACATGACTCAGATGGCGTTCAGAACTTCGCTCACTCCGCGGGGACCTTCAAGGCTCCTGTGTACGCCTTCATCGCCAACGCATTCTTCACCAGCCCCGAGAAGGGCGCCTACAGCACCGTTTTCGCGGCAGCTGCTCCAGCTGTACGCGAGGATGTGAAGTACAAGGGCGGATACATCGTGCCTCCAGGGAAGCTAGGATCTGTGTATTCGCCAACGGAGGACCCCGAGCTCGGGAAAGAGTTATGGGAGACGACAGAGAAGATCCTCGCGGACATCGGAGTTTAGATATCGAGCACTCCGTCTCAAGACAACATGACTATGTGTATTCTCCTCCTTCTCGCTCTCTGGATGTATCTGTTGGTGGGCTCTGGATTACAGCTGTTTCCAAAACGATAGGCCCCTCATCAAAAATGCGTACACGGGCGGAGAGCGTCGGATCTTGCCTTCCATCCCCCCCGTTTCCGCCTAACGTCCACCTTGCCGGTCTCTCCGTCTTCCGGCTGCGCAGCGTCGCCTTCAAGCTGTCAGCTAAGTCAGAAGGGTGAAACTTAGTAGTCTCCGTTGGAGACTTAGTGGGGTTACCAAACTAAAATCGTAATCACCGGAGAGCGCACCCGGGGGTACCGATAATCGGGGATTGGATCTGAGGTTAGGGTTAAGGTCAGCACCGTGACGCAGGATGCACTGGCAGGTTGCCAGGTTGTCATCAAGAGGGAAGTGGTACTTATCTTTTTTGTCGACTCCTAGCTGCCACGTTCGAGAATACCAAAGGTCTGTGAGTGGCCAGTTCACATTCCCCGGGCTAATCGACCGCAGCAGCTACCCGCTCAACCTGCCACCCGATGTCGCCGCTTGCCGAAGACAGCTGGAAAAAGGAGCAGCATGATAAAGGGATTCAGGAGATGTACTCACGTTCGGACACCAGGAACAGCGCATATCCAGACAGATCATAGCACGGCCTACAAAAACGGACATCGTTAGTAACTGCGACTGGAGGGAAACGAAAACACAATACGAAGTAAAGGACTCAGCATTATGTTGAAGGCAGCGAAAGCGAAGAAAGCGGTGCAACGTAGCTAATCAACTCGAGACGAGTTAGTGTAAGTATTTAGAGCAACAGAGCACGGAAAGAACGTAGTACTCATCTGTTAGAGTGGTGATGTCTATGAACCCTCCCCCAGGCGCCGTCCTCGAGAAAGCATCTGCACGGGGCTGGCCAGTTCCCAGCACAGTACCCTCCCGGTTTCAGCGCCTTCTCCGAGCCTCCCTCCTCTTGTCGATGTCGCCGTCGTGCTGTGTCCGAGTCGTCTCTAATCCTAGGCAGTGAGGGTCGAATCTGGCGAGACGGACGTACGGCGAGCAAAATACTTATCTGAGAGGAAGCGGCCGCGTGCTGTGAGCGTCGTTGAGGAGTACGGCTAGAGAGACAAGCCATCAGTTACGATACTGTTGAATAGATGGGACGATAAACTCTACCGGTCATCGAAGAGGACAAGCTTCGCGGGTGATCAAGTCCGCTCCACCCGCCTCTCCGACGTCAAACGTTGCCTCCTCCAGGATCTCCTGTCGTCAAACTTGCGGCTGCGCAGCGTAGGGTATCGTGTTGAGAATGTTGAGGTTCCAGTGGAGGGCTAAGTATTAGGACTAAGAAGGTCAGTGAGGTAGCGACGGAGAGCTGTTTTTGTGCTTATGTATTTTCCGCGTTTTTCTAGAATGTCCAGTGTTTTCTTCCGAGTCACCGAGGCAGGCCGAGAGAGCGAGCACGACTGCAGACGTATCCAAGTCGCACTCGAGTGCCAGGATGAAGTGCGTCCCCATCGTACCCCAGTCGGGCCTAGGATTCCGACCAAGGCAGAGCACTCCAGTTCAACACCCACCCCGGCTTTTGACACCAACGACGGGCACACGCGGCTGCCCAATTTGAGGAGGATCCGGTCACAAGCGCAGCGCACGGTGGGAGATCTCCTTCGCGCCACGGGCGACGTCGAGGGAGATCAGAGTGCAGCCGATGTCGAACGCGCCGCAGGGGACCTCGCGCTGGCGCTCCTTGGCGATGTCCAGCGAGACGAGGGCGCATTCGAGCTTCAGGCCGCCCATCGTACGGGGAGCGGGCGCAGGGACCGGGGCGGACGCCGTCCTCTTGGCTACCTTCTTCCCCTTCAGGCCGAGGCGCTGGGCCAGGGTCTTCCGAGGGATGCAGTAGCCCGGATGGACGGCGGGGTCAAGGGAAGCAGAGTGGATGTGGATGGGGGACATGGTAGTAAGGGTGGGTGGGTGCTTAGAGCGGGGTGATGCGGGTGCAGGGCAAGCGAGTTGCTGGGGAGCATGGGCGGGATGAGCGATATTTTATGCTCTGCGGATATGGGTCTGGACTGGTTTTTTGATTGAGAGCAACTGGTCCTGCCTCGAACGCGTAGAACCAGCGTACCGGAGCTTCCGCTTCCTCGGCGTGGACGGGTGTCAAATAATAGACTGGTCAGCGATCTAAAAGGAAGACATACCGACGCGGATCCATTTGGTTTGGCATGTACTCTTCGATGTTGTGGTACGAGCTGTGCTTACAACTGACGCTGTATCACAATGTCAGTGTGCTCCTGGCTCGTACTGTAAAGGCTTGGTCAAGGAGCGACAGAAAACGACACAATTTATCAAGCTCGGACTGCATTAGCGTGAATCATATTGTTCGAGAAATAGTACGTTTCGACGTGCCGATAAACCGAGAATCTCGCCACTGACTGCCACTGATCCCTGTCTCCCGATACTGTAAGCGGTAGTTCCGATCGGTCGGTCGTGTACTATACTGCTCACCACCGGTGTCTATAAGCCCCTATCGTTGTCATGACCACAACTGCTCGATCTAGACATGGCGGTGCAATTACTGGCGAGGAAACTATGGACAGCAATACTCGCCACGAAAAGCCGTATCCGATATTGCGAATCCAACGGTTGGATCACATCGGCTTCGTGTTGTCGTAGGGCACCTTGCATGAGGATTTGCGTGGTTATTGGTGCCTGCAAGTTGCTCCGTTGTCACTTCGACTGGGTCCACTGGAGCCGGAGCGGATTTTGTCATGTAGTTTAGCTCTTGGCATGTCCTCAGTTTAATCGCACTGACCGACAAGCCGATCGACTCGCCAACAGGGTTCTCGACGTCGACGAAGCTACATAGCAGTGCATGAGTGACCACGGTGTTTGAATCGACAGCCTGCCGCTTGAGCAGTGTCAGGATTGTGACCATGAGCCACTTGCGAGCTACTACTGGCGTGTCTGAATTACGGCTTTCGGCGGAGAAGACACTGCGCCTCATACCAGTTCGAGTCCCGGGCCACTGAGCAGGCCGAGCGCGAGCAACGGCGCGTAGTATACGTAGTCTCGATCGCCGTCCAGACGTAGTATGCGCGGATCCGATCGGTTGGTGACCTGAATCTAGAGTCGCCAACGTGTTGGGAGCATGACTGACATTCCTAACCTGACTACGCGTAGCCAGCTGCAGAAATGAGAGGATTATATGAGATAACGTGGTACTCAATGTGTGTGCCGGTGTGGAGGGGACTTCGAGTCTCGTGGCGCTCGTCGCCACATGTACGCCGCGTCTCCTGTCCCTTCTCCGACCCTCCGCTCTCCGAAACGTCTACTTATTCACGCGCTACGCATTCTTCATCGCGCACTTCCGAATCCGACGCTTCGCTTGTCGCTTTCTTGACAGACTGTACCATGCATCCACCCTTTCCACCCTCCCCGCCTTCCCCCCACCTCGGACGAGCCGTGACGCCTGTTGGGTGTCCAGGTTGCAATTCGTAGACACTTACCGCACGATCTGCCAACGTCATACCGAGACATCGGTCCGTTAACGTCAATCCCAGAAGGGGTCAACCGCGACAGACGTCCGACGCGTGCAGTCGTTTCCTTTTACAGTAACATACCTTCCTTCCCTGTCAAGCGAACGCTCGTCTTTCAACGATCACACTACTTCTCGTTCATCACGCTTTCTGTCGGATGTCTCTCACCCGTCACGCTTTCCTTTCGAATGTCCACCCTTCCCCGCCGTCTCTCTCTGTCACTGTTAGTTTTTTGTCTCTCTTGCGATGTTCCAGAACTCCTCGTTCGTGCTGCGCGTACTTAAACAGGGCCTGGTCGCCCGACTCTCTATCGAGTCTCCCCCTCCCCCCTCGCTCGCTCGTATCGCTCGCGCCCAACTCGCGCCTTCAAGTCGACGACGCGCCGCCTCAGTTGAACGTTTGCATCAAGTCGGTGGGCGCTTCAGATGGTGCCCGGGACGCAAGATTAGATAAGATGGAGGACTAGCGCGACCGTCGCCGCCGTCCCCGGCGTCCACGTCGCCTCCCCCGCACCGCCAGAACCAGTCGAAGTCCCTCTTGTTTTGGTAAGCTGCCCTTCGCTCTCTCTTCTCCACTCACATCGCTCACCGCCATGTCGCTAACACAGCAAACGGCATGGACCAGCCACCTCCTACTGTCGTCAACCAACCGACGACGTTCACGCTCCCCCTCTCGCCGTCGACACCTCAGCAGCAAAAGTACCAGCCGCCCCAGGGTCCCATTCCCCGACCCTTCGGGACACCTCTGAACGGCGCCATCGCGCTCCAGCATGAAGACCCGCGCACACGCCTCGAAGACGCGCTGAAGCGGTCCGTCACTGTCGTCTTCTGGTACAAGCCCGACAGCCCGCCGATTCGGCTGCACGGCGAAGTCGCGACGTTCCCGCTTTTCCAGCTCTCACAGTTCGCGCATCTCGCCGCCGATCTGGGGCTCGCGCCCGCGGCGTATGTAGACGCATACAACCCGTACGCACGCGCTTGGGAGCAACAGACGATCAGCGCCGTCCGCGCGGTAGAGAGCGAGCAGCGGCTGCTGTTCCGTGTGCGCAAGAGCCTGCTGGAGGGTCTTGAGGACAGTGAATGCCCTAGCCTCGGTGAGGAAATCTGTCTGCAGCCTCCACCTCCCGTCGTCGCTTCCAAGAAGCGTTCCTCGCCGGACAGTCCTCTGCTCATGGCGCCGTCAGTGAAGTACGCAAGAGTAGAACCCTCCCCGCCCCGTCCCATGTCGCCTGGCGCGAGCACGTACCAGGCCCCTGTTCCCCTCAGCATGCCCTCCCCTTTCGTCGCCGTCGACCCGTGTCCCTCCAAACAATCCCCCGACTTCGAGAGCACGCCCACCCAGCTCACATTCCAAACGCTCCCGCTCGTGAAGCGCTGGCCGAACGACTACACCGTGTTCGAGCTCTCCGCCGGCTTTCGGCAGATGGACGTGCTCGTCGCGCAGCAGCCGTCGCTCACGCAACGTACCGCGTTCGAGCGCGTGTTCCACTGCCGGTACGTCAAGTCGACCGTGTGTCGGCATCGCGGGGTGTGGCGGCGCGCGCCGAAGGAGCTCCGCGAGACGTTCGAGCGCATGGGCCAGGACGAGCGCGGGCTCTGGAGCGAGTTCCTCAAGCGCATCGAGGGCGGGACCGGGCGGACGGACACGGTGGGGAGGAAGAAGCAGCTGGCGGCGATGGCGGAAGTGGGGACGGACGGCGACGAGCAGGTCATGCTGACGTCGCAGTCTGATGCTGTGGCAGATGATGACAGCGGGCCTGTGATGGACTCGTATGGCGAAGGTGAGACCGTCTTTGGTTGTTTTCACTGTGGTTCAACAACTGCGGCACAGATGACGAATCTCAGCGGATCGACTTGGGTGCACCGTCGGGACTCGGCATACATGCGGGAGGTCAGTACTACAACCAGTGCGACCTTGGCGGTTGAGTTGATGTTGAGGCAACACAGGCTGCGGCGGGGATGCGAATCATAGCGGTTTACCCGGGGACGTATCTTAGTCTGCGTGTAAGTACAATACCATCGCCTGTCTTATCTGCGTAGTAGGTTAAGCCATATACTGTCCCGTTCTACGTTTGCCGCATCTGATCCTTTTCGGCTGTGCGTCAGACCAGCTTGTCTCAAAGGAGGCAAAGTGTTTTAGGCTCAGTATGTCGACATGTAACATCGACACGGTATACCGCGTCCCAACGATGCGGAAACGGTACAACCGGACACGACGCGGCCAAGTGGGCACTGAGAGAAGTGATCCGGAACTCAAGATGTCAGCGAGACACGCGCCGGTGGAATGTGATCTCAGTGCGACACCAATATTCCACCGAGTTTCTCGGTTCTGCTGCAAGTGCGTGCATAACATTGTCTCTGATTCAGAAACGATCCACTGCGGGGTACCGCGACGACGAGCTCCCTCACCCATAACGTCGTTTGCTGAAAGCGACTATGTACATGCGGCGGCTCAGTCCCTCACCGGGCCCTGGACGCGCACCTGATTCGGATGTTGTGGCCGTTATGTGGCGAAACAGTCCATGACACCACGTTCTCGCTGCACAGTCGAGGACTCGAGAAATGATGGACTCAAGTTAGCAGCTTCAACAGGATCCCATGGCTCAACGGACTAGTGACATCGCGCGCCGAATGCAAACGCTCCATCGCATGTCTCTACTGTGCGCCCTACGGTTCCTGGGTCTCTCGACTCGGGGGTCCATCACGCATCACAACCATCTCAAGTGGCTCGGCGTGCCATTACGTCGAGAGGTAGCAACTGATTGCTTTCCGTCGTTCCAGTCAAGGCAGCTTGTATTTCGGCAGTCCAGTCAATACCTTGTTCTCGGGATTTCGAATCTAACTCTCGCCGCCAGTCGGCCAGAGGTCTCGCGCTGGCGCGGTATATACAGGCTTTAAGTACGAGGTATGTCACTGGTCAGCAATTTGGCGCCGGTGCATGTGTAGCACTGACCTTCGACAGACTCGTTCGTGCGACTTATGGACTCACCATTGCACATCAATTGCCAAGAACACATTGTTCTTACGTGTAATCTGTGTGATCACAGCCCAAGTAGGCACGTCTGCAAATCGCTGGGAACAGCATTGGTACGCACCCGATATTCTCCGAGAACCGTATGTTGCCCACTCAACTGACCTCGCACCGGCCCCGCCTTTTGACAGCTAGGAGTCAATTGACACGATCCGAGACGTATTAAAAGGATGCCGCAACCGTGCTGTGATAGCCAATCTTTCTGCTTCGCGGTTCGCCATGACCGTGCCCCCAACTTTCTCCGTGACCAGCCTCCTCTGCGGCATTCTTGCAGTGTGGCTCCTGTCCAAGGTAGTCGAGCAGCGACGTCGACGCACACACACTACGTCGCTCGCTGGACCACCCAACCCGAGTCTGGTCTTCGGCGCTAGCAAGCTCATCAGCGACTTGGTGGACGCGGGTGACCTGTATGAAGAGTGGTCGGAGACGTATGGCTCTGTGTACCGTGTCCCTGCTGCTTTCGGGATGTCGAAAATTGTGCTGTGCGACCCCAAGGCCGTCTTGCATTTCTTCTCCCGGGAGACAGTCGGATACGTCCACACGACCATGATGAAGAACGCAACTGAGAACATTGTAAGAATCTTACTGTGGTCCTTGCCCCGAGAATGAAAGTACTGATGGAATTGTTGCAGTCCGGCCGTGGTATACTCTGGGCTGAAGGCGAGACACACAAGAGGTAGGCATCTTGTGGTGTTCAAACTTTACCTTTGTGCTGATAGGTGTGTAGGCATAGGAAGGCGTTATCACCCGCTTTCAGCAATGCAGCCATTAGGAGGATGACGTCTGTATTCTACGATTCAGCGTACAAGGTGGAGTTTGGGGTACTTTGCGATCTAGCTGTATTCTAATCGTTTACATTCTTGTCTAGCTGAAGTCTGCATGGGATAGTGTCATCGAAGCAGATCTTGGTGCCGAATCAGCTGTAATCGACGTCCAGCGGTGGTACGTTGCCTTTCTGTCTTTATGAGGTGGCCTCTGATTCACTTGCCTTTGTTGAAGGATGAACCACGTCTCGTCAGTACAATAACGCCACGCACTTACCATGACACTCATCCTGCAGTACTGCTAGACTGGACACTATAGGAATCGCGGGATTCTCGCACGACTTTGGAACACTACTCGGCAAGCCCTCCGCCGTCGCAGCCACCTTCAACGACTTCGCGAATCTGAAGCCCAGCCTCCTAGGAGGGGCTATGCAGTTTGTCGTGGGCGGGGTGTTCCCGTGGGTCCTCAAGCTTCCTACGGACTTCCGAAAGCTCGTCGACAGGCTGAATGCAGGCATGGGAGAGATCGCCCAGGAGCTTTTGGAGAACTCGCGGAAGGAGAGCGAGGGTGAGATCAAGACGGAGGATAAATCTATCATCGGGCTGCTGAGTGGGTATTCACCCCAGATTTGGAGCGACGCAGCTGACTTACGATGTTCGCTTTGTGTAGTAAAGGCAGAGATAACCGACTCCGAGCTGCACATGTCAAGCGATGAAGTGTTGGCGCAGGTAACGACGAGTTGTTTCAACCTCTTGTTGCTTCTGACGGGGTTCTTCTGTGCTCAGATGAAGGTCTTAATGCTCGCAGGCTATGAAACCACATCCAGTACGCCTTGTCTATCACTGTCGATGTTGATGTGTGACTCACTAAATGAGATGCGATAGTCAGTCTCTCGGTATGTCGACTTGTCTCTCGCCGGATGATTCACTGATACCAATCGCGTGCTCTAGTGGTGTCTTCTCGAGCTCTGCAAGAATCCAGAGGTTCAACAGAAACTGCGTCAAGAGCTCTCGCAGTTCGGTAGCACCGATCCGACTTGGGATCAATTGACCAACGTGCTCCCATACCTCGACGCCGTCGTGCACGAAACCTTGCGACTCCATCTGCCCTTGCCGGAGAGCGAACGAGTGGTTCGTCCGATCTCCCGATTCGCATAGCCAACAGTAGCCAACATCCATTACAGGCCGCGGAAGACGATATTCTTCCCCTGTCGCTTCCATTGAAGACACCCGGCGGAGACACAGTGGACAGTATCAACATTGCGAAAGGCGAAGTCGTCGTAGTTCCGAAGCACATGATGAACAAGTCGATCAGGTTCTGGGGCTCGGATGCGAAGGAGTTCAAACCCGAGCGCTGGCTCAACGAAACCGGTATTCCGGAGCGAGCCCAGGAGATCTCAGGACATAGGCATCTACTCACTTTCTCGGATGGCGCGAGGCTCTGTCTCGGGCGACACTTTGCCCTCGCTGAATTCAAGGTTAGTTTAACCGGAAAGGCTCGTTGTATCGACGAAGCTGATCTGTGTTGCTCCTCGACAGGCTGTTCTCTCTGTTATTATCAGGAACTATGCGTTCGAATTTAGAGATGGACCCAACACGAGGACCGAGATCAAGCGCGGTATCCTGCCTCGGCCGTGTATTGCTGGAGAAGAGGGCACGAAGCTACCCTTGAGGGTGCACCGTCTGAATTGAAGAGGTTTGCCACTCATCGCAGGCTTGTCAGTCGTGGACGTTTGGACACGGGCTTGTACTGTCGCGGCATCGAGCATAATGAATCCCCACTCTTACCCCTAACATTATAGAGCGGAAAATGCCAATACTGATCACATGATCGTGAAGGCATACTCACGCGCGTGCCGGTGCATGTTCATGTTCAAGTTGCGCCACAGCTGTTCACAGTCCGAACGCGTCCTCCATTTACCAGTTCATCAATAGTTGATTCAATAGCACACCCACAACAATCAACTTCAATGGTATGCAGGTGCTAAGTCCCTCCTTATTAAAGTATTCATCGTTGCGCAGGACTCTACAATGATGTTTTCGTCGTTGACCCTCACGGGCGACAACATCCCGAAGCCTATGACCCTGTCTAGACAAGACGATTTTCCGTCCTGTCAGTTCAACTTCACGCGCAGTGTCTATAGAGACAGGCCGGACTGGGAGTCATCGCCGCGTCCAGAGCACGGACACTTGTCTTTGAAGCTTGGGAAGCGCATCGCCGGCGGCAGGTCAGCCGTTGTCTATGCCGCCGAGATCCTGACCGTGTCCGAGCCAGGAGACATCCCCCCTTTGGACCCGCTTCCCTCAGAGCGGGAGCTCTGCGTCAAGATCGCACGACCTAACCGTTGTCGCACGCTCGCTCGGGAAGCATGGTTCTGTGACCAGCTGAGTCTCGGTCAGTTGCAGGGGATTATCGCGCCGCGAACGTACGGGTTCTTCACCGCCGACGTATCCCGCGACCATCAGACGTTCCCGCCTTGGGGCTCTAAAGACTTCGAGCTTCATAATCTCTGACGAGGATTCACAAGACGACCCGACTCGTGACGACCCCCTGCCAGACGACGAGTCGTTGGGGGAGGCGCGATGTCGCAAGCGTCCCGGGGCCAGAGGACGCTCCCCGTGGTGCCACTGGCGGCCCGACCCCAATTCGCCGCTACTAGCTGTCATCGTCATGTCGCGGGGAGGAGCGACATACACGCGCAAGGATGATGCGGACCAGGCTAATCAGTGAGTCGCAAGTCTGTGCAATCAGAGTCTCTTCACTCGTTCTTACTGGTCGGCTCGTACAGGACGGACATCCGTGCAATACTCGATGATCTGTCAGATATCTACATGTGGCATGGTGACTTGCGGCCGAACAATCTCGTCCGTGCACCCGCAAGCACGCTTCCATGCAGTCAACACGGCTGCGTGCACAAGTGGAACATCATCGACTTTGCTTGGACTACAGCCGACGATACAGACGGTGACATCGATGTAAAGCTGAGGACTATACATAACCTCCAGCTGGTCTGCTATCGTAACCATTACTTCTGGACCGGTTCTACTACTTGAATGGTGACTCGGCCGTAAAAACGCGTCCGTCAATGCGTATGGCAACAGAGTTGTTATGTGGTTGATCGTTATCATCTGGGCTTGTCTACGTTGTCTTCTTAAAGCTTGGCACAAACTAGAGCCATGTACCGCTATTATCACATGGATTGTTGGAAGATTGAAGAGAAATGTAGCAATCTTGTGGCGAATACACACAGATCTGTATAGGCTCAGAGGATTAGTACTAGTACTCCTCCGCCGCTGGGTTCAAGTTTTTGGTCGCGAGCGTGATACGAGCACGTGATACATGACAGACGCAGTCTCCGCGTCAAGTCAGAACGACTTGAACGCGTTCAAGTTCCACGTCAGGCAAGCCTCAAGCGGCACAGTTGTTCGCAACCCGAATGTGTCCACTGTCGACCTTCAGCGCTGCGGATACATCACAAACATCAGCATGGTGCGTTAAAAACACGCTACTGATGCTACCGCGTCGATTCAAACATTTCATTCGTCACATAGGAGCGAATATCAATGTTGTCGACCTTGACCTTGGCGGGCGACGCCATTCCGAAGCCCATAATCCTGTCTCGACGACTCGACTTCCCGTCTCGTCAGCGCGACTATGATCTCGGTGAATATATAAGCAGGCCGGACTGGCGGCCGTCACCGCTCCCGAAGGACGGTCACCTATCTCTGTACCTGGAGGAGTGCATCGCTGGCGGAAGATCGGCTGTAGTTTATGCCGCCGAGATTTCTACCGCGTATGAGGCTGGCACCATCCCTCTGTCAAACCCACATCCTCTTGAGCAGGAGTTCTGCGTCAAGATCGCGCGACGTAATCGATGTCGTACGCTCGCGCGGGAGGCATGGGTTAGCGAACAGCTGCGCTCGCGTGGCCAACTGCAGGGTGTCATCGCGCCTCGGTTCTATGGTTTCTTCACCGCCAGCCTGTCTGACGACCAGTCAGTGTTCCCACTTTGGGACACCGATGACTTCAGGCTCGAAATTTCTGATGACGACCCCACTCGCGACGATCCCCTGCCAGACGACGAGCCATTGGAAGAGGAGTACGACAATGGTCCGGGGGTAGAGAATGCTCGCCATGGTGCGACTGGCAGCCCGATCCAAACTCGCCGCTCTTGGCTGTCATTGTCATGTCACGAGGAGGAGCGACCTACACGCGTGAGGACGACGCGGACAAAGCCAATCAGTGAGTCGCAGACTGGTGTGTCAGGTCGGTCTCTAAATAAATGGGTTATACAGGAAAGACATCCGTGCGATACTGGATGACTTGTCACGCATCTACCTCTGGCACGGGGATCTTCGCCCGAACAACCTCGTTCGTGCGCCTGCGGGAACAACGCTGTGTAAAAGGCATAAGCGTGTGCACAAGTGGAACATCATCGATTTCGCCTGGACTCGCGCTGACGACGCAGACGGCGACACTGACGAGAAATCGAAGTGCATACGCAGGCTGCAGCGAGCATCCTATCGCAGCTACTTTTTCTGGCATGGTTCTCTCTCATGAGTGGCGCTGTGCCCATTCGGAACGTGATACTATGGGTCACTGGCAGCGCGTAGCGACTCGGTCTATCAACCTGTGACTTGAAATGTGCTTCCCGCCGCTGTATATAGGTTCACTGGGTAATATGGATAGCCCGATTGAACTGCACGCTTATTTGGTAGGGATAACTACTGTAGCTGTTCTTAGTACAGACATTGCTAGTACTTACCGACGGCCGTCGCGAAGATGATTGATCACATGCTCCAACTATCCGAACCAACTGATGTCTGTCCCAAGTCTGTCCTCTGTTCAACTTTACCTGCCTCAGTACTTCAATATCTCATCAATACGAGTTTGGCTCAGGTTGATCATTGCGAACTACCTGAAGCCGTCTGTTCGAGGTTCAGGGGCCCATCAACGTTGTTGACAGACCAGTATGGTGGTGCGTGCAGTGGCGAGCGATGCGTTCGAGTTATTCCAGAATAACACACTCAGCACATACTGATGTTGCGGTATACAGGAAACGGCGCCGGCATTGGTGTTCTCAACCCTGACTCTTACGGGCGATGCCATATCGAGGCCAATAACCCTCCTCAGACAAGAGGACTTCCCGGCTTGCCAATTCGACGCCGATGCTGGCAAGTTTCGAACCAGATCGGACTGGCAGCCATCATCGTCTCCCCACAATCATGCTGGCCACCTGTTTCTGAGACTGGGAGATTGCATCGGTGGCGGCAGATCCGCCGTGGTCTATGATGCCGAGATCCTGACCACGTCTGCCTCAAAGGAAGGCTACATTCCCCTTCCCTCAGAAGAGAAACTTTGTGTCAAGATTGCTCGGCCTAATCGTTGTCGCACACTCGCGCGGGAAGCATGGGTCTGTGACCAGCTAAGGTCCCGGGGCCGGTTGCAGGGCGTGATTGCCCCCCGTACATATGGCTTCTTCGCTGTCGAGCTATCTCGCCAACAACCGCCGACGTTTCTGCCTTGGAACACTGAGGATTTCGAGCTTGACCTACGCGAAGACGACCCAGAAGACGATCCCCTCCGCGACGATCCCCTGCCGGGAGACAGGTTAATTGATGTATACGATGAGGGTCCTGGGGGGAGGGAGCTCTCGTCATGGTGCCACTGGCGGCCGGATCCTGATGCACCGCTCTTAGCTGTCATCGTTATGTCACGCGGGGGTGCGGTTTACACAAGGGAGGATGATGCCGACAAAGCGACGCAGTGAGTTTAATGCCTTCACTCTCGATCAATATTACTCATAAGTCGGTGCACGCAGAGAGGACGTACGTGCGATACTGGATGACTTGGCAGCCAGCTACCTATGGCACGGTGATTTGCGCCCCAACAATCTTGTGCGTGCGCCGGCAGGCACGGAACTGTGCGAGATACACGACCGTGTCCATGCATGGAACATCATTGATTTTGCCTGGACCTGCGTCGACGATGCGAATGGTGACTTCAAAACGAAGTCGAGGAGTATACGTGAACTTCAACGCGCGGGCTTTGGGACCTATTATTTCTGGCATGGTTCCCTCACTTGAGGAATACATTGCTCGTTCACATGTCTTGGTACAGCTCCGTAGTTATATGACTGCGTTGTTGTTCGGATCACAATTTGTCTCTTGCTACTGCTGTCCACTGTACGCCTGTTCAGCTATTAGCCTCATCTCAGTAACAGTAGTCCGAAGGGCTTGATTTGTTTCCGTAACTGGCGATCTGCGGGAGGCGAGGCACGAGCCGATCGCAGAGTTTGTTTGTTTATTCCCTTTATTGTCACTGAGGGCGAAGCCCTATGTAGACAGTACATACTCTACTCGGATCTGTGACTCGTCTCGTCTGGGGTCGCTGAGCATCGCCGTTCGCCGAAGCTGCTGGCAGGTATAGTAGTGTGTGGTGTAGTGTAGGTGGGCGTGTATGTACTGGGTCAAGTCGGGTCGGTGTAATCGAGTGGAATGAAAACGGGTTTCATCACGGTTCGTGCGTCGCTCGTCAGCGTGCATGGGTCTCGTCCTCCTTCGCGGTCTCTTCCTTCAGCTCTTGGTCTCCGTGCGCGGCCGCGGAGCGGCCGGTGTCAACGTTCGTGTGTCGTTCGTCAGCGCGTCCGGGTCGCGTCCTCCTTCGCGGTCTCTTCCTTCAACTCTAGGTCTCCGTACGCGGCCGCGAAGCGGCCGGTGTTGTGTATGTATCGGAATAGGGGTTTCATGGTGCTCGCTGAGTTGAGTAGGTCTTTGATAGATCGGGCTGCAGGGCCTGCCTCGCGCGCAAGTTGGTCTCGTTGTTCGTTGAAGGCTGGGCACTCCATGAGGAAGTGGTACACCGTCTCACGCGTGGTTCTGCAAGACGGGCATACTGGTGTGTCCTCCTTCTGGATCCTAAACAGAAATTTCTGCAGCGGAACATGCTCGGTGCGTAATTGGATCAGGATACTTGCCTGATTCCGTGGTAGTCGTTCTGCGAGTTTGCTGTACTTCTTCGACGGCATCTCTGGGTCTATTCTGTCCATCTTCGCTGCCCTCGGGGACGCCTTCCACTCCTCCTTTGCCAACCGCCCTAACCTCTCGTTCTGCGTCTGTCTGACTCTGGATAGACTCGCGGGGAGAGTCTTCTTCAGCCAGTCCGGGAGGTCCTCGACCGGACTACTATCTCCTCGCGCCGCCTTCTTCGCCTCTACATCCGCCAGCTCGTTTCCATCTATTCCCTTGTGGCCCGGTACCCATCTCAGGGTAAGTTCTATGTTTGGGTGACGCCTCTGGAGTCTTCCTATCGCCTGCAAGAGCTGGTCTATCATATAGTGTGCCGGGTGCGGCTTGCGATTCTTCGCTGCGTGTAGGCTTGCCAGGTTATCCGCAGCCGCGGACGCTCGTGCGCATGATAGCTCCCGATGGAGGAGCACGACCCCGAGGTTGAGGCCGATGATCTCGCCTTCGTACACGGTGTGTTTCGTTGACGGGCCGAGGTGGTATCGGAGGACTTTGGGCTCTCCGCCCGGCATGATCAGGACGGCCGCCGCGCCGACTCCCTTGTCTATGTCCGACCCATCTGAGTAGACTCGCCACCCATCCTTCCTCGCCCATACCTCTTCTTCGGCTGCTGCATCCTCCTTCGACGGTGCTATTGACACCCGGAACGGGGGTCGCCAGCTTGGCGGTAGGCGTACCGCCTCGATCGTCTCTATCTCCTTGGGGTCGAGTTCGTACGCTCCGAGTATCTCGTGGAGGGGGCTCCGGTGTCTTTTGACCCATCTCGAGGCTTGTTCGACGTGGCAGTGGAGCGGGTGAGAGGTGGGTAGGGTGCACAATCTAGAGGCCTCGTGCATTATCATTTTATCCACTAATAGGTGAAAGGGAAGCAGGTTCAAGTGCGCAGTTAGGGAGTTGGTAGGCGTCGAGCGCATCGCGCCTGATATCATCAGACAGGCTTGTCTGTGGACACGTTCGAGCTTTCGGATTACACCAACAGATCCGTAGCGTCGTTTCCGGCCTTCCATCTGCCTCTGTGGGACAATCCACACGCTCGCCGCGTAAAGCATAGCTGGGATGAGCATCTGAAGGTACAGTGACTTCACATGTCTCATCGGGATCCCGTGTTTCGGGCGCGCGAGGCGGCCAAACTGAAGCAGCCATGTCGTACCCTTCTTCAGGGCGTATTCGGCCTGCTTTTTGAATCGCAGCTTGCGATCGCAGAGTTCAGTACTTACAGCCAACACATGGACGTGATCAATACGATGCATTTGAGTATCACAGAAAACTATACAGTCGACGAGGGGAAGGATAACATCATGTACCGTGTTTGCCGAGCCCATTCAGCGCATTTGCCCATGAGCATTAGTGAGCCGAGGCATCCATTAAGCCCATGCCATCGAGCAGCCGACGCCGGCCGATGCGTCCTCTTCCGCCTATGGGGTTTGGGCAGCCGGCGGTCTTCTGCGTCCATAGTCATTGGGACGGCCGACGGGTCAGTGTAGCATAGTAATGTATACAGTACGAGCTGTTATTACTGAGCCATCCGATCCCCATTGGGTACCCGACATCGGCTGGTATAAGACCGCAACGGCTTTTACACCTGCCCTATAAGCATAGTGCAACCGACCTCGGATGCATCTATGGCCATCGGTTGGCCGGCGTCGGATGGGTGCACCTTGCGGCCTTTCCTGTTAAGACGTTCGAAGACCGGCGACCCGACGTCGGGTGCCCCTAACACCATAGGAATGGCCGATGTCGGTGGGCCCCATACTCATCGGGCAGTCGAGGTCGGCCGGCCTCCCGCTCCGCCTCTTCAACCTCAGGGCGAATTCATTCGGTACCCAACATCGGATATCTCCATGAGCATCGGGTGGCCGCGGTCGGGCTGCACGATATGCATCGGACACGCCGATGTCGGGCAGCCACACCATCCGCCTTTCCAATGTCGGCTGTCCCCTCCTGCGTCGGATGGGTCGGCTGGCAGGGGGTCCCTCGGTTGGGTAATGTCGGCGGTCTGCATGACCATAGGCCAGCCGAGACCGCAGGCGTAAGCCTGCGGCCTGGCTGCTGGGCACGGTGCGGCCTCCCATTGAGGACGCGCGATCTGATCGGCCTTTTCGGAAATGGCCGCGCGGATCCGGATTTGCCTGGAGAAATCGCAACCGCCTCCGAAGCTCGCGGAGACTGCGATGAGTGAGGCATAAAACGAACGAATATGTCATTGATAACAGCCCTGGGCTCACGCAGGGGCGCTCCGCTGCTCCCGCGAGCCTCCGTCCGTACCTGCTGACTCCGAAGCGCCCGCCCGACGCGTACTCCCTCCCGTCTGCCTTTCGATTTAGCGTTCTCATTGGCCAGCTCCTTGCGCAACACGCCGTCCGTTAGTCGTTGGTGAGTCACTTCCCATCAGATTAGATTGCCGCACCGGCAGAGTGGTCGCTTAACGCGCCTTACATATACTCGCCCGTCCTCCGCACCTCCATCTCTTCCCCCACCTTGAAGCCATCATGTCTTCCCCGCCCTCACGTTTCAATCGCTCCGACTCCCCAGCTGGCTTGAGTGACCCCGGTCGCGGCACTGCGCGCGGTCCAGCGGCTTTCCTGCGGCCCCGACGGCCTTTGCTGCGCTTCCCCCGCCTTCAGATCCCGTCGCGGGGGATGGTTTTGCGGCCACCGCCTTTGGTGCGCCCTTCCGTTCCACGCCCTGCCACTAACTACTGACCTACCTTGCGTGACGCGTATCAGGCGGCAACGCTGGTTCAGCAATTGCTGCGGAGCCTGGTTTGCCGGCGCGCGACGCGCCTGAGCAAGGTGAGCGTCCGGGCCCTGCTTCCCAACTCCCATCTCACCCATGTCCAAGGTCCTGCGACTGGGCCTGTTGCAGCGAGCCCGATGGGCCTCGCAGGCGGCGCTCCTCGCGAGATCTGGGATGCGTCGCCTCCTCCGGTTCCCCCGCCCCTGTACGGGGCACAAGACTTCCACCAGCAGTGGACCTGGCCGGCATACCTGCGTCCGGACTACAACCGACCCTGGACCCGTGCCACGGTGTCGTTACGTGACCTCCTCCGCACCATGATAGAGCTGGTCCGCGACATGCAGCCGCACTACCACGGCGACTCGCGCGGGGTGCCCGACCCGACGAACTCAATGTGAGTGCCCGGTCTCATGGCTACACCCGCGTACTCATTTTGCGCAGACGAAGGCATGCAACAGATGCAATCCGCGTGGGCCCCATGGTCCACGTGTACAAAATTCTCTGGCGGGAGAGGGGCCCTCCGCTCGTGTGGTCGATGGTCGTCGTGGCGGCGCACCCGAGCAGGAGGTGGTGCTTTATCGAATCGTGCACCACCTATGGTCAACAAGCGGCATGACGCACGCACCGGGAGCGTACGCGCCACCAGCGTGAATATGCGACATTCTGTACGTATTGTATTCAATATCGAATGTACATAGTGTGGCAAATGCGTCAAAAACGCGCCTGTTCCGGACTCCAAGGCCACCGACTCAGAGGCCGGCATAGTGCGTACGACGTTGGAAATGCGCGCAAACGAAATGCTGCCCAACTTACCGGCTGTCAACTAAAAGGCATAAGATTCCGCCTTATGCCGTTCTATCTCGGCGGCGTGCCGAATGCAGTCTCCGCCGAGGTGCAGGCAGAGGCCTCGTGCGGCTTCCGCGCCAGCCCGGTCTTCGAAAATCAGCGCGGAAGGCCGTGCAGGCGCCGGGAGGCCGCGGGCGCTAGCAATCGAAGACCGTGATCCTCGAGCGCTCGCCGAGATGATCAGATCACAGGCCGTCTGAACGGCATGTGACTGGTTCTGATGGTGGCTGCGCGGCCTGTGGCTGCGCGGTTTGCCCATCACTTAAGCCTCCAGTCCATCAACCGGACTTCAACGTCTCTCCCCCACCCCGCACTCATGCCCGCTTCGTCGCGCCCATCCCCTCGCCGTCTTCCCGCCGTTCCTGTCGGCCCTCGCGCCCCCGCCTCCTTCAGGCCGTCCGCCTCGGCCGTTCCCGCCACCTCCGCGACGCCCTCGCCCTCTGACGCGCCCCGCGCAATCCGTCCTGGCCCACGCGCCACGGCCTTCCATGCGACACCCCCCGCGCCCGTCCCTCCCGCAGCTGCGTGCACGGTCGACTCAAACCCGGCGGGGGCGGGTGTGCGTGGCCCTCGCCCCAAGCCCTGGCAGTCCAGCGGCGCGACGACCCCTCCGGCCGAGGCCTCCGCGGCCAGCACGGTCTTCTGTCCGGCCTTCACGGTCAGTCCGGCCTCTCTCGCACCTCCGGCCGTCGCCCGCGCCCTCCCTCCACCACCCCTCCGTCTGGTGCCGAGGTGACGCAGACCGGCGTGGATGACGCCTGCGTTGACGACCCTCCACCACCGCCGTACTCCGCCGCCTCCATCCCCGTTGTCGACCTGCCGCAGCCCGTCTACAATAGACCAAGTGGCGCCATCGCAACGCCGTCGCGCTCCATCGGGCTGGAGGGTCTGTTTGAGCGGATTGACTGGATCATTGAGGACATGCAGCCGTGGTTCCCCGGACACGCCCAGCGCAGGGAGCTGCCCGCGAGCGAATGGTGAGTTTGTACTTTTGCGGCCTGTTCTTCTACTCACTTGTGGAAGGGCGAGCCCGGAGACGCTTATCAGGTCGGATGGAGTGGTTTTGACGGTGACGAAGCTCCTGTGGTCGCGATCGACGGGCCAGGTATTCTCCTGGCTCATGCAGGTCGTGTCCGCGACGCCTGCGCAGGCAGAGGTCGTCCGAAGGTACGTGACGGACCTTTGTGAGCAGCACAGGCATCGCTACCAGGTTGCCGCGGCGTAGACGTAGTGTAGTGTTTCAGCGCGCGGGCATTAATGTATTTGAACTTTTGCGCTTGGGAGTCCGTCTGGAAATCGATTGCGGTCTTTGTACGGTCTAACTGAAAGCGCATAAGGCCGTATTCATAACGACCCGTCGTGCCCTTGCGTCCTTCACCCGACGGTCGGCCGTCCAATGGTCTCGCCTCACTGGGTTCGGCGAGGGAGCAGCTGCCACGTCACAATTTTGTTTGAATCACACGGTTGGCTTTGCCATCGCTGCTCTGCTCATCCCACGATGTCGCGACGTATCATACAGGCCGGAGTGAAGCCGCGGGCAAAGGTGATGCGCACGCGCGTTACCGAAACGTCGACGAGGAAACGATATTCACTGGTGCCCGCAAGGTTTACAGGCGGAACGCAAATCGATGCACCCATCGCCGGGCCATCTGCCTCTGGGCCGTCCACGACCGGTCTGTCCTCGCAGCCACTTCCATCGGAACCAGCAGTCGACGACATTCCGAACTTCGACTTTGGGGACCCTGCAAACGCGCACCTACTTCCTGGGCATGCCCGAAAACGAGCGAAGACCAGGTTGGCCGGCTCGGTGCGTGTTATAGCTGGTCGTCCTTTCGCCGTGCTAATTTGAGCCTACTGAGTAAGATTTGACGTTCCGAACGGTAAACCCGGAGTGAGATCTGGCCGTCTGGAACGGTGCGGCCGGCGCCGGCCGGAGGGGTCCGGGTCAACGTTGTAGACGGTTTCGCCGGGACGTACGTTCGCAAAGGTGCGGCCGGCCATGGCCCCCGCCCAAACACTTTCTAGCGGCCGATTGAGACGTCGCGGCCGGAGCCCCCGCCGGCCGGGCACTGCTCGTCTCCAACGCTCCGGCCGCTCTCCAGCCCCGGTGCCCCACCGACGCTGCAACGTTCCGGCCGGAGCCCCGCCGGCCGGGTACTGCTCGTCTCCAACGCTCCGGCCGCTCTCCAGCCCCGGTGCCCCACCGACGCTGCAACGTTCCGGCCGGAGCCCCGCCGGCCGGGTACTGCTCGTCTCCAACGCTCCGGCCGCTCTCCAGCCCCGGTGCCCACGACGCTGCAACGTTCCGGCCGGAGCCCCGCGGCCGGGTACTGCTCGTCTCCAACGTTCCGGCCGCTCTCCAGCCCCGGTGCCCCACCGACGCTGCAACGTTCCGGCCGGAGCCCCGCCGGCCGGGTACTGCTCGTCTCCAACGCTCCGGCCGCTCTCCAGCCCCGGTGCCCCACCGACGCTGCAACGTTCCGGCCGGAGCCCCGCCGGCCGGGTACTGCTCGTCTCCAACGCTCCGGCCGGAGGGCTCGCCGGCCGGGCACTGCTTGTCTCCAACGCTCCGGCCGCTCTCCAGCCCCGGTCGGCCAGAGGGCTTGCCCACACTCGCAATCCCTCATGGCCAGGCACCCCTTGTTCGCGTGTGTAATGGCAATTGACGGTTCCAATCGACCCGCGCGTCGGGACTCAGCCCCACCGCCACCGAGACCCACTTTTTCCTGATGACGACCGAAGATGTGTTGCCCATGAACTGCAATGATGTCGCTTTCCGCGTGTATTCTATTTTGGGTTATGGGCAGACAGAGTTATCATCTCCCATCAATTTTTTGATGTATTGATCTATGCTACGGGCGGGCGATTGCCTCGTGACCTTATCCGGGGCATGAGGCTGCCACATGCTAGCCGAAGGTAAGCATGACACTGGTTTTCCGCGGTGATGCCATCCTGATAAACCTCAGGCATTGCCAGGAGTGTTGCGTTGTCGCTCCTTCTTCCTCTGCTTCATTCTCCAGCATGATCACCGTTGCGCAAGTCCACCACCAGTACTGCTCGTATTTGGAGGCGATGTACCTTTACTTCCTCTCGGCGCCGGCATCGCGCCCCGGGTGTGCGCCGCTTCCTGGACTATTCCTCGACGTGTATCTAGTTCGCCAGGCCAGGCGTGCTGCTGAGATGCTAGCCAAGGCATATGGGAATCGCAGTACGTACTGATGAGTTGTCAGTCTCCACGATCATCCCCTCATTCACAAACAGAGACTTTACCGTGGGATGCATCAACTCATCCATGCACCGTACCGAACGACGATGAAATGGCCTCAGTGCAATACGAAGATTGCGACGATCCGCTTACCATCGCCGACAGCCAGGGCCGGGTGCTGATGTGGCACCTTCCCGGCGTGATCACGGAGGTCTTCGGGGTACGCCGGAATACATACGTCATCACGAACTGTCTCTAACTTTGTGCAAGGGAGTCATATGGGATGCCACAATGGGTCTCAATCCCCTCCTGGCTCGCAACCCTCCCAAATTGAGTGCGAACTGGAGGGAAAATATTGAGAACTTTCGGCAGCCGCAGGAGGGGGACGACCTTAACCCGGCGTGTGTCTCGTTCTCGCCGGGGTGGTTCCAGCTCGGGCACGACGTACGTCTCCGGATTCACCTTTCCATTTGTGTTCTCAAAATCAGTAGGGCGCCGACAATGTTCCCGCAGTCTCTCGATTGCTCTCAGATCCAAAGTCCGCCCCCGCCGGTCGCGCGTGGTTGGACGAGATGGCTTATCCGCATATCATCGTATCCGGTATGCTGCGATCATGCACCCGGATTTGTATGACGCTGGAAGGGCCTCCATTGAGGCTTTGCGGAGTGATCCCGACCGGGCCACCATTGTGGATTCGTGGCACAACCCGTTCAATGCCCTTTCCGTGATTACGAACCGAGCAAGCCCAGTTCATCGGGACAAGTTGACCCCGAAGCATCTGTATGATATGCTGGTGACGATCGGTGGCGATCATGGGCAGATCATCCAGTTCCCGACGCTAGGTCTCCGGCTCCCTTACTACAGTGGCACGGTTACCGCATTCTCCGGCACTCGACTCCCGCATGATGTCCCACAGTCTGTCGATGAGCGGCTGTGTGTGGCATACTTTATGCGTCGGAATGTACATCGTTGGGCCGGGTGGCAGACGTCAGTTGGCGGAACACTTGGGAGTGAAGGTGCTTCGGAATTGGGATTTGTGGTCGGCGTCGCGAAAATGGGCTTTGTAGATTGGGTACTTGGGGTCCGTAGAATTACGTATTCCGTTTTAAACCAATATGGTCAACTTCTCACTTCTCAGCTGGCCGAGCACCGCATCAGCGACCGAATGCCCCTAATTAACCGGCCAACACTAATCATCCCGGGGCCGGGAATTACGAGAATCGTCTCGGCGAAATGCACTCGTCTTCGTTACAAGCAATCCGTGTGGGGAGGTACATGGACGGGGACACCGTGGACTACACAATGTTTACTACTGGTGACCGGCCTCACTGACCCGAAAATGAGACGCTACAGCCGGGGCTCTGGGAGTCATCCCGCGCTGCCAGGCCTCCCGCTCGGCGGCATTCGCTCGGGCGGCAGCGTACCAAAAGTTCAGCTCCGCCTGGATGTAAATGTCCATGGTCTTCATGGCCATCCCGAGTTGCTTGAACCACTGCAATACATCGCTCGGCATCCCCTTCGGCATCCGATCCGGGCTCAGGGAGGGGGGATGGGGAAGGAGGGCAGATATGCCCGATTAATTTGCTCGGCGGAAACGGTCACTCCATCCTGAAACATAAATGTGGGTAAGTGAGTCAAAGAACAAGGCGATCCATTCATCTTACCCGCAACCTTTCCAAGTCCAGTTGCTGCTCCAGGCGACGAAACTGTTCTCGTGATGCCTTCAGCTGCTCGGCAATGATGTGGTCCATGTTGGTCTGGCTGGCCCTGAGCTCCTCCAACACGGCTTCCGGAGTATTGTTCTCCTGGGCCACGGGGAAGGTGTTATGTACAGAACTTTCGACTGGCCACAATTAGCCGTGAAGGAAAGTTGTACTCTGGCTGAAACTCCTTACTGTCGTGCTCTCCCACAGACGTGTCGTTGGATGGCAGAGGACCGGGCACCGGACTTTGTCCCTTTGCGACGCCGGATGCAGCCTCGATCACATTCGTGACAACTTCCATGTCTTCCGTTCCCCGGGGTGCGACGATCTCACAGTAAGTGGACATTGCCTCGGTGAGACCATACGCTGCGGCAACCTCCGGCTTCAATAACTCCTGCAGGCCAATCATGAGCGCAGAGACCGACTGCATTATTATGTTAGAGGCACAACTCCCAAGTGATACCGGGTTAGCTTACCAGGCCGACGAGGAAATTGTTGAACGCGCCGGGTGTCGCAGGATTGAGCTTCGCCTCGGCCAGAGTTTCGAGGGCCTTTGGAATCATGAGGTTTGTTTTGCTGTCCTCGAGGAGTTCGGCGAGCATGGTGTTCATTGGTAGTTGAGCTGTTCGGTGAAGACGACGTGTACAGTGTACTGGACAACAGTTGATGTTGAAAAGATGCGAGTGGCAATGGAAGCCTTATCATCAACTGATCTCGGATCCTGCCCACGTGATAGGACTTTGGGACACTTGCCTTCTTGAGTATGGTCTGCTCGGCACGTGTCGCACATTGCCGAGAGCAGCCTTCTTGCAGGTCACCTGCTGTGGCAGTAGCTGGGATAATTCACCGCCATCATCCTCCACTTCCGCATTGAGCTCATACTGTCGGTTCCTTGGGAGTTCGTTATGGTAAGTTCCAATTGCTCCGCACCTATCTCCAGCGCCATGATTAACTGACACGGGCAGTCACTCCGGCGTGAAGCATTTCCAGTCGTCAGGTGGGAATTACTTGCATTTGCGTTGTCTACCCCGTGAGTGGTTCCCACGGTTCGATGAACCTCAGCATTGTAACATCATTCTTCAGCCATGCCGAAGTCGTGCCCGACCGGCCACACACGTATTCAATCAACCGGTATCTATTTGGGCAAATCATCCTATCGGTCACCTACGAGAGCAGCGAATGGTCCGCTGAGATGCCCAGGACCGATGCCAGGCTGGAGAGTATTATGTTGCTGTTTGATATGGTGGAGGCACGGGATGGGATGTTAGTGTGCTGAGCCTTCCGTCACAAACGTAGTCGTATTGGTTCCTGCTGTCATGCTTTTAATTGCTGTTCTTACCCGACTCAATCCCCTCCACTGGGCATGAGACATTGCAGCATGCATTCCCGGTCAATTGCATCATGCATGCGAACATGTGAATGGCACTGACAGTCCCTCTAAGATGAAGCATGCAGATTCCAACCCGAAATCAGGTTGACCGAGCCCGGCCCGAGACTTCGAAAAGTTGCTCGGGCCGAGAGTTCGCAAACTTGCCCGGGCCGAGATATCGGGAAAGTGCTCGGCCCAAGAATTTGGAAAACCGCTCGGGCCGAGAGTCTTGGAGGTCAATTGCATCGTGCATGCGAACATTTGAATGGCACTGACAGTCCCTCTAAGATGAAGCATTCAGATGGCAGCCCGAAATTAGGTTGACCGAGCCCGGCCCGAGACTTCGGAAAGTTGCTCGGGCCGAGAGTTCGCAAACTTGCCCGGGCCGAGATATCGGTAAAGTGCGCGGCCCGAGGATTTGGAAAACTCCTCGGGCCGAGAGTATTGGAGGTAGATTGCATCATGCATGCGAACATCTGAATGGCACTGACAGTCCCTCTAAGATGGAGCATGGAGATTGCAAGCCGAAATCAGGTTGACCGAGCCCGGCCCGAGACTTCGGAAAACTGCTCGGGCCGAGAGTTCGCAAACTTGCCCGGGGCGAGATTTCGGTGCAGTGCTCGGCCCGAGACTTTGGAAAACTGCTCGGGCCGAGAGTTTTGAAAATGCTCGGGCCGAGAGTTCGGAAAGCTGCTCGGGCCGAGAGTTCGGGAAAGTGCTCGGGCCGAGAGTTGGCGACATTTCTCGGGCCGAGAGTTTGGAACACTGCTCGGACCGAGTGTTTGGTGTACTGCTGGGGCCGAGTGTGGGTACAACCGCTCGGCCCGATCGTATGGCAGCTGGCTCGGTCCGAGGTTTGTGAGATCGTGAGGGCCGAGTGGCTGGTGAAGTGCTCGGGCCGGGAGTTAACAAAGGTTGTCGGGCTCGGGGCTGGCACCATGACATCTCAAATCTCGGTAGATTACTCGGGGCATATCGCCTTTGTAAACACAATGGGAATACAATCGACGAGCTACTGACTGAGTATCCTACTACACTTGATACTATCAAGCCATGAGATTTGGCTCCAGGTACAGATCCCGCCATGCCACTTTCGCATCTTCACGCAGGCGATCGAACAGTGCCGCTTGTGCTCGGCAGTGCTGGGAAAATCCAGGGTACTCGGCATCGGTGTTATTGGTCGCTAATTCTCGCCACCGGCATGCTTCGTGGTCAAAGTATCGGCACACGGAGTCAAGCTCCCTGCGCAATATGGCGGCTTCTTCCTCCAATCTGTCAACCTTTGAACGGGCATGGAACCACTGTACCCTGTGAACTATGCGCGATGTCAGCGAGTTATTCAATGTACCACTGCCATCTCACGTACTGATTCCCAACTCGTCATTGCTCCGTATGTCGCCACCGACGTTAACATTCCATATCCACGAGGGGGATTTGTGCCGTTGGCCGGCCTTGTTGGGCTCGGCAATTGCAGTTACTGTCTTTAGATCATCTGGGGTGAGCTGCTGATATTTAGCTTGATCCTCTGCAGACAGGCCGAGCACTTGCATCGCCGCTCGGGCCCGGCGATAGATTGCGGCTTGAAGCTGTACAGCTCGGTCGAGTTTACCCAACTTGGTGAAGGATCGGGTGCGCTTCTTGTTGCCATCTTTCCTCCCGTGCCGAATGGTTGTCTGGAACTCAAACGATTTCTTACCGATGAGAATCCGAAGCTGCTGCAAGGCATCATTTGCTTGTCCGCGCCGCAGAGTGAGCTCGTGCGCGGCCAAACGTTGCAATCCATTGGCGGTTAGAGCATTCCGCGTGAAATTCGAAGGTAGC